AGAATTCATAGTATTAAAATGTAACCTGGTCTGCGGGTATGCGATGGTCAAGATGCAGGGCTCTTGGACGAACCGAACGTCTGTGAGGGCGTTGCTACGGTGTTCATTCATTCACCGTCGCCAACCAGAAAGAGCCCCAAGACTCTAGAGCGACCCGAATTAATGATGGGGAAGAAGGAGTAACTGCCTGGTAGCTTGCCTTCACATGATGTGTATGAAATGTGATGAGAGATAGCCTTGCCCGGGACCTACGTAGCAGCAGCAAAATAACCTTGGAACTGACCCATTTACCCACGTGCATGTAATTTGATTCCCGCAGCATGGATGGGTTTATTCTACGCGGTAAGGCCGCGAGCAAGGTGGGAGTGTGCTATGTAAGATATACACGAAATAGACACGAGCGGATATATTTAATATCAGATGCCACAACCTTAACTGCTTTCTTCCCTGTCCTGGTGTTGTCGTGATCGAATATGACGAGCAAGTCATCTCACCATGCATACACTAACAACTCGGTACCTAGATCTTTCGACTCTTGTAGGGATTCCATGATGCTTTAGCGCCGACCACGTGTTTAGGCAATTGAGGGTATCCGTAATTCTGAAGATTTGCTGATGATATCCATGTACGTACAGACTACTACCATGATGGTAGGTATGTATGTACAATCGGACGATCAGGTACACGTTGACCGGCCAAGAGACGGCGGGTGCTAAATATGATAGCTGCTTGATGGCGTTTTGACTCGCATGACGCCGCTGGACTGGATATCAAGATACAGTGGCTTGTGATATTTGATTCAATGTTTCAATGTTTCATTCTTGTGAACGACCGAAGGTTTGCCCGGACCGCGCTCTGGCCCTCCGCTAAATTCAAGCTTAAAAAGACTTTGGAACGCTTGGGAACGCCGTTGACCCCCTAGGCAAGCCTTGTTTTAGCCTTGAAGAACCCCATCTTAACACGATGGATACCCATTTCTGGTATATGACGTTGTTTAAGTCGCAGAACTGCCGTTTTATTTGTGTTACTCACCTTAAAGATGGCGTAAACTACCGCTGTTTTGATTGATTGCGCTTTTCTGAAAAGGTTAGGGTACCAATGCACATAACATTACATGTAGTGTGCTTAATTCCGAGTTAGAACATTGAATCTATTGTCGATAACTTCCAGGATCCCCGTGATCTAGACGTGTGGCTGCATACGTGCCACATGCTATACTGGTACCCAAGTACCTAGCTATGTATTCCCCAGTCCCTTAAATTTTCTCAGGGACCAAAGAAAGACTATCATCTCTCTGTCTGTGTCTGATCTCAGGGTCCTGTTCTTTTTCTCAACCAGCTTGCTACTAGGTATTCAATCCCGGCTTGTTATATTAACCCACAGTCGGTTTTTATTAGGTTGTTAATGTGATTGGCCATAACTCAATTATCCTTCATCCATTGATAATTGTTCGATTGTGTCATTTCCAATTTGTGGAGGTACTTAAAAAAAGCTACTAGGTAGCTTACGTTGTATTTCCCGCTAAGCGCATTCGAACCAATCAATTGGCTTTCGCATCAGACACCTCAAATCCTTCTCCCGAATTTTGAACAACTATGACGACACCCCGGTCATCGCCAAGAGATCCCCGTCAAGAGGTTAGTGTAACGCTATCTATCTCTTCAACCCGGAGCAAAAACCATCACATCATCGCAGACAAGTGCCATTACTTCAAAACGCCAAAACGCCGACCAGTAGGTATTTCGTACAGGAGTCCCTACATCGGGCATTTTAATTCATGCTATGTTCATAATACTTGCGACCGAGTTCTTTTGCGACTCTGCTCGTTGCATGTGGTTAATCTTGTCCCAGCAACCTGGTGTTCACTTATTGGCAAGGCCAATGGGCAAGGGGGCAAGGGGGCATACAATGGATGTTTTACAGCTGTCATCCATGGGATCATCCTATCCTCTACACGATACAAGCGCTGATATCGTGATGTTGACATACTAGGCATTGACTGAAGCAAATGAAAAGATATAATTTATGCCAACCTACATATTCGTTTACTATGTAGTTGTCGGGTTGGTAGATTGAGACCCAGATGGCCCCCCCATCCCCTCTCTCCCCTCACCTCCCCCTATTAAGGAACGTGTAAGATGCCAGAAGGCAGGGCTATCTTGGAGCGTCGTCGTCATACTTCATACTTGCACAGGTTTTCCTTCGCTTGCCAATCCTGAATGACGACGTCAGTCCTGTGAGCACTGAGCAATAACCGTCAACTTTCCCCGAGGCAGTACCGCTTAATTAGCTTCATAGACTCAAGGAGCTGGCCCGACTGGCTCGAAGATATCGTCATACATGCAACCCTCGGTTTCATCCCGAGAACATTGTAGAAATCTTTCTTCACCGTACTTACATAGTAGGCGTGATTATTCTAATGTCATTACCATTCCTCTGACAGGTAGATGGGTTCACTCTAGCTGTCTAAATATTCTTATCATTTGTGCCGTAATCGCAATTCCTCCAAAAATGCCAAGACATCGCCGGCTGAACACGAACACCACACTGCCGCCACAATAATAATTAGTGCCGGACCGAAGGCAGACCTAGCTTTATGTTGGTGTTCTCCAATGCAATAGAAGGGGAAAAAAAAGAAAAGAAACATGCAGTGATGGAAAAAGGGGTGATTTTCAATGCTGCTATACGAATCTCTTTCTCTAATGCTACACACTTTCCTACTTACTCAATCATCCCTTGATACCGGGACAGACAACTCCGACAACGACCACCTCTTTTTAGTCAGCAACGTGGGTTCAATGATGTCGTGTCTGGGACACATTGAAAAGGTGCATCGCTCACTTTGAGGAGAACCACTTTTGTGGAGTATCACAAATATGTCCAATCACTATTCACACACCGCATGACGTAGTTGCTTGCCAAGACCTCCAGGCTAGGACACTCTTAGCTTCATCCTTTCCCACCAAAAGCCACCAAAGGGGAAAGGGTAGAAGGGGTCAGGCAGTGGGACAGGTAGAATAGATGGAAAGCCCGACTGCAAGCATTTCGTACCCTTTTTTTTCTGCTAGGTAGTAGCGTGGCTACTTGGAAACCCCAAGTTCTTTTTCTCCAATATTCCCCGACTGGGCGCCAGGAAGAACGAGCTGATTTATCAGATGGGGTGGTGTTTGTGCATAGCTGCAATAGATTCGCTAGAGCCGGCACTCGAAAATGAGGATGGAAAAAATAGCTAGAAAAAAGAAAGTAAAGAACTTGTGATAGAGCACGAAGCCAAAGCCGGGCTTACAGACCCTGCATAACGGCAACCCCCATCCTCCTATCCTCCCATCCTCCGCATCAGTGGCGTAAGCTAAGAATGAGCCCTATTATGTTATGTTATGTGCTGTGTAGTGTGTAGTTACTTCTGTACGTACCTACCGATGTATAATACATTATAGAAATCGCCAAGGATGTTTCTCCAGGATAGTGTCCACCCGTACCGGTACTTATCGAAAGCTAGCGTCAACGGCGCACCCCCGTAGCCTTAGCCTTAGCCTTAGACCCTTGCCGTTACTTTCAACAATACCCTGTCATGTTCAATGTTCTCATCTCTTTTTTGCGTTAGGTACCGTACCTGCCGTACCTACCCAGTCAGCAAGCACCTCGCACAGCTCGCACCGCAGTTTCTCTTATTACATGCCTCCTAGTTTAGTTGAATGGCATTTCCCGTCCTACCTATGTACTAAGCAGCCGTACCCGTACCTCCTCTCCTCTCTCTCTCGTCAACCACTTTTTTTTCCACCTCCGCCTCCATTCTACATACTAGGTAGTAGTATTCGATCCCTGTGGTTCAATGTTTTGTGTCCCACTCGCCCCAATTTATCACTCTTATATGTGGAGTTAGAGGGGACTCTGATACCCTGGCTACTTTTTTAACAACCCGCGCTGGAATCCCCTTCTCCTTCTTTAGTCGTCTAATGCTGCTAGTTGACGTACTAGCTGGCCACCTGAAATACGTCCCATAGGCAAGCCGAATAATAAGAGGGACGATTTATGTATGTAAAGCCTGACCATCCTTCTTTTTGACCGTGCCTCTTCCGCTTGACATCTTCCACCACGTCTACGACGAAATATCTCACATCTCGACGTCGGCCGACATCGACAAGACCGCAACAAAACTAACAACGCTATACCCTGTCTCGAACAAAAGAGACATACCTGACTTACATACAAAAGGATCAACAATCGTGCTGCGAGGTTCAGTTTATCTGGGTTACCTGTAACAAAGTACATAGAGTCTCTCGAGTTATATGTACATCTGACCTCCCGGATATCTGGCCGCTGCTGATCTTGTACGCTTCGGTCTTGAAACGAGCCACCGAACTCCACATTCTCATGATCAGTCAAGACCTAAAACGGCTCCTATCAAATTGGACACCATCTTTTCAAATTTCAGCCCTGGTTCGATCTGTTCAATATCCTACCCTACCGTCCTTTCTTGTGCACCACCCTACAGTGTGTCCAACCCTGCCCCGACCTGCTTTAGTACGGGACATTGGATTGTCGATCAATCTGTTCACCGTCGTCACTGGACTTGCTTGTAGGCTAAGGACACTGGTCCCACCTGTCCCAATTGCTGGAGTGCGTTAAGCTTCATACGATTGGGCTGCGTCTCTGAAAAGTACCGGCTGCCCCAGTGTGTACCTTCGTCCGACTATTCGGGGGTTCCTGGTCGCATACTTCCTGAAGTGTCCTGCCAAACACACTTAAGGCTCGCTGATCCCCCTCCCGTAGCTCGTGACGGATCTTCTTCACTGGATCTTGAGAGACAAGTCACCGCCTCGGCAAGGTGACACGAATCTGTCCCCTTCGGGATCCCGCATCTGATCAGCGAACTATTCCAGACTTCCTTCTAACTCTTTTTTTAACGACCGGGGAAAAAATAGGAGTCGGGTCTAAGTGTTGGAAAGCCTTCATACTTCCAACCTCTTATTTCTCTTTTATGATATATTGTGTCGAAGATGACTATGACTCTTGATAATCAATCACGACTCGGGGCCCTCAACTTCGACCACATGTCTTCCTACTCAAACCCTCCTCACTTCACCAACCCGTGGGCCGCGGGCTCGACTAGCCAACATGGTGGCCACGGCATGTATTCGCAAGGGCTCAATGCCAACTTGGGCGGTCTCGACTCAATGGCAAAACAGCACGCCGCGAGGGCGGGCCCCAACAGCAGTGCCTCCATGGCATCGTATGGGAGCATCCCGGTGACGGCATCTTCAGCAGGTAGCAGCACTCTCATGGCGGACCTTTATGGACAGCAGGACTTACTCAATATGCCGCAAGATCTCTTAAACCTAAACCGAATGCAAACCACATCGGCCGCATACGGAGAATCCGCGTACGCGACGGCGACGGCGGCTTCTCCAGTTAACGCGACGTACTCGGCGTCGCCGAGCTCTTATGATAGCGTGTCCGGGTATGCACCGGCGCCCATGCGCTCAACTTTCGCTCTTGCGCCAGAAGCTGATAATCGAAGGTATTCACAATCGTCAATTTCCTCGCTCCCAATGGTCGAGCCCGGCTCAGGCGGCGCGTCCCGCCCTCACCGGAATTCATTGGTTGACATGAATCACAGAGGACTTCCAGCCGACGATCGGAGGAGCTTCGCGGATGCTCTTGACGCCGGGCAGGGTATGTTGGCGATGAGTCAAGAGACTCCCAGAGCCATATACCCTCCCGGCAATCGCGGCAGAGGTTCCACTGACTCATACGGTTTCCCGTCGACGCACTCCACCAGCTCATCTATCTCATCAGCAAGTAATTACGGTAGTGGTTATTATGCAGGCTCGGTCGATTCATCGGTCAGTGATTACTCGACAGCAGGTTCTGATATCGAGTCGGTTACCTCTCGGACGTTACCCCGACCGAATTTGATGACTCAACCCCCTCCGGCTCCTCAATCGATGATGGGGCAATTTAGCTCGAAAGTCTCATCCAGCACTCAGAAGAAGCATAAATGCAAAGTCTGCGACAAGCGATTTACCCGGCCAAGCTCACTACAGACGCATATGTACAGCCACACCGGCGAAAAGCGTAAGTATAGAGAGTGCATGTATCTCGGTCAGGATTGAAAGCTGATGTGAAAATTAATACAGCCTTCTGTTGTGAAGTTGAGGGATGTGGAAGACATTTCTCTGTTGTATCAAACCTACGACGACACCGCAAAGTACATAAGAACGACTCCAAGTCCGACGCTGGATCAGAAGATCACCACGATGATCATTCCGACTGAAGGAACCAAAAATAAAACCCCACGCTTCATGACAAAAAATATGTTCGATTGTGCTCAAGGTTACGATTTAGAATTCTTTACGAATGTCCTTGTTATGCGGATACCTTATGTTGAGTCACGTTTGAATTGGTCTCATGGGTTTAGAGGAGACTATTTACCAGCATCTATTTTGTCCGGCCTGATGCTATCGAAAACCAAAAAAAGCAGGTTGCGGGCCTGCGCCTCTTGTACCAAGACAATATCGAAATTTGTTTGCGCTGCTGGTTGGAGTGATATCCAGGAGAGTTCGAAGCGCAGGTTGCATTGATGAGCTTATAGATTTGGGTGGGCTCATTTCATGGCATTGTTTATTACCGTCTTCTTCGCGTCCATCGCTCGTGGCTGCCAATCGGGTTGGGGTATGGCCACACATCGACACATCTGGGGGGGTTTTAGGGATTGTTTTTATTTCCCCGAGGAGATACCCTCACAGACGGCGTTCAGGTTTATAAGGATCATGGGGACGGGGTGAAGATCGCATGCATTCGTTTACGTTGAGAAGCGACAGCTGCCTATGGCGATTCGCAGAGTTCCCGTGGTGGCAGCTTCTTGGAGCGAGCACAAAAAAGTGACCAAAAGTGACACGGAAGAGCGAGGCGAAGAGAAGACAGACTTGTATTATTAGCTAGCTTCGCATATACCCCAGGAAGGCAGAGCATTCATCCTCGAACCCGAGACGCCTTGGTTTGGCGTCTCGCGCCGAAGATATCTACATTCGCTACTGCCTCTGTAATCTAATTGTTGAAATATATATACATACGGATGTTCAACGGACGTTTTACCTTTTGATCATTTGTGGTTATGATCGTGCTTGATTCACGTGGTATATTGTTTATTTTTGATTTATCTGTCTTCATTTAACTCTGTTTACGAAGTGATGCTTATCTGAGAAGTGTCGCGATCCGAACAACTACCTGTGCCTGACCCTTTTTTTCATGCATCGTCCCGACTGTTTAGTGACGGGGCTATCTGATCTCATCCCAGGCTGATCGTCGTTAGGAAACCAGAACTAATGTATCAAGAGCGGAGCCGGCTTCGAACCTAATATTTTCGTCAGATCTATACTAGGCGCCCCTCTCGTCAGGAGTATGGATTATGTATATGTATACTAGGTATGCAGTACGATATCTGCCTAACCGGCTAGGCGAGCTGGGGAAACCTTGACTCTATATCCACCACCGTTTACTTGTCTACTCCGTCAGCGATCGGGATGCCCGAATGTGGGAATCTTCTTACACCCTTTTTGAATATTAAAGCCATCTATACCACATGTAAGGACGATCCACTTATATTACTTTTAGATATAATAGGTAATCAGGTATTACACAACAAACGGGCGGGCTCTATCTCCCCGTCTCCCGCAAGCGACTGACATATGTTGGTAAGAAGTACGCGCCTCCTATTGGAGGAGGCTCCCTTCCCACTTTATTATCCATCCCATCGGTTACCACCTACATTTACCGTACGTACATACATATATTCGTTCATACATGTTCTTTTTACACACATACACACATACACACACGTACATACCTCATATATACTACACATTGCTACTTTAATACCGTTCGCCGGCTCTCCCCCATCAAATACCGGGAAGAGGCAAAACCAGGGGGGGTGAAGGGGGTAAAAAAGAGCCGTTCTGCTACGACGTAGCGTAGGTAGGCATTTCGTGCGTCGTACAGATATTGCACAGGAGATCACATTAAATTCCCTCTGGAATCTTTTCTACATTACATTACATACCTGTATAGAACGCACCCACACCCGTATACGCGTATGATTATGTATGCAACCCAAAGACCGACGTTTTCCCCCCCGTTCGGTGAACTGTTATAGGAGGAGTTTTCGATTTCGTATATTCTTTTTTTATTTTTGTTTCTCGTCCTTTAAGAAAAAACCGGGAATCGACTGAGAAAACCGACAAATAGAAGGTGGTCAACCTACTTCGCCGCCTTCTCTTCTCGGTTCCCCGTGTCTCCTGCGAGATATCGTGTCAGAACCTTCTCTCGCCCTTCGCACCTTTCACCCTCTCATTGGCCGTCTGCCAGATGTAAGTAATCGTGTACAGCCCCGGCTCTCCCAGGTTTCCGTAAGGATAAGTAAGGTACGTACCTGCCTAATACTACAATGGTATTCAACCCGTATATATATGGACATATATATATATGCTATACCTAGGGCGGTAGTTAGCAACAACCTTGAACCTTTCCCTTAATCCCTTATCCCGTACATTTAGACATCGATGCCTGCCTTTAGACCCGCCGCCCCTAATCCTTGCGCCCCTCTTCCCAACTAACCCTTGTACCCCTTGTCCTTCCCTCCCCCCGTCATCCCGGATCGTCAATCGCTAGCAACCCATTCCCACATTCCACATGCGCATAAGCCGTAACCTAGGTACAACGTACAGTAAACGAACACAAGCCGACAAGCAAGCGCAGGTAGACAGGTGACATGACAGCGGCTCTTCCCCCCCCTCTCCCTTTTTAAAAAACATGAAACACGCCTAACGCTGCGACGCTACTCTAGTGCGCCGCCCAGCGGATACCGTTGTAATGTGGGCACTTCTACTCAAAATCGCTCTACCTTCTTTTGTCTTTTAGCCCTTATTCCTCGCTGCCTACACTATTCCTCGCTACCTAGCCCAGCCTAGCCTAGCCCCGTACCGAATTCCTTCCTACCTGTGTGTGCCTAAGGCCGAATATAAAGGAAACCGGAATCGTATCTTCAGCCTACCAAAGTAGGTAACCAGTAATCTCGCTCTACCCGCCTTTTTGATCGCTATCTACTAGTCTCGTTGCCGGGCCCCCCCCTCCCTCTTCCCAAATCTGCCCATGTGAGAAAAAAAGGGACGGGCAGCTTTTTCTGCTGCTGCTCATTAAAAAATCGTGTCATAATGACTATATCACGCGCCTCGAGGGTCTCGTTGGGCCCGTCTTGTCCATTTCCCCGCGCCCGGCTTTCGAACGACCGCTCGAAACCTGGCGGGTATCTCGACTACGCGCATTAAGCCTGTCCACACACGTATATGCCTACCTAAGACATCGGGGGGCCTTGCTAAGATTCTGAGACCTTTGCGCTGGTCCTGCATACCGCGGTCGTTCGCTGCGTGGGAGAACTAGAGTACAATACATATAAGGGGGCGGGAGAGCCGCGATCCCTTCCTAGATCGGTTCGGCGACCATCTTGTGTTTTGACTCCACAAGGAGAATCCGGAGAGGATAGCGTACCTACCTATTACGGACAGCGCGGCTGACACGAAGGACAACGACGTCAGCAATCTTTGCTGTTTACGGCGTCTTATTCAGCGGCCCATCCTAGATCTATGTCCTGAATCATATGTAAAGGCGGCGAAGAAAAACCGGTTATCGTATATTCGCTATTGAAAAGAAATGATAGAAATATAAGGAGTTGGCCCGTGGCCAGACGGTCATCGACAGGCGTCACAGCGAAGATCATTACCAATACTGCTTTCCAAGCAGCGGGGAGACCCTGATGGCGCCTTTCCACGTGAATGGTGCCTGGGTACGCCGAAAGAGTGTTGCTCGGCGTTAATGTGAGATGTGGGCTGCGTTTCTTTCTCAAGACACAAGACCTCAGACCTCCCAAGCGCAGTTGGTGGTACGTGTAATGTGCCTCTGGAGGTTCCTCTAACTTTGACTTACCGGTTACATGCTTAATAGTCAACCGGGACGGTGGTTCTTCGTACTGCAACGGGTTGACTTCTACGAATAGGACGAGAAAGGCCCGATTCTATTGCATCGGACGGGAACCTTTACTAAACGGTGAAAAAAAAAAAGCGGACTTTAAGTTGAGATGAAAGGCCCATCGATGCATCGAGAATGAACCTGCCAGACGGTCCGGCAAAAAGTTCGCTTTTCTTCATGGCGAATGTGAGGGCAGTACGTAACATGCCGCTGACGACAGCTGGGACACCTCATCCACACCAATGAAGCGGGTTTGCTTTTTTTTTTCGTCTCTCCTTTTTTGCCCCATCCTCCCTGTCGGGTGCCACTCTGGCGCAGAGAGTTATCGCGCCGGAAGGGATAGAACCGGAGCGGAGAGGAAGATGAGACGAAGGAGGGGACAGACTAAGAGGGGGTAGAAGAGACCAATATGGCACTTGCAAATTGGCACCCAGCATCGCGGCACGGATAGGACGTTATGTTGTATAGCCGTATTGGCTAGTGTCGCTTAGAGAAGACGGCCTCGTCAACAGTCGCGGAGCTGGTCCAATGGGCCAAGTTTATTTTAACAACTTAGAAGAAGCCGTTCCGCCCAATGACGACACAGTTGATGATTGAGTACCTTATGACGTCGGTTGAGTAGCTCGGTACAGGGGTCGGACACACAAAGTCGACCATTTCAAATTCGGCGGGTCTGACCAATAGAAAAAGGCCAAAGGAGGAGAAAACAGTTGGCTACGGCAAGGAGAGTACCTATTCTAAGGGGGAAAGCATTGGCCAGGTGGTCAAGGGAATTCAAGGCCAAGACTTCGCATCGTACAGCCACATACAGGACGCCGTGATCTTCAGGGTCCTCTTTGTGCAACAAGGTCCGCGGGGAGACGGGCGCTCGCGGTGGAGGACCAACACGCTCATCGACCTGTGATTGGGTATAATCCTGTACAAAGTTGTACGTATTCCTGGTTCAGTATAGTTTCTCCAGATTGTTCCCGACCCAGTTGCCAAAGCTTGTTATATAGTTGTATTGCAGTACTGTATGTACGTAGTGATGAATGTGGTGATACCCCAAAATGGTCGAAAATGTGATGCGATGATGGTAATAGCGGTAATAATGGGATTCATGGATTCCCTATCTTTCGCCACTTGGGATGAATCAAAAGGGGGCGCCGTGCGCCTGTTGCTGTTTATATAAACGACTATGCGACGAGAGTGCGGCTTAGACGAATCCGTATCATGCTGCCGGACCGGGATGTCATCTCACATGGTGCATAAGGCCCTTGAACAGCGGGATGAGATGGAGATGGGTTTCCTTGAAACGTAGGTCATGGATGTTCCGTAACCTTCCCGTCATAACCCGCACCAGGCTTCGGTGGAAGTTTTGTTTTGGATTCTTCTTTCGAGATGTCAACCACTTGGTAAAATATCCCACCCTATAATAGACGTAACCAAGAGTAATAGCCAAGCTAAGGCCAAGCATTGCGGAGTGTGTGTCTTGTTGACGCGTCCGGGGCTTTGAAGAAGCAGAGAGTATCGTGGTGGCTTGCCGGTGGGAGGGATGTTTTTCCTTACCTTAGTTGCTTCGGTACAATACATACGATGATACTCAGTACCGTAGCCAGCGTAGCGTAGTGCACGTATCTTGCATGATTGGCACTCCACAACTATCTTTCTTTTCCGCGGCGCCGTCCTCCTTCCCCATGGAGCGTACGTTTCAAGTCTTCTCACTGCTGGGCTCGATATATTGGACCGGTTCCATATTGACAGCCCGTGGGTCTTTACTCTCTTCGAGATCGTGGACCTGGAGCGTTGCACTTTTGCACTTTGTGCACTTGCGCCAACGCGAACGGCAAAACGTTGCCAAATCCAATATGCTAGGTGGCTCAATGTCCGTGTCCCGTCGTCAAGAGTCCACAATGGTCTAACTGGGGAGAAATAAATAATCATAATAATGGAGACCGGCATCTCATTTGACGGTGGTCGGATCTATTAACAAGAGGAGTATGTAAAGGGGCTGGGGGGGAAGAGAGAACAAATTGCGAATTTTGGCGCAATTTCGAGGGCGGTCGTTGGGAATTGCCTTTGGGGGCGGTCAAGCGAACTCGAAAATGACATCATCTTGCAGCAGGGTTTTCTGGCTTAGATCCAGCGCTCGTTTATGATTCGTCCACACCCTGGAAAAGGTCCACACAGACATGTGCAGGGAAGCTCCTAGCCTACCTAGATATTGACAGGGATATATGTGTTAATGGTTTTCCGTACACGCCCCCTCCCCGTCTCAAATCGTGTACCGCAGTATATTCGCACCCACAGGCGAGTACGGTACTTCCTTCTCCACAGCGGAGTGTGCATACGATTGTTCAGATGCGGCAGAATTCGGACACTCGGAAAGCAAGGTAGCTGCCCTTTCCAGGCTTGGATACATCAGTTTACTACGTATGAATGGACGTACGCACCTACACTATACTCTATATGTCGGTAGTATAGGTGGTATACATAGTAGTATACGAACATATTAAAATGTCAACCTTTACGATGGATATTGGTCAAATGCCATTTCTAGAGATGGGAATGCATTTGTTGCGCATTGAACCTCTTACCCTTTTCTCTTTACCAGTGCCTCCCTACATTATGTATGTAGTATGCGGCTATGTAAGTTCCTCTAGTAGGTGCCTGTTGCTCTGCTCTTTCCAATCTGTTATAAGGAGTACGTACTACGGATATGTATCAACGTTCGCAATCTTCCGAAGATGTACCTATACGTATTATGTAGAACCTAGACTGAGGAAGCTACTGTACGTGAACGTTTATGTAAAAATATATACGTACATCCTATCGTGTCTTGTCTCGGAGAATTCCCATATTACCAGGTAGTATTTTTCTCCCCTATCGCTTCTCCATATGCGGTATACACCTTTTTTTTTCTAACCCATCGAACCCAATAATTCCTCTATTAAGTAATATAATATACCCTAATCAATCAAATCAATTTCGCTAATTACATCCATCATCTTGCTAGCATGTTAGTTCTTTGTTAGCTGGTTAAATTGAAACCATAAACCATTCCTCCTATACCACATACGTGCTACGATTACTACCACCACATCAAAAACAACCCACCCGAGTTGATAGGATAGTGAGATAGGAGTGGACTTTTTGTTACTCCTTTTATAGGTTACCATACAATGCGTTTGGGGTATCTGTCCTTCGTTCGCCTCTCTCGATGTCTTTTTCCTGACTGGCTATTGGATAACTGGCTCTCAGTTTCAATAATCTCACCGCCTCTTGTTCAACATATGCACGCGCGACGGAGTCGAGTACGCTGGTTCTCCTCCTTTGAGTGGGCGGGACGCGGCTTGTCCGTCCCTCGAAGAAACCCGGGGTTCCTTGTCCGTGTGAGCTGACCTGCTCATGCACCTATTGCCGATCCCTACCGCCTGCGTTGCGTGGTCAGAGTCGCATACCGAGAGCAGATTGATTGATATATGTAATGTCTATGTATGTAGGCTTATTATGTAGGTATGTATCGCAAGTACCGCTACCCCCGAGCCGGATCCTGCCTATTCGTACATATCCAACGCACGTGAAGGGAGGATCCCGTCCCCAACCCAATAGCAAGTCCGGTACACTATGGTACAGGATGGTACCCTTCATCTTCTCAATGCGGTACGCGCCGCCCGACGTAACGTAAGAGATATCGTGTCGACCACTTACATACAGGCCTACCTACATCGTGTAATCATTTCGATACTGTGTTCGCCTCTGCGCCGGACTTCTGAACGGCTTGCCAAATAGCAAAGTATTACCCTTTGCCGTCATCGTTCGCTAGCGTACATCCGGAATGCTCGATGAGGAAATGGGGGTTGCCTAACTACTGTACATAGTATGTAGAGCGATGGATCTTGGCGCTTACTAGCCTTGCCTAAGCCTCAGGAGGAAAAGGGGGAATCACGTAATCGTAGATCTAATCCGAGTCCGAGGTAGAAGATGGAGATGGGATGCGCGCTACGGTACGTCCTTTCCTCCTCGACGTTGAGCTTTGAGGTTGAAACCACCGTTCCCGTAGATCTAGACACGTACGTGGAATAGGTCAGACACACCAAGTCAATGCCGTTCCAGCGCGCTGGATTCGGAACTCGGGAGAGAGGCGCTGAAGGAAACGGGTTGTTAGGATGGGATGGCAGCGACCTTCGTCACATTTTCCCCTTTGGAGGATATGATAAGCCTTCCACTGCCGCTGATCGACAGGGACGTGTCGCGTGGATTTTCGCATCCCCCTTCCCCTAGGAAAATCGCAAAATCCTGGGGAAGTTAGGGGGAAAGAGGATGATCTCGAAGGAAATAAGGCTCGAGATCAGCTTCGACGAAACAAGCGCCGCGGTTTGCGATCATCCAGCGAAGTTTTCTAGAATCCGTCGAACATTCTGACACAAAGGAGCGATCTTCTCACATCCCGAAGGTATGGAAGTACCTATGAACATCGTACGACCACCACTGTGTTGTACCGTACACGCATATTAAGCATCAAACGTTTATGCTGATAACACAATGATTGCTTGTCTCGTTTCAAAACGTGTTTTCTAGATTTAGGTAACCCTAGGGGATAATGACTAGGAAAACCCTTGTTACGGCTCGTCGCCTATCTCCCTGGAAGGAAGCCGGAATAGATAACTTTGCCCAGGAAGCGTATGGAAGAGTTGGTGGTACGCTCATGCCGGTGTAACCTCTTGAAATCTTCAGATATATAATGACATGATGGTCATGCCACACTCCTTAAAAGGCTACCTAGATTTTTGTTTGTTTAATGCATCTCTATCTATCTGAAGCATTTCAAACTTCCCATATTTGCTCATAACAATGGAACGGCATGTTTATAGGGATCTATCTGAGGCCTAGCTATAGTACCTAGTAGCTCTAAGTAAAGGTCTCCGGTTGTAATCTTGTAGATATTAGTCGCTGTATCTAAAATCCCAAGCCATGGAATATACGTTCCCAAGCAGCAGGACGCCTCAGACAAGGATTCTAAAGTTGGGGCAAAGGAGCTCACCAATCAGAACCCGAATATCACGCTCGACGCGCGTTCTAGTTAGCTCTGTTCTGAACTGTAGTAGATACCATTATCTAAGGTGTAAGATAGCCCAAGTGATGTTCTGTGCTCTATCGCTTTTACGGCAATCACTACGATCACATAGCCATGTTGTGTTTCCACTGTATGCTTAACGCTTCACGAAGATGTCTTCTCATTAGTTAGCCGGTTTTTCATCTACCTAAGCATGTATTATACACCACCAGCCCCAACCCCGAACCAAGTAAGCCAAAGCAATGCTATCACTGTGAATTTTTTTAAGACTACCGCGAACTATAGCACAATCGCCAACTCAGGCCTGTCAATACCCTCTTCGTTCAGGTTTGGATAATAAGGCACCATGGCGTCGGCAGCTTGCACGTATGCGTCGTTGTAGAGCCGCCAGTAAGGCTGCCGAACCTTGCGAGCGGGATGGAACAAGCCCGCCCACACGTAGTTCAGCACAAGACCGGGCCCGACAGCCATCCGGATGGCCTCAATTGCTTCCACAATTCGGTCGATGACGTGAGGGCTGGTCTCGAATAAGTTAGGCCACAGGAGGTTGAGAAGATGGACCATGGCATCTTCACACCCTAGACCAACTACCCCTAACGCGATGTGCTTGACCACAGATGCAGCTGTCTGTCGGTGTACCTGATCACGGTCTATCAGAGCATCCTCGAGGAGTGGCGTAACTGCGTAGACGTAATCCTTGGCCATTTCTCCAATGTATTCGAAGAGGAATGACAAGGACTTCAGCACACCATTCTGGACATTAAGTTCGGGAACGCGATACTCGTTCATCAAAGCCGGGAGAACAGTGAAAGGAGCACAAGTTTCGGCCACGATACCAATTGCAACAGCTGTGCAAACACGAGACTGTCGCTCTTGTACTCGTAAATTGTTAAGCAAGGTTGCTAACACGTCCTGTGGTCCGATAGCCTTGGCGATGAAACCGAACGTGTTGTTGGCTGCTCTTCGAATGCCCTTCTTGTGTGCCTTTAGCATGTCTAGTAGCTCGAAGCAAATTCGCATCCACTCTCTCGCGTTCACACTCTCTGGTCCACGATCAGCGATTCGACCCACAAGGTCGATGGTGTTCTCTTGCACCTTCTCGTGTCGGTTTCGTAGGATAGGGGTAAGACGCGGCAGCAAATCCTTGATAGGGGGTTGCATCTGGCTTATACCAACCACAGTAACGATGCTTCGGAGAGCTGAGAGGATAGAACCTAAGACCTCAGGGTATTCCTCTCCTAGGTATTCGTATAGGACAACGCCTAGCTTGCCCATGAGCGCATCTTCGCCGCATTGCTTCATGACTATCGCGATTCTGCTGATAAGGTCTGCAGCTTGTTGACGAATTGTTGCCGATTTATTGTTGAGTCGCCACAGGATAGTTGATACTATTTGGGGCAGGTAAGGCTTGCACCGCGTGCCTAAGGCGTTGACCACCGTGCCGAAGCCGTTAAGCATGATGATGTCCTCGACACTTTGCTCCTGGAAGGAATGAAGAATGCCGTCGATGAGTCGTTCTTCTAACCTTTCTCCAATGTCTGCAGCTCCCAGGCCAGCAACCACCTTTTCGACGGTCTCGACGGTCATTTTGCGATATGCTTCGCTCTCATCCTTCAAATTACCAACAATTCGCTCCAATATCTCGCTGACGCCAACCTTTTGGCCAATGTCGACGGTTGTCTCGACCTACAATACTTGGGATTAGTTATTTTTGGACGAGATATTGAATTTAAAGAATTGAACATACCACTTGTCGATAGTTTCGCTTATCTAGAGCCATTCGCCGAACCCAGAAGCTCTTGAAGAATTCATCGAGAACGTGCTCCTTCAGATAGCCGGCTGTTACACCTTCAGTGCCTGCACATTGTGAAACGACCTTTAACACGACTTTCTTCATCTCTTCATCCGGAGATGAGAATTCTCGAAGGAGGATATCCATCACCTGTGCCGTGTAATAGTTGGCGTATTCTTCGTCCATGAGTGGGATGATGTAGCCAACAGCCTTGAGAAAGCCGGCGAGACCCTTGCCTCGCTGTTTCCGAGCACCAGTCCATAGAGGGTTTAGGATATCGTCGAAACTTTCAATACCATAAGGATTTGATGCTTCGGCAAGAGCAGCAATAGCCAAACTGGTCACTGTTCGTACCTTTGTTTGCTCGTCGTTTAGATTCGGTCCTATGCAGTCCACCAGTCCCTTGAGATGAGGCAGTACGGCACATCCCATTAAAATGGGAATTTGTTGTACGATCTTGACACCGGTATGACGAGCTTGCCATGATTTTTTGCTTCGGCATACAGCACGCAGGAAAGGCAAGAGAGCGGGGATGCCGAGCGCTGAGGCAACCACCGCAAAAGCCCTAGCAGTCGTGTTTCGGACGTACTCATCAACATGGTCAATATCTGGCCTCATTGTGCTGATCATCGTGGCAAGACCGGCGGCCTTACTGAGATTGGATATAATTTCTCGGCCCTCAACTCTGGCATAATAATCCTGGTCAATGAGAAGGGGTTCGATGACAACTAGAATCTTATGAACGTAAGGCCGAACAAGATCGTCTAGCTTCCAGAGTATACGGTCGATCACTTTGACGAGCAAGTGACGCTCCTGGTCTTCTAATGTCTTTTCCATTAGAAGAGGAAGAATCTGGTTGAATAGAGGACCAGCGCCGAACTGCCGCGCATTGTCCGTTAGTTGTCGAAGGGCAGTCTTCCGCATGGGAGGTGTACCATTCTTGATCTTCAGGAGGAGCCGCATAATCTTTCGCTCTTTTAGTTCATCGACGCTCAAGCTGTTTTCGTCAGAGCCATCTGCTAGTTTTCCGAAATAGGCCATGTCTTCTTGCTTGAAGAACTGTAGTTCCCCAACGCCAGGGATTTCCTTGGGCATCTGGCTTCCTCCTAATCTTGTACTCTCCGGATCCTGCATCATGAAACCTCCGTAGTTCTGGGGCAGCGGCGTAGCCGCAACTCTGTGAAGGGGAGGATGCGTAGAATAACCTTGTGGCGGATCAAGAGTCTTGTAGCCCTGCTCCTCACCAGGAAGCAATGCGTCCAACTCTTCATCGCCTAGCATACCAGGAGGGCCAGGTAAGTCTGCTTTGACGGCACCAACACCGATTGAGGATGTGTGCATTGGCGTAACCAGTCCACTGTTTCCTATTGGAGTCGCAGACGGGGCCTGATCCCATCGCGATCTCTTCTTAGCTCCATCAGCAGCACCGGGGGCAGCGAGTGATGGCGCCTGGTCCCATCTAGACCTTTTAGATTTGCCTTCGGCCGGCTCAGATGAAGGTTCATCTACCGCTGTCGAAGCAACATCCCACCTCTTCTTGCGCTTCCGTCCAGAAGTTACAGCGTCGGTGGATCCGGCCTCTGAGTTCTCCTTGTCCCCATCCTTGAGAGATGCCTGCTGATCACCGTCGGCTTCTTTTCCTTCCCGTTTTGCTTGAATAGCGCGCTTTACGCGCTCTTCTTCCCTCTCTATCTCTCTCCGCTCCATAATATCTCGATACGTATCGCCTTCCTCGGCGGCACCTCCCTGGCGATTGAAGGCATCAGCTCTGGTTGGCGTCAGAACGCGATCGAAGCGGCGCTTGTGATAGTCGGATTCACGATCGATGATTCTTGTGCTGTTTTCGCCTCTGCCAGCGAAGGGGTCATCTTCTTCGACTCCATTGCCATGTGCAAATTCGTCGATCTGGGCACGTGTCGCCGTGTACTGGCCAACTAGACGACGCGAGTTGTCAACATCTTCCATCTCTTCGTCTTCCCCATCGCCGGCAGGGATAGAGGTGAGATATCCTGCATATTTGTCACCTCCATCGCGCTCGTAGAGGTCGGTGTCGAAAGATTCGGTCAGCTTCGCCTTCGTCGAGCTCTCGGATCGCTGGCTGTTAGGATCGCGACCGCGAGATCCTTTCTTTGCAGCTGCAGCAGCGTTCCGCTCAGCCTGAAGCTTTCTAACGGCCTCAAAGTCAGCGTCCGCCATGGTGGATCATTCAGCCGGATGCTATCTTGACCTTTCTTAGATGGAAACAGGAAGAGGAAAGGCTGGTTGGCGATGAACGAGATTTCATGCGCTGACGAGGCTCTAAAGAGGTTAGCTGATTGAGAGATAATGAAAGGCGTTTTACTGAAGCTAGAGCCACTCGAAATCTGCACGTACCCACTAGCGCATGTTCGGATAGGTGAATTTGTGGCAAATTTATGTGGCTGGAACCACTATTACCTTGAAAATACTGTTATAGCGATTGACTAGATATGGCGCATAATAGCATATTGCAATAATGACTGACTTGATAATTTATTTTTCCAAGTTACATATGTGTGATTGGCTCATCAAACCGAGAATCGCCTGACTCGTCGTACTAGTAATAGCCACAACATATCAGTTCCCTTTTTTACAAATTATTGCAGGCTTAACTAGGTAGTTATAAAGGTAGACATGAAAGGTAAAACCAAGGCAAGACACGAGAGAGGCAAATTCAAGTATGGAGGTAACAAGTTCAAAGTATTCGTCATTCAAGCGCAAAAAGCTATCTAGCTCAGCAGGCAGTCATGATTGTGCCAGAGCTTGCAACGTACAGCAGCGAGATAATGTCTGCGTATCGTATCGGAACGTATGCAGCACAAGGTCACAAGCAGACCAAACAGCTTAGGAGTTGTTCCGTAGATTAACTACCTAACTATCGCCAGACTGGCGTAGATGGCTGCTCAACCTCGAGTTATCTTCAGCCGATTCCACCCTTTTCAAATATCTGTCAAAGGTATGCCCTGTCTCTCAAACAGAATTTTTACGTTGAATATCTGATCCTTTCTCGTCAAAAATATCATCAACTCGGTGTATTTTCGAGTTGTGACATCAACACTATCTCCATCAGCAGCCGGGGGGACGAGGCTGCGAAGCGATCCAGAAATGTACAAGGGGCGGCAATGAAGGACTAATAACACAAAGGTTGGTGAAGAAACTAGGCATATAAACATTAAGTTTTTTTGGCGTTGTCGTAACTCGTGAAAACGCCAAAGATTAGCAAAATCCTTAGCGGATGATGGATTCCTGTCCTCCTCGACTCGTTTCTCAGTTTTGGTAGGTCAGGTTGTTGGTTGGGTATCTTTGGTATAATATCGGTTTCCTGGCTCTTAGCAAGCGCCAGGTCTAGTTCTAGGATTTACTTTTTTTCGGGGGGAGCACTACCTAGACACATCGAATGACAGGCTAGTGCTAAATACGTCCTTTATCCAAGACAGACTCAGTTGCCGAGACTTTATAGTATTAAGACCGTGCCGATGTTGCTTCTCACACAGTCGGGGCTCCTGGTCTGCCTTGGTTTAAGGAATGAAGTAGTTCATGCGGCGGTATCCGTTGCATGCCACTGCCACGATCGAACATGGACGTCGGAGCCGGGATATAACCTTCCCGCTTCTTGCGATATCGGTCTAATGCAAGGCCAGCCAGTACAATGAGTACCATAATGCCCAAGGAGATAGCAAGCCCGATTAGAGCGACAAATACGCGCGGCATACCACCACCTAGAGACATAGTTAGCAAAATATCGCATGGAAGTGTGGGAGGTAAGCTTACTTGAAGAGGTGAAGAAATTGTCGTTCTGTACGAAAATTCGAGAGATCGACCCAGTCTTGCCATCCGCATTCGAGGTTAGTGCGAAAGGCTGTACTGTAGTGCCGTTGAAGATTGCGCTCGATGCTGTCCCAAAGCCAGGTATTCCGATAGAGCCTGTAAGCAATAGGACCTGGTTGGAAGCAATGAGATCCGACGAATCATGCGATCCCGTTATCGTGAACATTTGCAAGTTGCTAATTACAGTAGTTTGATCTAGCGCAACTGCCGCCGTCTTCCAAGATGAACCATCGTACTTCATCAGGTATGTCGAACCGTTAGATTGAGTGCCGGCAACCCAGACCTGGTCTCTAGCACTGTTTGCAGCAGTCAAAGCAATTACAGGACCCGGAAGGTCCGAGGCGCCTGAAAACGCAGTCCAATGATTACCAGATGCATCGTAGGATGCCAGGTACGTCGCGCTGTTGTTGATTGTCAAATTACCACCGGCAAATAAAACGGAATTGGTCGACCACATCATAGAATTGACATCACCCCCTAGCTCAAAGCCTGGTCGATTCCACTGGCTAGTTGAAGTGCTGAAAAGACAGACACTGGGGCATGGAAGTGATCCAGCTCTTTCAAAGGATCCACCGACGTAAACGTCCGAACTATCTGGCCTGACATTGACGGAGGAGACTGTGACATTATCACCGGCCAGAGCTGGGGGTTGATTATTGAACGACTTCGACACGAGGTTATATGAGATGAGGCCGTTGACATCGGATCCCTGAGCTGTACCGTTGACTCGCCCTCCAGCATACAGGTTATCACCTTGAACTGCAAGTGATAGGAAAACGGAGTCCACAGATATTTCCGTTCCCAGGCCTGTCACGGTGTTGGAGTCCGCGCCGTCAATTAAGGCCAAGTTATAGATAGTAGATCCATTAGACGCGGTCGCAACGAAGTGGCCACCAAGGACTGTGATGTTTCTCCCGTCGGTTTCGTAGAACGCCCCGGAAACAACACCGGCAATAGTATTAGTGCTATTGAGCAAACTCGCGCGCTTGGACAGCCCACTTGTGGAGCTATCGGAAACGCCGGCCGGAGGTTGGATGTTAATAGGAAACTTGCCAAAGCCATCAGAGAAAGTCGCGGCGCCATTTGCTTCAAGAAGCTGAGAAGATATAGAACCAGCGAAGAGAGTCTGGTTATCAGACAAAGCCAATGACGTCGACAGCACACCGCTCACGAGCGGGACAGTTGCATTCAAATTTTGTAGCCAGTTACTTTGCGATTTGACCCAGACGGCAAAACCGCTTACCTCAACAGCTGTGTTACTGCCGAATGCGAGCAGATGTGAGAAATCACCGGTCAAAGTGAGAACGTCTTCTGCTGTGCTGCTCAAATTTAATGTGGTGGGCACAATACTTGTCACGGCTCCGTCCACACCAGCTCCGAGTGCGGTCCATTTATTAGCTGTGCTGTCATAAACGGCAACATTGCCTAGTCCTGATGTAGATCCCTCTCGAGTATTGTTGAATCTACCGCCAACGAATAATTGGTTTCCATCCAGATACATCGATACGACTTCGCCGTTTAGGCCGCCGTCGAGAGCTATGGTCTGTCCGTTCTTATCGATGGCAACAATGTTTTGTACACTGTCAGATGTGAAATTACCACCAACAAAAGTCCTATCGCTAGTAGCAGCTAGTGACGCTACCGCAGAATTATTCGAGAATGAAGAACCGAGCTTAGCGAAAGCAGAGCTAGAGAAGTTTGTTGTATCAACAGTAGCACTGCTAGGGTCATACTCGAACAATCCATTCAGACCTCCGGTAGAGTTGAGCAGCTCAAATCCAACCCTTTGAGCAACCATGACGAAGTTGTCACCGGGTATGGTCTGGTCTTGGCCGGGAACAGGCGTCATGGTAATGCTAGGTCGGAAGGAACTTGAGCTAGCATCGACGGATCCAATGTGAAGTTGATCATATTTATCGTACTCGTTCGTCTGGTAAAGAATCCGGGACTGCAAAGTTCGATTGGTGCCACTGGCTGATAATGTTCCGGATACATTGACTTGGCCACGTGTTGAACATGTGTTGTCTTGGAGGCAACCTGGTGTGTACAATTTAATAATGTATTCACCGGCTTCCCTGATGTCGGGATAGAACACGACTGAAGCAGCATCAGAGGCAACAGGTTTCAATAGCTCAGCCGACAGGTATTCTGAGTTACTCTGTCCAGACGTAGTCGTCGTCCAGGGACCTGTAGCCGTGGCTGTCGAGGGAGTTGAAGTATTGGCGCAGGTCGGTTCATTGAAATCGTTGATCGCAAAAGCGAAGATATCATCCTGGAATAATTCGATACCATCTAGGCCACCACCACTACCATACCACGCAGACACATCGATGCTAAATGCGTTCATCCCGATACTGTTCACAAAGTGGAAGTCCTGGAACTTGACCGAGGGGTCGTTGCTAAGAGGACACTCACTTGTGCATGTGAGATTCTGCTGAGTTGCCGGGTCGATATAAGTAAAGTTCATGATGCCATTGATTGGCTGCGCAGTGAACCTCCATGTCTTGGTTCCCCGACCGTCCTGGTGAGTATTCCAAAGCCGGAGTTTAGTAGGCTCGAAGCCGAAGTTAAAGGTAGCCTTCCACGCTCCTGCGGTGTTATCGGCCAAGAGCCAGGTATTGCCAGAGCCATCGACCCCGTCAGTCTTACAGACAATGTTCTTAGGGTCACTAAAACCCGCCGTTGACGTGCCTGAATCAGCTTGAATAGTCGCGGTAGAAAGATTGATAACCTGGCCATCGGGCGTTCTCGGTGTACTCGTATTTCCTAGGCCGGTAAAGCTACCACCAAAAACGATATGGCCACTGGGCGCCTTCGTGATCGAGTTCACAGGTCCATTAAAACCAGCAAATGGCAAGCTTGCCCAGCTTTTCGACGCGAGCCACGTTATCGCATTGGTTGAGTCCACTGCTCTGAAACTACCTCCAACATAAACCTTCTTGGCCGCATCATCGCAGAACAAGCTGTTAACTTGACCGGAAAGATTAGCTATAGGTGTGACCTTGGAAGTATTAGGATCATAGGAAGCAATTCCAGGTGACTGGACTCCGCCTAAACTAGTAAAATTACCACCTAGAATAACCTGTCCTTGAAATGAGCACATGGTCTGGATGGATGCGTCCGCTTCCAGTAGGCTGACGAAGAGACCATTCGGAAGGCGCGTCAAAAGTTGTTGAGACCCGTTGGTGTTGAAAGGCTGCTCCGTTTGCCCTTCATATTGGTAGAGGGAAATGCCACTAAAATCACCAGCGATCCCGACCCTTCCCAGTTGGCTTGTGTCGAGTCCCGCGTCAGGTATCGAATTAAAGGTGATGGCGTGAGAAAGTGATGAGAGGGAGGCGACGGTGAGAAGCCATGATGACGACATGGAGAAATTGCTACGCGTAGCAAGGCTTCGGCTGAATGATATCTTCATGGTGAATCGTAACTAGTGACCGAGGCAATATAATGCGCCTCGGTCTTGACTACGCCCAACTTTGAGATACCACAGCTGACGATGAATCGTCTTCCGACACGGCGCAAACACTCTATTTTCCGACGGAGTCCATAACCTCGAAGGAATCAGTATATAGCGTAGGTAGTAGCGAATTCAGGAGCCGGCAAGGTGGAACGGATTAGGCGGTGTCGCGACGTGTTTGTGTATAAACGGGGCGACAACTCGGGAAAATCGACTAATTCGAGGTGCGAAACTGACGCTAAAAACAGAAAATAAAACCAAGCGAATGAATGAATGGAGGTCTCGAAACGACGAAGATGCGCAGTATCAATTAGAATGGCAATCACGAATTGAGGGTTGCAATTGTATTCGTGATCGTGATAGTGATCGGGGTGAGTTGCGTAGTCTTCTAGAGTTCCAAGATTTTGGGAAATTGAACTTAATCGGGCGTGCTAGGCGTGCTTAGTTTGTTAGTGTCGAGGTGATAGACGGAATGGGCTATGCTAATACCCAAGTGCCTGCCCGAAGTGTGTTGTCACCTCGTGGGGGGGTACCTGCACTGGTACCTTGTTAGCTCATTTAGCTCATCTCATTTACTTCAACCTTCCATTCAAGATTTCCGCCAATTGTTACCCAAATCAGCCCAGGGCGAGGGATGCCTGAGTCGAAATATGAGATGAAAAGAGAGAAACGAAAAAGACAAGGCTTGTTAGGTATTAGAACAGTGACATAACAAGTGATATAAGAAAGTTTCCTAATTCAAGCAAACAATAGGTATTACGTAGTATAACGCGAATATACTACACGTACTTTTCGCTCGCTAACGGAAATATCCACGGATGACAAGAACGGGAGAAGGGGGGCTCATCACTTACGAGGTCTCAAGCGATGCCCGCGCACAATGCGACAGTCGGCCGATTGTATTACAACAGGGGTGACTTGCGTTGCCAGCTGTGATACTTGTGAACAGAAGTGAGGCTTTCCTACCGGCTGAGCTATACAAAATCCCAACCTCCAAATCTTCTTCGTGGTATATGGTGATTTCTGTTTGATTAGGTACCTAAGTACCCGGGATATAGGCAATTGATGCTGGCAGGGACTAGCCCGATTTGCCAAGCAAGTCGTGATTTGGGTGGTGAGTGTCTGGAGATTTTCTCTTCTTTTTCTTTTCGGGAAACGAGCGAAGTGGGAACGTTGAATTAGTTCCCTTTGACGAAATGAGCGGACGTGGACGATGTGGACGATGGTGACGACACGATCGCACTTGGTGTTCCTTGACTGTCCCAGAACTCGTTGCTGTCAGAGACGTGGCCTGCCGAATAATGCTGTCCTCAGATCAGGGGCCTAACAACAAGTGGTGATTGGATAGTTAAGGAGATCGAACGAGCGACTAAAAGCGAGAAGGAAATGAAAAATAAAATAAAAGAGAGAATTGCGCAACAAGCAAAATGTGCAAATTACCAGGCACCTCGAACACGGTCCTGATGATACACCTAGGTAACGGGGAAAAAGGAGTGACAATATTTTTGGTGTTTTCTACCTCTACGTCGAACGGTAAGAAGAGCAACCAGCGTTCCACAGGAAGAATAAGGGCGGAAGAGTGGCAGAAAGGATGGATGGATGGATGGAAGGGAGGCTTGGGAGGGTCTGCACCTGCAGTAGCGGCAAATTTCTTCTGATTTTCCTCTGCAGAGATGCATGCTCCATCTGCGCTGCTGGGCTGTCTAATTATTTGATGTGGTCATAAGGGGCAGTAGCAAGGGGGTTCCACGAATGTTTAGGGTGCTTACAGGGGTTACAGGGGGAACAGGGTTCCTGGAAGGCTGTTCCTGAAGGCCAAGACAATTCTTGGAAGATGTAAATCTCATCGTCCAACTCTGTGACTGGTCCAGTCTCACCATCAGACTACAGACGGACCGCAAAGTTAGGCCACACCCGGGAGTTACCCGTGGTTCTACAGAGTGCAGGATGAATTTCTCGTGTTTCTGAAATCTGACGTATTTTCGACCAATCCCGTATAACTGAACGACTTCTTCAATATGTAACCCACGGTTATTTGATATTCCCGAGTCCGACTCTCTATGGTCATTACTGATTATGCGTACCAAAATTTTAAGCAAGGAACAGCAACGTAACAAGAAGAATAAAGATTGCAGGTTAGAACAATAATAGATTCAACAATACAGTACCTTCTGTGAGATCTATAAGGTTATGTTCCATCCATACCCGTCACAAAGGGTGGGGGAAGGAGGAACACCGCCTCGAAGAAAACCCCGGGCTACGTAATCATATGGAGGTATGTCTGAGTTCTCATCGGGCGACCCACGATCCAGTATATCCACTTGGTGAATCTATATAAACAATTCCACAAGTTAGGTAAGTAAACATGGACACGGGTACTAGTTGCGGGAGGTTCTGGGGAAGAGCAACTTGATGATCCGTGCATGGGTCGAAGGGTTAAATCGGATTGATAGGTTTGGTTGATCGCCAATGCTCGCAATACGTTTCCTATTAAGAAACTAGACAAATAGATAGCTTAGCCTTATTACCAGACCAATATCGTTCCTTATACATACCCAGGTATGTAGGCACATGGCAAAATTTGCCCAAGTCTCAAATGTGTATCATAGGATAGAGTTAGAGCGGACTCGACTCTCATCGCATTAATACACCGCACAGCCATTCGCAAATACAAAATACCTAGGTATAACCGAGTCATGATTCGTTCATCTCTCATCATTTGGCGTTATTGGTTTTGGACTCTTCCGAGTTCATTCGAGTCTTATAATCTCGAGGGCTTTCGAAGAACTGCGGCTCGCCACCCCACATTCCTCGCTTTTTCTCCTTCGCCTTCACCTCAGCGGCCTTGTACTTCTCCTCGAGGCCACCAAATTCGGCGCCGCTCTTGGCCTCATAAGTCGTAGCCAGACCTCGCTTCAGCATTTCCAACCCAACGTCCCGGCGGAGGAGGAACCGTCTCACAAATACGGTGGCGACGACACGATCATACTGATCACGCTTGTAGATTTTGGCCCGGACCCGGCGACCAAGTATATAACTAGATAGCCAGGCCAGAGCATCGGTCGAGTACGGTTGAGCGGGTCGTCCAAAGTGAGCGCCTTCTGGTGCGTCAATACCAGCAATGCGTACGGGGATCTGATATGATTCAGGTCAGCAATGAAGAGACAATTATAGAAAAGCATATTAAGTTTCGGATGTGCTTACGGTCATGTTCTTTAACTCGGTCTTCTTAGTAGGCACTCTCCGTAGCCAACCCCAACCGGCTAGACGGCCGCCGGGTGTGTGGTACATGTGGAAGTTGTCTCCATCTCCAACGCTTGTAACCCGGCCGAATAGACTTCTCTTCCTAAAAAATCCCGGTTTTATGTGTGTGGCTCCAGGTATTCGGCGTAGGTACGAGCGGTAGATCTTTAAGGACGCGAGGACGGTTGTTGTCACAAGCAAAGTCGGGACCCAATTTCTCGGATCTTTATAGTGTTGCCAGTCGGTTCCATTTAAACTTTCATCCCAAGCGACTGACTGCCTCGAAGACTCATCATCTTTCTTGGAGGCGGAAGTGAAAGGCCATATCATAATGGTTATGACTTGAGGAAGTCAGCGACCGACCCCGAGAATCAAATGAAGAGAGTTGTCGAGTGTTTGAAGTCTCGTAGACCAGGCTTATGATGCACAATTGGCGGTGATAAAACCCCCGCGACTTTACCGAATAGAGCAAAAATTAGCCTTATCTTATCTCTTCCTCTGAATGGACATGTACGACCGTACGTACGTAGCACAAGGTGGATCCATTTATATCCCCAGCTTGGCCCAGCCAAATGATCAGTGGATCGAGCATGTGTCGAGCATGTTGCAGGACCTAGGAAAGCCCCATCGACGTCAATGTGCAGCTGTCGCCAACTTAATCTACATGTATATCTAGCATGTTATATGTAGGAAGGAGCTACTCATCTACTTAGCTAAAACGTGAGCGATAAACTTCTAAGTTTGGAAAGGGATCTGAAAAAGTGAAACACCGATATTCACTAGGTACCTATCTCTCACGGCCAGAGACCATCCTCGGCGTAAACATTCTCTTTCATGATTAACACGTACCTATTCTCTAACCAACAATATCTATCCACGAAACCAATGGGTTTTTAAGCTTCAATTCTCTCCTCACGACCACGTCAACCCAAAGACACATCAACAGCAATTCATACGACCACTCAATCATCCGGGAATTTCCGCGATTTTCACAAAGCACCCATTTCAACAACCTTGGTACATATTACAACCATTGGCGGAAGAGCTTGAGGCTCTCATTGGTTTAAGCTATACATTCATGGTTATAACATATCTTGCATCATCCCGCGGCCATGCGTTGAGTGTTGATTTAGGGCAGTTCATCTTTCGGATGTGGATTTCTAAAGTTTCAAGATGCTTAACCCTCGTCGGCGGACGGTTCGGCTGCGAGAAGCAGAGGAGCAGCCACTTTTAAATCGCAATGTTTTTGGCAACACTCCAGAACAAGAGCCGCTATTTAGTTGCAATACAAATCCACATGCCCACCTCCCAGTGTATACAAATATTCATAGGATACGAAGGGACGTCATCAGCATAGTCGAAGACTATCTTACTCTTGAGCAATTAACAGATATTCGGCTCAATATATCGGTCGTCCGACCCCTGGTGGACAAGCTTTACGAGAAGAATGACATTTCCATCGGTACGTGGATACATTTAAGAGCTCCAAGCATTATGTACCTTTGCCATCCTACGCCCAAACTACCTCTAATACCGAGACATAACTAATTACATTTTAGTTTATTGTTTACTTGTGAACAGATCTCAGTTCCTGCATGAGCAGGAACATATGACCAATAGACAAAATGTTCACTTCACGCGAGCGACACTTTGCGAGTTAGTGGCGACTCGCATCTTAAGACGCTTCGGCGATGACAACCCGGGATCCGAAGGATTACTTCTTTTGGCGAACATTTTGGTTGCTGGTTTTGGTCCCTTTCAGAACGCACCTGAGGAGGTTCGCCAAGAGGCCTATCTAGGACCTGCATGGAGCCAAAATAGAACATTGCCTGCCCTCGAAGTTGCTGTCTTAACTAGTAGCAAGCATTTCCTTAGTTCAACACATTGTCAGAAAGTGTGAGTGATATCAGCCCGTGAAATAATATACAATATGGCTCACATATATCAGGGTCAACGCGATTTACATTGGCCAGGTCATTTATACACCTTCTACTTTCGGTGAGTATGGGATGAATGTTACTCGTCGATGAACCCCTTTTTTCTCTCAACGCACTTGTCAAATTTCCATATTGTTTATAAAGCTAACGTGAATATAGTATGTGACAATACTTTTCACTTCGTTCGCCCCGAGCGGATTCAATCTTATGGAATGTTATTATTTTGAGCTTTTGTAAGACATTGCTAATTTCGACAGCTGGATATGATACCGGATCGATATAAGCAGAAACCCATATCGCTATATGAACCACATGAAGCACCCTTACTAAACCAGTACCGCCTAATAGTACCCCGTACAAGGAACATGTTAGAAATAACACAATTTGTGATCCTCCTTATACTATACCTTCTATTCATGCTTGAAAGGAAGGCAGAGTACCTAAGTATCCTAGAAGTTGCGTTTTCAGTGTATGCATTCGGCTGGGTTCTAGATCAGTTTGCAACACTCCTTGCACATGGATGGTATGTCTAACTTACGTTCTGATTTTCGTAATTTACTAATTTGTACGACAGGAATGTGTATACACAGAATCTGTGGTCATTCCTAGATGTCATGTTTGTACTGGTCTATTGGGCTTATATTATTTTGAGAATCTACGGTTGGAAATGCGGGCAGCTTGAACCGGGACAACAAGCTCTCGACGTACTTGCTATGGGAGCTCCTGTACTCGTGCCCCGACTGGCATTTAACCTACTCTCGGACAATTTGGTGTTCTTATCCCTACGGTCGATGATGGCGGATTTCACTCTCTTGACAGCCCTGGCAGGTTGGTAGGTGTCCCCTGAAGCACTACTAATAGTCGCCTGTTAGTATTCAAGAATCTAATGAGAGCTAGGTGTTTCGGGGGCTTCTTGCTTTCTATGGTATGGCTAGCGGAGGGACGACACAATATAGTGTAAGTTCTTAGATTTAATATATAGTCTAAGGCTAATGATAAACAGGACCATTAGTAAATGGATGCTATGGATTTGGTTTGGCTTGGATGGCACTGGTATTTCACGTTCTGTAAGTGAAGATAATATGATTATCGTGTCTCCGTGTCTAATGTTATTATTCCAGACGGAATTCCACTGGCTCTTAGGGCCAACCCTGATGGTCACATTTGCGTTCTTGGGCAACACGCTATTCTTGACAATATTAGTTTCAATGCTCTCGAATACCTTCAGTACCATTGTCAGCAACGCCACTGCCGAGATACAATTTCGAAAAGCCGTCTTAACTCTCGAAGGCGTGAAGAGCGATGCCATATTCGCATATCAGCCACCGTTTAACATTATTGCCCTATTTATTCTGGTTCCAATGAGGTTCGTGGTCAGTCCCCGCTGGTTCCACAAGATACATGTGGCAACCGTTAGGACAATCAACCTACCAGTGCTGCTCTTCATTGCCGTGATAGAGAGGCGACTTTTATGGTCGGATACGGAGTTAGCGCAGTACCCTACAGAGCAACTGCCGAAGAAACGTCGTAGCCGAAGCTGGTTCTGGGAGAGATGGAGAATAACGAGCCACGGAGATATGCAAGCTGTATTTGATATCGCGCCTCCTGATTCGGTGGAAAATGATATTGCCGTTGACGATGAGCTGACACATCATATGATTCGAAGGCAGTTTGCTCGAAACCAGACCTCTACATTGCTGGAGCAGAGTAAGAAGCAGGACAGCGACGACACTGTTCAACAGCGACAGCAGCAGCAGCAGCAGCAGCAGCAGCAAGAAGAAGAACAACAACAACAACAACAACAACAGCCACAATCATATAAACCACCGAGTCGTAGAGACTCGATAGCCCCGTATGGGATGTTGACAGAGCAGATACGGGCTATTATGAGTGAATCATCCGAAATCGAAGACCTGACAAGTCGTCTAGGCTCATTGGAGCGCACTACTTCGAGGATCGAGGAGATGCTGGCGAGGATATGTAGCAGTGATGACGACGACAGGAAGACTCAGGAATCATGAGGTTAATGACGATAACTAGCTATACATACCGGATTGTATAGCTGAGTACCAATTCACATATGTACAAAAGTGACTCAACTATCGGATTCTCAGACACGTACCTAGATATACGACTTGGGACTAGCGAGCTTAGTTTTGTATCGGAATTAAGCACTTCATATAGCATACGTAATAGATACTATAACAGAAGACTGAGGCTCGTTGTCATGTTCACTACAGTGTTTATATTAACCATTCATTTATATCTAATGGCACTGTGGTCACATTTGATACCCATACATTTGGGCATCAGCCTCGAGGGCTGTCTCTACGAGTTTGTATATCTGACTGTATTAACGGTATATAATCGGGAACTCGAGGATGAGATGGAAGGTACGGGAGGGTCTCGGCCATGTTTGCATTTGCGAATGCTAGTCGGATGGAAAGTGCAGCTTGGACCCTGCGCTTTAATCGAAAGAACCGGACTTTGCGCTCTTTTTGATAGCTTCTATTGCCTACTCAGGAAAACTTCACAACAAACACTTCACAAACACATCGACAACCTCAACTTTATTGAAGTATTCATTCTGTCCTGCTCGAGGGAGACGGCGAGATGTGCACAACGATCCGTATGTATAATCTCAAGCCCATCATCTCACCATATATATTATCTCATTCCTATCTAGAACTCGGAAAATGAACGGGTTCAAGTGGCCTTATGAAGAGTTAGTCGGTTCATATCGATGAAAAAAAGGCTGTCATCTCACGCCTCAACATCACTTCCTCCTTTTTCAGACCTGACCCAACTGCCCCATGAATATAATAACATAGCCATATGAATGTCCACATATTAAAAGCTCGCTAATCTTCCCCCTTGTCTCTAGACTTCTGCAGCCGCAATTGCAGGCACCACTGGTTGCACATCTACCGACCGTGCTGGCCCGGCCAGGGCTTCGATACGTGTCCCGAGTTCGGGGACGGCGTAGCGCGCGATTCGCCGCAGCTTGTCTACGTCACGGGCCTGTGTCCCGCCTGCCTGATGCCCGGATGCTACAACAAGCATCAGGTCCGCATGATCACGGACATCAACCGCCGCTGGCGTTGGGGCGCCGGCCCCAGCAAGAGCGACCCGGGCTGCGAATGCGCCGTGATGTGAAGATGAGTTTGGAAGATGCGGAGAATCTTTAAATGAGCTGAAGACTTTGGGATGGTGAAGAGTCTTTGCTGATAGGTATGTTGATTTGTTACGGTCTCCCTTTATGGTGCTATATGGATGGGAGGCCAACTAATGGACACAGGTCGAGAGGGGTACTCTCCATGAACCAGTTGCTTTCCACGATGGTATTGCATGGCAATAAGTTCGATTCGTACTAGGATCGTTGGGTATTCCGACGAGCAAAATGAGATTTGCTCTGGGCGTCGGTCGTGATGCTACTTGCCAAACTCGGCAATAACTCGCTACTAGCTGGTATAGTTAAAACCTGGCGATATCTGCCCTCGTGAGACGTCCGACACAACACTAGCTGTTGTCAGGATAATATCAAATTAGCAGTCACGATGAATCAATATACCTATCTCTCCTATCACGTAGGGCTTAGGGTATCACGTGCTCGTAACTTATTTTTCTCTTGATTGGAAATTTTATACTTTGACTTGTTAATTCTGTCGTCTCGACATCTCTTCGACCATCAACGGAGAAGAGATGCTTCCAACGCCTGACACGTCACATGTGGCGTACGAGAGGGTGTATGAACCTGCAGAAGATTCTTTCCTACTATTAGATACGCTTTCATCAACGCCTGAAATAGAGTTCCTGCACAACCGCTTCGGGCATGGATACGTTCCGTTGGTGGTGGAAATAGGACCCGGCTCGGGAGTAGTCATCGCCTTCGTCAACGCACATGCGCAAGTCCTCTTCGGGTCCCGGAACGTTCTGACCGCGGCCGTCGACGTAAACGGTTATGCGTGCAGGGCTACGAACGAAACAGTGAGGAAGGCCGTACCGGAAAATGCAGCGTCGCATGGCAGGTATCTTGGGGCTTCCCAAGGCGACCTAGTCGCGCCCCTGAAAAATGGATTAGCAGATGTCTTGATCTTTAACCCTCCTTACGTCCCGACACCGGAACTACCAAAGCAGCCGGGACTGATGGACCTGCCGCACCCGGATACGAAACCGACATTTGACGACGATTCATACATGCTCTCGTTATCATACGCAGGCGGCAGAGACGGAATGGAGACGACGGATAGGTTGATCAACAGCCTGCCTCAAGTACTATCGAGCAAAGGGTGCGCGTACATCCTGCTCTGCGCGCAAAACAGGCCGGAGGAAGTCAAGGAGAGGATTCGACTCCTAGGCGAGGCTTGGAACGTCGCGACTGTTGGGACAAGTGGGAAAAAGGCCGGGTGGGAAAGACTGCAGATCATCAGGATCTGGATAGAGTAAAACACGTAGGATCTTTGCGTGGTGTGCCAATGGGACTTTATTGTTTCTCGTGAGCCTTCAGCTCTTCATGTGAAGAAATAAGTAGGTGCAAAGGAGCCATACCAGCTTTTGCCATTCTTTATGGTTTTCATGTGCCCCCCTCCCCAACGCCGTAAGAGCAATGCCCACTCACTCCCCGTACTCGAGTACAACATTTCCATTGCCTGGACTGCGGCTAGCCTTCTCCTATCACGTAGAGGGCGCAGTTGTGCTTTAAGAATTATTTACCAACAACCCATCCAAATCAACGACTACCTTAAGGTCTGCCTCGGCCACGGCCACGACCTCGTCCTCTGCCCCTGCCGCGTCCTCCACCTCGGCCACCTCGGTCTGCTGCTTCCTTGCGAGCCTTGTTCTTGGGTTTCACCGAGTCGTCGATGAGAAGGGTGTCTAGGGGAAGCGAGTCGGGGAGGATGAAGTATCGAATTGTAGATCCTCGGATGTTCATCGTGTCGAGGGAGATGGGATCTTGGCCGCGTGGGGTCATCTTCACCGTTCGCAAGGCGGTGTTCATTAGTGGGGAGACCGATGTGATTGTGCCATGAACGATAGTTCCTAAAGGAATAGCTTGGTTAGTTTTCGTATTGGCGAGAGGGTGAAGCGGTGCGCGTACCATTCTTGAGCTCAATCGTCACCGTCTCGTTGGCACATTTCATCAAGAATCTGAAAAAAAAAGTTGCGGTTAGCATTGGTGCCGTCGAGGTATCTTTGTGCTGTGGATGATTCAGGACATAACCATGCGCCAAAAAAGAATTACAATAGCTTACCTAACGAGCTTCATCTTGACCGATTGATAGTATCTTTGCGAAACCAAGAAAATAGGTCAGACGTTGTTGTGTGGCGTGTTGTAAAGCTTGTAAGTTCGAGATAGGTTTGTCGCGTTTTAGAGAGCTTGGATTAAGTACACAGCAAAAGTTCCACGACTGTGAAAATTGAAGTTCATTATCACCTAGCACCGTTGGAGACTAGTCACGTGACAGATAGCTCTTTTGCCAATAGTACGTACCCTTCTCCATAGGAACCTATGTACCTATGTACCTTCGGTGCTCATTACTCCCCATCGTCACCTCCAATGAGCTTAGGCCGTCATACTATAGTACATATATATACATATAAGAATTAAACAGTAATTCCATACTAATAATCATGTTAATAAAATGTGAGTATATGATATATGAAGTCTATCTCTTCTCATCCCAGAACTAGAAGAAACAGAGTAGGGTGCGATGATGGTATGAACTCCAAAGGCTCTGAAACAGAGGTATCTAATGCCACTGACCCAACCTAACTACAAACGCTCGTGCAAATGCTCCCCTCCTAACGTCTTATATCAGTTCATCGTGATCGTTGTATTTATGATTTCATTTGTCCTTCTCGTTTTCATTCTCGGATACCTTTTCCCATTCGTCCTCTGTACTGGCACTAGATTTTGTTCCCGACGAGGATGAGGGTTCTGCACGGAGCTTTAACTCCCCTATCTGTTCCTTAACCTCGACCTCTTTGCTTGCCAATGTTGGTTTACTTTTTGGAATAAAAGTAGTCTCTACTTCGGTCTCGCTGTCGTCCGAGGATTTTGCTGCCGCAGCTCGTTCAGAACGTGCCTTCTCCCTGGCCTCCTTTACTTGGGCGACCCTCAACTCGGCCGCAAACCAGTTGATAGCCCACCAGAGCCCTCCACACAAGAATGACAGTATTATAAAATGGATACTATATGTTGCGACTAATAGGAGAAGAAGGACGAGCTGGAGGCAGGCAAAGGTGGCATTGGTCGCAACTAAGAGTGTCGGTGTTGCACCAGGGGTGAAAATGGACTCCCAAAGATCCTGCACGAAGCTAGCCATGATTTTCAACGCAGATCGAGTCTCGGAATGTAGATGCGACAAGCGTTGTGTGGGTTGGATCGATACGCGACAGCAGAAAACCGTTCAAGTCCTTGCTAATAATCTAAAGTTTTGCAGATTTAGTAAAGGCAGGAGAGTAGGTTGAGTAAAAGACAGCGATGAGTCAGATGGGAACTGATGTGACAGAGGCGTGTTTAAACTAACCTTGGCTTAAGACCAACGTGTTGTTAGGAAGTGACCAAGGCAGTCATCTAGTCGTAGAAAGACAAGATACTGCGCAAGAAAGCTGGCCGATTTAGCCACAAGGCAAACCGCGCGACTAAAGGAACAAAAAAGCAACCTGGGAAGGCGAGCGGGGCAGTGAAGACAAGCTCCCTACTAGAAAAGCCCCCAAAACCTAGAACGTCAAAGATAGTTGGTTATCGCCCGACGCACGATAACAAATAATAATAGTCTATGATAGATACAGATCGCGAGAGTCTGCTGAATAGACTTATACACACAAGATATTTAAGAATAAAGAGGTTGGGGAGAAAGCGAGGAGCAATAAGGAGGGAAAGGAGGATGTATTGTCGTAATAAAGGATAATACGTCGAGGGCAGGTACAACTTGTACAAGTGAAAAGATGCACGGGTAGATTATGGAGAGTTATGGAGAGGCGGGGCTTTGGAGGGGCTCATGTTCAAAGGTTGCAACTTTACCTGGCAGCCTGGGCAGTTACCTAAACCTGACCCATGCTAACCTTATCGTTTAAAATGGATCATTAAAAACGGGCGACCCTTGGGCAAGTCGAAGGCCCAAACAAGTAAAACATCAAGCTTTCTTGCCGAAATGGCGAACTACCGCGAAGACCCAAGATTCAATGTTCCATATTATACATAGGTATATTGAATATCTTCAGGTCTGCATACGGCCTGTTCTGTTGGATGCCAGAACAATGTAATCACTATCTGCTAAAGGACTTCCAAGGATTCAAAAATGGATTATGGAAGCCGAGGTAACTACCCGCGTGAGGAAGTACATAAGGTGCCTATGTCCTGGATGTATTATCAAACTTACTCATACACTAAATGAATAGTTTCATGTTCACGTTGTTCAAATGTTTCCTTAAATAGGTATTTATATTTTGTAGCAATACTTAATGTAAGTCAGAATCGAACCCTCTATATGTGTATCAACTGTAATTAATGATTCAGGTATTAAGGCTTGCTAAGTATATGTACATACGCGGTACTGATTTCCAGGTGAGTACTGAAGGTTATCGATAATCAATCGTTGTATCGGTGCTGCCTTCCCACCGTGGTCGTAGAGGGTATCCCGCCGATCATTTCAGGTAGAGGTGCGAACCTTATTGTTCTACGCGCCCGTGTGCCCCCGTGCCTACCCGTGCAACGGTCCAATTAGAAGCACGTAATTCTATACTTCTAGGTATTTCTGCCGAAGGAGTCAAAAGTCAAGTACAGATCCAGCTCCAGCCTAGCCTTACCACTGATCTCACGAATACATTCATACATCAACACACATCTTTATCAATCATTATCACCTCACGACTGACGACTGGAGCCACACTCCTCATCCATCAACATTATTGACGGAAACCATTCTCTTTGTTCAAATCATCTACCTCAGTACCTAGTTTCCGAATCGCCGTTCTAAACCCCATCTACGCATAGCAACACAATCCATACCCGCGGACCTCCCAGGTGACTCGTACTACTTACTTCCTACCTCATTGCATCGCTGGAGGTTATTCATACCATCAAGTTTGCGCGACACGGTATAATTGAGTCTAGGTAATCCGCAGCATCGATCGTCTTCGACTGCGCCTCTCAACCTTCGACAGCATGCGACCCGATGTTTAGGGCGCCTTTAACATCGAGCGACATCACAAGTTAGGGCAAGTGTCAACAAGGAAGCATCATGGCGAACAGCCCGGATTCAAGCCACTCCAATCTGAAGGAGTCGTTAGTTTCGCATATGCAAACACGGCAGGAAAATGGACAGTACCTATCCGAGTCATCATCCGAATTCACTGCGCGCGAGCCGCCTGTCCCGATCTTATCCAAGCTCCTTAGAGGCAAGGGTCCCGAGTGGGAAGCAATAGGAGCTAAGCCGAGACCATTGCAGCTACTTGATCTCCCTGTCGACATCCTTAGACTCATCGTGAAGGAGGCAAGTTACCTATACCTTGTCGCGGACTGCAATATATTCTAACGATTGTAATCTAGGTTACTCATACGAATGACCTTACCTCCTTAGCCTTGACAAACTCCACACTTTACTACCTGACAATACCACAGATATATGCCCGCTTCGATATTGTCTGGCCAGACGACACCGTTCCTCCATCCGACAGCAAAAATGTCGACGCGCTGACATATGGGTTAGCCACATTGTGTCTAGGCAGCAAGTTCGCCCAGAGGTCGAGATGGCTACGAGGAAGCTCTATAGGGTATGAGATACCTTCCAAGAGGCTCGCGGATAACCAGTACGCAAGATACACGCGTAAGTTCTCGCTTGGTAATGGACCTAAGGACTGGACATCCGAGTACATGGTTACGAAGGAGAGCGGAAAGATGCTAGGAACATTGGTGGCCATCGCCGTCGGAAAGATGGTCAACTTGGAAACGTTTGTATGGGATATGCCCACCGGCGTTCTGTCGGAGGTCTTCATGGCACTCGCATCCCTCCAAGATCATTACGTCAAAGGCGAACCCAAACTCGAGAAGGTCTGGATCCGTTGGCATGACAACTCTGAAATTCCCGATGCTTCATCATCCATCTCTAGTCCGATCCACCCCCCACCGCCGCCTCTAGCTGTTCCGCCTCTAGGAAGTACAATGACACCTGTCGGCAATACACTACCCAGTGACTTTCATCCGTCTGTGACCCAGCCGATCAAGTATTCGGAGAGCCAGGTCGAGTATCCGACCTTCAGTGTTCTACCACCTTTGAAGAGCTTAACGGTATTAGACATCGATGAACTTGCCTACTTAGATGAGATGTCGGTGCTTATCGAGCGCTCGAGATCATGCCTCCGAGAACTCCGAGTGGGAATTTCGCAGAAATCTCGTACGGCCGACTTTGCGCAGGCGTGGGATAGTTACGCCCTGCAGCAAGTGGACCATGATGCTCGCTGGCCTGGCGAAAGTCGAATTGGTGATAGGAGACTAGGGGGTGTTATGGGAGTACTGGTTGGCAGAATATATGACATCCGACGAAAATCTGCGAAACTTCCAGAAAAGGAACTAACAGAGCTCCCTCAAGGACAGGGTTCTACGTCGCCGTTCAATGCAGCCGAGGAATTCGGTTCTAGTTCCAACGCTGCACATGCACCGCACGCCATGATGGAGGCAACCGGTACATCATACCAGAAGACTCAGTGGCAGTATGATGGCCGTAATGGATCGCGCATGGAGAGAAAACGTCTTGATGGAAAGCTCCAATTAGAGACGTTAGAGCTCGAGCGAGTACCATTGTCGCTACAGGTTTGCACGAAAGCCATTGACTGGAGCGTTTTGACAAGTCTCACCATCATAGACTGTATGTTTGTTGAGCACCTCTGGAGAACTTTGAAAAGGCAATTCCACCCTACCACTCCAGGCCATGGCGCAGCTGCCGGCGCGCCAAGTCAGTACCACCTTGCATTGAAACACATACATACAGATAGTACTTCGAGTACTCTCATTAGTTTCATTAAAGAAACACTCGCGCCAAATAGTCTGGAGGTCCTTTTCTTGCAAGATCGCCGTCGCACGCCGCTTCCTGCTGTGAAACTCGACCAGATTTTCAAGGGGGCGATAAAACGGCACAAATCAAGTTTGAAGAAGCTCCTTCTTGATTGTTCGAACGAATCATCAGAAGGTCGCCGTTGGTCAAACTGGGTGCTTAGTAGTGAAATAGTCTCGTACATCACAAGTGGGAAAATGCCGAACTTAAAGGAACTTTCCGCGGCGTTTGATTACAAGGACTGGGTAAGCACAAGCACTCCTCTTGAGCTACATGCACCGCTTTCGACGATGGAAACTGACAGTTTGTACTACAGCACCCATTCCTTCAGCGACTGCCGAACATCCCGCAGCTTCGCTCTCTACATATCCCGTACATGCTGGAGCACATTTCTAGTTTCGAGCCCAAAGAGCTTGCACTCCAGCTCGTTGACATCATCACTTTGCGAGCAGAAATTCAACTTTGTTACGTAGGTATAGGGTCTAAATGCTTCGAGATATTAGAGACTCGACCGAGTGATGTTAGCGGTGGCGGTTCAGGTAGCGGAGATCAGGGACAGGGTGCCATCGTGATCGAGGAAGACGATGACAACGAAGATGATGGCAGTGAGGCTGACGAAGAAACGGAAGAAGATGACGACGATGATGTGAACGACGATGAAAACAGTAATGGGAGTCAAGCGGACGCTGGGGATGACTTGACAGACGTATCCGATGACGCTGAGTCTGAGGCAGACTCGGTGCAAGAGGGCGATTTGGGTGGGTCAGCCGCACGGTTTCGTTTACGTGAGATACTGTTTTACGACGACAAGGTGGCTATATTCAAGGCGAGACACGCCAGGCTATGAGCTATGACTCGGGGGCTTTAGGGCATAGGAGTTTTCGTTATGTTGTATTTTATGATTGAGGAGCCTCAATAGGAACACGGCTCTTTGTCGGGACACGAAGCGGGTTTATTTTTAAAAGCGTTCTAGAAGCAGTAAAAGGTGGGATTTGATAATGTCGGACTCCTATTTGCCTCTCACCGACAGGAATTTTAAGATTGTGCCCGATCAGTTGGGTTTTTGCATTGTTGTCACCGTCTTGAGAAAAAAAAAATGCAAGGGGACACTTCATAGCTGAGAGCTATCGAATAGCGCTGAAGAAAACGCCACTGCTGAGCTGTATCGACCCGCTAGATCTAGTCAGGCCCCCAGCAAGTATATGTAAGGCCAGTAACGTCAGTCAGGGCTGTCAGGGTTGCTTACAATCGAATCACTGGGTCGGGATCGTACAGTCTGCCAAGATATATGGCAGACGGTGCCTTTCCGGCTCCAATGAGGCCAATGGCGACCAATGGCGGCCAATGGCGGCCAATGAGGCCTAATGCAGGAACTGGGACTATCAAAAGTCACAGTCCGAATCCTTGCCTTCCCAGACTGTTTTTGTCCTTCACCGTACCCAGCAATCTCTCACTGTCATACCAGGGTCGCTTTACCGCCATCTCACCTTGCGAAATCCTTTCAGCCCCCGAAGCAGGTACTCAGAAAAAGGGACCCATTCACAAGGAAACATCTGGGGTTTGGGATTTTTAAATTATTATTATTATTATTTTAGCCCATGCTGTTGTCCGTCAGAATATCGAAATTAGTACATTGTATATGTGTGTCTCATGCTCACCGATAGTTGGTGCGGTTTTTTCCTTTGTCCTAGAACCGGAAAGGCTTGTTGCAGAAAGATGCACCAAACACACAACACTCCGCCATTTCGTTGAGTACGGGCTACGACCGTGCTCGCTACCCTATTTACTAACCGCCATTTCCAAGTAGAAAAATTCGTCGAGGACGCGAAGGAGGACTTGGATTTCCGTTCTTTTGAAATCTCGGCTATAACCTGGTCTGTTGCGGCGTTTTGTTGATTTTCCATACTCCTTGAACTGGCGGAGTTTCGGTCCCTTTCAACACTGAGCTCGCTTTTATCTGACATAACCAATCATCCGGCTTTTCCTCTGCTCATCATTTTTCGTCGGGAAAAAGAAGAAGGAAATTCTCGTAAGAACAACAACGTTCATACTCATACGCTCTCTATGGATACCTTACCAGTCGAGCTTCTGAGACTCATATTCTCTCACTGCGACCCCGAGTCAGTCAGAAATCTTCGAGAGGTCACTCGTACGTTGGCGGACGTAGGCTACGAGTACCTGCTGTCTCCCAGGTTCACCGCTGTTAGTTGGAGGAACGATATCGAACGATTACACTCCATCGCCCTGCACGAACGATTGAGAGGGAGTATCACGTCGATCTGCATTTTTCTAGGGGAGCTTTCTTATTACGACGCATGGAGTACATCATGGTAAGTGTATTTTTGACATTATTTTAACATATTTCGAATCGCTGCTGTGGTCTTGTCAACCCCGAGAATCGTATATCATCCTTTATATGAATATTACGGCCATCTGTGTTCCTATATCAAAACAAGATATTGAGATCAATCTTTATCCCATCGGAGAACATGGAACCTTGCTCACTCGTTCCACAGGTTTCAACACTTTGTGACACCTCCGGATCAACGCAATGAGGTTATGGGAACAGCTAGGCAGGAATTTGAGAGGATCGAAAGGGGACGCAAGTCCGTCGGTCCATTGCATCTAAGGCAGGATGATCTGCGAGAGGCGTGTTCCGCATTACCAAACCTCAAGCATCTGGAGGTCACGTACACGCAATGCCCGCTCAACAACGGCCTGCTAAGGGAGGTTTTCGACTACCCTAGTTGCAGGAAATTGGATCGTCCTCAGACTTATAGCAATCTGGACGCCATCATATTCGCACTTCACGGCATCCCCTTATCCACTTTTAAGATCGATAGACTTCCTCTCGAGATTTTCCGCTTGGCGGGCCATCGCACGCATTGGTACACGCACGCCCAAGCTTTCGATAGCCTAGACACCCTTGACCTCACCCTCGACCCCTCCGGGCTGCAGGGCCCGGGAGCCGCTTTCAGGGCCGTGAACGGGCTCGGTCGCATACTGCAGCTGGCCAAGGGGTTGCGGAAGCTAAAGCTCGCATTCCACCCCTACACTAGCGAAAACTCGAAGTTCGTGCTATCCTTCCGAGAACTGTTCTACGACTTCACGTACAGGAATCTCACCGACTTAACGCTGGAAGGCGTTTCCTGCGAGGAGGACGACCTCAAGGACTTCCTCTTACGGCACAGCTCCACCCTCGTCCGTCTACGTCTCGGCGGTCGGGGGCTCGCCAAGCCGTTCGAGGTATCGCTGGGAGGAGTCCACCTGTACGAGGGAACGTTCAAGTCGCTGTTCGCGGGGCTCCGGAACAAGCTGCCCGAGCTGAAGCGCCTGCATCTGGAAGGCATCTTCGAGTGCGAGCACCGCGACCTGCCGTCGCACGAGTCCTACAACTTCTACCCCATGTTCAACGAGGAGTGGGAGGAGGTCCCTCGCCCCAAATGGGTGCGCAGTTCGCGAAAGACGATCAACTGCGCCCCTTTCGAGTACTACGTCCTCAGAGGGGGTCCCTATCCCGGAAACGAACTGGCCCAGCATAGTTACTGAGGAGGCACACGACACGGGGTGAAACTACCATCACCGTCTTCATGATTATTAATCGTTATGAGAAATGTTTCTTGATTCTATTGTATCACCACGAAAGCTCTTGCATTGCCAGGCGAGCGGTCGGGAAGCGGTAGCTGCGGCGGCGTCGGAACGGGGTATGAGAATTGTCCTTAACAATTTCCGGCGCGAATCCCACCAACACCATCGCGACTGGGGAGGCGAGAAGAGGAAAATACGAATCAAGCATGAGCCACGACACCACTCTTTTTCTTAATATTTATTTCTCTTCCTTCTATTCTACCCTATTCTATTCTTATTCTCTTTCTTCATTTATCTCGCTCTTCTCACGCGGAAAGGGAAGGGCATATACTATAGAGGACGACATTATCATTATGTTCTACAGGTGCAAATCACGTCGGCGTTTTATGATATCTTTCGTCCCCAGCTATACATCACGTCCAAATTGCTTTGCTTCAGGAAAGGGACGGGGTTATTCACGAGTAATGTTCCATCACTTTGGCGAACGGGCGATTTACGGAGCATATGACAAATTTATTGATCTATTGTTGTTACGGAATTTTATGATGGGAACTGTGGACACGACGGAATATACGGGCGATGGACGCAGATTGTATCGTATGGCTAGACTGATAATGAAGACTTCGAATTAGAATGACTACAGTGATATACTCCTTAGCTTTTTACCTTGTCTGTTCTAACATTTTCTTCATCTTATTTGATTATATGGTAGTCCTATAGAAGAGGTTTTAGGAATATATAGCTTGTCGGTTAGTCAGTCACCCCTTTCCCTATATATTCGATCCTTGGTGGATACATCAGCCATCAAGCTAATAAACAACAAGTATAACTGTCAACAACTTATATCTCTCGTACTAATCATATTGCCTTCGACACTATCTACTTGAAATCTAAGGTCACTTTGTTCATTATTAGGAGCCAAGGGGCTATCGTCTGAAATTCGCACTTACCCAATGTTTACTTCGCCGTAATGCTAAATTGGCAACTAATCCACTTGACAACATGAATTTGATAATTGACGGACTCGTATCAAGAAACACGGAACTGCCGGTTTTCCGGCAAATTTCAGAAGCACCCACTGGCACTAAACTTGACCATTAATCACTAGAAGTCTCCTCTAAGCTATGTCTAGGGTCGCCAGAAAACTGCCAACGAATCCAGAGTTTCAATCAGTGTTTACCGACACTTTGGAAGACTTTAGAGGTCTGAATAAGGTACCCTTGTCAATATCCACCGGTGGTGATAAGTTTCATGTATGTATGTACGTGTATAGGGGGAGGCGGGTCCCGGGTTTTTAATCTTGCTATTTTCAGCAACCGAAGCACGTTAGTATAAACAAAACCGCTAATGGGGATGTTTGCAAACCTGATTTACATAGCTTCTAAGTAACCTAGTTACCGGAAAGCCAAGAGCTCACCGGAGATCTGGGTCGTGGGAATCAACACGTAAGAGATATATTCATTGGATCCACGTTAACCTGGGGATCGCCGAACCCACAATGACCGTTATTCCAAGTCACCAAGTCGCCGGGATTTACATACCAAGATCCGTCGCTATACAATTATTATACATCCTAGTTATAATAGACGATTCTTTTATGAGGCTTGTATGGGCGGATCGTGTTTTGTTTCATTAGAGGTCGCTACTACTGTCGTCGCCTTGGCTAATTATTTTGCTAGGGAAATGTCTCGAGCTTTGTTCTGTTGAAGTTATCGTACCTACGTATATCGAATTACGATGCCACTTAGAAAGACTTAGCCTGAAGTGGATCTTGGTTTTTGATTTCTTTTTTTTTTTCTTCTTATTCTCCGTTAGTCTGCAGACTGCGGACTACATGCAATCCACCGATTCCACTCTCCGAGGCTGCAGACTTTGCAGCTCGAGAGGAGCCATGACGTATGGATGTAGCTAAAAGTTGGCCTCGTTGGTTCCCCAGTCTTCTAGCAAATACTCGATTAGTCATAGCATAGCCATGCCAATTTACCAATTTGAGACGCCCAGGACGCCGCAAACGTGCCATGTACGAAGTACATTCGCCGTTCGATTCGCCGTTTTCCATCCATGTTTCCACACTTCGGGGCCCAGAACAAACAGCCCTATTTAAAACCATGAGCAATAATTATGCAGGCTAGTAGACGGGATGGCTCGCGAACGCTACGCTTACTACAGGACGCGCAGGCTATGATTGGGGGCCGCGGCTCAGCCGGGATTTTATTTCGCAATTCTGAATACCTAGATGGGCTGTAAGTGGCCTGGTGGCACGAAGTGAAATCACTGTACATTCTTGCGGTGAGGAAAGTCACGATGTAATAACATTGTAATATATTGCCATATCCAGCTCCAACTCGGAGATTTGGCTTCGAAGTAACCTCACATGCAATAGCCTTTTCGATCTCTTTTTTACCTTCTTTAGATCTGTCCGCTGACGGCTGAACCGGGTAGGGCCGGGGTAGCCTTGTTTTGAAGGTCGGAGAGAAGTTTTCCAACGGCTTGGGAAATCTGTAGCCCTAGCTAATGTAGGTAAGATATGTGGATCAAAAGCAGTTATTACTTGCGTACACATGTAGGCTGTGCGAACATGACCTCGTATCACACGAGTAATGGGTCAAACCTAAGACGACGAAAAGCTGATCCCTCGTAACGATAATAATAATAAATGGGTGAACGACACATGACGGATCGCCATCGCAGCATCGTAACAACATACATACTACCCAAATGTCTTCCTTTTTTTGATAGATAGGTATGTACGTATTTCTTGGCTCTGCAGACATGCAGGTGTGTGAGGTCCTAGGAATTTTAGTAAATTAAAAACATATTGCGAGACAACTCCTCCACTAGTTCCCGTGCGTCGTGCTTCGTAGTGTTATAATACGTAACTCGTCTTGTCAGCTGGTACGTACATACCTAAGTAGGTATGTAATAACAAACATGGATAGATTATGAATGAAGTCTTTTTTCAAAAGCACGAAGTCGCGATGGCCTGGCTCGGTTGGTAGCGTATTTCCGTAAAGGCGACGATGTCACCCGCCGTCGAACCAATTCACAGGCCCATCATCATCTAACGAGCCGTCCGCAGACCCGGACTCCCCGCCACCGTCCGGGTGGGCGTTGTGCAAAGTCAGATCCATCAGTTCATGTCGTGCTCGTGATCAGTGTTCGCTGCAACTGCAAGCGCCCATGTGTCAGTGTGCTTGATGCGCGGCTTGGCAGGGTCATTTCTGTCCCATCGCCATGATGAAGTCCCGCGCGCACCAGGCTAAGACACCCCCAACTTCTCGATGAGACATCGTGAAAAAAGAAATATACACGCTTACATATGACCTATGCTTTATGCTACATACCCCATACCCAAGCATAGAATTGCTGGTAAGTGAGTGGCGAACCTACGCGCACCCAGACCAACCTAGAACGACGTACTAGTAGCTATCTAGGTAGTAGCTCAAGGGAAAGGAAAAAAAGATGGGATTTAGAAAGAAAAAAAGCAATTGAGGCTTGGATTGCTAGTGCGGAGAGTTAACTTCAACCAGTTTAAACAGGGTTTCCATGTTGATCGACTTGAGATCCCGAGTCTCATCTAGGAGAGGGTTCGATAAGGAATATCATTGGACACCCCGGCACGGCGACATGATCCCTCATATTTTGTACGAAGTTAATTGAATGCGTGTATGGATTGAATGTATAATTAGATTATCCACCAATACTTCACTTATATAGCAATTTTGCTTGTTTCATTTTTGTTTTTAGGTCTTCAAGCTGTCTTCAAGTCCTCTGCAAGTAACCTTGGAAGTACTTACTAGGTATGGTACATGGTATCTGGTGTGTGACCTTTTAAACTTTCCAAGGTCTTGAGGTTGAATACCTAGGTAATACCTACCTCTGCTACCTGTATAAGCTAAAGTTTTGCAGTGCCCGTTTGATTACCAAGACCAGGTACTAGAGTTTACTTTTGCTTTTGCCTAAGACCGGGATGAGAGAACCTTTGGAAACGTTTAGGTACTACTATTCCATACTGGCTGACTGGTTAGGAACTTAGGATGGTTAGTAAATAGGTACGCAGGTATGTATGTATACTGAGGGTCCCCGAGGTCATGACTCGGTTCATATCCATTCCGTCTATATCCCACGCGCCGTCCTCGTTCGCGCTGCAAACGAAGCACCTGTCGCAACTTCGCTTATCTCGTTTACCTCCTTGAGAAGGCACCTAGTAGGGAATATCCATCCACTAGACGAAATAGATTGATTAGGTGTGTTTAGCAAGCTGGTACCTGGATCGAGTTGATCAATTGATCAAATTTGTTGTTCTCGTTCCTGAATTCATTAAAACAGCCGGCAGTGCGGAATGACCCCCCTTTCAATAAACCAAGTAACCCCCCCGCCATCGCTGACGCCTCAATGCGGAATAGTCTCCCCAAGCTTTACTCCTCTTACCCCTGGCCCTGCTCCGTCTAACCTTGTCCTACCCTGCCTGTATTCCCTGCCAACCCTGCCTACCCTGTCTACCTGACTTTAGCTCCACTAAACATGCATTTACGCATGCATCTTAAGCCGGCTTGGGGTTGGTTAACCAGTGCAATACCCAGTCAAAACGTCACTTTTGTTCTGCATACTGCACACACTCTCAGCACTCCTAGCCTGGGGGCCCAGACGGCCTACTACCTTATCGACCCTTATGTATCTAACACATACTACATCCATACATCCATCCTACATAGAACTAGAACAAAGCAAACTGCCAACCATTGCCCGAGCTGTCGTCAGTTTCTTTTCCCAATCCCCTCCTCCGTCAGAGGCTCTGACCCGAGACTTCGGTTCCATCTTTCCACACTTCCATCTTTTCCTCTTCAATGTTGCTGGCCCAGTGCCTGCCCGATGAGGAGATCCGACTTTCCATCCTTTCTACTGTTGATCTGACTTAGTCACTATAGTTTTGATCTCTGATAAATAACTGAACAGCCTTTCCCCTGGGACGCGCACATTCCGGAAGGTGACGATCCGTGCTCTCTTAGTTGCAGGCAGCCATGCAGCGGGTTTCCGCACTCCTCCCGTGGGATCGCAGCAGGACGAGCACCGGCGTCAATGGTAGTACCAATACCAACACTAATACCAATACAAATGGCCATGTCAAAAAGAACAGCGTCGACATCGTCCGAGGCTGGGCCGACAAGATCCCCTCTCCCGTCAACCGCCTGAGCACCTCGAGACTGAGTAGAGATGCCTTCTTACCCACCACTTTGGATAAGGAATGCGAAAAGGCCGCTCGCATTATCAAGTCTTTTTGCAGTATGTGCTTGCGCTGTTCACGCCGAAGAACAAACTGATACTAACGTCTTGCTATAGGCGATGGCTTCTCAACTCCAGACGACCGACCGGGGAGTCCGTCGACCTATTCGAGCTCCCACTCGTCGCATAGACTGTTAAAGAAGATACCTCCGAGGATAATACAGAATGCCGTTGGGCTCGCAATTTTTACCTCGATGCGATCTGGAATATGGAATTCCGGTTCCGGCTCCGGTGGTAGCGGCGTCTTAATCGCGCGCAAAGCAGATGGGACGTGGTCTCCGCCATCCGGTCTGATGCTTCAGACTGCTAGTTTACGATTCGTCTTCGGGGTCGACATCTACGACTGCGTCCTTGTTATCAATAATTTCACCGTCCTTGAGGCTTTCGCTAGACCTAGAATGACGCTTGGTACCGATGTCAGTCTGACAGCTGGTCCTCTTGTGGCTCTCGGGTTACTTGAAAACGACGTTACGTGGGCCGATCTAAGCGACCGGGCCATCACGTATATCAAAGCGAGGGGCCAGAGTGCGGAAGTCAAGTTGGAAGGTATAGTCGTAAGCGAGCGAGCCGACGAAAATGAACGTTTCTATGGGATGAAAATAAGTGTTGCCAAGATCCTAGCAGGCGATATCAACCAAAGCATGCCCCAGACTCGATCTCTAACTGAGGTTCTCAAGGCTGCCGAAGGGAGAACCGACTATGATACGGCCCTTGTCGAACAACTTGCATCGCAGGCGCCGGGAGATGCGACGATCGAATCACCGAAGACGGCAGGCCCATCGCCGGCATTCGGTGTCCCCGACTTGGAAGATCCGGATCCTTTTGGTGTTTTGGCTCTCGAGATGGCCGGGATGGGTATTCGTGAGGCTGGCACACGACTAAGGCCCGACAGCACGCAATTTGAATATAACCCTAGCCCGACGAGTCCATTCTTCCCCAGAGCTGGTCGCCAAAGCGTTGACACTTTTCTATCACGAAGCAATAGAGGCAGTTATATGTCCAACAAAACGATGGCCACTGAACGGAGCCAGATGACCGATGCGGGTACCCAAACATATTTTGCGACACCCCAGACTACACCTGGCTCAAGCCAAAGCCAAAGCGAGGATGGGAACCAACCACAAACGATTGAAGATATCTTAGAAGTGAAAGAACCGGTAGAAGTCGACTATACTAAAATCGACATTAGTGCTTTGAGGAAGCTATCGAATTTCCCAGACTTGGATGACGAGCCAATAACCACCATCGCAATTAAAGGGGAAGACCGGGACCTAAACGTCGAAGCTAGCGAGGATAAGAGAAAGAGCATAGGAACACATACTGAAGCTATTAATACTAATACAGCCGACGAGGTTTCGGACGATAACCATAGTAATGATGGAGATGACGAGGAGGATGAAAATGAGGAAGAAGCAGAGGAGGGCGAAGAAGATGGTTCCGATGAAGAGGAAGAAGAAGAAGAAGCCGTAGTTTATGAAGTGGCCACGGCTCAAGCTCCAGCTCGAGTTGTAGTAGGAGCTTCCCGAGTCAATATCCCTGTAAGGATACCACCACCGCTTCCAGCCAGGAATCCGGGTCGTTCATCTCGTACACGAAGTCAGATGGGCGATGTCGGCGGCTTAGTGAGTAGCCCATTGAGACAGGAATTTGAGCTTGAAGCCGATGTCGACGAAGCAACGACGCCTAAAGCTAAGGATAACACCGACAAGCTTGCGGATATAGCAAATGAACCCCCAACAGAAAAGGTGGAGAAAGCAGCAGCCGTATCTGTTGAGGATGAAGAAACTAAAAATATTGAGAACTCGGTGACTCCGACTCGAGAATCAGCAAGCGTCGAGGGCCAGCTTGCCAAGATCAGTGATCGATCTTCCTTCAAAGAGGAGACCATCGTCGACCTGTCGCCAGAAGCACAGCGGCACAGTAGCTTACAGGCAAGCCCCGACCGATCTGTCTCTGTCGCGTAAGGGATAACAGTGAGGTATTCAACATTTCTTTAGTTCATGATTACGGCACGTTTGGAGTTCTAGGAACATCATAGGGACGGCTAATGGGAGGATGAGATACCAATATGTCAAGGAATGGCCGGGTTATAGGCATGTGGGACTATCTTGCACGAAACTTCACACGTGGGGACGAGCATTAGAAGAGCGCGTTGAGGATGAAATGGATGTTCTCAAGCTCGAGCACGACAATACCCTTGATATGTATTTTTATTGTTTTTATACATTGTACAAACCTGAACACATGAAGCATACATACATCCATATATTCAATGTAGCTGACAGGCATAATGTGAATGCGTACCTAGTTAGGGACCTATGGGGTCTCGTCAAGAGTTCAACTACGAGGAGAGGTACTGAGTTTATTCCATTATCTACTGGTACTAGGGTGGATGAGAATGGCATTGGAAGCGTGTTAATACCTAGATGGCGACAGTGAGTCACCAAGGTCTCTACCTATGTAGGTGCAGTGCTACAATGTACTGAAGATAGATGTCCGTAGTAGAACACAGGCGCCTAAAAATTTCCAAGGCTTGCTTGTCAACCTCAACATCCGCACCTTCGTCGTCTTTACACTGACATATCTTGTCGTCCCAAATCTTTTCTTCTTCTCAACGCTGACGTTGTTACTTTCTGCTTTCACAACCTCGTTTCTTTCGAACAAGATCACATACAATAACACAATGGCACGCAAACCGAAGTGGAAAAAACACCCCCTGGGTAATCGCGGGCGACGCTCGACGGCAAAACGAAATCTAGGTATCTTCAATATGTATGTAATCAATCTTGTAGTATGATCTACACACCTGCCTCGGCGCTTCACCTATCTATTCCATTTAATTTAAGCTTACTTGCGTGGAGACATTGATCACGGATTAACATAGTTCCAGGCAAGACAGCGAAGATAGCCAGGATAGCCAAGACTCGGACCCTATTCCTGCTCCCGCTCCGCCTGCTTCCGAGCCTGTCCAGCCACAACCTCCACAGCCTCAGCCACAGCCGCTGGCGCCTACCAGTACCCGTAGCTCCAATCGAAGTGGGCGCGTCGCGCTTTCGAGACTTCGCGAATTTCAGGAAGAGAGCTTCAGCGACGAAGACCATTACTGCAGGCATTTCCCCGACGTAAACCCACAATCGAAGAAAGAGCCTCTGCGCAGGCTATCTACGTCTCCCTGTAGGCGTTGCAGCGAGATGGCTAGTCAACAGGGAAAATGGCGGGAGGAGCAAGTCCTCATCATCTGCCCCGGCAGCCAGACTACCATGGCCCAGCTGGGCTGTGGCGAGCTTACACCTCCCGCGCATCGTATTCCCACTAGAATGTTCAAAGACCCCGACACCAAGGAATACACCCCTTACCGCATATACAAGCGCAAGAAGGCTGGCGCATCCGGAAGTGCTGCTGCCAGCGACGAGAAAGATGACGACCAATGGGAATATGTCGAGGATCGCGACAGCGTTGAGGGTGCAATATATCCTCTACAGGGTGGTCGCATCGTACATATGGCTGCCTTCCTAGCATTCCTCGATCACGTCCACAGTTTACTCACAACCACGTACCATAACACACCCATCCTGCTCATGGCATCGCCGCAGTGGACACGACCCTGCTGTGAAACGATCGCGCGCTACGTATTTGAGAAGACTAAGACTCCTGCTCTATGCTTGCTGAATAGCGCAGTCGCAACGCAGTATGGCTTGAAGTGGCCCACCTTGACAGTTGTCGACATTGGCTTCGAGAAAGTCGACGTTACCTGCATACACGAATACCTGATTGTTAGCCACAAGCAACTAGGCCATCCTAACCCCTTCCGAGATATCGCAGGCGGAGAGATTTTTACCCAAAAGCTACTGTCGCTTCTGAAGGACAAGAACTTTACTTATGACATGGCCGAGCAGCTCAAGAAGAGTCCCTTGTGTGAAGTTCTACCATACGCGCCTGAAGCTGAGAACTTCATGGAACTCCCTACGGACAATCCGACCGTGGCTACTGGCCAGCCTATCGCCGCTGCTCCACCTAGCGGAGAAGGTGTAAAAGTCGTTGAGCCTCCAAAACCCGCCACGGCCTTTGGCGGCGAAACGGATGGCACAGCTACAGAGGGAAAGGAGGCCGATGAAGGTGTCCTTGACGTAGCCAATATTGTCACTAGCGGAAATACTCGAGAATTCCTGGCGAAGAAAGAAAAGGAGAAGGCCGAGAAGGCGAAGTCGAAAAAGCAAGGCAAGGGTCAGGAAGCCGAGCCTGCGGGGGCCAAGCCAGCTCGATTGCCCAACTCCAAGAGAAAGTTTAACACGTTCCATTACGAGGAGCTGGTGCATGAGGACGTACAAGTTCCCATCTCAAACGGAGCTCCTAAGACGGAATCTTCTGCTCCGACAAATGGTACTGCGCCCACGGGTGACGCGCAGACTGCCGAGGCGGCACCTGGCGCCCAAGAGACGAAGCCCGAGCTGTCTGCAGACGCCAATGGTGATGTCGTAGAGTCCACAGCCAATGCTACCGGCACGGAGCGACGAACGAGGCGAGTGCGACGTGATATTGAGGTCGGACTTGAGAGATTCCTCTTCGCAGATCGTCGCGAGATAGACCGTATTACCGATACGATCTATCAGGCGATTCAGAGCATCGAGGAGCTCTACAAGCGTCCCGGCTGCTGGGACAACATCGTCTTTGTCGGCAACGGCAGTCGTCTGCGTGGCCTCAAGGACAACATTATCCAGACCCTCATCGCGCGTCACATGGTCTCGCCTAGTACCGCTACGATATTTACTTCCGAGTTACCCTCTAACATGGCGACGCCGAGTGGAACCGGCTCTCAGACACCCACTGGCTCTTTCACCGGCCAGCTCCCGACCACGAGCGCGGTTAATCCGCTACTGCAAGCGGCGACAACCGCTTCTCTAGGTGTTCCAGGCTCGGCGCTAGCTCCCGGCTCAGCAGCAGGAGACATTGTATCCGGTCATCATTCGCATGGCCAGTCGCCTATGAGCATTAAGCAAGCACCTCCGCCCACGTACTTGGCGGAATGGACCAAGAACGGCTTTGAGGAGGCCATGTTCCTTGGCTCGCTCATCGCGGCCCGTCTGGCTTTCTGCGTCCATAACTTGGATGCCCAGACTACGGAGTCGCAGCGCATGATGAGCCTCAATCGTGTCGATTACAAGTAAGCATCCTTTTCCTATATCCTTTCCCTCTCATTCCATTGTTCGAATTCGAAGATATAATGATTTATATACTAACGATACCTGCTGCAGTGAGCACGGTCCTAAACTGATCAATTCACACTCCATGCTGGGTTGAATGCGAGCACCCTGACAAGGGAAACTCGAAACGGTATATTCGTTCCTAGTCGGCGGTTTTCAAACTCTTTGTTCACTGCGTATTCCCCCCTATTGGAGTTCCGGTTATGAAGACAAAAGTCCCTTTTTTTTTTTGCCCCAAGGACACGGTGCAATGTATTTTCCCTGGTTTGTCTTCCTCGGGGATCGGCTTTGCGGGCCAGATCCAAGGCAGGTTCGTTTTACATCCAAAGGCATTTCAGGGGAGAGGGCGTTGGCGATTAGGGGGGTATAATTGCTGTCTCATCAGTTCACCTGGCACTACTGTGCCTTGCGTGCTGATTCCGCTGCTTGAAAGTGGCGAGGACATGCTGTACCATAGTCCCAATGACAATGAATATTTATTAAACACGACTTGCCGAGGTTTCTGACTAAGGGTCATACGTGACCTCGTAACGAAATTGGTAGATCGAGGGCCGCCATATAGTGTGTCGACAAGTATAGTAAACGCGGAGGAATTTGATAGTACAGCTGTCTATCCCTAAAGTAATCAAGTGCTCGAGTCGATACCTAGATTCTTACATTGCGTATCTAAGCACATCGAAACCAAACGATTTCGATGTTGTTTCGATAGAGGTGCTTATTTTTCTCAAATATACCATCTCGAACACATTCCTAACGTATATTTCGTTCCTCAACGGTCTATCTTAAAACACCCGCTCGTACCATCCATCCCATCTACTTCTCCGGATCCAAAAGCAACTTCCCCGTCGTCTTCCTCCCCTCCAGATCCTCCTGCGCCCTCGCGACCTCACTCAAAGGGTACACCCCATGAATCCTCGCATCAAGCCCGTCCCGCTCAATAAAATCAAACAACTCCTTGCTATAAGCCTCGTACTCGGCGCGCGTAGCGACGTAATTCGCCACGGTAGGCCTTAACAACTTCGCGTTCTTAGCCGTGAGCCGCGTGATAGTAACAGGCGGCACGGCACCGCTCGCGTTGCCGAAGGACACGAGGCTGCCCTTGCGCGCGAGCACGTCGAGGCTCAGGTCGAAAGTCGACTTGCCGACGCCGTCGAAGACGGCGACGACGCCCTGGCCGGCCGTCAGCTCCGCCACGCGCGCCCGCACGTCCGAGTCGCTGTAGTTGATGACGTGGGTCGCGCCGGCCTTAAGGGCCAGCGCGACCTTCTCCGGCGTCGACGCCGTGCCGATGGTGCGCGCGCCGATCGATTTCAGGAGTTGCACGAGCCAGAGCCCCGTGCCGCCCGCGGCGGCGTGCACCAGGACCCAGTCCCCCTTCTGCACGGGGTGCGCTTCGCGCACGAGGGTTAGGGCTGTTAGGCCTTGCAACAGCGACGCCGCGGCTACTTTAGGAGGTAGCGTGGACGGCACCTTGATCGCCTTTGAGGCGGGGACGGCGGTGTATTGGGCGTAAGCGCTATCGGCCATCCTGTGAGTGAGAGTTAGTAAACGGCGTTGAAATTTGAATGAGAGATAGGTATGTTTAGAGAGGAAAAGGGGGGCCTGCCAAGCCAAGGGGGTATCATGGTAGCACAGAGGTGATTTGAGAATAGGTAGACATTGAATGTAACGAGCCGTTATGCCTATACGTACCATACAACTTTATCTCCCTCCTTCAGCCCATAGAGCTCGCCGCCGCCTGTCTTGACGACGGTACCTTCAGCTTCTCGGCCGAGAATATACGGGAATTGGGGCGCTGGGTATAGACCACTGCGGAAGTACCTATATATATAACATATATCATTAGTACAATAAGAAACGACAAGTGGTCCCTTTATGGTAAGGGGAGACTTACGTGTCGATGAAATTGACTCCGATATAATCGTTCTTGACTAAGAGTTGGCCTTCGACAAGAGCTGGCACGGGCAAGTCGGTCTTGTATTGCAGGACCTCAGTGCCGCCCGTCTTGTCGATTAGGACGCCCTTCTGGGTGCTCGGTATGGAAGCCATGGTGCGTATATAGGTCGTGGGTGTTGTCTTGTGAAAGTGTAAGTACGAAGAGATGGTGGATGCTCGACTCCTAGAACTGTGAGCTAGCAGGCGGGATGAAGCTGTTCTTATAGAGGACATAAACACCGATTATGGGTCCAAGGAATTCGGGATTTTAGAAATGACTCGGGAATTTACGAGACCTACACTGAGTACGGGGAGCTATTTCCTTACACAAAGAGAACGGACTTGAGGCAGGTCGCCTAAGCTGTCGCGGAAGTGACGCCATTTTGGCATTGAAACCGAACCCCTCCTGCCCCGCAAGGTAACTAAAGCCGTAACATCGGCCCCGAAAGCGTCACCCGGCCGAGTGAATAACATCTTTGTAAGCAATATCTGAGAATCTGTATGGCTTGGATTAGAAATCATGGTATTTGTTGAGATTATTTTCATTTGACTCGGCCGAGTCTTACTGTGGATGTAGACTCGTCACCTATAGCTTGGAGGTTCGTGGACATCCTGTCTATGTTATCTCATTTCACGTACATTTCCTTCTGATTGGCCTACCCCATATTACCGCGTCAAGGCGATGTCGTCAATTCTAAGGATCATCTTGACCGTCTCAGCTGCTAGCTCGATAGCGCTCGTGCTCACCAATAAAGGCTGCAGCACGTTCTCCTTGGCGATGTTCGAGTTGACACCGCCGCTCTTGATGCTGACCCCTGCGTTCTTCTCTCCCATCTCGTGCCGATGTCGTAGATCTGTGACTACCTTGATGCTGTTCAATCCGGCGTTTTCTGCTAGAGTAGTAGGTATTACTTCTAGAGCATCTGCAAAGGCTTTCCAGCAGATTGCTTCCGTACCAGTCAACGAGCGTGCTTGTTTGGAGAGCTGAGCTGCTATCTCGATCTCCGGCGCACCGCCTCCCGCAATGAGAGCCTTCTTCTTGACTAGGCAGCGGATGACGCAAAGAGCATCGTGGAGCGAACGCTCAGCCTCGTCTAGAATTAGGCTATTGGCGCCTCGGCAGACAACCGACACTGTCTTGCCCGCCGATTTTGTACCCGTGACCTTGACCATCCGTGCACCACTTGACTGAGATTCCTCAACGAGATCAGCCGTTCCGAGCTTATCCTCCGTGAAGGAGTCGATGTCCGCAATCGGTTTGCAGCCGGTAGATTTGCAGATGAATTCAACCTCGTCTCGTTCAATATCCTTGACCGCAAGGATGTTGAGTTTAGCAAGGAAATGTAGAGAAAGGTCGTTGACGGCATCGCGTAAGATGGACTTCTGTATTAAAAGCACGTTACACTTGGCCTTCTTGATCTTCTTGACCAGGTTAAGGAGGTAAAGACGCTCCTCCTTGACGATTTTGTCCATTTGACGGTAGTCGTTGACCTGGATAGTATTCTCCATCTACACACATTATTAGAAATAGTAAAATAGCGGAACCGGTATTGACTTACATCTGGCTTCGGGGGACTTAGTTGAAATTGGATCAGACCGATCTTGGCTTTCTCCATTCTCACAGGCCCACCAGCTGCTTTGATGACAGGCTGGTTGAGAACAAGTCCATCCACCAACTCGCTGTCTTCTATCGTACCTCCCACCTTCTTGATGATTCTAATGTTCTTGAGGTCAACATTATCTGCTGTCTTGATGTCGATGGTCTTGGTAACCGAGTTAACCGCCATGGGACCCAACAAGCCAGAGTACTGAGAAACAATCTTGGAGGACAAGGATGTATTCGCTGCTTGAAGGAGGGCGGCGGTGTCGTTTAGTGAAATGGGTTGAGACATATCGTGGAGGATCTGAACTGCCGCCGCCGCCGCTCTCTGGAAAGATTCGGAAATAACGGAGGGGTGGATTCCTTTAGACAGTAATCTGTCTGCTGCACCAAGCAACGCGCCGCATATGACCACTACTGACGTTGTACCATCTCCTGCCTCGACATCTTGTGCTGCTGAAAGGTTGACAAGCATCTTAGCTGTCGGGTGCATGACGGACATGCTCTTTAACATTGTGTTTCCATCATTCGTAATTATGGTCTCGCCCTTGCCGCTTCTGATCATCTTGTCCATTCCTCGGGGACCCAGCGAAGTTCTGATAGCATCGGCGACAGCTGTTGGGAGTTAGCAGGTGTACCAAATAGCTTCAGGGCTTGTAAGTACCTCTAGCAGCAACAATATTTGAGGATCGAACGGCGACGGGCTTTTCCTTATCCTATCATTTGTTAATACAGGACTCCAAAGCTGAGGGGTGCAAGCAAGCATACTCTGAAAGTAGCGTTGGAATTACCGCCACCGGCGGACTGCGCTGCGGTAGCCATGATGGTTCAGGATCTCAGCAACAAATATGACAGTTTCTAGGGTATGTGTTTAGAAATGGGGATTGAGGAAGTTTGGAAAGTATCTTAGAATTTTGCTGTACTCCTATTATGGAAGTGGCCGCCTTAACAAAAAAGCTCCCCGCGCAGGCTGTGATATTTTTTAGTACCCAGAGTTTAGTTGAGTAAAAACGTTCCCGGGGTAGCTGCGAGGCTACTTATCCGCTAATCCTAATACGGTATAGCGGTAAGATACGTATCGACCTTTACTGGAAGCTGCGACTCTCCAGGGCTCTAGGCAATGAACGAGCTTATGCAACCACAGTGATCTATCATCAGCAACAACCCTGAACTTCGCCTAGCCCAAGCTTCTGGTTGCCATTCGCAACTTTCTAACTTCCCAACTTCATCACCAATCAATCCGTCCACCCCCAAACAATACTCAACCACCTTAACAAATTTATCCTCACACTCTCTTGTTCATTCGCTTCTTTTTATTCCCATAAATACTACTGAGCTCCTTGATAACAGGAGCCTCTTAACAAAATGGTAATGCTCCTACGTGTTTTGTCATGCGTCCTAGCTAACAGCAGTGCAGCCTTCTGCCACCGGATCAAGTTGGGAGAAGTACAGGAAGAACTTCGCCGACGATGAAATAGAAGAGAAGAAGATCACACCTCTATCAGACGAGTAAACTCTAACCCAATATTCCAACGGTTTTATTTCATGACGCAACTAACCGTGCAATCAGAGATATCCAAGTTCTGAAGACCTACGGCGCGGCACCCTACGGTACGGCGATCAAGAACCTAGAGAAGCAGATCAAGGAGAAGCAACAGGCTGTGGATGAAAAGATCGGTGTTAAGGAATCTGATACGGGACTCGCCGCACCTCATCTGTGGGATGTCGCCGCCGACCGTCAACGCATGTCCGAGGAGCAGCCGCTTCAGGTAGCGCGGTGCACCAAGATCATTGCCGACCCGAAGGACGAGACGAAGAGCAAATACGTCATCAACGTCAAGCAAATCGCGAAGTTTGTCGTTCAGCTAGGCGAGCGTGTATCGCCTACCGACATAGAGGAAGGTATGCGGGTAGGCGTCGACCGAAATAAATACCAGATTCTCTTACCTCTGCCACCCAAGATCGACGCTAGTGTTACTATGATGACGGTGGAAGAGAAGCCGGACGTTACCTATGGCGATGTCGGTGGCTGCAAGGAACAGGTTGAGAAGTTAAGAGAAGTCGTCGAGATGCCGCTGCTGTCGCCCGAGCGGTTTGTCAATCTCGGTATTGATCCTCCGAAGGGTGCTCTGCTATATGGTCCCCCCGGTACCGGAAAGACTCTCTGCGCCCGAGCTGTCGCAAACAGAACGGATGCCACATTTATCCGAGTTATCGGTAGCGAACTAGTACAGAAGTACGTCGGCGAAGGAGCTAGAATGGTGCGAGAGCTCTTCGAGATGGCACGAACCAAGAAGGCTTGTATCATCTTCTTCGACGAAATCGATGCAGTTGGCGGTGCTCGATTCGACGACGGAGCCGGCGGAGACAACGAGGTCCAGCGAACTATGTTAGAACTCATCACCCAACTAGACGGTTTCGACGCCCGTGGAAACATCAAGGTCATGTTCGCGACGAACAGACCCTCTACGTTGGACCCTGCGCTCATGAGACCTGGTCGTATCGATCGCAAGATTGAGTTCTCCTTGCCGGATCTCGAGGGACGCGCAAACATCTTACGGATCCACGCCAAGAGTATGTCGGTGGAGCGTGATATCCGATGGGAGCTGATCTCCCGTCTCTGCCCCAACGCTACCGGTGCCGAGCTACGCAGTGTCTGTACAGAGGCAGGCATGTTCGCCATCCGAGCGAGAAGGAAGGTCGCCTCGGAGAAGGACTTCCTGAGCGCCGTGGACAAGGTTATCAAGGGTAACCTGAAATTCAACTCGACCGCCACGTACATGCAATACAATTAGAAAGCGAAACTACTTGGGCCGTGAGGCCTGAAATGTACGAGTAGATAGATAATGGGACAAATGGCTGCACTGGATTTCTGTATTCCGAGGTAGCTATCAATAAGCATGGCTAATGAAGCGCTATAGCGCCGTTCTCGCTTTGTAATATGCATTGTAGAGACATAAAGTCTGCAATAGGGGCATGCGATTCCTGCTGAGCAAAGCTCTTCAAACAGTATCTACACAATGATCTTCCTGACAATACGTTCCGTGTGCCCATCCACTATTATTACAAGCTGCATCATAAGCCCTGGCAGCGATTCCCGCGATAATGAACAAACCCGCGGCTCATAAGAATATGGTATCTTAACAGGTAATAAATTTGCTCCAACGCAATGCAATGCGATGCCCGTTTGACGCCGTGCTCATGTCTAAAGTGGAATGAACCCTCCTCGTAAGACACTAATGTAAATATGTTTAGAGCGAACATTTTCTTCCTGCCCTTACGCTCTTCCTTCATTAGGAGCAGTAGCTTCGATACGCGGTGTCATGTTGTACAGTGAGCGACGTCGGCGTTGATGATGATTAATGTCCTTTATGTCTTGGACCACCCTATGCCCCTTCCATGCCGGCCAGACAACCCAGGCAGACGACGTCGCCCTCAGGGCCTCGCTCTACACAGCAGCGGCTACAGATCATTTCTCGGTGGCCGCGACCATTCCATCCTCCTCCCTTGCTTTCCTTTCGGTCGGGTTTATTACTGTAGTTACTGTCGTCGTCTACATCTTGCATGGTGAAGGATGCAGATAAGTTCTCATCTTCCTCCGAGGACGGAAGCCAGCCTTGGCACGCACGTATGCAGATAAAACAGGCTCTTTGCCCGCACCCCATGCAATCAGCGAAGGAGTCGAGGTCGGATTTCTTGGTTGGTTTTCGGTGGCAGATGTGACACGGGCTAAGTGGTACTGGCGGATTCGGTCTGGTTTGGGCGCCCGCTCGGCTCTGCTGTGGTGATGTTGGTGGTGTCGTGTACTCGGGATGAGCATGCGAATGGTGGGACTGTTGCGACGAGTAGTGGGTCGGTAGGCTACTATGGGAATGTAGGTGCTCGTCGTCATCGTTGACTAGCCGGAACCTTTTGTTTACAGGCAGCGGGATCACTTTTCGCGGCATGTTAAGCATCGTGGAGGCGCCCCGGGCCGGGGAAGGGAGAATGAGCCTTTCATTATTGTCGATGGTAGAGAGAAGGCTTGTTGATTCATTATGTTGTATTGTTCTGGAGCGAGCGTCGGAGTTAGCGGGTGAGGACCTCAACAAGGACTTTGGCGAACCGTACAACGGCATTTGATTTTCGTTGTGGTCGTCATCTCGTCTCCTCTTCTTACTCGTAGAGAACGTGGGCAGCTCAATCGGTGTTATCGAAGGCATTGCCAAAGCTCTGTATCCAAAGGATTGCATAAACTGGAAGCAAATTTAAACGATGATGATATTTTTCCCGGTTCATCTAGCAGTAAAAAGGGCAACTATGGTCGCCAGAAGAATGAACGAAGCCAGGCTGAGGGCTAGCGACGAGTAGAAGGAAGGACTATTACATGGTGGCCAAGTAGGTTGTTTATTAAGGTGATGTGATACGGGATATGACGGATTATCTCGACGCTCGGATCAATTGAATTTCAGGGGTCCTGTGGCATGGGTGTACCTGTCATAGCTAAATAGGTACTTAATCAGGTACCTAGTGCGACTAGCAACTTAACTGTACCTACAGTCCGGCACAGCTATGAGGAAACTGGAAGTCAACTTTAACTTGCAAAAAACAAGAAACAACTAAGTTTGCCTACCTACATAGTATGTAGTAGTAGCAGGATACATATTTGGTCAGTGCCCCAAAAGAGTGAGTAATTTCCTGTCAATAATAGTCAAGTTTTCTTATATATACTAGGTAGGTAGATAAAAGCTTAAGCCATCGCACCTTAGGCATGAAGACTCCATCATCAAATAAACGGAAGCCACGTCCTAGATAATACATATATGCAATATTAAACTTTTAAAAGTTAGAAAAGTCTACTGTACACTAAGACTGATTGAAGGAAGTTGCAACTTCCTTAGTATACGTGCTATTTCCTCTTTAGGTAACTATATACAACGACCGAAGGCAGGTACACCTCTACCACAGTGTTCAAACCCTGAGCTCCTTCAGTTTTCATCAGAACTTTGCAAAGACGCTCTTTCCCCTAGAGCAAGGTTGGGATCGTAACTTCCAGAGGTAGGATGTTCACAATGGCTTCCAAAACCTATATAAACACGGGGAACCGCCGCAGATCTAACGCTTTTCTTCTCACTCTTCAACCAACCCACTCACAGTTCCCAGTCGCAATATTCCTTCATATCACTTCAAAGATATCATACAACCAATCCATCAACATAGGTATCAAGTCATAGTCGCCGACTTATATCATCCTCTTTTCCAAGTAACGTGGTCCAAACTACCAACAGAGTCGTCCATACTCTAGTATCAACGGTTTCAACAGATATCTTAATATCATGGACGCCCAACTTCTAGACGCTGCTTCTGGGGCATACATGCTCGGATGTGCGCTGTTTGACGCCGGCAAATTGCCTCAGGGTACGTATCACACTAATGGTATCATCTTCATACAATACTAACTCCTCCTATAGCTGAATGGGTGTTTTTTGAAGGGCGCCGCTTTGCTGAGCACGATTATCGCTTCCCAGCAAAACTGGCCGCTGTTCGGTATGAGATAGGCAGTTATGCGAGCGCCATATTCTTCATTCAACGTGCATTGTCCCTTCTCGATCCGCATTCACATGAGCCCATAAGACAAGAGCTCTATATTGCTATGGCTAGAGCATGTCTCTTGTCTAGCAACGTTGAGAAGGCCCGGACAGCAATTTCACATATCACGTCAGAGCATAATCGTCGCCAATTCGAGAAAAGTCTTCTGCACATAGAAGCAATGGCAACTATGTCTAGTCCTCCTACCACCACTACCAATGGATCGGACAGCCATAGTCAAGGGCTGACCTTCCAGCCCGACAAAAAGACTTTGTGGCGCAAAGTGATCGAACGTCTACCAAAATGTAGACCAGGACTGTAAGAGTTTGCAATTTTAGGAATGTTGTTCGTTTAGGAACAAATACTAATATGCTTATTAATATAGAGCCGATGAAGTCGAATTCATTCCCGTCTGCAGCGAACGCGTGCGAAGCCTCTTTAACAGTTCATCAGTTGACCCGAATCAAGAGAATTATTCGTTTCTTTTCACCAATACCGGCGATGCTAGAGACGTCTTTGCCACGTTATCTGATATTGGATACATGGTCTCGCAAAACCTCTTTCCTTCAGCCAAAAAATTCTATTTCACATTGGTTGACCTTAAGCCTATTACATTTGCTCGAGACCTGTTAATGTTCCGCATGTTGGCCGACTGGGTCACAGAGTCAGACACAAAACGACGGGTGACCGAGGCGGCTCTTGCTTACACTTTCGCCTCTCAGATCATGCCGTCCTGGGTTTATGATAGACTGAAGAGTGCGATACGCTGCGTCTCCGACGAACTAAACACAGACGTATCTCTCATTATGGGACGCTTTTGCATCGACACGGCAACTCGGGGTTTAATCTCTAGCCATTATCGAAATTGGCAGGATCCTCTCCAACATCCATTCACCACAGGACAGATCCTCAGCATTACCGGCAACCAGCTCGCAGAGAGGGACATGACAACCAGTTCTAACACCAACATACCTCCACGGCCATGCGAGCCTGATAGTCCTGACAGTCTCAGTTTTAAGAACCTAAACTTCATGCTGCCTCCACTTCCAGTATTAGAAGAAAACGAACGCGGACTGCTAGAATTAGCTGGGAGATTCGGGTACATGCCCAACTGCCCACCTATCGGCAAAATATTATTAGAGCGCTATGTGGAATCATACTGGTGGCCGAATGTGACGCTCCTCGACTTTGATTAGTATTCGTCGGGGGAGTACACTTTTGCGCCTCGTATGAACTTCACACCACAGGAAGTCGTGCGTGATCTTTACTGGACGTTTAATCCAGAGGAGACGGGAACAGTTAACTGGTGTGCTTTTGAATATCTTACGCACTTCTTCTCTTCAGCGGCTGAGTGGTCTGCAAAAATCCAAGAACAAACGGTGATCAAGATAATCGTCAATGATGCGATGAACGTCATGGAATTGGCAGAACTACATCTCCTCAATCATGATCATCCATCGATCCCGGATCGTTACGATGGTATAGATTTGAGTTATCTGCCGGACATCATTGGTGGTCCATTAGCCACTTTTACTTATGGAGTCCCAATTCTTCGTCATGACAAGATTTCTGAGTTGAGGTCCTGGGTCTCTTTCAACCCAACCCAATGGGCCTCACAAGACCAATTTCTCACCGAATATCTTCTTCTGACCGACCGCTCAACGATAACCAACACATTTGCAACAACTCTCACGGATGAATCCTCTTATAAAGAGAGAGATTTTCACGAAAGAATTTCCAGTAGTAATGGGTTCTGCCTGTTGATGCTACAGGCTTTGAGTTGGGTACGCACGAGCAATAAACCAATGTGTTGGGATCAACTTATGCCTCGATACGAGTTGATAAAGTGGTTACACATGCATATTTTGAAACTCTGCCTTCCACCACGCCGACTCAAAGTCAAGGGTCAACAAGTTTATATGCCGTTGAATATGACAGCATTCTTCCGTTTAATTATACACCTATCCCGCGTCGGTTACCCGTCACATTGGTTGTCGGCAGTACTCACAGAAATATGTACTGGGCGGATTTCTAGCCAAGCTAGAGCGCCGAAGGGGATACTTATGGACAAGTCTGAAGCTATGCATAAACACCCAAAGCGCGACATGTTCATCGAGCCATTTGTAGAAGAGTTCAGAACCCATTTTGTGATCTGGAACCATCTTCTCCCGTTCGGCATCCTACAGGATAAGAACCCATTACAACACATTGGTACAATTCGGGAATACAAGCAGCGCTTTCCATATTCCGATGATACTCTCTTAACACATGTCTACCATCCCGTCATCGCTCTTATATTCTGGAATGTAAGCCTCAATGGTGAGATTCCTCAAGCTGGGTTACGCCAAGCATTGCTAGATGATGAAAATACCGATCCAATGTATCAAGGTATTTCTAGTCATAGCGGACGTGTACACGTTATCTCAACCGTGAAAATTGTCACATCAGCTATGACTGTGAGTTTCTGGTTTGCTGACGGACCTATTCAAAACATTCTTTCTACGGGTAGCCGCTGGGAGGCCTGGCTCTGGGATACTGGCGACTGGACGCCGAGGTTAGGTCCAGCAAGAGTTGATCGGATGACTCTTATGGCCGGCGAAACATGGTGATCAAGTGGTGGACGACAGATAATGGATAAGGGCCAACAAATCTATCTGAAGTGGTTAGGGAGTAAACATCAAGGATTAACGAACATAGGAAACATTTAGTCGTTGAGACGAGGCGATAAAGTTGACTACCTAGAAAGATATTACCTCGATTTAATCGACAATTTCTATATCTTCTTTTCCAACGGATAAGATGTTTAGGTTAAGAGTCGTGATATTAATGTGAAAAGCTGAGTAGAAGGTCATAAATAACCTAATACTATCCTCCTAACCTAGACATGTTAATAGGCACGAAGTAGATTCTAGCTATTTACCATCTTAGTAGCGTAGAGAGTCCCAGTCAGAGTATCATCCAAGCATACTTCTATGTTAACTTGATTTTCATAGTATGAAATATCTATACCATTTGTAGGACATTATAAAGTCACGCATATGCTAACTCGTTATCAAGTTTGGTACGCACATGTAATGCAATGCAGCAAAGTGCCATATTGAGTTTTAGTAGGAATAATACAGTTAAAAAAAGGGAACCATCTTTCAAGAGAATCCCGCCATTTGTGTACCCAACCTTGCGTTTTGCTTGTGAGATATTCCTCTATTCATCACCCCAGGTGCCCTTGGCAATACTCAGAAACCTTTCCTGCACAAAAGCTAAGCCTTGACGAAGAACTGAGATATATGGAGTGCTGATTTTTAGGTTAGTTGGCACGAACCTCATCAAACATTTAGGAACATGTACATACTATAAGCTGGTCTCAACTTTCTTTCCCTCGGCTTTCTTCTGCTTCAACGCTTCGTGGTACATGGTGTACGAATCGAACATGCCAGTCTCCTGGAAGTAAGTTTCGTAGTGCCGGAGCATTTCCTTTAGTTTCTCCGAGTGACTTTCCGCTAGATCATGAACTTCGCCGATATCCTTAGAAAGATCGTACAATTCCCATCGGCCAGGTCCTTTAGGAGGAGGGAGGAACAGCGCTTTCCAATCGCCTACTCTCACGGCGGCGATTCCAAGCTGTTCCCAGCCGACAATGTCCGTGGGTTGGTATATTTGGATGCTCTCATCCTCGGGGTGTTCTAAGATCGGTCGCCAAGATTTTCCTCGGACGGGTACCACCTCTCGGCCGCGAAAGACGGGACTCGGGTGTTTTAAGCCTGCGAGATCTAGGATGGTCGGAACGATGTCCATGACTGTCGTGAAAGTGCTGGTGACTAAACCGGTTTTGCTCAACGCGGGAGGATATCGCACAATGCAGGGGCAGTGTATTCCGCCCTCGGTCGAATGTGACTTCGCTCCGCGCGCAGGCGCTGTTGCTGCGCCAGCCCACTGTGGCCCATACCATACGAAGGAGTTGTAGTTGCCGATATTTTCCAACGAATTATCGTAGTATTTTTTGACAACATCTTCGACCGTGTAACCAGCCAGGATGGGCAAGGCCTCTAATAGTTGTCCCTCGGCTCCATTGTCAGACATGAAGACGATAAAAGTGTTGTCGAGCTCGCCTGTATCTTCGAGATAGGCTCGCACGCGACCTATGTTTACATCTATGAGGTCGACCATTGCTGCATAGACCTCCATAGCTCGAGAAGACTTTCTCTTGTCTTCTTCTGATAGCTCCTCCCAAGGCTGAGTCTTGAGCATGTGCAAGGGCGCTGGCTCAACATCGGGTGGTACAAGTCCTTTTTCTATCAAGCTGTGAAGTCTACGATCCCGTAGTACGGCGGGACCATCGTCGTACTTACCCCGGTATTTCTCGATGACATCTTGCGGGGCCTGTAGCGGCCAGTGGGGCGCTGTGTAAGGGAGATAGCCAAAGAAAGGCTGGGATCTCTCTTCTTCTGTTCTTTCCGTCAAGAAGTTCAAGAAGTCATCTGTGAATGTATTCGAGGAGTAGAAATTCTTGGGTAGATCCGTGCTACCATTGATAAAAGCCCCATCCTTCATCCAAATGCCGTCGCCTTTGAAAATGGCCGTTGGCTTTTCCTTGAGATCATACAGTTGCGGCTCATGGTTGAAATGGTTTCCGGCCCCCGGAAGAGTAGAGAGTACTTTGGTAAAACCTCTTGCGTGAGGACCAAGCTCCTTCTTCAAACCTAAGTGCCACTTGCCACTCATGAGGGTGAAGTACCCTGCATCTTGTAGGATTTCTCCTAGAGCAGCAACGCGGTAGTTTAAGTACCCTTCGTACCCGGGCTTGTTTTTGAAGATGCCAGGGACCTTTTTCTGAACGAAAGACTGTTAGCTAAGTAGGGGTGTAAGGCATGCCATAATTAGAGAGCACTTGCTATCTTTTCAGCCATTACTCCTAGCCCGGCTATATGGGAGTCTGTGCCCGACAGGAGCATAGCCCTCGTAGGAGAACATGATGCAGCCGTATGAAAGCCGGTCATGCGAATCCCCTCTTCAGCCAACCTTTGTAAATTGGGCGTGTCGATCTCGCCCCCATAAGGGGAAGTGTCACTAAACCCCAAGTCGTCTGCGACAATAATTAGAAAATTCGGCTTCTTCTCCGCCATCGTCGATCTAATATACCGATCGTATTTGAATGCAGAAAACGCAGATAGCATGAAGATACCAAGAAGCGAACGCCGTAAAGCCTCTCTTCCTGGAAGAAGCCACATTTTCATTCACAGACACAGTGGCGTTTCCGTGTTGCCGGCAAAAGTCATCGTAGCACAATAATCGAATGTCGGAAGAATACAAGAACATGGATATATCCATCAGGCGAGCAGGGAATATCGCAGGGAATAATTGACCTACATATAGAGTACTCACCTGAGACGACTAAACAATGGCTATTTCATAAGAGCCAGAAAAACTTTGGACTCTTTAAGATGAATCGACGTTGTAAGATTTAGGAGGAAGCATTACCAAATGAAAAGGGGGATGGATTAAACTTGATTCAGAATTGCATTATCGGGATTTACTACTATTATTCTTATCTCCTGGATATGTGAATAACAACTTGATTGGATCATTTGAAGAGCATCATGGCCACGTGCCTTCAAATGTGAATATCCTCAATTGTAATAGGTCGCTGCGACGCCTCTAAGTGAGCTGGACGAGTAGACTATTGGAACATCTGCTTCAAGTCGCCGCTAGTCGCAGCGGATACGGATACCTTTCTTGTCTTATTCGGCATGATAGGCTTGTGTTGCGATACGCAGCCTACCTTCATAGTTCGGCATAGCCCTAGTGATAGTTGTAAGGCATTCTGTTCGGTTCCGATCTTGACAGGACAAGATTTGTAGAGTTTCATTCAGATCGGGTGTATTATAAGTGCTAGCTTGTGTAACTGGTTCGCTTCCGAAGACCCCATTGACTTGAAAAGCAACTCAACGGCTTGCACTGCCGGATGGCGAATGAAACAAATGATCCTGCCGAATGTGGTGGCACCTTCAGATACCAATAAAATGGTACAGATAACGGTCAGCCTCAAGTAAGATGGCGCGTATGTTGTATACTGCGAACGATGCTCGTGAAGCAAGGCGTAATCGGAGCATATAGCCAATCCTACTATTTTATCTCGGAGTGCTCGGAACTCCAGCTCGGAGGAAGTACCTTCGAGTACCTAACTCCCTTTGTTCTCGAGGCGGAGATGAGAGGTGAAGGAGATCGGCATAATGCCCTATTCTTTCAACCGTCAGTAATAAGATCTGGAAACCCAATCTCCAGGCTCTTCCTGTAGTGACGTAACAAGGTAAGACACAACAGCATGTGGTGCCTGACTTTTTATATGTAGTGGCAGGAACACAGATGGATATTTCTAGATCAATTGACTCAATGTCCAGTTGATTCCGAGCAATTTCCTTTTTCACTTATCCACGTGCTCAATCGCCATACTGGAGGAAGGAAGCGGCGTTGGCTTATCATCAGTACAGCACAGTACAGTTATGCACCTACCTTAGTGTAGGTCAAACGATTGCCCAGTTTGATAAGACCCAATTTTGCATCACGTGCACTTGCTCGGCCTTTGGCGTGGCCTAATCCGATTTGCTCCGCTACCAAAACGAAACTCCCCCGTCTCTAGAACCAGATCGATTCCAAAAGCTGCACACGCCTCTTCGCCAATCTTGACACTACCTAAAACATCCATCACCAAATCACCAATACCAACCGACCTGGACCAACATCCAGCAATTAATCATTTCAATCAAGAGAACGAACAATTAACTGCCCTCATCAAGATATGAGTCGCGCCGGCAAGATTGCCCCCGAGCAGCTTCCGTAAGTCTTTGACCCTTGAATTCCTTTCGCCCCCCACGGCTTGCCTGGGCCTTGGCATCTCGACTGAGACGCATTTGCTGACGTCGGTGAATATAGAATCTTGTTCGTGAAGAATCTAAAGTTAGTTTACCTTACCCTGATACCTACCTTCGATCTCCTCCTGACAATGATATAGCTACGAGGTATCGTCTGACGCGCTTTGGAAACTCTTTGATCCCGGCGAGGACGGACTCATCCGGTACGTTGCTGCTGGACTCTGCATTATACGCACATATGGGCGGTATCCGCTAACTACATACATCTAGCCAAATTCGACAGGGAATATCGGTCGATGCAAAGGGAACTGCCTATGTCGTCTTCTGGAACGTCATGGATGCAAAGAATGCCCTCGAGAAGCTAAATGGGTACAACTTCCAGAACCGTTACCTCGTCGGTACGTTGACCACGTCATCACGTGGACCCCTATGCATCCCCATTGCAGCCGTCTAACATATCAACAGTGCTATGGCACCAGCCAGAGAAGACCTTGAAGTCGAAAGATGACCTCCAGGCTCGCAAGGACAATTTAGCGCAGCTCAAGATGAAGCATGGAATCGATTGACAATTAGACGGGCCTGCGGACAGGCTACAGACATGTGCTCGTACTCCGTCTGCAGTCCCGTCTTCTCCAGCTTCTACCACATCTAGCTCGCGAGCTACCACCTCCACTACGACGTCGATCCAGAAGACTCCGGCGTCGGTGGCGAATAATAAGAAGGGCAGGCCCGACGACGTCGCCGGGCACGCACGCAAGCTCGCATTGAACTTCGTGCGAGGCATTCTCCCACAGAAATCCAACAAGCTATGCATGACTTAGAACGTATCGTACACATCATCTGCGCAGATATGGACAATACGGTCACGCTATACAACAAATTTCACGAGAGCGCAGAATTGGCTTTTGCTCGGCATGCTACCGCTACCCTTGCTACCCCTTTTATGATTGCGAGTCGCTCTTTAGGTACACCTACAGAACGCAGGGAACGTTGTACGTTGTTCAGATTGATTAAGGTTGATTCGGGAGGTTCTAGGGAATGGGCACCACGTGTGTCACATAGTTTTACCTGGCGTTACGATGACACGGGAAGATATTAAATATTCATGGTTCTGAGGCTTTTCGACCTCTACCTAGCCTTGAGAATGCAGGAGACCTTGCGGCTTTAACTCTCAGAAATGATATATCCCGTCTCCAAATTTATCATGTGGCTATGTATGTCGTCTATGAATAATGTTACTAACTAATTTGCTCTGATGGACATAACATTTCAACATGATTTCGAATATTTACTTCGTAACACAGCTATTTTCGTAGCGTAGAAAATTTCCTTTCATCATATAATAGGATAGGGCTAACCATTAAAAGACCGGCGTGTGTTTTAAATGTTCCGATAACTTTGATATGTAACCTTAAATGGGTAGCGTGTGGCCATATCTTGAAGTTTATCAACCTCTGACTGATGAAGCCTAAACCTGTATTTGGCGTTTGTCGATGAAGGATGATAGATACTTCCCTCGTAGGCGTACAGTGCCTAATGCAGGAGGTATCTGGCGTTAGAAGGTACCGCCACAGGCATCAGGGCTCCCAGGCTTCTAACGGTTAGGTGGGGCAGGAGCTTTACTTAGGTCGTACTAGGCAGTACTGGGAAGGCCTGTACTACCGTACCTAGGCCCTACCCCGTATACGATCTCCAGTTTTATGCGGCCATTCACAGCGCCATAGCATCATAGAAACCTTATATCCAAGGACTTATGGATGTTATGTTTAGGATGGATTAAATGGATGCGCTGAGCGGCTGATCATTGTGGCTTGTAACAATCCCATTTCACCTACAACCTCGACCTACAACCGCTTCCAATCTATTAACGTGTTTTTGCTTTTCCCCCGACAGGAATAATAAGCTTACCAAGGCCAGCAAGGCATCCCCTCTTGTTCTTTCTTCTTTGTGACGCTCCCTACTGGGGTTTTAAAAAAACACCCAATCGCGTATGCATTCTCGTTGGTCTCGTTTATTGGCATAGAAGCCACCTCAATTCCAAGCAGGAACACCATTCGTTCGAACCCTGGCTGGAACCTAGGCGTCGATCTTCGCTCCTTATCCCTCTCGTCATTGTCTCGAACCGCTGCCCTGTGTCTTTTCGCACAGAGGTAATGTCTATTTCTTCCACGGCTGCTGCTCTTATCGAAGTTATTCCCTCGACGATAGCCACGGCTTCCCCGAACGCAGCGATAGGAGTCGACCTCCCTCCTGCTCCCGCCGACGTCTCTTCGCTTATTACTACTACCGCCACCGCGATAGCCGCCGCGGCGACCACATCAATGGCCCCTCCCGAAGGCGATCATGGCGGAGAGGGAGAGTGTCGGTTGTTAGGACCGTTTGCTTTATTTGTACAGCTTGCGTTGGGTGGTTTGGCCCTCCTGTCTCTGGTCTACAAGCGGTGGCGAGAGCGGCCGCAGCGACCTGTCAAGATCTGGTTCTTTGATGTGTCCAAGCAGGTGTTTGGGTCGGTTTTGGTGCATATCGCGAATGTTTTTATGTCGATGCTCACCAGCGGTCGGTTCTCTATTAAGTTGGATCCGGCGAGTGTGCAGGCGGCGGAGAGAATGCTTCGACGAGAGGATGACCCATACGTCCCAAACCCCTGCTCCTTCTATCTGTTAAATTTGGCTATCGATGTAAGTCTACGTGCCGCATGCTTTGTAATAAACATGGCAGATACTAATCCTACGACAGACTACCGTCGGCATTCCCATTCTCATCATCCTTCTCCGCGTCGTCACCGGTCTCGTATCATACACACCCTGGGGAAAGCCGCCAGAGTCAATTCAGTCTGGCAACTACGGCAGCCCTCCAAGCGCCTGGTGGTGGCTAAAACAATCCGTTATCTACTTCTGCGGCCTGTTTGGCATGAAAGTCTGCGTCCTTATCATATTCTTCATATTACCATGGATATCTCGTGTGGGGGATTGGGCTCTCAGGTGGACCGAAGGCAACGAACGCGTTCAGATCGTATTTGTCATGATGTTATTCCCCCTCATCATGAATGCGATGCAGTATTACATAATCGACAGTTTCATCAAGCTGAAGGACAACGGCCACGAAATATTACCGTCGGAAGATGACGAGGGACGTGATCCTTTCGACGACGCACTCGCGGATAGCGACGACGAGGGCTCCGTCAGCGCCGAGAGCAACGAAAGTATGAAGCTTTCCGATTCTAGGAATTTTAAGAAGTCCCAAAAGGGCCCTGGTCAAGGACGTGAAGAATACGATCCGGATTTGGATGGCCAAACGGTCATAGGGAGCAGTAGAAGTCATGAAGATAGGGGCAGACTTCTACCCAAGGAATTGGTTCCACCAGAGTAACTTATTGCGTCACTTTTGTTTACGGTTTAGCATTGGCAAGTTTGTTGTTTTTTTAAACGGTGTATATTAGGTACTCAATGATGAAGATATCAGTACACCAATCGGCATTTACGCATTCCTAAGCAGTGTTTTATATATTGGGAATATATGGTATGGATACGGTGTATGGTTGATCTTAAATAAGTGGTAATGGTATCCATAGAGATATCAATCGCGGATTAGTTTGGCCTCGTACCTCATACGTTTGGCGGGACTCCGCAGCGTCTTAGCTGCAGCTGCAGGTTGTTGCCTGCAGACGGTCCTTCATGTTCTTATTACGTCTTTGTTGACCAACTGCAAGGCTGAATCAAGTCATCACGAATAAGGTATTGTTCATTAGTGTGTTCCAGTGTCACAATCTTTGCTAATGTGCGTTTGATATGCTCCCCTATGTCCCTCTGTGCAGTACGTATGTTGTCTGGACGAAGCATACGCCGCGTTAATTTATATCATAGATGAGTTGAAGCTTGCTCAAAGCTCCTTAAAGCTTGGTATGTGGAGACACGATGTGTGGCTGCTGTTTCAAGAAAAGGGGACAAAGTGCACCCTGAGAGAAGAAGCCATCATCAGAGAGAATTATAATAATACTAATACTCCCCATGTTTGTTTTTAGGAGACTTAGTTCGGAGAGCTAACACTGTGAGTCGTCTCTAGATAGCAGATACTCGAACTGGTGGCGATAGAGTATCTACACAACGAATGCCATATCAGGCCTGTTTATTTTCGCAAAAATAATTAGACGAGAGTGCTATTTTCTTGACACTGTAAGCGGACTATGATATCCTAGAATCATGAAAAGGTGTCACTGTCCAAATCAGCTGGCAGCCAATTCGCAACTGCCCATACGTCGCTTCCTCCTCACATCTCTCAGCTGTAACTGCCCCGTCTGATATACCATAGCAGGGCTTATGACGACATTCCTTTGCCTGCTGCTGCCTCTTTCCATCTACAAGTGACAGACTGGTGAACCGGCTGTCAAGAGCGTCTCGGGGAGTCTAAAATATACGCTAGGTGGTCACCTAGGTATAGCTGCACCTTCCTTCCGGTAAGCTCGTCACCGTCCCCCCTATTAATTCTTGACTCACATACGGGGCAGCTACCATAACAACACTTCTTGTCAAACTGCTCTTGCCCCGTTCTCACCAGTACCGTCGACGGTATTGCCCCACTATCGTGCTGTGTTTTTCTATTTAACACCGGATCTCATCACTGAATTTCCTACTCACAATTCTTCCTCAAACAACTCTCTTCCTCGTCCGTACATCCACATCCACATCCACAACACAACCTACTCTCCAACACATCACCACTTACCGCCTCTACTCAACCACAGGACAAAAAATACGTTCGCAATGGATGCTTATCAAGGAGTCACTGTGATGTGTGAACGGTGTTGCTCACCATGTGTGCCGCGACACCACCATCTGAACCCCATTGGGCGTGATTACTACCGCTGCCCTCGTTGCAACATCGAGGTGTCGGTGCTTACCCACAATATGAATTCTGGACACCCACGCGCCCACAATGCCGCAGCCCATGCCTACGGAAACGGCGGATCTCCCGATCCACAGCACTATCTCCCCGACGTCGACATCGACAATGCTCGTGATGGGCTCTTTGAGGACGTGCAAGATTTTATCCTCTTCACTGAGGAAGATCGACATGCTGCTGCCTATGGCCAGAACCCGACCTGGTCTCTCGCCAACCGCGCCAACACCAACCGTGAGCAACACCGTGATTACATGACTCCCGTGGACAATTACTTCACGGAAGTGTTCAATGGCACCCGTCCCGCCCGTCCTAACGGCATCACCAACGGCGTTCACCGTCCTCCCAACGCCACCACCGCGGACCGTCCTGCCCCTCGCCGAGGCCGCGGTACCCAGAGACCCGACGCTCCGAACCCGCGACCCGGACGAGCCAGCCGTCTCTACGAAGCGGGGCCGGCCCAGATGAACGGCGTGAGCGACCATGACCACATCGGCCCCTACAACCTGACCCAGCAGGGCCAGCAGGCAAACCACCGCCGCGGTGACGACAATGACGGCGACCACAGCACCAACAACAGCGCCGGCAATGACACCAATGGCGATGGCCACACCAACGACGCCACCAATCGCCGCGCCAACAGCCTTACACCCGACAATGAGATCCCTGCTGTCGCCTTCACGACGCAGGGTGAGGCGCTGCTGATGGGCGAGCCGTTCATCGTCCCCACGGCGCAGCAGGCACAGCAAGAGGCTGGCCGCCGCACCGGCCCCGCTCGCATCTTTTCTCGACACGAGACTGTCGACCGAGAGGGCCGCCGTACCACCGTCGAGATCGACGAAGATGTCGAAGAGGCCGACATCACCATGTCCGGTGGTCGCCAGTAAGCGTGTCGTGCCTGCCGCCTACCATACAAGTCGCCGACACTATGAATGGTTTGGACGGGGTGGAAGGAACCATCGTCACAGACTAGCACTGGGTTGGGACGTAGTTAACGGCGGGACGGAAAATACATTGCGCTGGCTTAGGAGTTAAGGGAATGGGGGGAATGGTTTCTTTTAAGATCTGGAAAAAAGGGGAGAAAATAATGTGTCCACTTGGACAACACACTTTGTTTACGGGAGTTAAGGGGAGATGGATATTCACGATTGCCTGGCGTTGATTTAGTCATCAGTCCAGTGCAACGATTTCACAAATACACGAAGTGATTTCTCTATGAACTTACCTGAGTTTGCTTGTGCTAAATGTGATTGCTCTCATCCTGTGACTGTATCAGCTTGTTGGCAGTCACTATACGGCGGATGTTTAGACAAAGCCATCTCCTATACCAGCACATAAAATGCTCCTCCCTTATGTGCTCACTTGAGCAAAGGAAGATGGCAGATTGCTGGCAGTCCAAATGAAACCGGCGCCCCTTAATCTTTTATCCTCCAGACCACATTAAACCTCCAACCCATCATAATGTCGGCGATCATATCGACACAAAAAGACAGCATACCAGGAAGAAATTCCAAGAAATCAATTGTACAACAAGCCTTATCTCTCTATCGGAAATTCCATCGTGCTATGCAGATGATCATCCCCAAAACGCCTTTGTTCGTAGAATTTTACCAAACGCACATATTTCTCCAGGATGCTGAGCCCATAAGCGCCCATAAATCTTTTGCTACATATCGACAAGCCGAATCGTTTTTTTCTTTTCATTCATTACGCCCCGTTCCAGCTATCCTGCTGCTGAGCCCCTCCTCCAGGGGGTCTGTATGTGCGGTAGCCGGGATATGCCGTTCCTCCATTCGCCGCCTGCGCTGGGGCTGTCTGCACCGGGGTTGCTGTGGAGGGTCGGCTATAACCCGAACTGAAATCGAATCCGCCAGTGTTCTGGATAGGTGACACTGGTGTCGGTTGTACTAGAGGTCGGCTTGAATCGTTCGAGTATTGCCGGTATGGTGCTGGGTGCCTATTATAGCTGCTGGGCGTAGCCGTTTGAGACCTCTGAGGATATTCAAACCCTATTTGGGGACCAGGAGACCGCATGCGATTTGGGTTATCGTAGCCATAAGCTGCTCCTGGACCGGGTGATCCCATTCGAGCGGGATTGTTGTACGCGTTGTTCACACTTGGTGCAGTGCGGTAGCTAGGCGGAGCACCAGGGGTTCCGCTGCGTCCATACTCGTCATATGGTCTCGGGGTTCGCGACTGAGGGTATCCCTGATCGGCTCCTCTACCATACCCGTTGTTATATCCATTATTGTAGTCTTGTTGAGGTGTTTGACTTCTCATTGCCCCAACTGCCGCCATACCATATCCTTGGTTCGAATTATCATGCCTAGCCTGTCCGTAACCATTATAGTCGTAGTGATCATATCCTTGTCCATTTGCCGAGTACGGATCCGTTCCAGCTCGCGCCGGAGCCATGTACCCGTTAGGGCCACCCTGTGCGGGGGGCGGACCATAGGGATTTCTGTTATCAGGAGAAACCGGGCTTGGCGTAGTCGGATGAGATAGGTTGTTCGTACTGAGAGCCATGTTCTGGGTCTCCGTTTTCTTTAAAGGTTCCATCTCAACAGAATCATCCTCGATCAAGATTTTCTTCGTCTGCGCGCCTTCCCAACTCGGCATAGCAGGCAAAGAATCCGCGTCCTTTTTACTGTCCTCAAATATGGCATATTGCGGGGTGTCAGACACTGGAGCTGGAGCTGGAGCTGGGGCAAAACTTGGCGTCATTGGTGCTTGCGAACGATACTGTTGGTTTTCGTTATGGTGTGGCGGGACGAATGGTTCATCGAGATACTTGTGTCGCTTGCCTCGTGGTGGATCACAACATCCGCAGCACTCACCACAGCACTTTAGACAATAACAGCACTCGCAACAGCACGAAAGGCCGCAGCAGAGACACCGAGCGATACACCAAACGATGGAGAGAATGATCAGACCACCGATGACAATTACAGCAATTACTGGCCACCTATCGAATGTTAGAATTATGAGATCACGCGGGATTGGGATCCGTTCAACCGTACTTGCAAAAGCTGGCCTGCATACAATTATCCCAACTGGAGAAGGCAGTCTTGGCGTCTTTGATGTCACCTGTGATACTGTCGACTGAAGCACGCTTGCTTATCGCTGCAGCGGCACTTCGCGCAAGAAGGTTTACGAAAGCATCCTTGAAGCTTCGCTCTTGGAGGCTACGCTCCATTAATACGCCGATATGTGGCATCGCGTAGTCCTTCAATATAAACGTAGTTTCGGTACCGTGCTAAGTGAATGTGATTTTGTAGGTATTCGTAGATTTTCGGGAAGATGGTCGAGTTGCGGAAGCGTTGTTAAAGATCCATGGCACGAAAATACCGTCAAATAGTGGTAAGAGTAATATTATCCCCAACCCGTGGGAGTATCACCTTGCTCAATAGCAAACAAAATACTCTATACACTAACGGAGATCTAAATTGGGTTTCCCAGCCCGTGAATTACTCGTTTCGAGTCCAAATATGACGATGTTTCGCTCGTGACTCGTTGTTTCGGCGTGGCTTTGAGGGTAAGCGTGTGATATAGGGGATCAGTCAAAGGCGAAGTTGAGCCCGTCTGTCTAATAAAATGAAGGGATGAATGTCAAAGCAATCCGATATGGAAAAAGGAGCGTAAAACGATATAACTAGTATATCGTCGCGAAAAAAACAAAGAATCAATAATAACACGAGAACATGCCTCGATTATTGAGAAGGAGAGAATTTGGCGTGGTAGTGGGTGAGAAGGTAAAAGGCGTAAAGGCCTCAGAAAGGCTTGGAGGAAGGGACAGGGAAAGTTTCCTAAACTTACTGGGGATCGCTGTACATAGTATGTAAATCCCTAATATCGAACCTGGTAAGCGAGGTAATAACTCTGCAGAACGGCCGCAGGACTCTGTAAGCCGTTCCTGAAAAAGGTGGGGGCGTTTGGAAGAACGGCAATTCCATACGCAAGTCGCAATTAACCCGCTATGTAGATGGGACGCAGCGTGGAGATTGCCTAAAACGAAGCATGTTCCTAAGCAGCGCAGGGCAGCGGTACCTGACAAGGCCAGGGCTGCTAGGCAAGACCCGATAAGCTACTGCATTCGTCATTTAACTCTAATATTTCCTAACTCGATAATTACGTATTAACGAAACACGATTACACAGTCTTTTGCCAAGGGCGCGAGGTCATTGCCAATATGCCTGCTGTTTCAACTCGCTGGGCAACAATTGATCTTTGTATGAGGGGGCTGTCGACCTGTGGGTTGTATTCCTTTGTGCTCTAACTGTGGCTGGCGTCAGGATGATCCTATAGGCGCTTACTATGTATGTATTCACTGCGCCCACATTCTAAATCCGTATAATCAGGCATCAGACTAATGAATTTTTTTTTTGCTACCGGAGGAACAGAATCCACAACTCAAATCCTTATGGATGGCTTTTGTTTGCCAGGTTGGTTTACTACTACATATATATTGACCGAATCTGGTGCGCAAAGGGTGCCAAGTTAGAAAAGACGATGTGGGGAGCTATCAGACCGAAAAATATCGTACGTTCACCGGTCGAGCTTGAGAAGATGCAGATTTGCGGGGTTAAGCTATGCAATCTGCAATGATTGGCAGCGTTTCACTGTACATAGAATCTCACCCGCGGATCCGCGGATCCGCAACCCTTGGGATCGTCGTTGAAAACTCTAGTGGACCTGACTGCATGTTCAAGACATCGCACCTCATTTGACAATTCCCTTAGCTGGTGAACCGGCTGATATAACAAATCAGATGGATCACATTGGCAATTATGCATGGAACTGAGATCTTTTGCAGGTTGTGAAAGCCTGTGTCATTAGACAACTATTGTAATAGAATGAGAACTTCACCAGGTGAAGACTTAGAGACATTTTCCGGGGCAACCCGGAAGTCAATAAGCATTATGAAGGTACACATGAAGTGACCCGTAAGTAGGTATGAAGGCAAAAGAACGAAACCCATTCTTGACCACTTGTGACCCTTCCCAACGACGTGCAGAATCGTGCAGACATACTACTTGTTCATTCCCTATGCCCGTCCTCATTACCAACGCCGAGTAAGCAACCGACCCTTTAAATGAACGCCTTACACCACCAAATCAATCAGGGTATGTTCCAAGTCTGCTGTCCTCCACTTGTCTGATCACTTTCCTGATTTATCGGTTGGGAGGGGGGCCCTCAGGAGGTGCGTAGTCAGTCTTGGCGGCGCCGTTGTTGTAGACGTTCTTCGGGGGCTGTACGACGCCTTCATGTTGACCATAGTAACCATCGTCACGGTTGAATGTAGTTCCGGTGTACTGGTTGTCCATCGGATACGCCTGTCCGTACGCCGGAGGAGGAGGGTGGGCACTATAGCCTTGGGGGTTGTTGTTGTTGTAATACGCGTTCTGGCCTTGGTTGCCAGCCATCCAACCCGTACCATACATTGGCTGAAGGCCTTGGCGTCTGCGACGACGAGAATTGATGCATCTGAGGCGGGTGTTAGTTTTCAAAACCCTCGGTCTTGCATATTTGATTGAGTACTTACGCCCACAGGAAGAAGACGGCGAGAATCAGAACGATGACTACGGCCGCGAAGATCCAGCGGCCGTACCAATTCCATGCACTGTAGCAGTTGCCGTATCTGTCGTAGTATCCATTATCGCAATATCGCTGGCGCTTTGCCAATTCGGCACCGACTTGGTCGATGAAAGGCGCCATGTCTTCTTGACGATGCGCGACGAGAATGAGTTGTGGTATGTATGTATGTGTCAGAAGTGATTGCTGGTGGGTAAGAAACCTTCAATTAAATATGTTCGGATGCAGTGGTAGAGAAGTCCGTCTAAAAATGTCCGAAAGTAGAAAGGTTATCGTTTGTTCCCGGGGTATGATGCGGAATGACGTCGAGGAAGGTTTAAGGTAATTTGGTGCTACTTTGTGTATTGTGGATATTCACTTTTTAAAGATAGGCAGTTTGTATTTATGTTGACAAAAAGTCAGAGTGAGATTTCATTTGAAACGCTCAGAAGAGATGACTGCTTTTTATTGAGGAGCGGTCTTAGGACAATGAACACGCAATACGATGCATGACACGGCTGAAAGTTGCCGACTACCGATTTGGAATGGATCTTGCTTGGCGTGGCAGGCGGGAATGGAATCATCATTGAGTGCCTGTGGTGCCAATTAGCTGCCAATGGTGGCTGTGTACGCGTATTAGAGGGCCTGACCTTGACATGTCTTGTACTGCCAATGTACCTTACACGCATATTCACATGAGAAGATACACTGACTACATATTACATAAGATTGCATATGTCTACTAACTTACTGTGCGCAAGGTTTATGTAGTTGAAAGCTTGCTAATGAACTTTCCAGAATGGAGTCTTGGAGCTATCGAGGCAGAGCAAAAAGTCAATTGGTCCTTCAAATGCACAGCTCTCTTAACTCTATTCCAAATGTCGAAGCTTTTCGCAACGAAATACCATAATGGTTCAATTTTGTTTGAATCACCTGCTTAGCTGCTCGTGGCTTGGGCGTGAGATGACGAATGAATACCTAGATCCCATCCATAGCTCCGCAATCAAGGCTGAGCAAGTCTTAGCAACAATGGAATAAGACAAATCCGAGGAATACCTACAAATTCCCTAATACAAATTCCCTCGCATCTTCTAGACTATCTGGAACCCGTCTCAGATAGCGAAGCTATCCTGTTACGGTCACGATGGGTGACCTCAGCTCCTGCATAGGACTTTAAGAGTGTCTTCCCCCTCAGACGATTACCGTCTCTCCTCATATCACTTCAAGGTTCTTGTGGCTATGAGAATCGCAAGAGCTCTTCTTTACTGGTCGCTTAGACCTTAATGATATCAAATAACGAGGCACCGAGAGACAAAGCGCGATATTTGCCTTCTACGTATAAAATACAAGCGTATGGATCTATCATCCTTCTTTACCGACATCCATGTCACGGTTCACGACATACATTCGCGGGGGGGGTTGCGACCATCTACACTTACTTTTCCCTGAAGCATGTAAACACTTCGGTCTCGCTTCTTCTCCTAGGAATGTATCCTTGTCTTATATTACTAACGATACTTCCTGTTATGTCCCTGCACGCTTTTCCATTCCTTATCCGGCATCGTATACATGGAAGCAGGCCTAAGTGCCGGTGTCTGACATTATGGCATTAGAAGCACGATTACAACTTCTACCTCTTACTACTATGGTATTCGGAATAGGTAGAAGAGAATTTTATAATTTTCCAATAGTACTACCCAATGTTAGTAAATATCTGATTTCTCCTCAACAAACTCCGAGTTGTTTTCTTTTTTGGCAGAGTCCTTTTACTAGGATCTTGTATGTACTCAGCTAGTCTAGAACCCGAGATTTGACGATCAGTTGCTGAGTTGAAGGGGACGGAGGGCAGCAGGTCCGCGAGCTAATGACATGCGGCCACGTCAAAAATCTCCGTAGATTCATTATCATGGGCCCATGGCATGCCGCCCATCTCAACACACACAACTGCAACTGTAGCAGCAACCTCGCCCGAGAAGAGAAACAAGAAACAGCACGACACACAACCCAAATAAAACAAAAGTACATGACTCGCTCGTAAGATCCTCTACCTGCCGTAGATGTAACTCGCGAATACCACTTGACTGGTAGCCGCGAGCCCAATTTTCGTCCAAATGCATCCATGAATACATATATTCCATACCCACATGCTCCCTGCTGAGGTACCTGAAGTCCACGTTGCGCTGTCCACGGTCGCCTTGTGAGCCAATCATTCCCCTCCCATCGCCTCGCTGGAGGGTTTGCCAACTCATCATCGCATCAAATGTGGTCTGTGTGTAGCCTTCAAGTATCGCTATTCCTGCACCTCTCTTGTCGCCGACGCTTTTCTCCTTTCCCTTCCTTCTCTTCGTGCTATCCCAATCTTGATTTTGGCATGTAAATGGCTTTTGTCTTTACTCTATTTCTAGTTCTTGCCAAATTTGACCCTGTCTCCTCCCCGAGTCGAGCCACCGACGCCATGTCAAACTGCATATTTGTCACACACCTCACTAGGGCGACTTAAGGAATCCTCCGGCGCCACGCTGGGCGCATTTCTTTTTCACGCCCTTAATTTTCGCTAATTGTCTTTTCACACGCGTCAAAGAGGAGCGCATATAAAATTGTCGAATATGCCTTCTGGCTTTGAGTGAAGTCGTCAAGTCATAATTGATTTAGTCATAAATGCACCTAACTACACCAATGCTTCCTTGCCGCCCTGCTCTCATACTTGGACGTCTAGCAGTGTTCGCCGTCACAACCTTCAAACGTTGACAAGAGATTCCAGCCGAAGAAAAGGAAAGGAAAAGGAAAAAGAATATGTCGGATGTTATCCTGACCCTTCTAGCACTTCGAGTTCCGAAACCGTCGACTCCATCTCCGATTGCTATGCAGTATTTGAGTCGAGCAGACGAGGCATATGAAAAGAAAGGGAATACTGGAGGGTGAGGCCCGAGATGTTGAAGGCACACTAACGGTACAGGCACCTCCGTATTTAAGCTCGCGAGAGATGATTTATATATTAGGTCGTCGCCGGCCGGAAGTTGAACCGTCTTTTACATCCCATGATATCATTAGCGTCGTGAAAATGCTTCGAAAGTGCCGCGAGGACAGCGAGACGATGCCCCGGTCAGCAGGATTGGTCCCCGGTGGCCGGAGAAATCAAAAACAGAAGTCAAGTGTTGCGTAAAGAGAGAGTTCATCTGTTGGCCCACTTCATGAGCCATTGGATTACCGCGTCTAGGTTGGTCTCCTCCTTCGCGCTAATCCCGTAGCAGGAAACCTCGCGATGTCCTATACTCTTGAGGTCTAGAGCGTCTATAAGCTCGTCCACGCTGAGCTTAATATGGAGGTCAGACTTATTGCCTAGCACGAGCAACGGGATCCCTTCAAGACTCGGCTGCGACATGAGGGAATGGAGTTCTTCCTTTGCCATGGGCAGCAGGTCTTGGTCAGCGATGTCTACGATGAACACGATCGCATTCACTCCGCGACAGTACCTCTCCCACATCGGCCGAAAACGAGGTTGACCGCCCAAGTCCCAGCATTTGAGTGTCACATGGCCACGTTGTACGCGCTTCATGTTGAAACCGACGGTTGGAATAGAGCTACACGACCTGTTAGCCGACCCGATGATTACCGTATCGACGCCTGAGGGTGTGACGAATTTCATCAGTGTTATTAGTGAGGGTCTCGTGCTTACTCGATCGTAAATTCTCCACCCTGGAAAAAGAAGAAACAGATCATTAGCGGCGCTGAAGATTTTGATGGATGATGATTTCGGGTACCTACCGACAAGACGCGAAGCAAGGAGGTCTTTCCAGCATTCTGCAGACCTATCATCGTGACATCCATTTCGGTCGCCCTAGTCGGGGCCGTTAGTACGGTGCGCTGCGAGTAAGAAGGTTGACGGCGTCGTGATGCAAAATGCGCATGCAGGTACGGCGGTGAGCGGCACACTCTCGCGATCTTGCGACCCCGCGCTGGGCGCTGCTTTCGTGGACTCACCAGAACGTTCTGAGCAACCAGTCATACACCTTTCGGAATAACCCTGCCATCATGTCCAGATTCACAGGTAATCGTGTCTAATCAGTAGCTAAACTTGTGAGCTATCGGATCGCCGGTATCGTAGAAAGCGAGGATATTTTGTAGGTCCGCACAAGGCTGGGCGGTTAAGGGAAAAAAAATTACACGCGGTGGACGCAAGAGATGATTGAGGGTTTGTCTCAAACAACAGGTTTAAATAGTTTGCGCTTCGGCTTGCTTGCTGAATTTAGGAATAAAATGTCTCGTATGACGATGAGCTGCGATGTCTTCGCTCGTAGCGCTCACGGCGGGTTCGTCGGCCCCAGGCGCAAATTGCGTTCGGTGAATGCGAACTGTCTAGGTAGCTTCTGGCGGTGGTGAAGGTACATGCAACATTTGATGAAAGATAGAAGCGGGATGGACGGTGACGCCTGGACGGAGGGTCACAATTCCCCACCACGGAAGATCGCACAAGCTGTTATGAACTTATGATGCCCCGTGCCTTCAACTGGGACGTGACCAAGTGGGAGGGATAGAAGGCCGACCTTGCATCTGAACGGGCAGCGGCTAGAAAGACTGGGGTTTCATTCGTCTGTTTCGACAAGGCCGGTCGACTTCGAACCACAATAATCCAAATGGGCTAAAAAGTGATAGTGGTATGTAGTAGGTAAGGTTGGTACTGTGGACAAGACTACACAGCAAAAAGGAATGAATAATGCGCGCGCGGGATAGGAAACTTGACAAGCGGGAACAAGATTGGAGAGCCGCGAGTATGGGGAATTAAGACGGTCGCTATTGAACGGCCCGTTGCGAGCGTTTCGTACACGGACAACCCTTGGAGGTATCGTCCTGGTCCCAGAGGTCCCAGACTGCTAGTCTCGTAGCTCGATGGGAATCAGATGTAAGACTTGCCTAGCCAGTAGGTCTGCAGGCGATAGTAGAATAGATAGTCGAATGGAAGTTGGGGATAGAACGAAAGCAGTAAGGGCTTATGCTCTCTCCTGTGGGGAGCACTGTAGAAGAACGGTAATCAAGACTTTCCTTATGCTCTCCTCGCAACTTTACGCCTCGAGGTTTTCCCGAACTGCTACTCTAGCCGCCTCGGAGACCCGTCACCTGCTCGGGCGGGTAAGGTATCCAAAACTCCCCCACACTCAGCAAGCAGCTAAACGTATTGGGTCTGTAATGCTTTACGTACTTCCTCGCTGGGCAGACAATTTGCTTCCACCAGCGATTGTGTACTTAGCTCCTCCTTGCCCCAAGTAGTAATAGCAAGAAGTAGTATGGAGAGATCAACGTTTAATGAAACTGTTTAGGACGATATCACGGCAAATCCAACTTTCGGCAGCACGGTGCGAGCGATCACGGGGGAGGAAGAGGAGAAGGCGGCGGTGCTTTGGTGCTTGGACCGGAGCACTGGACGGAGATCGGCTTGTTTGTAGCAAAAGGATCAGGTCGAGAATGGTAGGCTATGGTTTGAGGTCCCAGAACTGGTCGGGTCTTTCAGATGCAGGTAGTGAACGACCTCAAGCGAGGTCAGATGCGGCAGGCCAGAAGTAGAGAAGATAGGTAGGTTGTAGACCTGGTAGAATCCAGGACCAAGAGTCTAAAGGTTAGGTACCTACCAATTACCACCAGACGAATTCGGATTCGGGCCAAGGCGAGGCAGCCTGCGGGATGCAAGCATTGCACGGCAGGTAGCTTTGAGGTCGGGGTTGGGCTGCAAGACTGGTGCAAGATGACAGCAACAATAACCTTCTGGGTATGTATGTATTGGAGGTACGTCGTACCTCGTGCTTAGTGAAGATATGAGTGGTTGAGAATCGTCTAGAACAGAACAGGATTGTTGTATATCTATCGCAACGACTTGGAACGAGCTTGATTGCAAAATCTCCAGACTTTCTTGAAGAAAATGAGGAAGAGATTCAGATGAAAGTTTATATGGAGCAGAATATTATAAAAGTCGAGCTGGAACCCATTAAAACGTGATGAACTTAAAAGATCATTGCTACAACTAAGGAAGCAGCTAGATATGTACATAACTTTGAGCCAATTCGTAGCTATCACTTTACAACTTTCAAGCACGTCCAACCAACGCAATTGCATAACTGCTTTTTACGTACCAATGTACCCCCAATGCCGGCGTCCAGGTGGATCGAAATGGAACTTAAGGAGGGCGCTAACTACGTACCTGGTACGTAAGTCCATCTGATTAACGCTTATCGATAGCAGATCAGGTGATAACGGTGGGGGCTAATCCTGGGAATTGAAATCTTTTGGTCGATAAGGAATTTTTTTCAAGGTTATCGCTTTTCAACGATAGCTTCGAAAACGTGAACTCAATGTGGGAGAAGTAACTTTGACTTTTGCACCTCAATTGACACAAGGAAAGTTTTCGCCGCCAACATGGCGCCGCAGCCAACCAGCACAAGCTGGGATCACGAATATAATACTCTTCGCCGAGAGAAGCTATTTAGAGAGCCCCCAACAGATCGCTCTGCGTACCCTCTATTACAACAAGCCGTCAATCCACACATCGAGTCTTTCGATGCGCTTTTCGGCAACGATGGCCTGATTGCGCACGGTATTGCCGACATTGGTACAAAACTGTTTCTAGATGGAGACGAGCGCGCTCCACCGGCCGGGAAGAACAAGTTGAAGATCAGATACAAAGGCATACACCTCCAGAAATCGCAACTCCCTCCTACCAACAAATTTGCCGTCAAAAACCGAGAGATTCTTCCCGCTGAATGTAGGGAACGACATGTGTCATATAGGGGAAAGCTTTCTGCTACCTTCGAGTATAGAATAAATGATGGAGATCCGAGAGAGTTTACTCGAGAAATTGGTCAGCTCCCGATTATGGTAAAGGTAAGACCCAGGGCTCTTGATAATACACTTATGAGAGAATTGGTCCCTAAACTAGACTCTAGTCGATGTATTGCCATCTCAGGGACAACAGCCCAGCACAGTTAGTTTTGCGTAAGGAAGAATCAGAAGAACTAGGGGGATACTTCATCATCAATGGCATCGAGAAGATAATACGGCTTCTCCTAGTCAACCGAAGAAACTTCCCCTTAGCGATTAACCGTCCGAGTTTCACCAATCGCGGTCCTGCTTATACCCCTTACGGTATCATCGTGAGATCAGTACGACCAGATGAAACTTCTCAGACCAACGTTCTTCATTACTTAGACGACGGAAATGTTACCTTTCGTTTCTCTTGGCGAAAGAATGAGTACCTGGTCCCTGTCATGATGGTTTTAAAGGCACTCGTGGAGACGAACGACAGAGAAATTTTCGAAGGTTTAATCGGATCCCCTGATTCGAAGGGGATCCATAACACATTCCTCACGGATCGCGTCGAGCTCCTACTACGGACTTATAAGACCTATGGAATATACACGATGGCACAGACCCGATCATATCTTGGGGAGAAATTTCGACCGGTATTGGGCGTGTCTGATACTTTGTCAAACTATGAAGTCGGCACCGAGTTCTTGCGGCGAATTGTGCTCGTTCATCTTGGCAATATGAATGTCACGGAAGGGCAAGATTCGGACAAGTTTCGCATGCTTTTGTTCATGATCAGAAAACTCTATGCTTTAGTTGCTGGTGACTGTGCCGTGGACAACCCTGATGCGGTGCAGAACCAAGAGATCCTCTTAGGCGGGTTTCTATACGGCATGATAATTAAAGAGCGACTAGATGAGTTGCTTTCGGTTGGACTTCGCAGTGCGCTTCGAGACTATTTTAGGAGATACCCGGCAAGGTCATTTGCTTCGGAAGAATTTGGGAAAGATTTCCCCATCAAACTATTCCAGAAAACTAACGAGAACGTCGGCAATGCTTTGGAATACTTTCTGTCAACCGGCAATTTGTCGAGTCCATCTGGTCTGGATCTACAACAAGTATCGGGTTTCACCGTTGTTGCAGAGAAGCTCAATTTCCTTCGTTTCATAAGCCATTTCCGCATGGTTCATCGTGGAAGTTTCTTCGCTCAATTGAAGACCACAACCGTACGAAAGTTGTTGCCCGAATCTTGGGGTTACCTTTGTCCCGTCCACACGCCAGATGGTGCCCCTTGCGGCCTACTCAATCATCTGGCGCACAAGTGCAAGATTATGACCGAATCCGTTGATGTTTCGGCAATCCCCCAGCTAGCTGCTGAGCTTGGCGTAGTCGACACTTCATCTGCCGCTACGGATGAGAGTGTCGTAGTCATGCTTAACGGAAGGATCCTTGGTTGGTGTCATCCGTCCGAGTCACGCAGAATAGCGGACACGTTTCGATATTGGAAAGTCGAGGGCTCTCATGGCATCCCTGTCCATCTTGAGATCGGCCATGTACCGTCCTCTAACGGAGGATCGTACCCTGGCATATATATGTCATCCGAGCCAGCTAGGATGGTGAGGCCGACGAAATATCTTCCATTAGAGAAGGAGGATTTCGTCGGTCCCCTTGAGCAACCATATATGTCTATTGCTTGTACGGAACAAGAAGTCGTCTCCGGGGAATCGACACACGTCGAGTTCGACCCCACGAATATACTTTCGATATTGGCGAACATGACACCGTTCTCCGACTTCAACCAATCTCCGAGAAATATGTATCAATGCCAGATGGGCAAGCAGACGATGGGAACCCCAGGAGCTTCGTTAGCCTACCGAACAGACAACAAAATGTACCGTATCCAAACCGGCCAGACACCTATCGTTAGATCGCCGCTACACAACGCATATGGCTTCGACAATTTCCCCAACGGCACAAATGCTGTTGTTGCTGTCATATCATACACCGGATACGATATGGATGACGCTATGATTCTAAACAAGTCGGCCCACGAACGAGGTTTTGGGCACGGGACCATCTACAAGACCAAAAAATACACACTCAAGGAAGAAAGTCGCACAAGAGCAGCCAAAAATGTGACTAAGATGTTCGGCTTCGCCCCGGGCAGCGTTGTGAAGGCGTGGACGCAGACGATGCTGGACGAAGACGGGCTCCCCCACGTCGGACGAATGGTTCAGGAGGGCGACGTCATTTTTGCTTACCACACGGTCTCTGCAGACTATAGTGGCAACTTGGTAAACCGAGATGGTGTCACCAAGTACGAAAAGTACAAGGACTCGGAGCAAGGATTCATTGAAGAAGTGCGATTAATTGGCAGTGAGCAAGGTAACGAGCCTGCCCAGACGATCTCGATCAAGTTCCGTGTCCCTCGGTCGCCAGTCATCGGAGACAAGTTTTCATCTCGTCACGGTCAAAAGGGTGTATGTTCGCAGAAATGGCCGGCTGTGGATATGCCATTCTCAGAGTCCGGTATCCAACCAGATATTATCATCAACCCTCACGCTTTCCCGTCACGAATGACAATCGGTATGTTTGTCGAGTCTCTAGCAGGAAAGGCAGGTGCGCTTCATGGGCTAGCACAAGATTCAACACCTTTCCGCTTCGACGAGGAGAACACGGCCGCCGACTTCTTCGGCCATCAGCTCATGAAGGCCGGATACAATTACCACGGGAATGAGCCGATGTATTCGGGAATTACAGGTGAGGAGTTAGCTGCGGACATCTACATAGGTGTTGTGTATTACCAACGATTACGACACATGGTGAACGACAAATATCAAGTAAGAACCACGGGACCAGTAGTTGCAACAACAGGTCAACCAATCAAAGGTAGAAAACGAGGAGGTGGTATTCGTGTGGGAGAAATGGAGAGAGATGCTTTGTTAGCACACGGCACAGCATTCCTTCTCCAGGACCGTCTCCTCAACTGCTCGGATTACTCACCGTCATGGATCTGCCGTAGATGCGGCTCCTTCTTGTCGATACAACCGACAGTGTCTCCTTTCGTTGGCAGGAAGAAGACGGCGAACACAGTGCGATGCCGCAATTGTGCGACACGCCTTGATCAGATCAGTGACGTTGATTTGACCAAGCTAGCTGGTGAGATATGGGAAGACGGCCAAGGGAATCAGTGGGTTGGAGGCGAAGACACAACGAAAGTAGCAGTTCCCGGTGCTCTGAAGTACCTGGATGTTGAGCTAGCTGCTATGGGTGTCAAGCTGAAATACCGAGTTGACCCGAAGGATGCTCCGCGAAAAGGACCGCTGTTGCAGAAAAATTGGAAGGGTATTTCGGCGGCAAAGGAAGCAAATGGCCTCCCTCCTGCTATAGCGGCCGCTTAAACATTTCACTAGACACATTCAAAAAGATTTACTGCGGGATAGCATCAGATGGAGTTAAGAGGTTACCGGCCCTCGGTTTGGGGAATAGACAATTCTGGTAGTAACACAGAGGAGTCTAATTGAATTATTGAACGACGTACAATGGTTTCATTTGGGATGTCTTGGGATTCATCATATTGTCAGAGGGACAGTACTGCAGGTAGCCGTTGCAATGACCAATTGGTCTCAGAATGGCCATATGTTGTGCATCATCTATATCCCTACCGACGCAATCGTCGTGCACTGCGCCGCCCGAGAGAGGGATTTGCCTGGTTATAGAGGCCCTTCATTTAAGATCTTCCCGTTTATGCGGTGTTGGGGAGATTGCAATTCAAGGCGAGTAGCCAATTTCCTTCAAACACTGATCACTTTTCTAGTTTCTACTATGAGAGCCCGTTCTAAGATGAGATGGTCCTATTCATGTTCACGAATGCCAGATCTGATCATGGGCTCGGGGCTACGGAATCAATTGCTCCTGGTCGAGCGTTCGATGCGTTCGATGTTTGTAACGTTGAATAGTTCAGGGTCGGCAAAAGGAGCAACAGCAAGATAACGAGATCGCATCAAGTCGCCGTTTCCCAAAATAAGTCCTGGTCAATGCACACACAGGAAACTACAACCTTGAGTAGAAACCTACCTACCTAGACACAGATACTCGGTTTCTGTCAGAATTCCGAAGGTCTTGACTTCCTCCCATCATATTTCTTCCTCTTAATCAACCATACATATAACCTCATACATATTCTCTCTTACCTCCATAACATATGAAAAAGAACGGCCTGACACAGCTCCTTTGGTTTCTTTCTCTTCGTCAAGGAGATAAGTTAGTTATACCTTGCCTTGAATAATTTCTTCCCGGCTCCTTCTTCAAGTACCTTGCCTCTAATATTTCCAGTCTGCGTTGTACAGTCCTGCAGCACCAGCACCATTCTTTGTGTCCTTTAGTAATTCCCGGGATCGACCGTTCAAGACTTTGTCGAGGGCTCGTCATGTCGCTCATTCATAAGGTCTATCTTGTCATATTCTTTTTGCTCTCTATAGCCATCGCCGATCTCGTTCACCCCGGGCAATATGATTACGGGTTTAATGCCGATGTGCGCCTCCGAAAACGGGATCCCGTCCAGTCCCGTATCGTCACCGGCGTTCCCCGTGTCGATGGCAAGGCACAGCCGAGGCCAGACATTCGAGACTTGCAGAAGGATGAAGACAAGTGGAGCTTGTACATCCTCGCTCTCAGTTGGATGCAGTTCACCGATCAAGAGAAACCGTTCTCGTGGTACCAGATTACAGGTACGTAGCAAAGAGTAAGACTGGATATATTTTGTACTGACTACATGTTAGGGATTCATGGTGCTCCAGCACTTACATGGGCAGATGTCGACCCGACCCCCGGCAACGAGCATAGCGGATACTGTACTCATGTGTCTATTCTCTTCCCTACGTGGCATAGGCCCTACCTTGCTCTATATGAGGTACGTTGAGGTGATCTTGTTGTCTTGTCTGTGACATTTGCTACTCTAGAATATAGTGCTAATCCTACCTGGCCCCAGCAAGTATTGTACAATATTGTTCAATATATTGCATCGCTATATCCGCCAGATCGTCGGGGCCGCATTCAGGAAGCTGCGACGGCTTTTAGAATCCCGTACTGGGACTGGGCCGCCGTTCCACCGGAGGGAGTTAGTGTCCTCCCCTTAAGCGTTGGTGGTTCACCATCTATCAACATATCCGGACCAAACGGCATTCAAACAATCTCGAACCCCTTATTCAGCTATGTTTTCAGACCATTTAACGCATCGACGTTCCCTGACTTTCCGGTAAGTCTGACTTCCACGGAGTTGAAGACTACAAACTGACAATAACCCATGAAAGTATAACGCATGGCCAGAGACAAAACGAGCACCGCGTCCAATAAATAGTGCTAACGCAACATCTAATAACTCATTCGTGGCACATGCGCTAGACGTTCACCTCCCGAGCTTCCAACAGCGTTTATATAACCTGTTTTCCAATTACCCAAATTATACGGCTTTTAGCAACGAGGCTTGGATCCCTTATGGAAACAACGGCACCTATGATTCTGTCGAGTCCCTCCATGACGCAATTCATACCGTAGGAGGAGGCGTTTATGGACATCTTGCCATCATAGCCTACTCGGGATTCGATCCACTCTTTTGGCTACATCATACCAATGTCGACAGGATCTTTGCAATGTGGCAATTGCTTTACAATGACACATTTGTCGTTCCTCAGTCTGCTGTTTACTCTTCCCACACGACGTCTCCCGGCGAAACGGAAGACTCCCAGACCCCCCTTACGCCATTCTTCTCTAATGAAACACACTTCTGGACATCAGATATGGTCCGAGACCATGAAGTCTTCAATTATACCTACCCTGAGGTAGCCAACAAGAGTCGCGCAGAACTTATTATCACTATCAATAGACTTTACGGAAACTTCAGCCCAGCTGCTATGTTCACGAGGCCAAGCGGGACTCAGCGACATGGCAAGAAAGATGAAACGCAATTGGATGATCGGGGGTTGTATGCCGCAAATGGATTATCCTGGAACAGTCAGACATCATCTCGCCCTGCTATGAGCGCCGTTTTTAGTAACGGAAAGTATCGTGAGTGGATTGCGAACATACGAGTCAAAAAGCATGCGATGGGTGGTTCATTTTCTATCCACCTCTTCTTAGGAGAAATTCCATCTGACCCGTTGTCATGGCCGGTAGCTTCCAGCTTAGTTGGCACTCTAGGAGTATTCGCTCATAGAGGTATGCATGGCATGCAGTCTGATCGAAAAATCACAGGAACGGTCCCAATAACCTCGGCGCTGATGAATTTGGTGGCATCCGGGGAGGTACCGAGCTTACATGCGGATGACGTTGAGCCATTCCTTAGGTCTAATCTCGAAATCCGGGTTTGCCTCGCCAATGGCACGATAGTCGAAGTTCATGAAGTAGACGGCCTCTATATCCAAATTATCAGCTCAATGGTAAAGGCGCCAAAATCAGAAAACGTACTTTCGGAATGGGGTGAAATCGAAACCCATTTTGATCTATTTGCATAAGAGACATATGTCCTAGACAGTTCATAGAAGGATTGGCCATGTTGTATGTGGTGGGTTTCCTATAGCAGCACCCTTGAGACCTGATTAGGTAGAAGACTTTGAAGTGATTCGATTCTAGTTTTGTTTCTATTGTTAATAATTAATGGACAGATTACTTCTCCTCTCTATGAAGGTGATGTATAGAGGCGACGAGTGGCTACTAACTGCTTCTCCTGAGGATATAGGTGTAACTTTCAAAATTAAATCTTACCCATGTCGTCATAGCATCATCTATTGGCATAATAGTCCAATAGGTATTGACAATTCCTATCCGTATTCCTATTGTGGTAGTGAGCTAACCTCTGATTGGAGGCTATTTCGGTGGACCCATCCATCCTTCTCATAGCGGTATTCCCAGACAATACCTATTCTCAACGACATCTTCATTCCATACCTAGATTGCCAATTTCGTGATATCTGGAATATGTACTGAAGGCTGCTTGAGACTAGCTAGTGTTGCGGCTTGTAATGGTGAATAAAATGAATAAATTGCTTGTTTAGACTTCTCTAAGGATTGGTATAGTATATACCACGACTTTCCTCTTTCACTCAAGATACTACCTAGGTAGCTACCAAAATAGGTAGGCAAGTGCTCATGATACTCGTTGGCATAATAACTCGTCGTGTTTATCTCTAAGATCCATTCGCAGATACCGTTTCGAGCAGTGCACCGGATACCACTGTCTTTACTCTTCGAAGTCATCGGTCCCCTACGAGAAAGAATCGCGAGATGTCAAGCTTGTATGCTAAACATTGTTGACAATTGGAAATATGAGATCTATTCATAGGCACTCGCGTGCCCGGAGATTATATCGAACTAGATATATTGAAACTGGTTTCGATAAAACAAGTGATATCGGACCGATGGATAGGCTTGCAGTTAAGGTTTCAGCCCTAGGAGATCTTCGACTTAGGTACCTGGTCACTACCTCAATTCAAACGGCCGCATGGCGTCTTTGAAGAGACACTGCATTAGTTTGAGGCTTGTGGGAGCATTAGACTAAGGACGCTAACTGATAGAGAATAATGTTGCGTATGTGGTTGAATGGCGTTGAGACGGCGAAGCCACCCGGTGAGCCCCCGGTGAGCCACCCTACGATGAAGTCGCCCAATAGGGGTAGGGTTAGATGGTCCGTGGGGGATTGGATTTTAAGACTTATAATTGACTTCATCCGCAATAGACAACAGCTAGCGCATAGGGGTCTAACATCCTCTCAATTGCAAACTATCAGACAGAATACTCTTGATCCGTTCATCATTATATCACGGAACCCCCCGAACCCTACCGGGTCCCGGCGAATGAACCAGATCTATGTCCCGTACTGCATAAGGCGCTGTTTATTGATGACCTTCCCGATCTGGTAGGTAGGTACCCTGTTACTACGCATGTAGAGATCAGGGGGTTGGGAGCACAGCCATTCACCGTTGACCGTTAACGGTTGATACGAGACCTTCACATGAAACTTTTCGCGATTCTAATTCTAATCCTAATTCCAAGATGTTCGACGTCTATACTCAAGGCAGCTTAGTTAGGTCAGCTTTCGGTCTATGATAAAAGGTAGTTCGTTGAAAACCAGCCCCTTAAGAAGCAGAAAGTGGGCTGATGGATATCTCAACCGTAGTACTATGTGTTACTAGTTAGTATGACTTCAGTTGACGTTTGTTGGTCACAGATTCCCTCCAAACTTGTTCCGTCTCACCGTCTCGCCGTCTCCCCATCTCGGCATAAGACGATGACAAGGGAAGCCGCAAGCCTCGAGCTTTCCACCTTTCGCTATTTATTTCTTCTTCGCGTCCTTCTATCCGTCTTGGGGTACAGCGGGGCAGCTGCCAAGCCTGAACCTTATCGTAAGGAGGCACTGACTCGAGATGGAATGTGTGAATGTGTCTAGGATATCCCTGCTTCCCCGAGGCCTTGGGACCCCTCTCCACCCAATCCACTTGTAACCCCACGCGCAAATCTGGCCCAATGATGGGCTTAGATATGTGGATCTTCATTCTGCTTATCTCTCAAGTGCGTTGTTGCTTACTTGTTTTGCTATGTAACACGAACCTCCCGAATTGTGCTATCGTCTTGCAAACCTTCCCTTTCTCGCCTTCACAGTCCCCCATTCCCTTTCTATCCAGTTTCCCGGGGCTAACCTTTCGACAAAGTACCTGACTGACGAAGCTCGTTAGAAGCGGTTTCGAATATCGTCGAGAACTAGATTCAGCTCCTACTTAGCCTTCTCCGTGGTGCCATGGTGTCATTGTTGTCATTGTTGTCATTGTTGGATATGTAGAGTCAAGGCTGGCTGGTTGGCTGAAGCCTATCGCCCCAGTCATCCGACAGATATGTATGCACCTACCCAGGTATGCATCTCTCCGGGGTGGTCAGACTCGATCCCTGCTTCTATCGGAATCGCTGGGCTACCATTTGTAGTTCACCGATTTTGAGGCGGGTACAGAGCCGTAGGTCTGCAGGTCATGCCCTTGCTTGTTCAGTGGCTGATCTCTGTGTCCTATTAATCTCCCCATATGGAAGGGGACCTCATAAAATCAGACGTCAATGTACGTACATGTCTATGTACGACGCTGATCGGTAATATGACCAGCTAGCAATAAAACTCTTACGCTGTACCGGCTCTACGGCCGCTGGGGCGTCGACGTTGGTTACGAGATTTAGACCTGCCGACATACGATCCCATTTAGCTGTTCTTCATTTTGATATGATTGATAGGCGCGTCGCTTGACCTAAACTGGAGCGATTAACTGTCTTAGAATTGCTTCTTCTTCTTAACTACTAACAGCTAGTAGTTTTACTACCGTGCTCTTTGCATTAACTTATTCTTGGCCACCCCCGGCTCCTTTTTAGAGATAGAAGAACCCGGTCTAAGGCATCTAGGGTATTTGATCTAGACCCCTTCTCGGTTCTTCCTGGACCACTTCCCTTGCGACTCTAACCAACTTCTTGACACTCTTTTAACCTTATTAACTTCTTCATATGTGAGGCCGGCTGCCCTTTCGCCCTTTCGACCTCGTGATTCTAGTCGCTACGAAGGCTCATCGCCGAGCTACTTGGCAACATGGTCGTACTCGAGGGCGTCGATCTCGACGCATTGAGCTATATAATCAAAGTCCCTTATAATGGCACCGGTGCAACTGGAGGCGATTCATTGACCGAAGACTTGAACATTTGGTACGAGGTTAGTGATGGATTTATATGCGCCGGAATTCAAACCGCGATCGAATTGTTTCTAACAAGATAATAGAGTGGCGATGTCGCCTGGATGATCACATCCACAGCCCTCGTGCTGCTTATGATTCCGGGAGTCGGGTAAGAAAGCACTCCTGTAATTAACTTGAAGGGTCTATGGACTTACAATAGTGAAGCTTCTTCTATTCTGGGCTCGCTCGTCGCAAATCGGCCTTGTCTTTAATATGGCTTTCCGTCATGGCCACGGCCGTCACCACGTTCCAATGGTTTTTCTGGGGTTATTCGTTAACATTCTCCCACACCGCGTCGTCTTACATCGGAGACCTGGCCAATTTCGGATTCAAAGACGTACTAGGCCAACCGTCGGTTGGCTCTACGAGAATCCCGGACTTGCTCTTCGCAGTCTACCAGGGCATGTTCTCGGCCATCACCGTCGCTCTCGCGACAGGAGCTGTAGCTGAGAGAGGTCGCATGCTACCGTGCGTCATCTTTATGTTCATCTGGTCTACGATCATTTACGACCCGATTGCTTGCTGGACCTGGAACCCAGCTGGATGGTCTAACAAGATGGGTGGGCTCGATTTTGCAGGTGGCACCCCGGTCCATATTGCTTCTGGGACAGCCGCCCTTGCATGTTAGTCTAAACGACCTACTATGCTCCTACTCGTCAGCACTAACGTGTATCCCTACAGATTCAATGATGTTAGGAAAGCGACGTGGTCACGGCACTCACGAATTGAACTACCGACCTCATAACGTCACTCACATAGTCGTCGGAACGGTGTTTCTATGGGTCGGCTGGTTCGGTTTCAACGCTGGTAGCGCGCTCTCAGCAAACTTGCGCGCTGTCATGGCCGCGGTGGTAACAAATCTAGCTGCTTGTGTCGGTGGGATTACATGGTGTGTTCTCGATTATAGGCTGGAGGGCAAGTGGTCAACAGTAGGCTTCTGTTCTGGGGTCGTAGCTGGTCTTGTTGCGATTACCCCTGGCTCAGGTAAGTTATCCATCGTTACATTAAGGAGACGTCTCTAACTTCTCTAAGGTTACGTTCCAGCCTGGGCTGCAGTAATCTACGGTGTTCTCGGAGCCGGCTTTGCCAACTATGCTACCAAACTGAAGTTCCTCCTACGAATTGACGACGCTTTGGATATCTTTGCTGTACACGCTGTTGGCGGCTTCGTGGGAAATATATGCACGGCTTTCTTTGCTGCCGACTACATTGCGCATCTGGACGGCTTTTCGGTCATCAAGGGCGGTTGGGTGAACCAGCACTGGATTCAGCTGGCATATCAGCTGGCTGATTCCATCTGCGGAGGGTGTTATTCATTCGTTGGAACATGCATAATTTGCTTCCTTCTCAACTTAATTCCTGGCCTTCAACTTCGGGCCAGTGAAGAAGCTGAGATTCTCGGTATCGACGACGCGGAAATTGGCGAATTCGCCTACGATTATGTCGAACTTACGAGAGAGGTGCTCAACGACATTGAAGGCGCTGATGCCAACAGCCGATATTCTGCTGATGCCGGAAACTCGTTTGACCCCCGTGAGAAGAACAGCATCCCTCTAATGGACTCTCGCGGGTATCCTGGACAAGCCTCTTCATCGGCAGCTTAATCTAGATCTCGGCCTTGAGGTCTATTTGTATGATACGGAACTAATTCACTATGTATTCGAGTCTCTACAATAGGGGGGGAATGAGTAATGGCGGATATTTCGCTCGCTTATGCGATATCTGGAAGGGCGCTTCGGAGTTACAAAGCCTGTATGAAAGATTTATACCCTCGGCATCAGTATATTGCACAAAACTAAAAGCCTACCTACATGTACTTGATGCCAAATTTGAGCACAGGTCTGTCTAGCGAGACTAGGAGGTGTTTTCTAATACGATTAAAACATAAGGTTAACTTTGAAAACTGGGCGCTCTTTCAAGTTAAGATCAATACTTTTACGATACTTCAAATTCAAAGCAAACCTTGCTTGAACATATGTATCTCTAGGTACCGCTACCAACTTTAAATGGGGAGTGGGTCTTGAGTACAGCGGGCCAACAAGGGATTTCTTAGTTTCGCCTAAGACGATTTAAAGGATTTTATGACATAAGATCGGGTCTGCCCCATCAATTGATCCAAGTGAATCACCCAAGACTCATGCTAAATACCAGACACTGTTGCCTACTGGGTCCTATTCAATCAATATATTAAGTTGTGCTGATGTAATATGAATACCTACTCAAGACGAGTATTCAATATTCATAAAATGTATTTTCTGATGTTGAACGCTGGAGCGGATTCCTGTTCTTCCTTTTTCATCACGCCTAAGATTAGGTAGGCGGCAATTGACAATCAATGGATCCCCTTTTGAAAGAGAAGATCGCATTCTTTGAATGCCTTGAAACGTTTATGTACGAAGATGCAGAAGATGCCTTAGACGAACATGAAGAGTCGTATCGGAAGCAGACCAGAGAATTTCTCTCCGGTGCTACAATCACACCTGCTAATGGACCTCGTCCTACGCAAAAGGGGATCGACGGGCTTCCGGGTGCTCCTTCTAAAAGAATAGTATCAGACCCGATTTCTACAAATAGCGATTCCGAGGTAGAAATCATTGCTGTCACCCCGCGCAACCGTGATTCGAAAGTCAGAGGCCCGAGTTTGCAGACAAGCACGTTGATAGGCACGGATGCCACCGTGTTCGAGACTGCAGCCGCAAGAAAACAGCCCCTTCGCCGTTCAACACGTTCGACGCGCCCAACACTTCGCGCCAGACATTCCAGCCCTCAGACTGATCCCTCACCTTCTGTCAGGATGGGGAAACGCAAGAAGGAAGCACCTTTAAAACTGGTCCCCGAAGCACAGCAAATCTTTAAAGGCCTCTCTTTCTACTATATACCTAACGACGATATCAATCCAGCGCGAAGGCTCCAGATCACTAAAGCCCGGGAGCATGGCGTTACGTAAGTCTATTTAAATCAGCTGCTAGAGGCTATCTAGGAATGAGTTCTTTGAATATCATACTCTACGGTCCCATATCATTATATCTCATCGATTATATGCAATCTAACTAACTAGATGTTCTCTAGATGGTGTCGGGAGCTTGTCAATGCAACACATATCATTGTCGACAAGAAGCTTACCTATGCAGATATAGAGCGATATCTACAAGATGACCCTAAATGGCCTGAAAAAGTTATTGTCAATGCGAACTATCCCATTGATTGTCTAAGGCACCGCATAATTGCGAACCCGGCTCAAGGACAATACAAAGTTACTGGAACCCCGGCCACAGTTAAACAACCACCGGTTGCGCCATTGTCCTCAAACGATTCCGATGTCTCACTTAAACTAAAACCAAGGCGTAAAAAAGCCGCAAAGATAACCCATGCACCTATATTAAGCACGCCGACAAGTCATGAGCTATCAACTCAGGAAAGCATCCTTTTAGTCCCGCCCTCTCAAGTGCGGCAAAATCAGAACACCGTGGAGACTTCTGGGCCTTCCAGGGAACAGAAAAGTGCCATCCCAGAAGACAATGATGAGCTTACACAATGTATATCAGAGATGAAGACTGCCTCCGATAACTCACTAGGTGATGCATTGCTAGATGATGGAGATATTCTTGGATCATCACCAACCGCGGATGAAGATGAAGCCTCGCCAAATTCCGAGAATTTGGCGGAAGATGGTCCACGGAAAAGGAGAGCTAGCTCTCGACGAAAGGATCCTGATTGGCAAGAGAAATTCATCTGTATGAAGGGAGGTACCAAAGATCATACGGATGATAGCAGTCCCAACGCGGATACTATCAAAGTCCTTCAACAAATGTTAGAGATGCACATTCTCGCCAACGATAATTTCCGTATTCGAGCATACAGATTGGCCATTGAAACGCTTCGAGCACAACCCAAGAAGATACGTACTGCCGAGGAAGCACGCGCCCTACCCAATATTGGCCGAATTGCAGACAAGATCGAGGAGATCGTCAATACGAACCGATTAAGACAGCTTGAGTACGCGCAAGACGACTCTCATCGGAAGGTTATGGCTTTATTTCTTCAGATCTACGGTGTTGGTCATAGTGTGGCCCAGAAGTGGATTTCTCAGGGATTTCGCACATTAGACGATCTCAAAAAGGGGGCTGAGTTAAACGATAAACAGAAAATCGGATTGGAACATTTCGACGACATCAATACTAGGATTCCCCGGAAGGAAGTAGAGGCTTTGGCTAGTTGTGTCAAGAGAACGGCCGCAGTCATTGACCCTCGTGTTGAGCTTATTGTTGGAGGTAGCTATCGTCGCGGAGCAGATAGCTCTGGCGATATCGATTTGATCATAACCAAAGGAGGTACGACTTCTGTTAGCGAGCTTACTCCGTTCTTGGACCGGCTTGTCAACACCCTAACAGAAGACGGTTTCTTGACTGCGGAGCTTGCTGCCCACCATGGTAGCATTGATGATGGTGGTGGCAGCAAATGGCATGGTTGTTGTGTGTTGCCGGAGAGCGCGTTCCCAGGTCCCAAGGGCGAATATCGACCAATATGGAGACGCATCGACCTGTTACTGGTCCCTCAATGCCAACTTGGGGCAGCACTGATCTATTTTACTGGCAACGACATCTTCAACAGGTCGATTCGATTGCTAGCACGAAAGAAGGGGATGCGACTGAACCAGAGAGGGTTGTATAGTGATGTCCTCCATGACCGAAACAATCAAATGACTGCAGGAACCCTAATAGGAGGGGATGATGAGAAGAAGATATTCGAGATCCTTGGAGTTCGCTGGAGAGAGCCTCATGAAAGATGGTGTGGTTAAGTTAAGCAGTTGGTGAATGACTGTATACCCCTTTCTTCCTGAATGAACTACTAGGGTTATCCTTCCTCCTCATCGTGCCTAACCCAAACATATTCTAGTTTATTCGTGACTTACTAACTTTGACTATCATCCGTAACCTAATTCATTGGACTTTATACTTTATTTGTTTTATCTACATGGTATCTCGTCATTCATGCCCCACCGAACAATCACAATCTTTCGTCATCTCCAACCCGGCAGGAGCTGAAGACCTGCATGACGACGATAACTTTCAACCAATTAAAAAACCTTCATTATACACGTTCTCGTAAATAATACACGGCGGCTCAGAGCGCTGTCACCTTGCATGCTGTCAGTCGACGTGACTTATTAGTGCATCCACTGCAATTACCGATTCACCTTCCGTTCTCGTAAGTGACCTCTTCCGAATTAAGCCCTATATTATTGGTGACCCTGGGCAGTATTGCTACCCACATGGCCGATGTTGCACATAATATACAACTCGTGATACTAGCTATAAAAGAGCACATATCGATTTCATTATAAACAGCTTTAAAATGCTCGGCTGGCCGTTTCTGGATCGTTTAATATTAACTAGATTTCTTCGGCGTCGTTCAGTATGGTTAACTTAGTAGCTATTGGTCTTGTGGCTGAGACCCTAGTCGCTTTTGCGGCAGCGACATTCGATGGAAATTTGAATTACAAAAGCCCATCTCGTCGTCACTCAGGCCTTGGAATCGATGTGCCTCACGTTTCCAGGCGGAGCCTTAAGCGTGGTGCTGTCGCGTATAAGGCAGAGGAACTTAGCTTCACCCACGGCGTGGCGTCTGGTGATCCATACCCGGAGAGTGTAATTCTATGGACACGAGTTGCGCCGTCGCTCTCCTCTGACACGAGCAATATCACTGTTGAGGGGCCGGTACCGCTGTACAACCACGACACGCAGACATATATTAATGCGGATCCAAGCCCCATCTGTGTTGACTGGAATGTCTTCTCGAACGAGACTGGGGAGGTTGTATCGAGTGGCCAAGGGTACACAACTAGTGATATCGACTATACCATCAAGGTAAACATGGGACCCTTTCACCTATTTTCGGGAGTTGTCTGATATTTCTAGGTCGAAGCTACGAAGCTTAAGCCATTCACGACGTATAATTACCAGTTCACGATTTGCGGGTCGAATATCACGAGTCCTGTTGGACGAACGAAGACTGCTCCTGAAGCGAATGCTGATTTATTAGAGTTGAAACTTGCTGTTTTCTCTTGCAGTAATTATCGTAAGTACTGCCGTAAGTACTCTTATTTGCTCTAAGTTGGTCTCACTAACAACTCGGAAGCAAATGGGTATTTTAATGTCTACGGGAATGCCGCACGCAAAGATGAGCAAGACTACTTTGTATGGGCCACAAATCACGTACTTAGCTTTATCTACTAATTAATGGTGTGGATAGATTCACTTAGGGGATTACATCTACGAGGGAAACGCAAAGGGCGAGAGAGCCCATGAACCGAGCAAGTACCTGTTTAGTCTCTACGACTACAGGACTCGCCATGGACAGGTAAGCACAGGTTCAACTATATTTCCTGATATAGATACTTACACAATGAAAGTATCGCACCGATCCAGATCTACAGCTTGCTTCTCAAAACTTTGCTTGGATTACAACCTGGGATGATCACGGTACGTAGGCGACAGAAAAGCAACAAGCCACGATTGGGCACTAATTGTTTGTACAGAAGTTTCAGATAATGGATATCGAGACGGCTCAAGTGCTCTCAACAATACCGAACAATCCTTCCTGAATGATGGTTTTGTCAGCGTGGACCAACGAAAGATGAATGCTGTGAGAGCATACTTCGAGTGGATGCCTATTCGGTAGGTTGTGGTATGATCTTCTTGTAAATGATGGTTGCTAACTGTCACAAAGCCAGATAGACCTCGATGACAACCTGAGAGTTTGGAGGTCATTCCAGATGGGTAATCGTATGTGGCGCCTCCGGCAAAGCTATCCCTAATTCCGCTCGACGGCATCGTTAATGTATGTTCTTCAGTTTTGGATTTAATTGTCCTTGATACTCGGAATTACGACCGGAGCATTACATCTTTGAGTATGTATCACTTAGATAAAAGCGTCCTATTGAGTGGATAGGTTATTAACAGGAACCAGACTGGAACAACGACTACATCGAACAAATCAGCAACGACGCCTCGCGATCCTTGATGGGCTCACACCAGGAGAATTGGTTTTACAGCCAACTGTCCAAGTCATCCAACCGGGGCGCGACATGGCGAATTATAGGTAACCAGATCGTATTCTCGAGTATTGCCGAGTCTAGTGAATTCACCGGTGACAACTGGAACGTGAGTATAGAGATTGTCTATTCCGAAGAGAGCGGTAAGAAATAGCTGCTGATCTATCGTTTTTAGGGGTACGTTGCAAACAGGAACCGAACGCTGAAGCACCTCTACGACCACAAGATCAGCAATACCATCTTCCTTGCCGGTGACAGCCACCAGAACTGGGTTCGTGAGCAGAATTTCTTATTCTTTCTTCTCGACGCCCCACCCCTATCCTTTTCACCTTGGCTTCAGAACGTCTCAGCTCACAAAACGCAACAACACGCAGGTATCCGACCTCGTCTGGCTGGACGAGAAGCCGTACAACGTGGAGACGGGCGACGGCGCGATCGGCGTCGAGTTCGCCGGGACGGCGGTCAGCTCGACGGGGTACAACGGGCTGATCGCCCCCGCGCGCGCCGAGGCGCAGAAGCTGGTGGCGGAGAACGAGGTGCTGCAGTGGCAGGACGGGTACTACCGCGGCTACTTCCTGCTGACGGTATCGCCCGAGAAGCTCGAGGCGAGATACTACGGCTCGCCGAGCGTGGCGACTAGGAACGCGTGGGACTTGCCGCTGGCGAATTTTACCGTGGTCGCGGGCGCGAATAAGCTGTCGCGGCCGGTCGCTGGAGGGAGTGTCGAGGCTGGGTTTGGTAGGTGTTGTGTTTACTTTATTTTATTTCCTTTCCTTTGGGAGCCCCAAGGGCTTCTGTGGATGATGGTGACTAGGTATGCTAATTCGCTGTCTTGTATAGTCAAGGGAGGGCAGACTAACCCGACGAATATTACCTTGAATACTGAGACTTGGGAGTGGGATATTGTTGGATTCGATAAGATGTATATCACTACGTAGGTGCCGGTGAGGCGAGGAGAATTGTGTGCGATGGATCACCGGATGATTGCTGTTCGCCTATTGGAACTTTGCAATACTAATGGGCTTAATATGGGAATGGATAGGGATAATCGATAGTCGATAATAAATGAAAGATATCTTCAATTGGTGAAGCTTCTTGGTAGCTAGCATTCAAATACTGTCGAGTTCCTGCGATGAACAGGAAAAGCTGAACGCATCTTAAATATAGTCTTGAATGCGCATGAGGAATTGTGATATAAGTGAAGACGACACTGACTTGTAGATCCTCAGGGTGTACGTAAATGCAATCGCCGGCGGCTTCGTTTGTGGCTGGCCGCGATAAGCAACAATGTCTAGTATCTTCTTTATGGCAATGCATCAAGGCACCGCTCACAATGAAAATAGAGGAAAGCAAAAATTGCGCTCCCTACGATCCACGAGGGATAATAGAAGAGGGTCGACTCCGCGCTGTGCAATGCAGGTCTCTCCCCTTGCTAACCATGATTCTTGAGCCATGGTCAGCGGAACAAGGTAAGTATGAAGAAGAAAGGAAGAGAAACTTGAAAAGACGGGAGGGAGGGCTAGGTATTTATACCTTAGATTCACCGAAGGAGAGCAGAATGATTGGGGGATCATTGTTCCACCGCATTCCGGTGGGGTTGCAATTGCACGGTGAATGGAACGCGCTCCAGGCGCGCAATCGAGGATAATTATGGGTCGTTTAGTTTAGTCTAGATCCGTTGTGTAGCGTTTTAGGTGGTTTCCCTGCAGCGGCTCTAGTGGGAAGGAACGAGAAAAAAAAAAATAAGGAAACCAAACCTTACATCGTCTCGCAGCCGAGCCCAACCTTGGTCCCTTCTACTTCATCCTTTCTTAACCACCATTCAACTCCATACAGGTTGCACTTTGCGTCCCGAGCATGGCAACCGACAAGATGGACGTTGAGGCTGCCGAGAAGCAGCTCAAGGACATGGCTCACTCCGAGCAGCATTATTTCAACAGGTTAGTTTGTGCGCATCCCGCATTGCATAAATCCTACAGCGATGTGCTATGCACGATAACACTTTTGACTCTGGCTAACATCTGTCGCACAACAGTTACAACCACCATGGTACGCATTCATTCCCATTTTGGACGCTGATCTGGACGCTTTGACTAACGAGAATTAATCGCACTGCAGGAATTCATGAGGAGATGTTGGTACGTATTCTAATTTTACAGCAAGCAGTCTCTAATCGTATGATTTACTTGTCTAACAAAGGCATTGCCTCGTCGTATAGAAAGATGAAGTCCGTACGAAGTCCTACATGAACGCAATCGTGCAGAACAAGCACCTTTTCAAGGACAAGGTTGTCTTAGATGTCGGTTGCGGAACAGCTATTCTCTCCATGTAAGACTGCACCCCACCACGACTCACTTGATCACTCGCGTAAATTAAACAATCACCCTCTCAATGTAGGTTTGCTGTCAAAGCTGGAGCCAAGCATGTCATCGGTGTCGACATGTCTACCATCATCTTCAAGGCCAAGGAGATCGTCAAGGTCAATGGCATGGAAGACAAGATCACGCTGATCCAGGGCAAGATGGAGGAGATCGAGTTGCCTTTCCCTAAGGTCGACATCATCATCTCAGAGTGGATGGGCTACTTCCTACTGTACGAGAGTATGCTCGACACGGTGCTTTATGCCCGTGACAAGTTCCTCACCAAGGATGGATTGATCTTCCCCGACAAGGCTACTATCTTTGTCTGTGGTATCGAGGATGGTGAATACAAGGACGAGAAGATTGGATGTAAGTGTGACCAACCTGGATATACTTGGAATTGAGCTAATTGACCGAAGTTTGGGATAACGTCTACGGTTTTGATTACAGTCCTCTGAAGGAGACAGCGTTAGCTGAGCCTCTCGTTGATACCGTCGAAGTTAAGGCTGCCGTAACGGACCCGACTTCAGTTTTGACCCTCGACTTGTACACCTGCACAACCGCTGATCTCGCATTCTCAATTCCCTTCAAGTTAAGTGCTCGACGCGATGACTTCATCCATGCCCTTGTTGCATGGTTCGACATCGACTTCACGGCTTGCCACAAGCCAATCCGATTCTCAACTGGCCCCCACACCAAGTATACTCACTGGAAACAGACAGTCTTCTACTTGAACCAAGTTCTTACGGTTCAACAAGGAGAGGAGGTTTCCTGCAACTTGGATGTCAAGCCTAACGACAAGAATCGCCGAGACCTTGACATTAAGATTAACTACCTACTCGATACCCAAGATGGCACCAGATATGCAGAGGGTAGTTGTGAGTACAAGATGTGCTAAACGGGAGATACCTGTACTTGTTTATCACACTATCTTCTGCGATCTGGACTAGCTCACGCCTGTCCAGCGGATAGAGCCCGTCTTGTAGAGAGCAAGCTGCAAAGCAGTAATTACTTTGGTCTTGCATTATTGCATGGCGACTGGGGCTGTGGGAGGCGTTTGGAGGCAAAAGTCATTGCTCTTTGGCCTAGAGGGACAAGGGACAAGGGATAACCACTGGCAAGGGAGAAGATGCATTATGGATGAGTGAGATGGGTTGAATTTTACGACTGATGAAGATTACGATGTACTGTAACTCCTACACGTCCCTCGAGATACACACACCGCACGGAAAGTGATGATCAAGAGGTTGATGGGTCAGTTAATGACAACTGGTCTCTGTCGTATTCTACCATGGTTAGGAGATCTCTTATAAGAGTTCTCCTACCATGATTGAATTACGGTCAACTGATCAAAGTTCTGATCGAAATGCTACGCATCAGAACACCCTATATATTGAAAGTGAGACTGTACCGGTCCTCATATCTTCCGGACATAACCAGATTACTTATCGCGACGTACGTAGGTACGTGGTCCCGCTTAGTAAAAATTGGACATTAAGTTTCTAGAATTTAAGGGTCCCCAGCCTTCTTTAGCGCGGGACAAATTCCGGGCTAGCGGCATGTGATAGCGGGGTGACTACTGAAGAGAAACAACGTCATTCTTGCGACGAGCAGAAAAATTCCGAAAAGCATTAGACAAACTTCAAGTTTAAGCTCAGCAAGATGTTCACAGGATTAGTCGAGGAGATCGGAGGTAATAAACCCCTCCTTGTTTTTGTTCTCATTTCTTTTCCTTGGCTCTTTTTTCCTTAGGGAGGGGAAGGAGGAATGCATAACTCGGCTGGTTGTCACTTGGCTGTCGATTGAAGCTTGAAACTACCTACCTAGAAACTGAGGAAACGTATGACTGACGCGCACACAAAAGTGGTCGCCGAGCTCAACCCGCACGACGAGACCGGCGGCACCTCGCTGACCATCAGCCTCCCCGCATCCTCCACCCTGCTCGCCGACGCGAAGCTCGGCGACAGCATCTCCGTCAACGGCGTGTGTCTGACGGCCACCGACCTCTCCAACATCACCGGCGGTAGCGATGATAACAACCCTCCTAGCTTCAAGGTGGGCATCGCGCCCGAGACCCTGCGGCTGACGAACCTGGGGTTGCTGACGAAAGGCTCGGGAGTCAACCTCGAGAGGGCGGTGCGCGCGGACTCGCGGATGGGCGGGCACTTCGTGCAGGGGCACGTGGACGCCGTGGCGGAGATCGTGCGCGTGGTCGAGGACGGGAACGCGCTCACGTTCCGGTTCAAGCCCCGCGGCGGCGACAAGGAGGCGTCCGACGTCCTAAGGTACATAGTGTACAAGGGCTACGTGGCGCTGGACGGCACGAGCCTGACGGTGACGCGGGTCGACGACGCCGAGGGCTGGTTCGAGGTCATGCTGATCGCGTACACGCAGCAGAAGGTCGTGGTCGCGCGCAAGCGCGCCGGCGACACCGTCAACGTGGAGGTCGATGTGCTGGCTAAGTACGCCGAGAAGTCGATGGCGGGCTATCTGGGCGCGCAGGGCGAGATCTTGGTTAAGCCGATATTGGAGGGGATGGTGGAGAATTTGGTTGCGCAGGCTATGGGGGGGCATTCTTAATGGGAAGGTGTTGTTTGATGATGATGTTGTCGTTGTTGTCTAGGAAAGCCTGGGTTTTGGGAAGTCAGGTTTGTTGATAAGATGTGCTTGGATCTTTCTTAGCTAGATGCTTGCTACTGCTCAGATGGAGATCGAGGGAATTTCCAAGCTTCTCGATCAAGAGATATAATTCCCCTGTATATGCTACGTGGTATGCCTTACGAGTCGCAGGAATATACAAAAAGGAGCAACAGTTTACTAAGATAAGACGTCCATTACGATCGAATCGGCTCGTTAATCCATTTTGTTCATATTGGGATAGTTAGACTGGCCCTACGGCTTCGCTAACAGGTGTCAATGCCAGAGGTTTCCCTTTCGTAATTCTGTCTCGAGACATTAGCCCTCGACACCGTCAGCCCAGATTTCTGCAATCTTCATGCTGAGTGGCTTGGTAATCTTCTTGCGCCCGTACAGATTTCCCATATGGTCAGAGACCAATTCTCGTTTCCGCTTTTTCCCTTGTTCTCCACCACCGCACTCTTCGAATGCCTTTGCGAACTCATTCGGCGTCTTCCATCTCTTCTGGATCTCCAAGGCCTTCTCCCACGAGACCTGCCTGGTACACATCAGCATCTTCAGGTATACGTCCCGCAGTGTCATCATGTCGGACTTGGATGCTAGTGACGCAAATGCCGGATAGCTGATATAATGACCCGTCGTAGGCTCTTTTTCTCGGAGATGCTCTAATAGTGGGAGGTAATTCTGAGCAGTAAGGATATCAGTAGGAATGACAAGTAGAGGTTTGCTCTCATACTGCTTCTTCAGCAACATGGTCATTCGGGTAAGGTATCGAATGGTGTCGTCCATCTTCTGCGTCTTCTTTACGAAGAAGCCGTTGACAACCTGCGTCGATCCAATAGCAGACTGTACCATTTCTGCGCGCCTATCTAAAGTCTCCGAATCCATTGAAACTTCCTCGATGATGTAGACAACATTCTTGATGCCAGACCGTTTCAGCCGAAACTTCTGCTCGTGGAAACGGCCATCTTTGACACTGCTAATCAAATCATCGAGTCTTTTTCTCTCAATGACATAATCAAGCACGACTTCATCTCCCTCGGCGCCAGTTCGAGATAGAAAGTTTGGGTCTTTACATTTGGCAACCCAGAGGGCGTCACCAAGTTCGAGTGAGCGCATTACTGGATTGACACCCTTCTTTGACAACTCGTTTTGCACTATAATGTATAGATTAGTGTTTGTTTCTATATTACTCTCGACGTTGAATAATAAATCCTAGGGCCCGATCTCATAGTCGAGTCGACATATACGTCCTGAAGTTAGGGTACAGATATAAAGGGCTCGGTTTTCTTACTGTAGTCTCTATCGGTCTTTGCCCGGACCTCACGAACATCTAGTACTAGTTGGACTTCGAAAGACCCAGGTGCGAGGCGAATTGGCCGGAAGTGTGGTATTTCTGAACTACCGGAAGATGTATTGCCATTAGTGACGACGTCTACATAGCTCGAGGCTTGCTTAGGTGGCTCGTCGATTTCTACGGAAGGAGATCGATTTACAGGGCGAGGGGGTTGTTCGATCTCTTCAGGTACAGATTCCGCTCTTGGGGGAGCCGGCCTTGGTAGGCTAGGATCCAATGTGTGTTGGATTCGTCGTGCTACTTCCCACCCGTCCTCGGTTAAATGATACCTTCGCGTTGGCCCGCTTCGTCGTTCATAGACGATGTCCTTTTCAAGAAGAGTTTTCATAGAGTTCCAAGCTGTATAGAAACTCTTGGGATCGGGAGGAGCAGTAAAAGAGGCATCGCAATGGGGCTGTGCTACCTCAATCAGACGTTGTTTCGTCATTCCCTGGTGCGAGCCTTCTTCTAGTGTTGCCAAACCCATAATTATGGCATAAGGGCCAGACCGGAGAGTTGGTACGTAAGGCTTTGACTTTCTCTGCCTCTTTACTGGCCTTTCTTCACCTTCTTCATCGTCATCGTCTTGGCCGCCTAAGCCGGGAATATTTATTCGCCTGGGACGTTTCGGCATAGGCAATCCGTTCTCTGCGCAATGCTTCTGCATCTTTTCCGTCAAGCGAGTGCATAACGTCTGACCAAATCCCTTTAATTGTTGCAATTGACAGGGATGCTGAAAGGTAACCGGACATGCCTTGAGAGCGTCATATGCCTTCTTATACGTCAACAAGCCCTTGGAATTGTGGTCTCGGGCCTTTTCCACCCATTCCTGCACCCAAGAGAGGAGGAGCGGGTTAGCGCAGGGTGCTTCAGGCGGCATCTTGTCTGTATCGGAATATTTCAATTCTATCGATCTTCGGGGATGATGAATTGGATAGAAAACGAGTGTTTGACGCGACTAGACGTGTCGAAGGAATACAGATGCGGAAATAAATGGGGATAACAATCGCCAAGTCAGGTGACCGGATCCCCAATCAAACTATTAGATGCAGCAGTCGACGCCCGATGAGGTAACGATAGGACAAAATTGTCGCAGTGCAACAGGGGCTGAGAAGGAGCGCTTTCAGCTTAGAGCTCTGAGCCAGTGCTTTGCTCCACCTCTCTGCAATCCAGGCTCTGATTGGCTCTTACCCTGCAGCCCTAGTAACGTCAGACGCCCTAGCGTGCGAGGCGGGGCGGAACTTCCCTAGGTACATCACGAAGGAGGGGTTGCTACTTCGTATTAGCCTACTCGTTCGATACCTTGATCTTAACAACTTGACTTTTTCTATCTAAGCCTCGTTATTCTTACAACTGTGACAACTCAATCGTTATATTTAATATAGCAGATATATCTCAATCTTACATTAATACTTATTATTCGCCTAAATAGCACAACAGATAAAGATCGCAGTCAACCGATATTCCACGTCTCGAGTTCCAATTGTCGTACCAATCATGGATCGAGACGCCATCCTAGCCGCTTCGAAGAAGCACGATATAGTCCCCGGAAGACTATACAAGTACGGCACGGCAGGCTTCCGTATGAACGCCGATCTCCTAGACGGTGTCACCTTCCGAGTCGGACTATTATCAGCTCTTCGAAGTCGTAAACTCAATGGCCAGACGATCGGCGTAATGATCACCGCCAGTCACAATCCTGCGGTGGATAACGGTGTCAAGATTGTCGACCCAATGGGTGACATGCTTGAGCAAGAGTGGGAGGTCCATGCTACGAACCTCGTCAATGCTCCGAGCCACGAAGAGCTCGTCGATTACTTCTACAAGCTAGCCGATTCGCTTAAGATCGACCTCACCTCCCCCGCTAAGGTCATTGTCGGCCGCGATACTCGCCCGTCTGGTAAAACCCTCGTCACAGCTCTCGCAGATTCCCTTGCCGCTACGAACACGACTTTTACCGACTACAAGATCCTTACAACCCCTCAACTCCATTACTTAACCCGTTGCGTTAACACAGCTGGGACTCCGGGAGCTTATGGAGAAATCAGCGAGCTTGGATACTATAAGAAACTTGTCGAAGCTTTCTACAGAGCTCTGCGAGGACGTAAGGTTTCTGGAAAGTTATCTGTCGATTGCGCCAACGGTGTTGGTGGTCCGAAGCTCAGTGAGCTCCTCAAGCACCATGACCCCTCCAAAACGGGGCTGGACGTAAGGGTTGCCAATGATGACGTCTTGCGCCCAGAAGTCCTAAACCTGGACTGTGGTGCCGACTTCGTCAAAACCAGACAGCGAGCCCCGGCAAACCCGAAACCTGCCCCCGGTGAGAGATGGTGCTCTCTGGATGGTGATGCTGACCGCCTTATCTACTACTGGGTCGACCCAGAGACCGGCTTTTTCATGCTGGACGGTGATCGCATTGCAACCCTTGCCGCGTCTTTTATTGCAGATCTCATCCGCACCGCTGGCTTGGACGGCCAACTTCGTATCGGACTTATCCAGACCGCCTATGCCAATGGATCCAGTACCAAGTATGTCGAGCAGCACTTGCAGATCCCGGTTGTCTGCACTCCTACGGGTGTAAAGCACCTTCACCATGCCGCTTGCTCATACGACATCGGCGTCTACTTCGAGGCTAATGGCCACGGCACTGTCCTATTCTCTCAAGATGCCCTACAGGCATTCAAGACCAAGGAGCCCCAGTCACCGGCACAGAAGGATGCTCTCGAGACGCTCAGCGCATTGGGAGATCTTATCAACCAGACTGTTGGCGATGCGATATCAGACATGCTCATGGTCGAAGTTATCTTGGCCCACAAGGGATGGACGCTCAGGGATTGGGCCATGACGTATCAAGATCTTCCTAACCGTCTCGTCCGTGTGGAAGTGGGCAATAAGGATCTGTTCCACACTACTGATGCGGAACGAAAACTCAGTCACCCAGAACACTGCCAAGACGAGATTGACAAGGTTGTGAAGAAATACACGAACGCCCGTTCTTTTGCCAGAGCTAGCGGGACGGAGAACGCATGCAGAGTCTATGCGGAGGCCGCCACGAGATCCGAAGCAGACGAGCTGGCGAACAAGGTCGCTGCCATCGTGAAGACATACGGAGGTTAAACAATCAAAATCTACGATTGCGGGAACGGACATATGACGCAAGGGCATATTGTAGACAGTTCATGGGCCTTAAAAGGGGAAAAAGTTTGGTGATTCTTAGGTCGGGAACGATTTTTTACGTTTTACGAATATAGCTGATGAATTTAACTGAATATTGCAAATAAATATCGCTTTATATTACCTCAGTGATCATAGCGGATTTCACGTAGAAATATCCCGCTATTTCCTTGTTGGAATTTGATACGGCACGTTAGATTTGATATAACTCCTAAATGACCGGATCAGAAGACAGCAATTGCCTGCTTGGTTAAAGTAACCAAACCATAGGCTTATAATGAGATGATTCAAGCATTGTGCGGCTACTCCTTACTAACATACTATGGAAAAAAATCCATCACTATATAATTTAGGTTCATAATATTTTAAATGTAGTCCAGGAGGACATTCTACTGATGCATACTGATTCTCGACCTTCCTGGCCTTAGAAATGGGTATGCTCCTTATGGTTAGGGGGGATGTTTCAAACTCATTTATCAGTCTTAGTTCGATACAGTACTAAAACATCCATTTAAAATGTTTTGGTTTATGAAATTGTTATTCACTACGTATTGCCGTATCAACCGACTATACTAATTAACATTAGGTTATTGTATTCCTAACGGACCGATGGCGATGTGGGTGCCGGACATGGCACAACCGGTAAAGCTTCATCAGGTGCGATCTCCTTGCCCTGGCTCATAGCAATGAAGTGCTTCCTTATGAGTTGAATTCGACTGTTCTGATTCGCCGTATTTTTCGGGTTACCATACTGCAAGGTGAGACCATCACTATGGTCCACGTAAACCTGTAATAGCCGTCAGGGACTTCGCTCACGGCGAGAACTTAAATCTAGCATATAGCCGCTTACAGTACAATCAGGGGCATTGTGTCCAAACTGGCTCCAGAATGTGTCACCGGCCGCAGCGGGGCTCTCTTCGATAATCTTGAACATCGATTGTAGGTTGGCAGTATTTCCACCTACCCAATCATACTCGCCCGCGAAGAAGGGCCTACCTGCAGCTTCGACGACCTTGATGTCATCTTGGAGTTTGGCTGTGTCAACAGGATACATGTGGTCGGAGAAGATGTCTACTTCTTCGATGCTTAGGTGGGTTTTGTTGATGCCATACGTCCCGTCAACTACTCTTATCTTAGTATCTACATCAAGACTAGACTTTGCTCCTACCTCTCCATAGGAGCCGAGATATCGAAAGTGCTTTGGAACATACCTACGAGCTTCTGGGGAGCAAGACTCTTCACATACTTCGCAATGTCCTGGACCCAGTCCGCCGGTGAGTTCATATCACCCCATACAGGACCGAGAAGTTCGTTCCCAGTCTCGTATGCAAATATGGTGGGGTCCTCGGCGAAGGTTAGATTGGTGTACTGGTTCCTATGGGTGATTATCGTCTTGATATAATCCTTGAAGGTCGCAACAATAGTAGCGTTAGTGTAGAATTGCTGGACTAGGGGGTTGTTCTCGTCCCTCCCCTGATTAAGATCGAAGCCTCCCCAACGAAGAAAGTTGTATTTTCCTCCGTGGTAGTAATCCTATCGACGGGTGAGCTCTTATTCATTTTGAATTTCTAGTTGTATAAGGCTAACATAGTTGTCCACCAATGGTATCAATAGCCTGATGCCGTATATACCTGCCTGGTAGACGGCCCAGTCTATAGGGTCAAAGGCCTGTTCATTGACCTTCCCTGGTTCGGGCCACACACTCAGGGGATTTCCAACACTGACGCCTAATGTGTGCCCACGGATCATGGTACCCCCCAAGGCTTGAACTGTGGCCATGACTTCAGTGATACGCTCCTTGGTAGGGTAGCTGGCCTTGGTGGGAGCATAGAAAGGCTCTCCTGCCGGTGGCGTGACATTCTCGTCAAGGCCTAGCCAGTAGACATTCGGACCAACTGCTTTCCAGACCTTTCCGTCAACTAACAAACTACTTCCGTTACGCGTGACCGGAGAGAGCTTTGCGGCACGCTGCAGAGGAGATGCCAGTACGGTGGCCGCACACAAGACAAGCAAAGACAACATCATTATAATCAGTGTCCAAATCTGGGTTGAACGAAGAAAGCCATGATTGAGACTTCCTAAAAGAACGGGAAGTAGATGATATAGACATGCCTATGGACACTACTCGATGTATTAGACGGCATTATAATCGCCCGCGGAGGGAAGTCTTCCGGGTAACGTTAGATGCCCGAATAGGACCAGCATTTGCGGCTCGTGATATTCATAAGGTTCAATATGAACCCTTGCTTTACCGTAGCCATTGACATGTACCAAAGGGGTGGGTTTTCCACGATTCATCTCCATACTAAACATTTAGAGGAGATGGTGATATGAAATCCCTCGCTGTGAGGAAACGAAATGTTAGATTTCGTCTAAGCACGATCAAACCACATGGTTGGTTATCGATTGGCCGATTAGCTTTAAAGTTTTAAGCTTTGAAACGTGGCAGCCTTACTACCTGCTATGACGAACGGGGTGAGTAAGAGAAGAGGTTTAGATAAAAAGGGCAACTACATATCGCGTCGATGAAACGAGAAGAAATAGGGTAGTTCCAATCGTTTCATGATAATAGCTCTTACACCAACAGCTCCCTAGCAGGGAAGTTACCGGTACAACACGCGAGCCGAGTTAAGGCCAAGAATCCGGGGTACCGGTACGTCAATCGGTCAATTTACCTAGACCTAGCAGACCTAGGTACTATTCTTAGCGCGTTAAGCTGGGAAGCTGCCGTCCGCATCCAGTCGCGGTACATGGGTATGACGATCTTTCTCTCACCCAGGTCTGGCGGGTGGTTGTTGCTTGCTGGCAATTAGAAAAGCTTTATGCTCGATACGAAAACCCCACAGTAGCCCTGTTCCAAGGTTGGAGAAGGCCCCTTAATCGATTTCCAATTGGCTTCAACCCTCGCATCCACCTAATAAGATCCAATCAGAAGGAAAGAAAGTAGCCGTCGGCGGTTCCAGTTGCCTGGACAGATTTCTCCTAGGTCCCCCAGGTTCGCTCGGGGGAGGTTCCAAGCTATTCTGGCCATTTTCCCACCCCCTCTGCGAAGAAAGAAACAAGATTCGCCAATGCCGAACACAACATGTTACGCCCATCATCTTTATTGACATTCGTCGTCGTCTGTGTCTGCTTGCTATGGGGGACCGCCGAAGCCTCGCTCGGCGACAGGCTGCCCGAGTTCCGGGAATGCGTAGAGGTTCGTTTCTTTCGCGTGCGTGTGTGCAGTGGGTGTCTCGGCGGATGTGCTACTTAACAAAAGCGCCGGGCTGGCTATCAACGGAGGCTAGCTAAGACATATCTGCGAAAAAAACATACCTTGTGCGAGCAAGTAAAAGTAGAGGACTAACTTGGTCCGTCGTGAACGGCGAAATAGGTTTGCGCCCGCGAGAATTGCGATCCGAATAACAATCCGACCCATATCCGTACGTCACGAAGACATATGCATATATAGCTACGATCCCTCACCTCCGCAGCGCACGCGACCACGAAACTAACCTCCACCCTCTCTTTCCTATAGCCTTCCACCGCCGCCTCCTATTCTGGACGTGCCCGCAAGAGTGCGACTACACATGCCAGCACATAATAACGCAGCAGCGTCTCGCCGCCGGCCAGCCCGTCACCCAATTCCATGGGAAATGGCCGTTCGTGCGCGTCCTCGGCATGCAGGAGCCCTTCTCGGTACTGTTTAGCCTAGGGAACTTAGTCGCGCACCAGAACGGCTTGGCCAAGATCCGCCAGTCTATCCCGGCCGCCTACTCGCTGCGCAAGTACTACGAACTGTTCGCCTGCTTCGGCATCGCTACCTGGATCTTCAGTTCCATCTTCCACATCCGCGACTTCCGCCTGACCGAGCAGCTCGACTATTTCGCGGCCGGTGCCGGCGTACTATATGGCATGTACTACACACCCATCCGCGTCTTCAGACTCGACAAACCTACACCGCGCCGCCAGAGCGTGCTTAGACTCTGGACCGTCCTTTGTTGCTCGATGTACATTGCCCACGTGGCGTACCTAAAGCTCTGGCGCTGGAATTATACGTATAACATGGCGGCCAACGTGACCGTTGGTCTGGTGCAGAACTCGCTCTGGAGTTACTTTAGTTGGAAGAAGTGGACCGAGAGTCGCCAGGCGTGGGCTATCTGGCCCGGTGTTGCTGTCGCTTGGCTCATGACCGTCATGAGCTTGGAATTACTGGACTTTCCGCCGCTATGGGGAGCGCTGGACGCGCATAGCCTGTGGCACTTGGGTACGATCGGCCCTACCGTCTTATGGTACAAGTAAGTTAGAGTCGTTTCTACCACTTTCCTTCTATAAGTAGGTCGATCATTTATACTAAACTTGGCTTGTAGTTTCATGGTCAAGGATTCCCAAGAAAACATGGCGATCACGACCAAAATGAAGGATACCAAAGCCTAACAAAGAACATTCCCAACCCGGAGGATTGGCTAAGCATGAGGCTCCATTGTTGTATATCCAGGCGTTAAAAATATTATTATATTGTAATGGGTATCCTGTCTTTTGGCTGCATAGAAAAGGGGGATAACGTCACCATAGAGGCTGGGGAGTTCGAGGTTCTGAACTGTGTTGGTCTAGACTAGAACCTATCATTGACTACTACTAAGCTACCTAATATGAATTTGACCGAGATCAGACGTGATCAAGCCCTTCCACAGAAACCAACCAGCGTCAGAAAAGCCATTTTCCAATATCGACCCCTACTTACTCTACTTAGATTATCGATCCAAGGACTTTTCATCCACGCCTACACAGCCCTTTTCCCCCGCCACCTCACCAAAGGATGCGACAAGAGCCCTAGATAATGAAACCGAGTCAGCTGAAAAGAACATCCTCTTCCCACTCTTATCATATGACCAAAGCGGCATAGCAAGAGCAAGAATAGAACGGGGAGAACAGAAAACATCAGCGTCATCATTCGTCGACAAGAAAAGCCACGCAGGTCCTTCAAATGCAGCAATCAGAAACCATTTTAATAAATCTAAGCATTACGCGCCCCCACCTCGCCGGCGCCATCCGCCATGCCCACCCGCGGACAACCGAGAAACCGCGGCAGCACGTGGCGATGCACGCGCGGCTCCCATACGGCCCGCGGGCAAGACGTGAGGATAGCCCGGTTCGGCCGGGGAGGGAGACGAGGAGGGGAAGTATATTGCCCTCCCCCAATCCCTCTCGAGGGCGGTCTCATACGGCTCTTCCTATGAGTATAAGGTAGGTTGGACACTTGCGATGTCGGAGTCATCATAGCAAACCAAACCTGCGGGCGGAGAGAGAAAAGAAAAAAAAAATCGAGTAGCTTACCGTTTCGCTGATGCGAGGAATTGTCAAGCTATGCGGCTTATGCGTGCAACAGCTATGGGTGACGGGTATCTCGGGATCCGGTATTGGGAGAAGGGACGGAAAGTTGGAATGTGAAGAAGTGAAGTGCACAAGCGAAGGAAAAAAAAGCTTTGCTAAAGAAAATTGACATGGATCCATCCACTGGGTTGAAAAGTGGAGACTTCTACCAACCGCCAAACTCATGTCAGACTCCACAAGTTCGGCCAACTCTTCGAAAGTCCCAACTCAAAAATGAGTCCAGAAACCTTCACATCGATGTTGTCACCCAGAAAAAGAGCACATGAATATTCTTGCAAAATATTTTTGTTTTGTTTTTTCATTATTGGAGATCAATGATTTACTCCTTGCTTCCCAAAATACAATGGCACAATTCTCAGAGCTGTTGCTCGAGTACATCTCTTCTCACCACAACTTTATGAACGTTTCACGGGTAGCCCCAATAAAAGCTGAGAAGTCGAAGTAAAGTAACACGAATGTGTACACAGGGACAAGCAGAACATCGTCTATCCAGCCCTCAATATCCCCGTACCATAATCTTCAGAAAGCAGTCTGGGATGGATTCCTTTCCCCCAATTCGCGCCCTATCAACGATAAGTCATCATCGTAACATCATGAAAACCAGCTGGAAGCCGAAAATTGCCAGAAAGCATGCATGACACTAGCTCTTTACATTGCTTCCCATCCAATAGCCACACAAGACTCCTATAGAGATCCTGAGTAGTCCGGCGTCCAATCCATATTCTGATTATAGTCCATGTTGAAGTCTTGCGATGATGGCTGGGTGTAACCGGCAGCAAGGCTGGGCGTGATGGTACCGAAGAGGGTACTGCCAAAATTGTTCGATTTATCCATCGAGCTAGTCGGGAAGAGAGGGAAATCATGACCAAATTGATTGGAACAAGCAGGCTGAAAGTCCTCGAAGCCCTCATCCACCATTGTTGGTGGCGTTAACATGACTTGGCCACCTTGGCCGCCAGCCGCGAGTTGTGGCATAGTGAACTGTTGACACGCATTCATGTTGAAGTTCTCATAGTGGTCATAGGCCTCGAAATCCTTGATGCCCTTGTTGTAGATTGAGTGTGAAGGAGTTGGCAGCTGTACAGGAGCGCCATAAATATCCTCGAATTGACCAGTAAACTCGGGACTGAGGTCCTCGAAGGAATTAAATTGGCCAGAGTCAGTGGAAGGTGTGCTGTTGTCGATCGGAGAGAAGTCAAGCTGAATATCTCCGTCGAATGGCTGGTGCTCATACAAGCTAGCGTTGAATTCCTGGTCTGAAGGATACGAAGGGAACTCGTGGTCGTTGTAGCGTCCGAAGACAGAATCCTCGGGTGGCGTCATGACGGGATCAGTCTGCTCACTACTAGGGGTGGGTAGACTTTTAATTAGAGGTGTGGGATGAGCAGAGCTACCAGCCTTGCTGGATTTCTTCTGGCCATTGGTTTTGGTTCGGACGTATGTCCACCCGTGCGCTTTCTCCATATGCTGTTTGCAATTGGATTCACGTTTAGACTTGTAGGGACAAGGTTTGAAATGGCACTCATACATCGGGGGAGCAGCCGAGTGTTTGTCGTTAACGTGCCGATCCATCTCTTTCTCAGTAGGCCAGCCATACTCGTGGTATTTGCATGTGGGAATAGGGCACTTCCAAGGACGAGAATGGGTCTTCTCGTGTTTCGTCAGGTCGCAAGGTCGTTTGAACTCTTTATTGCAACCCGGGTGGTTGCACTTCTTGGGAGCCAGCTCCTCAGGAGAAGCGTTCTTCTTTCGGCGAGCCATGGATCGCATGATCTCTTCCTCGTCCTCGGCTTGTTCGCTCATCGAACGCTTGAACCGGATTGGACCCTTAGCCTCGTCGTCCTCGAGATCTTCAACGGGTTTGCCGGTGGCCATGGAGAAGGCCTTGCCGTTCTTCTTCACGCGGACCAATTCGGCAGGTCGTCCGTTTGTAGTAAGGCCGCCCATGAGTTTGACCTCGTCCGTTCTATGTATAAAGTCAGTATGTGTATAGTCACTAGGGTAGCATTGGGGATCATACGGGTCGACTTCCATATCGTCCAATTCTTCACCGTCGGCTTGCCTCTTACGGGCCTCCTGCATCAGTTGCGCGTGTTGGCGAATTTGTTCGACAAGATCAATGAAGTAACCGTTATTGTAGGGCCGGTCGTGAGGTCGGGTTTGTTCTCTATCAGAGAGGTATTCGACGGTCGCTTGGATACATCGAATCGAAGTGAGGCAGAAGTCACGGTATAATTCGACAGTTTTTGCCTTCTCCTTCAACCACAACCCACGATAAGTAACTCCACAAACGCCTGGGTCTTTCATAAGTTGACTCACCGGTGCCATAAAGATAAGGGTCTTCTCGAGATCCCTAAGACAAACGATCTGGTTTTCCTGGATCCTTCTGGGACAGTCATTGACAATGGGACGGAAGTCCTTGAGTGAGCGGTCCTGTAACAGTGGTTTCAAGATATGCTCATGGATACGGTTCTTAGCACGGTCACTAAGACGTTGATTATCCTGAGACCTGGTAGCAGTGACGGAACGCGTGATAGCTGCGGCGCTACCTCCAGTAGACTTGGCCTCCTTCCGCTTCTGGTTGGTGGAGGCAATGGATGAACCCAGGCCACTGTCAGATTCATGGTGGCGAGAAGAGCGGCGGTTGCGAGGGCGCAACACTCGTCGCTCCGTCTCCGCAACGGAAGGTTCCTCAGACATCGTGTCTCCGACTATTGTGTGGTCCAGGAAACCTCTAGGGATGGGAAGAATGTCTTCCGGTAAAGAGCTGGAGGGGGACGAGGGCTCGGCCTTGATAGCCGATAGGGTTACCTCGAACTTGCCAATGTTCAGGGCAGCACGACGAACGTGAGCATCGACAACATCATCGAGGGTTGTTTGGGATCGACGAGGTAGTGACGGTACTTTGAACGTAGTAGCAGCAGGTGGACTAGACGGAGGAGTAGTAGGAGAATGGAAGGTTGCACCCTTCCGTAGAGTCAAGTTCGTCTTAAGGGTTAAGCCATTGCCGGAATCAGAGTCCGGGCGAGTCACCGGAGTCCTTCGAGGGTTGGAGAAGGACATGATGATGACTCGGTATAACACGGGGGTGTGGGGTACAGATTTATGGTAGACGGGAGAAGGTCGATGATAGCTCTGTTGGAAACTGTGTCAAGAGACACGGTAACGGTTAGCACAATTATGCACCATAAGGCTGAGCAGGCCTATGAGTCACAAAAGTCCTACACCGAAGTTGATATGGCCTGAGGTGTCCGAGAGATGCTACAATTGACAACTTGACATTGGTCAATCGATAGGGGTTGAAAGAGATGATAAGGGAAATATATAGATGGTAGGGCTTGGTGCTTCCAAGGGATGAGACAGGAGTCGACCTTACTCAAGAGGCGAATATAGCGGGATGGATGACCTGATGTATAAAAAGGTCCACGGGTAATGCTGCGTATTTGCTGACAGAACTCGTGTAAATGCGGAGGCGCGATTTGCGAGAAACGAGACCAAAACGTCGAACGATTTGCTCAAATGGGAGGGGACTGAGAAACTAGGCAAACAATTCGGCGAGGTTCAAGAGTAATTGAGAACTGAGGAATGGCGCGTCAATCGGTATTCACAAGCTAACTACGTAGCCAGTGTTACAGGTAGGACACGACAAAACAGGACAGAGTGGGCAAAAAAGAATAGGACAAAATGTGGCAGCCTATACGGAAGATCACAGTTGATAAGCCGGCGTGGTTTAGAAAGGCTTCGTCGTTCGTCGAGTGAAGGACGTGGGCAGACGACGAGGGAATTCAAGGAAGAGAGCTGGAAGAGAGGCCTTGGGGTGTTGAGATGATGAGAAGTCGTTCAAAAGGATGGAGATTTAGGCAGCAGCCGTTCATTATGGGGGCACCCCTGTCAATGTAGATCAAGTTACTGGACCAAATCCTAGGTCGAGGTTGATAGATCTAGAGGTAGAACCCACTATAATCAACACTAAAATGCATCGTAGACTCGGTTATCCGTCACTTCTGTGCTAACATGGAGTACTCGCCGAAGTCCTAGTGTACCTCTAGGGCAGATGTAACTCTAGCTGCGCCTTCCCAGCGCCTCACACTAAACCAATAGTGGGTACGCGACCCGTTTTCTCGCACTTCCTCTCCCTACAAAAGGTCCCATACATCGTACCATTTAAAACACTACGGACGTATTTATTGACTGTGCCCGTAAACCGCATACATACTATACATGCTATGACTCTATAGCCGTGGAGAGGCATAAGGAGGACCCTTAAGAAAAGAGCATGTCTGCTGCATAGAGAATCTCGCATTCTGTGTGTTCCAATGGACCATGATTGGCTTGTAATGTTATTTACATTCGGCCGTGTGGTCGTGTCTACACGGAATACGTCGGCAGCGTTGGGAAAAAGAAACTTTAATTGCTTATCGACGGAAATATGCATAATGATAGCAACGCTGGCTCGCTGGCAAGCACCAAGCACTTAAGATCGGCAAGCTGTGCTTCTAACTTTACGCTAAGCCTTGGAATTTATTTATTAATAATACCCAGCTTGGTAATCCACCGTGGACCTGGTAATATGTACGCTATATCCAATACGTGCAGCACTAACGGTGTATCTGCACATCGACGTTCCGTGCTCTTCTCTGGCCACCATTCCCCAGACACATTCCTTGCTCCTTGCTGTGTAACGGTCAACAGTCGCAGGAGACGACAGGAGCTCGGGAATGGACAATTGTCTATTCGTCAGTGGTTCGAACGATGACAGTCGACCAACAGTCAAGACTCAATCAATGGTTCATTATTATTCTCAATTGTCCGATCACTTTCAAGTTCCAATCTCGCATTCGGCTCCGGGGCAGGATAGACTCCGGCTCGGAAATGTCCTACAAAATCTATCCGAGCGGCGAGATTTCTTCTTTCTTTTCTTACCTGTGTCAGGTGACGTCAATTGGCTGTCACAATATTGTACTAGTATATTCCGTATTTTACCAATAGTTGCAGTAATAAGGGGCACCCGGTCCTAATCCCTTTGAATATCCCGTGTTATTCTCGCAGATGCGAAAATGGGGAGTCGAGTTCTAATCCGCATCGGCGCATTTCCAAGGTTGCTCACAGGAAATTGTCGAGGCGATTGTAGATCGATAGCTGATTTGATCTCTTGTCAATCCCTGGGGAGGAACGGATGAGCACATGAACACTTGAGCAATGACACCGAGTCATTTCGAATGTTACTTCCAATCGGATTTCTCCACAATTAAGGCTAATACAGTTATCGTTTTAGTAAGAGCGGTGGATGTGAATGGTCGACTTGCCGTCTGCCGAGAAACCCTCCTGCCCCCTGAATGGAGGAATCACATCATTAAATCAGTGGGATCGAATGAAGTATTGACACCGAAGCAATCTCTGTTGAGTCATCAATCTTGGTAAGGTTGGTACATATGTATTGTGCATATTGTGCGTCTCGTGCGAGCCATCAACCAAAGGTCGCTTCCCTGAACATGCAGGTTCGACAATGACCAGAGCAACCAAGATTCGGTATGCTTGCAAACACCCACTACCCATCCACATCCATGATGAATCCTTGGCAACCATTGGCTAACGCGTAACCTTGCTGCATCGATAGAGTTATCTCAACTGTATGTACGTACTTATCCGTGTTATCAGCCCTATCGAATAAGGTTTAATCGTTTTTAATCGGTTTTAATGGTCCGTGACGACGATGATAGTCTCGGCCAATAGCGTTGTCTCGAATTTAGAAGCCTTCCCGACTTCCTAACCTTCCAAGACGCCAGTCCTATGCTAAACTAATATCGTCGCACCTGCGCATCAATGAAATATCGGTGCCTGAGATTCCTATTTCGATACAGATCGCATCATTACTAGCTATACGTAACCTAGACGCGCACCATACGCACCATCAACCAAAATGGTCAAGATTTCGGTGGGCTTAAGCGCAGGCAGATGTTTTGCAGGAATATCATCACGCTAACTAGACTAACGTACGTCGCATTATGTCAATAAAAGCTCAAAATCCTATGAACGACCTATCAAAACAGCCAATTCTCCTTCAACGCCGCCCGACCCTAGTTCCCAAGCAAACATAAATGTCCATGCGTCCACAGAAGCGCAAAAGCAAATCTCCTTAGTCGTCTTCCACCCATGTCCCTAAACGAGGGGATCGTCCCCGACTAACGTGACCCAGATTCACACGTGCTCTATGGGTATCTCAACGTTCGGTAGGTAGAGCAGGCAAAGCAAATGCTAATACTTGCTTGGCTTACGAGGGCGATTAGGACGATTAGGGCGTCCCCTTAAGATGTCAGGCGAGACGGTGTAATCCCTCAAGTCAACTGCGTAGTCATCGTCGCTGCACTCGCTTACTCCGTTGCTGTCTCTCCTGACTAATTTCCCAGGCCGCGACTTAGACGGCGTCAGCTCGGGGTTCATCGGCCTACTTGAGGGCTTGAGGCCAGCTGGACGTTGAGGTAAAACCGTCTCTCTTTGCGAAGCTCCTGGGTAGGCTGCCGATGCAGACCCCGTCTGGCTGGGCTCATCGTAAACTATCTGGCCATGGACACTTTGGTGTCGCTCTTGGGCATAGCCCGACGCGACTCCCGGCCTCGAGACTGGGACTTTCTGCACATTAGCTCCCTCCAACGGATCTGGGCGATAAGGTCGAAATTTTTGCTGACCTTCGTGCCGGTTATATTGTGGTGCGTATTGTTGCGGGTAATTCTGGGGATGCTGTTGATAAGGCTGAGTGTAAGGTCGAGGGTGACTAGGAGGCTGACTTGGCTGTTGAGAATAGTCCTGGCCCCAGACAGCACGGGGATCATTAGCTGGGCGATGCTGGGGATGTCCAGGTTGAGCGTAGGAGCTCCCTACTCGGAAATTCTGCGAATAGCTATAGCCTCCCACCGCATACGGGGCCGGTTGAGGGCGTTGTCCGTAGCCCTGAGTCGAGCTCTCTGCCTCGCGGACAACTGCGGTGACGGCGCGTCGACTGTCGCGTCTCGGGTTGTAAGGGTCGTAAGGGTCGGAAGAGTCGGAAAAGCACATCGTGGAGATCTTCTTAGTGTCAAACTTCGTAGTGATTGAATTTCTAAGTGTCTCCTTATTGAATGGGAATAGAAAAAATTAAATGCTATGCCGGATAGCTTGAATAGAATGACATTGGTCTCCTATTAGAAGATTACAAGAACTGTTCAACAGTTTTGATTAAATAAATAAAACACGAAGTGGGAGTCTCGACATGAATTTGGGTTTTCTCATGATATGAATGTGCCCTGTGTGTTGTTTGAGTCAACAATAGTCATATCCAGGTGAACAAGGACGTTTTTTTCTTAGTGACATTAAGGAAGGGACAAAGACGTCAGTACACAGCCAGACGGCCTCATAAAGAAACTTTCTTTGTCTGGTTATCTGAAAAAGCCAAACAATAGCATTCTCTGAGGTGAAGAAGCTATGGGATTTGATTCGTCAATACAGTGAATAATAGGCAGAACACCAGATGATTCCCGGAGCGCAAGCATGGTGGACCAATACTTCAATAGTAAATGTAGAGATGAGAATTACTCGAGTTTCACTCAAGTACGTGGTCCAAACACTACGCACAGTAATAATAGCCCTCAAGGGGCATATAAACTCAGCTGGTCTAGCTTCGTGATCGTATCAATTAGCATCTTGGATAATTGACCTACCTAGGTACCCTGGATCACAGAACCCTCTTTGTATAACCTGTTTTCCATCCAACAACACGGTGTGTAACTGTGAAGCCATGCACTGATCTCACTTCAGGCAAAATAGTCCTAAGCAATACTAGGAGTTGATGACCATAGGAAAAAACTACGTACGAACTCACAAAACTCACTACCTTCTAAAATTGTTCTTCAACTCACTTTATTGTTAACGGGGTCTGGTTTTGAACAATAGGTGTCGTCTTTGTTACTCTGTGCATTGTTCCTAGACACATTAAATAGATATATCCTACTTGAAGCTGCTTGCTTGCCACCGATTCTAGTTTTAGTCCCTAAAACCGCCTAGAAGGTAAGCCCGTATGAGCCATTGAGGTTGGTAACATAACATTTAATATGGAATTTATCAAAAAGTGGTTCAACCCTTATAAGAAAGGGAGAAAGGATAAAAACAACACGAAGGAGGAGCATCGGGTTAGCTCGCTACTTGAGAGCTTATCGAGTACTCAGGAACAAACCAGAGGATCTTCGGGTCGACGTAATGCTATTTGTGTCTCCAAGACGAACTTTATACCCCGAACTCAAGGTCATGAAGCAACAGTTGCGTACCTTGAATCAGGGAGTGCGTCTGATCTATCCCAGTTGCTCAGTGAACGTGACCGCGCCGAAAGACTTGTGTATCAAGGTCCCAAGACGAAAGCTACCCAAGAAGTCCAAGACATACTCCGCGAGCCGAGTATAACAACTGTCGGGAGGTTCCATCGCGTCTACAAGCAGGCCGAAATTCTAATAAAATATGGTATTGCTGGCGAAATCGTGTACAATTTTAGCAGATCCCCTAGCTGGAACAAGGCCAATATATCAAGATTGCCTTCACTACAACTCAAAAATTTCAGTGACATAATGAAAAGGCACATTGGACTTCCGAGCAACACCTCAAGCATCCCTCGTAGCCCCTCAACTCCTATCGACTGGATTGTTCTTGGGGCATCGGGATCTACAGCTCCTCATGACGTCCGGCGGCCATCTATTGTAAGTGAACCCGGCGGTTGGAGAGACTTGCCACCTCTCGATACAAATGATGAACGGATGGGCGATGTTCATAGCCCTTCCTCAGTGGCGCAGGATAGCAATCTTGAAGATGAATGGGAAATCGAAGAAGCACAAATCCTCACAGTAACAAGGGTTCCTATTCGGCAGGTACATATAACCCCTAAAAGAGGTAGCATAGAAAGTGCTAAGGTTAGCGAACGGCGTGAACTCTCTGGAAGAGTCCTTGATAATTCAGAGGGCTACTCTGGCTGTTGAGATAAATCCAATATTAGTGATCTGATCTTTGGGTATGTAGTAGTGTCGAAACTTCATGCATGAGTTTGATCCTTGCTTGGTGTTAAGTAATACGACCAGCCAGACAAGCTTTCCTACCTGTCGTTGGTCTCATATTCAAGAATTGAAAGCTACGTAATTTGAAAATCGTCGTAATTGATCAACCTAAACTATGTAGGTGAAAATGATGTAAATATTTCCGTGCATACCCTGCATGCCTTCCTGCCGAGACTTCTTAGGGGAGAGCAATGCACTCTATCTCAACGTCAACGCCCTTAGGTAGCTGTTTGACAGCCACGCAGCTACGGGCAGGCTTGTGGACGAACCACTTAGCGTACTCGGTGTTCATATCGGCGAACAAGGACATGTCGGCTAAGAAGATGTTGACCTTGACCACCTTCTCGATAGAGGAACCAGCAGCAGTGAGAACAGCCTTTAGGTTCGAGATACAAGATGCTGTCTTCTCGCCAATAGTTCCTTCCACAAGGTTACCTTGAGCATCACAAGGGATTTGACCCGAGCAGTAGATAGCAGTAGGTGTCTTGATGGCATGAGACTAATAGTCACAGTCAGCTCCTAGACAGAATAAGAAAGTCAAGATTCATTAGTCCGTACATAGGGGCCGGCAGCTGAATGTCTGATTAGCAATTGAAAATAACCCGCTTGACTTCTTTGCCCTGAGAGTTCCACTTACGAGGAGCGGCGTCCTTAGCGAAAACGTGAGTGATATCAGACATGGTGCGGATTGGCGTTGAGGTTATTGAGACGAGAGGTTTCTGTGAGATCGGAATTGAACCACGACGTACAGCGGAGGAGAGAAGTAATCGAATTGGAAATGCTCGACTAGCCACTGGCATAGCTCTAAGTTAGGTATTTATAAAACAAAAACCGCGATGGTATTGAGTACTTTGTAATCAGATCTAGTCAATAGTAGGGCGTGGAGATTTTGTAGCCACTTAAAGTTTCCAGTGGTCTCCGTACTTCGGCCCTCCGGCTAAGGCGGGGTGGGAGGTTGCTAAGCTCCGTGCTACGTGAGAGTCTACCATGTAAACGGGTAAAGTTAAATCTTTAGCGATATCTTATGTAAACATGGATATTTAGGGCATTATATGTAGGTACAAAGGTTGCTATGAGGTCACGGTAGCTTAGACTGGTAGGTGGTATTTGTTTGCCGGTAGATGGAGATGCATCTAATGCACGTGGGTTCAGGTATAAATTTCTTTGATATTCCAGGTTCCCAATTGTATGGTACCGTTTTGTTTGTGCCTTTCGGTGTCGTTGAACTTGCTGCATCACGAGTAGATAAGATCTTTATTGTCGATAAGATTTCGGTATTAGCCGTCTTCGTGGGCATCGTGGATTATCGTTTCTCAAATGTTGTTTCAACTTGGACCTAATAACACCTCCATAACGAGATTCAGGCTTTGCAGGCTTTGATGGATCCTTCCACCGTGGTTCTAATAAAAAGGGGGTCGTGAGGCTGAGGTGTTGCCAAGTGGCCAGAATTAACTCGATAGCCCCTGGAAGAGGTACATCTGGGCAAGTGCCAGGCAAGTGCAGTACGAAGTACATACCTAGTACTCATTGCGTCGCACAGGGTGGGAACGCGGACAACTCGCGCCGCAACTCTGAAGCTTCCCCTGCGTTAGGTTATTAGTTATTAAGATTTTAATCAAGGGCCGTTTTCTTTGAACATTTCTTCTTGATCACCAACTTTCGTCTTTCCGACAACCTTCGGCGCCAACCATCACAGCATTCGGCCTACGAATTGGCCATATGGTTGGTTGAATTACTTCTTTTTTCTTTGTTTCTGTAAGTATCTCTGGTATTTCTAGAAAACGGTACAAGGATGCTGGTTGTCCTTATGCTGTGACACGTCAAATGCGACGTAATCATCCGAACCAAAAAGCATCAAAACTTCAGGCCTCTCCCAGCTAATTCCCAATTCTCACCAGTTCTCACACACCAATTTCTTCTGAACTGCGCTCCTTTACACTATGTCGACTACTCCGCAGGGTAGTCTGCGCCAGCGGAATGTGCCCGGTTCTTCCAAAAAGAAGAACGGAAGCCCTGCTGGTACGGACTCGGAGGTCGATAGCCTCGACAAACTCGTCAAGAAGCAGATCGCTAGCACATCCTCAGAACTAGACTATAAGATTGCTTTCGTCGTCATCACTGTCCTGGCTTTCATTTCGAGATTTTGGGGTATTAGCCATCCGAACGAGGTCGTTTTCGACGAGGTCCACTTCGGTAAAGTAAGAAGACACCGCCTTTAAACCGCTTTCCGACTTTTTGCTCGGGTACGCTGTAGAGAACACTGCTTACGCCTTTTTTGGTCATTTAGTTCGCATCCTATTACCTCGAAAGAACCTATTTCTTCGATGTCCACCCTCCGTTCGGAAAATTACTATTCGCCCTTATGGGATGGCTTGTAGGATATGACGGACACTTCCACTTCGAGAATATCGGCGATTCGTACATAGCGAATAAGGTTCCCTATGTAGCCTTTCGCGCTATGCCAGCACTACTCGGCTCGTTGACCGTCTCCGTCACTTATCTCATCATGTGGGAGTCTGGGTATAGTTTGCCCGCTTGTATTGTTGCCGCTGGCCTCGTCTTGTTGGACAATGCCCACATTGGCCAGACCCGTCTGATCCTGCTGGATGCCACGCTTGTGCTCGCTATGGCATGCTCTCTGCTATGCTATATCAAGTTCTACAAGCTAAGACACGATCCTTTCAGCCGCAAATGGTGGAAATGGCTTATCTTGACCGGTTTTGCTCTTTCGTGCGACATTTCTACAAAGTACGTCGGCCTCTTCGCCTTCGTCACGATCGGATCTGCGGTTGTTATTGACTTGTGGGATCTGCTCGATGTTAAACGACCTGGCGGTGCATTGAGCTTACGAGAATTTGGACATCACTTTGGCGCTCGTGCTCTAGGGCTGATTGTCTTGCCTTTCCTATTCTACTTGTTCTGGTTCCAGGTCCACTTTGCCATTTTAACGCGATCCGGCCCCGGCGACGATTTTATGACTCCCGAGTTCCAAGAGACATTGTCTGACAACGTCATGCTTGCGAATTCTCTTAACATTGAGTACTACGACACCATCACTATTCGACATAAAGAGACCAAGGCATATTTACACAGTCACGACGCCAAGTACCCTCTCCGTTATGATGATGGCCGAGTCTCTAGTCAGGGTCAACAGGTCACGGGCTACCCATACAATGATACCAACAACTACTGGCAGGTTCTTCCCGTTACTAACGACAACCAGTTGGGCCGTCACGTCAAGAATCACGAACTCGTAAGACTGCGACACTTGGTGACTGATACAGTTTTGCTATCTCATGATGTCGCGTCTCCTTACTACCCCACGAACCAGGAATTTACTACTGTTTCTATGGAAGACGCATACGGAGGTCGCGCGGCGGACACTCTTTTCGAGATTAGGATCGAGCATGGCAAACCAAACCAAGACTTCAAGAGTGTTTCTAGCCACTTCAAGCTTATTCACAACCCTAGCAAGGTTGCGATGTGGACCCATACGAAGCCCCTTCCGGAATGGGGTCACAAGCAGCAAGAAATCAACGGAAACAAGCAGATTGCTCCTAGCTCCAATGTCTGGATTGCGGAGGATGTTCCATCTGTCCCAGCAGATTCCCCCCGCCGCCAGAAAGAAGAACGCCAGGTTAAGAGCCTACCTTTCCTCAGGAAATGGTTTGAGTTGCAACGTTCTATGTTCTGGCACAATAACCAGTTGACTAGTAGCCACCCGTACGCTAGCCAGCCCTACCAATGGCCGTTCCTACTGCGGGGTGTCAGTTTCTGGACTCAGAACGAGACTCGCCAACAGATTTACTTCTTGGGTAACCCTATTGGCTGGTGGATCGCTAGCAGTCTGATCGCAGTTTACGCTGGAATCATCGGCGCCGATCAAGTGTCCTTACGCCGCGGTGTTGATGCTTTGGATCATCGTAAGCTATTCCCAACCCTCCGTTTCGTATTTAGTCAGCTAACCTCAATAAAGGCACTCGTTCCCGCCTCTACAACTCTACCGGGTTCTTTTTCCTGGCGTGGGCTACGCATTACTTCCCGTTCTACCTCATGGGACGCCAGCTTTTCCTACACCACTACCTCCCCGCTCATCTTACCTCGTGTCTCATCGTTGGCGCCCTGCTGGAGTTCGTCTTTAACGCAGAGCCCTCCGCTGAGGAGCCGACGTATCACGAGATCAAGTCAGGCAAGAGACGCGCGCCCGGTCCTCGGCGACACATCACCGCCCGAGAGCGGTTCGCCGGTCAGAGCATGGTCCCAGCATGGATTGCATGCGGTGTCATTCTGACGCTCGCCTTCGCCGGCTGGTACTATTTCCTACCGCTGACTTACGGCTACCCCGGCCTCAGCGTCGAACAAGTCCTCCGACGCAAGTGGCTCGGATACGACCTCCACTTTGCTAAATGAAAGGTGGAGAAAGATATTAAAACACCCAGATTTGGGCAAGGTGATGGGACGGCTAGTTGAGGTTATAATCTTGGTATGTAAAACCATAATCACGTGTGGAGAGGACGAAGATAGACAAACAAGGTGTACGATTGAGCGGCATCTACGGGGCGAACAATGGATAGGTTGGGCAGGCTTTGCGCGAAAACCCGGGGTGATGGAGATATAAAAAGTCGGTTTTTGTGATAATGATGAGAGGAAAAGGCCAAGGTGCACACCAGACACGCTTGGCCCAGATACCTACTCAGGACTCGTTCTGTAAACCCCATTTAAAGACGCAAGACCACGCATGAATCAAATCAATCTCATTTCTCATGACTTATTAAGTAGCTACGCTACGCTAAGCTAAGCTGAGCAAAAACCTCGATGATCCGCCTACCGCCTACTGGTAAAATTAAGGAGATTATCCACCTCGAGACCACGTCCGACCTTACAAATCCTTGAGAACTTCTTCAGCGACAATTTGGCCTGCTAACCAGCTCATATCCACAGTGCTCGCGATAGAGTGGATAGCTGATGTCCACCATAGACCTTGACTAGATAATTTGAATGGTGGATATCGTTTGAATGGGTACAGATCGGGGTAGCCATTTTCAAGCTGGTGGTCGACGGTCAGTTATCTAAATTAATACAATGGGTTACGATAGTTGGATGTCACTTACTCTCGTCTGATAGATCCATGTGATTTCTTGGTTAAGTTGTCGTAGTTGTTCTATAGCACCACCATCTGATAGAATCCGGTACAGGTGCTCCACGACCCTATTGCCATCATTCCCGACCCGGACGACTTCCCTCACGAATGCGAGCTCCCTAAATCCGGTAAAAGGGCTGTCTTCGGCCTCGTTGTTGAAGAACAGTATTTGGTCAAGGTCATCTCTGAAGAGGTCGGGGCGGAGACGCGATGGTGTTGTGAAGAATGTGATGTATACGGGCCGATAAGTCAGAACAGAAGCGGCCTCGATGTCGTCGATGGAAGAGACTTGATATAGATTGAACTCCGGGGCTGCAATGATGACTTTGTCAAACGCCTCGGCTTGTATACCAGATACACCGAGGGCACCGTATGAAAGAAGCCATGCCGGTTTTTCTTCGTCGATATATGCGTGCTTGATACCCGCTACTGTTGCACCTACCCGCACGTGGGCGTCTGTCGCACTGATAATCTGCTCGAGCCTATCAATCAACTCCCCCCCAACATAGAAATTGGCATAATCCTCTTGGGCCACTCCTAACATCGCGGCCAAGGTGCTGATTTCTGAGACTTTCTGGAAATAGGCTCGCTCGACCTGAGGCCCGAGGACCTCGGTCACGTAGCCACCGCTGATGCCTCGATTGTCAAGTCCATCTTGCGCAGGTTCTTGCACAGAGTCGAGAATACCTAAGGATATCATAAGCTGCATGAGATCCGTCGTCGGGTGCGGGTCTACGAAACGATCTCGTAGGCTTGTTCCATCCTTAGCCATAGCTCCCGCACGCCATACGGAACTACCATATCTGAATATTTGCCCAAGCCAGCTGGTGGTTGGCGTCTTGCTATAAGGGCGAGTGGTATCGCTGACGACTTGATCGGAGTAACTAGACGTGGTTAATACTAGAATGACTCTCGCCTGAATAGAGTTAAAGCTCTTACTATCCAACCATCTGGCTCGGACGCTCAGAGAATCCAACTCTGTCACCCAGCGTTGCCTCCGATGCCTTTGTAAAGAGAGGATTGCCCCAGACGAGAGCCGTACCAGCAATATCTTCTGCGCTTATCGGGTTCTGTTCGTCATCGTCGTATGGGAAAACCGGACCGCCGGTGGAAGCATTAAGAGCCAATTGACCACCAATTGAGGGGGCCGATTCAAACAGGGTGATATTGAGGTGAAAGCGTCTACCTCTTGAATTACAGTAGAGATGTTGGGCCGCAGAGATGCCCGCAGGTCCAGCGCCTGTGTGTCCAGATCAGATCACGCCTGTTGATTCTGAGTGGTAATGTAGACCTCGAGATATACATACCGATAATGGCAACTGAATACGTTGGGATTGGGGGTGGGGGTAATGAAGGTCCCCCGGAGAAGAAGTGATAGAGGAAGAAGAAGGGCAGGAAAAAAAGCACCAGGCCAAGTAGTTGGAGACATGCCAAGGGAGGTTTGACCACTACATCAGGTATTGATTTTGAATTCACGGCTGATGGAATCAGCGGCGTTCGTTCACTTCTCAGACGCTGGTATATTGACGGAGGTCGACTGGAGTAAGCCGGAGGCGGGGACTCGCTCCGGACACTCGCGGTGCGAAACGAGTCTGAGTATGGTCGGGTTCCTCTTCCCATGGTCGATAGCTTCTCTAAGCTAAGATACGAGTTTTCCCATTAGATATCTCGCAGGTGCCTGTATGTATGAAAGGCAGAAGCAAGCCGTTTGTAAGAGTTCCGGTTTCGAAAGTTGACTGAGGCAACCTGATAGCCTTATTCAACTATTGAGCCGACCGCAGAGATGAGGCGCAGTCCACCCAAACAAGGCTACCTACAGTATTGGCCTAAGGTTGAGCAAGGAAAAATGGTTAAGTACTCTATGTTATGTTATGTTACGTAGCTGTAGTTAGGAAGTGGATATGGAAAGAATGACTCCTGCTGCCTTGGTAAGTCGCTCTTGACAACTCTAACTATTGGCGTAGATAAGCTCTCTTGGCGGTTACACAACATCCAGTCCCCTCTATTAATTGCCGTGATCGGATTACTTAAGTGGCTGGGTGCAGGTTGTGCGAATGACTCGTCATATTCACGAAAATCCTTTACGCCCCGCTCACGAAGAAGAGTCGTAATAATGTCCGAGTTGAACAATAGCAACACAATATTATCGCCAGTTCATATCAACCTCAAGATACTTTAAGAGTGCGGATATTCGAATATTTGCAAATAAAGAGACTGGGGATTAGCTAGGTGTGGCGAATAAGGAGTACAATGGAATCAAGTCTTACTATACCCGAACCAATCAATTATGGCCTGTTGTTCTAACCTTCAGAACTTACAGGTCGATTCCCTCGAGCTCAATTGTAACAGGGAAGAATGGATGATATTTCTACAAGTATTCTGAAGCGGGTTTCTCAAAACTAAATTATTCAAGAACCTCAGCTACGAGCAACCGATCAGCTAGACTTACATATGACCAATGCCATATTTCGCCATACTATAGATGCCGGCAAGCCGTCTCCAGGCTTTGTACCGAATTAATAAGATCCCGTGTGAGTGTGATTCTCTTACCCAATCCAATCAAGGTCTGGTCGTACCAACTATGTGCCATATATTGGATCGACAAATATTGAATAATACATATTACAACCGTCTCATAATCTTCAAGTTTCAATAATATTATTTTAGTTATGTCTTAACTCGCAAGCATCCGACCATAGCATTTGCTCCTCATTGTTGCGTGGACAACTTATAGCTTCATAATCCCTACTTAAGGAAAGTCCTTCGAACCAGGTCCTATTGTCATAAGCCACATTTCCATCATTGGGATATCGGACCGGCATTGGCATATAATCGGTGTCGCCATGTGGTATTCCATGTGGCATTTAAGGACAGACAGGAACAATAAGTTGATCTAGATCTAGAACTAAAAGTCTACTGAGGAGGATGCCCTTTTCTACAAGTCGCATATGAAGGACGCGCCATCGAAATGATCCCACGAGGCGAGCCATTGTGCCTGCATCAGATCGAGTGTTGCAATCGACGGGAACCAACCGTGACATTGCTCGTTATTATCCCACCTTCTACCGACAGTAACGTTCCTGCTCGCCTCTTTTCCCGGACCATTCAGCCCAAGCCCCATCTAGTCAACTATTTTATTTTCTCGAGAGGTCCAATGACCTTTCAATGGCATTGCGTGTCCTCAGCCGATGAGATGTGTGGCCCAGCTTGGAAGCTTTTTTGTCTGATTTTCTTCCCTGCTACGGACCGATAATACACCCTTGGCTACTCAGGCTAAAGACCTGGTTCAAATTCCTCTCCCATAGGGTGACTTGCATATGTGCTAACGAGGCTTGGGATCCCGACCGCCCTATTGGACAAAAGGAGAATTTATAGTAGTGACGCGTTCGATGAGACAAGATGCCACCTAGATGCTCCCATATAACTCAGCGGAGGGGCTCCCATCGAGTCTGGGCTCCTGCGAAAGCTGAGACTGGCGAAGAGTGGTGAGTTCACGTTACGACCTAAGCTTTTAGTATAAAAGCTGAAGAAACCTGGTTTGCGTGGTTTAGCCCAGCTGGATACCCTTCGAAGAACCATCCAGTCGTTTCCACCAGTTCTTTCACTCGATATGTGGAAGGTTTCTTTATGGGGGCTCACCCAATGCCTCTTCTGGGGTAGTGTAGCTGGGATAGGAGAGCGTGAGGATTGCGATCCCGTTTACTTAACGACGACGGTATTTGCTACTAGGACCATATATACGACAGCTGCCCCTAACGGGACAGCGCCAACTTGTCCAGGGGCTCCATGGGGTAACACGACTACGGCTTCAATTCCCAGCACAAGCACTTCGAGCTCGAATACTAGTATAGGTACTACAAGTCTGAGTACTAGTATAGGGAGCACGACTAGCGCTCCATTTGGCAACACTACCACGAGTGCTACGAGCCCTACTAGTATCCCATCTGGAAACACTACAACCACCGTGACAAGTATTCCCAGCACTTCCTTTGGAAACACCACGATAAGTTCTACAAGTGCCACTAGCCCTCCGTTTGGAAATACTACTACGACTGCTACAAGCGCTACTAGCCCTCCATATGGTAACACGACTACAAGCAATACCCTCCCCCCAACTACGACCCCAACCATTTCTCTGAATACAACTTCGACCACATCGATACCAAGCACGGCTTCGTCGACTACGTCACAGCCAGCAGAACCTACCGAGCCCATACCTCCACCAAAACCACCGGGCCACTTCAGAGGTTTCAAGAATGCCGTCTACTTCACGAATTGGTAAGGAAGCGCAGTATTATTGTATACCGATTGCTTTAGCTTACACTTTACCAGGGGCGTCAACTCGGGCTTTCACCCTCAGGAACTACCTGTTTCTGAACTCACGCACATCCTCTATGCCTTTGCCGATATCGACCTGGACGGGACTGTGAAGTCTTCAGACCCAGTTGTAGATCTTCAGACGCGCTACCCTGAGGACTCGAAGTCTAACCGCACCAAAGATGCTTATGGTGCCATTAAGCAGCTGTTCATCCACAAGAAGTATAACCGAAACCTCAAGACGCTCCTCTCCATAGGGGGCTGGAACTACTCGCCCAAATTCGCAACCGTAGCTGCGACTGATGCGACAAGACACACGTTTGCAACATCTGCGGTACAGCTAGTCACGGACTGGGGCTTTGATGGCATCGACATCGATTGGGAGTATCCTACCAATGAAGTTGAGAAAGCGAATTTTGTCAAGCTGCTCGAGGCTTGCAGGCACGCGCTTGACCAATATACGCTTCTTCATGAACTGAGGCATAGATTTACTATCAGCGTAGCGAGCCCGGCTAGCTCGTTGAACTATGAGAAATTAGACTTGACCGCCATGAATAAATATGTGGACCATTGGTGAGCTTCAACTTTTCGGCAAGAGAACATCATGCTAATAGAATATAGGAATTTGATGGCCTACGACTATTCCGGAAGCTGGGATACAGTCAGTGGGCACCAAGCCAATGTATTCGAATATAAGAGTGGTCCCACCGCGAATAACCTAAGTACGGACAATGCTATTGACCACTACATATCCCGAGGCATTCATCCGCGGAAGATCCTTATGGGAATACCCCTATACGGCCGATCTTTCGAGGGTACTTCCGGCCTCGGGCAGAACTACTCGACTGTCGGAGAAGGAGGTCCGCAAGCCGGAGTTTGGTATTACAAGGACCTACCGAAACCAGGGGCCAAGGTTGTATACGACCACGTTGCGAAAGCAACATATAGTTACGATGCCGAGACCAAGGAGCTCATCTCATACGACGATGTCCGAAGCACCGATTTCAAGTCGGAGTATATACAGTGGCGCGACCTCGGCGGTGCGTTCTTCTGGGAGGCTAGTGGTGATAAAGGGGGTTCCCGGAGCTTGATTAATACGATGTCGAAGAACGTGGATTGGCTCGACGAGACGCCCAACAACCTTCATTATCCGACTAGCCAGTACCGTAACATACGACGGGGAATGCCGGATGAATAAATTGGGAGAATAGCTACCTATATAGGATGGCTAGACGTGCCCTGTATTTACTCTGCATGGATTTCTTGTATATGGGTTTTGGAAAATTGGATTGGTGCGGTTGGAGTCATTTTCTCTCAAAGCATACGATATTGGCCTTCAATTGGGCTATTTCAGACGGTGGCGTATATAGGCCTAATAAACATGATCTAAAGAGTTGTATGAGTTGACTGTTTTTGAATTAGCTTGGATTTCTGGCTGGATTGTATGTATGTTTTGAATGCACTTCTATCAAGATAAATACTTGACATGAGAATCAATATATACAGTATTGAAGACATGCTGCAATACTAGGTCGAAGGCTGATCTAGCTTGTTGGGAAATATTTGACTTTATATATAGGTTAGATCAATGTAGAAGGACTATGTAAGGGATGGAATTGTAAGCCATTCACTAGATCATGACAAGACCAGCTTAGTAAGTAAATTTATGTCTCCGAATACTCGTATGAGCTCGTTGATTCCTCAACTGCGACCTCAATCTTGCTCTCCTCGATTTCTTTACCGTTGACCTTAATGCCGGCTCGCATGACATCGCCTGGCACGACCGGCCCAACACCTTTCGGTGTTCCGGTGAGAATAATGTCTCCCTTCTCAAGGGTCATAACCTTAGAGATGTCGCTCAGTACCCTTGGGATCTGGAAAAGCATGAGTTCGGTGGAATCTGCCTGCTGGACCTTGTTGTTGACGGTGAGATAGATATCTATGGCATGAGGGTTAGGAATTGCCGATTTCTCAATGAGATTGCTCATTGGCAAGAAGGTATCGAATCCCTTGGCGATTGACCAAGGCAGCCCCTTTTTCTTGGCCTCATTTTGAATGTTTCTCGCGGTCATGTCAATGCTAAGAGCATAGTCTTCAATAATTGGTTAGTTTATTGGACGAAGTTATGAGCTATAAGTCACAAACAAAGCCTTTGTAAATAACTTACGTTCAATGGCGTCTAAGGCTCCCTTCTCATCGTCCGCTGCAAGGTCTTTCACTTGCTTACCCAGGATGAGAGCCAATTCCACTTCATAGTGAAGGTCTACGCCCTTAGGTCGAATAACGGGGCCAGCCCCGGGCAACAGAAGCGACGATGTAGGCTTCAGGAAGAAGAAAGGCTGCTTCGGCCTGGCACTGTTTAACTCGGCGATATGGTCCCTATGCGAGAATGGTGAGCCTTTTCGCACCCCCTGCCGTGGGAGGATTATGAACGCAGCACTCACGCATAATTGCGACCGATGCAGACGACCTTGCCGGCCTGTTTCAAAGAAGCCACTGACGCCATACTGCGACGGAAAACATTCATTGTCTTTTTAAGGGGATAGTCAGCAAACGGATTCTTATGGCTGATAGCGGCGCAGAGCAGGATTGGCTTGAATCCTGCGGGCTTAACTTACATGCAAAGAGAGTGATGACGAAGAAACCTTCGTCTCGCACAACTACGAATTATCCAGGGGCTTTTATATCCTTCAAACTTGTTCGGCAACGTCTGCGGAGATGGAGCTTCAATGTCTCAGTGACGACGACTATACAACAATGTCCCGATGTTCGGCTTCTGAAAAGCCATATGAGCCGTTATGAGCCGCTACGAGTCGCTAACGACGGGATTAATTAAAGCCCTGGCACTATCCCATAAGAGGTGTTAGGCCAGTGGATGGCGATTGGATGGCGATTGGATGGGTAACAGTAGGCGTTACCCGCGAGGGCCCACCTGCTAAAAGTTACCTCGCTCTCGGTATGGGGTACGTAGATGTACGTAGATATACGTAGATGTGCGTAGATATGCGTAGATCTACGGAATAATGCTTGATGCGTAATCGAACGCGCCCGGAGGTTCCAAAGGCTGCAAGGATTACAAAAGTGGGTTGCAATGACGGGCGGAGTGAAGTCCCAAGCGTGGGGGGAGTCTCTGTAGAATGCCTGGGCGCCGGACTAGCCGGGTCTGGGCCTGGGGTAAGAGTACATACATTAGTAGGTAAGAGCACTCCAGCGACTCCACAACGCTTTACTGAGTTAAATAATTTATTTCTCTCACCTCCATTCTTCCCCTGCAAAGTGAAAAGTCCCTTAACCCACCTTGATAACAAGGCCTGAAATACCTGATATCATCACAAGACCAACCTGTTTTTGGCCTTCATCCCATCGACAACTTCGTCATTTCACCCAAGTTTCAATTCGACCAAGTCGCGCAAAGTTTCCTCTATTAAGCCTTGGATTTTTTTTGTGTGTGATATCTTAACAATCGCCCATCGTTGGTGGTTCTTTGTCGAATGCGACATTATGGAAGCTCTACAGCTAGCACAGATGCTGGCTGATCTCAACGATCTCCAAGCTACTGTATGTGGCATTTCAATCGCATTTTCTCCCCCTAAACAATCATCCGAATTTAGTTGATTAATTGAGATGATTCTATGTAGCAAGATCAATCCGCCTCAAAGGATCTTTTGAGCGCCAACCGGGCGCTCGATCGTAAAAGCCAACTGCGGCTGGAGCATGAGCCCAGAAGCCTCAGCGTCCCGGTCGCCGAAAACAGGATGAACTCACCTGCCGGACGCATGACAGACAAGTTCGGCCGTCGCATGCTCACACCACCATTGACTAGAACAAACTCTGCATCTCCTTCAATGCCTGGAAGTCCTTCTGGACATGAGGTATGTCTTTTGACAATCTTTTCTTTGTTTTAATATAGTATATACTAACTTGTGGCTCAGCGACCAGATGCCGATATTGATAGAGCCTCCACGCTCCTCTCCCTGTATGAAATCCGGGCCAAATTGAGAGAGCAAGACAACAGCGGCTTGATGAAGGCCCGCGAGAAAATCAATGCTCTAGCTGCGAAGCAACAGGTCCAGGTGACCGAGCAGCACAAAAATGACCGGAGAGCGGCAAACCGACTAAGCTACCCCAAGTGAATATACAACAACAACAACAACACAGCTCGACTGAATTCTCGGGATACTCTTACGAACAACTGCATCATGGTTATCATAGGCGTTACAAAAGGATCAAGTGGACGAAATGGAAGCGATAAGCAAGCCATCATGAACGAGCGTGGATGCTCCTGGGAACAAAAGGCGTATGAGCTGGCTGAACATGGTTGAGTAAGTCATGCTGGGTTAACTGGGTCGGCTACTATGATCAAGATACGATTATTACATGTATGGGCAAACATCGATTTGGGAATTAATTATAATTTGGCAAAGGCGGTACACGAATATACACAGCAAGCACTCCACGGCATTGATTGGAGTCTTCCACGATTTCATAACCCTATCCCTTACTGTCTTCTCACTTGCTGATTGATTGAATTTTGGGCTAGTGACGCTCGAGGGGCATCAACAAATAATGGTAATTACTCACCTCTAAGGGGGTTTGCTTATTGGGCAATAGGTACTCCTCTCGGCCGACTATACGCATCAAATGCCTGGAAACTTCAACCTTGCTACCTAGGTAGCGAGGAAATAGTGACCTTAAAGTGTGAGCAAGATCTGCGAGACGCCACTTTGGCAGGAGAGGTAGGATTGCGCCCTACAGGCAGGATGACCTCACATTGTTTATCCTGAATAATCCGTTCATCTGCGTCATAAGACCCCTATTTTTGGATCTGATGGGTTGCAGCTTGTGCTACTTACCATTAATGTAACTGATTTACATATATTCGGTGTCTCTCGACTATTTCTCGGGATTTTCTGATAGGCAGACAGTCATATTAATGGGAAATACACCACACGTATGTTTATAGAACGATATAAATTCGGGTATCCATGTGATGGCTTCTAGAAAAAGTTTGAATTGGCCAATCAGCCATAAGAAGCAAGACTGTCGAGACAAGTACCTATACAATCATTATCTCTTTATGATGGGATGTTGGTGTTAATACCTAGGTATTGAAAATAGCATTAAGTGGTGATATCCTCATGACCTAAGAAGTTTAAATAGACCTTTCTTTTGTGAACTCTCTATAACCTCTCTAGCTATAACGAACCAAACGCGAGCACGGCAGTCCTAATGCACTATTTTAGTTCTGTTAAACAAGCAGGTCCCTAGGTACAGTAGTCGGTGAGGAGAAACCTTTGGGATTACGCATTTGGTTCGGGACTACGTTTTCCGGCCTAAGTATTGCACGGACCACACACGACTCTCCATTATATTACATGGGTACCGGCAATCTTTAGTCATCTGGCGCCGTGGCAGCGGGCAGTTGCTCCCAACTGGAAGAAGTTTCAATCCCAAGCTTTTGAATCCAACCTTAACAACCACTGAAACGCTAAACCAGGCCAGATTGGCGTTTTCACAGACGTCATTTTTCTTCTTCCTTTTCCTGCACTTCAATCCTTCTGCATTCTCATTCACTGTTTTAACAACTGGACAAAAAAGGCTTGTAGTTGCCACCCCAGCTAACGCGCAATATGGCGAGTAGCGTTGACGCGAAGCTCTTAAGGGCGACAAAATTCCCTCCCGAGTTCAATCAGAAGGTCGACATGCAAAAGGTCAACCTTCAAGTCATGAAGAAGTTCGTATCCTGCTGCACGTATTGCTGCGACTCGACAACTAACTGAGACATTTGCAGATGGATTGCGAGCAAGATCTCCGAAATATTAGGATCCGAAGATGATGTGGTTACCGAGCTCTGCTTTAACTTGATCGAGGGGCCGAGATATGTGAGTCTACACTTGATGCCGTGCTATGCTTCAGGAGTTACTGACAATGGATGCCGCAGCCCGACATCAAGTCCATGCAGATCCAGCTTACCGGCTTCCTCGACAAGGACACCGCACAGTTCTGCAAGGATTTATGGAACCTTTGCTTGAGCGCCCAGTCTAACCCGCAGGGCGTGCCTAAGGAGCTTTTAGAGGCGAAGAAGTTGGAACTTATTCAGGAGAAGGTACTGTAACCCGATCGTATCATCTTCCCAAAGCTGTACTAACTGCTATTAGATCGATGCAGATAAGGCGGCCGAAGAGTCACGAATTAGACGAGAAAACCAAGAGCGCCGTGAGCGCGAGTTATCAGATATCCGAGATCGAGAACGCCGGGAACGTAGCTTCCGTGGTGGACGCGGCGACAACTGGCGCGGCGGTGGGAGACGTGGTGGCGATCGAGCTTTTGGAGGTCGCGGTAGAGGATTTGGTCGGGGCGGCGATCGATCTATCTCTCCCCCGAGACGAGAGCGGGACTCGTACCACAACAATCGCGACCGCGACAGATATGTGCCCCAAGACCGACGCGGCAGTCGACAGGAATTTCGACGCGGTCGCTCCTCATCCCGCTCTGCAAGTCCCGAGTCGAGGGATTCTCTGTCTCGTTCTCGATCGCGTAGCACGGCTAGTGATCGTAGCCGGCGATCACCTACCCCACCACGCCGTCGTTCTAGAGGCCGCCGGTCACCGCCTCGCTACAGGAACTCAGCAAAGCGAGATCGATCTCCAGTGCGAGTAAGAGACTATAGGGGTCGTAGAGTCGGTCGCAAAAATACCTCCTCACCAGACAATGGAAGCAGGTCTGAGAGTAGTAGATCCCGTTCGCCAGCGCCCAAACGGCGCAGGTATTCGGACTCCCCTAGCCGCTCAAGGTCTCCACCACGTCGAGACACGCGACGGCTTAGCCGTTCCCCATCATCTTCTCCATCACGATCACGCAGCCGTAGTCCCAGACGAAGGACAGTCCGCGAACTTATCAGTCGCAGCCCCTCGCCCAACCGTCGTGGGAGATTAAGACGATCTCCAACTCGAAGTCCAACGCCGTCCGAATCATCGGAGGAAGTAAGGCGGCCACGAGAGAGAAGTCGGCGAAGACGCAGAGAGGATAGCAAAGCTAGAGACGTCCCTTCGAGAAAGCGGAGATACTCTGCTGATTCCCCTCGCAACCATGACAGATCAGCTGATATTTCGGAAGATGAAGATAGACCCCAATCCCCAAGACAACACGCGGCCTCGACGGCCGATGAGGTTGGTTCCTCCTCTTAGGGCCTTAGGGCGTTCGTCTTATAATATGATTGATCAGACTGAGAACTGACTCTCTCATTCTTCATCAGACCAAGACTCCGCAGCAGCGAGCCAATGAGCTACGAGAAAAGCTTCTGAAGGAGCGAATAAAGAAGATGAGAAGCACCTCAAGTAGAGACAACGTCAAGGGGTGAGGCTAATCTTCCTAGACTCGCAGGATTTGCAGACCCGGGCCATCCAAGGAGGCATGATTAGGCCAATTGGTGTCCAGTTTGACTCTATCTTTTGGTGAAGGCTTCGAGGTCAGTAACACAAAACAAGCATTGCGTTTTAGCTTATGACTGTATGGCAAATAGCAGATAGATGATGAGGCAATAGACTTACTACCAAGGCTCGACTTCGAATGAGTGCATATGCTATCGTCTACGCAGTTTGATAAGCTATGATCTATATTTATCACGTTACTAGCTTAATAATAGCTTTATGACGGTATGTTTAAGCCTAGTATTATTAATACGGGTGACTATACTATTGATGCTTTTAGTGATTACTTATACAGTCCGGGGTAAAGTTGCTTTGGTGGAAATGACCCAATGTTCATCTGTTCTTTAGACTTATAGCAAGGAATTACATGCTCATTTATACCACGTTAGTACTGTGAACTGCAGTAGAATATATGTGCCCATTTCAAGACCCAATTGTCTCAGCAATGTTGCTTGCAAATGTGGTTATTAAATGCTGCTGAGAATCATATCAGAGTACCTACATGGGTACAAGAAAGCCACTAACAAAAGTCAGTTTTGTGCATTGACCATCATGTATACCGTGCAGTAGCATACTTTAAATATGGGGCCATGTATTTAACCCGATCTGGGTAGTAGAAGTGAACTCGTACATCTTCAACCACGCTGCCACCATAGCAACAGCAGTAAAATACCCTCTACAGCTGACTCACAATGACCGAAAACACCCAGCCCGGCGGGGGTGCAGCTGCCAATGGTGACCGTCAAGCTGCCCTCGCGGAATACAACAAGCAACGGCAGAATCTCAAAGAACTTCTCGCAAAACGAAAACAGCAGGACCGTCAACTGGTAAATCGCGTCTTCTCATTTTTTTCCACCTCGCAATTTGTCAAGACTTTTGCAACTTCTAACCATTGCATGCTACTAGGCACAACTCGAACAAAACATTGTCGACCTCGAAGCCAAGTACCTAAGCAATACACGCTTCGGCAATATCGTCAAAGGTTTCGACAATTACATCAAGGGCACGAGTTCCGCCGCGCAACGCAAGCAAGGCGAGTTGAAAGAAGAGGATTACATCTGGTCAAGATCATCGATTTCACACAACATTCTACATGTAAGTCTCACCGTGTATTTTTTTTCTTTTCGCCTCTAGCACCTCGTACCCTACACACCGTGATTTTCCATCTCCAACTTTCCCGTCGCACTTATCGCCGAAAAATATTCTAACATTACTACTCTACCGTAGCCCGACAATGTCGATGCGCTTTCTAACGCTTCCACTCCGGCCGCGCCTACCCCCGTCTCCGCCACCTTCGGCGCCCGCGGCGACCGTGGCGACCGCGACGGCGGCTCCAACCAGCCCACCCCGACGTCGGCGACGGAGAAGTCGTCCGGCAAGGGGAGCAAGCCGTCGAAGAAGCGCGGGCAGCCGCGAAAGGACAAGGATGCGGACGACGATGAGAGCGAGAATGAGTCGCGCGACGGCAAGAAGATCCGCACTCACTTCGGCGCTACGAGGAAGTGAGCGACCCGTTCGCCAGTCTTACGCCTGCCCCTGCGGCTACTGCAACGATCGCATCGTCTTCAACGCTCCGATGAACGCGACCTTTCTGTACTACTTGGACGGCAGACTGTATTTCAACCTGGACGGCAGCGGCGAAAACGAGGAGTCATGCACCCTGCTCGACTTAAGCCGTTTCATCGCATCCGTCGTCATGATGTGCGAGTCCGCCAACAACTACGATTCGGAGTAAGGGTTTTGGGGGGGTTCACGGCGTTTTGAAGCAATCGGGAAATTATTCCTGTTAGGGAACAGGGAGAGAGGGCATTCTTGCATTGATTTCTTCGGAGGGTTTCACGCATTAAAGTTCGCATATCCTGTTCCTTGAGATACCCGACCGGCTGGGTGAACGCGAGAATACACCCAAGTACGAGATGGCATAACGGCATATGCCCTGTGTCTCGTACTTAAAGTACTTTCACAAGTGAAATACATACCTATGAATCGAGTTTTATGAGTTACTTGAACCAACATACCTTCCTACATATGCAGTCAAGAGTGAGCTCTTTCTTTTTAAACATGCGGGGAGCACCCGGCAGGAGTACTTGGCGGGAGTTACTAGCGGGGAGCAACCAATACCTAAACCCCAACAGCTCCAATGCAACTGGTTAGTTACGTAAATGGTACCTAGGGGTCAATGTGGGCACCTTTTTAAGCACCCTTGATGGACCCTGACCCTGATCTGCCTGGATTGCCCTTGATGGACAACAAAGTCAACGGTACGTGGTCAGAGGGAGCTTCCTAAAAGGGTTGATGCGGTGATCTGTTGAGAGCTATTATATATACTATCCTGCTATCCTGCATGCCTTACTGTCCGTTGGACCAGTTGGACCAATTCATCTCACCTATCCTTGTTCTTATCCTCAATTCTTAATTCACGATGACGATCATGGCCACCAAATTCACCCCGGAGGTGCTCCTCTCCGCGCCACGCCGCAGCGCAGCCTTGCCCAATTCCGCCGGCACCCTCGCTCTATTCTCCGGTATGCCCTAATTACTACCATGGTTAGAGATAAAGCTAATGTCGTCTAGTATCCCAGTACTCTTTCGAGTCACACTCTAGGAGTTACGCTATCAAGGTCCTGGATATCGAGACTCGCCAGTCAACTCAGTTATTCGATGACTCGGCTTATTCCGAGCCCACCTGGATTTCGGAGAACGAATTTGTGTTACTGAAGAATGGAGAATCTACCACATCTCTGGTCGTAGCTGATGCAACCAAGCCTGGATCGGAGTAAGTTTGGGCGAGTAGATGCAGTAGAAGAACCTTACTCACATGCGCACCTAGTCCTTACGAGATTACTACATTTAACACTTCAGTGTCCAATATCAAGGCAAAAGACATCGGTAATGGCACCGTAGCCTTTGCTTTGACAGCCCCGACCACGCCTTCGGGGGATATTCTAGATCAGACAAACGAGGCCAAGCCTCAGTCATCAGCCAAGGTCTACACCAGCCTATTTGTACGCCACTGGGACTCGTACGTATCCAAGAACAGGCAGGGACTCTTCTACGGAGCGCTGAAGAAAGAGGGTGGATCGTTCAAGCTGCAGGGTCCGGGCCTAGTAAACGCGCTAGCAGGCACGAGGCTGGAGTGTCCAGTGCCGCCCTTCGGCGACGCCAACGACTACGACATCGGGAAGGAAGGGATCGTATTCGTGTCGAAGGACCCGGACCTGAACCCGGCCCTGTGGACGAAGACGGACCTGTACTATGTGCCGCTGAAGACCTTCACCGAGGCCAAGGCGCCGCTCCCGCAGGTCGTCAAGACGGGCGAGTTGCAGGGCTACGCGGGCGTCCCCGTCTTCTCGCACGACGGGACCAAGGTCGCGTTCAAGCGCATGCGGCACCGCCAGTACGAGTCGGACAAGTGGCGGCTCCTGCTGGTCCCCGACGTCAAGGACCTGAGCAACGTGCAGGAGTTCTACAAGACGGACGACGGCGAGGGCGGCTGGGACCTGCGGCCCGAGGGCATCGTGTGGAGCAACGACGACGAGGAGCTGTACGTCACGGCCGAGCAGCACGGCCGCCAGATCCTGTTCAAGCTCCCCTCGAGCCCGCTGAAAGCCAAGGATCTGCCGCAGCCGCTGACGAAGGACGGCGCCGTCGGCGACTTCTACAACCTGTCCAAGGACGACGGCCGTCTCTTCTTCACGTCCACATCGCTCATCGACAACTCCGCGTACTCGATCCTCGACCCCAGCTCGAAGGAACAAGGTCTCGTATCGTCTAGCTCTAAGGAGGGCAAGTCGTTCGGCCTGACCAGCCGCCAAGTGGACGAGTTCTGGTACAAGGGGGCGGGCGATTACCAAGTGCACGCCCTGGTGATGAAGCCGTCAAACTTCGACCCTAACAAGAAATACCCCTTGGCGTTCCTGATCCACGGCGGGCCGCAGGGGGCGTGGGGACAGAGTTGGAGCACGAGGTGGAACCCGGCCGTGTTTGCCGAGCAGGGATACGTTGCTGTGATGCCGAACCCGACTGGCAGCACCGGATACGGACAGGCCTTCACTGATGGGATTGCTAACGAGTGGGGTGGACGACCCTACAACGATCGTGAGTACCAGCCTTCTCGGATAATAACTAGCCCCTTTTGCCCATATCTTGGAAGATATATTCTCTACTCGATCCTGCCGTCCTTGTGACGTATTCGACATAAAAAAAAAAGACTTCTATGACCTGGCTCTGGGTGGTATTTACTGACTGACGACCCTGTAGTGGTGAACGCCTTCGAGTACATCAAAGACAATATCCCCTACATCGACACGACCAATGCCGTGGCCCTAGGTGCCTCGTACGGAGGCTACATGATCAGTAAGTCTCCTCATCCCCTATCACATTCTCATCCTCTTTCGGACCAAACTAACAACGACCCTCCCCTGAAACCAGACTGGGTCCAAGGCCACCCGCTGGGCCGCAAGTTCAAGGCGCTCGTCTGCCACGACGGCATCTTCAGCACCATGAGCAACTGGTCGACCGAGGAGCTCTTCTTCCCCGTCCACGAGATGGGCGGCGCCCTATGGGAGAACCGCGAGGGGTACGCGCGCTGGGACCCCGCCGCCTTCGTCGACGAGTGGGCCACGCCCCAGCTCATCGTTCACAGCGAGCTCGACTATCGCCTGCCTATATCGGAGGGTTTGGCCGCGTTCAACGGTACGTTTCGCCCGGATTTTTGAGAGGGTCGAGGTTGAGAATGGTAGCTAACGCGAATTTTCATCTGTAGCGCTCCAGACGCGCGGTGTTCCGAGCCGGTTCCTGATGTTCCCTGACGAAAACCATGTAAGTTATCACAATCTATTATGGCATTAAAGTACACAGTGAGAGATTACTAACTGGAAATTTGCCCTAGTGGGTTCTGAAACCCGAGAATTCTCTGGTCTGGCATAAGGAGGTACTGGGTTGGATCAACAAGTACACTGGCCTAGACACCGCCGGACTATCGAACGATACGGAGAACTTGAGCTTGAAATGAATTACATGCATTCGGAGTTCAATGAATTGAAGGGAAGAAGCGAACAAATTGAGTGCAAAATGGAAGGGAAAGCTGGGTATTTGCTACAAGAGAAATGCTCGTACAAATGTTCATAAGTGTAGCAGAAAAATCCAGTCTATGTATATTGGAAGGCTGGCTAAGATCTTCAGCAATAGTGGGGGATATATGAATGGCATCAACAATTCTCCACAGCTAGACATTTCGTGTAGTTGCCAGAGGCTTTTCGTTGCAATCAGGGGGATAAGTGTGAAACTCCGTCACAGCGTCTCTATCCTTGGTCTACTATAAGGCAAGGGCATGCCTTCCCTCTGTTCATCCATCTCCAACAGGCCAAACAACTCCTTACCGTTGATCCGACGCATTATGATCTTAACATGATTCCAGGATAACTTGTTGACATCGAGAAATATCACCACGTCCGTCTTGTTGCTTAATTCTGGGCGTTGGAGTGGCTCCACCAGATCGGGGTATTCCTGCTGAAGCTTCATCTGGATCAGCCACGCGGCTCTGTGGTCTATCTTTTTGAGATACTGTCTGATGAATCTAGCCTCGCTCTTGGGCCGCTTGATTCGATACGAGTTGCTGAAGTGGTTGTATTGCTCAAGCATGAGAACTGCTTTTTGCGGTGGTTGTGGTCCAGAGGAACCGAAATTTGCGAATTGACTAGGGTTTTCCTCGCTCGTCATCCCATTAAGGGGCAAGTCTAGCAAGATCCAGTTAGTATAATCGGATGGAAACACCCTTTGTAAGATCGAGCCTTACCACCCGACGATATAGAGGAAATCATCTCAGGTATCTTTTCCAGAAATCGGAAAAACTCTTCTTGTCTAGGAATAAAAGCTTCAAGAAACTCGCGGAGCCGCGCGTGGTCGTTGATGGTCTCCGTGAATGCTTCCTTTTGGTCGACGGTGATCCTGGATACAGTATCGAGCTTCTCGTATAAGGACTTCACCATAGGTTCCAAGCGAGTCAACGTTTCGTTTATTTTAGTGATGTCCTGAGGATTCGGTAGCGTCGAGTGAAAATCTTCGACAGCTTCCTCGATAGTAGATAGTTGGTTCTCGTGGTAATCAATCTGCTTATTGAGGGTCTTGATGTCTTTACTAAACCTGGCATTGTCCGCGGTCAGCTTGAAATACTCGTCGCTGACTTTAGCTCTGAGGCCCTCGAGACCGTCTTTGGTGCTCTGAGTGGTTGCTTCCGCCTCGGATATGAGCAACTGAAAGCTCTCTTTATCCTTTCGGAGTTCTTCCAGATGTTTTTCAATGATTTCGTTGCGGTTGCCTTCTGTAATGCTGGTTTCTTGGAGCTTAGTAAAACCGACTTCGATCAATTCCAGTTGTTTCTTAGCACCATATATCTCCTTGACTGTAAGTGCCTGAAGGAGCCTCAAGGCATTTAGTTGGTTCTCAGGTCGCTGGAGTTTCTCCTCTAATCGGGCCGCTTTAACAAGCTTCTGTGTTTCTTCCGCAGGATGCATGGTGTATTAGGAAAAGGTGAAACTGGCGGGGGCTATGGCAATAGAATCGCAGAAATCTAGCTGGAAGGTTCAATTATTTGATGTAATGGATAGGAAAAGGAGAACGTAATAGAATTGGGAGGACCCGCTGCTTGCGGGTGGCCGTGGAGGCTGTATATGAGGAAGGTACCTTGTATAGTTCAAGTCAACTCCTCTTGCCTAGTTTGACTGCTGAGCACGCCAAGCAGTCCCTTCCTTGTTTACATACAAGGTCGATAGTGTATGGTATACCTCGTAGGCTTGAGTCTATGATTATAAGGGGGTATGATGTTAACAGACGGGTGTTATTTTACATCCATGAATCGTTCATGGGGGCTTTCCTACATATGGATGTCGAACGAAGATCACGTAGTTTAAAATCACATTATCCACAATGAAGCAAGATAACTTAAAAAGCATTTATTTAGGAAAGTACTGGCGACCTAGGTACAGAGTAGCACGGAAAGAAGTGATAACCTGGTCCACGATCCCTATCATCAGGCCACATGCATTACCGAATTAGGTGCTACCTAGCCGCAAATGCCCAGATGCAATGGATCTTTTACCCCCCTTGATAGACCACGGCTCATCAGTGAGACGCGTAAAATGAAATCATGCTAGACGAGAACATCAAACCCTCGTCGGTTCATTCCTCGGAACGTCATAGTCAGCGTCAAAACACAGACCATCTAATCCGAGCGATGTAATAGACCACTACTAGTAAGAGGATCCGTCGATGCTTAGATGAGGTCGGCAACGTTCATAGGCATCTCCTCGATCTGAGTGCTGTAGAACTGCTCGATCTCGCGCATCATGCGGACATCCTCGGCAGTGACGAAGTTGATGGCAACACCCTTTCGGCCGAAACGACCACCACGACCGATACGGTGAATGTAGTTCTCACGGTTGGCAGGGAGGTCGTAGTTGATGACAAGGGACACCTGCTGGACGTCGATACCACGGGCCAAGAGATCTGTAGCAATCAGGACACGAGAAGATCCGGAACGGAACTCCTTCATGATCAAGTCACGCTGAGCCTGGTCCATTTCGCCGTGCATAGCGGACACGGTAAAGTCACGGGCGGTGAGCTTGTCAGTGAGCCAGTCGACCTTTCGGCGAGTGTTGCAGAAGATGACGGCCTGGGTGATGGTAACCGTCTCGTACAGATCAGAGAGAGTGTCAAGTTTCCATTCCTCCTTCTCGACGGCGATGTAGAATTGTTTGATACCCTCAAGGGTAAGCTCGTCTTTCTTGACCAAAATGCGGACCGGGTCACGCATAAACTTAGTCGTGACCTCAAGAACGTCCTGGGGCATAGTGGCAGAGAGAAGAACGACCTGTGTAGACTGGGGTAGGAGCTGGAAGATGTCGTAGATCTGCTCCGTGAAACCACGCTGCATAAAAATATTAGTATCTCTGGTGGCATATCATATTGATTTTTGTATATGAGGTACTTACAGAAAGCATCTCATCAGCCTCATCTAGGACGAACATTTTCATGCCGTCAGTCTTCAAGAAACGTCGCTGGATCATGTCATGGACACGACCAGGAGTTCCGACAACGACTTGAGGACCATCTTGAAGTGCCTTCATGTCCTCACGAACGCTGGTTCCACCAATGCAGGCATGGCACTCAATGCTCATGAAATCGCCGATGGCGACGACGACCTTCTGAATCTGTTGAGCCAGCTCACGGGTCGGGGCAAGGATCAGTGCCTGGCACTGCTTAACGGTGGGATCGATCTTCTGAAGAACGGAGATGGAGAAGGTGGCGGTCTTGCCAGTTCCGGACTGGGCCTGCGCAATTACATCGTGACCTACTCGCAGGTTAATATTTGGCGCATATGACGATAGAGGAACTAGTCGCGTAAATACATACCCTTGATGACAGGCATGATAGCGCGCTGCTGGATAGCAGAAGGCCGCTCGAAGCCATAAGCGTAGACACCTGTAGGGAAACGAAACCATGTTAGCCGCTGGTCGTCGCGAAGGTTTTGGGAGAAGTTGGCAGAAATTTAGGGGTCGGGCGATGTTGTATCTTACCTCGCAACAGCTCAGGTCGCAGGTTCATCTCATCGAAGGAGTCAACGGTTTCGTCATAGTTAGACTCGATCTGGGATTGCTCGATATCCTCGAGCCCCTTGTCGGTAGCCATGATTGCAAGTAGTTGATCGATGCGACCTCTCGAATTCCAAGCACAGCTTAGAATTCAAAAGGACTTGCGGCGGCGATCTTTGGTGGGGTTATGAAGAAAATACGTGCACGAACTTTGCAACAAGGCAAGTCGTCCTGCGTAGAAAATAAATGCGTGAAATGAATGGACTGAATGCTCTCAAAAATAAGAGAGCAAAAACAATCCGACAGTGGTAGTTAATCTGTGTTGTGTTGATTAATCTGTTACGATTGGAAAAAAAAATCGAAGGTGGGAGGAAAAGCCCAAGATCGAGGTTGACATAAAGAGGTAGGGAAAAAAATTTGAGTGGGGGCAAAACTTCGGGGAAACCCTGATTGCGGGGCCTAAACTTCGTACCTTGGCAGTTGCAGGAAAGTGGAAAGTTCTACGCTGCGCAGCAACACGCTTCTCTCAGACGATTTTTTTTTTTAGTTCCTTCCCATTGACTCGATTTTATGGCCCACAAAACATCATATACAACGATATCACAAGGCTTAAAATCTGCAGCCTGGAAATGAGTTTAATGGATACAATCTTGTGACTCATCGACGTTGAATTACTACTACCGTGTGGCGAAGCATTCCAATCTCAAGCACGCAGGCACACATTGAGTCCTTCAACTAAGAACTTGGCCTAAAGGGGCAATTATCTGGCAGTAACCATGCTACTAGCGAAAGACATCAATCAAGGGGGCGTTAGTGGAGGTTCAATAACAAACGGAGGCGAACTGGGTATGCCAACCACCAGGATATCGTCAGATTCTATCCCCGTTCACCCAATGGGCGTTAAGCCGCTCGGTAACCAGTATTTGGTATCTGGCCCATCCGCTCGCCGATCCCTTGGTTCGTTGGGTCAACTCCCAGATGAGATGATTCTGCAGATTCTCGAATATCTCGACACTTCATCCCTAAGAAACATCGGGCTCAGTTGCCGCTTTCTCTATGCCTTTTGCCAGCTAGACGACTTGTGGAAAGCTTTATTTCTCGAGTAAGTGGCATGCTATAATCATGTGAAAGAAAAGAGTCATATATGACTCCTTGGTGGAAGGGTTAATATATGTACATATCTCATGTGCCATCTGACTGATTCGTCTACTTAACCATTTAGGGCTAACTTCCAACCTCTAACCTGGAAAGGTTCGTGGAGAAACACACTTTTGAAGGCTCCAGCTGGCTGGCGGTCTAGGATCGACTGTAGTAACGTCTTCTCCGATGTTATACATAGACCATTCGCCTGTGCTCATATCGTCCTTGAGAAGTACTCGTCAAACATTCCAGAAGCAAACCAGATTAAACGGTTTAAACAACTTAGCTATGATGATTTTGCAGAGAGTTGGAGCAGCAAGCCATTCATACTGACTGACTGCATTCGACGATGGCCAGTTTGCAGTGACTGGAACATCCAGAAATTAAATAGCAAGTACTCGAACGTCGAGTTTCGAGCCGAAGCTGTAGATTGGCCCTTCTCGATTTACCACGAGTACATGTCGAATAACGAGGATGAAAGCCCCCTATATCTATTCGATAAGGGTTTCGCGAAGAAGATGGATATTCGGATCGGAAAAGAGACAGGCGCCGTATATTGGCCACCTGAGTGCTTTGGGCCAGATTTATTTCAGTTGCTTGATGAAGAAAGGCCTGCTCATCGTTGGCTTATCATCGGCCCTGAACGTAGCGGCTCGACTTTCCACAAAGATCCGAATGCGACTAGCGCTTGGAATGCCGTTCTGGAAGGCTCGAAATATTGGATTAGTAAGTTTTTGGGAAGTATCTTTTGCAAATATCGACGGCTGACTATATATGGTTGCAGTGTTTCCCCCGACGGCGCAGGTTCCTGGCGTCTATGTTTCGGAGGATAGCAGCGAGGTCACTAGTCCGCTAAGCATAGCTGAGTGGTTACTAGAGTTCCATGCGGAAGCACGTACGTTGCCGGGTTGTGTGGAGGGCGTCTGCAAGGCAGGCGAAATCTTACATGTACCGAGCGGCTGGTGGCATCTAGTCGTAAATCTTGAGGCTGGCATAGCTCTCACTCAGAACTTTGTCCCTAAGTCACACCTTGCAGATGTGCTATCTTTTCTCAAAGATAAGCCAGACCAGGTTACCGGCTTCAAGGGGAACGTCGAGAGCCCGTATGAGCTTTTCGAAGAGCGATTGAGAGCCCATTATCCCAACCTTCTCGACGAGGCTATTGCTGAGCTAGAAAGGAGGAATCAAAACAAGAAACGAAAATGGGAGGAGGCGATCGGGAAAACAAATGATACTGAAAATGATGCTGGTGGATTTAGTTTTGGCTTTGGAGGTGACGATGAAGATGAGATACCTTGACTCCTTAGTACCAAAATTGAGATAAAACGCCAGAAAGTCTATATCAACAGACATGCACCGATTATAAGGCGGGCTGAATTCAGTGCCTGGCCAACGCCTTGTCTTCTAGGAGGTGGCTTAGTAGCAGAGGAAAGAATGTAAGTGGCTTGCACTCTGAGAAAGTTTCTATGGCGTACTACCTGTTTCCGGCACCATGGACAAGTATAATGATTCAGATTGAGTAAGACACTTAGGATCAGGGCCTCACTTTTGACAAGGCTTACTGCATAGTACATTGCGCATATTTAGTATACACATTTTTAGAATTGCAAGGTACAATAGAGTTCGGTTGATAGGAAGCTAGGCAATTAAACTCGGACCTATTGGGAGTATTTCGGTGTAGAAAGTGCTCAAATCAGACTCAAATCAGACACTGGGGAGGCGCATTCGCCCGTATTGAGACCGTACTACATGATGTGTTATACGGAAGTCTTAAGAAGAGGTCTTAGTGGTACGGGGCGTTTCGAGAGACAAAGCCGGGACCCCGACCAAAACTTTCAGCATGTTCATTGTTCAATGTTCAGTTTTTGTACCTTACATTGAAGTATATATACTTAGAAGGGTGGGGTATTAATGGGGTTTTAGCAGGCGTAATAGGTATTTGGCAGGTGACGAATAAGTACATATATGTACCTATACGGCACGGGTTAGTAGTGTGCCGGGTACTTAGTATTAGTGGTCGTTAATATTACCTAGCTGAGCCCCCACATCGATTGCATCAAGCCGTCCAGACCTTCCAACTTGACTGGTTCTTGACTGGTTTCCCACGTCTCTCCTGTGATTGAAGCCTCCCTGTTCCGCTACCGCGACACGCAAGTGCAACTGCCATCTGCCAGTCTGCCAGTCTTGCTGGTTCTTGCAAGTCTTGGGAGCTGAAGTCCCAACAAGGCTTTCTAGTTTCTGATCCATAACGCTGCCAGACAGCTAAAATCCCCAAAAATACAACATTACTACATACACTTGCAGTGCTACCATACTACCATACTACAATACTACAATACCACGCTACTACTACGCAGACAATACAATACTCGTCAGACACACATTCGTTCCACCTGCTTTGTCAGGTCCATTTTCTCTTCTTCAATACTCGGATCTCGTCTCACGGCATCTGCATAATGCGAATAGTCGCTTATTCTCTGTGGCACCCATCTTTTAGTTAACCCTCCGTCTTTTTCTGCCTTCTTGCGCCTATCTCGTTTTTCCCTTTCTCGCCCATCTCCTATCTAGGCTATCCGGGCTATGTAGGTACACCATTCCTTCTCTCTAATACGATAGCTCTCAGCTTGCTTATGTTTGATATCGGCCGGCCTCGCCTACCCTCCATTACGTGTTAGCTGGGCTTGATATATTCCATCACCGTCCTTTCTTATTGTGCTTATGCCCCTTACTTCATCACCTGCTTTCGAAGCTCTGCTAACGCCTAACCTTCTCTTTAAGTCGCGTAATCATGGTTTCGGATGAAACTTTCGAAATATGTCTCCCTGTCCTGCAGGATCCGGACCTCGACGACGACGACAAAACGGATAAACTCGAGGAGCTGCTGAAGAAAGAGACGACCTTAAGCGGATCGAGCTTAGAGAATGCGGTACTCGACGTGCTATGGCGATTTCGCGAAGGAGGGGGTAGTGCGACCTCACCTCCCCCCATACGCCAAACAATTCTTCGTCGACCATCTCCAGCCTCGTGGCGGGGTTCCTCGACCCCTTTGTCAGGTTCTCCTCGGCTGGGAGTAAGCCCCTTAGCTCCCCCGGGCTTTGTTCCAACCAACCTAAGCCGTACGAAATCCTCCACTGTGTCTCCCTTTTCGTCTCCGCGCCCGTCGCCCCGGCTCGCGTTCGCTGCTCCAGTAATACCACATAGTCCAAACTTGAATGCATACGAATTTGCCAACGATACGAGTCCCTCTCAGGAGATCTTCGGTGATCTACAAGCTGAAAACGTTGATTGGTTAGTGAGTGACGATGCACTTAGCATTGCTTCATCCGTGGGTACATCTAGTGGCCTCAACGCCGCTGCCCCTGAATATGTATCTGCTCAGCAGACGGACATGACCCCGTATGACATGCTTCGCTCAATCCTCGGCCAATCTAAGACCGACGAAGAGATTGAGTTGGCTCTCTCTATGCATGGCTACGATCTTAGTGCTACCATTGCGTCTATAATGGAAACCCAGAATCAAGATTCAACAAATGCTTCCGGACTTACCCCCGAATCTAAAAGTGTCCTCATCGGAAAGTCCATGACACCGGAAGGAAGACCTACAACACCATCAACGCAACAGAAGGCTGGGATTATTTGCAAGTTTTATCTGTCTACTGGACAATGCCTTCGTGCGGACTGTCGATTCAGCCACGATCTCAGCAATCATATCTGCAAGTAAGTTAAGGATTGTGCAATAAGCTTGATTTGCTTGTGCTAATCTAATAGGTACTGGGTGATGGGTAATTGCCTGGCTGGAGACACGTGCATTTTCTCTCACGATCCAGCTCACCTCGTGAACCGCCTTAACGTAGATGGCACCAATACGCCACCACAGAAAAGCCAAAACCTGCAGGTTCAGGATTTCAGCTCCTTCCCATCACTTCGACCGAGCACGCCGGAATTGAATCCTTATGCGGCGAGTTTCAATTATCCGACCTCCGGAGTAACTCCTCCGCCCGGACTTAAGCCACACGGTTACGCAGGCAGCGATGGATCCCGTCCGCGTTCGCGGCCTGGAAGCCGGCACCAAACGAAGGAAGGCATGAGTGCCCCGTCAATAGACGACAACGATGCTTTTCCTTCTCTTGGGTCCGCTTCTGCTAAGCCCAATAAGAAGCACCATGGCAAGCGTGGTGGACATGGTCATGGGCACAAGGAGAACTTCGCTCCAAGCTCTCTAGCTGATATTGTGAAAATGTCACCATCTCCCGGTCCCGGATCTGGGCCTAGCCGACAAGATTCAAAGAAGATCGGCCGCAATGGGAGTGCCACAAACGTAAAGAACGGGGAGAACAGCGCCGCTGCCCAAGCTATTCCTATGCCCAAACATATTCCATGGCTGGAGACAGGAGATAGAGCTAACAAAGCCTATCTTAAGGCCCGTCAGGAGGCCATCAAGCATGGTGGTCTCCGAAACAAGTTCTTACAGAGGTTTGTTGAACCATATGAACCTACTTATGAGCATATATTAATATTGTATTTAGTGCTGCACAGGCATGGAACCGCAACGATGCGCGAGCGGCAAAGGCTCTCAGTCTTCGTGGCCAAAGCGAGAACGACCTGATGCGAAAAGCTCATCGGGAGGCCGCAAGGGAATTATACGAGGAGCGTAACAAGCATAACACGTCCAATTCGGAAATATTCGTGGATCTGCACGGCCTACACCCGGACGAGGCTGTCGAATACCTGGAGAGGGTTCTTCTAGACAACAGCAAAGAAAGCAAACCCGTATATGCTATCACTGGAACGGGCCACCACAGTAAGAATGGGAAGGACAAGGTGGGCAAGGCGATCAGAAACTTCTTAAACGAGTGGAGATATGCCTATCGTGAGTTCTCGGTTCCCGGAGATCGTAATAACATGGGAGGCATTCTCGGGATCGATGCCCGAAGCTGGGATAAGTCCCTTGCTAGGGATGGATCGAAGGAGAAGGAGGAGCCTAAGGAGGACGTTGATATCCTGAGCCAGGGCGTTGAGATTGGCGATGGAAAAGTCAGGCTTCTCGTTCGAGATCCTCCTAAGGGACCAAGTGGTAGCAGAGGCCGGTGACTAGGAGCAGATAATGCGACTAATAAAGAAAACTGAAATATTCTCTTAAATGGTTATGACGCCAATCCTTGCCAAAATACCTAATACTAGGTGTACTATGTCATGTGAATTAAGCCTTAGATAGGGAGCTCTAAAGGGGCTACGCGGGCCGATGCGGGCCGGTCGAATGGTCTCGACTTCTCGACTTCTCGGAGTTAACCGAGCATGATGTAATACGATATCAAAGGTACATCGCGCAAAGTTTCAAGGTATTTTATGGGTACGTACTTCTATAGCCAAGTTGCGACGTCTCAGACGTCAAGTTGGAGGGACTTGAGGAGTTCACATGTGTTTCATGCATTATGACTTGATCCCATCCCTTCTTCCTCTCCATTAGCGTGAGCTATCTTACTTGGATGGAAGAAATCATTGATGGATGCCTACAGTTCTTCCATTGCTGCGGATTCTGTTGTGGCTGAGTCGGCTTGTCGTACATAACACAACATAAAAGGTACAGCCCACCTCATCGTCTCACTAGCATTGTTACACCGTATAGATGCAATACACAATGTCAGTATACGAAGAGTACCTATTAACTTGGTAACTCCAAGGTAATTACTAATGGAGATACTTAACGCATGGCCCCTTCCCCATTGGTCTGCTTTTTTAGCTCTCGGCCGCTCAAATCTGACCAAACGTTATTATGTGGATAGGTAGCAACATTGCGTCCCTGACACCTTGCGATCCTAGCGATGCGTTACCTAAGACCTCCCTAACTCTAACTTCCAACTTTCCAACCTTCAGCTTGCAAGTGCCAACCTCCTTAGGTGATCTCATCATCGCCATATCTCCTGCTTGTTACCGTATTAGCAAATATGGACAGCTAGTGTTCGTCGCAAGTAATTATCTAAATCGACTGTTAAACGCGATATCGAACTTGATCCGTCTATCTTGCCTCCCTTGTACTTCCAACTAGCGTAGAGCTTTTGCAACCTGCACCGATGATCCGTTAAGTTTAAGGACCTTCCCTTTCGACACGAAAAGTCTAGAAAACCTTAGACCGTGCCGTGCCGCATCATACCACACCGCACGCACGCACGCACGTCCCGTTCAAAATGCCACCCGATCCTCTCTCTGCTGAGGCCCGAGTGCCCATGCTCTCGCCCACGCCCTCGCCTCTCCCGTCTCCCTCTCCCTCCCCGCGCTCGAGCTCGCCGAGAACAGACGCCACCGCCGTCGTACCTCCGTGGGTGCGTCCGAGCCCGCAGCGCCCAGCCTCGGGGCAAAATAGCCGACGTCTATCAACGCCGTACTCGCGGTCCGCCGCCGCCTCCGACGAGTCCCACGCGCCGCTGGGCCAGCGCCTGATGCGCGGGAGCCTGACCCTCGCCAACAAGATGCTCAAGCTATTCTACACGCTCACCCCCTTGCAGCGCGTCCTCTTCGTGCTCGCCCTGCTCGCCGCCAACGTGCTCCTCGTCCTCGGCATGGTGTACTCGCACCGCATCTTCAAGGCGCTGGGGCCCGTGGCCCAGGGGTGGCGCGCGCTGCCGGGGGGCTGGGTCCTCGTCTTCCTGATGACGTGCCTCAGCGGCTTCCCGCCCATGATCGGGTATAGTACGTGCGTGACCGTCGCGGGCTTCGTGTACGGGTTCCCCGGCGGCTGGCCCATCGTCGCGGGCGCCACCGTGTTCGGGTCGCTCGCCGCCTTCCTGACGAGCCGCACCGTGTTCGCGGGCTACGTGCACTCGCTCGTCGGCGCGGACAAGCGGTTCGTGGCGCTGGGCCAGGTGCTAAGGCGCGACGGCCTGCTCGTCCTCGCCGCCATCCGCTTCTGCCCCTTACCCTTCAGCCTGAGCAACGGCTTCCTCGCTACGATTTCTACTATCACGCCCTTGCGCTTCGCGACGGCGACGGCGATGGCGACGCCCAAGCTGCTCGTCCACGTCTTCATCGGCAGCCGGCTCGCGCTGCTGGCCGAGAGCGGCGACGAGATGAGCGTCGGCGATAAGGTGGTCAACTACCTCAGCATGCTGGTCGGGTCCGCCGTTGGCATCGCGCTTAGCTTGTTCATATACCGGCGCACGATGGCGCGCGCCAACGAGCTAGCGCGGGAGGAGGCGGCTGAGAATGGCGGTGCGGGTGGAGGAGGCGACGTGGACTTGAGCTACGAGGACCTCGAGGAGGGGGTGCTGGGCCAGAGGCCCGGGGAGGCGGACGAGGCGGCGCTGATGGACGACGATGACATCTCGTTGTGGGAGACGGAGGGGCTCGAGTCCGGATACCGGGACGAGGATACGGAGGGAGAGGGGAACGGGAATGGAAACGGGAAGCAGAATCACTGAAAGAAAAGAAGAAAGGAAAGGGGAGAAAAAGGAGACTGCGTACATAAGAATTTTGTAATCTGAAAGTTTCTCAATAAGGGTTTCGTGTACGGGGTAAGGGAGTAAGGGCAACGGTATGTTTTGTTTGGCGTTTTCGAGCGAGGTAAAGAAAGAAAGACGGAGAGGGAGTATAAGACTATAAGGCCAGCTCGCATTTTTGCATTTTGGAACGGGGACTTGGGGTTTTGGTATTGGGATTGGGTGGTTGGGATGTACGGGCATACAAGTACAAGATCATTATCATATCGCAATAGTTAGACACGGACGGGGATGGCTAGGCCGGGGAAATGCTGATATCGTAAAAGAGAAAAGGTTGCAATGCGATATTTTTGGTATTGATCTTGTGGTCATTATCAACTATTAACTAAAGCAATTTCCTACTTTGAGGGGTATCATGTCGTCCGTCCTGTGCATGTCGTTGTCCCATTTCCTAACGCCCAACTGATGCTATTCATAACCAGTAAATAACAAACGCCTGCTACAAATTCATTTCGTTATGTAAGGACTCAACCCCCTCAGAGCGTATTTCCTGGGTGAATAAACCAAACGTGTCTATTCAAATTCCACCTAACACCTTGCTCGGCTGCAAAATAATGTCGAAAGATCTAGCAAATAGTAGACTTGGCTCGTTGCTCGTCATGTGAATCCAACTAATCGCCCCATACGAGGTTATGCCAAGCTCGACGAATATCACTGCTGTCCCTGGAAGCTCTGCATAAACCGGATTGCATCCTCAATGGGGTAGCCGATGAAAACTGGACCAGTAAAGAGCATCTGTGGCCTGTTGTCTTGCTTGCGGTAGTCTGCCTCGGTTGGATTAATAAACGCAGGTTGGGGAGGCTGGCTCGCTGCAAGACGCGGCTCATGCGCCGGAATAGAAGTCTGACTGCTTGTCGGGATATCGGCAAGTCTGATGGAACTCTTATCTTCGCGTTTGATAGGGCTCGAGCCATTCATCATTCCCGCCATTTTCGTGTGGTCGAATGGACATTTCCCAGGCTGCTTTGCCGCCGTTCCGTCTGGCTCCGGCGATAGAGATGAGGGAATTTTGACGGGGGCTGGGGGAGGAGATTCAGGTCGGTCCAACCCATTGCCGTTGATCGGAGCATCAAAGACCGGCACTGAGATACCCCAGGGGCGACTCGGAGACTCGCCCACACGGACCTCCTTAAGGGGCCTGTCGAAGTGGCTTCGTCTCTCCAAATCTTCGTCGTGCTCTGGGACGGTACGTTCTGGATCGTCCGTAACTGTCGCGCTGACCGTCTGGGCCCAGGTCTCCACGCGCTCGTTCGAGGTCCTTTCAACCTCGCTCTGGGGTCGTGTATCCTGCTCGGGTAACATGGGTTGATGAATGCGACTAAGACCCTCAACCATACTAGCAAGATTGCCGTATTTGGCGTCTAACTTCTTGATGTGGTCCTCGTTCTTCTGATATCTCCTCACGCAGACCTCGTGACTCCTCGGTAACTCATGCTTGTGAGTTTCTAGGTAGTGGGCGATCTCTTCGGGTGAGTGCTGATTCAGGTAGCGAATTGGGCACTTAGAGGCTGCAGGTTGTGAGGTAGGATCATCTACCATGGCTGCACAGATAGGATCTTGAGAATCGTGCGGGACCGTGCTTGGTTGATCATGAGGAACACTATCCTGCTTCTCCTCCGTGTTGGGATTCGGCTGAGAGAACGGGCAGTTCAAGTTGCCCTTCTTCCCTTGGACAGTGAAATCTTGCTCGAGGATGGTTGAAAGGGTAGTCATAGTCGTGGGAGGGACGCTATCTCTACTTGAACGACTGCTCTTGCTAGTAGCTGTCAGGGACGAGGCGACACGTCTCCCTTCCCTGATGATTACGGCGATCTGATGTTTCGAGTCGGATGCCTTCCTCTTAGGCAACGGAACGAAGCTGTTATTTGCTAAGGACGGATTATGCAATTCGGGAGGAATTTGCAGATTCAGTAAGGTCTCCGAGATCTCAGACGCCGCCGGGGCATATTTGTCGGCTAGATACTGGAACTATCGGAGCGGATGATGTTAGTCTCGGACGTCGGAAAATATTATTTGTAATCAAGAAAGTGTAATTTTTCGCGCAGTGTATCAGAGTATTGTGGTATGTTGTCAAACACGGCTACAACAAAGGTAGCTCTTGATCTAGAGCTAATATTTCTCATCATATAAGGCGGAGAAGGGGGATAAGGGGAGGAAGGAATAGAACGGGCTAGAACGGATCCAGGATTGGAGTGTTATGGAATATTATGCCATACTTGCTCATGAGCATATCGGAGCTTATGCTCCAAGACCGTTTGCCTGTCACTCAGGTTTTGGACTTCATCGGCTAAGGCGTTAAAAGACTCTATCAAGGTCTGAACGAGATTTTGACAATTCATATCCTGCAGGAGGTTGGGAGGGCTGACGTAGTTCGTGGATACAGAAGATGCAGAGGAGATGGAAAGAAGAAAAAGATGAAAAGATCCGACAGCCCCATTATTTGATCGTTCCATCGATCTTTGGTAGCTCCGAGGTCCGGTGTGGGGCGGCCTTTCCAATGGGAATGTTTGGCTGTTTAATCGCATATCTGTGTTACATCACATGTCTATAAATAACGTGAATACCTACATAGGTAGTAGATCTTACCGGTACTTCGTTAGGAGAGTTTGGGCTTAATTCTATAACTTGGAAGACTCAAACTTATCCTTGATTCAATATTTATAAGTCTATATCATGTCTATCTAGGTATCTAAAAGATCTATTGAATATAAGATATTCAATGTTGCGGTACCGGGCGCTTCACTCTCATAATAAGTAAGTTCGTCATGTGCTTTATAGTTATAGATGTACTCGTGTATCGAGATTCAGGAGATACTGATCGCAACTCTTCCCCGCTTAACCCAACCTCCAGCTCATACAAGTGACTGCAAGATAAAGCCCAATTGTAGCAAAAGTAACTCTATAAAGAGCCCCTGTCTCATTACGGCTTAATTATGGCACCAGTCACTGCCCGTCTTGTTTCTGAAAGCAAGCCGTATCTCGTTCCAGGTTTGTCTTTTATTATCTAGGTAGGTATAATCCCAACATCAACTAACACAAGGCACACTAGGCAAAGTACTTGTAAAAGAGCTATGGTTTGAGGTCCCACTCGACCACTCCGATCCAAATTCGAAACCCATTAGACTCTTTGGAAGAAGTGGCGTCAAATATGCGCGGCCTATCGTTGAGCCAGCTGAGGTCGAGCAAAGACCCTATATTGTGTTCCTCCAAGGTGGCCCTGGCTTTGGCACGGCTTCACCTCAGGACTCCCCCATATCATCCTACTTCCTCGAAAGGGGCTACGAGATGCTCTTCTTAGACCAGCGTGGCACCGGGCTCAGCAGCACTATCTCTGCCAACACGCTCGAGCTTGTCGGCGGTCCTCAGGAGCAAGCCGACTACCTCAAGTTCTTCAGAGCCGATACCCTTGTCAAGGACTTCGAAGCCGTTCGTCTCTGCCTAACTAAGGACTACCCGCCCGAGAAGAAGAAATGGTCCACCTTCGGCCAATCTTTCGGCGGCATGATGAGCTTGACCTACCTCTCTTTCGCGCCGGAAGGCCTCCGGGAATCCTTCATCACAGGTGGACTCGCTGCATTAGATAAAGGTCCTACGGATGTGTATACGGCTACCTACAAAAGGTGTATAGAACGAAACAACGCCTACTACAAGAAGTTCCCGGAAGACGTCGCCACGGTGAAATGGATTGCGGAGAAAATCCAGGAGCTTGGCGGCGAGAAGGGAATCCCTTTACCTACTGGTGGTTTCCTCACAGTCCAACGGTTTATGACAGTTGGTCTCAAGTTTGGCGCTCACGGGGGTATCGACAGGGTTCACAATTACATAGTAAGGATGAAGGGGGACCTAGATCAGTTCGGCATGTTCACCCGCTACACCTTGAATGAGCTGGATCAAGACGGCGACTGGGACATCGCCCCGATCTACACTCTACTACACGAGCCGTGCTGGTGCTTCGGCCCAGGCGTGGCCGGAAAATGGGCCGCAGAGCGGATCGGCCAGAGCTTAGAGGAGTACCCGTGGCTTCGGAAGGACTGGGCGGGACCCGCGAGCCTGGGCGACAAGCCGCTGTACTTCTCTGGCGAGATGATCTACCCGTTCCTTTTCGACACGTGCTCCGAGCTCATGAAGCTGAAAAAAACAGCCCAGATCCTTGCCGAGTACGACGGGTGGGCGCCGCTGTATGACATAGCGCAGCTGGCGAAGAACGAGGTCCCCGTTTACGCGGCGTGCTACAACGACATGTACGTCGACCCCGACATGGCGAGGGTTACGGCTTCGAGGGTCAAGGGGATCAAGGTATTCGAGACGAACGTCTTGTATCATAACGGCATACGCGCGCGCCCGGAAGAGGTGATCCCGCAACTGCTCAAGTTGCGCGACGACACCATAGATTAAAGCAGTCTATAACTCGTGGTATTCATAGATATCAAGCTAGCTTTTTAAATCAGCCCGTAGAAAGAGAGAACCGTAGCAATTCGTTAATGGGATATGAAACGCCACCCCCAAAGTCCGCTAGACGCACCCAAATAATCCATAGCCCTGCCCATCGTACACTTGCACGCGATCCACTGTGTTTTGAGATTAGCTCGTTCCATCCTATTCCCTTTCCTCCCCTCTCACACAAGCAAACTCCCTCAATAGAAATCCCCCCTCCACCTCTGCCCCCTCATAAAAGCCCTCGGATCATTCGGCGGGAACGGAGGCGGCGGTCCGCCCACCGCAAACACGGGCCTCTCCATAGCAGGCAGCTCGGCGCCGCCACCGCCGCCGCCGCCGCCATGCTCCTCCTCGCGGCGGCCGAGGGTCTCCTTGAACATGAGGGCGCCGACCTCGGGGTGGGCGTGGAAGAAAGCCGCCGTCGCGTCGGGGTCGCGGCGCCAGAGGTGCGGGTTGAGGAAGCCGACGCGCGCGAAGATCATGCGGAGCAGGCGGTCCGACTCGGGCAGGCCCTCGTACAGCTTCCGGCACAGGCGCAGGACGGAGGCCTGCGCCGCGTCCGCGCCCGCCGTCTCCAGCATGTCGATGCAGGACCGCGCGATCGCCGCCTTGAAGTCGTCGAGCAGGAACTTGTTCGCGCAGATGTACACGTCGATGTTGAGCTCGTACGTCAGGAGCCAGGTTCGTAGGTCTTGGCCTTGGATGCGGATTTCTTCGTTGCTGCTGTTGTTGCTGTTGTTGTTGCTGTTCGAGCTCGAGTTATTGTTGTTGGTGCTGGTGTTATTGTTGCTGTTGTCGTTCGCCGCTGGACCTGGAGATTGTGGTCGATGACGGTTAGGACGTCGCCGCCGGTTGTCGCGTCGGCGAGGAGGGTCCACGTTCATTACCACTACTCCCGGGGGCATGTGGACGGGCATTGGACCTGGCGGAGGCGGAGGAATACGGGGTGCCACTTTGTTAACAGGAGTTAGTAGTCTCTTTATGAAAAGTCTCAGTAGTTTCAAGCATGTCTCGTGAGCAACCATCCCCTGGTCAACTTGATTAAGAGCTTCTCGCTCCCGAGGCAGGTCAAAAGGGGAGAAGAGATCTCTCGACGCTACATACTGCAATTCCAACAGGGAGGACCGCCTCTCGTCAGACATTGTCGACAGCCGCAGCCCGGCCGATGGGTTCCGGGATGTTTTCGCCTCTCCCTTTCCCAGTGGCGGTTCTCTCGCCTTCGTCTCCGTTCTCGTCGTCTCAGGCTGCGCGCGGTAGAAGAATCGCTCAGAATACTCGCGCTAGAATCGGAGTCCGAAGCAGCCTGCTCGTCTTCTCTTCGAGCGTTTGCCGTATCATCGGGGACTACTCCTCATTAGAACGTTGCCCGTCCGCGCGGAAGCTAGACACTGACTAAGCACCGTCGACGCCGCCTTGATTGGAACATATTTGTTCTCGTAGAGAAAGGCCACGACGAAATGGAATATTGCCGGATCTTCTTCCGGTAACTCCATGGCCTGAGCCTCTGACTCCATAAACTCTCCGCATAGCGCTTTCTTGAAGAACTCTGCTTTTATGAGGACACTCTTATGAACCTGGTACTTCTCAGCGACTTGATCGTTTTATCACCAACACGACTCACGTAAAATGTCTGGCAGTCCGGCGCGGTACCAACCCGAAGAGGGATAATCGGAGAGTTAAATCGTCTGCGATAACTTAGCTAAGTTGGCTCTGAGGTATATGTGGACAAAGGCGATGGATGACGGCGTTTGTATCAACTCGGGTATCAAGTTGGGCTAACGAGATTCTTCGCTTAAAACGCGTAGATTAGAAAACAACGTCTTCGCATTTAACGCGGTGAGAGCTGCTAGCTATGAGCCATACGGAGGGGATCGAGGGGATTTTTAGCGCATCAAATTGGAGTTGTATACGCTTACCCGTCGGCTGATGTCAGCCAGAGATCCTCTTTCGGGTCTATAACTTCCTCTCTGTCCCCAGCGCGGTGCATCGAATCCAGAACGACGACCGGTGGATTAGCGGAAGGTGCCCTCATAGCGTCGCCGAGAGTCATGGTCCTCGCGCTCGTCGATCTACTAGATCCTTCGCCGGCATTCTCCATTGGAGCCGTAGTAGAAACCATCGTGATGAGGTGAGCCGCCTCCGCCAGTTGAAGCGGATAACTTAGAGCCCCAAATCTTATAACGGAGGAGAGAACTTAGTGTGATCAGACTATTGAATGGTATGCCAAGATACAAAATCGATCACAGGAGTCATTCACGGAGTATAAATATAAAGGTGCTACCTTTAACCAGCTACGTAGCAAGTCACTTGTGTTCCGCTCTTGGACCTTATATGTCGGCTATTGCCGATCCTTAGGCAACCGAACGGGAAAGGGTCTGTGAAGGGCCTGGAACTGCGACGAAAGCAGATGTATCTAAATGTATCGCACCTCTTTAGGCAGCCTAGCCGTCCCTTTGGTGACCAGAGCGCACAACCCACGCGGTTAAGCATATGGATTATCTACGCTAGTGTTAGGTACGATAAAAAGTGCGAAAAAAATGCCTGTCCTACTTTACGAAGGGGGGTTGTATGTTCACCCGTGAACAGGGTCGGCCTGCATCTCACTTGTTGGTGACGGGATGATACGTCCCCTGTAAGTGGCTGAGGCGTTCGAGGCAACCAACAGTGCGGCTGCAGTGACCGAGACGCCATAGACGTCGCGAGGAAAGGAAAAAAAAATATCGATTTGTCTTGGAAGGGTTACGCCGCAGTGACTTACGGTAACCGCTCTATAAAACTCAACATCGGGCCTGATTCAATTCGAATTATCTAATAGGGCATTCGAAACTGCCAATGGCGAGTTGGGGGAGTTAATACGGGCCATCGAATCACACACACTGGCTGAATTGATAGACGTAAATGACGGAGGATGGAGGGAGGCCAGGCACAAATAGGAGTTGGGGTAATACGCGGGCCGCATCCTATTCCTCATAAACCTGCTGCTGCATCTCGATTTCTGCATAAGTGTTAGCTGCGGTGCTGCGATAGGCGGGGTCATGTGCGTACGCCACAGCCGGTTCGCTGAGTCCGCGATGATTTTTGCTTTGGCAAGAAGTTTTTCCTCGTACTTTTCCTCGTCCTTCGACTTGAGCCTCACTTTGCTCGGTTGCGCCTTTTAAAGTAGGTATGTTAGCATTAGCCTTCCTGGCAGCCCTATTTCTATAATTATCTCCACGAACCTGTATAAGAATCGGCACAAGTTCCTTGGGGTCGGCATTTGCGACGGCTGCGACCGTCTTTAATCCGTTCTCGTAGAAGACCCTCGCTGTCCGGCTCTTGATGAACGTAATTTTCGTTAGCGCTAGCAGATCTGACTTCGCTCCCGCGTTCAGCCGATCTGAAAAATGGTCGAGTATGGCAGCCATCGCTCTAAGCGCATAGTTAGTCTCAAGCATGGTCACAAGATAGATCGTGCATTAAACTTACCCCCAGCCCATCTGTTCGCAGAATTTGATCACTACATCGACTAAGGTTAGTAACGATGATCCATTGGGCCCCAGTGAATGAAACCGGCCTATGAGACAGATCATGATTGTACCCCTCCAAAATAGAGAATAAACGTGATGGACGGTCTGCGCATTTACTCACTCCCAGCAGCGAATCCTTGGCATGTCTGCGCAAGGTTCTGGACGGCACCTCGTGGCGTATCATATTTATGGGAGACAATATGGATAGGCATCTCGTTACATAAGTCTCTCAGTTGAAGAGCCAGGTAAAACCTACGATAGACGCGGGCAATTTCTTTTTCTTCCGGCGTCGTTTCTTTAAGGTTTCCACCTTGTGCCCTATGCTAGATATAAGCACGATGATTTCATCGTAGGATTCATTGCTTACATCTTATTGACTTGTGTTGGTTTTAGGCCAAGGAAGGTCATAACACGAAGCCCACTATCGTCAAGGCCTTCCATTTCTGACCTGAAAACCCGCCAGTTAACCGTAACCGATGTATCGTGCACCGGCGTAAACGTATATAGGATATCTGTTACTACCTTGTGAGTATATTTTTTTTTTCAATTGTCCACGACGCCTGGAGTATTATCAAAACAAGACAGCACACTAAGCAAAATTGGAGCTGAGCTCGTTACTTACGCATTTCTCCGTCCATTACAAAAGCCCGCAATGCGCGTTGCATTTCGCGATGAACAAACGCACCATCCTCTGGTTCCAATGACGAGGTAACAACGGCCTTGCCCAGTTGTGTTGCATCATATAAGTCAGGCTCATCGGAGCGGATGAACCCCATCGAAGCCAAGTCTTGTAAGCTTGACTCTACATGAGCTGTTATGACGTCTGGCTCTGTGGACAGGTTCAGTAAGGTTTTTTGGATGTAATCCTCAACGGTATCTCTTGAGTTCGCTAGTTTGATGGCAATGACTTCCAGTAACGCGCGCTGTATGCGGTGTCTATCTGTGGTTAGCCCACTTGAGATCTGAGGTAAATCAGCATGCATAAGCTCGATGACGGCCTGAAGGTCGTCTTTCCGACAACATAAATAGGTCTCTCCTATCTCGTCCTTTCCCTTCCTGCCTGCCCGACCACGCATCTGACGAAGCATAGAGGGCCCGACTAAATCTCGGCCCATTCGCGCATTGTGAAGTATGACTCTCCTCGCAGGAAGGTTGATACCGGCAGCAAGACTGCAAGTCGCTACCAGTATTTTGAGCACGCCACTATCGTAAGCACTAGCAATCAAGTCACGCTCTTCTGTTGTTAAGCCGGCATGATGAAAAGCAACACCAGATATGACCGTTTCAGCCAAGCAGGGGTCAAGTCCCGTACTGAGACTACGTAAGTCGGCCAAAAGGTCTAGCCTTTTCTCCATAATGGCCGGGTCAAGACAAGAAGTATCGTTCATAGCACGACTGATAAGCCGCGCGTCGGATTCACAGCCATCTGCTAAGTTGTTAGCATTCTTACACTTAATGTGGAAAGGTTACTTGATAATGGCTCCTGAACCAAAAGCTCAATATAATGGAATGTACTGCGACATACTATGAATATATTAGCTTAATGTAACGCAGTAGAAGAGAGAAAACAAGGGTAAATAGATAATTCAACACGGTAGGCCACTTTCTTTTGAAAAGAAGCATAAGTACTGACCGACGACTATTGCAGAAAACAAGAGCACCATATCCTGATCTTGCCGTTTCCGTTGCTAATGCGACAACGGCATTTAATACCGGATCCTTGAATTCCTTGTGTGGACTTGGGTGTACAATTCTCACGGGATGATTCTGAGGTTGGCTTGCACTGGGATGCGTCGAAGCAAGCTGGGTGGCGGTCTTAAGTAGCCCACTGGTTGATGAGGCTGGGTAAATTTGGCTTTCGTGGACAAGATACTCCTCGATAGGTACCGGTCGATAGAAAGTGCTGTAGATATGCGCATCTAACCACCGCGATAATAGATCGATGTTTTGTAGAGTCGCACTCATGCCGATGATTTGGACGTCGTGCCCAAGACTTAAAAGCTTTGTAGCAATAAGCTCCATGAGATAACCACGATGATCGTCGTCTACCATATGCAGCTCATCTAGCACGACAGCTCTAAGATTAGTAATGGTGCAATCGTCAATAGCAGTATTAATAAGCGTGTTCGCCTGTATTCTTATTAGACCTAGATCACGTAAAAACCAACATGAACGGACCTTTTCGAATGTGCAAACACCAATATCGAAGTCAGCCCACGTAGCCCTAACTTTGCCACCCCCGAAAAATCCAACGACTCTGACGGTATCATCACCGGCTCGTCTTTGCCAAAGCGAATTTTCCCTCTTTTCGGAAGCATCTGGTTGAGAGTTTTGCCTCTTAATATCTTGCACAACACTTCGTAACCATCGAACCTTCTCTTGAACTAACGCAACGTAAGGAAGCACAAGTAAAGCTTTAGCATTGCCGTCTTCAAGGACTTTTTTCAGCATTAGAATATCAGCGACTAAAGATTTTCCCCCGCCGGTTGGAGCCGTATAGACTAGGTTCTTGGATCCATTCAGAAGGCCTGGACCCAAAAGACATTGCTTTTGCCAGGGATAGATCTCTTTGATGCCAAGAGCATTTAGGTTGTTCACTAGCGAACTAGGCAAGCCATATCTCGGGAATGATAGCGACAGAGAACGATCAACTATCGACCTCGGGGTAGCCTGTGCTACCCGGCGCTGCGAATATTCAGAGGGTTGTGCAGTAGTATCAGCATCAGGACCAGTAGCAGCGATGGTGCTAGCAGTTAGTCTAGGTAATTCTTTCCCTACAGCTGATGCTCTTTGGAATTCATTCTGCCTTCTTGGTACAGCGGCCTGCTGCTGTCCAGAATCACCAGGTTCGGCTAGAGGTCTTTTATGGCCTGCGAGGGTGGTCGTGTGGAATGATTTCTGTTGTAAAGTGGTCGTTGACTCAAGAGTTGTCTTATGGAAAATTCCCTGCCGTGGATCCATGACGAATACCCTAGTCGAGCAAGGGGTAAGATGACCATACGACAAATTTGGTCTGGTAGGCGCCGATAAGATGCATCGGACTTGTTGATTAGTCCAAAGAGAATGAGATGATTCCAATGCACATTATACAAAGCAAGGCGAAAATATTAGCGACATGCCAATTATACCGATTTCAACCCGTAGTTTGCGAATGTGAATATGTGAATATGAACAAATGCCGAGGCGCGGGATCAATATGAAGTTGGTCACGAAACCTACGCCGAGTCACGTGTGCCGAAAGTGTATAGAATTGCTACCTTGTAGGTAGAAATACATATAGAGTCCCCTTGCATATGCCAAGTTTAGTGGAGGATCAATCAACGCAGGCGCTGTGCAGGCAACATAGACCCGGGAAATGGCGCCTGTCTCCGAATTCCCCACTTCTTTGACATAATCAGGTACGGGATCGCGTAATCAGTGTAGCCGTCATCCCTAAAAAGGAACTGGTGCATCACCTGAATCACGCGGTCTTTCATTGGATCTCTGATTTGGCTTGTCAAAGTGGCCCGTGCCGACCGATTTGCGAACTTCGCCGCGGTCGGGGGTCTTCCTCCAACGTCAACCTTCCCATCTTAATTGCCTCTTCGGTAGGTACTAATGTAACATTAAGCGGATAGGCAACCTCAACCTAGGACTACTTCTTCTTACTAATTACCTAGCAGGAGAAAGCCTTGGTTCTTTCTATATCTCGGCATCATCGGGGTTACTAAGGAATTTGGCCATTCATTTTTATTGTCTACATGTGTACTATGTATGCATGTACTGATACGAACGTCTGGTCACTTTGCATGTTTGGCTTCGACTTTAACTTCGAATTTTTTATCTGGCCTGCAATCACGCCCGACATATAGTGCGATCTAGTGACTTAGGTAGGCGCCATTTTTATTCCACTGGGTAAGTACACCTACCTGCCTGCATCCTCGTCCGTACCTCTCTTCGGTAGACAAATGATGGTTTGGATGGCTGGATAGGCACGCTTAATATCAGTGGGTTCGCTTCCGAATTTACCTCTGCAAGTGGCGAAAAACTAAGTTGCACGTATGGGACATACTAAAGCTAATAGTCGCCCTATCATTTCTGCTCCCGTCTTGCTCATCTCGTCACTTTTTGCCCGATAAGTACATATCAGCTATTCCTCGAACAGTTCCCGACCAGCGGGGATATGTCGAACCGGCGAAAATAAGGAGTAGTAGGCAATTAATTACCTAGGTAGGTGGTGCAGGTGGTGCTGATGTTAGGATATGAAAGCTGTCCTGGATGCCAAGCTTCTCCAATTTCTAGCTATTATTGGCCACTCCCCATCCTTGCGATCAGGAACTGTGGATCATCAAGTATCGATGGGAGAGAGATCAGGAGCGTGATGCCTTTTGGGTAGCAAGTAATAAGCCTTAGGGAAATGGAAATGCGTACCTACCTCATTGGATACAGCGAACTTGCCGACTACATTGTAGTATATCTCTGCCTATCTAGGTACGCTCTATACCATTATAGTCTTTGCGCGTCGATCGGACTATTACTCGACGAATTACCTTAGCATATAATGACGCTTCCTTCTTATGCGGATGCATGATCATTTCCGCCGGTTTACTCGCGGATAATGATGTGGCTCAAACATTCCTCCACGATTCAAGACCAGTTCCCTCTAGAGACCCTGGGCGGCCTGGGTTAGAGATCGTCTACCTACACCGAGTAGGGCTATTCTAGTGCCGGAAACGTCCGGTTTCAAAACATATGGTATAGAGAGAGAGATTAAAATTAAAATGCGGTTTGAAGGTCATTGTTCTGCTAGGCGACGGGATAGACCTTTAATTGTTATGATAAAAAAAAGCGGATATTTTCATTTAGAAACAGTACTTTCTGCCATACATCTCGCAGATTTATGAGCTCGGTTGTCTTGGGTATGTCTCTTGTATCGCACGGCGGTGACGGTCGGCATCCTTGTCCTATGCGATCTGGTTGGACCATTGGATCGTAAGGTGGGGGTTTGCTTCGACACCTGTCGTTTTTGTCCGGGCTGCCAAAGATGCCCAGACTTGCCAGACTGGCTGCCCGGCGCCTCGCCTTTTCGCATCGTGTCTCAAGATCCGAGATCGAACGACCTCCACAACACGCCAAAACACGTGCTGGTTGTAGTCAACGACAGCCATTTTGTTAAACGATGCGGGATAGATAGGTAATGTGGTGCGGCTTATTTTGGTTGCTGCTGCAACATCTCGGTGCAAAAAAAGGGCAGATAGACAACGGCGCTTGGTTGCGTCGAAAATCTCGGATGGGCGGTCTTGACTCGCGGCCAATCTTGGCTAGATCCCCACCCAGAAAAGTGCGACAGGTGATAGGAATGCTGCCTGTCATACATGCTATGCGCAGTCCGCCCCGATGAGGTGAGCTTGAGGATTCGGGACGTGCAGTACCCCCAAAAATGAGTAAATGACGAACAACAATAGCGAGGCGACGACGACGTGTATTAGTATAGAGCACGAGATTTCCTATTTCCATCCATGAGATACATATATGTACGTCGCTCTCATCTTAAGCGGAGATAATCAAGCAGCCGCAAGCAACACACAAACGCATCACGAAGATATCGTACTGTCAAGCAAGCAAGCTAGTAGGCAAAATAGATCGGGTATACAATTGGTTTGAAAGGAGACTATGGTGCATATAGCCACGATTAATTGAGATTGGCGGCCTATAACCTAACCTAGAAAGGCAGAATAAATGGTCGATAGAGAAAGACATTCCCGTCAATACGGCCGTGACCACATTTCTTTGTCGATGAGGAGGACGACCAGGGCATGGCGTAGATTTTAAGATGCAAAGAATGATGAGATGAAGTCGAATAGAGCCTGCAGCCTTTTAGCAGGAAGCGTAAGTTGGTTGGACTGACAGGGGTAGGGTTGATGGTGTGGGCCAAGGCGAGACTTTTTAACCTCAATCGTTGCCCCACATCAAGGTAGATGTACAACATATAGTTCTTCATCCCTCCTAATTCTGCATGGTAGCAGGGATTATTCTATGCTGACCCTGCCGCTAATAAGTACCGGTACCGCGGCGCTACCGTCCTCCTAATAATTCCAGCTGGGACAATATCAGAGTTTGAATGGCTGAAGATCCCAACTCCATCTTTCCATATTTCCATTTTCTTGCTGGTCCCCCATCCATCCACAAATTCCCCGTGTCTTTCTTTGTGTGCGCTGCGTGTGCCGGTCTCTTGCTGGTTTCCCTCCCTCATGTTGTTACATACATACATACCACTACCTATATATCCCTACCTACTCCTACCTATTTATCATGTACACGCCTGGGCATTGAATGAGGTTCAATGTTGCTAAGCTGCGCGTTAGTACGTACGGTGCCCCAGTCGCCCAGTTTAGTGTACTGTATGCAAATCAATGCGTCCAATACCTCCATATAGTACCTAGTATGCTGATATGCTTGGTAGGCCCAGGCTGCCAGGGCTGTCCAGGTACATTTATAAGGTACATTTATATATGTACATTCGAAATAATAAAATCGCTTGTATGGGTAAAGATGTTGCATTTTGAATCCCCACGGATCTTCTTGATCTCTTGACCTCTAGACATTCTCTGCCTCTTGACCTTTTGACCTTTTACCTTTTCGCCCTCGTTCTAACGCGATGCGCCAGTCAAATATCAGCCCTTGTGAAAGCAACTCCTAGCTTCCCAGTGCCATTTGATTTCCAAGGTTCTCACTTTTTGATTATGTTAGTGTACCCCGGTACCCTTTATGTATCTCGGTACTATTCTAACGTTCGTCGAAAGGGAAAAAAAGAGGCGACCCTTAGGTTTAATGTTCTTCTACTATTAATCCATTCCTCCATACTACATAGCAACAAGGTATGTCACCTTTTCTGTTTCTCAACTTTTCGACTTTCCAAACCAACCCTACTACTTAATCAGTACCCTTCTCGTTTCGATTTTTCCAACCCTGCTTCATCAAGGTTAGAGCATCCGTGTCGTATCATCAAATTCCCAACTCCTCGGTACATACGACGTGCTACATCGTAGAGGGCGGGTCTTGCGATTCCTCCGTTTTCTATTTTCCATTTTTGATCATCGACCTTCTTCCTTTTACCTTCTATTAATTTACGTGCGTCGACAGTCTCGATACCATAGGCCGACCATCGTATGCTTCAGTCGTTGATAATCCGTTCTTGGCGACCCATGCCGTTGGCAATATCTATACATCTACGCACATCCACACATCCACGCATCTACGCATCCACGCATCCATCACGCCGTACCGTGGACGCACATTACGCACCATACGTACTTCGTACATAATTCCTTATATTAGATAGCCTGGTAAGTCATTGGTTCTCATCATTCATCGTTCCCCATTCCCCATTCCCCATACACATACACACATCATCTTTTCTACCTTTATTACCTACCTCTACGGTGGTCTACCACCTTTACCGACCTTGCCTACCTTGTCATCCTGTGTGATCCTTATGGCCTATTACCTACCCGGCTAGTCGTGTCGAGAGTGGACACCGATTTGATGGTCTGTCCCGCCGCCTCGAACCTCCCCGGTCCATCTTGGCCTTGCTTTACATAAACCTTCACTTCTACTACTTCTTACTTCTACTTCTACCTGTACATCCTTTTCCCGTCCCACATCTTGCCGTCACGTCTACCGCGCCTCTTTTCCCTCTCCCACCTTCTTTTTTCTACTTCTACTCCCACGCATACCTCACCACCTATTTACCTACATGGCAAGGTATTCTATATCCTGCATGTTTTGCTTATTTTCCTTTTTCTCGCCCTTTTCCTTGTAACCTCACGGCATCTAACCCTCCCACTAGGTGCAATAGGCATATGCGCCTGCTTAATCTCCCCGTTATTCTTCTTTACTTCTCTACATACACCCTCTCTTGCGAACCTTGAACCAGGACCATCGTGGGACGTAATTCGGTAAGCTTCCCACAGACCCTTGTTTCCAGCTTGCCGTGGTACCACCGGCGAAACGCTCATAACGAAATCCATGACATGCTGCCCGGTTCTTGTCTGAAACATTCTGACTGCGAGGTTTGCACCTAGATTGGTACTTTTGGCACTTCCGCACCTCTTTATAGGACACGCAGCTCTGCATACGTATCCTGCAACTAACACGCCGTCAACTTTTCGGCGTTTCTCCGTGTGACATTGAATGCGCCGCCCTTTAATCGCCCACCATGGCGCAGAAATCAAGCGACCCCGATGACAAGCTAAATCCTTCGTCATCTTCGAATAATAAGGAAATCTCAGAACCCGGATCCACGCAACAAAATAAGTGCACACCTCACACATCCGCACCCTCCACATCCACGCCTGCATCCACATCCACATCCACACCTACCACCACCAACAACAACACCCAACCTTCAAAATCCGCCAACCCTAAGAACTCGGGAGAAGATGCAGCCAACTCCCAACCGATGACAAAATCAACCTCATCGGGATCGAACCCATCTGCGAAGGAGGCCATGACTGGCCCGTCTCCCTATGGCACGCGCTCCCGCAATCGCGGTCAGGCGCGGCCCAATTACGCGGAGGACAAAGATGTAGACGTCGACATGTACGACTCCTACGTGGAGAAGAAGGACGACGATTCGAAGAAGAACTCGCGACATACCAGTGCATCTGCGAATGGCACCAGCGATGCACCGCGAGCTACGAATTCGACGTCACGCAAAGGTGCAGCCCCGGCCGATGGCAAGGCTGCTAGTAATGGCACCGCTCCGCACACAACATCGAAGGATTCACACACGCACTCGACGAACAACGCGACTTCGAACGCTGCGCCAGCTACTACGTCTTCTGGCCCGTCGAAGAAGCGAAAAGCACCTACGCAATCGGCCTCGAGCAATGCGCACAGTCACGCCAATACTCCAGCGCCGACCGGCCCCAACGCGACAGCGACAAGACGCAGCGCTACGCAGGAAAAACCGGTAACAGCTGGCGCAGGGTACAACGTGACGAACATGATGTCATTTGAACGCTACGGTGCGGTTCTGAAAGATGGAAAATTGGTGGCGGACGATGGAACTACGCTGCAAGCAAATGGTATGAGCCACCGAACCCAACCAAAGGCTGGATTTGTATAATTATGTATCGTGTGTTTTTTTTACTGACTCTGCCCTATCTAGACCACGTATATCTCGTTTGCGAGCCGCCCGGAGAACCGTACTATCTGGGGCGTATCATGGAGTTCCTCCACGTGCAGAACAACGCAACAAAGGCTGTTGAGGCGTTGCGGATGAATTGGTACTACCGGCCAAAAGACATTGCGAAGAACATGAATGACACTCGGCTGGTGTTCGCCACAATGCACTCAGACATTAGTCCGATAACCTCCTTGCGCGGCACGTGTCAGATCCGCCACAAGGCCGAAATCGAGGACATGGAAGCTTACCGAAAAACACCCGACTGTTTCTGGTTTGAGAAGCTTTATGATCGCTACATCCAGAAGTATTACGATGTAATTCCGTGCTTCCAGATTGTCAACGTTCCCGAGCGAGTCAAAAAGGTGTTGGATGAGCGGTGGAAATACATTTTAGTGGAGCAGGGCCGGGCAAAGGAATTCACTAGCGCCGTCAAATCATGCAAGAGGTGTAGTGGCTACTGCGCAAGGTACGTACCCTTCATGGGTAGCTATGTCGAGCTACCTGATTATGTCATCAGGCCCCTTCCTTTTCTGCTTTTCCCCCTTTTCCCTTTCGCATTTCCTCTTTCCAGTTCCCAAGCAATTGGGGGTTGTGATAATAAATAGTGGCTAACTCAAGATAACAGCAATGATTCTGTCGACTGCGCTGTGTGTTCGCACACTTATCATATGAACTGCGTCCGCCCACCTCTGCTAAAGAAACCATCACGTGGTTTTGCTTGGGCTTGTGCTGCATGCAGTCGTGCCCAGGAAAGGAAGCTGGAGGCCCGACACACCCCAAGCTTGTTAGACACACATCCAGAAGCCGAGGAAGAGGAGATCTGGGAGGATGAGGATGACGTTATCGACACCAACCGTACTAGCCCTGCTGACGGCATCGACGACTCCCACCAGCCCGCCACGGCAGAGCAGATATACCATGCAAGCCTGTGGCCTTGGCGATATCTGGGTCAGCATTGCAAGCCGGAAGATGCACTTGACTACGACGATCGCATATATCCCCGGGCAGGTTCCCGCTTAGGACCGAAACACCAGGCAACTGTGCTCCCTTGGCCCGGTCGTCCAGTTCAGTTGGTGAAGCCCTTAGAGATCAAGAAGACGGGTAAAAAAGACAGCAAACAATCGAAAGAAGCACTTGCACTTCTTGAGGCTGAAAAGGCTGCTCGAGAAAAGCGGCCGATATGGGTTCAGGATGAGCCTCCTGGATATGTAGCGCGCGGGGAGGACTACGACAACGACGACCCGAGGAACACGGCTCAATTGCTTTGGAAGCCCTTGGGCGCACCAGGGGTACCTATCAAAGAACCACAACTCGATGACTATATGACAAGTGCGAAAACGAAACTGATCCCGATGTTCAATCTTCCGAAGCTGTCAACAAATCTCGAGGACGTCGCCATCAATACCTTGTTCAAGAATGACTATGATCCAACCAAGTCTCTGAAGGCACTGAACAAGGTCGAGAAGTCCGTCTTCAAAGAGCCGGAGTTGACAGCTACCGAGCTCAAGAAATTTGAAGAAGGCGTGACTAAGTTTGGGTCAGAACTCTTTCCTATCACCAAGCATGTGAAGACAATCAAACATTCAACAACTGTTCGGTTCTATTACACATGGAAGAAAACTGATCGTGGAAAGCAAGTTTGGGGCAATTTCTCCGGTAGGAAAGGCAAGAAGGAGGCCAAAAAGGCTGAAGCGACAGCAAATAAGCTCCAGGACGATGTTGCTGACGACCAGGACGACTCAGCCTTTGACACGGGAAAGGCTCAGAAGTTAAAGAGAGGTTTTGTATGCAAGTTTTGCTCAACCAAATCCTCGCGTCAATGGCGACGAGCGCCCAACAGCGCATCCGGTCTAGTAACCGAAGGGGGTGGCAGGCATTCGAATAAGGACAAGGGCGTTCAATATGTTGGAGCATTGTGTAGGCGATGTGCTGAGTTGTGGCGACGCTACGCTATCCAGTGGGAAGACATGGACGATCTTGCTAAGAAGGTTGCTACAGCAGGGTCACGTTCGTGGAGACGAAGGGTCGACGAGGAAGTACTCAAGGAGATCAGAGCTGCGGAAGAGAAGATGAGCATGACCGTCTATAGCTCGCCTAATGAGGTGGCCCCGACGACACAGGCTGCCGCGGCAACACCCGCTATACAGCCTAGTACCAGCGAGGCACCCCCGCGAAAAAAGCTTAAGACCATCGCTGATAAAGAGGCGGAGGCCAACGGAGCTGATTCCAGTGGCACGCAAGCAACGCATCAACATCAGCAGAAGAAAAAGGAAAAGGCAGTGGAGAAAGCAGCGCCACCGCCAGCACCGGAATTACCAAAACCCCGCACGCTGCCTTGCGCTATATGCCACCAGATGGCCCCCACGGGAGATGCGGCTCACCTGTCTTGCAAGGAGTGTCGCCTTACTGTTCATAGGAAGTGTTATGGTGTCATGGACAACCGTCTTCCTGGCAAATGGACTTGCGATATGTGTCTCAATGACAAAAATCCTCAAGTCTCGATCGTAAGTACGGATGATACTCTTCTCAGACCTACCAACTGACTGTTTTCTCCAGGATTACAAATGTGTCTTGTGTCCGGTGGAATTTACGGAGCACGACTTCGTAGAACCACCGAAGAATTCACACAAGAAGAAGACCGAGAAAGAAAAGGAGAAAGAACGGCTTGACCGTGAGCTCGCTCAGAAAGCCGCAGAGTATTATCGCAAGAAGCAGGAAGAGATGAATCGGCCGGTCAATCCCAGGGAACCTCTGAAGAGAACGGCGGATAACAATTGGGTCCATGTTACTTGCTCCGTATGGATGCCGGAGATAAAGTTCGCCAATGCCTTAGCCCTGGGCCCTTCTGAGGGTATTCCATCCATCCCGCGCAGCAGATATGACGAAGTCTGCAAGGTGTGTAAGAAAAAAGGCGGTGCTTGTGTGACGTGTCATCACTGCCGCACCCCTGGTAAGTTTGATTTTATTGATTGATTTTTTATTTCTAGTGCTGACAACATATTAGTTCACGTGGAATGCGCTCACCAGAATGGATATTTGCTTGGCTTCGAGATCACGCCGGTGAAAGGTTCCCGGCGAGACCAGCACAACATTGTGACTATTGGAGGGGAGACGGGGATCATGTCTGCCGCTGTCTGGTGCAAGGAGCACATCCCTCAGAAAAGCCTAGTACATCGGATGCACGACCCTGTACCTCAGCCCGATGGACAAAGCAAGGATCCTGCTGTTATGAACGCCCTGCAGCTTTACGTGCATAACTATAAGCAGGCAGATCTTACTTTCACGGGCAACGTCCGTAAGGCGAATCTCGCTAATCTGGCCACAAAACCGCCCTCTGTCACAGCACAGACAAACCCGAATCGAAGACAGTCAACCACAACTGTGTCTAGCTCAACACCGTTAGCCCAGAGAGCTTCTCCGATTGATCACGTTGACACAGCTTCTAGCAGCTCTCAATCCGGTGATAAAATCTGTCTTACTTGCGGTATCGACGTCAGTCCGAAGTGGTGGCCTATAGACAAGGCCCAACAAAAGGTTCTGACAAATGGACATCACGGATCTCTTAGCCGTGAAGCGATGAAATTCGTTGCTCAGAGGAGCGTCCAGTGTCACAAGTGTCACAGGGAGAACCGAAAATTGACGCCGCATGCTCCTCCAAAAGTGGAAGCGCCGTCTATTGAACCCCCAAGGCCTGCGCCTTCAGTTGCTAACAGTTTAGTAAATCACCCATCGCATGTATCGAACCCTGTGAACAGAATCGCCGACATTGGGAATTCATGGGGACCTCGAGCTCCTCCAGCACAAACAACGACTCCTACGATTGCATCGGCGATCTCTGCACCACCGTTACACCCACCGTCAGCGAGCATCCCTCAACCGTTGCCGTTGACCGCTCCTCATGCTGGAACGAGTCCAATGGCAGCTCCAGTTGGCCAGCCCGTGCCGCCTCACCACTATCCGCCCCCTGGCGCGCCTTACGGAGGAGATTGGCACCGCAGTCCGACTCAGCATGCCCCAGCTCTTCACCAGATGAATGGCAGTTCAGGCGGCCCTAGTCCGATACACCACAACCACCTTCGCGATCTCCGACCGCCGCCTATAGCTCCAATGTCTCATCACCAGGGGCCGTCGATCCAGCACGGGCTTGGACAACCCATGCTCAACGGAATTCCACCGTCACCACCTCGACGAGGTCCAGCTACGGTTCAGAATGGCACTTCCTATAATATGCCATCTTACCACTCAGGACATAATTCAGTCCACGGTCTCACCAACGGTAGCCCACCACCACGAGCTTCAGAGCATTCCTTCTCTCAAGGCTTACTTGGCTCACGTTCTTCGCCTTTCATGAACGCGCATGGAAGTCCACCGGTATCTCGAGATGGGATTTCCATGAGTCGCGAGCCAAGCCTAAACAGCAATGCACCATCTTCACGGCCAAACGACGGTCGACCTGCAAGCGGGGCGAGCGCCAATGCATCGCTGCGCAACCTTCTGTCGTAAATAGTAGGGACTAGACGGACTGGGGGGGTTATGTGGCTTATGATTCATTCGCATAGCAGTTTAATTTTCCGAGTTCGGCGTTACTAGGGCTGGGGTTGTTGTATAAGTAGGGGGCATGGCAATACCAAAGGCGTCGATACGGTTATAGATGGCGGTTTGACCAAAAGGAGTCAGTCAAATAGACATGTACGAAGTCAAGACGTCTGGGGAGGATACCAGGCATAATTGTGAAGATCATTCTTGCAAACTACATAATCATTGTCCCTGTTGTACCCGGTGACTGTATACAGGCCCAGGCCTTTAGGCATGTATGAATGATGCTATTTGATAATCTTGTACACGTATTGAGCGGATTAGACGTAGGTAATGTCCGATGATACTAGTATAGTAAAGTGGACTACAATAGTTACGAAGCGGGGACAGCCGCTTATCTCTAATGATCACAATTCTTTCAACTTATCTAGCTAGCCATTATACGGCATCGAGAAAATCAGAAGTTCGCGAACAATTCTATAGCCAACTTATTTCTTTCGAGTTTGCTACGACGTCGTTAACCCCTTTTAAGCCAGTATAGCCGATATGGATGATTCAAAGGGTCTTGCCTTGGCCATCGAGGAGGCGAAGATCGGATACGAAGAAGGCGGCGTTCCGGTACGTCTCTCTCATGGAGATATTCCTCCGCAACTTGGGTCGTTCGAATGCTGAGAAATCGGACGACTAGATCGGCGCGGCCTTGGTTGCTGCTGATGGCAGAGTGCTCGGCCGAGGTCACAATATGAGAGTACAGAACGGCAACCCGATTCTTCATGTACGTAGGGCTAGGTCTACTACAATTTGTCATCTGATGACAATTAGATAAGTTGTCATATAGTTTAGTTGGTTCTGACCTATTTACTATTCCAGGGTGAGACTTCCTGTCTCCAAAATGCAGGCCGTCTGCCTTCGTCGGCGTACAGCGGCAGCACTATGTACACAACCCTCTCGCCTTGCGACATGTGTAAGTAAATACAGCTTCTTCCTCGGCACTCCGCGTACCCCTTATCCCTCCTCACCGGTCCCCACCACGCAATCTTTACGTACACAGAACCTCTGCTAAGAGGGGCCTAAAACGTTTCGAGGGAAACAGGTACCGGCGCCTGCCTCCTGTACGGCATCTCTCGCGTGGTCATCGGCGAGAACAAGACGTTCCTCGGCGGCGAGTCGTATCTCAAGCAGCGCGGCGTCGAGGTCGTCGTGCTGGACTCGCCCGAGTGCAAGGAGCTGATGGATAAGTTTATCGCCGAGAAGCCGGAGATCTGGTAGGTTCTTTTTACTCCCGTCTTATTACCCTTTATCATCCTCGTGTAGAAATAAAAGGTTGTTCTCGAGGCTGAGATGAGCGTAATCCAGGAACGAGGATATTGGTGTGGAAGAGAGGGTATATTCAAAGGAGAGTGTTCAGGCGCCGGGGGCTTGAGGATTCGGATTGTGATGGGTGTCTTCAGGTCCCTGAAGATAGTTGTTTTTTTGTAATCAACAACTTCGAGAATGCAAAAGCGTTGTAGTTTATAGAATGAACTGTACTGACGAACGGTTACTTCGATAATCGCTTATTGTCGGTGATCTCCTTTTCCGAGGAATATATAACGTCCGTACAAATTTGTAATGAGCTTCATTCTATGCCGAATTTCAAGTTACTAAAATCATAAATATTTTGAGACGTAGTACTAGGGTGTTTTAAAAAAAACAACACCCCACGCTAGAGTTAGAGATTTTACCGTCCTCATAGCTAATGCTACGATAGGTAGTGAGATTTAAATTAACTAGTTTATTTTTGGCGTAAAATTCAGGTCGATGCTATCCTGCGAATATCGGGACAGAGAGCAACGCCTTGTGGGTATCTGAGAGGCTTTATAATATGACGCCTTAAAGGATGAGTTTGTCGAAGAGGCAACGCCATAGTGTACTATCAATCGTGGTCCTCTTCCGTGAAACCGGGGCACCCGTCCATATTCTCGTCAGGATAATCGCATTTGCACCAGAAGCAATAATTGTGCTCTTTCCTCAGATACTCGACCAATCTCCTCAGTCTCTCCTCGACTTCGAGTGCGTTAAACTCATCCAGTTCCGGGTCCTCTTCCTCGAGATCTTCTACCTGGACATACGCCACACTCGTTTTCCCCATAGCCTTCTTATCGTCCTCATCATCCAGATCATCCACGTAAGTTGGGAGACGAGTCGAGCTCTGCTCTAGGTCGTGTCGCATGCGGCGGTCCCGCTCGGCTTCCTCACGGCTCCGAATGAGGCCTCTCCAGACTACAGAAATGGACTTCAGAGGTCTGGTCGAGAGCGTCCTCTTCTTTTTAGCTCCATCTTCCTCATCGCTATTCGTTTCCTGCGTCCCATCCAGCCCCTTCTCCTCGTCTAACTTCTCGCAGACCTTCATCCCGGCATACACCAGCTTCTCCATCCTTGCCTGTTCCCTCTCCCTCCTAACCCGGTCCCGGAACTCCGTCTCGTCGACCTTTCTCTTCTTCTCAACCCCTTCCGCCGCCTCATTCAAGCGTCTCTTCCTCTCCGAATCCAAGCCAATCCCGCCACGGTCCTCCTTCATCTCGGGGCGGAGCGGCTCGAGTCTCGCATTCTCCGCGTTCTCCTTGCTACCCAGCGCGACGCCGGGCTTGAAGCCCATCTTGGCCATCATGGCGAAGCCCTTGCTTTTCTTCGCTCGCGCTGTCTCGAGCAGGGACTGGGAAAGCGCTTCTTCGCGTTCTGCTCGTTCTTCCGCGGCTTGCTCTGCCTTTGACTTGACGCGTCCCTTGATTTCGCCCTCGCGTCTGAGTCGTTGTCGCCGTTGTAGCGACGTCTCCACCGTTTTTGTCTCCTCTCCGAAAGTCATGTTCATGTAGTCATCTTCATCGTCCTCCTCTGAGGAGTGGCTTGCCGCCTGATATGATGTCATATCGGGTTGTATGGCAGGCACGTGATCTTTGCAGATTCTGATGTTGAGGGGAGCAGTGATGAGAGATTATAATTTGGTGTCGTAAGGGACTAGTGGCCCGAGATATTTCGAGAAGCTTGAAATTGAAGCTGTGAATTATTTGGTAAAGAAGGAAGACACATCAGCCAATGATAATAAGAGTTTGACGCACTTATAATTGTGGGGCCTGCTTATTTCTATAAACGATGCCAATTGGCAAGTGTGATTGGTGGATGGTATTCAACATCTCCAATGTACATGAGTACCTTCTTGGCTACATTTATTGTTACATACTACATACCTACCTACATACCTACATATGTACCCATAGCAGGATGGAAATCACATAGTAGACGTACTAATAAACGTATTAATAGGCCATTACCGCCAAACGCCCATGTAAATTATTTGCTCTTAGAGCACCGCCGTCACTGTCGTACCAAATTTCATGGCCTGTCCCTAGGTGGTCATCTAACACAGAAGGATATAATGTACAGTATACACAGAAGAAACGATTCCCCAATCTTCGCCTCTCATACGTCGTCTTCGGGTAACTCGTCAAGGACCTCTTCTACTAGATCTATTAGTTCGTCGATATCCGGGCGTTCGCTTGGCTCGACGCTCAAGCATTTCCTGACAACATCCTTAATCGGTTCGCTAATCGCACCCTCCTCGCGACCAGCAGATCCGGCCGGCGCTTTTCCTTTCTTTTGACCCTTGGGTCCCTCATCCGGGAATCGCCAGTCACCTCCTAATACACACATGCTTAAGCTACCTCCAGTCTCGTCGCTGCGCATCTCGAAAGGCGATTTCCCTACTAGACACGCATATAATGTGCATCCTAAAGACCAGATGTCGACTTTAGTATCGATAACCGTGCCCGTCTTCACGTCGAAGAGTTCAGGCGCTCGATAAGGCATCGTGCTGTGTTCCGCAGCTATATCTTGTGTCGCAATGGCAAGAGATCGAGTCGATATGGCGATAGGTGATTCGGCGATGGAGCCTAGATCCATTATAATAGGTTGCGAGCCCGAGTCATCAATCATGATGTTGCCTTCAAAATGGTACAGTTAATATGCTAAACAGTCGCCTAGAAGTACCTCGATTAGAAAGCTTACCTGGCTTAATATCTCTATGCGCATATGATCTCCGTTCGCCGGGTCTTACCAACTCCTCGTTTACCATCAGCGGCCTAGCTTGTTCCGTCTCGTCGTCTGCGTCTGCTGCCGCAACAGCCTTATTGCGCTTTCCTTTCTTTCCTCGTCCTCCCTCGCCATCTTTCGCATTGCCTGCTACCATGCGCTCGCCACCTGACGGTCCTCGGTATTGATGCATGTCCTTAAGAGCCTTGCATACGCCGAGGAAGAGGCGCATGAGCTCCTTTTCCGGAAATTTTGTGTGGTTCACTAGGTTCGCATTGATAATATCTTGCAGGTTGCCTCGTCTATAATATGGTAGTAACACGTATACCGTCTTCGCATCTGCATCGTTTCGCTCGCTCGCAATGGAATAGTCGACACTATGGATAATGTTGGATGTGTGGGAGAAGGTCTTGTACGCTTCGACTTCTCGCATCGCTTGCTGGACTGACTCTTGGCCGAATGGACATCTTATCTTCTTCAGCGCAAAGAGCTCCGCCGTCGCTGTATCTTGCACGAGATAGACATAGCTAAATCCGCCTTCGCCTAGTAGTCGCAGTATCTTGAAGGATCGGCTGTTGATCTTCAGGGTCGGCGATCCGGGGAAGCAGTTTAGACAATTGCCGAACGAGTAGACGAGGTCAAGTAAAAGCTGCGCCATGATGGGCGAGGGTGGAGCTGGACGTCCTTTTCTTCTGCAAGAGTGTTTACTAGACGGAGAGGTTATTTGCGCGCGGTCTCTATCCGGGAGTGACAGCTGTCGTTAAAAGTCCGTGTGACGGATCCGTCGGTATTCCCTAGGGCAAATTCCAAACTGATGTGAAGGACAACGCTTAAAATGGGACAATATAAGCTCGGACGAAAATGCAAGTAATGATAATTTTATGTTTATACGAAAGTTTCCATATGAATGTGTAACTACTAATGTTGAATTGTTCAAAATTAATATCGTGAGACGTGTAAGACAGCGGATAAGACGGTACGTAAGAGGTAGGATCCACTGTCGCGCGACTAGCGTGGGCTGCGCCTCAATTTGAGGCTGATTTACGTATCCTAGTACGTATTTCCAAGAAGTACTATATACTGTATAAATGCATGGACCCATTTATTATAGAATTCCGTCTCAATTGTGCAATTAACCATACAATTCGAATTTTCACTTAAGCTTGCATATCTATTTAGAACGTCGATGAAAAGTGAATGCAGAATCTCTATAATCTGAACAATTCTTTTTATATAATCGTCCCAGGAAGTTGCTAATAAGTATCTTACAGCTGGGCATCAAAAAAGGCTTGTTGTGGCCGATACAGCCTCAAAATCCGAGTTCTTTAGATTCGCAACACCATGAATATTCCATACCAGTGTCTAAGCCAACTTGGACAGGGTTCCATCCTCTGCGCTGCTAAAGGGACCAGCATTCACACATTTGACCTTAACTCTGGGCCTTCGATCTTGTCCTCGTGGACTCATCCCCTTGCAAAGAAGGCAGGAAATGGCAAACCTCATAAAGATGAAAAGGGAACTACTCAAAAAGGACAAGATCCTGATGAGAAGGAGAGTGGTCAGCGTCCATCAAAGAAGCGCAAGCTCAGTTCGGATGAAAAGCCCGACATTAAGGGAGAAGACGACCAGGCTGACGCTGGAATAGTAGAACCAGCGGCAAGCAGCGATGGAAAGAAGCAAAAGAAGCAAAAGCAAAAATCCGAGTCCCGGGCTCAGCAGCCGGAATTGCCGTTCGTTACTTTGTTAACAACAACTGAAGATGGAAGCCACGTAGTTGCCGTAACTGGCCAGGACAAGGCGATATGGATATTCGAGCATGACGGAAAGGGTGGTTTGAAGGAATTAAGTCAGAGGTATGACGAAATTTTTCTAAATCGACTCATTTGAAAAGTCATCTCACTAGATACAGAGTCATGCCGAAGCGCCCCAGCTCCATCGCCATCACAACCACCGTAGACGGGCCTACCATCCTCTCCGCGGATAAATTCGGGGACGTCTACTCGCTCCCCCTAATTCCCACTCCCACTACCACCACAGAAGCATCCACCACGCCAACCCCCGCCTCAACACCTACCCCTACCCCCAATCCCTCAGCCCCCTTCAAACCCTCCGCGAACCGCCTAACCGTGCACTCGAAGCGCAACCTACGCGCTCTCGAAGACCAAGAGCGGGTGCTAGCCCAGGGCCAGGAAGTCCGGAAGGAGAAAGAGACGCCGGCCTTCGCGCACTCGCTGATCCTAGGCCACGTATCCATGCTAACCTCTCTCGCCCTCGCCTCCGCGGACGGGCGACCGTACATCCTAACCGCGGACCGGGACGAGCACGTCCGCGTCTCGCGCGGCGCGCCGCAGGCCCACGTCGTCGAGACGTACTGCCTGGGCCACGAGTCCTTCGTCGCCGCGCTCTGCGTGCCCGCGTCGCGGCCCGAGGTCCTGCTCTCCGCCGGCGGCGACAACGAGCTGTTCGTCTGGGAGTGGAAGGCCGGGCGGCTGCTGCGCAGGGTCGATGTTTTGGGCCGGGTAAAGGAGGTCTCGCCCGATGCGAGTAAGGTCGCCGTGGCGCGGTTGTATTCGTATGAGGTGCGCGGACGCTGCTACGTGCTGGTAATCTGTGAACTGTAAGGTCTCCTCGTCTTACCCGGTGTCGATATTCGGAGAATCTAACGTCGTGGTGTGTTTAGGGTGCCGGCGATCTTCGTCTTCGAGCTTCTACAGGATAATACCCTCGAACACGTGCAAACCCTGAATGTGCCCGGCAGCCCGCTGGATGTCGTTGTGATCCTGAGTTCTGGGGGAACTCCGAGATTAGTCGCCGCAATCGATCCTCGCCAACCTACTAACAGCAATGGCGGAGTACAGGGAGAAAGTGTTGCTACAGAAACGGCACAATCACTCTTACTATACGAACAAAACGAAGCAGGTAACTGGGCTCCTTCCGGGGGTATCCAGGACACCGCCGAAGGCAGCCTAGATATCTCTAGGGACCAGCTAGAAAGTATTCTTTACTCAGTCGAGAAGCTGCGCAAGACCGAGTTCGAGGACGAGGCAGAGGCGGAAGGAGGTGATTCTGCTAGAGGTTCGGCTGCCCCTTAGTCTAGGTAGCTAATTACGTTACTCTCGCGGGCATTCGACAGAGATGTAGCCTGTTCTAGTTTTATCTCTGCAAGGCGAACCAAATTCAAACAGAAAATGATAATAGATACGTTGGATTACAGCTAAAGGGGAGCAAGTTGTCTCACGAATGCACGTTCAGTAATACACACGTTGGAAAAGGTCGCAAACATTTATACGCCAACATAATTAAGATGAACTGTTAAATGCAATCGAGGCCGGAATAAAAAGCACGTCTGTCCTAGTTCCTCTATGTCCATATAACGCCAAGTAGCAAGAAGCGTCAGGGGTGGTAGTAAGATGACGCCGGTGTAGTCGATGGGAAAGGTGGTGATGGTCCTACTGCAAAGAACGCAAGAACCTGTCCTCCAGACAAATAACGAACCCTTCATATCAAATGTATAGCAGCTTCCTCTCCCGTGCTCCCTGGTCATGCAAAATCATTCGTGTACTCGACCCGTCGAAACCTCACGCCGTATACGTAGACTCTCTACTAACCCGGCCGGAAAGAGATTCCTGACGGCGTCCGTATATTATGCGAATCATCAAACTTCGTATAGTCGAAGTATTCTGGGAATGAACTGGCCAGCTTGACAGACTGTTTATTGGGAGGCACACTGAACGCGTTCGGCGTGTGGGTGTCCGTCCTCATCATCCTCATCCATAGCACTGGCGCCACCGAATGCTCGTGCTTGCCCTTGATTGTCTAGATCCTCCAGACTCACATCGTCCGTCATAGCGTCTGCAGGAGGGATGTTCTGTACCGGAGGAGAGGGGAGGATCTTACGTAAAGCTTCGAAAGCGGCCTCGTCGTCTGTCCAACCACGTTCGGGGAACTTAACAGAGAACTGTATGTACATGTTGCCAAAGTCGTGGTGTCTGGGCGAAGGCATACCCTGGCCACGTAGCATCTTCACAGTATCTACGCAAAATCTCATTAGTGCCAAGTCCGAGCTTTCATAGGCGAACAAATACATACCTGGTGCGATAGCCTCGCCGGGTAGGATTTCAACGCTCAGCCATCTGTCATCCAGATGCTCAATGTAGATTGTACCACCAGCAAGGGCCGTAACAAGATCGATCTCGGCGCGGTATAATAGGTCATCTTCTTTCCGGGTGAATCGAGGATGGGGCTTCTGCTCGATCTCAAAGACGACGTCTCCGGCCTGGACACCCGGAGCCTGATCACCTTCGCCCCTGAACTCAACTTTGGTGCCGCTTCTGACACCGCGGTCGACGTGGACGTGAAGTACTTTCCTATCAACAACGGTCTTCTTTCCATTGCAACCCTTACAACGGTCCTTCTCCTTAATAATCTCACCCTCACCGTTACAGTCAGGGCAAACCGTTTGAAAGCGTTGAATCATGGGACCCATTTGCCGCATCATCGTCTTCATACCGTGGCCATCACAGCCAGGGCAACGCCGCACAGCACCTTCCTTACCACCTCGGCCCTCACACTTGCTGCAGATTACGGATCGCTGCAGGGCAAGCTTCGAGATCTTACCTCGGTAGACATCCTCTAGAGATACCTTGTGTGTGTGGTGGATAGTCCGTGCCTTGGGGGGGCCGCGGGGTGCCCCGCCCATCCCACTAAACATGCCTCCGAGACCGCCACCGAAAGAACCGGAGCCGAAGAATTGGGCGAATAGATCCTCGGCAGCCATACCACCACCGCCGGCGCCTCCCTCAAGGCCAGCCTCACCATATTGGTCGTAGATCTGGCGCTTCTGGGGGTCGGATAGAATTTCGTATGCATGTGAAATCTCCTTGAACTTCTCTTCAGCAGCCGGGTTGTGTGCATTCTTATCTATCAAGCCAAAGTTAATATCATAGGCTCGTAAAATGTCGTCACAACGCAAACGGACTATGCCATACCGGGATGCCACTTTAAGGCGCTTGTCTTGTATGCCTTCTTGAGCTCTTGGTCTGTCGCAGTTGGCGAAACCTAGACAAAGGGCATCAGCGTGTGTTCCGGGAAAATCGAGTATTGGAATTTAGGAGTAAAACGTACACCAAGGGCCTCGTAGAGCTTCGTCTCCTTGGCCATCTTATCTGAATTCGTAGATGAGACGGAATAATCGAAGAGTGTGGTATTCGGCGAGTGAACGGGTCACCGGTCAGATTAAACAGGATCTTAAGTATCGATCAGTATTAGTTAATTATGCGACTCTGAGGTTGTTGTTTTTTTATGAATTTGTGTAGTCAAAGCAACCAGATGTTGAAGAGTGAGAGCCTGGTATTAGTAACGGAGGAGGGAAAAACAGTCGTTAAGTCGTTGAGATAGCGCCCCACAATTGCGAGGATCGGCCGACACAGGATTTTTGGGTGGGATAGTTGGAAATTGGTAGAAAAGGAATGCGAAGGGATAATCGACGGAGACTCACCAGTGGAAATTAAGTAGGCGAGGAAGACGGCAGAAGAAAAGGCGACGATAGAAGGGTGAACTTCTTTGGTTGGCAACCTTGTGGTTTGACTTTGGCCTTAGCAGGTTTGCGATGCACGAGATTGGTGGATGCTCGCTGTATGTAGGTACCTTCCTTGGGGTTGCTGGAAGGTTCTGGCTACGTTCCTGCTGAAAATAGTCCGCGCACCGATTCGAGAAGGCTCTAGTCCGTGAACTAACTACGATGATTCGTGCCTTCCTTTCTATAGGACTAGCAGTATGTAAGAAGTGAAACCGAGTAGAATAATTGCGAAGAAGAGTATCCGAAAGATATATCAACTTTTTCTTACTGCCGATTAGCAAGCAACTTTGAAATCCCAGAAGAGGCACACAAAGTGAATCTTGTCGGTCTTCTACGTAGAACCAACAATTACTTACTTTCCTTTACTTCGAGGCTGAGATTTCTTAGTGTGCCACTTCCGCCGTAGAATCCGATAGAATCGTGGCTTCGACCTCGAAGTACTCCAGTTGTAGTTTTGAGGCTAGAATGCGGAGTAATCTAAGTGAATTGTGTGCCAATTTTAGTAGCTCAGCCTCAAATATACTTTTAAGTACTTTTACCCCTGCTTCCTTCTTCGCTCTTTTCGGCATCCAATTTGGCCTGTGCTGCACGCAATGTGGAGGAATTTACCGTCCATTGGACACACACGGACCGCACTCTAATCAATGCTACTCTGTTCACACGCCTAGGTACGGTCCTCAATTCTCCAATTTAGACCCCTACTACGGATCCGTAGTAGCTCAAAAGGTTCTACGCAAACGGTTGGTCGGCAATTTGATTTATATTCGTATTGTGACATGAGATTTTGTTACACCTTTGATATAAGATTCATCATTTGTATATGCCCGTGAAAAGAATCCTTATACAGTCTAACAACATTATATTCTCCAGCCTAAAGATACCGGCTTTCTAGAAGCACGCCAAAGGGCGGGGTTGGGGCTTGACACGCAACGGACCTCGGCCCTCCCGTGGGCAGATTTCTCAAGATTTTTAAATAGGCGAGAGGCCTTCACTCAAGAAACGTCTTAGGCAATATACAGCCTTATCATCATTAGGCACCGTGCTTTCGACATACATCCACCAAAGCCTCAGGTTTGTAGGTGCCTAACCGCCAATCGTCTTCGAAGGCCGGCTGTTCTCTTCACCGCACCGTCATCTACAACGTCATTAGCTGTCAAAGTGCATGACTTTCCGTGGCGCAAAGTAAGGGCACATATTTGACGTCGCTATTGATAGCCGGTAAGTCGCGAATGTTCCATTGGAATAAGCCTGGAATGGTATCAAAGCAGGATTGTGGCTATTGTCGTCTAATAAAGTTTCCAAACCATTCGACGAGGAAAAAGAGTAAAAGGAAATTTGCCGCCGCCCGCTTATTTATCTTTGACAAGTCAGCTCTATTTTCACATATACGTATGAATGTATTGTAAATATTCATCCACGCATATGCATGTTTTTGGCCAAGATGTCAGACACGGAACAAAATCTGACGTATGCCGATAGATCACTTTCTTACTCATTTTCTGAGCCCGGTTTCCTTCTGCTATTAGTAGAAATAGGTCGAGAAATATGTGTCAACCTAGAATACCTTACTTTATATAAATGAAGCACATTTATGGTTAACTTTAAACTAAGACAAAAATCAAGGCAGCTCCAAATGTTGGGTTAAGATTCCAAATAGTTTAACTCCTCCTCGTAAAATACTTGACCAATCAGAAATGTGTCAGCCGCAAAGAATGTTCTTGCTTAAGTCCGCTAGTCCGCTAGTCCGCTAGTCCGCCCGGCGGTCGTACCAAAGTACATAATTGGAAGCCACAGGACACTCAATTTCCACCACTGCTACCTAAAAAGTGGCATTAGGTAAAAGACCATCGCCTAGTGGAACTTGGAACTTTACATAGGACACATGTATGTAATCAATAAACACACGCAAACCGCTACCTTGCACAGACGTTTGTTCGCTCTTTTAAACATCAATGTCACTTTATGGGTTCCGAAAGCGAACAGGTGAGGTACTAGCAAAGTCATCCAATTCAAAACCTCGCTCTTGCCTACCCAAAACAGCTTAGTAGCAAAGAATTCAGGAGGGAGTATAAAAGTAAGGCTGAGAGCTGAGAAATCCTAGCGGGATTGCGAACGGGTGTAAGTGGGCCGTTACCCTTGACACGCTGGACCTGCTCAGCTATTAATACATTCATAGATACAGACCGTTCATCGACTAAGTCAATACCTGCTTTACTGGGCTAGCTACTATGTACTAGTCAGTATGAACAGTTCTTTGGATATCGATCGTGAGAGGAGGTTGGTAGAAACCTCATTGTGCCCTGTCACGACTACCATGTTACCTACTAACAACCTTGGTCAACTAAAAACTATCGATCGTATAAGCCTATTATAGATTCGAATATCATTAGATGGCAACTCGCTTACCTTACCTATCTAGTAGGAGATGGATACCTCGGCATGTGCTTTTTTGATTACATCGATCAAATACTAAGTAATTTCAAACACGCCTTTGACAGGGACATCTTAGTGTATCCCGCATGTACATGCCCAGGTATGTAATGTGTAAATCTATATGAGCTGCTCTTTACTTGATCGGAGATAACAGATTAACAGGCAGAAGTCACACAATACTAATCCCCAGAAACCTTCAACCGAATCCCCCTGGATGTCGTCATTCTAAACGAGCCGCAGCAAGGATAGTATGAAATTATCCATAGCCCTACGAGGCGACCTTGAAGCTCTCGTAGGCATCCGCGGCGGCGAGTATAGCAACGAAACTTAGACAACGGAGACATCCCGCACTTCCAAGGTTTTGGATAATCATTGGGATGCGCATGGTGCATAAGTAGGTGCTTAGGTGAGCATTGAGGAGTACCGAATTAGACATCTAGAAGAGATCCATGCTCACCTTCTATTGGTCGACCCTTGCTTGCTCAGATGCTTGGTAACAAGATTACTAAGGATAGCCAATTATAGGGCCTGTTTTGCACCCCTGACCATGAATATCGCTAGTCGTGTTCTATTTTCAACTTCCCCCATATTCCTCGCGCTAGGTATGGCAAGTCGGTACAGTCCCTCAATACTCGATAAATCATCTAAGTAATCGTTCGTTCAATCTTGACCAATCGGGTTGCGCGTATGGGGTCATATCTAGCTGACCAGATCGTTAGCTGTTGTCCCATCTATCCCATGTCAACATGTGTAGCATTCTTAAATCTTAAGCTTAAAGATGGCGGTCCACATCGTGATCGACCGCCGATGTGAAAAGGTACACAATCAGCCAATAAGAGAAACCCCCTAGCTATGGAATCAAGACGGGGTTTGGAGTCTGCACCTTGAATAGTGGTACTAGCTTTAAGAGATGTGAGATGATAGGGCTGTTCGTATCTCTACCCTACTTAACAACAAAACCACCTATCTCCTAACGCCATATTATATAACGACCCGATTCATTCCCGTTATGTGCTCGTCTCAAGCAACTTAATACACCTGACTCATCTACGATCTTGAAATTTTATACAAAGGTAACACCCACTTCACTCGTAAGGCTGCATCTTTGCTGGCGCCACGGACAAAATGAACACCAACGCATCTGCTGCCTCTGGACGGACCAAGGCACCCAAAAAGAGAAATAGCGACGTACGCAAAGAACAAAACAGGATCGCGTCTCGTGCCTATCGTAAGTTATTCCCGAGAAAACTACCCTGAGTATTTTTCAACACTCGAATATCTCGCTGACACCAACTCATAGGAGAGAAGCGCAAACAAAAGCTAGCACTCCTCGACGAGATCCTGAAGTCTGATTCACAAACAGATTCTATGAGCTCTGTCTCCGATGAAACAGAAGGCTACACTACGTCGTGGTCATTGCAGAGTAGACAGGCCTCGAACAGTCCTATCCCGGCTGCACTCTCTGCCGTACCCGTCGCCTCGCCGTGGCCGGTAGTAAGTCCGCCAATGACTTCGGCGGTTCCTAACTATGGCCACGATAGTTATGACGGCTGGATGAACTCTTTTGACCACCACAGCCATACGTTTCATACTAGTAACGACTATGTGCAATCATACCTAGCTACAGATGTTGGAGATCATTCTCTAGATGCTTCTGCTTCATACAACATCCAATCTATACCATCAGTAACCTCGACACCGTCAACACCTCCCGTACCATCTATTCCACTGGACCCTATGCTGGTTAATCAGTTTGCACAGCATCGCCATCCACAATCGGCGCAAAGCCAGAGCATGGTAAATTCATCTAACCAAGTTGGTGGCGATGACGAAATCTCGAGACAATTATGGGTCGGGTCCCTTGAGGATAATGCGTTGACGGCGCTCGAGAGATTTGCGGAATATAGCCACGTCCAACAACAGCAAGTCTTAGCCTGGGTGCGAAAGAGAAGAAATTTATCGCACAACGCCTCTAGTCACCAAGGCCTAGAGTACAGATATCCCACTTGTCAAGCAACGCCTCCGCCCTCAGGTGAGTAAACTATGGTGGCCTAGAACTCCTCAAGGATCATGACTAAATGCTAATTTATTTCCAGCCCAATTTGTTAACAGTGATTTCCGCAAATACCAGAGCATGCGGCAGGCCTCTAGATCACCTATTCCTCACGGGCACCACTAAATTCGTCGCGAGTCAAATAGGGTTACCTACTCGATCATACCGATCAACAAAACCCAAGTGCCTAAAGGAGTACAGTATCTTCAGCACGTATTTAATTGACGAGCTGGACAAACCTCACGACTAGATGCCGCAACCGAGTATACAAGCATGCTAGATCACATCTCCCTCATCTCTACCCTCTGTATCTGAGAGAAGGTGCCGACGAAGAGTGATGGGAAGAAAGAGCTATGTTGTTGACGCTGGAAGATGAAGTCATTACCGAAATGTGTGGCATGACCCTTGGATAGCAAACTAACTACAGAGCATAGCTCGGAACGCAGGAAGGGGCGGGACAATGGGGAGACGATAACAGGGGAAGAGTTGCAACTTCTACGGCGCCGATGGGAAGACATTCTGGCTCTGGGAAACGGTCTAGTAAGGAAAGGGGCTGGTAAAATGTTTGAAGGTGGACAACACTTCGACCATCTCCCGCGTCAGAGAGAATGATTTACTTACAGCGGGGAAAATAGATATAGGTTCTCACTGAACTGGAGGCGTACGGTTATGCATTGAATAGATTACAAATGATACCCTTTTTATAAAATATCTACGCTTTTGTAGGTCTAGTTAGGTACTTTACGCGTTTCTAATGACTGAAGGAAATTATATGGCTATTCAAGATGCTGTAACTATTTCAACGAGTGCCATATAATTCGAGGTGAGTACTGTTTTCAACCAGAGCCAACCTCAATTGAAGCTGTACGATTTGTCAAATTTGGATGGTGAACTCTCCTTGCAATTACAATATTCGCCTTACGCTATCTAGCACCTAAAGACAAACAGCGACGAAACAAACGTGGTTTGATATCTCCAATTCGCTTAGAGATATGCTCTCATGATAAACATACGTTAATGCTTTTGTGAAGAATCTAAGCCAGAGAAAGCTCTACTGAGTAAAGAAACCTCTAGAATGATTAGCCAAGTAACCTATTGGTCTCGTCGTTGGATAGGTCGTATACGTGTAGATCCGATCGTAATATTATACCGACTACGATTAGCATGGGTTGGATAATTACTAGTCTAATGGAGTGAGCGGACTGTAGACAAGGGGCAGTTACAAAAGAACACCGCCATACTGTAGTCAGAATCAAATATTTAGGTATCTAAATGGGCAACATAAGAAAACTGTTGCCTAGAGAAGTTTGTATTGTCGTAGTTCATGTATCACAAGATTGCTGACACGCTTGAGACTACTAAGAAGACCTCCCTTGAGAATGTTGCTGCCTTGCAGGGAAAGAAAAGCATTTACAAGATGTTCAGCGACCCGGGCACCTGTTGTGGGAATAAGCTATCTTACGAAGTACATACCCTCTTGACTGAATACTTTCCAAGACCCACAAGATATAATCTAGAAACAGCTATTATTATCATAAACCTTGCTTTATCGATGTATATTCGATTCTATTCACGGATGAGTAAGATGTTTGTTCTGTAACATTGTCCTCTGGGCTACCCCCTGGATATTGAGTTGACCCCCTATTCACCACCATTCCTTGACAACTCGCCCCCCACCCTCAACCATCATCTTCCTTGCCCTATTCCCCCCACACGAGAACCATAAAATACTGTTGTTCCATCTAAATATGCTTAATATATCCCGGACGATCCGTAGCGAGGGTGAAGCGCCAGCAGTAAAAAGGTCAAGGCGACTTGTTCGAGCAGGAGCAGTTAATCCTTAGATACAGAATACTTTCTATTTAACGAAAATTTCCAAGTAACCAACTAGTAATAGGCGATGTGCCAAGAAAACAAACTAAGTAAAGATATATTTAGCAAGCCACGTTGCTACGTATGCAAGTAATCTCATAGTACGTCCCCGGACGTAAGACAGCCTCGGGAAAGAACCCTAGACTATTACCTTGTTCACTAATCAAAATTACAAAGACTATACTTCACTTAAGCTCTGATAGAGTATGATTCTTCGTGATACTCTTCTGAGGCTATGCCGTGTTCCGGGAAAAGAACAAGGGAGAGTTGGCCGTGCCTTTTCGGTATTGAGAAGCCGAGTCGACCAATCAAATCGAGAAAAGCAGACCCAGGCAACACAATTTTGTAAGCAAAAGGGGTTAATCTGGTAGCTTATTAAATCAAAATAAACTAGGCGAGAGTAGATCACATCATAGGGAGGGAGGCTGTGGTTTAAGAGACCCGGTGCTGTCCGAGCAGGGGGGAGGTACACAGGTTAACGGTGTTGATCACATTTACCCATAATTCGAAATCTCCGAAAACATAAGCAAGCAAGCACCTGGATTCTATTGTTGCCACAAGCGCTTCTATTTGTATATGATACTATTCATATACAATCCATCTAGTTTATGGCAGACCCGCGTGGCTCTATCTCTTCGCCGCCCGCTTTCTTGCCTGCTTCTCGCGCTCGTACGCGTTCGCCTCTCTACCCTCCTCGCCCTGTATCTCCGCCACGAGCCTCTTGTACTTCTTCTCGTACGCGGCGTCCTTGGCCTTCTTCATCCTCAACTGCTCGCGAGCCATGAAGTTGGTGTCCTTCCTCAGCTCCCGCATAGCGCCCTTGCGCTCCTTCTTGTGTTCCGCCTTCAGCTTCGCCAGCTCCGCTCTGTCACGGTCGGGATCGTAGTGCTTGTTAGGATCGAACGAGTCCTCGAACTTCGGAATAGCCGTCTTGATGGGTAGTGGCCTGTGGTGGTGAAGCTCGAGGGGCCGCCGAGTGACCTGGGCGAGCCTAAGCATCTTGTCTAATTTTAATTGAAACTTGTTAACCCGGTCAATTAGTGTGGCTGGCAGCCTTGTCCGACACTGCTTGGTAGCTACATGAACCAGGACATTCTTTGCTGGTTCGAATGTTTCGAAGAAGGCAGACTTGCCGCTATAAAGATCTGCTGCTGCGTCTAATAATTGAATAGTGGTGGATAATATGGCGAGTTTGGTCGAGATAGCCTCTTCATCGGTTATTTCGTCTTTGGCACAGTCCGCAGGAGTCAACTTCCTAACAGTGTATGACTGGGCGTCAGAGATACGAGTTCCTGGTGTAGGCTCATGAATCGGGAAGTAACCCAAAGTCGCTGTAGGTTTCTCCGGTGCAAGGGCACACAATGTGTTGAGGCAGAAATTCATGACCTCAGGTATATAGCGTTTCGAAACTTGTTGGTACTGTAGAGCTAAAGTCGACAGATAAGTCCCCTGAGCGTAATCCGTAATATTCTTTGGAACTTTCTCAAGATTCCGCGCGATGAGAAGTCCTGCTGGAGTTGTGACCTGGTGGAAATGGTCTGATGTTGGAAATATGGTTCCAATCGCAGACAAAATTATCAAGTCGCCTAAATTAGGAGACAGTGGTCTTGATCGACCAAAATCTTCGAGTTGTGAACGAAACTCGTTCGCTGTCTCGACAGGGTAAGATTTCGCGAGGGAATGAATATGGCGGATAAGGGTCTCGAGGACGGAGAAGGGAGGTAGGTTTGCAAGGTTAGATGAGTGCGCTAAGAATTGAATGAGGATAGCCACAAATCTGGCGAGTTTCGCCTTGTTGTCGCTGTCTAGCTTCGGGTGATATAGCGCCCTAATCCGTTGCACCACCGTTGGGAGATGTTCTACGGGGATGCTCTGTGTCATCCTCACAAACTCGTCTAGGGTCTCTGGACAGGGAAATGTGTAAGGCAATCCGTTTGAATCTTCCTTAGTGTCGGTTGATGCTTGAAAGCCCGTGAGCCGACTGCTGAACACGGGATTTTGTGTTTCCTCTTCATTCAACAGCCCTTTCGTGAATTCATCATCATCTTCGGCGTCCGATTCCTCCTCATCCGAAGACACTTCGCTTTCGATAGGCTCTAGATCTGAATCGCTGGCTATCAAATCATCTTCGATGACAAAATCGTCTTCGTCATCGAAACCGAGTTCTGTTGCTGTTGGCCGAGTCTTGATTCCTTTTCCTAGGCCGAAGTCGTCTTCTTCATTTTCCATGAATAAAACCGGACCATTCGCTGGCGGACCTTCTGGCTGAATATCAATAGCATGCTCTTCGAGCTCGTCATCGCTGACTTCCTCCCCGCGCATCCTTTTAAGTCGCTTCTCCTCTAGCTCTTTTAGCCTCTTAGACTCTTCTTGGGCTTTCTCTTCGTCTGTCTTGGAGCGATCTGTAGGTTGTGCCCTCCTGTCTTGCGCTAATTGTCTAAGTCGCATATCGTAATCGCGCTCCATCCTTTCCTTGCCAGCAGCGGCGGATTCAGCTGGATTGCTTTCTGTAGCGCTAGGCCCCTTCTTCCTGTTGAACAGTAGATCGTGGAGATCCGGGAGTTCCATATCAAGTTCTTCCCGTAAATCCTCGTCAGCGTCTTTAGCTGCTTGCCGTTCAGCCTTATAGAATTTCGATTTTGCAATGACTTCCTTCATGACTTCTTGCTTCGTCTTTTTCCGTTCTGGCTGTCCTTCTTCTTGGTCGCCATCCTGGGCATCGTCGTTGAAAGGCCGCATGCGCTTCGAACCGCGATGTTCATCGTCTGACTCGGCCGCGTCGGATCCGGCCGAAAGGTCATCCTCTTCAAAATCATCTACTAGATCTGGTCCATCAAACGACAAGGATTTTCCAAGATGAGTTAATCCCTCGCTAGGTTCGTCATCTTCGAGGTCAAACATAGAGCTTTTGTGAGTTTGCTTCTCTCTCACAAATCTTTCTTGCATCTTCTCTTCTGGTGTCATGAATGGGTCATTCTCTCCGAATCGTCGGTCGAGTATCCCGCCTACTTTATGGCGCCGGTTGAGTTCCACAAGAAGCGTTTGACGTCGCTAATTAATTCGGATTATTAGTAAGAGACGTGCATGACGATTCGTTTAGACGACTTACCCTTTCTTCGCCGAGAGACTTTGCTTCGCTTGGTCTTCCTTTAGTAGCATTGCTAGGTGCTGGTCGGCTGGTGGTAACCTGGAACTTGGGGCCGCGCACATTGTGCTTCAAATCAAAAGGATTGAACTCTTCTCGGATGCCCTCCAGCTCTGCCGCCTTCTGATATCTCCGGTTATTACTTGTCTTTCCATCCTGCGCATTCCTCTTTTTCTGCTTTTTAGACAGTTGTGGGCCTATAACACCTTTTTCTCTAAGAGAGGCTTTTAGCCTCTTAAGCTGAGAGCCCGGCATTGCGAAAATACCAAGAGCCAGAGGCGTAAAATATTGGGAGAGGCCGAGATATCGAGTGAGCCTATGCGAAGAATTCCTTCAACATTTTTTTTCTTGTTGTAGCCAGGATTCTTATCTTATCGCCCCACCACGCAAGTTAAAGAGCTTGGTCCACCTGCAGGCCGAAGAACTGGGGCTACTAGGGTAACACGGCTATCGATAACAAGGATTCCGGTTTAGACTTCTAGAAAGGTTGAGCTTTGCGCGCCACCCTCCCACCATCACGTCAATACCTTCATACCCACACCTCTTATATATACATGTCCATCCAGCAAGTGCTTCAAGATTCCCATCAGTACTACTGTTCACTTCTGTTCAATTTTGTTATGGATATTCGATAGGGTGTATCAAAATGGGATTCTATTCCTTCGTCAAGGATGACCGGTTCATTGCCGTTAGCCTCGGCCTGAGCACCATCGGCTTCTTTTTCGGTATGCGAACAATCCTCGAATACTACCGAGATGAAGCTGAGATCAAACCCACGCCGCCAAAGACCCAGTATATCACCCAAGAGACAGAAGACTCGCTCAAACAGGATACCCTCGAGAGTTTACTTAATCACTATAACTTTGCGATACGAGACACCGCCTTGAAGATTATTGCTGGCCGGGCTATTAACGATAGCTCGGCCATTTACCAGCTTCTATGGGGGATCACTCGTGAGAATTATGAGGAACGTATGGAAGCTTTAAGAGCGCTCACTTTTGCCGTGGAAGATAGTATGTATTAAAGCTATTCGAATATCGCGATCCGTGTTTAGCTAATCAATTCCGCAGAGGATGCATTCCAGGAACCGTTTACCGCACTCAATACCCCGAAAGCCTACAGTGCGCTGGTTAGGTCACTCGAGTTATGCCTTGGCGACGCAGAACACGAAAAGCTTGACGATCCGTTGTATGACGAATATTACCTCCGAGACATTTGTGAACGGCGCTGTCTCATTCTGGTCTCCCAACTAGTCCATCGGTACGGCGTCAATAGGTTGGTCGAAGCTGGATTTGTTGAGAAGTGGTTGGCGAAACAACCATGGGGCGATGACGTCGAAGAAAGGCAGAAAAACTTTGCGATGTACACGGAACGAAGGAAGAATCGCATAAGTGACATCTGCTTTCATCTTAGCACGGCGCAAGTTGGGCGGACGGCTTTGTATAAGGCAAAGCTGATCAATAAGAAGAGGAGGAGGAGGGGAGGGGAAAGATCCGATATTAAAATCGTGCTCGAAATCTGTGTAGACGAAGGCGATCGCGAGCGATCCGAACTTGTTCCCCGCGTGAACGAGCAAAGCGCCGAGGAGCAACGTTTACGCAGAAGACACCGAGAAGCTATGGTACTGAACGACGGGACACATTCTCTAGGTCGCAGCGATATTATCGAGCGGGAACATGATTCTAACAGTTGAATGTTGCCTGCTCTTTATCACCGAATCGCAATATCTCGGGGTGTCGCTTGGCCCAAACGTCGCTAGTCTTATTAGACTGCATATTGCCTAGCATCCTCACCGATGGCGTGCATTGCTCGGGCCTTCATGCGAGATCTGAATGCTAGGTTCCTACACCAAGGTGGTTGGACTTTGGCTGGCATTGAATATTCATAGGCCAAGCTTATATATACTACGATCGTACTAGGTATACGTTTGGAGGAACTTATGCTATTGCCGCACGACGTTTTAAACATCCCACCCTTCTCTAAGTAAATCGGAGCCCCTTCTCGACTAAATCGACTGATATCCTGAATTTGTTGAAAACGACAATGGAAGACCCTTGCGTGGCTAGGGTCTCGCCAATTAGTGGTCAGATGCCTTTCATTCGCACCGCGGTACTTGTATATGCCTAGCTACTACACTCGAGAATCCATTATTGATGAATAAAAAAGGCACATCTTAAAGTGAAACTATTTATGTACTACTTACCGAGCGCCAGGAACTAATGAATGCCCAGGTGGTTTAAAGTCCGAGCTATATTAGCTTCCGCGACCGTGCCGTAAAAGCGCTAATATGGTTTAGGATAGTTCCTGATGAACGTGATACAGAACCGTGGATAAGGTTCTAAGGTTCTGTCTTAGAGATGGTCAGGGGTAACGGTATGTGATAATTTGTTTTACTACCTCCCTCGGCATTTCTAAATTCTACTAACTTCAACCGCAACGCCTCCCTCCTTAAGTAACACGTGGTATATTCTGATAATATGCGAAGCTCAAATTCCATGTTCTAATATCAGATTTCTACACTTGTGTGTTTCCAACGCAGAACAAGTTTTCTTCGTTTCATTCGCGCATTGCCGATGTAAACAAAGGGCTACCTTAGCAACCCGGGGTCGTCTGGATAATCTGGTAAAGGCAATAACATGCAGGAGCATGCAAGAGCATGCACCGTTCTGCAGATGCTCATGTATTGCGGCGTGTAATGTTGCAGTAGAGTACAGTAGCGAGAACGGATTAGGAATGAATCGAGTAAAAATAGAGGAATCATCGGCGTTGCTGCATCTAGCTGCATCAAGGGAGTTTCCAAAAGGCGATAAGGTCTTCACCGCCAGAGCACAAAGTCATCTCTGACCTGTCATTGGCACAGCTTGTTTATATGTAGGTACATCCAAATGTATGATAGCTTCATGACGCCCGAACCCCACGAAGTTCGTACCTAATGTGTAATCGGAAACTGTATTTCCAAGAGACAAAAGATCCGAGACTAAAACCAATGTTTATAAGCCTTTTTCAGTCTTTTCCCTTCTTCTTTTTATTAATTTCGAGGCTGATATTGATTGACATTCCTCAACACCATCCTCTACCATATCACACTATCTCTGTCGCCACCCGCCACCTTGTCGTAGGTGGTGCTACATGGTAGTGCTTGTCAACGGCTAACGAGTCACCATCGCAACGAACCACTTCGATATCCCTCCTAGCAGCCATTGCACATTGACCACTCTGGAGCTGTTGCACGGTAAGAGATCATCACCAAGCATCTTCCTACTTGGTTAGCGATGCGCATAGATACGTTTTGCCTTCTCTGGGATCTGACGGCATAATCTTGTAGCTTCCTCTACGGAATCCAGCAACTTCGGATTTCCACCTATTATTAATCTCAATTTCGCCCGCTACGGCCACGACTTTGAGTTTCTCGCTGCGCTCAGACTCTCTCTTTATTGCCCAGCTGTCAATACCTATCTAACTTAAACTCTGGATATTGAGTGTTGCTACTTTTTCACGGTAATTGCAAATCCCAATGTTTTTATTTATTTATAAATCGTTGGTTGCTAGGCACTGTACCTCATACGCTACTTCCAAGTTCTCGTATTGACATTTAATCTTTCTTGGTTCTAGTGCGGCCAGTTTGTCGGGCATCCGTCGACATTCCTTGCGTTTATTGGTCGAGAGACCATTGCCCCTTCCCACCCTTTCCCACGCGATCGCGACGGCCACCAGCAGCGCTGAGCCGGACGTTTATTTTAGTGGGCTTTGTCTATAGGAGGGTACCTGCCCGGTTACCCCCCAGCTAACCCCCAAAGCCTGCCCAAGCCCCCCCTTTAAGCCCCCTATCAAAGAAAATTATTGGATTGGGCGAAGGAACCCCCCGAAAATCAATAGCGGGTAAAAAATAACAAACTACCAAGTACCTAGGAACTGCCACAAAGTGCCACCACAACTGTAAAAAGAGGACGGGAACGGCGAAGGGAGCCCACAATGGCTTCTACGGCAACAACTTTTCTTCCACCGAGACGCACTTTGTCGAGGTCTCCTAGAAAATCCGGGATCGCTACAGCTTCTACTCCCAACCTCAATAGTGTCTATACTTCTCATTCAAGACTTATTCCGAGCACGAGCGCTCTTGCGCGCAAAGCTTCATTTGCTGCCTTAACCCCTGGCACGCTTGCTTCCATTCCTGATGACAGCGAAAGTTACGCCATATCCAGTGTCCTTTCTGACTCATCGCGCAACATGCCTCCAGCAACCCCAGCGAAAGGCGCCGGCGCGGCCGACGATGTCGCCTTGGGCGATACCGTCGAGGTTCCCGGTAATATGAGCGGAATCGTTCGCTTTGTCGGTTCCGTTGCCGGAAGGAAAGGCACATTCGCTGGCGTGGAATTACATCCTGATTATGCGTCGCGCGGCAAGAATAGTGGTGATGTTGACGGGTAAATAATCCCCAATATTTCGATATTCATATTCCCAACAACCATTCCCTTACCTATATCTACCCGTCTTATCTACCCGCGTTGCCTTTGTTCTTGTTTCACTTGTTTACGCATGATTTTGAGCTTTACTTACCGATGAATCTTTTCGCAGTGTATCTTACTTCACAACTTCCGCGCCCGGTTCTGGTATATTCGTCCCCATCAATAAACTGAACAGGCCACGCGACGCGCCGCCTACACCCTCTACTTCCTACTCCATCACACCCCAGGGATTAAAGGTCGCAAATCAAAATGCGGTTAACTATACGCCCCCGACCCCGTCACTGCCATCATTCAGCAAGTCTCTTGGGCCATCTAGAGCCCCAAGTCCGGCAAACAAACGAACTAGAACGTCCCTACCACGGCCAGACTCACCCGTTCGTAAGTTACAGTTAACGCCAGCTCCCCGACAATCAATAGCGACGCCAGGTCCGAAGACCGGAATTCCCCCTCGTTATGGAACCCCCTCAGTTTCTCGATTCGCGTCAAGCGTGCGAGGTACATCTGGGGACCCTAACAAAACATCGAGATTGGAGAGGAAACCAAGCATAGTACCTAGGAGCGCATCGGCTTTGGGCCAGACTTCCAACTTTGACGAGGATGAAGCTAGGCCTCTTGTTTCTCGTACCAAGACCAACGGAAATGGGAGTATTGGATCAGCCTCGTCTTTCTCATTCAAGCGCCCTGCATCTCGAGCGACTCACGTAAATGACGAAGAGGTCGAGCGACTCAAAGCCCAACTGGAAGACCGAGATCGCCAACTAAAGGACCAAGCATCTACTCTAGCCGAAATGGAAAGCAGTCTCTCGGAGCTTACCATGTTAATAGACCAGTCGGATGCTGGGAGAATGCGAGCGGGTAGTTTGGACGATAAGGATTCCCCACAACTTCGCGCGATGCTTAGGGAGAAGAACGAGAAGATTGCGATGCTCACTTCGGAATTCGACGCCCATCGAGCCGACTTCCGCAGTACTATCGATACGCTAGAGATGGCTAGCACAGAAACCCAGAGGGTCTACGACGCCAAGATTCGTGAACTGGAACAGGACCTCCGTGAAGCGCAGGAGCGGCACGAGGATGTCGACAGCGTGGCTCGTCAGCTTAAGCAGCTTGAAGAATTAGTTCAGGAACTCGAGGAAGGCTTGGAAGATTCTCGACGAGGCGAGGCGGAAGCACGTGGTGAAGTGGAGTTCCTGAGAGGAGAGGTTGAGAGAACCAGGTCAGAATTACGGAGAGAACGCGAGAAAGCTGCCGCAGCCCTGAATGGGGATGGCCACGGAGAAGATAAGTTATCCATGTCGAAAGAACTGGAGCAGAAAGAAGACGAGATTAGAGGTCTCAAGGCTATCATTCACTCCCTCAGCCGGGACGCCGTTCCCGGCTCGGAAAATTCCCCGGACAGGACGCCTACGCGGACCGGTTCATTCGTCAAGTCCCGTCCGGACTCGATCGACAACCGCTTGGCGAAGGAGAAGATGGAGCGGGAGATCTTCGAATTACGCGGTCTGGTTGACAACAAAAGCCTACGAGAAGAGGAACTTGAGCGCGAAATTGAGGCTCTCCGGCGCAACAGCGCATCGACCAACCGTGTTAGCTCCGCAACTATTGGCAGCGCCCAGCGATCGTCATACCGCGACTCCAAGGGAACCGTGATTCTGGCGCGTGAACCACACTCGCCTGAGGTTACCCATAAGCGCAAGCCCACTCTAGACACCATGCCCGAGAGCGATGCATATTCATCTGTCACTGAGACTAGCACGCTCTGGTGCGAAATTTGCGAGACTAGCGGGCACGACATTCTTACGTGCACTAACATGTTCGGACCTCAGAACGAAGCGGGCAAAGTTACCAACGGCGAGCATAAGACAGGCAAGGACGTCGTTAGAGAAAGCTTTAGGAATCTCTCGATTCCCAATGAGGATGCCCCTCGTCCTCTATCTCCGATGAAGCCTCAGGTCGCTCCGGCGCCCCCTACGGTAAAGATTCTGCCTAACCCGCAAGATTCGGCGCCGTTGGCTGGCAAAGACAGCGGGGTGGTAGACATAGAAAAATGGTGCGCTTTATGTGAGCGTGACGGACACGACAGCATCGATTGCCCCCTGGAAGATGCATTTTAAATGGATGTTACGTCCTCCTATACGACTCAACGACCAAAATACGTGAGGGAGCATTTGCAAAAAGATACCCGGATACTCAAGTATCCAACGGAATGGAAAAGAAGTCCACTTGTAACTTTACCTTGGCATCCATTTCTTCTGTCCACTTCCAAGGTCGGACTTTTCATTTCTACGGGGAAGACGCACTACCCATTAACGACTGCTTCGGAACGATGATACCACACAGATTTCGCTTTTATCGCCTCTACCGCTGTTTCTAATCCGACCATCCTATATCCTTCGCGTCTGTCTTTCTTTTTCTCCGGCGTGTATAATTTTGCACTATTGGACGGGGTTGGGAAAAGCCTTCGAGGACTTGATGGCGCTAAAAGAATGGCCTGAGAGAATGGCATGTTACTGAGACTAGCTGGGCCTGGCTGGCTCTGATTACCCCCGACTACTAGTTGATTAGATGTATTATAATACAGCACGACTCGATGTCTCTTCTAATTCGCGTTGCCCCTCTTCGATGTTGATACCATACCGTTAATGAACCTCCTTTAATAAGATAATACGTCTTCGCGAACTGGAGGGGTTGGGGAGGAAACGATTTGATTTGCTACCAGTTGGCTTCCACTTTCGCCTATATACATACTCCGTACCTACTACGTACTAATAAGGGCTACATTGTCCACGTCACCAATAGGACATTTTTGCTATTGACTACATCGTAAACAAAGCCCGTATATGCACAAACATTCCACCTCGTATGTATGTGAGTGGACATGAGGGGGGCACTACAAGGGTCTTTAATGATATTTTTGCAGTGCCTTGAAATTCGGATGGCTCGTTACATAGTACGTTACTTTTTCTTAAGGAACGTTTCCTATTTGTCCGCTGAAATAGGAGGCTTCTATTATGCAGGTAATACATGTTCATTACTTCTACCAAAAAGAAGCGTTACTTAGATCAGGAGGTGTTACCGCTGTGAGTGTTTCGTATGCCGGGAATTCCGACGACAACAATTCATCAATGGGGATAACTCTAGTATTTCCAACCCAGGTTTAGGGATATCATCTCAAATTCATTGCTGGCCATGGAGTTATATAATGTCTATCTATAACGTGGCTAGGTTGTTCGTGGACAAGTTCTAAAGGACAAGGCGAATCTCGTAATGCCAATAATCTGAAAGTAGTTTCTAGGTTATTCTTGTTAGGGTGGATAGAGGTTGATGGCAGTGGAGGGTAGTATTCAAGGACTTGTTCCTCTCCTTCCGCTCCCTACTCCTCCTCCTCCTTTAGGGGTATGTATTTAATTGAGATGTTACTCTTCCCAGAAAGCCATAGTATCTCATTGTTTTTAGGCTGCGGGTATCCTAATGCTAGATATGTTGTTCGTTAATTCGATACTGGACTCTTGAGGCTGGAAATGTTAGGGGATTCCCTAGATGACGAGATCTCTAAAATCTAAGCGGGTCCGAGGAGAGGATTATATAATGAGAAAAAATATTCTGGACCGAATACCTAGCTTGCTATCTTGACCCATAGCGGCTACCAGTAGTTCATGAAGTTGATGAGGCCGAATGAGCTAATAAGGAAGCTAAGGCTGTCGGAAAGCCGCAGCGGGAACGGCGTCCGCGTTTCACAAATCGGCGCAGGGCACCTTCTGTTGTTGGAATCAATTGGATATATCTGCCAACTCTACCATTTTGATACTTAATATACCATCTCCATTCAATTAACCCATAAATCAATTTATGTTTCTCCAACAAGACCCTTATGAAACACACCGACTAACTACCTACACAACCCAGCCGCCAACTACGTAATAAGGCTGATATGTACCTAGATACTTAGTGGCGGCTATGTGGAGATGCTAAGCCCCTTCCCCGCAAAAGTACGAACCAGCTGACTTGTCAGCTGCTCCCTCCGTTCCTTATCGCTCCCCAGCCCCTGCGTCTCAGGAACCCTCGGCAGGTAAAGCTCAGGTAGCTCTAACTTGGAGAGGTCCGAATCATCAGACCGGATTTACTACCTACAACTACCTACGTAACATACTAGCCACATGAATAAACATCAATTGATGTAGCCTCTATCGTCATATCTTCATATCGGCATCTTGTATGAATTGCCGTGCTCTATATTAATCGTGTCACGGTCCCACCCTTCAATTGATTAATGTATGTCAATTGACACTGCCGAAGCCAATCTGGTGACACTATAAACTGTCCGACAACCTCACGCTCGTTCTCCAAGAACAAGGCCAAGTTGATTCTGCTATTGCGGCCTAACGCATACCACACATATTCAAAAACAACATAGTAGCAGGACTACGCCAATTCGATCCAGCAATTGCCATGGGCGGCGAAACTACGAAGCCCAAGGTCGCTTCGACCGAATACCCCGTCCGGGCCCGCGCTCCGGTCGGTAAACGGATCACTCACATCTACAAGGAACGCATCACCCAATTCTATTCTAAGGGACAATGGGAGAACCAGAACCTGCTTGCTATGATGTATGAGGGTGTTGCCTCCGGGCCACCCTACGTTCAGCTCTGGACCTGGCCGGCTCCGGGTCTCGAGAGGCCAACTTTTAAAGAGGCCATGGCTGGGAAATATGAACCGGCCGCTGTTGGTCAAGCCTTCGGCCCTTCATGGTCTACCCACTGGTTCAAAGTTGTGCTTCGAGTCCCCGAAGACCTTCGGAAAAAAGAACATCTAGAGTTTCAATGGGACGCCAACAGTGAAGGCATGGTTTGGACCGAAGACGGGAAGCCCCTGCAGGGTCTAACCGGCGGAGGTGAACGTGTCGAGTGGATCCTTCCAGACTCTTTCAGAGATGGCAAGGAACACACCATCTACATTGAGATGGCCTGCAATAGTATGTTTGGCAATCCAACTGGTGGCGATACTATCCAGCCACCCGATCCCAACAAGTATTTCCAGCTTGTCAAGGCCGAGATATGTGCCGTGAATCTGGATGCCCGACAGCTCTGGATTGATACTTGGATCATCGGGGATGCCGCGAGAGAGTTCCCCGAAGACTCGTGGGAGCAGCATAAGGCCTTGAATGTCGTCACTAACATTATCGATTCCTATGTTCTTGGCGACAAGGAGTCTATCAAAAAGGGTCGTAAGATCGCTCAGGAATACATCGGTTCTAATGTCGATTCTTCCAAGGTCTACGACACTGATCTCGTTCCGCAAGTTTTCGGAATCGGTCATTGTCATATTGACACTTGTTGGCTATGGCCTTGGGCCGAGACGAAAAGAAAGGTGGCAAGGTCCTGGTCGAACCAGTGTAGCTTGATGGAACGATACCCGGAACTTAACTTTGCTTGCTCCCAGGCGCAACAGTACAAATGGTTGAAGACCCTATATCCGTATGCCTTTGACCGGGTCAAGCAGAAGGTAAAGGAACATCGGTTCCATCCGATTGGTGGAAGTTGGGTCGAACATGACACAAATATGCCGAGCGGCGAGTCTCTCGTCCGTCAATTTCTATACGGTCAGAGATTCTTCCAAAGCAACTTTGGAGATCGTTGCCGGACGTTCTGGCTTCCTGATACATTTGGGTATTCGAGTCAACTTCCCCAAATATGTCGGCTGGCTGGCATGGATCGTTTCCTTACTCAGAAGCTCAGCTGGAACAATATCAATAACTTTCCTCACACAACTTTCAATTGGGTTTCCCTTGACGGGAGCCAGGTCATATGCCACATGCCGCCATCCGAGACCTATACAGCCGAAGCCGAGTTTGGTGACGTCAAACGCAGTATCACCCAGCACAAGTCAATGGACCAGGATCACACTTCCCTACTGGTCTTTGGCAAAGGTGATGGTGGTGGTGGACCTACTTGGCAGCACATAGAAAAGTTGCGACGTTGCCGTGGTATCAGTGATCAAGTTGGTCGTTTGCCTAGAGTGCATCTAGGCAATAGCGTTGATGACTTCTTCGACAAGCTTGAAGAGAAGGGTGAGTCCTTAGTAACTTGGTATGGCGAGCTCTACTTTGAGCTTCACCGCGGTACATACACGACCCAAGCAAACAACAAACGTAACAACCGGAAATCAGAGTTTATGTTACGGGAGCTCGAATTACTGGCTACGATTGCATCTCTCAAGTTCGACTCTTACAAGTACCCGAAGTCGGAGTTTGATGAGATGTGGGAGGCAGTCCTTCTTTGCCAATTCCATGATTGTCTCCCCGGAAGTGCTATTGAGATGTGTTACGATGACTCGGATGAGGTAAGTCCGTACTGAAGAAGCGCGTTGAGCTATTAAACTGATTTAAACTAGTTGTATGCCAAGGTATTCGAGATAGGCCAGTCGATATACAAAGACATCTACAGACTATTCGGTGTCACGCCAATAGAATCTGCTGGCCCCGGCGGTAACCCCGTTGCCCTAAATACCCTCCCGTGGTACAGGAAGGAGATTGTCAACCTCTCCCCTACTGCTATTGGTATCGCCTGTGGGGCTGAAAACCTTGCCAACATCCAGCCATTCAAAACAAAAGCAACTAAGGCTGTGACCGTCGAGGAAGTTAGCGATGGCGTCTTCGTCATGCAGAATGAGCAATTGACTGTGAAAGTCGAAAATGGCACTATTACTTCACTGATAGATCGCAAAGCAGGACGTGAAGTTATTGCAAAGGGTGGCAAGGCCAACGAACTTGTGATATTTGACGACAAGCCCTTGTACTGGCAGGCATGGGACGTTGAGGTTTACCATCTTGATACACGTAAGGTAGTTCCTTATGGCAAAACTAAGATTTTTGAGGATAAAGAGCACCGGGTCAGTGTCTTGACCGAGGCCAAGATCAGCGACAATAGCTCGATCGCAACAGTCTTGAGCTTGTCTGCCGCCTTCGAGGGTCAACAGTCATATGTCGAATGTACCGCTCATGTGGACTGGCGTGAGACCATGAAGTTCCTAAAGGTCGAGTTCCCAGTCGATATCAGAAACACGGAAGCCTCTTATGAGACGCAGTACGGCATTGTCAGGCGACCTACTCATTACAATACGAGCTGGGACATGGCTAAGTTTGAGGTGTGCTGCCACAAGTTTGCTGATCTATCAGAGCACGGTTATGGTGTCTCTATCCTCAATGACAGCAAATACGGCTTTGCTACCTGTGGAAGCCTCATGCGCCTGTCTCTGCTGCGGTCTCCAAAGGCACCTGATGCACATGCAGATATGGGGAAGCATGTCATCCGCTGGGCTATTTTGCCACACCAAGGCGACCTAAGCGGTACAACTGTCCGCGCCGGATACAACTTCAACCACCCAATGAAGGTCCTCTCAGCACCCTCGGATGCCACTAAATCAGCCGATTTTGCTACGCTTTCGAGATATCCGGTTAAGCTCACAGGCGATGACTCGCTGATTCTAGATTGTGTCAAGCGTGGCGAAGATGACGAAGACGTTTCTCAAGACGCATCAATTCCTCGTCGTAAGGGACGGAGTGTTATTGTCCGCCTTTACGACAGTCTCGGCGGTCGCAGCACAGGAAAAATTGAGACAACCTGGGACGTCAAGAAGGTATTCAAAACGAATGTCTTGGAAGATGACCAAGAGGAGGTCAGCCTTGAGAAGGACGGCTCTTTCCTGATCTCTGTTCGACCTTTTGAAGTAGCAACTTACAGGCTTCAACTGTGATCGCGCTGCTGCTCGAATCTCTAAGATGTCTCCAACCACATGTGTCAACGTTTGTTATTGGCGCCTATGACTTTACAAAAAAAGGACAGGATATATTAAAATTGTCGGTCTTTCTAACAGATTGCTTTTTTCTACCCAAGTATAACTAGGATCCTTCTAGAATAAGGATTAGTCTAGAAGATCCGTCAAGAGCCATTGAGGTACTCTCAAAGCACCGTCAAAGACCTGTTGTCTTTCTGGGTTGCCTGTTTCTATTAATCAGGTGCGTAGTATGATGAAATGCATTGTTATGGATTATGATGGTTTCATGGATCTCTTACAAGTTGCCTAATTGACTTTGTTAATCAGTGATCTAATACGGTGATATAACATGTGTTTTGTATTCTGTATTTCGGAGAGTAGCTGTAAGTATTAGCAAGAGTATCGATTGATGATCTACGAAATTCCAGAGTTTTGACTACGCTGATGTTATTTCTATTCCTGCCTTATCAATGATATATGTAAGGCTTTGTCTTGGGCAATTCATTGAAAAGGGGTATATTCAATGACTTCCTAGGAAGTTATGCAGGTAGTATTACCTATTTATCGGAGCGGAATTATACAGTAAAACAACGAACGTAGACTGTGTACGACCCCTATAATTGGCTGACTCCCCACAATATACCTTGTCGATCTATAACGTCCCTACCGCAGCGAGCCAATCAAGACTTTGTAAACACTACTTCGTCTTAAACCTCAAATAAGTCTAAATTAGTCTAGTTGTAAGACAACTAAGACAGCAAGCGTTACAACTCAAAGTCGTCAGGCATTGGCATCCCGGCTAGATGAATGGTCTAGCATGCCGGCAGACAACCTCGGTGCTCGCCGGCCGGCACCGTTTGCTGCTCTCGCGATGGTATAGCCTCACGTCGCCGTCGCCTCGCGGAGTAGGCTTCAACGTGGCGGCTATGTTAATGCGCCAGCAGACGCGCGGCAAGAAGACGAGGTCGTCCATGAGAATGGAGGACCTGCCGCAGGGCCCTATCAAGATGGACGCTCCTCCGCTGCCGCCACCACCCGCCGAGGACGAGGGACCCGCGTATCCTACCGTGGTCCTGCAAGCGCGCCGGAACATGCAGAAATTCGAGAACTGCGTGCTCCTCACGCGCGTCGGCGGGTTCTACGAGCTTTACTTCGACCAGGCTGAGGAGTATGGCCCCATGTTGAATCTCAAGGTCGCGCATAAGAAGACTAATGCCGGTCCTGTGCCCATGGTACATATCTTTTTATTATTATCCTTCGCCCATCTCTATTATTTTAAGTTATAAAAGTTATTGAGATAGTATTATAGCTCTAATTTTATGTAGGCTGGTTTCCCGTTCTTCCAACTGGACCGGTTCCTCAAGACTTTGGTCCTGGACTTGAACTGCTACGTGGCGATAGCAGAGGAATTTCCTAACGATCCCGGAGACAAGATCAAGTCGAATGGCTTAATGCATGACCGGAGAGTCACGCGGGTTATCACGCCGGGTACTCTTATAGATGAAAATTTCATCGACCCGTACGCCAACAACTACGTTATGGCGATTCACATCAATCATCAAGAGAACGACGCTGCTGGCGCAGCTGAACCCAACAGTTCCGATAATGCCATCATAGAAGCAGAACGCCTGGCGGCGCTGCGGATGAATGCCACCCCAATAGGCTTAGCATGGATAGATGTGTCTACTGGGCAGTTCTACACGCAGTCGACAACGCTCACATCGCTCGGATCCATCCTATCGCGTGTCGGACCGAGAGAAGTAGTAATCGACGAAGTATTCGAGTCTCAAAGTGACCATCAACTCTTCTCGGTCCTTGCTGAAGACAAATATCTGATCACATTCGCGCCCCATAGCCAACAGCTAGCTCTATCGGAATGGACTCCGATGCTAGAATCCAATACTCCCACGCAGACAGCACAAGGCTTCACCCCGGATGAAGTGCAGGCCGGCAGTCTACTATTACAGTACGTTCGGGACCGTCTGCAGGGCTTAAGTATGAAGCTACAGCCGCCGATGCGCTACGAGAACATGTCGGTCATGGCTATTGACAAAAGCACCATGCGCTCGCTTGAGATTAAGCAGACCATCAGAGATGGCACTTTCAGGGGAAGTCTGCTACATGCTATTCGAAGAACGGTTACCAAGGGGGGTGCCCGGTTACTTAACACTTGGCTCAGCGCTCCCTCGACGTCGCTGGAGACTATTAAAGCCCGACAGGATCTCGTAGAGTATTTTATTCAGCACCCAGATCTCCGAGACGAGATCGTGTTGTTATTAAGGAGAAGTCATGATTCGCAGCGCCTAGTACAGAAATTCGCGCTGGGGCGTGGAGACCCGGACGATCTCGTCGCTCTGGCTAATACTATCCAAGCTACTAAAGACATCGTCTCCCTTTTAGAAGCAGCTGAAAGGCAGGGCGACAATACAACGGAGTCAAGCAGCACGCCCGAACAAGAGCAACAAAACTCAAGCAGTGAAGCATCATGTTTCACATCCCTCCTCTCGCGCATAAACCTCAAAGAACCCGCCGCTCTAGCCACCCGCATCAAGAATTCCATCGACGAAGAAGGGCTAGTCCAACAACACCGCAACGAAGACGACGAAGCAAGCCAGCTCATCTCCCTCGCCGAGGACGTCGTCGCCTCGGAAGGCGCCCGGGGCCCCGAATCCGCGCTCCCGAAAGCCGGCAGGGCGAAGAAGAAGCAGGCGGCCTCGATCCGCGACCACTACTCGGACGACAACGCGCTCTTCGTCATGAAACCCGACGCGAGCCCGGGGCTCCGCTCCCTGCACGCCAAGCTGTCCGCCCTGCTGGAGGAGACGTACGTCCTCGGCGAGACGCTGCGCGAGCGCTTCGGCGCGGCCAGCCTGACGCTGAAGTGGACGCCGAACCTGGGCCACGTGTGCCACGTCAAGGGGGCCAAGGACCTGCGCAAGCTGGACGCCGCCACCACCACCATCGACGACGAGGGGGGGGAGGGTAAGGCGAAGGCGGTCGCGGTGGTGAGCTCGAGCCGCAGCACGCGCGCCTTCCACGCGCCCGAGTGGACGGCGCTGGGCCGCCGCGTCCACCAGACGCGCTTCGAGGTCGGCGTCGAGGAGCAGCGCCTGTTCGCCGACCTGCGCGCCCTCGTCGTCGCCAACCTCGTCAAGCTGCGCCGCAACGCCGCCGTGCTCGACGAGCTCGACGTCGCCGCTTCGTTTGCCCGGCTGGCTGCCGAGCACGGGTGGACGAGGCCTGTGCTTCATGATAACACGTTTATTCCTTCTACTACTAGCTCTACAAGCACAGGTGTAGGTACAACAGCGCAGCACATAGTCATCGGCGGCCGGCACCCCACCGTCGAAGCCGGGCTCCGCGAGCAAGGCCGCTCCTTCACCAAGAACGACTGCTTCCTCGACGCCAACCCCCCATCCCCATCCCCGTCCCCATCCTCATCTTCGCCCTTACCCACACCCCCTCCAACCCGAACCCCGCACGGCCGCCTCCACCTAATCACCGGGCCCAACATGGCCGGCAAATCGACGTACCTGCGCCAGAACGCGCTCCTCGTGATCCTCGCGCAGGTCGGGTCCTGGGTGCCCGCGACCTACGCCAGCCTGCCCGTAGCCGACGCGGTATTCTCGCGCGTCGGCTCCGCCGACAACCTATTCGCGGACCAGAGCACCTTCATGGTGGAGATGCTGGAGACGGCGGCGATCCTGCGGGCCGCGACCCCGCGCTCCTTCGTCATCATGGACGAGATCGGCCGCGGCACGACGCCCGAGGACGGGTGCGCCGTCGCCTTCGCCGCCCTGCACCACCTCGCCGCCGTCAACCGCTGCCGCGCCCTCTTCGCCACCCACTACCACGCCCTCGCCGACCTCGCCGCCGAGCGCGGCATGACGCGTGCCGCCGTCCAGACCTACTGCACCGACGTCCAAGAGGACGGCGCCGGCGGCTTCGTCTACGTGCACCGCCTGCGCAGGGGCGTCAACCGCCGGAGCCACGCCCTCAAGGTCGCGCGCCTGGCCGGCTTGCCCGAGGCCGCTATCGCCGTCGCGAGGGAGGTCCTTGAGAAGAGCAGTAGAGACGAGGACGACAATCACAAAAGTGAGGAAGATTACTACGACGATTCCGAAAGTGTGGAGGATGCGGAATCACACTACGCTGTCCTTGAAGAACAAAAGGGGGTTGAATGAGTGTGGTTAGCTAGACGGTCAGTTTTACGGGTCACGCTTAATGATTCATGGTTCGGCATGTCTGTAATTCTAGAGGCGGGTTAGCGCTCAACTCATTTGTAAGATTGGCGTTCAAAAGAGTTGCTTGTTAAGAAACGTGTCTCATAGGGTGGTGATGAAATGTGTCATCAATGAAAGATCAGGGTTAAAAAGCTCTTGAATTTCAGGATATAATCATCGAACACTGAAGAGGAGAAGCAGGAATAAGAATGAGAACTCACCATTTACAAGGCTCCATAGCTTTGCGCGTAGTGTTGCAACCTTCATGTCACGTTTAATGAGCCTCGACTCTTCTGCAGTTTTCCTCAATTGATCGTTAAAGACCTATGTACCGTCATCATTCAGACGTTAAGACCTTCCCAACCCAACCGAAGCCTTGTTTGATGCCAGTCCGACAACACCGTGATCATGCCATGAAATTTAGTCACTGTGTAGAAGTTACGTGTTAGAAAGTTCGAAATAGCTGTGGTTAGGGGACGGGGGAAAACATACAAGAGACCACCGAAACCCTCGTCTCCAGACTCCTCTTCAGACTCTTCCTTCTTCTCCTCCTCGGCAGCCGCGGCAGCGCCAGTGTCGGCGGCAGCAGCAGTCGGGGCGGCGGCGGCGTAAGCGTCGGGGTTGGCGATACGGTCTTTGAGCTCCTCGATCTCAGGCCAGCTGTAGTCGGTCTCGATGGCTACAGCCAAGACCTTCTTGTAGCTGTTCACCAAGGAGTGGATGACAGAGGGCAGAGTAGGGAAGTTGATGGCGAGCGACAAGGCGGCGATGGTGGAGATGGCGCTCGAGAAGGACTTGAGAAGCTGGTCCTCGCTGATGTCTAAGACGCTGGGAGGGAAAGTGTTGCCCTGGTCGTAGACTTGCGAGACACCCAGACCGTAAGTGAAGGGAGAGATGTTAAGCATGTTAAGAAGGGTAGCCTCGGAGGGACCGACTTTGCTTCCAGACTCGACGAGCTTCAGATCGGTGGTAATTTCGATGGTACCACGGGCGATCTTGGTGGGGACACCGAGAGCCTGGAAGAAAGAAGTCTTACCAGGCTCCATACCGGTGTTGCCAGCGGGGACCCAGACATCGGCGGGAGCGACAGCACCAGCACGAGCAGGGGCGGCGACCTTGTTGTCCAGGATCTTGTCACGGATGGTCTTGAGATCACCGTTAGTGAAGACGAAACCGATGTTACCCTTGACGTGAGGTAGGAGTCGCTCGTATTCGGGTGAATCGGGAATGAAGGTCTTGAGAGCACGGCGGACCTAAAGATAGAAAATCAGCATGCGAATCGCCTGGGATTTGGAGAGTTCTCCATATGGAACAATGCGATTGTAATCGTAATTGTAGTTTTGCTCACCATAGTGTTCTTTCCCATCAGGACGACAGCCTCTCCACGGAGGGCTTGTCGGATCTCGTGCATCTGCTGAGAACTGACATTGTCGACGGTAACGAGGAAAACAGAGCGGTACTCCTCGAGCAAGCCCTTGAGCTTGGGGAACTGCAGTCAAATGTTAGTAAATGGTATTTAATTGAAATTCTATTTTCTGATATGACGTACGTATTCCGCCTTCTTTTGCTTGCTGGCTCCCATATCTTCTTATTTTTGAAGTTAGGATTTTTAAAGCCGATTGTTGTTCAGTGATGAGGTTTGGTGATGGTGTTTTAGAAATTGAAAAAATCGCCAGAGGTTAACACACTCTGGTGGAATTTCGGCTAATTGATTTTCGAATTGTCCGAATGTGTGCAGTGTCCACACTCCAAACTCCCCGCTAGGGCTTGCTGTGCCTTATTTTTCACCTATGATTATTTGCAGTTTAGCGCATAACTAACTTATCACTTATCGTTTAAACCGCTCCAAAAGCAACTATGTACTTATACAGCATGTGAATTTCCTCACTTTGTGAGCATGTATCATACAATACAATATTAGTGATATGAATATGATCCTAAAGCTGATGATTTAACCAATACCCCCAGATTTTAATTCTAATTATTATAAACTCAAAAGGGTTCTTATATACAGGAGAAGCATCCCCAATGAATACACCTCGCTAGTTGAATACTAGGTACAGGTTCATTCTGGAACTACGTCATATTATGCATAAATAGAAGCTAAAACTTAGGCATATGTACGTTATATGAAAAAATATATTTTATCCACAATATTCGCTGGCGTGTAAGCCGTCTAGTTAATATTTAGAGATAATCAGAGTTCATTAGTTGTAGATGAGGTGAGTTCTCATGAGACAGTTTAGAAGAAGATGCAGCAGCGAAGATATAGGAAGAGATAGAGCATATATGCCTTCAAATGCCAATAGTATAGTGATCACGGTTAGCTAGCTAGTTACATAAGTACACCATTATAAGTCCGTTGACACCAAATAACCAAATGCTGAATTTATCTTGGATATATACATCATCATGGCCCGGGAGACGGTTCAAAACTTGGAACCTCACCATGCAAGCCCATCTCCATGGCCGCCTGTTCGAGGAACTTTTCCGAATTCTCATTCTTCGGAATTTGGTTCTGTAAAAATGCTTCGAGGAAGTCGCCTAGTTCCTCCCTTTTTGTTTCTTCTGGTAGCTCATCACCTGGTTGAAGCTGTCCAGATGCGATGAGTTCCCGATATCTCTGCTTTAAATGGCTCTCCATCTGTTTCCCGGCGTGCATCAGTCGAAGGCCGCCTCTACCCTTTTCTGCCTTTTCTAAATCCGTCGCTCCTACGTGCATCTCGAGTACGATAAATTCTGGGGGCGCAAATCTGAATATCTGTCGTAATGCCCGATATGCTAAGAGGAGACCATGCTTATCGTCCAATTTGCGGAAGGAATGTAGGATATATCGTGCCAGTTGGGTGTCGATACTGCTCCCAGCAAAAATATGAGCCGATCTAACCATTTCGGCAAACAGTACCCGGGTCTTCGATCTTTCCTCAAGGAAATCTCCTAATGGTATCTGAATAAGACGGTTCACTGGCAGGGACTGCCAAAGAACCAAAAATGTCCACGAGTCTGGTTCAACTTGATATTGGTTTGTCAGATCGCGAGAGATGGACGCGACTTGCTTTCCCTGCCCATCTTGAAGGTAAGAAAATAGCAGTTGGTTTAGTATGAACGAATTGGGCGCGATTTCTGCTCTCCTAAACGCTGTCCAGAGTTCCTCCATCTTAGTATGTACCCCACGCTCTTTATAATTCTCCGCGAGTAGTGAAAACGTTTCTAGATTTGCTCTAGGCCAGCCTTCTCTAGTCTGTCGTAACCTAACGAAAGCAGCGAGATCCTTCATGTCCTTCCTAATGCCTAGGAATTGCATGCGGGCGTTGATCATAGCCCAAGCGACTGCTTCGGCCTTTTCTATATTGTCAGCTGTATGTGACCTTAACCACGCACCAATCAGGCCGTTGACAACGATGGCTTGAGGCATGATGCCTTTGGACTTCATATAGAGCAAGACATTATAAGCACCCTGCAAATCATCGGTCCCTATTAAACGCTTTAGCCATTTGCCGTAGAAGAAAGGATTAGCAACGCTAGGAGGCACTTTATGGGCTCCATGAAGATCGACGGCCTTAGATGTCATCATTTCGACGAATATATAAAACGCGAACTCCGTCTGGTTCGAAGTTAAGAAATAGGAGATGATTTGGTCATAGTCCTCGATAGTGATTGTGTCACCTAGGGCGGATCGCAGTCGCTGATATAATTCGAATCCTTTTTGGACCGTGATGGGGTTCTTGGCGCACGTCCGAATCAACGATAATAAAAATCTAGCATCCTTCTCGTGAGGAGACTCGAGGAGCCTGTTGGCAACTCGCTCGGCTCGTTCTATGTCGCCCGTTAAACAATACATCCTAAGGCCAAGCTGCCAAAATTCCACGAAAGTCTCTGATTTGGTCCCAAGGGTAGTGACCAACTTCTTATGAGCAGTAATTGCGTCTTCCTTAGGACCGGTTATAAACGAGGCCTCGATTGCAAGCAGTTGCTGTTCATCACTCAGGGCCACACCAGCCTTTTCCATATCCTTCGCTAGGGTGTGGATATGGGACATGCGATTTGGATTATTCGCATGGTCGGCGCCGAGAACCTGCCAGAGGAAGTCCCATATATCTGCGTGAACCAATTCTGGTTTCTTTGCTAAAGATATTCGCGCGGCAGAATAATATCTCCATAGCGAGTTGGTCCGCTTCTGATTTACGATCCCACCCCGAGTTTTTATACCAACAGTTCGTATCATATTATTCAATTGGGCGATGTGCTTCTGGTCTTCCGGAGTTGGCCAGTTCTTCTCAGGCAATAGAAGTGAGGGTTTGTGTGAAGCCTCATCTTGAGAGGCGGCTCGTTTTCGTAGCTTCTCAGCGCCGTGTTTTCCCCATATATCCTCAACGATCTTGGTAAATTGGGTTGCTTGTTCCAGCTGCTCCTCCATTTCCTTCAAACGTGCCTCGGCTTTACCACCCGGGTCTATCAACGACTGCCCAAATTCGTCATTGTTTTTCAGACGACGCAATTCCCCTCCCTTGCCTTGCTCAAAATAATTGACTAATACCTCATCATCTTTTCTCTTTTTCGATAGACCCAGAGCTTCGAGAGTTTTTTGACGCTCGATCTCTTGCTCGCTTTGAGATAGACGGGACTGTGGCGTTGAGGAGAGGGGCCGGGTAGCTTGCGAAGAGCGCCGGAGCGCCCATAGTGCCGTAGGGTTTCGCTTCTTTCGTAAATTGGATAAACAAGACCTACAAATAAAGCTATCGACAAGAAGGGACCTCGGGGGCATGGCTATACAATCCACTAATGTCCCATGCCGTATTCCTGTATGCGTGGGCGACAATACGCTGCTGTTGAGAGACCAGAATCTTTTCAATTAAAATTTAACGGCCGATAAGAGTGATATCACCGTTAGCGTGTTTAGCGTGACCCGAGTCCCGACCTTCCTTACTGAGCCCCACTATAACTCTAAATACCTACTTAAGCTGCATGTAGGTATACATACATAGTACATCCTTGCACGTGCAATCAGGACATTCAGACTTGTATAAACCCGCAATTTCCTCGAAATTCCTTGACATATTTCTATATTTGAATTGTCATATACGTATTACATTTAAGAGAACAAGTGAGTCTCGAATGGAGCGATCCACAAAGTAACCGGGTACTACACATGTAGTCCTATTACACGGGCATAACCTTAATTAGATACAGAAACGGCAAGGGGTTTAGCAGGGATCGACAGCGCTAGAGGACCCTGTCCGGCCTGTCAAGGGAAATCACGGTCATATCCATTTAAAAAGTGTCAAGACGCGTACAATAGTAAGTACAATACAATACTAAGGAAACTTCTACAACTATTAAATGAGAAGAACCTCATCTCACTATGGCTATCGATGAGTCCCTTAAAGAAAGTTACGAGGAGAAACAGCATCAGGTAATAATTCCTATATTAAAGCAAACTGAATCTGTACTAATAAGCAAAAGGCCGCCTATGTCTTCGACCCCTTAGAAGAGGCTGAAGGCGCAAATCGGCCTGCCAAAAGGAGAAGAGTGTCGAAGAAAGCAAGCAAACCGGATACTGAAGAGGCCGACTCCTGGCTAACTTTCCAGCCCCTTTTTGGTGGTTCTGAAGATGAACACTGTGTCCGTCTTCGCCAACTGTTATTTGAGAAGTCATGGTCCCAGATTGACGAGAGGATTCAAGTTAGTTGTTTAGTACCACTTATAACGTCCACGTCAAATGATAGTGGCTTACAACAGGGTGTAGCGCATACTCCGAATGACAAATCAGTCTACACTAGATGAAGTCACTTCGTTCTTACAGGCCACTCCGGACCATGCATCTACCGGCAAAATACCTTCCGCCTTCATTATCACCGGTCCCAACTTGGCCTCTCAGGACCTCCTATTTGAGCAACTCTCGGAATCGTTGCAACACCAAGTAGATGCGAAGGTAGTTCGACTTAGATCCGGCGACGCATCCAATTTAAAAGCCGTCTTGAAAAAGATTATACAGGGTGTCACGGCGAGGGAGACAAGTGACGAAGATGATTTAGAATTAGCCGCAGGCAAAGATGTAAGTTGAAATCTTGGATTGATTGCGAATGTTTAAATTAACCTCTTAGGGCCGCAAATATCTGAATTATGACCTTGAGGCTCTCTATGCCCACCTTAAGTCTAACCCTCGCCGCCACATCATCATTGCCTTTCAAGATAGTGAAGCTTTTGAAAGTGGTCTGTTATCGGATCTCATCTCACTCTTCAGGTTTGTGCATCCGCTTTTCTCATTTGTGTCTCAACTAAATAAACATCTAGCTCCTGGCTCGATCGAATCCCATTCGCACTACTTTTTGGAGTAGCTACATCCGTAGAGCTGTTCCAGGCGCGTCTCCTTAAGTCTACTTGTCAGTGCCTCTATGGAGACCAATTCGACGTTGAACAATCAACATCAATTATCGACAAGATTTTCAAGGCAGCCATCGCACACTCTGAGGTTCCATTGCGGCTAGGTTCTTCCTTAGTGTACAGCCTGCTGGATCGTCAACGAGATCAGGTATCGAGCATACCAGTATTCGTGAGTTCCTTAAGAGTAAGTGATATATTCACAGGGAAAATATTTGTGTATAGTATTGACGATTTCAGTACGCCTACATGTGTCACTTCTATGCAAATCCCTTGACGGTCTTCTTATCCGATAACATAGATTCCGAAATATTCCAGGAAGAACACATAGAAACAGTTCGATGCTTGCCATCTTTTCGCCGATCTGTAGAAATAGCTATTGAAAAGGGCGAAGTCAAGCAGGCCAGGTTACTTCTTGATGATGACCAACATCTACGGACACTCGTACAAAATTCACTTCAGGACTCCCGTCGGTGGTCAACAAATGTTCTGCGCAAGCTGAAGGTATTTACTGCCATCAAGAATGTGTCTACTGATTTCACGAGGCTCTACTTAGAAGCTGTTTCTCACGGGATCAACTCCGATCAAATCACCGAGTTCACAGGTTCGATAAAACGGGCGCAACCCGTCGAAACTGAAGCGTTTCTATGTCAGGTATTATACGATATCAAGAACGGCGACCCAAGTCTTGGTTTAGATCCGTGGGCCAGTGAAGTTGAGGAGTCAGTTTCACTACTCACTAACATGTTAGCCGAGGTGAAAGCCTTGCAAGCCGATGCCGAAGATCAAGGCAACGTCCTCCGGAGTAAATACAGCGGGCAAACCAAAGTATTAAGAACTACTGTGATTGCCCAGAAAGTTCAGCTCAGCCATGACACGGCGGCTCTCACGGAAGAAGATATATCCTATACCAATTTGATGGACAAGCTCGTGGGACACTTGGAAGAAATGCTGCCATGCGACAACGCAAAGGACTTGTGTTTTAGTGAACTTTGGTTCTTTGACTCCAAGGCGCCGTATAAAGATGTGTTTATCCCGCGGCCACGAGGAGTAGTCGAGCGAGCATTGTCAAGGCCCCACGACTACCTCAATTGTTCGTGCTGTGAAACAAAGGGAGACAGCGCTATTCCGTCCTTCCCGACAACCGCCGTTCTATATCAACTCTACTCTGAGACCGGTTCTCTCATCAACGTTGCCGATCTCTGGTCTGCTTATTACGCGATTGTTGGCGAGGAAAATGAAGAGGGGCTGGACGAGCGGGCCGCGCTTGTTTTGTTTTATCGTGGGCTGGCCGAAATGAGGGCGATGGGCTTTGTCAAGCAGAGCAGGAAAAAGGCAGATCACATTGCGAAACTTGCTTGGAAGGGGCTTTGAAGAAAAAGGAGCGTGCAAACTCGGGCCGTCGAAGAAGAGTCATAAAAATAGCCTTGTGTTTGTTCGGGCGTAGCCGGTGGGAGCTGACTTTGACACAATGACTGTTGTAGCTAGGACGAATCGACAGTTTGCTAACTAATTCTCATTTACCAATGGATATTTTCCAATGTCTTTGGATTATCTTAATATATGAAAGACTTCAAAAGTCTAAGACAAAAACTGCGTTTAAACCCATGACGGCGCTAGAGAACAAAGAACCGAGAATTGGGGCCACCCCGTTCAGGAACGTCGGCAACAGACAAAGAGTGTCGTTGCGATCCTCGTACCTACAAGAAGAAACGCCAGCCCGCCCTCGAAGCTGCGGGCTGACTCGCGTCCTTATTCCAGCAGCTATCGTAGTTAAGTATAGAATTTCAAGTGCTCGTTTCTCCTACCGTCCCATCCTATAAATTATATTTCATCCCATAGCTGCTGGCGGCTAGAGACAATCGTCGAAGGCCAATTAAAAAGGGGGAAAGAAAATATCATAATTAAAAGAGCGAACAAGATCGGAATCACGTACAACAGCAGCCTTCACTCATTATTATTATTATTTTATTGCTTTCTATTGGAACTGAACTCATTCATTCATTCATTCGCATTTGTTCACTCTCATCTTCTTGACTACGCAAAAAAAGAAACGCTTTAAAAGGATCCCTCCACGCAGCCGTAACCGAAGAGAAAATATCCAGCGAAAACAACACGCAAGAAATTCGAGCCAACTCCCCTCACGATACCAAAAAGGACACCAGATCAAATCTTCAAACGAAACCGACTAGTCTAGCCGCCGCAATGGAACACCAAACCCAAAACCAAAAAGAGAAAGCACCAGTACTCTCGGACCGACGCGCAGCCAAGAACGCCGCGTTCCGGGAGAAACTACGACAAATGGCTTTACCTCTCGCGCCCCTAGTCCAGCTAACGACGGGGGAGGTGCACCCGTCGTTCCCGGGCACGCTGCTGAACTTCTGGCTGCTGACGGACGCGCAGCTGGAGGAGCTCGCGCACTTCTACCACCAGCGGACGCCGTGCCGCTGGACCTTCCACTACCCGTGCCCGATCGCGTGGGCGGCGGACGCGCCGCTCGAGGAGAAGCGGCGCCGCATCGGCCGCTTCATCGGCCTGCGCGGCTGCGAGACCCCGATCCGCGTCAAGACCGAGGACGAGATCCGCGAGGAGGCCCGCCGCGCCCGGGTCGCCGAGGAGGAGGAGGTCTGGCGCAGGAAGGCGTATTGGCATCGATGAATGGATTCTTGTGTGCCGCGTCAGCGTTTTAGCGTTTTTTTTCCCCCTTACCCGTCTTTTTCGTTTGGCGCCTGCTTATCTAGTTTCCGTCAATGGGTAGGGGGGGAATGAGTTTGCGAAGGGGGAAGAAAAACAAAAGGGGAAAGGCAGGAGACAAGTAGGCTAATTAGGGGGAGATATAATTGCGTTCTTCACGTTCCCTAGACTAATATGTTTAATACAATGAGCACTTGCAAAACCCACCTTCGCTGTCCTCTCGTCTCCTGTGGAATGATTCGAGTTAATAGTGGAAAGGGGTACTTAGTCTCGGGTACCGTAACGTTAGTAGAACCCGGCCTTGCCTTGATGTAGGTTAGGATAGAGCCAAAATTCAGAGGAAGATAGAGTAGCTCTATACACTAGCAGTATGTATGTGCACCTGTCAACTATCTCCAATCCTCTATTCCGATAGCAGAGGTCAGACACATCTTATCTACTGCTTCTCTTGAACGCTCTTCTTAACACCCTCGACGAAAGCCTCCACAGCATCCCCGCCGCCTAGCGGCATCTGGCTTCCCCTTAGGTACCCTCCGTTTTGAACTTTGATCGACAGCGCATCCGCGATGCTGGGTAAACCACCGTCTCGAATCGCCATCGTCAGGCTAGCCAGACTCTGGTGGAATTGCGGGCTTCGTAAAACCTTCTCCAATAGCGCCTTCTTCTGGCCGAGGCTCATCGCCTCCTTGGCGGCTTGGATCGCTGCGGCGGTCGGTTCCGCTGTGGAGTCGCCTTGGTCGGCTTGTTGGGAAAGCACGAGGATCGAAGGGGGTAGGAAGTTGAGTAGGTTGTCTACCTGTTCCTCCGAAGCCTGTCGGGCCATCGGGACGGTGACAGGTGGTGTAAGAAGATCCGACAGAAGTGGGTACAACTTGCCGTCTCCTTGGCTTGCACCTGCACTGGCGCCTCCTTGTAACGAGTTTAGGAAGTTTCTTACTGCCGTGGCAGCATCGTTTGCGCCTCCGGCGGCACTAACATCATGTCAGCACGTGATTCACCTGCTAGATAAAGTCCAAAGCAATGAGACAGAGAAATGTATCATGTTTCGTTTGAGGCTTTCATATCTAGTAGTACTACATGGCGGCTCAGCGGGTCGAAGACCCCTAAGCACTTTGCCTGGTATTTGGGTTTGTCAAGTGTATGCAATAATCTCGTCCCAATCCTCTTCCAGAAACGCCATGAACGAATAATAAGGGATGAAACCTACGCTCGAGCTCCGTCAGCACCACCCTCTCGCGCACCCTCTCCCTCTTCCCGCACGTCGCCGCCAGTCGCGCCTGCGCCAGCACCCCCGCTTCCTCCGCGAGGATCGCTAGAGCCCTCGACGTCTTCCATAGCCTCGTCGCCATCATCCCCGCGTCGATCATCGTTATTGCTGTTGTTGATTGAAGCAAGCTCGCGCGCAACATCCACATCCTCGCCCTGCAAGAGTTTGTCGACGATCTCTCCGATCTTCAAGTCGCGAGGGCTGAACCAGCGAGGGTCCCCAGTCCTACCTTGGGGCTTCGACTGTAGATAGAATAGGTGACGTTGAGAGGAGGAGAGGAACTTGAGGATGAAGACGCGGCCGTTTGGCTTGACAGCTTGACGGGGTTGGGATTTCGGATCGTAGGGGACGAAGTGGCCATCAGTAGGGACCATTACGAGATCTAGTTCGGGTTGATTGGCGGGAGCGCTCCGTTCGCGCCAGCAGAAGTGAAACAAGTCTAAGGTATATTAACATTGTATGCCCTTGGCGAATAGAAGCAACTAGTCCTTACCATCTTCAGAATAGAGATAGATGTAACCAGGTCGCGGCGAAGCTTTGATCTTGTAAGGTCGGTCGGAGTGCTAGTGTTGCTGTCAGCGTTTGGCTCCTCAGGATCAACATCAATAACTTAGGAAGCGAAATGGGGGATATACATACATCAATCTCGCATATGCCGGCCTTGAACGTTATGATCGGTATTACAGACATATTGATCTGAATTCTCGTATTGATGAGGGAGGTATGAATGAGTTCGGATTGAATGAAGATGAAGAGATGGTGGAATGGAGAATGTAATTATGTAAAGTCTATTTTGAAGCTAGGTGCATACCGTAGGTGCAAGGCTGCAATAGCTTCGTCAAGCAATGCAAGAGCTTAAAGCTTACCTAATAGCTACGTCGGAGTAAACGGTGCGGGAAGTTACTAGCCGCACGGCAGGAGTCTGTCTGGTCATCCCTGGTGCCTTTCAACGTCCGACTTTTAGTGTTGTACCTTTGTACCTGGGCACACCGAATCTGTGGCTTGACTCACTCGGTCGCCGCAAAATTCCGCACAAACCACCCAAGCCACACTTGTGCCCCGCCCAGGTGCATTAGATTTCTCAGTGGGTGGCACCAGGGCTTCGCCTACCTAGTAAGCCCACAACTGAATTGAATCTTTTTGCGCGAAGTGGAATTTCTGAACCTCGCAATCAAGCAACATCCAACAAATCGAGGAACCTACCAGTTTCCCTTTCACCCACCACATAACCTCCCTTCTCCGACAAGCTTCACAATGTCGCAACCGACCACGCAGAAGAAGTTCGGAAAGTCCACTCGGGAGGTTCCTCACCCTTCCCAGCGGGCTCAGAAGTGGTACCCTGCCGAGGACGAGGCTAAGCCTAAGACTGTGAGTTGCAACAACAATGATAATTCAATTTGAGATCTTGGTCGATATGCGATGTTCGCGAGAGCGAGATGGACTGGGTAGTGAAGAGGAATGGAGAAAAACATTATGCGGTCGCCGCGAAAAACATACCCAATCCGAAGCCGCTATGATATTATATTCAACTTCATAACCTCCCAATTTTACAGCCGGGCTAGCACATGCACATGCACATGCATGATCACCCAGAAGAACCGCATATCTACTGATTCTCTACCATCACTCTACCTGCTTCATTTACTGACCGTTCCTCGTTCCATAGGTTCGCAAGGCTCTCCGACCCTGGGCCCCGCGAAAGTCTCTCCAGCCCGGCACCGTTCTTATCCTCCTCGCCGGCCGTTTCCGAGGCAAGCGCGTAGTCCTCCTCAAGAGCCTCGACCAGGGTGTCCTCTTAGTCACCGGCCCCTTCAAGATCAACGGCGTTCCCCTGCGACGAGTCAACGCTCGATACGTCATCGCGACCTCTTACAAGATCGACCTCAGCGGATTAGACGAGAGCAAGGTTAACGAGGTCGCACAAGCCCAGTACTTCACCCGAGACAAGGCTAAGGACAAGGCGAGCGAGGATGCTTTCTTCAAGCAGGGCGAGAAGCCTCAGGTACGATTTGTCGGAATGTGCTCGAGTTGTCGGACGTGAACTAATATGAGATGTTATAGAAGAAGGAGGTCAACACCAGCCGAGCGGCGGACCAGAAGACCATCGATCAGGCTCTGATCGCCAACATCAAGAAGGTAGATCTGCTTGCCAGCTACCTCGCGAGCTCTTTCAGCCTCCGAAAGGGCGACAAGCCTCATGAGATGAAGTGGTAGATTCCGTGGGGCCGTAAGGGGGAATGGGATTTGCTTTAGAAAATCACTTAAATGACACTGCGGACGGCGGATCGCGGAACTGGGCTGGCTCTGCCAATTGCATCTGGACGTTGAGGCATCGGTCACATTGATTCTGGCGTCTGTAATCGAGGTTCTAGTCAATAAACGACTATCAAGGCAATTTTGAAAAAGACATCGCATTGAGTGGGTGACATATACATACGTATTTACTAACATCAGCAGAAGTAAAACCGACCAGAATTCTTAGACCGTTACCTACGTTACCCAATTATATGACGATTCCTGAGGGAACTACAGGTATGAAGGTGCCTTTGGATGTCTCGGGGTTGTCATCTGAACTACTCGTATCACATTAATGTATGGATTCATGGGAATCCCTTATGGGTGTCTTTGATTCATTTCATTTCAGTTGGGCTGTGCAGGCAACCCTCCAAAGCCATATCGCTGAGTATGCAAAATGCTTAATGCTCATAACACACTCTTCTCCCAGGTCATATATCCTTTGTCGAGTCAGACATTTCGTTCGGCCCAACTTTGGATCATGCCCTCGGGGGTCGCGTCATAGTGCTTCAGCGTGACCTTGCCGGTTGCGTCGTCCAAGTATGTGTTAGCCTGGACGAATACCTTTCGAGGCTGCTTGTTCCGCAGGACCTCGTCTCTAACCTTCTTCCCCCAATATTCCGCATCAACGTCCGTCATATCAGCATAGAATTTTGTTCCGGTCTCGACATCGGCTGTGGATTTGAAGATGTGTAACTTCTGGAGATAGTTACCCACCGCTTTACGGCCTGCTGTGAGAATCTTTGATCGGTCCAGACTAATCTTGAGATCGGTAAGGTCATCTCCTTTATAGTCAAGTTTGCAAAAGTCATCACCAGCTTCCAGGAAACATTTAAGAATGGAAAACCGGGCTTGTGAATGAGCCTGGCCCCATTTTCTGCTCTTCGGATCCCACATCTCCAAGGAGGTAAGCCCAGCTCGAGCCATGGAGAGGTACGAAGCGTAGAGTACGTCTCCTGCTTCACCATCTATATCAACTGAGCCGTCGCCAAAACCGAAGATTTTCAAAACGGGGAATTCACAGCTTAGGTACATGGCAACGAGCTCTGCACGACACTCTTCGTAGGAACCAGCCCAGCTCCCGAAAACAGAACCCCACGTTTGACCAGGCTTATACCATGTGGTAATTGGCTTTCCAGTTAATGGAGAGACAGGCGGGTTCTCCTTATCAAAGTTGAACTCTCCTGGTGATGTCTCTTGTAGTAGTTTCCCACAACCGTGACCGGTGAGCTCATGTAACCCGACTTGAACTTCAAAAGCACCATCCCGGTAACGTTTATAAACTTCAAGGTCTTTCTCGGCAATGAATGGGATCTTCTCGTCTGGCGCCTTTGCGCTCATCACATTCCCCAGAGACACGTTTTTGAAGCCTTCAGTTTGCCTTATGTCATCGTAATTGGGGATGTTGATCCCGACTGGTATGCCTGAACCGGCAAAAGTCAATACTTCGAGAGACGTGAAGTCTGGGGATAAGAATTTGTCCTTCTCGAAATCCTTGCCCCACGGCAGGTGCGGGATCAGCGTGGGGGCGGCTTCTACGAGGGCACCAAAGGCTCGCGTCCGTTCGAGGTTAACAACAGCGGCAAAGCCTTCCCATTCGGCTCGAATACCGGCCGGGTCGCGGTACGTCTCAATAAATCCGACGTTGCATTCGACCATTGGGCCTAGGTCTCGAATCCAGAACCTTTGACTATCTTTGAAGGCTAATAGTGAACCTTCCTCAAAGGATTTGGCGTAGGCATTATGCATTTTCCGCTGGTTTTCGTTGTCTGCATTTTCTGCAGCCTTCTTGATACTGGATGTTGCACCAGCTAACTCCTTGGAATGATCACCGTAGACCAGTGTGATGGTTTTCCCTGCCAAAATACCATCCTCAATTTTGAAGGTAGTCTCCTTGCCAATATCACCACCTTCGGTGGGAACTGTGGTGTTTGCAGAGGCAATCCAGACTTCGAATGAACCATCCGTCTTCTTGGCGAGACGGGTATTTTCCGGAAGCAGCCCTTTCTTCTCCGTCCACGCAGAAACGGCGTCGATTTCAACCTTTGTGATATCAGGAGATCCCGGATAGTAAGTAGTCATGTGTCCCTGCTCTGGATAGCCGAGATGCAGTAGTGAAGGTTTGTCAGTAGAGAAGATCGCTCCGGAAGTGGCATCATAGAATCCCTGTGCTTCCGGCGATGTTGCCGCAAGTGCTTCAAAGGCAGATTCAGGGCCTCGCGGGATGAATTTGGCATCGCCAAAGCTCTTGTAATTGCCATTGTTTCCTAGGAACTGCGCGGCGTACTGCAAGAAATAGCCAAGCTCTTCGTCAGATATACCCGCCTTGGCCTGCAGCGCTTTCCAATCACCACCACTACTCTTGTGGAGGGCTAGTATAAAGTCGAACTGTATGCAGATAAGTATGCGATGAAACTAGACAGATAATTCGCCCCCCGACTTACTATTGGCTCAGATTCAGGTGAGATCTGTCTCGCCACGATCCTACTACCATAGAACGACGCTCTATGATCAGTTGTTAGTGTCTGACGTAATCTTGACCTCAAACGCAGCTACAAGAGTGTTCAAATAAATACCTGCTTATGAAATGAGCATATCTCTTCTGCTTATCGGATAGAGCATCGAAATGTTTTTCTATCTCGAGCCTCACAACACTCGGGGGTGCGTCAGCGAGATACTGCTTGAGTTCTTGGGCATCCATTTTAGAGGAGAGGTTTCGAATCGGGATCCGGTAAGGTGAATGACCCGAGAGTATCGAGTTGAACGGACTGAGGTGCCTTGGAGAGAACCTAGGGGCCAGCTGTTTTGATTGCTTTGTTGCTCGAGATATCGAAGGAAAGCTTCGAGTTAAGGAGGAGAATAAGGTCATTTGAAGAATTCAAGACGAGGGGGCACCTTTCCAAGAGAGGTAAAAACGAACACCACTAGGCAACTTCCCCATAACCTGCGTAGGTACCTAATTTTAGTCACAGTGTCTGCCGTTGCCGTAGCTGCAATTCTACCTCTGTTTCTGCAGGTAGGTCCAATCATCAAAAGCTTTTGCGGGCTGAAAATGGCCTGTTTGTCACTTGCTTTCATGTCCCCCGCATTTTCGAATCGGATACGCCACAACTATAGGTAAGGTTAGCCACAGAGCAACATTAGGTGTATAGGGCAGATTAGCTAATCACAACCTACCATCCCAATTGGATATTCCCTACCTAGCCGTGCATTTATAGGAATATGTCTTATTATATGATAAATCGCCCCCTATACTCTAAAGGGACGAGAAGAATATATGTTCAACTCCTCACCAAAACCGCTGTTCAAGTCTTGAACGCTTGGTGAACTCTAAATATTACCTGTAGCGCTTTAACTGATCATTCTAGTAATGCAAGCAATATTTCTCCGCAAAGGCTTCATACTCACTTACCGGGTGCTATATATGCGACGACGCTGCTGGCTCTCAATTTTTACGCAGGAAGAAGCGCAGGTTTGAGATGATATAACCATAACTGCTGACTACGAGTTATCTTCACAATGGGTATGTTCCGCAATGTAGTAAGAACTCACAGATGCTATTAGATAAACTGTCTACTTAAGTATGTATGAGGTGTCTAATAGATGAATATATGCTTAGTTGAAATACGGCTAGACACATAGTAGCACAGCGTTACCAGGTATTAGTTTAGATCGCGAACCATGCGCTGCTGTATACTATGTAAGATGCGGGTAAGGCTTGATTCTGTTACACCGGTATGAGCCTTAATCCAGTAAAACGGGCCTCATGACCTTTACCTGCATGCTGATTCCCCGGCATTTAAGCCTTCGCATCCCTCCATGTCCGGTTGGGCCGAATAGCACTTCTTACGGCTATGGTTCATCAAAGTCGCCGAATCTCTCCCTATCGTCCCACCCGGTCTCTACTTGTCTAGGTTTACATCTAGCCATGGCCCTCTTGCATTCGCAAGTGCATCAATTCTCAAGGGCAAGCAGGACTTGACGATGATGGGCAGGTATAATATCTAGTTTATTAATGCTTGTCTTGCCATCTCGCGGAAATGTTGAGGCTATTTTGGGTAGTCGGAGTGCTCCTCGGAAGTCTGGTCTGTCATACGGTGCAGGCTGCAGATGCGATGTATGAAGCTGGTCTTGGCACTGCCTGGCACTTTCACCTTGGTATTCAAAAGAAGCACTTGATCAAAAGGGGAGTGTAACGATGCATGATTGGCGAGAGGGGTGTCATTGAGCGGTGAAGGGTAGTACAGTATTCAGCTCCTACCGCTCTCCCCGTCTTCCCCGGGTCCACTAACGCCGATAGCATCACCTTGATATAACTGTGGGTGCTCATGAGCAGAAAGCGGATTGGGGATAATTTCTGTGGACACATAAGAGGGGCTCACCGGAACCAGTACCCGAACGGAGAGGAGACAGAAGCAGATGAATTCGACAAGCAGCACCAATACGAAGACCTAATAATCATTAGTGTCGGTATCAAAATATAATCTAAACGGTTTGAAAATACCACCCCTCTATGTAGGTACGCACAATAGGGAAATAGGCCGACCTTGTATAGGTAGTCCTATCTCCAGCTACAAACCTGGACAGGTAATATTGCAAACCTATTGATGATCGGTCGTCGTCACACAAACCATACATAGAATGTTGCGGTCGCTTTTATAGCATATACCACATGGTACCTAGGTAGTGTGACAGAAAACGCACCTATCGACTTGAGGTTATTGTTTGAATTGCCTGCAGACAGGTAATAGATTGCGACAGGAAAATGCCCTTTCGTCTCCCTTTCCTATTTTCAACCCTCTTTTGATTCGCCTCGACCTACTTCGAACAGAATACATGGCGTTTTCCCGTATACAGGCACTAGAATAGCGTCAAAGAGCCGGTCCAATGCGACGGCACACCCTTGGCCATGCCCTGTCCGAATTCAAGATTTTGATAGGACAAGAGTTTTCGTGGCCAATTTGTTGCTGGTTTTAACGACGACAAAGAATCGCCTTCTTCAGAGATACCTACCGATCTAGGTAATGGTAATCTCGTTATATAGTACTCGAAAAAGTCCCGGTATACTGTCGTAGCTCATCGTGTCTTCCTATTTCTTCGAGCCCGCTTCAAGCGGTTATTGTTAGATATAAGATATATTGAGAAGCTCGCTCGTGAGGCCAACTCTGAGGGTACAGCCATCAGGTACCATCGAAGAAGGAAGAGATCGGCTGTGACCCATAGATTTGTCCGTCCTTGTCCAAACCACGTTTTTCTCTCCACACTTTGCCATTCTCACATTAGGGCGGAATTGGCGTGTCGGTTAGCTCAGGCTTCGATGCTTTGTTCGATAAAATTTCCATCTGGCATCAGCCTAATGTAAAAAAAGAGTGAAATCAATTTTAAGTACGTGTGTAACTACGTACCCACCCCCACGTTACATGTTCTGTATGTATGTACATTCCCGTAATCATACTATAGGTACACGGTACAATCGAATGCATTTGTACCGAGATGGGGAGCACTTGACATGACTAGAGACTCGGTATTAAGGTCCCGAACAATTGACTAGTGTGATATTTAATAATGGCAATGACTGTAATTAGTGAAGTAAGAATGCAAGACTGGATAGTTGAAATAACATAAAACAAAAGATAAGACGAAAAATAAAGATAAAAACAAAAAGACAAAAAAAAGGAAGATTCGGAGAAGAAGAGAAAAGAGAAAGCAAGAGCGAAGTACTCCAAAAACGAGTAATCGGGGAAATTTACCTAAGTGGGCGAAGGAAAAAACCGAAAAGGGGAATTTTGCTTCTTTCTTAGTGGCTTTTACCTGATGTCGGTGTGTCGTCAACTCCTTCCCCAAATCTTATTTCCAAAAAACCGGCCCCGAACTCCAACTGTAAAAGCAAAAGATGGATGTACAATGTACCGATATCTTTTACGTTTTCTTGTCATCCCCCAAAGTTCGAATTACAACTGCTTCGAGTTCAGCCTGTTATTGAACATCTCAACAATGGCAACTCGGTCTGCTCAATGTGTTTCATCAGCTACCAAAAACAGCTTAAACCCGTTTACGGCTGTTGTGTATATATGAAGTGTTCGAGATTGTTGGCTCCTATCAGAATGCTGCCTTTCTCAGCGTCTCTTCTTCACCACTCACCACCCTTCTTTAATTCCTGGGGTGGATGAACTCTGGTTCTAGCCACACTCTTCCGCATCGTGGGTTGGGTAACCTCGAAAGAAGCCACAGATTTCCAATCCTTAGACGATGGAAATGCGTTTACGGCTCTCGAGCAAAAGTCCATGGACCGTGGACCGTGGATAGCCTCGATACCTATTCAGGTATGCAGGTAAACACGATGATGTAGCAGATCATCGATAACGAACAACAGCGGTTCGGTTTAGTGGATGCCATTTACTTGTGTTGGTTTGCCTTACATTCACCTCCCTACATCCAACTCGGCCCTATTTATCGGTTCTTGCGTTGACGATGTTGCTCCCCCACTCGAGGACTATTTTATTATTTCGATGGAGAATGGAGAAGGGGAGTATGGAGAATGTGATGGGATACCATGATACCATGGGCTGTATGGGATACATCTGGAGCATCCCTAAACCAGGCCGTCTAAGTACCTTCCTGGCCCCTTTACCCGCACCCTAAAGCACCCCTCCCTCCCTGACGTCGAGCGAGTCTGGAGCCCCAAAGAGGCCTGAGCTTTCGTGTGTGATTGGTCCATCGTCATCAGGAATTGCCTTCTTTGACGTTCTCTCGAACTTCTCTTAGCGTCTAGCCCAAACTAATCCCTGATCCCGCCCGCCTCGGGGATCTCAGGTACTAGGTAGGCTTTTTTTTCGCTGAATTTTTCTAAATTTTTTTTTCCTTGCTCATCCTAGCCGTCGTCGGCACTGTGGGTGTGGTACAGCCAGCATTTTTAGGTACTTCGTCATTCCACGTATTGTAAGCGCGAGACCTCCCAGCTACCGAGCCGCTGACGCCCACTTATAAAACCAGTGCTTCGCCGGCGCTCCTGATGGTCCACATCGATCTCCCTTAGTTCTACCATATTGCGCTGCTTTAATTCACCCCGATTTCCTGTAATTTGATTCTTCATCTTTCTATCTTTCGAAACACATAGCCAAGTTTGCTTCTTCCTAGCCTCTTCACAACCCAATTGCTCGTTGTTCGTGCACGTTGAAAGTTCTTATATACCCCTAGCTCGGCTCACCTAAGTGGCTAACCTGCCCTTAATTCCGTTTTGCGGCTCCCGTCACCGGACAATAACAACAATTCCAACTGAATCACCATCTTTTCTCACAACAATAAAAAAAAAAGGTCAGGTCTTTGACCATGTTAACCTACGACAACCCCGTTGCGGTGAATGGAAATCATTCATCTGCAGCTAGCATGGCTGCGACGATGAATACCATGGCATCGAACCCGAAGCCGATCAATGCTACGGTTGTACCGGCAACGTCCAGTAACTCTATCACGAGGGTCAACGGTCATCCAGCGCCTAAGTACCACCACATTTGGCTAGTGACTGGCCCCGCCGGTTGCGGAAAGAGCACCGTTGCTAAGCACTTATCAACGGCTTTAAACTTACCTTACATTGAGGGCGACGAGGTAAGCCTTTAGTTCATACTTTCCTCTAGCGTTTGCGCAGGCCGCTAAAGCGCAATATAGTTTCATCCGAAAGCAAACATTGAGAAGATGGGCAATGGCATACCTTTGACAGACGCCGATCGGTGGGACTGGCTTACGATTTTACGAGAGGAGTCGCTCAGACAACTTGCGTCCGGCGCCGAAGGGGTCGTGCTCACATGCTCGGCTCTCAAGCGTAAGTACCGAGACGTTATTAGGGTGGCTCCTTACTATTCGCACGACGTTGTACTTCATTTCATCTACCTCCACGCCCCGGAAGATGTCCTTCTTGAGCGTGTTGGGTTAAGACAGGGCCACTACATGGGGGCCAATATGGTTCACAGCCAGTTCTCGATCCTGGAACCGCCAACAGCAGAAGAAACGGACGTGATCAGTCTCGATGTCAGCGGACCAATAGACGTCGTTCTCAGAGAAGCCCTGGACGAGGTTCTCAAAAAGATCGACGAAACTGCATCGAGCTAGCATGAAGCCAGCATGGCAAGGGATAACACGACACGAGAAGAGATATGGACCAGTAGGCGCAATAACAAACGGGAGAGATATCACAGGGATTAGCGTTATTTCTTCACATGAGTTCAGGAGTTGGTCTTGTCATTCACTTTGGCGCAAGCATAGAAACGTTGGTATGATTGCATTACGCAAGCAGCGTGAGCTGTTGTGTGGGAGTTCTGGGAAGATATCTCATTGGTTTATAGAGAACAATATTAGATGAACTGTGCGTTCCATAAGAAGCGACCGTAGGATTCGCCGACCTGCGTTTAGGTGACTCTATCTAGTGAGCGAAAGCTACCTTATGCTGTAGCTGGGTCCGGCGAAGCAGTCATGACGACAAGGACGTCTTGTACCGTCCACATATTTTACGTTGCGCAGCACGTACATACATACATACCGACACGAGCAGTTACCCGTTTGGTTTCGTGGGATCATCCTTGCATTGCACCCAAGATCCGCCAGATGCAGCTGGGGGCATACATAGGGCGGGCAGATAGCCAACCGAGGCGGCCTATTGGGGACGAACCCCATGACTTCAGAATGCGTACATACATACATACTACATACCTACCTATTCGAAGGAAAAAGAGAAAAAAAAAGCAAAAAGGGGCAAAAGTGTCCCCGATTTCTAAGAACGTCATTAATAAGGTGTCTTAAGAAGGCACCTACATACCCTACATACGTAAGCCGTGGCCGTGAGAGACGGGATGATGGGCTTAGCACCGTTACCACATCCAGCCTCGTGCATTCGCAGACCGCATCCGGTACGTGGCTGCCTGTCTGCCCCCTTTTCGCTTCTCGCGCGTGATCTTCAGGACAAGAAAAAGAAAAAGAAATTCAAATCAAAACCCCCTTGCCTATCTACACAGCCATGAACAAGTTTCCTATTCGACGGGGCCGGCGAGGATTTTAATGCGGAGCAAAAAAGGGTTTCGAGTTTCAAGGGGGGCATGGATGCCACGATGTTATGTATGTGTAAGTGCCAAGTCCAGTCCGTCAACCTGCTTATACGCATGACGGACTGCATGTACATAGGTATCTACTCAGCACTAGAAACTTGAAATAGGCGGGAGGAGGTACTGCAGAAACGCCGTCTCTAGTATTAAAAGGGGAACACGCTATGCTCTGCTCTGCTCTATCAGGTTCGCCTTGCGAATATATGCTACTATATATGACATATCATATCTTCCAAGTCAAATCATACATGTCCTCGCATCTTCCTCTGCATGCAAATCCGGTACGCGTTACGCAGGTGGCGTTTCCAAGTGTCTCCCAACCGACGCTTATCTTGGGCATCAAGGGAATCAGGGACAAGGAGGTGAGATTATCGCAGGTGTAGGGTCATAATGTCCGGCTCCTCAACGATCTTGCGCACGACCTCGGCGGCGCGAGCCATGGTTGCGCCGTCCACGACGCGGTGATCGGCACACCAACTGAAGTTGCAGACGTGCTTCTTGACGACCTTGTCCTGATCATCGAAGGCTGGGACTGTGCGCATGCGCCCGATGCCTAGGATCGCCACCTCCTTCTCGACAATGACCGGCGAGACATACGTGCCTCCAACATTCCCTATGTTGGACACGGTTATGGTACCGCCGCTCAGATCCTGTGGAGACAGTTTCCCAGCCGTGGCTTGCGACTGCAGACGAGATAGTTCTGCAGCTATAGCAAGCACACTCTTCGCTCCTACATTTTTAATCACGGGCACCAATAGCCCCGAGGGGGTATCCATGGCGACGCCAATGTTGTGTTGACTGCGATGGACGAGTGTTGGCTTCGAGGCCTCGCCGGTTACGTCAACGCGCGCATTTAGTATTGGATACTGGTGTAAAGCCATGGAGACGCCTTTTATAATAAAAGGTAGGTAAGTTAATTTTGAAATTTCCCCCTCTCTCGCTAGTTGCGCTACGACTTTATTGAGCCGTTTTCTCAGCTCATATAATTGAGAGAAGTCAATTTCATCGGCGTAAAGGAAATGAGGTATCGTCAATGACCGAGTCATGGTCTTGAACATTTGAAGTTGTGTATTAGTGAGTTGTACTGCAGTCTCGGTTTGCTTCTCCGTCTCCGTTGGTATGCTGGGGAATAGAGTACTCTGTCCAGCAGGCTGGGCAGGGGAATCTCTCTTTTCGATAAATTTATAGATGTCTTCCTTCATAACTCTGCCATCTCTACCTGTCCCTTCAATGTCGTTTATGTCGATATTTAATTGCTTAGCCAGAAATCGAACGGCTGGAACCGCTATGGCTTTAGCTTTGTCGTTCCTCGCCGGAGGTCGTTGGGGGTTCGATTCTCGTACAGAGACCTCGGTGGCTCCATCTGCAGAGCCTCGAGTTTGTGGTGGTTGGCTTAACGAGTCCCTATTCAAAGGTTCCGAGACACCTTCTCTCGCGGGTTCAGGAGCGGTGAGTGTGTCTAATGCTTCCTGGCTTGCGCCGCCTTGTATGTCGATATCTACGAATGGCTTGCCCACCTTTGCCATCTCGCCGGCCTCGTAATACAACTTCTTCACGACGCCGGAGAACCGACTTGTGATCTCGACGGAAGCTTTATCGCTCTGGACCTCGCATAAGGGCGAGAACTCCTCGACTCGGGCGCCAGTCTCGACGAACCATTGTATTATTTCACATTCTACGATGCCTACATACAAATTAGATATGACGATATGGTACTGGGCATAGATATTCACCTTCGCCAATATCGGCTAGTAGAACTGGTTTCACCACTTGTAAATTCCTAGTCGAATGGAATCCTCTTATCATAGCGGCACGTACTTGAGATTCGGCGGTACGGCTTAGGCTTCGGCCAAGTCGCCATTGCCTTTGAAATAAGCGAGAACTACGTTGAAGAAACATTATGGTATATATAATTTCCTAAATAATGCACAAATTGCACGAATAGAATTACATGTTTAGAATAGAATTTAGAAAAAGGAAAAGGGCGATATAAGAGGAAAGAGAGGAGTAAAGTAATGCTTACCTACCTTCGCGCCTCCCGCCTTTCTCAAGTGACGCTCGATCCCCCACATTGGGCCGTCGCTATCCGGAATCCGGGGCCGCTTGTTGCCGCACCTTCGGCTTGAGCCTTGCCCCACTACCATTGGCTAACCACGCTATTGGGAACCAGAGTTCGTTCCTGCAGGTTGCCGGGAACCTTGATGAGCGATAAAGTAATAAATTTTTATAATTCGATAATTGACTTTTTTTTTAGTTCCAACCTCCACCAATTGTCGCGACATCCCGTTTAACGCCAGCCCGCCATCTTCTCACCGAATGTATTATTAGCTTTATACCATCGAACTATGTCATTTGCCCGTAGACCCAGGCTCTTATGCCTGCTTTGCCAGTCGAGAGCTTTCAGCACCTCGTACCGACTTCTAGCGGAGCAAGGTCCTGTTCCAAAGGCCGTCGCAAAAACCAATAACCAGTCGACCCAAGCGAAGACGAAGACGACGACGCCTCCGAGTTCACCTGCACCGCCTAAGGTTATTGCCCCTTCTCCCTTGGAAGATGCGCCGAGAGGATATGGGAAGCGGGTTGAAGAGTTCACGCCGAAGCCGCTGAGCCGGCCGATAGGCATGCATCTACCGCCGAAACCGGGCGAGAATACGGGCATAGACAACCGAACATTGAAACAGCGCCGCGACGACTTCGTTAATTACGAGAAACATCTTGCGCGACGAGAGGTCCTGTATGACACATCGCGCCCTTAGTTTAGCGCATATTCGAATATGTATAGTTGGGGGAGTAGAGAGCTAATGTGTGGCCGCCTTACAGGAAGAGCAAGATGGCACGCCCTTACTTCCGCGACTGGGGCAACTTGAAATTCCACAAGGGAAAGACCTTCATCGCGCCGCCGCGCATGTTTAAAGAGGACGTCTCTCTGTTCTTCCCGAACGTATACGGTCAGACTCTATTAAAGAGCGATCGCAAACCTCGCGACACCACTCCCACTTTGTACGGCAAGATCTCGGTCGTCAGTGTATTCAGCAGCGTATGGGCCGAGAATCAGGCCAAGACATTCGTAGACAAAGAGAACAACCCCATGCTCGACCATCTACTTGAGCAAAATCAGGACACGGCCCAGCGCATCTGGATTAACATCGAAGAGAACTCGCTAAAGGCGTTTCTGATAAAGATGTTTATAGGCGGCATTAGGAGCCGGATTGGCGAGCGGAATTGGCATCGGTATTTTATCGTACGAAAGGGGGTCTCGGATGAAATTCAGGAGAGCATTGGCCTCTTGAATAAGAGCGTCGGCTACGTATACCTCCTTGATCGCCAGTGTAGGATACGATGGGCCGGCAGTGGTCCCAGCGAAGATCACGAACGAGAAGGGCTGGCCCAGAGCGTCCAGCGACTTCTAAATGAAGAGAAAAAGCTGAAGGGAAGTTGAATCGGAAGCTATGTATCATTATATAGTACGATAAATTGAAACGATACCCACCTCCCTTTAGTGTGTCCAAAAGGAGGATAAATGGCTCGACGTTAACATACTCCGAACCCCCTGTCGACGAAACATGATGCCAATCGTAACGTCAATTCCTCTCTCAATGTACTGCATAAGGCTGATTCTTTAACATGTCCTCCATTCATATTATACAACACACTCTGGGATCCCATTGAAGAAAAAGAAAAAAGCACCCGAACGCCTTGCAGGACAATGATGCAAAATCGGAAAATCATGGTATTTTGTTCATCCCGCCAAAAACAGAGAAACGAGGAAGCCGATCTTCGGTAACCGCCGTCTACAAGAAGAAAAAGAAGATTACGAAACAGAAAGCGATAAAGCCGCCCATAATAAGACCATCTCGTCGCTTCCGCGCCGAAATCTTGCCGATTATGGTGTTTAGGCCGGGGACCTGACTCGCGGCCATGGTAATTCTCCTGTTGATGTTGGCTAGGGTTTCCCGCTGTACGATGAAGTTCTCGTTGGTGGCGTAAGCCTGACTGAGGACGCTGTCGACCATATTATGACTGTTGTCGATACGGTTCCGTTCGTCTAACATGTACTCGGCTTCGGCGGCTTCGGGATTGTTCGCTCGATATGTCTGAATGTCATCTCGGACATTTGAGAGTAGATTTGAACGGTTCCTTGCTTCTTGTAAGCCTGCCCGCATTCGCCCAAGATCTCTTCTGTGCTCGGCGAGCTTCTCGCGAAGGAGGGAAAGATTGTTCTGTTTCAGAGCGGATGATGTAAGGCTCGCTTCCGAGTCTAGGAGGCGTCCTAGTTGATTGACCACATTATCCCTCTTTAAATATCAGTTAGCTAAGAAGAATGACATGTTTTAATGATCGAAAGATCCTTCAAGCGGAACAGTCGTACTTTATCGAGTATCTCCTTCAACTTCGCTTCTGTTTCTCGTTCTTCCTTGGTCGGCTTCGCCGGGATATTAGCGACAGTAGAAAACTGCGAGTATGTGTGGAATAGCGTCTCCGTCTGCGCAGTAACTGGTTAGCATAGAGACTTATACTGCCGTGTATGACGATTGTTCTTGTTACCTGAGACTCTAAACTCCGAGCTTGCTGGCGCAACTGAGCCCAGCCCTGGTTCCCTGTCGGGGCAGCCATGGTCAAGCCTTATATGTAATATAATAATCAGATATAAATGCCGGCTTCCAATACCACAATCATCCCTAACGGAGTTCGGTCTGTAGGCTGCGCAATGGCTATGGTTCGATCTAGATGCCCGGATCGTATTGGGGGATATTATTTTTTGGTCTAGCGAACGAGAAATCGGTAGCTCTGAGTTGCGTATGTGATAATCGCCTCTTGTGGATCGTCGGATAGCTGAATATTAGGATCAGTCGTGTAAGTGACAGATTGATGATGACGATGCAGTTGATGATTTAGGACTGGTACAATTCGATGTTTCCGTACTTGGCATTCAGTACGTAAGGTCTGGTTAGATGACTTGGTGATTCTGATAAATGAATATCTCACTATCGAGACAAAGGAGGGTTCCATTCAACATTATGTCAGCAGAGACCCTTCCTGCAAAGCCACTCGTATATGTGTGGCTTATGAAGCACGTACCAAGTAGATACTTTCTTTCGTCTAACTGCACTAAAAAGTAGTTAATCACCTGACCAAACTTTCCAACCCACAACCCTACTGTAAGGAATTCAATTCTTTTCGCAGTCTACCAAAATTTTGGGTGGAAATTTCACGACTTCAAGAAAACATTCACCAGACACCCCGAACCCTCAACTCGTCTCAACCACCAGCAACTCTTCAAGATGGTAAGTCGAGCTCGATAATCTCAACGCGATTACAAATGCGCACACGTCGAATTAATCGAAGACAACCTGCTAATTCTTCGCTTGCAGTCGACTGCTAAGGTTAAGACCGGAGCGCTCTGGAACAAGAACAAGGATGATTTGTTGAAGACCCTGGGTGAGCTCAAGACCGAGCTGGGCCAACTTCGCATCCAGAAGGTCGTTTCCTCCGGAAGCAAACTCAACAAGATGTACGTTCGAAATATTTCGCCTCAACTCTAGCTACACATTTCCTCCCCACCTATCGCGATTCACGATCCTCTTCGAAACCCTCGCAATAACCACACGATGCGGAAAACGAAGTCACTTTTGAAACAGTTCAAGCTAATTAACTCTATCCTACAGCCACGACCTCCGAAAGTCTATCGCTCGTGTTCTCACCGTCGTTAACCTCAAGCAACGATCACAGCTACGCTTGTTCTACAAGAACAAGAAGTACCTCCCTCTTGACCTCCGACCTAAGCAGACCCGTGCTATCCGCCGACGCCTATCTCCCCAAGAGAAGTCCAAGACCCTGGAGAAGACGCGCAAGCGAACCACGCATTTCCCGCAGCGCAAATACGCTGTCAAGGTACGCTGAAAACATACTTATATGACGACTCTGAAGGGATCAAGGGCATCGAACTAACACTACGGGTGTCTACAGGCTTAAATGGGATTGGTTTGTTTGTAGCAAAGGGGACGCGCACGTAAGCGCAGACGTTTACCCCGGTTGAGGATGGGCGTCGTGGTCTTCCATAAAAGAGGAATCCTGATATTTGCATGGCATCACACGGCTTTTTCGGTTCATAGGTGTTTATGAGGTCACACTACGCAGTCAATGTCGCTGCCCAATGCAAAAAAACTTGCCTTAGGGCACTGAACACAATTTGACTGGCTATTTCGTTACGTGTGATTTGCTAAACGGGGGAACAGAAGTTGTGACTATCTACCTACGACAAGACTTGACCAGATCGGGTTCTCAAAGTACCCGGATGCGAGTAAATTCCCAAAGGCTCACCAGGTAGACGATGGATCTCAGCAGGGAAACAGACCAAACAACGGCCACATGGTTTGACGCAAGGAACGGCAACGCTAGACACCATATTTGGCCACGGTCCTCTAAAGATTCTTTAGAGATATGTCTGTTACGGCATCAGAGATGTCAACTTAATCATGAAGCACTCCAGTGGTATATTCATCATGTTAAATACCTAGATACCTCTAGAAAAAGGAGAGAGAGAGAGAGAGAGGTGCTATCTCTAATACTCCATAGGCTTTAATTTCCTTGCCCTCACTAAACCTCAGTCAAACCTCGCCCTTCTGTTCGCTCAAGGCCTTTTGGCCAGGATAATTATGCGCGATTAGCAGCTCAACTCTTCTCAACCGCCTATTCTCGTGTAATATATACCTAGGAACAGATCCCAAGTTATCCTGACGCCATGTGTTGTAAATCTATCTGGGTAGATATATAACTAAGATCACATGTCGCCTTGAGCTGACGCCCTCAGTGTACATATCGAATTACATATGGCCAAAATAATTCACTTAATTAAACGGCACTGGGATATCTTGTAAATTCAGTAGTTGTTATTCCTTTTGTTTGCCTCCATTAGGCCCCTAAATTTCATCTTATACGATAGTACTGACCCTCACCTAAGGCCTTTACTGCCAAAATCTTCAATGGCATGGTTGCGTTTTAAAACCCCCTCGCCAACAGCACGCTATCTACTGCTCTATTTGTTATGACTAAAAGAAGGATTCCATTACGCTAATCGCGTCGTTCATGTTATCCATCTCTTCACCTACTGGGCCTTGAATCAGCTTTTCTAGTTTTTCCCCTAGTCGTGGAGGGAAAAGTCCACGCAAGACCTGATGTTCTTGATACCCAACCATATAGGGTAAGGACTCCTTATATCCCGTAAACCCGGCAATTCGAACAATCTTCTACTTTGTCCTCCTGTGCTAACATCTCGTAGAATAGCATCAGAAAAGAGAATGGAACGAGGAAGTGTCCTACTGGCCAATCCTAGCCAGATATTCTAGCATGCCCTTCGGTTCGACTAGCATTTCCTGCGCTGGCCCTGTCAACGGCATTCCCTGGAATGGCGATTTTTGATAGCCTTATCCCAAAGTGCTTTAGTGTGCCTTCTTAACACTTGGACTAGGCCTGGCAACTTATCAACCTGAAGTTATACCCAGAGCCATTAGACTATAATTTGGGGTTGCTGCTCGTGTTCTAGCAGAATAGAATCCTGCGGCGTCTCCGACAATGTAGGCGAGACGGAAGATGGACCTGCCGCTGTACGGACTTTCTGTTTCCTCTTTGGCCTCTCGTGCCTCGCCTGATGCCTTCGAAGTTGGTCGATTCTTATAAATTGGCTCCCACAACCTGGCTCGTCACACTTAAACTTGAAATCAGGGTTGTGTGTCTTCCGGTGTTTTGATAAATTAGACGATTCGCAAAAACGCTTGCCACATATGTCGCATTCTAATGGTTTCTCCCCTGTATGTGTGCGTTTGTGCATTGCTACCTTAGATTAGCTCGTTGCTTAGAGTTACACTTAATGAGTGAAGACGTACTGAGGGCGCTCTTCTGCTTAAAAGCCTTGCCACAACCTTCATAGTCGCATTTGTACGGTGTCTCGCCCGTATGCGTCCTTACATGTTGGTCGAGGGCCTGTTGTGCTGAGAATCCCTCACCGCATATCTCACATTTATGGGGCTTGTCTTCTCTATCGTCAGTTTATTTCTTCAGAAAATCCGATTTGATCTGGCTTACAAGCGGTATGTGTTGCTAAATGCCGTCGCAGTTTGTTACGCGACGCAAACACTTGATCACCACGGCGTGGACAGCCCTTCCAAAGACAGAGATACTTCGTCCTATTTGATAACGAAGCAATGTGATCATTACACAAGTGCTCGTGGAGAGAATATGGGTCATTGCAAACGTGTCCGCAGATGTTCCCCTGGGTGTCTGATCCCTCAGAGGCAGTAACCCATTGACATACATGTTCGGTTATGTTGCTCGGTTGTACCAGGGAATCTTCCAGGGGAGGCGGTACTAGATCTATATCAGGGGTAGGCGAAAGCCTTGAATGGGTTTGAATGGGCAAAGAGAGCGAGCGCGCAAGATCTGTTGGTTGGTCAGCACCGACAAGCCTACAATCCAACTGCGAAAAGTCATGCTGTGGTTGATTCTGTTGCTGTTGGGTATTCGAGGCACCCGGCGCACTTAAGTCCCGTAAAGTGATAGCGACATCGTGTTCCGTGTTCGTGTGGTTGCAAGGCTGATTGTGTAAAGTCGGCGTCGTTTCTGGTTGTAGGGAGTTATGCCAACCTTGGTTTAGAGCCCACATTTCGTCCAGAGGCTGAGATGTGCCATCAAAACAATTAAGATCATCGCAGGGCGTCCCGTCGCCGGAGCAATCTTCCTCTTGGCAGAGCTGAGTAGAGCAGCACTCGCTTGAACACGAATACTTGCTGCAGTTTACGGATGCGCAATCATCAGGAATCGGGCGCTCTGATGGACCCCCTAGGTCCGAGGCGTGAAAATCATTGCCAATGAGCGATTCGCTATTAGAAGTGTGGTGCCCTGGCCTAATGTCGCGACTTAGGTTGTATTTTAACCCCATATTCGAAAAAGCGTCCGAATATAAGGGGTTAAAAGGTTGTGGAGGGAATTGAAACGCATTGTTGTCGGGTAGATGATAGGGATACGGAAACGATGGGACGGCAAACCGCGCTCTCGAAGGAAAAGGAGGCGCATAGGTATTCCGGTGTATCGCTTGGGGAGGAAAATTGCCCAAACACTTGTCGAGGCATGAATCGTCATGAGAGGTATGAACGAGTTCCAAAGATGAGGGTTCTATGGTGTCAAAAGACACTGGCGAGTAGAAGGCGTTGTCGAAATTATGATGAATGGGCCCAACAGAACTGGCGAGTCTCTCCATCGACGGCGAAGAGGTGAGGGAGGGAATGCTCCCATAGTTTGTGTCATTGGGATCGACAGAGTCGTCCATCCTGCCGTAGATAGTCATGCTGAGTGTTCCATCCAAGCATGACCCGGCTAAAGGGAGGGATTACCGGCTTTCCGCTAGTAATCTGCAGACGAGACAAGACAAGACGAGACGAGACGAGGCGCGGCTTGGAAGGCGGACGAAGTTGGAGAGGCCCAGTCTCAAGTCAGTGTATTGGCCAGTGCGTTTGACAGTTGGAAGATCTGGGGTCGGATAGATCGACTCCGATCACAAATAAAAAGTTCTAGATATAAATTGAGGCTCTTGTCGTCCGCGCTGTTTAAATGGAAAAATTTAAGAGGTAGAGAGGGTGGTGTGGGCAAAAGGCGGGATTCAGTTCTGCGGTTGAGAACCTTGATGGACCTTGGTGGTCGGTCTTGCTTGAGCAGTTATGGTACTTTCATGTAATTGTCGGGAAGTGGCCTCCTCATAACTTTTTTTTAGTTAAAGTTACCACAATCGATCATTCAAGATATCAACCTCTCACCCTTCATCAACCTCATCAACCTCGTCCCTTCTCCTTCCAACACGAACAGGCCTAGGCCTGTACTTTGTTGGTGTTGTTATCTTATGCCCTACCCTAATGTCGTTATTATGCCTAAACGTATGCTGACCAGGCGTTGGATCCCGGCGTTGCACTTTTCTTTGGCTGACGTTGTTGCTCACCAATGATCTCGCGTGGATTTGTTAGAATTGTCAATGTGGGGTTCAATTTTCCCAGGCAAGGCACAACCGTCGCGAGCAGGCAAGGTGCAAGATGGCCATCAGGGTTCTTGTCTAGAGTGGGTCTTATCCGCTATCGACATATGCAACACGTGCATACGAAACTGGAATGATGAGGGGATAATCAGGTACCTTTCGTTGTTTCCCAAAGAAATAAAAAGTTAATATGATACATCTAGATCTTTATGCACGTTTATACTATATACTATAAGAACCGTTATCAACCATAAAATATTTTAACTTTTTATGAGGCCTCCATGTCATTTCCTGACCTACATAAGAATTACACTGATATAACCAAATCTTGTGTCCTATGTCCTTTTTCTGAAGATGTGAATTATTGTACCGTGAAAATTTTATTAGACTAAGCACGCGTACTGTGTTTGTACCTCTAGCCCCCGCATGGGATTCCAGGGTCCCAAGCTTCGGTAAGAATTCTCAAGCATGCGTAATCCCAATCTATCTATCAGCTTACCTAATAGAGATCTCTTGAGCCTCAACATCAATCAGCACAGCCCACACAGCCCACAGCCCTCCCTCCCACGTCACATGGGAAGAGACGTCCATTCTGCTGCCATTCCAAACAGTAGATGCCACAGAAAACGGGCCACTTTGTCTGTTCGGACGAAACAAAGCAACGTCAAAACCCTAGTCTCACTTACCCGCTACGCAACTTAAAAAGATCCAGCGCAACAAGATTTCAAGCGAACGATCTGGAAATTAGATTGGCCTTACTTTATAAGGTATCTTGCTAGCCCGGGCACTCGCACCCACACCAAACAACGGCCCGATTATAATAGCAAGCCACAGGAAACGGAGATGGGAAACATCTGCGGCAAATCGGACAGCGACAACTTCTCCCAGCCGGGTCGCGTCCTAGGTTCCGCCCCTCCTCAGCCAGAACGCGCATCTGTCCCCGCTAAGGTCAGTGGCCCGCCTCGGACCTTGGGAGGGGCGGGAAGTACGCCGAAGCCACCGGATACTAGTAGCGACGCCGTCGAGGCTAGGAGACGAGCAGCCGAAGCTGCAGAGGTAATGCCGTCTCTACCCCGCCCCCTTTCCTCCTATGAACACCAACCATTCTAAAACCGTCGTCTACAGGCCAGAGCACAAGCTGCATCGTCTAAGAGCGCGGGGAAGCTGGGCTCGCAGTTGGCAGCGCAGAAGAAGCAGACACGCAACGACACACTCAAGGAAATCAGTAATAACGAGATACGGCAGCGAGATGCTGACGAAGCAGCACAATCACGCACTCATAATTAGCGAGAGGTTTACGAATCTGATATCTCAATTCTTAGTTACTGTTAAACATGCTTACTGCTCCCCTTTTAAAAGGAGGAATCCTTCGTTCAGGTTCGTTTGTATATGTTCTGCCTAGCCGTTCACTTCCACCGAACGCCTATATCCTTTTGTAAATAGAGAGCATTAGTTAATCCTGCCTTGCCTAAGATACTGATTTATAGTTGACTAACGCACAGAGCCTTATACCTTACGTGTCTTACGTGACTGTATATCTACCACCGATAGGAGCCCTGCTGTCTGCATCGGCTGCGGCTATGGTACCCTCCTTCAGCAAGCGAGTAAGCTCAGCCATGGCGTTGGCGACCATTAACTCTGTATCGCCCTCCACCAATACATAAAGCTTAGGCTCACCACCAGGCGGTACATCCTTCCCAGGCGGGTAGAATGTGCCTTTGTTAGTGATGGAAGTGCCGGTAGCCTCAAGAATTTTAGCCACATTAGTTCTATTAGTGACGGCCCAACGCGCTTTCTGTGGGAAGTCGTTGATCTCAAGGGTTGCGTGGAACGCGCCAGCATCTGGGCCCTTGTTATCGATTGGTTGGCCTGGTCTTAATTGGCCAGCACGACCCAGACGCGCATTAATAGCATTAATGGCAGAAGATACTTTGTCCAGGGGATTGTTGCCGCTCGCGGACGCCGGGGCATCTTCCCTTTTATGGATGGTAAATTTCGGTTCAAGATCAACCTTGGGAGGAGCAGCAGAATCGCGGGAGATGATACCTGAGGCGGCTGTTTGAATGGCCGACAGGGCTTTGTCACCTTTCTTATCCTCTCCAGATTTTTCCTCCTTCTTCTCCTCCTCTTCATCGCCCTCTGTCCTATGCGATTTCCGTTCTCTCAAGCGAGCCGCCTCCCTCTCTTGGTCAAGACGCTCCAACCCCTTTCCACCGAAGCCTGACTGGTCTTTGGCTTTGCCAGACTTAACCTTGTCCCTGAAGGCCTTGCGCATTTCATCAAGTTGTGGCGGAATTGACTGGCCGCTTTGCTCCAGAGCCTTCGCGATTCCTGGCGCGCAATTCTCCTGTTCTCCAGTAACAAAAGTGACTGCTGTTCCCTTGTTTCCGGCACGCCCAGTGCGGCCAGCACGATGCACATAATCTTCGAGATGGTTAGGGGCATCGTAATTCACGACAAGTTTTAGCTGCTTGACGTCAAGACCACGAGCTGCCACGGATGTTGCGATGAGGATGGGAATGACGCCATGTTTGAAATCTTCAATGGTCGAATCTCTGTCAATCTGATCCTTTCCGCCGTGGATTGACATGCAAGGGTAGCCTTTGCGCATCAGCTCTTTTAGTAAATCATCCGCCTTCTCCTGACGCTCCACGAACACCAGCGTTCGAGCATCTTCATCCTTGTCGTAAAGCTCGCCCAGGAGCTCAAGTAGGCGAACAAACTTCGTATTCTCTTCCCGAATCTCGACAACTTGAGTGATCTCCGGAGCAACGACGCTCCTACCTCCTACAGTGATCTCTACCGGGCTGTTCAAGACCTTCTTAGCTAGGGCGTCCATGATGCGTGGCATGGTGGCCGAGAACAGAATCGTCTGCCGATCCGGCCGCATATTGGCGAATATTTTCATCACCTGTGGTTCGAATCCCATGTCAAACATTCTGTCTGCCTCGTCAAGAACGACGTAAGTGACTCTCTTTAGATTCGTTACGCGGCCCTGATTAGCCGCCAGCAGATCGATCATGCGACCTGGAGTGCATACGACGATTTCTGCGCCCCTCTTCAATTCGGCGATATGATCTTTGATGGGTGCGCCGCCATATGCGCAAACCGCCCGTAGATTCATCGATTTTAGGAACGGTTTGCAGTCTCTGTGTATTTGGGTAGCTAACTCACGTGTAGGAGTCATAATCAGACTAATAGGACCTTCGTTCTCTTTGAGAGGTCGTTGATCCTTGATGTGTCTGAACATAGGTAACAGAAAGGCGAGGGTCTTTCCGGAGCCAGTCTTTGCAACACCGATGACATCTCGGCCAGACATGATCGCGGGAAAGGCCTGCATTTGGATCGGCGTGGGTTTTTCGTAACCCAAACTATCAACGATGTCAAGCGTCTTTCGTGATAAGGCGCATTGAGACCATTTTTGGACTGGCTTAGGTACGTCCTTACCAGATACCTTGATTCCATCCAATTCGATACGCAGGTCTGCTAATTCGGCTTCGGTCATCTCCGACAACTCAGCTGGTTCAACCCAGAAGTTCTTTCGAACGGGTTCTATGTCGACCTTGCTGTAGTCCACGGACGGAATGTCCTTCTTCTTGCGTGCTTTCGCCGCGATAGCCAAGAACGAATCGGGCTCAACGTTCTCATTTCGATAATCGTACTCGTCCTCGCTGAAGTATGCCTCGGGTTCTTGTGAATCCTTACTCTTGCTCAGACTTGTTTTGGGAGGTTTACTCGCGACAGGCTTAGTCTCAAGGTCATTCATGAAGGCGTCAAGGGGATCGACGTCGTCCTCGTCTACTTCCATAGCTTCATTCGGATGGACAGCTTGAACGACGCCATTCGTCTCAGGGGCAGATTCGTCTTCGCCGTGGTCGATTTGCATCTCCGTTCCTTGCTGGGCATTCTCCTGGGCAATACGTTCCTCTCGTCTCTCCTGGGCTGCGCGAGCGAGAGCAGCCTCTTCAGCCTCATCTCCGGCGAAGTGGTCTGCGTCATCGTCGTCATCCTCTTCATCCTGATTCTCATATGGCGTATCATCAACGTCACCAAGGGGTAAGAGGGAAGGCAGCTTAGCAAGTTTTCTGTCCGATGCATCGTCTTCATCTAGTATTAATTTCCGCTTCTGCGAAACCTTCTCGGTTTCTGCATTCTGCTTGTGGAAGCCAAACCCGCTTGTCTTAGCTCTACTTTGTGGGAGAGCAGAAACTTTAATGATCTTGTCAGTAAGACACGGAGGGATGTATTGGCAGGAAAACTCACCACGTGGAGCTTTAGCTGTTAACGGAAGACTTGCTGCGGGTGGTTGACCCGCAACGACTCCTAATTTAGGTGCAGTACTTGGAGTGTGTGTCTTCGGGGCAGATTTCTTTGCGATGGCTTTGGGGTCAAATTTACCGGCGTAGGGGGCCGCCGGGGCGGTTACTTGCGTCTCAGCAGGCGATATTGGCGCTGGGGAGGCTCCTGTGGGCGTTGAATTAGAAGGTGCAGTGTTAGCCTTTTGGTCCATTTCAGCTAAAAGCTTCCGCGTTCCACCTGGAGTTGGGTCTTTCTGTTTCTCTTTCTCCTCCTGCTTCTTCTTCCATGCTGCTAATTTTGCGAGACGTTCAGCTTTCTTGTCGGCATCAGACTGGGCGGGCGCAGGTTTTGGTTTTAATTCTGCCTGTAAATCCGAGTTAGCTTCTGTGGTAGAATGAAACGACCTGGCATAACGTACATCAGATAACTTCGCCTTTGTGTTCTCATTGGACGCCGTGCGTCGCTCGCGGCTATCACCTCGCCTACTGCGCGGATGAGAGTCAGCAGTACCTTCGCGTCGTCCTCTGCCTCGATCACGGGAGTCGTCTCGCCTAGTTCGGTGATCTCTATCACCATCACGGTCACGACTTCTACGTCGACGAAGGTCGGAGGAGCGTTCTCTCTCCCTATCTACGGGGCGATCACGCGACCGTCTACGGTCCCTTCCGCCTCGATAATGGTCATCATCTCGGCGGTCTGCGGAACGGTCACGTCGGCGAATTTCGTGGTCGCGATCCCTATCTCGGTCGCGATTTCGACGCTGCTGCGCGGTTGAGTTGTTAGACAAGTAAAAATCGCGGGAGAGATCGCGTCGTCTTACATCATGGGGGCTCCGAGAACGACTGCGACGCCTTGCGTCTCGGGCAAAGTCTCGACGATCCCGATCCCGGTACCGGTCTCGATCTCTCCTGTCATCATCTCTGCGGTGTCGTCTTGAGGATGGCTGGCTTCCTGCTGGAGTTGGTGAGCGTGAGTCTCTGAGCCGAGCCATGATTTTTTATTGTTAAGATAGTACGGCTCGGTCGCACTACAATGGTGAGAGCTACCAGAGGGCGCGAGGAAAGCTTCAATTAGACGACCAGGCTAAATCCAAAATAGAAAGATCACCTAGATAGAAGCATAGACGTTTCTTTGGACGTATAGTTCGTCTTGGGATATCGACAGATTCATCTAACCGCTGGGGATCTCCGTAGACTTCGAATGTAAGAATTGATTGATGAATGAGGTAACTTGAAAACTTACAGATGTATTTTAGCTCAAGCCTGGTAACAATCCGGCGACTCAAAAATTGAGTGTGGCTGATGCATGGGTTGAGCCTGGCACGTGGTACTTTCTGATTGTACATGTGGCTAGGTAGGTAGGTACATCGAGCTACGTAGGTACGTATAGCAGAGATAAGCTAGAATTATGCATTAACCGGGAAATTATTAGAGCTACTAAATACATTTATGAAGATATGCATGACGCCACTCGGTCACCTCCCCAGTTCGAAGTTGCCCTACCATTGGAAAATCGTTAATTTCCAAACACCTGAAGGTGGGGTAGCACAGAAGCTTGAAAAAGTGGGACCGCAAAAATATAGCAGCCGCACAATCTAAAAGCTTCCCAGTTCTCCAAACGGAATGCTTTTAATGTCGCGTGTTTGAATAAACATCGGCTTGAATTCCGGTGCTAAAGATTTTCTTCAGACGCCCCTCTTACTGTCTCGGTTGCCTCCGCGAATTGGCTCCTGGGTCTCTGATACCCTTCAATTCTACGACAAAATATTCCTGGATATCAATTGATCACTGTTAACCACCACAGCCCACCATGCTGTCTTCTATTGGACGCGCTGCCATCAGGCGCTTGACCTCAGCACCTGCCACTACGTCATCTGGTCGCATTGTAGTCTCTAACTTGTCTGCCAACTCTTTGCGATCTGGTCGCCTCTTTGTCCGAAGCTTTGCGACTCCAGGGAAACCTAAGGCTTCCACTGCCACCAAGAGTGCGGCGAAGCCAGCGGCTACAAAAGGACGTACCAAGGCCACGACTAAAGCTGGAACTACCAAGGCCTCGAAGGCCTCGAAGGCTACCAAGGGCACCAAAGCTACTAAGGCCGCCGCGTCCAAGTCCAAGTCCAAGACCAAGACCACCAAGTCCAAGTCTACCAAGTCGAAGACTGCCGCGAAAGCAAAGGGGACCAAACCTGGACCAAAGAAGCGCGTAGTGAGCCCAGAGAAGAAGATTCTCCTTGAAAGAAGAGAGCTCAGGAAGACGGCCCTATTTTCCGTGCCGAAACTACTCCCAGACAATCCCTGGACGGTATACGTAGCTGAACAGAACAAGGGGACCGTCGGTGGCTCAGACGTTTTCCGTACTAGAATGGCTACCCTCGGTGGAGAATTCAAGAACCTACCGTCCGCTAGACTTCAGGTAAGCTGTTCTACTCAATCACATCTCTATCGTACTAGATGTTCTAACTATTTCCTAGCGACTCCAAGCCACCGCTGAACAGAACAAGCTCAGCAATGCGGCAGCATACAAGGCGTGGGTGGAGAACTACACCCCTCAGGAGATCCACACTGCCAACAATGCCCGTCGACTCCTGAAGAAGAAGCACAGCTTCCCTCCCAAGTCAGGAGTGAAGCTCATTCGTGACGAGCGTCAGCCCAAGCAGCCTACTACCCCATTCAGCCTGTTCACGAAGGCAAGATGGGCCACTGGAGACTTCGCCAACAAGACCATATCCGAGAGTGCCAAGCAGATCGGCCAGGAGTGGAAGAACTTGTCCGCGGAAGAACGTCTTGTAAGACCATATCCCCGGTTTCCGTTGATATAATATATAGAAACTAACAAGTCTATAGCCATACGAAGACCTTTTCAAGGCATCCTCGGCTCAATATGCAAAGGAAGTAGGCGAGCTTTTCCATCGAAAGGTAGCCAAGAGCCCCTCACCCAAGGCTTAAGCTCACATCTCTCCTTTCACCAAAACGCGGGATGGGTAGTCGTGGACTCGGAAATCGGCGGTCTCCTTTGTAAATACGCAGGCGACGAGGGTACTTGAGAAAAAAAAGAAAAGAAAAAGAAAAGACGAGCCGGTCCGTCTCATAATTTTACGACGCCTCATGGGTATGCAAGGTTCTGTTACGTGCTTTCCGAGGTGGTTCAAGGACTTTGACGATGGTTGGCCGTTGAAAACGGAATGTACTATAATTCTCCTTGCTTAAGCAGTATTTACTCTCCGTTTCCTTATACACATACCCGTCTGGGAATGTTCCGCTGTTTAACAGGTGCGCTAGCAATGGCTATAAAGGAGGCTAGATGGGCGTCAAATAAGAGAACTCGTTTAAATGAATCGTATTGGCCATCAATTTGGTTAAGCCGGCCTAAGGGTATCTATCCTTGAAATAACATCCTAAACGCCGTTACCCAGGATTTTTGTCTCGTCACAACTCGAATCTCCAGTTATGCTATCTAGTCTCTTGTTTCCATTACAATGATCGGAATGCCGTCGCTATCAACCCAAGAGCTCCCAGTATAGAGGATCTTGCGCTGGCTAGCCAAGTATAATAGTAAGTAAACATGGGCGGTCACTAAACCCCAACAGTAAACCCGAAGCCACCGGAAATCTGAATCCCTCCTACACCATATACCCCATCCCGCAACCCCGGTTCCGACGTAGTTTGCCAGATACGCCCAGGCGTCTCGCTTGAGTTGCGAATCCCAAGCCGAACAATCCACAAGCCAATACCCACGTTCAAAGGGGCGTAGGTCTCTTTTCGTTTCTTTTGGCCTATACCGTTTCGGGATATTTAGGTCCTGGGCTAGCCTTTCTAGCCCAGGTGTGATGAAGTTGTCCGGCTCGACCTCCGTCATAGAGATAGAGGGATCTGGCGCTCGCAGCTCTAGACTGTCGTAAGTGTAGCCATGGTCACTTAGGAAGCTAACTGTTAGGACCGATGACTTCTGGTGAGAAGATGGCCTCGGACCAATGTCGCTGGCTGCTCTTAGTAGAGCTCGCGAGCTTAAAATTGAGCTTGACCCATGTCGTTTAGTTGGTGCTGGTTCGGAATCGGCTCTAGCGACAGACTGGGGGTCTGACGATGACTCCATAATGGTTTCCTCAACGATATCATCACTGGTTACCTCGTCTTGCGATTGTGAGGCCTCTTGTTGATTTTGTTGGTCTAATCCCCCACGGTGCTCTATTGCGCAGGCCCTTCTAGATAAAACCCCAAGGGAAGAAAGGGGCTTGCCTGGAGGCGTACAAGGCACAACTGAGGGTGTGCATGGCACTGAAGGGGCTGAGTATCTGTCTATAGACCTAGGATGAACGGAATTTCGAGAAGCGCCGCCACGGGAGGTACTGTTGCTGCTCCTTTGAGAAGCAGTTGGACCTGTCGACGGAGAATCAAAATGCTGAAGGTAATGCTCTAAAACTCTTGTAGGAGATGTTAAATCAGAGATGTTGATATGGTTTTCCAAGAATGAATCTTGCACTACGCTGGATGGGCTTTGCCATGGTGATTGTGCCATCGGCATCGTCATCCCTCCGCCGGTGCTCGCTGACTCATTTTCGGGAATACATCTTTGGGGGACGCGAGGTGAGCCTGCATTGTCGAGAACACTCTGAAACGAGGCTTGGAGCGATTTGAGGGTGCCAAGAGGCTCACTTGATGGTTGGCTTGAGAAGGTGTCCCTGAAGGGTTCCTGCAGAATTCCCTGACCATCTACTTTATAGTTGCCATCGTTTCCGTCTAGGCTAGAGGGAGCCTGACTAAACAGTTCAACACGGCACGCTGGCTGAAACTCCAGATAGGAGGTAGTCAGAGACCGGTACCGAGTATCATCGACTGCTCTGCTTGGAGCGCCGATATGGACTAATATTTCCACCTCTGGCTGTTGTTCCATTTATCGTCAGGGGCATATCTGCTGAGCGCCAAGGGACTTTTTAGTGAGTTGGTGAGATAGGCTATCAATGCAGGGTGACGAAGTGCAGGAAGCAACGTGTACGATATGTACGATGAGCAAAGTAGGTAGGTATTTAACCACATAGGCGTATCCAATGAAAATGATTGAAATCGTTAAAAGGGTTGCTTTGATGCAGTTAGGTAACCGGAAATGTTGTTTTAAAATTGGGGCCGGTCTTTTGCACTACCGACATGCAATGCATTGATGGTATATAGGTACTTGGGTACTTATCTAGATATCCATTCAGTTAGCCTGGATTATGTACCTGGTGGATTTAGCTAACCTCAACATGAATCTTTGGACGAATGAGGTATCAATTGCCGTGTATTGGACAATCCAACGTCTTTGTCTTTGTGATGGGTACTTATCCACTATTATGTAGTACTATATGCGTATTATATTCTTTTTGGATGACTTGGTTGGAAATGGGTACCTATTGGCAGTGAATCTGAGCGCTTCAATTGACTCTTTCACCAATATGCATCAAAGGAGTGTAATTACCTAACTAAGTACTAAGGTAGGTGACTTCGGATCAGGCATGGTTGCACGAATAGAAATTCAACGTTCCACAGTCATGGGTACCGCGCTAAAGCGATTTCCCGATAATATCACGTGAGAGACCCTACCGTGGGTCTGTTTCGTGGGGTCCCTGTGAGGTAACTGGCTGGGCTTGATCCGAAGCTAAAATTGGTACTAAAAGGTTATTAATGAGATTACAGGTATCCTGGCCTCCTACCCTAATCTTCCTTCTACCGTTATGTACTAGGCAAGTTTACCACTCCTAGTCTTTGAGAGAAGACCATTTAGGGGCATCGTTCTTCAATTCCCCCAAAATCGAGGGTTGGTTTTCGTGCGGTCGTGGTCTTATTATTGACTGGACGGACTTCTTCCAAGTCGTTATTGTTCAATTGTTTCTCTCGTCAGTTGTTGTCCGTGATTGGATGGTCGTTTAATTATTCTGTCCTCGTCCTGTCTCTCTTCGTACATAATCAGTTTCCCTCCGGACTCGAGCTAGCCCCTCGATACCTGACAAACGTCCAATAACACCAGACGTCGACACTAAAAAGACAGAGAAGGTCCCTTTCGCTACTAAACTAATTACCTGCCTACCTGCCTACTACACTAAAAAGGCTAACCTATGGATGTGCTACTTACCAATTACCTCCCAATTACCTCAACTATTACCTACTACGTACCACGTACTTAGTACGTGTAGAACACCTGCACCCGGGCGCTATATTCCCATATCCCATATCCCATATCCCATACCCATATACCGTAGCCCATTCATCCCATTATTCCACTATCCCTTTGTCCTGCATTGCATTCGATTCCTACCTGGGCGCACCCCAGTCTTCTTCCCCCCCTTCTGTTGCAGCTCCCGCTTCTTAGCTTCTGCCCCTTGAACCTGAAGGTTGCAACCTCGCCGGCAACGAGCATATCCTCGCCTCCCTATCCCTTCCGCTAATTAAGCTGATTACGGCGTCACGCACTTCATGCCGTGCCATCATATTGGATCCTCCACGATCGTTTTCCCTTCCAGCGCATTTTACATGTTCCGATATTATCCATGTTCTCGATGCCCTCGATACCCACGAAATCCTTCGACAATTAGACGCGGCCTAGCATAATCCTCGCACATCCTCGCACATCGCACATCGCACATAGTACATACATAGAAGTCCAAACCAAACATACGCCCGAAAACCAATTGTCAGCCAATATAAACAACCCACCAGAACAGGCCATCCACCACCTTCCAGCGCAGGCCCCAATTCTGTACCGAATTCGTCGCATCGTGAAAAAAATAAAAAAAATACCCACCACTTATCTTCACTAACTGCCAGCTGCAGCGGTCTCACTGCCACACTCGTTCACCACTATCACTGGATACCTGGATATAAAATTGGTCCCCGTTATTTTCCTGCGTCGCCATACCGTCCATATCTTCTTGCCTGCATAACGCCGAATAATTGTCACCTCGTTCCTGCATCCGTACCCAGTCGCACGCGTTGTTTGAGGGACGACGAGGTGAACCGTCTGATGCCAATGTCTGACGTTGGACAACGCTATCCTAATCGTAACAGCAATTGTACAATCGTCGCTTAGTTTCGTGTTTCGATCAATTCGACGACGAGCTCTATTACTGGTAATATCTATTTCTATTCGACCGGGTTGAGGTAGGGCCTCATTTTGGTCGCCATGATGGGCCCCGACTACGATGGCGGTCTGCCTGGTGACCGGATTCATGGGCATCCACCGCCGATGCCCAACGAACATAGCTACCAGCTCGATCACGACCGACCGAATTTGACGCCAAGTCCGTCTTACCCCAATGGAGCTTTTCCTCCGCCTAGTCTGCCTCCTACTTCACCAGCTCTCAGCGCTCGCAGCGACCCGAGGCCGAGTGGTGAGCGAGACCGATCTCGAGGGCGAGGCGGCAGAACAGCAAGTGGTCACATGCGTGTGTGCGCTAAGTGCGGCGAGTCCTTGACCGGCCAATTTGTACGAGCGTTAGAAGGGACCTATCATCTCGACTGTTTTAAGTGTCGAGTAAGTTGCTTCTACTACACCGGTGATAAGATATATCCCACATCTAACAAAACGTAGGACTGCGGCCAGATCGTGGCATCCAAGTTCTTCCCTGCCGACGATGAAGAGACCGGTGGGCAATATCCGCTGTGCGAGACGGATTATTTTCGACGACTCGGCCTCTTGTGCTATCAATGTGGTGGTGCTTTACGTGGGTCCTATATCACAGCTCTCGACCGCAAATACCACGTCGACCACTTCACCTGCTCGCTCTGCTCTACTGTGTTTGGAGCCCAAGACAGCTATTATGAGCACGATGGAAACGTTTACTGTCATTATCATTATTCGACACAGTTCGCTCAACGTTGCAATGGGTGCCAGACTGCCATCCTCAAACAGTTCGTCGAGATATTTCGCAATGGGCAAAATCAGCACTGGCACCCTGAGTGCTACATGATACACAAATTTTGGAACGTGCGTTTGACGCCACCCCAAGAATCAACGGAGCCTCGCCCAGAGCCCGTTGACGCAGAAAGCCGTGATCTAGTTCGCCAAGAAGAGGAAGACATGGAAAATAAGGTTTATCGAATTTGGAGCGTCTTGTCGACTTTTGAAGAATCATCAGCGGCCTGTATCTCCGATATGCTTCTTCACGTAAGCAATGGCGTATACATGGACGGAGTTTTTGTCGCCAAAAAGTTCATCATACATGTGGACATCCTATTCCGGTCTGCAGATAGACTTGACGTCACGATGAAGAGATTCGAAATGAACGGTATGAAACGGCGCACACATTACTCAAGTTGATTTGCTAATGGTTACTATAGAATTGTCCTATGCGAGAGAAGCCAAGCTTCTTTGCAAGAAAATTGTGGCGTTCTTTTCGTTGTTGTCTAAGATGCAAGACAACACTTCGCGGAAACTGGGTGTGACCCAGGAGCTCCTGTCTCTCGTGACTGGCCTTGCGCATTACTTGAAGCTCCTGATCAGAATTTGCCTTCAGGGGTCTCTCAAAGTTGAAAAGGAGCATCGTTCTACTGAAGCGCTCTACCAATTCCTCGACGATCTCAGTGTTCTCGAGTCGATTAAGACTGATAACGAATCCTTACAAGTTTCTCTAGGTATGTCCCGACTGTCTGCCAATGACTCGGATCATTGTACCCTGTGTCGGAAACCTATAGAGGACGAATGTGCTATAAGTGGCGATAAGAGGTGGCATTTGTTTTGTGTATCATGTGCACGGTGCAACAAGGCGTTGGGTAAGGGCTTGGAGCAGGCTCGCCTATACCGAGACCATAATATCTACTGCACAACTTGTGAGACCCCGGGCGATGGGCGAGGTCAGCCGCTAGAGCGAATAACGAAGCTTCAGCAGTATATCTTCCTACTTAAAGTTGCCTTAGCCAGGTTGCTAGAAATCCTTCGATCTAGCGGCGCCTTGCCTTCAGACGATCCAAACCTTACTGGATACGATTCTGCTGATGGGCGCCGCATAGCGGATGGCGGCGCCGCAGTTCCTAGGTCAGACGCCCGCTCCAAATCTGCTGGTGGTGAGAGGGAACGCCACCAGAGAGAGTCGTCCTATGAGAATACTCTCAATGATGTACGCAGACTTAGAAGCACACGTCTTGACAAACATTTATCATCCAGTCTTAGGAAGGCTCGGACTTCAAGAATCATGGACGGACCTGAAGGACGCAGCGCCCGACCGGGGTCTGCCGGTGGGGAAGGTAATTCGCAGAACAAGGTGATGCAAATCGAGGAAGATCGAGAGTTGGGTGGGGGCGGTACGACCGAGCAATACTTTGGACACCAAGATGCATTAACCTTGGACGATATTCCTCGAATCGTCGCGGCCGAGCAAGCCAGGGAGCAGCAGCAACCTAGCGCGTACAGGTCCTCGCGTCAGGAGCTGTTCCGATCTGCAACTGGTGACGCTGCCTATGGCGGTAGCAACGAGAGGAGCCACTCTACTGGCCGTGATGCGGATCATAACTTGCAGGAGGACTCGTTACCTCAAAGACACGGGACGAAGTTTTTCTCCGAACTCTCTGGATTGGAATACTTCATCGTTCGACACGTTGCAGTTCTCACAATGCAACCTATGCTAGAGCCGGAATTCACCCTTGAGGAGCTACTCGGACTCATCGAAGCAAGGAAAGCAACCTTCTGGAATAAATTCGGCAAGGCCTTCGGAAAGAACGAAACTCGTAAGGTCAATAAGAAGAAGGGTATATTTGGTGTCCCATTAGAGTTAATCGTCGAGCGGGACGGTGCCGATTCTACAGATGGCGTGGGACCAGGAGCTCTACGTATACCGGCCATCATCGAAGATACGATCACGGCGCTAAAGAATAAGGATCTTTCCGTCGAAGGTGTCTTCCGTAAGAATGGCAATATCAAGAAACTCACCGAACAAGTTGCTGCCGTCGATCGAGATGGTTGTGACGCTATCCGGTGGAACGATGAGACTCCACATCAGCTCGCTGCGCTTCTCAAACGGTATCTGCGTGAGCTACCGGATCCCCTGATGACGCAGAAGCTATATAAGGTCTGGATAGCAGCAACCAAGATCAAAGACACCGATAAAAGGCGACATTGTTTACATCTGACATGCTGCCTACTTCCACAAATCCACCGAGATACGTTAGAGGTTCTGTTCAGTTTCTTAAAATGGGTGGCTACTTTCCACCAAGTTGATGAGGACACTGGATCGAGGATGGACGTACACAATCTCGCCCGTGTTATCGCTCCGAACATACTATACACCAACGAGAAGAGCCCAAGTTTCTCGGACGAGCCTATGACGGCAGTGGCCTGTGTTGAGGAGTTGATACAATTCAACGAAGAAATGTGCATGGTACGTAGAAGCCCTTCTATGAGCTTTGAATTTTGCTGACCTATGTATACAGGTTCCTGCCGAACTTATGGATATTTTGAGCGATTCGACTTTGTTTATGAACAATGGCGAGATTACCACGAAGGAGATTTTGAAGAAAATTGAATCCCGAGCCGTGACCGGTCTCCCCAGGCAGTATGACAGCACCGAGTTTGTTAAGCAGCACGAGAGTAAGAGGCCCTTAGCGACCAGGGTCGCCACGGATCCGGCAGCATGGCAGCAAGAGAGTAGTGTACGTCCTGTGCAAGAGCCAACAATTCCGTTTACGACGCCACAAGGCACACCACCACCAAACCCGAATTGGCGGAAACCTGATAACGGGCCATCGCCTTACCCGGAGCAGTATGACAAACAGCCCGAGAATGGCCAACGCCGAGAATGGCGCAACTCTGGCTGGGGTAGACCTCCCCCAAACAACTCTGTCACGACCGGCACAGGATGATTATTCGGTCCCCATCTGGCATATATCTCTCCATGGCAGCACGCGTCTTCGACTCCTACGGAGTGGGAGGGATACCTCATCAGTATTCGCAGGCCTTGATTTTCTCTAGGAACATAGCATGAGTCGGTTGTAGCGAGACTAAACAGCATTTCGGCCGGCGTTGCGCATCACTCGATTTCCCTAAAATGGACCTTATGACTTTTGATTCGCTTTTTGACATCTTTGAGGTGGATTCACCTGGGCGAGGCGGTCTTCTGGTGTGCCTATATTCTGTTCTAGAAGCATATTTGTGTTGGGAAGGGGTGTGCCATTTCCGAGCGGTTTGGCAGCGCAGCTTGGAGTAGTGGGGGAGGTATACCTTTGCCTTCTTTCTGGCTTGGCCGAACAGGTCAAATTTATTCAAAGGACTCCGACTTGAGTTAAACAAGTCGGATTATTAAATTATTGTTGGAGCTAGGCGATGATGGTCCAGTGTGGCGTAGTAGGGACAAAGGGGGCCGCGAGAGAGATATGGTGTCTGGATGCGTCCGATTCAGATAGGCTGCGCCCCTCAGGCTTTTCATTTGTGAGGAAGTCCTAGCTACTAGTTCGAAGAGTGGTCGGCTGATACGAAGACGGCTACGCAAGTGGGTTAGCCACGAAGGACGAGCCAGATCCATCAAATCGCGATCACGACAGAAACAACAGAGAAGCATTTCAGGCCTACACTGTTCAATTGACACATCCAAATGCAATTGTGTGATCGCAGCTGGACCCCAGTGTTCATACAAAAGCCTGGTATGAAGAGTGACAGCTCCAAGGTGGTGTGATGTTGTTACCGACCCGGATACAGATATACATATACGTATTTTCTCACTTCATATAGGACCATGAATACTTAGATGAGAGATATCCAAGCAATATAATCCCCTAGAAATATGCACCAGACGATTCAACATGTTGAGCTTAAAATATTAGAATGGAAAAAAACGAAAGGTGGATGAACCTGTACCTTTGACGGGTCTAATTAATCCAATTACTATATTATTTGCCCTAGACCCAAAACCACAGCAATTTAGATATTAATTACTTCGCTGTAGAAATTTGATATTACATGTATCATGAAGCCTTGCGTCTCTTACTTATACACATTACATAATAAATCGTAAGCCCCCTTTACGACTTCTTATTCTTCTCTTGAGCCAGAGTCCACCTCACCGTCTTCTTTACACCGTCGCTGAGGCTCACTAAAGGGCGGTAGCCAAGACGACGCTTCGCCTTCGTGATATCGTAGTATCTCGTCATAGAGGCAAAGACAATCCGCTGGCGGTTGAAGGTCGGTGTCTTCCTAATTATCCCGAAGAAAACCTCGCTCAGAAATCCAAGGAGGAGGCCTGTATCCCGGCTCATAACCCACACGTGATCTGTCCCCTTCTGCGATCCGGCCTCTCGCCATATGGCACGCATCAGATCCCAAAAGTAGACTGGGCTGTCGTTCGTGATTATGAAGGCTTCTCCATCCACTTTCTCGTAGTCGAGTGGTTCGGTGGTCGACGCGTGAGTTACTAGTAGGGCGCGGGCAGCTAGCAGGTGAGCGTGGGCTACGTTCTCGACGTACGTGAAGTCGAATAAATTATCGTTTTCGCCGACTTGTACCCTATCCTTACCCTCGCGGAAAATGTTCACAGCGTGATAGACTAATTGCATGTCGCCCTCGCCAAAGATACCTGATGGTCGGATGGCTGCAGTCAGGAATTCGGACCCATTGGCGCGGTTTGCTTCTAGAACGAGCTGCTCGGCTTGCGCCTAATTTAATAATATCAGTAAAACACATACGACGCATACACAGCAGCTGAAAAAAAGCACCTTTGTCTCAGAATAGTACTCGGTTTGCAATTTGCCCCTAATCACAGGATACTCCTCGTTTGCGTTTATCAAGTCGTCCTTGTTGTTGCTCATGACACTAGCGGAGCTCGTGTATACCAACACTTTCACGCCAGTCTGCTGGCAAGCAGAGATCACTGCGCGAGTACCGTCCACATTGACCTTCTTGAACACATCGTTGGCGACGGCGCCGAGACCCTGGGCGGGCGGCGAGGCCGTGTGGATGACGACGTCGGGCTTCAGCTTCCCGAAGACCTTGAGAAGGCCGTCGGTATCGGTGATGTCGGCCTCGACATACTCGACGCCGTCGGAGTCTGGCCTCCGGTTGCGCTGGCACTTGAGGTCGACGACAGAAACGGTACTGGTCCAGTCGCGCAGGAGCAGGTTCACGACGTGGTGGCCGAGAAAACCACAACCGCCGATGACGAGGACCCTGCCGAGCAGGGGCTGCGTTACAGTCTCGGGCATGGTGTATTGGCGATTTTGTCTGTTTCGATGTTTGGTTGCCGACTTGAACCTTAAACGAACGTGGAAGGGCTAGCGTCTGGGTTAAGCAGGTTGCAGTTTGGAACCCTTCACCGCCTGGCAGTATGCTGGGTACGGGAGCTTGAGCGATGGCCGATTTCTCGGCACCCTAGAAGCCCGAATTGTTGAAGATCCTAGAGAGAAAAGGGTAAATTGGGTGTGGGGCGTTCCTGGTTCCCTCCTGATGAAGGGCAAGGGGGAAACTTTAGGAGAGGTATCCATTACGATAGGTTCCTAGGTCATACAGTGCTTATACCGTATCTAGTTAGGTGCCTTAGGCAGGTAGTGCCTTACCTACTAAGTACCCTTTTAGTGCGTGCCCCCAGATAACATTCTTACATCACTGGGCATTTCATGTTGTCACAATGCCCTAGAAATCTTAGATGTATGGAGTTTATATGTGAACGGCAGCCACAAAGATTAAGTATATGTGTAGTCTGACGTAATAAGATAAATGTAGGTACGCTCTGGTGCTCGTTTATGTATATAGCAGCCTCAGAATATGTATAAAGTACGTACATGTATGCCTGACCATGTGCACATGTGCATTCTCAACTTCGAATTGTGCAAAGGTACATCCAGTCAGCCCCGCGGCGCCAACGCCTTCCTCTAGACTTTAGTAGACCCCGCCTTCTTCTGCTGCCTTGGGGATGCTCCCCACTTGCCCGCATGCACCTCAGAGCTGCTGCAAGTGCTACGGTAAGTATTTCCTACCGACCTTATTACCTTTACAGTACATACTTCTTCCTTCAACGATTGTAACCCAAAATCTATCAGACGCGCCGAAAACCTTCTATACCAAATCTTACCCACCAACATCCAAACCCTTCAGATCCGTCAAGTAACCGTCTACTCTATTAAGTCGACAAGTTAACATCAAGCGCCGACCTATGATAGCTGGTAGAAGCTATGGCGGACCAGTCCATTATCCGCATCACCAAGGTACGCTCCGGCGTTGTAAGGTCTTGGAGGGGCAGCGAGGCTGACGAGTTCTTCGCACCTCATAGGAAATCGGTGAATTACAGAAGAGTTCCGACCTTTGTATGTGGAATACCCTCTCCCATATGTCCATTATAGTCTACCACTAATGCTTTTCAACCATCTCTGCAGCACTCGCTGTTGCCTTTCGCGATCGGGACGTTCGTAACGTGAAGGCTTTGATTATCGGTCCCCACGAGACTCCCTACGAGTTTGGTTTCTTTGAGGTTTGTCCTCCCCTAAGAGCACCAGGTCGTCTTCTATTGTTGTATACACTAACATGATCTAGTTTGTGGTTAAATTCAACAGAGGTTAGCTATTAGTGATAACGCCTCCCGACCAATTACGGATATCTAACCAGTTGCAACGTTTGTTCAGAGTACCCACGCAAGTCACCAGCCGTCACGGGAACAACCACCAACAGTGGACGTTGTCGATTCAACCCCAATATCTATGCCTCCGGGAAAGTCTGTCTGTAAGCAAAGCGGGTCTTATCTAGAATCACGCCGAGCTCTCTATTAACCTAGCCTCTAGGTCAATCCTTGGGTATATACATTTCCCTAACATCTACTCATCGTTGTTCAACCTAACATGATCCTAGAACATGGCGTGGAGAACGAGGAGAGGAGTGGTCCCCTGCTCAGGGTCTGGAGTCTATCTTGGTCTCGATACAAAGCCTAATGTCGTCAAACCCTTACGAGAACGAGCCTGGTTTCGAGGACGCAAATGAGTCGCACGATAAGAAGAACCAGAAGGAGTACATCGCGAAGGTAATTCATGTCATGAAGTATCTATCCTTACCTGTATAAGATAAGCTTACAAGTTATGCTTCAGATCCGTCACGAGACGTTACGCATTTCCATCATACAAAGACTAGAAGACTACCTAGGAATTACTGGCAGCAGCATCGCATCGCCTATCCCACCCGAAGGAGAAGAGTACGAACTTGACATGGACGATGATATTGAGATCGACGATGCGAGTGTTCCCTGGGAGCCGTTCAAGGATCTTTGCAAGCATCGCTTCCTCTGGTATTACGACTCGTACTTAGAGACCATCAAGAAGGCGAAGGAGGAGGTCAAGGACGGTCAGCCTTTCGTGCGCATGCCCTTTGAAGGGGCTTCTAATACTATGGATGGAAAGTTCAATTACACCGAACTCGAGCAAAGACTGCGCCGCATCAAGGCAGTTCTAGATGGTGAGCCGGAGAAATGGGCAGTGGAGGGCATGTCCTCTAAAATGAGGGATAGCACGGTTGCGGTCAACCTTGCGCGGCAATTCGACCAGATCAAGGAATCCTACAAACGTTGCGAAGCCCCTCATAGTGTGGAGTTGGTAGATGGAAATCCATTTGTATGGAATTTCACCTACTTTGGACGACCTATGACGAATCTGGACGGAGGCATGTTCCGCATCAGAATTAACTTCAGTCCCCGGTTCCCTGAGGAACAACCTAGAGTCAAATTCTTGACACCGATGTTCCATCATCGGATCGCGGTGGATGGTACGACGTGCTACTTTCCTAATCCCACTCGCCGAGAAGACGTCAAACAACATCTCGAAGCAATCATCGAGGCCCTGGAAGAAGAACAACCCCCTTACGACCCGCGAACCCTAGTCAACCTGGAAGCCCACAAGCTATATTGGGGCGGCGCGGAGGGACGAAAATTGTACAACAGGCAGCTACGTAGATCTGTACAAAGAAGTCTGGAGGAGATGTGATATCCACGGATAGACAATGGTTTACAAATACGGATCGCTGAGCCAGATAGTTTGCAATGGGCTCCTCTAATTATTTCAGATGGATTACTAACGTCGGTTGAGCATGGTCTGGTGTATTTAAGGAAGTTTCTGCAACCACGTCTCTTCTTCGGCCGTACAGGTAGGAACGTGGGCGACGATTGGTCAACGATGGTGTTTCTTAGGGCATAAGATTCGGTGCACCATCGAGATCGATGGGATCTAGACTAGGATTGATACCTCATTTGCTTTCAGGGGCCAGAGAGCCACACCGTATGTTATAGGTACAAACACGATACTTTACGCAAAGCATGAGCATTCTCGATCAAATGTGATGAAAGGCTTGATAATGATATATTGAAAGTTTTGATATGGCCTATAGCTGGATTTACAACGTGATGCACGGCTACATGGACTATTTCTGCAAATAGCTTTGGAAAAGGCCACTTAAGATGTATGGGTATTGATATATGCTTATTATAATAGTCACAAAACATCCAAACCGCCGAGCCCCAACTCCTCTCCTTATAAGACAAACTCCAATAAACAGGAGGCGTCACCTATAAGACGCATAATAATATAAGATGCATGCTCAGTCGTTATCCGTTACTTCATCACAAGACGACCCCGTTTCCATCACAGGAGTCGTCTTTCACACCACCTCCTAACACCACGCACCGGAACTCATCACTGAGGTGCCCGGTGGCCGGATAACACCTCCTCGCCTTACCTCCTCGGGCCCTTGGATCTACGATCGATCCGGTCCTTGCCCGGGGCGTACGGCGCCGCGATCCCGACGAGCCGCTCCTGCTTTCCCGTGGCGGCGCCGAACTCGTAGCGCCCGTCCGCGGCGACGACGGCGGGGACGCCCTGGGTCGGCCGCGAGACCTGCTCCGCGTGCAGCTTGTCGAGCGACTCGCCGACGACGGCGTACTGCGACCAGTTGATCGGCGGGCACCGCACGATGTTCTGCGGCTTGGGAAGCCGCGCCCAGGGGCTCGGCTGCGGTTTCGTTCGCCGCGACGTCGCGGCTGTGCTGGAGGAGGTGGAGGGTTCGGGCTTGACGCCCGAGTCCGGTTTGATATGAGGGTTGGCGGACGTGTCTGGTTGGTTACTCGAAGCGCCGCTGGGAGCGTGTTGGCCGCCGGCGGCAGAAGCGCTCGCCTTCTCATCCGCGTCCGCGTCCGCGCCATCCATATCCTCGTCAGAATCCTCATCCGAGTCGCTATCCGAGCTCGCCGGCCCTTCTCCTCCTCCTTCTCCTCCTGCCCCTTCCATACCGACGCGGCCCTCGGTCAGGTCGCGGACGAAGGCGCGCGGGTCGGCGAGGGCGGCGGCCTTGACGCGCGAGAGCGCGGCCATGTCGGCCTCGGCCTTGCGGCGCTGCAGCTGCAGCACCGAGATGGCGGACTTGAGGGCCAGCACGTCCGGGTTCGCGTCGAAGTCGATGGGCTCGGGCGCGGGCGGCGCGACGCCGGTCGTCTGCGGCCGCTGCGCGGAGTGCGTGTAGGCGGGTCGCGGCGGGAGCGCGATCGGGTTCAGGGGCGGCGTGATGGGGCTGTAGGGCGGTCGCTGGGGGGAGGAGGGGCGTGCGGGGGTGTGCGCGCTTGGGTTTGTGTTTGTGTTCGTGTTTGGATTCGGGTTTGGGTTTGTGGGAGCGCTCGTTGTTACGGCGGATGTGGCTGGAGTTGTGGTATTAGTTGTTGAGGATGCGGCGACGGATTGGCTGGTCAGAGGCGCGGGCGGGTATATGGGCGTCCTGGAGACGGCAGCACCTTCGGTGTTGAGAGTGAGGCCCGGCATGGCTGCGGCGGCGAGGTTCGGAGGCGTGACTGCGGGTGAAGAGTTGCGGTTGCGCTGCTTTGTTCTTTGCCACGTAGCGGCTTCGCGGTACTAAGTATACGGAGACTCGAAGAATGCGGATACAAAAGCCCGTACTTCCAAATGCGGGTAACAGTATAGCGTCGACGAGGAAATGGTGGACTGCCTAGTCTATCGTTGAAACTAGGGTGATTGTTGTATGGATGTATGAATTGAAGGCGCATAAGCTCCTCGGCGAATCGTGGCGACTTTCGATGGAAGGTCCAATCCGGGGATCGAGTGGGGCTGTGGCTACATGAGGCGGGGAGGGAAGAGCCAATAAGGACGCGAAAATAAACAAACGCAGCAAGGGACTTCACTTGCAAGGCTTTCTTGTCTGTGCGCAGCTGCAGCCGCAAAAAGCAGTAGCGAGATCCGGGGCCCCCCCTGTTAGAAATATCCCTGCGAGCAGATCTTGGAAGTCTGAAGACCCTGCAACTGACATCTCATACGCAGCCATCTAATAATATGTCCTCAAGAAGCGAACTCCTTAGAAGCCACAGCATTACCAATGCCATGTGTAAGTATATGGATAGTGTTCAGTTTTAGTCTTCTTTTTCGTTTACTTCTAGGTATGAATGATTCTAGACTACCAGAAGGAGAGACGTAATCCGAAATACCCGCTTAAAGTTGCTTGGTATAGTCGTTTCCAGTACATACCAAGTAGAGGTAGGGTCTCCGTCTACACCGAAAGCACCCAACAGGAGGTAGGTAGGTTTTGAAACATTAAGCTGAGGTAAGAATGGCAAGTTCAACAACTAATGGGAACCGTTACCAAACTATATTTGATAGCGTGCTTACCATAAGTTCAGCGCATATTTTAGTCCAGAAGGCAACTTCGAGTCTCAAGAACATTGAAGCGGCCATGTAACAGCATTCGCTTATTGTATCACTACATCCTCTCATATCTCACAATTTCTACTCTTCCCTCTTGTAATTAAAAAACCTCGCTCCCGAACAACCAATCCAATTTGAAAGATGATTCCTCTTTTTGTTAGACCTTGTTGAGCCTCTTATAGTCGTGTCACGTCTTCTGGAATCGAGACAAGATTGCCTGTCAGACGCGTCAGACATTGTTTGAAGTATCAAGATTCTAGCCTCACCAGATCTGAGTCGGCCGTTTCACGGGCTGCCACGTTTTTCTGTATTTGTCGTACAGAATCGTAGCTGAATCCATCACGAGAAAGGTCATACATATTGTACCCTGTTTATCTTCTATTAGAGTGAGACCTAGTTCTCTAGCACAGCTCGACTAAAGACCTACCGTCGTCAATCCTACCTAGATAGAAACCTGAGGAACCCTTTTCTATTCTATCCCCTTGTTGACTAACTTCATTTATGTCAGCTCGTATGTAAAGCTCAACGGATAGCTATCCGTATTCGAAAGGCTCGTCCAATTTTGCACCTTACCTTTTCAACGTACAATGGTAGGGTTTGTTGAACGCCTTCGAAAGCCTAAGCCACCAATCGCTCCTGGGTCACCCTCCAAAGACCACATATTACCATCACAACAACCGACTACGCCACAATATCCCAGGCCACCCGTTCTTAGGAACTTCTCCTACCCAATTAACATAGGGAACACGGAACAATTGCAGTATCCGTCGGCCCCCTCAACCGGACAAACAGCTTGGGATCGGCTTGGCGAGATTTGCAGCTTTTCTCCTGATAGTGTATCACGAACGGGGAAGGTTAGGACGCCCACTTTGGATGATCCCTTTTTCTTCAAGTCTGGGTCGGAGCCGTATAGTCGACTGGACGACGAAGAAGGGTATAGTTTTGGGATTAGCGTCTCTCCTGAGCAGCTCATTGAGCGAGAGTCGCCATCTCAAGAAGAGCCCAAATCACGAAAGAAGCAACGCAGAAGCACTCTGCTGGGCTTAACCTCGTCTGAAGCTCTGAATTCTTCACGACTCTAGAAAAGTACCGAGAAGAATGCGCTGAAAGATAAGGCATCAAAATCGTCCAAGAGTCAATCTTTAGGTGACCGCATTTTTACCCCAAATTCCATTGTTACCTCTCGCCTCAAGCGTAACTCGCTGGGCCAGCATAAGGCAGCTGTATCGTTGGACGCATCTCGTCTCATGGTCTTACCTTCTGGTAGCCCTGATCGACCTGCATCCAGTTCAGGAGTCCCTCTCATTGATACGAGACTCAGATCGCCGAGCCCGACCTTAGCGCCCGAACCTTCACCACTATTACTCCCACGGGAAAATACCATTGACTTTTCGGCCGACCCCGAAGAAGAATCGCTGATATTGCAAACCACTGTATCGATGAGGTCCCTCGAGATGGGTCTGGGTCGTCATGGGAAAACCTCACACAGTTACGCTGAATCAACCCGCAATGCTCTGGAAGATGGTAGCAGTCGAAAGAGCAACCACGCGGTAATCGACTCTGCAAAACATAAAAGGGGTGATGGGATACCCCGCTGGTTGTCTCAGATCAAGGGCTGGGTTTCTGTTTCGGAGCCGTCGGCTCAGGCTTTGAAACAATACAAGAAAGAGACGTATGAGAAGGCTCACATAGCTTTTGATGACCCCCAAGCAAACGCAAAGCTTCACTTACCAATTGGGACATTGCCCCAAGATGCTATAAAACCGGCCGGTCGAGGACCTGATCCGGAGGAAATTGTTATGAAGCAAGCAGAGCAACGAAAGAAAATGAGGCTTTCCGGCAGTCGGATGGGCAGCACTTCTCAGGGCTCTAGGTCGAGTATTAGTCGCTACTCGTCTTCTAGCAGCACCGTATTTAGTGGTGGAAAGGAGAATGTTTCGCCATAACCGGAGTAGGACGGCACATACATGGCGTACACGATATCCTATCGCAATCCGATCATCGTTGGAATTTATAACTTAACGTAATTTTAATTGCGATTTTTGTCAATCTGCAAAACCCCAGCTAGGAACTCTTAGCAAAGAGCTTCGCGTTTGTTACCCTACCTAGCAGCTAGATATAATCTTGGTAGAAGGAATGCAACAAATTTAACTAATAGACCAAATAGACGATTCTTATGAAAACTCGAGGGAAATATTCATTTGATATTTGCTGATTTCTTGGAGAGGGATTCATCTCATACATGGTAGCGAATCATCGAGATCTAGGATGAGGGGAATTGGAGAATTTGGAGAAGTCCCCACCCTTAACCCCAACGAGTTCCTACTCAATTAGCCAACGATGCTAGATGTAAAGAGAAACAAGACTTCGCAGTATTTCTTAAAGACAGGTGACTGGGACTGTTGGGGCTAATGTTTAAGTAGAGCCCGGTGCTATATTGAGTTTCTTGGCTCAAGTACTTCTGCGCCCACGACGCGAATTTCCAGCTAAGATCGAGCTTTATGCGGGGTCAACCTACCTAGGTCGAGAGCTAGTAGAACCAATAGTCAATGACGTAGGGCTCCTTCGGTGTGGTTCGACTAGCCGGGGCAAATTCTCCTGGTGTCACGAGCGGAAACATAGCTAGGCACTTAGATAAATATAAGTTCGTTGGAGATAAGTAAAGCTTAACACGCTCTTTATTTCTCTTGATATTATCATAGCTATCACTTTCACTTGCGTACACTTACATACACAGCCCACAGTCCAATTGGTATACACGTATTCGTGATACGCCACCGAGAGAAGATATTCAGGATGAACAAGCTCTGGAAATCAGGGCCTGAGACACATGATGATAGCCCGCGAGATTCCCTAGACCGGGAGGGACAGGACAGAGAAGATGCGGCAAATGAGCATACTCGTCTATTGCCGAACCGGGTCGAGAGCGCGAATTACTTAAGTCCAGATGACCCAGCAGTAAGTGTTTTCACTATTTCACTAACAGTCGAATTCGTGGTCCGTACTCATATAAACGGTTAGGTTTCGCCGTATAATCTTTGGAGTGTGCGAATCGTTAGATACATTACTATCCTCTTCACGATACTCACCTTCGTATGGTGGACTATATTGCTAGTCTCGACTTTCGTTACACCCCCAAAATTCCACACACGAGGATCAGGCTTCTTCGCCTTTAGCTATGCTAGTTTGGCGCTCGCAAACCTACTTTTTACACTCATATTCTTCGCCATCCCCTCAAAGGCGGTTCGGATACTGAGTGTTGTCACGGGTGGCCTATTGTTAGCGGATGCTATCTTGTTGATCTCTGTGGAGAAGACAAGGCACGAAGAAGGCTGGGTGGGAATGGTCAGCGTCTTATGTGAGTTGGTATAGTAGACATAAATGACCATCGCAAAGACTAACGATACCGTCCAGGGGCATTTTTAATGGGCGTATGGACTTTACTTACCGATCGTCTAGTTGCATGGGGAAAGTCTGAGGAGGAAGAACGGCTCACCGGCCGAGCTGAGACACGCCGCACACTGGGCGAGTGGACTGCTGTCTTGATTTCTACCATCTTCATGGTACTTCTTACTCTCGCTATTTTGCTGACATTCTGTACGTTGATTCTTCGTGCCCTCGATGCCGGGTTGGCGCCTCCAGGCAAACTGTACTGGGTAGATGGAGACAAGTACACCATCCACGTCTATTGTCATGGGAACCATACAAATTCGAAGGGAACGAGACTACCTACAGTATTGTTTGAGGGCGGAGAAGGTACCGTGGAGGATGGTTTGTGGCAGTTTGCCAATATTGCTGTTAAAAACGGATCGATTAGTCGATACTGCTTCGTTGATCGCCCCGGATTTGCTTGGGTAAGTCAGGCTGGATTGATATTGGAATACATCTGCTAATGCGTGTCATAGAGTGATACTGCACCGTCTCCTCTATCTGCTGGGATGGCGGTAGAGGCTGTCAGCGAAGCATTGACAAGGGCTGGAGAAGCTGGCCCATGGGGTAAATTTGCCCTTACAACCTCGCTTAAGGAGTATAATTAACAAATTCAATAGTTCTTGCGAGTGCTGGCATTGGCTCTATTTATTCACGAATTCTCTCTGCCCGCTATAGTACAGACGTAAAAGGGCTTCTTCTCATTGACCCGCTTCATGAGGATTACCTGGATGATGTTGGCTCACCAGGACGAGGTTTCTTGCTTTGGGTTCGCGGTATCATCTCGCCCCTTGGCCTCGATCGTATTCCAGGTGCTCTCTTTCATGGACGAACTAAAGAAGATCGAGTGTGGGGGCAATCCGCATACCAGACAGGGAAGTTCTTGTTCGCGAAGTTGCAAGAGAACCTGGTAGCCGATACATTGTCGAAGCGGGACCTAGCCAGCAGCACTGCTATTCAGAACCCAGATGTCCCGCTGAACTTAATCAGTTCCGGAGTCAAGATTCGGGAAGACAGTGGGTGGGAGGACAAGCAAAGGGAAATTAGCCATCTCACACGCAAGTTACAGCATTGGGACATCGTTAACGAGGCGCCGCATCAAGTCTGGGACACATATGAAGGGCGCGATATCATCGAAAAGAGGCTCCGACAGCTGGTTCATGCTGCATAAATTGGCACAAAAGTCTGCTAAAATTTAATGTATTCCTTTCAAACTTGTCCTTATGAAGAGCGTAGCGCATTTCTTTCTTTTTCCTTTTCCTAAGAAGCCGAAGGCTTCTGGATGAGATAACAATTCAAATACGATGACGGAGGTCCGATATTATATTCCTTAAAAGCGACGTTAATTATTAATCTAACCGATATATGTACCTAAGTGTTATTCGATAAATGCATTACATAATACGTACCTACACTACTTATCAACACCGCCTTCCCGTTTCGGTTTTAATTGGCGGCAAAATTAAGTTAAGTGCATACAAATGGGAAGCGCGTTCTTCACGCGTTGGTGGAGGTTCCACATATTTTATGATAACTGCCCGCTTAGCTGACTTAAACGTTCAATTAGCATATGACATTCATGACGCCTTAACATAACTAATACGACTCGCTGTTCAGTCCGGTGACCAATTTCGCCTTATACCTCTGGATTATCGAGTCATAATCTGTGTCCAGTCATGGCGAGCTTCTTCGATCTCAAGGCGCGCAAGGCGGCGGCGGCAAACGGCGCATCAACGTCGAAAGGAGAAGAGTCGAAGCAGAACACCAGAAAGCAGCCATGGGTAGAAAAATAGTATGTGGTCTTTACTGGTTGGAGACATATACCAAACAGAATCTGAAATTTAAGGAATACTGCTAACTCGTCATTAAAGTCGACCGAAGACCCTTAGTGATGTCACCGCTCAAGATCATACTGTGAACGTCCTTCAACGGACACTTCAAGCTTCTAATGTAAGTTGATTTGTGGAATCAAATCGAATATGTTATATTATACTCTAGGTACTTATAGACGACCAATCTAGCTGCCTCACATGCTCTTCTACGGCCCCCCTGGTACGGGCAAAACCTCCACGATCCTCGCCCTCGCCAAGGAACTATATGGCCCGGAGATGATAAAATCGCGGGTACTCGAACTAAACGCCTCCGATGAGCGTGGTATATCTATCGTACGAGAGAAAGTGAAGGATTTTGCACGAATGCAATTAACAAACCCGCCTGCTGGGTATAGGGCCCGTTACCCATGCCCCCCTTTCAAGATCATCATCCTCGACGAGGCCGATAGTATGACACAAGATGCCCAGAGCGCCCTCAGACGAACAATGGAGACATATAGTAAGATTACTCGATTCTGCCTGATCTGCAACTACGTCACTAGAATCATCGATCCTCTAGCGAGTAGGTGTAGCAAATTTAGGTTCAAGAGCTTAGATCAAGGGAATGCGAAGAAGCGTTTGGAAGATATTGCTGGCAAAGAGGGCGTTACGCTTCAGGATGGCGCTGTCGACGCGCTTATAAAGTGTAGCGAGGGTGATCTGCGAAAGGCTATTACTTTCTTACAGAGTGGAGCAAGGTTAGTTGGTGCCATTGAGAAAGAGGACGATGGAGATACGATGGATGTGGACGATGACGCCAAGGTTGTCACTGTAAAAATAGTGGAAGAAATTGCTGGTGTTATTCCAGACGACACCATCGAGAAATTGCAGAAAGCAATACAACCCAAGTCCGGTGGCGCGACATTCCCAGCCATCGCGAAGCTCGTCGAAGATATGGTCGCGGATGGGTGGAGTGCTGGTCAGGTCCTTACCCAGGTGAGCTTCTGATGACTATTCCAGAAATTTCTCAACGAGCTAACGAACTCTCGCAGTTATATCAAGCAGTTATCCAGGATGAGATCATTCCTGATGCAGCCAAGAACAAAATAACCCTTGTCTTCTCGGAGGTTGACAAGAGATTGGTAGATGGCGCCGATGAGCATCTCTCAATACTAGATCTAGCTTTGAGAATATCGAACATACTGGCCGGGAAAGGTCAATGATTCATCCGAGGCATGATAAACTCGAAATACACCTGGACGGGGATGTAATACGTTATATGACAAAATGTCATAGCCACGGCGTTCGGTTGGCAAAATGCGGATGTGCTGCATTATGGAGATCATTAGGGCCGTTATTAGGTCATATTGAAATGAAGGGTTACTAGTACTCGAGAGGCAAAGCCGAAACATATGTTAGCTATAGCAAAATGACTACAGCCCTTTACTCGTTGATCAACCCCAAATTGCCATCTAATTTTGCGTAGATGCTCTCTCCTTTTTGTTTTTCTGCCTTCTTCTCCCTGTTCCTCCTAACGCGTGTTCCGCCATTTTCGTCGTCTCCTACCCACATATCACGTTCGGCATTCTCCGGCTCCCCGTGAGGCTCCTCTGGCTCGGCTTCTCCCTTGTTCAGGAGTTTTCGAACTTGGTCTAGGGCCTCCATAGCATCTTCAGCTGCCACCTGGCCCTCCTCGACCTTTTCGAAGACAGCTTCAAGCATGGCAATCTGGGCGGAGTTTGCGGCCGAAATCCAGGGTTCGACCTGGCTCGTCACGTTGGATTTGCTGACCCCTTTAGTAGCTTCGCCAAAGCTCAATTGCTTGTTACATGTGTTGGCTGGGAACTTTTGAAGTAGATGGCTTTCCTCTACTAGATGATGCAATAGTTTATTGAGGTCTTGCTGTTGCTTTGCAAGGGCTGTGTTGATGTACGATTTTTCTTGGATTAGACCTTTCTGCTCGCGCGAGATGTTTTGTAGTTTCTCGAGGTATGGCATAAGCAAGAATGCTTCGGGCTTTGCGCTACTAGACGGGGCCACCTCGGGCTCATGCTCTAGCTGTTGCTCTCGCTGCTTCGGCGGCTCAAGTTTTAGCTGCTTTAATTGGGCCATCGAAAGTAAAAGCTCCTTGCGGAGGTCGATATGGTGTTGGTACTCCTTCTGAATCTCAGCCATATGAGCGTCGCGATCAAATTTCTCTGACTCCCCTTGCCGTGGCTTGCTTGGGGACTCGAGAATACTGGGCTCGTCCTCGTCACCGCCGGCTTTAGCCAACATGCTCTCAATCCAGCTGATGAGACTATCTTTCACGGCATTGAGTGCGTGCAGTTGTATTTCCGGGGAAAGACTACCAGGTTCAATCGGGTTCTTAGCTTTCAATTTTTCGAAGTTTTGCTTCTCTCGTTGGGCTAGCAGTTTGTTACGCAACATCGCTTTCTGGAGGCGCGAGAGCAGTTCCTGGATCTCGCGGTTTGGCCCTTCTCTATCCTCGGTGAAGCCATCCATGAGCTCCTTAGGAAGTTCCGGGAGAGGTGTACACTCCTTAAACATGACGTCGGAATCCAAGAAATCAGGTGCTGCTGCGGGCTGTTGATCAAGCTCTTCCAGGTACTTGTCGGCCGTAGCAAGCCTTTCGTGTTCTTGTTCTAGCGCATTGATTTCGAGCTGAAGCTCAAGAAGTCGAGCTTGCTGATGTTCCTCGGTTGGGGATGACAGTGACGCAGTAGCCGCATCGTGCTCCTCTTGCAGTTTAGCAAATTCAGATCGGATGTTGACATTCTTCTGAACTGCTTCGATATACTCTCTATAAGTGCCCTGCAATGCTTCCGACGGCTCAACAGCGGTGTCGAGGTCAACAAGTGACAAGGGGCTGCTGAGCTGCTCGGCTCCTAGACTCTGGGCGAGATCGCGGGCTAAATTCTGTCTCACAGCAGTGACCTCTTCACGAGGACGTACTCGGCTCTCAAGAACCTCGCGAGCCCGTTCACGTAATTCTTTCTCTATAGTAGCCATATTAAACAAGCTGAGATTGATATCGATTCTCGACAAGCTTCCTACGCTTTTCAAGACACCTGAAATGTTTGGTAAATTTCAGGCGGTAACCCAAGTATATATGTACGTAGACACTATCATATACAAGGTGCATAGGTGCGGATACGCAGCTGTATTCAATATTTATGAATTTCTCCAATAAGAAATATGTATTTACGGGGTGCTAGGGTATAGCCAATCAAGATGATTTGTGGTTAGTCACATTTTAAACGGGTCTGGAACAACCAATCAACGCGGTCAAGAGATCAAGCTAAGAAAGTAAAGTTCTAACCTTCGAACGTGAAAAGATCTAGCTTCATAAATTTCACATAGGCAGCAAAGCAGTAAATGCTTGCGCTTTTCCATTACACCCACTGGAAATATCCGTCGTGCTCTAGAAAATATTGACTTTGGAACAACAGTCGATCTTTACTTTTAGCTTGCACAGTGTTTCCTAAATGCGATATCCGCTGACAAAAACGGCGCCCTTGTCCATTTGATTCAATTGGACTCGTTGACGGTCGTTTTCCCGCCTCCCGCCACCAGCCTCATAATCTCACTGTCGACAAACGAGTTTTAACAGACGAATACCGCAAAAATGGGTGACCACCATCGAGATGTTTCGCAGTACAAGTACTCGGCTATGTCCAACCTGGTTCTCCAGGCGGACAGACGGTTTGTCACGCGACGAACCGACGAGGCTACTGGTGACCCCGAATCGCTTGCCGGTCGTTTGAGAATCAATGACATGGGCTCTAGAGTTGCACGCGACCAAGCACCTAAGCAGAAAAAGGCTTCTGGTCTACCTAATGTCCAAAGGGGCGACATGCAAGAGGGACAGGATATCCTAGCTCGAGAGCAACGAAAACGAAAAGGCGACCCATCGCAGATGCGAGCAACAGGCATTCTGGGACAGACAGATCTCCTAGTCGAGGGTCTCAGATACCGGCCACGTATACCGGCTACCCGTGCTACCTACGATCTCATATTAAACGTTGTTAGAAGCAACCTTGGTGATGTGTCTCACGAGATTGTTCTAAGTGCGGCAGATGCTGTCTTAGAGTACCTAAAGGATGAAGATATGAAGGATTTCGACAAGAAGAAGGAAATCGACGACCTGCTGGGTGTTTCGCTAAACCCCAAACAATTCAACGAGTTGGTCAACCTCGGAAAGAAGATTACAGATTATGATACCCAAAATGATGACGAGGAAATGGACACGGGTGCTGGCGCAGCCGAAGGCGATGAGGAGCTTGACGAACGTCAGGGTGTCGCTGTTGTCTTCGACGACGAAGAAGAGGACGGTGAAGCCTTATTAGACGAAGTTCGGGACGAATCGTCAGACGATGAAGTAGCTGCCGACGGTGATGAGGAGGATCTTACTGGTCTCGAAGAACGAGCGACGGCAGGCGGTGCTGCGGAAGACCGAGACGAGGAAAGCGCCGGCTTAGCTGACGGGGAAGAAATGGTGATCGACTCTGGATTACCAGACAGCAAGCGTGCGGGTACTTCTAAGGAGACCAACTATATCCCTGCACGCCAGATCGATGCATACTGGTTGCAAAGAGAGATAGGCAACATATACACCGACGACCATATCCGACATGAGAAAACTACCCAGGCATTGCATATACTTTCCGGGGAAGCTGATGAGCCTGGCGGGGATGAGAAACCACTCAGAGAGATCGAAAATGAGTTGATGGAGCTCCTCGACTTTGAACATCATGAAGTTGTTCAGAAGCTCATTGAGAACCGCGAGAAGATCGTGTGGCTTACACGCTTGGCTAGGGCAGAAGGTGACGAGGAAAAGGGTGTCATCGAACGGGAGATGGCTTCTGAGGGCGTTAGATGGATTCTGGACGAGCTTCGAGGTAGAAAGGCAGCCGATGGCGCAAAGAAGATGGAGATCAAGATGGACATCGACGTCCCAGCATCGTTCAGCACTGCGCCAAAGGAGGAGCGAGCAGAAGGTCAACTGGTCGGTGGCCTCCAACCACGGAAGTTCATCAATCTCGAAAATCTTGTGTTTGACCAAGGCAACCATCTTATGACAAATCCGAAAGTCAAGCTCCCTGAAGGCTCAACGAAACGGACATTCAAGGGTTACGAAGAGATCCACGTTCCTCCACCGAAGAAACGCGGCCAAGCAGACGAAACTAACATCCCCATTACCGATATGCCTGAGTGGGCACGCGTGCCTTTCAGCTCAGCTAAGTCCCTTAATAAAATCCAGACGAAGTGCTTTCCAGCAGCCTTTGAGGATGATGGGAATATGCTCATCTGCGCTCCGACTGGTAGTGGTAAAACGAACGTAGCTATGCTGACCATTCTACGAGAGCTTGGGAAGCACCGAGATCCTAAAACGGGAGACATTGACTTGGACGCTTTTAAGATTGTATACATTGCGCCTTTAAAGGCCTTGGTCCAGGAACAAGTTGGAAACTTTGGTGCCCGCCTGAAGCAATATGGCATAACCGTCTCTGAGTTGACTGGTGACCGTCAACTCACCAAGCAGCAAATCGCCGAAACTCAGATAATTGTCACAACCCCAGAGAAATGGGACGTCATCACGCGAAAAGCTACAGACTTGACGTACACAAACCTCGTGCGGTTGATTATTATTGACGAAATTCACCTTCTACACGATGAAAGAGGCCCTGTCATCGAGAGCATTGTGAGCAGGACAATTAGGAAGACAGAGCAGACTGGTGATCCGGTCAGGCTTGTTGGTTTGTCTGCTACACTACCTAACTATCGAGACGTTGCTAGCTTCCTCCGTGTAGACCCTACCAAAGGTCTCTTTCATTTTGATGGTTCCTTTCGGCCGTGTCCTCTAAGACAAGAGTTCATTGGCGTTACTGAGAAGAAAGCCATCAAACAACTCAAGACGATGAATGATATCACCTATAATAAGGTCATCGAACATGTGGGCACTCACCGAAACCAGATGCTCATTTTCGTTCATTCTCGGAAGGAAACCGCGAAGACTGCGCGGTATGTCCGGGACAAGGCCCTTGAGATGGAAACGATTAACCAAATTCTGAAGCACGATTCAGGCTCCAGAGAAGCTTTGAATGAGATCGTCAATGATATTACTGATACTGACCTAAAGGATCTCATTCCTTACGGATTTGGCATCCACCATGCTGGTATGAGTCGTATCGATCGATCGGAAGTTGAGGGCCTCTTCGCTTCCGGCTTAATCCAAGTCCTTGTTTGTACGGCTACTCTTGCCTGGGGTGTCAATTTACCGGCGCATACCGTCATTATCAAGGGCACTCAGGTTTACTCGCCCGAGAAGGGTAGTTGGGTAGAGTTGAGTCCACAAGACGTCCTGCAGATGTTGGGTCGTGCTGGGCGACCCCAATACGACACTTATGGTGAGGGTATTATCATTACGTCTCAAAGTGAGATGCAATACTACCTATCACTACTCAACCAGCAACTTCCCATCGAGAGTCAATTCGCTAGCAAGCTCGTGGATAACCTCAATGCAGAAATCGTTCTTGGCAATGTACGAAATAGAGACGAAGGAGTAGAATGGCTTGGATACACGTATCTCTTCGTTCGAATGTTGAAGTCGCCTGGTCTTTACAGCGTGGGGGCTGACTACGAGGACGATGAAGCCCTAGAGCAAAAGCGCGTTGATCTAATACATTCGGCGGCTACTGTTCTGAAGAAGTCTAACTTGATCACCTATGATGAGAAGACTGGAAAAGTTAAGGCAACCGAGCTCGGAAGAATAGCATCACATTACTACATCACTCATGGATCGATGGACACTTACAACAAGCTCATTCAACCTTCGATCACGACGATTGAGCTTTTCCGAGTGTTCGCTCTGAGCGCTGAGTTCAAGTATATCCCTGTTCGCCAGGATGAAAAGTTGGAGCTCGCAAAGATTCTAGCTCGAGTACCGATACCCGTGAAGGAGAGCATCGAGGAACCGCATTGCAAGATAAATGTGCTTTTACAAGCGTATATCAGTCGCCTTAAGCTCGAGGGCTTGGCTCTCATGGCTGATATGGTCTACGTCACGCAATCTGCCGGTCGTATTCTTCGCGCGATATTCGAGATTACTCTCCAAAAGGGATGGTCTAACGTTACCAAGACGGCCTTGGACTTGTGCAAGATGGCAGAAAAGAGAATGTGGCTCACTATGACTCCACTTCGCCAATTCCCTCGTTGTTCTCGAGATATTATCACGAAGGCTGACGGCTTGGATGTTCCATGGAGTAGTTATTTCGACCTAGATCCTCCGCGCATGGGAGAGCTCCTTGGAAAACCGAAGGCAGGCCGTTTGGTGTGTGACCTAGTAGCCAAATTCCCGAGGGTCGAGATCCAAGCTCAGGCCCAGCCAATGACTCGCTCCATGCTTCGGGTCGAGCTGTCTATCACACCGAATTTCCAATGGGATGATGAGTTGCATGGATCGGCAGAAAGTTTCTGGATTATCGTTGAAGATTGCGACGGCGAGGATATTCTCTTCCATGACCAGTTCCTACTGCGCAAGGATTATGCAGTATCAGAGAACAACGAGCACCTAGTTGACTTCACAGTGCCCATTACTGAACCTATGCCCCCTAACTACTTCATTTCCGTAGTTTCCGACAGATGGTTGCATTCAGAGACCAAGTTAGCCGTGTCGTTCCAGAAGCTCATCCTCCCCGAGAAATTCCCCCCTCATACTCAGCTTTTGGATCTACAACCGCTCCCGATCGCTGCACTGAAAGCAAAGGACTACTCTAACCTTTACGAGTCTTGGAGTTATTTCAACAAAATCCAGACGCAGACGTTTAATTCCCTCTATACGACGGACGACAACGTCCTGATTGGGGCACCGACTGGTAGTGGAAAGACTGTTTGTGCCGAGTTTGCCATCCTGCGTCTTTGGTCCAAGCCAGAAATTGGACGTGCTGTCTATATCGCACCGTTCCAGGAAATTGTTGACATCAGATACCAAGACTGGACTAAGCGGCTTCGTCACTTACGTGGCGGCAAGGAGATCGTTAAGCTTACTGGAGAAACAGCAACGGATCTCAAGCTGCTCGAAAAGGGAGATCTCATTTTGGCTACTCCAACGCAGTGGGATGTTTTATCTCGACAGTGGCAAAGACGCAAGAATATCCTCACCGTCGAGTTGTTCATCGCTGATGAGCTTCACTTGCTTGGTGGTCCGTTGGGTTATATCTACGAGATCATAGTATCTCGGATGCATTACATTCGCACTACCGCTAGTCTGGATATGCGAATCGTTGGGTTAAGCGTTTCACTCGCGAATGCCCGAGATATTGGCGAATGGATCGATGCTAAAAAGAAGGACGTGTACAATTTCAGTCCCCACGTCCGTCCCGTACCGCTGGAACTTCGCATCCAATCTTTCTCCATCCCTCATTTCCCATCGCTCATGCTTGCCATGGCCAAGCCAGCGTATCTTGCAATCACGGAAATGTCGCCAGATCAGCCAGCACTGGTTTTCGTTCCAAGCAGAAAACAGACGAGATCAAGCGCGCGCGATATTCTTGCCGCTTGCCTCGCAGAAGACGATGAAGATAGGTTCCTACATGTAGACATTGACCAGCTTCGCCCACTTCTGGAACGTGTCCAGGAAGAAGCGTTAGCTGAAGCACTTTCGCACGGTGTCGGCTATTACCACGAAGCTCTCAGCCAGAATGACAAGCGTATTGTCCTCCACCTTTATAATCAAGGTGCAGTTCAAGTCTTGGTCGCATCCCGTGATGTATGCTGGGAACTGGACTGCAGCGCACATCTAGTTGTGGTAATGGGCACTCAATATTTCGAGGGTCGCGAACACCGGTATGTCGACTACCAGCTAAGCGAAGTATTGCAGATGTTTGGAAAAGCTCTGCGCCCTTCCCGAGAGGGTCGCAGCCGAGGTGTTTTAATGGTCCCAGGCGTTAAGAGGGAATACTTCAAGAAGTTCTTGAACGAGGCCCTTCCGGTCGAGTCCCACCTCCACAATTTTGTCCATGACGCTTTCGTTACCGAGGTCAGCACCAAGATGATCGAATCTGCGGATGATGCTATCAACTGGACGACGTTTACGTATTTCTACCGCCGACTCTTGGCAAATCCCAGCTACTACAGTTTGACAAGCCCAACACACGATGGGCTAAGCAACTACCTCTCTGACCTAGTGGAGACTACCCTAAAAGAACTTACGGAATCCAAGATTATTGATTTTGACGAGGATGATGGCTCAGTTGCTCCTCAGAATGCAGCTATGATTGCGGCCTACTACAATATCTCGTACATCACAATGCAGACCTTCCTATTGTCATTGACTGCGAGAACGAAGCTCAAAGGTATTCTTGAGATCGTGACGTCGGCTACGGAGTTTGAATCGATCCAAATCCGACGCCACGAAGACAATCTACTCCGGCGCATCTATGACAGGGTTCCGGTCAAGATGTCCGAGGCGGCATACGACTCACCGCATTTCAAGGCGTTCGTGTTGCTACAAGCGCACTTCTCGCGGATGCAACTCCCCATTGACCTTGCTAAAGACCAAGAATTAGTTGTATCGAAAATCTTGAGTCTTTTGAGCGCAACAGTCGATGTTCTCTCCTCTGACGGGCATTTGAATGCCATGAACGCCATGGAAATGTCTCAGATGGTGGTTCAAGCCATGTGGGACCGCGACAGTCCCTTAAAGCAGATCCCTCATTTTACACCGGAGGTAGTGAAGGTGGCAAATGAATTCGGGTATGTACTCCCCAACCATCCCAGTCGCGATGATACTAACTTGCTATGCTCTAGGATTAATGACATTTTCGATTTCATGGAGGCAATGAATCCCGAGGAAAACAAGAATTATTCTACGCTTGTCAAACGCCTCGGTTTGACGCAATCACAATTGGCTCAAGCAGCGGCTTTCACGAACAATAAATACCCCGATATCTCCCTCGAATTTGAGCTTGTGGACGAGGACAATATCCACGCGGGAGAACCGGCGTACATAAACGTCCAGATCGAGCGTGAGGTAGAAGAGGAGGACGGGGAAGTTGACACGACAGTCCACGCTCCATTCTACCCCGCCAAGAAGGTGGAGAATTGGTGGCTGGTCGTTGGAGAGGAGAGCACGAAGACGCTGCTCGCAATCAAGCGGGTCACGATTGGCCGGCAACTCAAGGTTAAGTTGGAGTACACAGTCCCGACACCCGGCAAACATGACTTGAAGTTGTTCTTGATGAGTGACAGTTACGTCGGCGTGGACCAAGAACCGACCTTTTCGGTGACGGTTGCGGAGGGTATGGACGTCGACTCGGACGAGGAAGAAGAAGATGATGAGGAGGATGAGTAAACCCCTCAGGGCATCCCCGCGGGACTCTCCACAGGTGGGATTACGCCTATCTAGTGTATGAAAAGCTTACTGTACATATAGCAAGTCATTCGGGGAGGCGAAAGAGGCTGCCCGGCGAATGATCTAGGGAAAAAAGGGATAGGTCAAAACGTTTACTACTTAAGTTCTCTTATCGCCAACTGGTCTTTAATGAGGATATTTTCTGATTCCATGATTAAATTATGAGTGATGCAGATGATGGGGCTGCGTGAGTTGGGCTTTCTGTGGGAGAGGGCTGATGCCGGCTCAGATGTCATCAGGACTCATCAGACAAACCGAACCGGGAGGTAGATGCAAACGAAGGTTTGCGGAGTAGAGGGAAGATGAGCTGGTGTGGGTAAATGACTATAGAAGATGAAGGAATACAGGTGGCTATGTTGGCGAGTGCGGATTGCCAAGGGGGGGTGTGTGTGTTTCTCAGGGTGGGTTGGCGTTACCTACCTTGCCTCCTTACCTAAGTACCTCCAGCTGCCGCTACGTATCAAATCTCGGTAGGCGATACTTCATAGGCAGGCAGGCATGTAAACAGTAAGAAAAGGAGACCCACGTACAAATTTGTACCGGCGCAAATCTGAACCAAAACGTACCAGGACGACCAAGTCTACCTACCAAGGACGTAGGCCAAGCAAGGCTGCCCGCTCACTTTAGATACCTCATAGACAATAATAAGCTGCCATATTAACGCCGTCGCTTCCCTGGCTTTCTCCAGTCGCCCAAGCCGTCACGCAACACGAGACGCCATCATCAAAAAGGTCACGTGCGTTTATTAAGAGAGCTACCCGGTGTCTATCACCTGGTAGTGGTACATCCTGTACATCCTGTACATCCTACTTTTGAATGAGCACAGGCTTTTCTATCTTCGATCCTGGGAATTTTCTTGGACTATCTCATCCATCAACCTTTCTGCCTTCATCTTTTTTTCCTCTCTTTTTCAATTTTCCCCCCTTCCGTCTTCTGCGAAAATTTGCCTCCTACAAAACAATACAAACAACCTTGAACACAACGCCATCCGATCGCGCTTTCCAATTGTAGACAATTATAGCGACCCATCGACTACGTATGGTACTTAGTATCGACGGCGGTCACTAGCTGTTAGCCCCGTCAACTTTCTCCAGTTTTTGGAAAGTTGACTGGACGCGTTTTTCTTTACCTGCCAATACATTACCTTTACCTTGCCTTGCTCTCCAACCGTTGGTCAACATATTTTCGCCGCAACCAACCCTTTTTTTTTTACCTCTTTCTTTGATCGGCCTCTAGTCATCCGACCATCATCACCTTTGCATCGCGATCTTTCTATAATCTATCCGCTATCCTAATACCATCATTGCCGATTGTCAACATGTCTGACGAGACGGCCGCGCAACCTGCCGCCGCGCAGTCTCAGGATGTGTCTGCCAACGTAGCTGCAGAAGGCACTACGTCAGAGTCCGTCGCGCCTGTTAGCGACGCGAAGTCAATTGACAAAAAAACTGCAAGTGCTGCCGATGCAGACAAGACCAACGAGGACAGCTCAGCCGAGGAGCCTGCTAAAGCTGAAGGTAAGTTGCATCCACCAAAAAATCAACATAAAGTAACCCAAAAACATTCTCGTCGGCGTTGTCCGAGCGCCTCTCAACACCGCTCGCCCCTATAAACACGTCATCCCCAATCACCTTGGTCCGCGTTATAAGCACTACAAACAATTGATTACCTTCAACCCGCACACCTTCAGCCACCATGATAAGTTTACGTGCTAACACGATATCTCTAATAGCCGCCGATGAGGCCCCGGCTACCAAGAAAACCGACGAGAAGTCTACTGACCCTGATGTTGAGATGAACGACAAACCGGCCGAAGAGGTTGAGCAGCCTACAGCTGATGATAAGGTTGACTCGGAGAAGGCCGCGGATGAGAATGAAGCGCCTACGGGTACTGCTGAAGGTGCGGCCGAGGCCGAATCGACAACACAAGGAGACAAATCTAAAGCGCGTCGCAAGTCTACCGCCGATTCCAAGAGCAAGAAGTTGAATAAGAAGGCGTCCAAGGCCAAGATTCTACACGTCGACGCGCAGCCTGGCGAGCATTACTTCGCCAAGCTAAAGGGCTTCCCCCCTTGGCCTGTCATCATCGCTGAGGAGGACATGCTGCCCGCAAGTATGTTGAGCACGCGACCTGTTACGGCTGCTCGCCCTGATGGTACCTACCGCGAAGATTTCGCGGATGGTGGTAAGAGGATCGCGGACCGAACGTTCCCGGTCATGTATCTCCACACCAACGAATTGTAAGGAGATTGGCTCTATTCAATCCTGCGACGTAATAACTGGTAGCTGACCATTGCAATAGTTCGTGGACAAACAACTCCGATCTCAGCGAGCTTGACCCTTCGACAGTCGCCAGTATGATCACGACCAAGATGCGCAAGGATCTACAGAACGCCCATCTGTTGGCTGCCGAACAGAACTCTTTAGATTACTATAAGAATGTTCTCCGCGATTTTGAGGAGCAGCGTCTCGCAAAACTAGAAGCTAAGAAGGCTAAGGCCAACAAGACGCCTAAGAAGGCCGCTAAAGCCGCTGAAGCTGCTGCGGGTGATGAAGATGAGGATATCGAAATGGCTGATGCTGAAGAGAGCGGCGAGGCGGAGCCAGCTGAGAAGAAGCCCAAGTCAAAGAAACGCAAGGCCGAAGACGAAGCTAGCGTAAGAGGCCGTCCATCTTATGATCTAAATGTTTACTAACTACTATATGTCTAGACTCCTCAACGTTCCGAATCTGTCAAGAAGCCAAAGATTAAGATCACGAACTCATCCACTCCCAAGGCCACCAACGGCGTCCAATCACCCACCGCAAAAGATTCTTCCAAGCCCGTCAAGGTTAAGTCGAAGGCAGCTAAGGGTAGCAAGGACAAGGACAAAGCCGAGAGCAAGAAGGAGAAAGAACCTCCTAAGGAGCCGGAACTTAGCCCCGAAGAGAAGCACATGCGCAAGGAGGTAAGACATCCATCGATTCAAAGCACTCGCGTTAGTCAATGCTCACTAGTCTATAGAAAGAGATTTTGTTCCTACGTCATCGACTTCAAAAAGGTCTACTCCTTCGCGATCAGGAGCCAAAGGAGGAGGAGATGAAGTCTATGTCGGAGTTCCTTGCTAAACTCGAAACATTCCCCGACCTCGAGGTTAGCATCATTCGAGCAACCAAGATCAACAAGGTTCTCAAAGCGATCTTGAAGTTGGAGACGATCCCGAAGGAGGAAGATTTCCAGTTCAAGCCGCGATCTCAGACTCTATTGGACAAGTGGAATAAGCTTCTTGCTGACGGCGGAGCTCCCGCCCCCGCGAACGGCGTCAATGGTGGTGGTGCTAATTCTGCTAAGGGCGGAAAGGGAGCAGCCAATGGTGTCAAGGAAGCATCGGCCGATCACAAATCGGATCTCGAGAAGGAAGACGGCAAAGCCGATACTCCAGAGAAGGACGCGAAGGATAAGACTTCAGCTGAAGCAGAGACGGCAAGCGACGAGAAGTCAGACGCAGTAAAGGTATGTCTAAATTGCTTGCTCATGAACGATGACTATTTTTGAAGTCGGGGAGATTATGAATCTAACTAGGTAGCTACAGAATGCAAAGACTTCAGCCGATGAGACGGCTGCAGAGGTCGAAGCTACGGCATGAAGTAACAAGCGCTGAACTCGACGAAACGACGACGATTTCTTTTGATGTCTGAAAGTCGGCGGCAACCAGGGGCGTTCAGGGGTATAAGAAAGGCTACATTGCTCGAGCGTGGCTTGCCATTGAATGATGGTGGGCCATGCGACTGGAATATGCGTACAAGCTTCGCGTACTTGGACTCGAAGTGTGTTCGTTTTATGTGAACTAGGAAGTACTTGTTTTCAGGTCAGATCAGACAGGTCATGTACGGTCCTGGAACAGTCAATATTTGGTCGGGGAAGGGCCTAGGGGCCTTTGGAGGGTGAGGGAACAACGAAAAAGTCAGACTCCTACCCGGCATCTGACACCGTTAATTAGTTCGTCGGCCGGTAGGGATGATGGACACGGCATGTCATTAGTGGTTGTGTTTTTTCAGTTTGGGAGGGCTGTGATGATTTTCTAGGAGATTTTGCAATAAAAAAAGTTCGTTGCATTACTTGTATAATTGCTGAGTCACTACGGTGGGATTATAGAATTATATCGTGCATCATGCTGTCTTGGTGATTTTCGTGTTGAGCATTGAAAGTGAAGGTCGAGTACGTACATATGTATGTATATACAAGTGACGACAGTATGTCGATTTGGGGGCTAGAGTTAGGAGCTTGGACCATTTCATCCACTTAGCTGCAAGGGCCACCCCACCGTAGACCCGTCTGACAAAGCTCCAGGCGCGCGTCATCAGCCGTCAGTGCCTGACATTTTGTATCTTGTAACTTGTAACCTTCAAAAGTGAATGGAAAGCTCCATCTCATTCATGAATTTAATTATCTATTCCAATCTCATCCACCTTCTTCACTCTTCTCCGCCACCCCGGTTCTTCATTCCCTTTTTATTACTATGAAATCGCACCTTGTTCTCTGATTCCAAGTTTTGAAGAGTCAGATATAAGTTCGATTTCATGAACTTTCCCCCCCTCATCTCTATCCCGTTATAACATCCCACTACAAATACCTGCACGATCACGAAATTTCCATCACCATGTTGTTACGACTACGAGGCCCGGACGGCATGATCCGGATCAACATCGAGAAGGACGACACTTTCGCTGACCTTGGTCGTCTGGTATGCGCCCTGCCTTTCTACTTCGCCATGTCAGTCGTCACTAACTTTGTATATAGCTCGTGGCGCAATTGCCACCGACCGTTGACCCGAGCAGTATTTCCATGTCCCCGGACCCCCAAGCCAAAGACTCGAAGAAGTTGAAGGATATTGCCAGATACAAGTTGGCGCAGATTGGATTGAAGTACTATACACCTGCTAGATTTACCTCCCCGAAGAGTCCCCTCGAGTATTACTAACATATGTACAGCCATGGAGACTTGATTTTCATTAACTACCAACACCAGAACTCCGCCAACGGTCACGCGAATGGCGCACCCACAGCATCTACCACCACATCGTCGACGAACAGACTGAATGGGAAACCTATCCTACCTACGGAGGATCTACCGGTCGACCCGCCTCCGCTAGCATCACCTACGAAAGTCATCAAGAATCCTTGGGAAGTAGTGAAGCAGTCAGCATTGGATGATCGATTGGATAAGCAGGATGGCAAGATCCCTCGAGGCCGAGACCGGATGTGCAAGCACGGGCCTAAAGGCATGTGCGACTATTGCATGCCTCTCGACCCCTTCAATCTTCAATACCTCGCCGATAAGAAGATCAAGTACCTATCCTTCCACTCCTACCTCAGAAAGATCAACTCGGCCACGAATAAGCCCGAACTTGGCAGTTCATTCATTCCACCCCTTAAGGAACCGTACTTCCGAGTTAAAAGGGACTGTCCTTCGGGTCACCCCCAATGGCCCGAGGGCATCTGCACCAAGTGCCAGCCCAGCGCTATTACCCTCCAACCACAGCCTTTCCGCATGGTCGACCACGTCGAGTTCGCTTCATTCGAACTTGTTAACTCCTTCATCGACGCCTGGCGAAGAACCGGCGCACAACGGATTGGATACCTCTACGGTCGTTATGCGGAATATACCGAAGTACCACTCGGCGTTAAGGCGATAGTAGAGGCCATACATGAAGTGCCTCAAGTAGACGAAGTTGATGGAGTATCGCTAAATCCCTGGGACAACGAGACCGACATCAACGATGTTGCCAGGTTATGTGGACTTGAACAAGTTGGCGTAATATTCACTGACTTGCTGGATGCGGGAACCGGCGACGGGAAAGTTATCTGCAAGCGACATGCCGACTCATATTTCCTCAGTTCCCTGGAGATTTGCTTCGCGGCGCGTTTGCAGGCTCAGCATCCTAAAGCTACCAAGTGGAGCGATACAGGAAGATTCGGCTCAAACTTCGTCACGTGTATCATCTCAGGCGACGAAACAGGCCAGATCGCTATCTCATCTTACCAGGTGTCTAACGATAGTGTGGAAATGGTACGAGCAGATCTCATCGAGCCGTCAGCTGACCCTAATGTCATGCTTGTGCGGGAAGAGGAGGAAGATGACGGTTCTACGAGCCGGACGCGATACATTCCCGAGGTATTCTACCGAAAGATTAACGAGTATGGTGCCAACGTACAGGAGAATGCAAAGCCGTCATTCCCAGTCGAATATCTCTTCGTAACATTAACACACGGTTTCCCGGCGCAACCGAAGCCCTTGTTCAAAACAACCAACTTCCCGATCGAGAACCGCGAGATAATGGGAGAGACCCAACAATTCAAGTCAGTTGCCAAGGCTCTCGATACTAGCGGTGGCAAAGAGCTCGGATCCCTCTCAGACTTCCACCTGCTTAATTTCATACATGGGATGGGCGTGCTATCTAAGGTAAGTCAACCCAACTTCGTGGCAATCACAATCCCCCTTTTTCCTTGATCCAAGCGTAATAACAGATAAATAGGAAGAAGAAGCACTCATGTGCCGGGCGGCGACGACTCATGATCTCGCCGACATATACCAATTGTTTTCAATGCCCGGCTTTCTTTCGCTAAAAGCTATTTTAGCAGAAACTGGTGAGACAACCCCCAAAAGAAAGCGGCCTCGAACAAGTGGCGAGGGGGGCGCGACGCCCTCTTCGTACTCATCCGTCGCCGCTTCCGCCAATAGATCCGGTGAACCGCTTACTAAGCGTCTTGCTGCCGTTAGGCTGAACGAGCGAAACGAGTCCACGCCAATATTCGACCGTGCTAAGCACGAGGACATGTGATGCCGTATGAAGGGAGAGGTTGGAAACAAGTTTGTACCCCCCGTACCTACCTGCTTATAGACAGGTTTACTCGGAGGGAAAGAAGCCAAAGGCCTAATGCGCTGCGAATATGCGGACTGGGAGAAGGAAATCCGGGTGCCGTTAATCAGCCGTGGCTACTGCAGTAAAATAGCTCTCAGGCAGTTAGGCCTGTCCTGGACAGCCGCAGCTTTCTTGTTCTTTCGCTAGCATAAAGGGGAAAGAGGTGCGCGTGTTGTCGTACATAACGGAATCTCAATATGAAATTGAGATGCTGCTTCCCTCATCGTAATGGAAACCTTGCCGCCATAGATGAGAAAGTGAACTGGAATCATAATGGCTTTCATGTGTAGGATGCTCGAACCGTGTAGTCCGTACTTTTAATCTCATCTAGTAGCCTTGATTTGTTTTCTGGTTTGCTCTTGGCTACGGGGTAGATGCCTAATCAATGAACATGGGCACTCCTCTATTATACGTGAACATGAAAGGTTCATGACGTTGTAAACATGAATAGGAGCCAGGTCTTATCAACCCGAGGGCAAAGCTACGAATCGACCTCCAGAGAGAGGACGCGCGCTAAGAAAAGAGGGGAGGGTGATTGCCGAGATACCAAGATTTACGACATGGTCTCCGTAGGAGGAGGACGACGACGATGAAGAAGATCAAGATGAACATGATGATGACGATGATGATGTAGTATAGAGGATATAGGAGTATTTACGCGACCTTCCCACTGATGGTCTGTGTTTATTAGGTAATTTAAATTTTGATTCAAGTCAGATAGACTATTTACCTAGCCTCCTTTCCTTTCTACTCTTCCATTCGAAAAGGAACCCCATCCTTCGTCGCCTCCTTTTTTGTTTCACAAGCCCCGTCCGCCCTTGAGGAAAATAGGTTAATCCTAATCAACGCCTGTTATAGAAAACGGAGCCGTCGCAGAAAACGTCGCGATTTTTAACTTTTATTTTTGATTGATGAAACAGGGTATATCTGGTACTCTACAGGGGCTTGCCACCGATGAAGTCAGACCACCGGCGAACCTCGGACGGGATACCTTCCTTCCGGGGCAGCTTCTCGTTCATGCACTGGGCAAAGAGCATGGCAGTCTAGAGGGAATCGAGATTAGCATATTCACAAGGCCGCTTGGCACATATAGGAGAGGGGGGAGAAGCTTACCTGAGGCTCCATGAACAAGGGAACGCCGAAATCGACAGCATTCCTGCGCATTACGTAGTCCACGTCCATGACCGTCTTAGCCCGGGCAAGGGCGAGGTTGAATACTCCTCGGATGTCATACTTCTGGAAGACTTCTCGGAGCAGACGCTTGTCCTCCTTGGGGAACTCTATTACTTCTACGGTGACCTGATCCTTAGCAGTCGACTCGATGAAGTGCTTCACGTCCTCCTCAGCGGCGTAGAATTTGTATCCGAGGGGTGAAAGGTAGTCCACGATCTTGGTAAGCCATGGCCTGGACGTCTCACCACCTAGTAGGATCCCCTCACCGGGCTCGGGGACGCGGAAGTTCATGGCAGACTGAAGGGACGTCCAGTATGCCTCCACAAGGTCCTTGCCGAAGCAGGCCATTTCACCTGTGCTAGCCATTTCAACACCCAAGAATGGGTCGGCTCCGGCCAGACGGGTCCACGAGAATTGAGGGACCTTGGTAGCTACATAGTCTCTCTTAACAGCCATCGGGTCGGCAGGGCTGGGAACATCCTTGCCAACGAGAGCCTTGGTTGCAACATCGATGAAGTCAGTGCCGAGAACCTTGCTGACGAAGGGGAAGGATCGAGAGGCCCGAAGGTTGCACTCAATGACTTTGAGTACGGGCTCTCCGCCGTCAGGGTTATCTGCTTTGATGATCTGCATGTTGAATGGCCCGGTAATATTCCAGGCCTTCGCAACCTTTTTGGCAATTTCCTTGACTCGCTCCATGGTCCTGTTGTCTAGGTTGACTGGGGGTAGGACCAGTGTGGCATCACCAGAGTGGACACCAGCTTGCTCAACATGCTCGCTAACAGCATGGAGGATCAAGCTACCTTGGTTGGCAACACTATCAACATCGATCTCCTGAGCACCCTCGATGAACTTGGTTATCACAACAGGATGATCAGGTGATACATCGCTCGCGGCCAGTAACTTGTCTTTCAGGTCTTCTTGGCTTCTGATGACAGTCATGGCAGCACCCGAGAGAACATAACTCGGACGGACTAAGACAGGGTAGCCAACCTGTTCGGCGAACTTCTCGGCTTCAGCTACAGAGGTTAATTCCTTCCAATCAGGTTGGTCGACATTTATCGAGTCCAGTATCTCCGAGAATTTCTGTCTGTCTTCGGCTTTGTCGATATCCCTTGGATCAGTTCCTAGAACATTCGCCTTCCCCGTCTCCTGAAGGCGCAGGGCAATATTTTGTGGAAGTTGACCACCGACAGACACTACAACACCATTCGCTTGTTCTAGTTCATACTGCAATAACAGGAGTCAGCAATTCCCTTTTCAGGAAAGAGTTCTAGGAGTTTTGAGCATGTCTCGGGAGACAAGCCAAAAGGGGTAGAGAAAAGCTCTTGGTGTTACATACGATATCCATCACCCTCTCATAGCTCAGCTCGTCGAAATAGACTTTGTCGGCAGCGTCGAAATCAGAGGATTTCGTTTCGGGGTTTGTATATGTGGAAGTTAGCAAAAGAACAACGAAAGGATAATTATTTCAAGAGAATAGAGAATCCTAGAATCCTGGGATGATTCCCGTGATTCTACCCGGACTGTTCGAAGTGGGTAGTTGCGTTTTATCTATGGCGTAGTGCGGATTGGACACATTCTCACACGACAAGAAGGAAATACCTACATTAATCATCAGAGTTTTCTCGCCCATCTTTCTAAGAGCGACAGTTGCGCTCACAGCGCACCAGTCGAATTCCACCGAGCTACCTATACGGTACTGCAACAATAAGAGTCAGCAATTCCTTACTCAAAGAAGGAGTTTTAAGCATGGCTTTGGACACAGGCCAACAGGGGTAAAAAAGAACTCTCGGTATTACATACCACACCCGATCCTAGGACCATCGTCGGCTTATCCTCAAACGTAACATCGTGGGTACTAGCGTTATAAGTAGTATATAGATAATTCGTCTCTGCCGGGAATTCGGCAGCAAGCGTGTCGATTCTCTTAACCCAGGGGCGGATGCCCATGCTTAGTCGAAGAGCACGAACGGAGTCCTCGTCGCTCTTGACAGCGTTCGCAATTTGCCTGTCAGAGAAACCCATCTTCTTGGCCTTGAGGATAAGATCGCGCTTCAACCCATTTATGCTACCGACGGCTTCCAATTCCTTGGTGCAGTCAACAAGATTTTGAAGCTTATACAAGAACCACTTGTCAATCTTGCTCAGCTCATGGACCCTGTCAACAGTGTAACCCTCGTGAAGCATTGCCTGACCTACTGCCAACCATCGGCGGTCCGTTGGGTGAGATAGTTCATGGTCGAGGTCTTCAAATTTGTCACCCTGGAACCCAACGAACTTAGGGTCAACTTTACGAATAGCCTTCTGAAAAGACTCCTCAAAAGTACGACCAATAGCCATGACTTCGCCCACAGATTTCATAGCACTGCCAATGTCGCGTTTAACATGCTGGAACTTGGACAAATCCCAACGAGGAATCTTTGTCACGATGTAATCGAGAGAAGGCTCAAAATTGGCAGTGGTAGTCTTAGTGACGGCATTCGGTAGCTCGGGTAAGGTATGTCCAAGTCCGATCTTTGCCGCAGTGTAAGCTAAAGGATATCCAGTAGCTTTCGAGGCGAGAGCTGATGACCGAGAAAGACGAGCGTTGACCTCAATTACTCTGTAGTCGAGGCCATCTGGCTGGAGGGCATATTGGACGTTACACTCGCCAACAACTCCAAGATGGCGGATAATCTTAATAGCCGCAGTTCGAAGCATGTGATACTCCTCATCGCTAAGAGTTTGGCTGGGTGAAACGACGATTGAGTCACCTGTGTGAGTTCCTAGGGGATCGAAGTTTTCCATGTTGCAGACAGTGATACAGTTGTTATTCGCATCACGGACAACTTCATACTCGACTTCCTTCCAACCTTTCAGCGATTTCTCAACGAGGATCTGGGGCGAGAGGGTAAGAGATCGAGCTGCCATGTTGCGCAGCTCCTCCTCATTGTTAGCAAAGCCGGAACCCAGACCTCCCAGTGCGTAGGCGGCGCGGACGATAATAGGATATCCGACCTTGGAGGCAGCGTCCAGAGCATCGTCAACAGTACCGACAGCAATTGATTTGGCAATTGGAATGTCAATCTCGTTGAGGGCCTTAGCAAAGAGATCTCGGTCCTCACTTAGCTCCAAAGTGTGGACGCTTGTGCCGAGTACCTTAACACCGTACTTTTCGAATAACCCCATGCGCTGCATTTGCACACCCAGGTTTAGCGCTGTCTGTCCACCAAAGGACAGGAAGATGCCATCGGGTCGTTCCTTCTCGATAACGTAGGTTACATATTCCGGAGTGACGGGGAGGTAGTATACCTCGTCGGCGAGGCTGTGGTTGGTCTGGATGGTGGCAATATTTGGATTTATAAGGACAGAGGCTACACCAGCCTCTTTTAATGCCTTGAGGGCCTGAGTACCTATACAAGATATGAGTCACCCTTGACCTTCGGGCTCATCAAGAGCAGTTCTGCAATACTAACCTGAGTAATCGAACTCGCCAGCTTGTCCAATTGCTAAACCACCACTACCAATAACTAGCACTTTCTTAACATTCACAACATCCCTAGGTTTTATTACGCCACTCTCTAGGTAGGCCTTCGGATTCGGTGCCTCTTGAGCAGCTATGCTGGCAGCGGAACAAAGGGCGGTGACAGAAAAGTTCCTCTCCTGTGAAAAACCAGGTTTTCGATTCGAAGCAAGAAGCTGAGAGGGAGCTCGAAGGCTTGTTGTGGTAAGCTGCCTTCGAGTTATAGGTAGCCGTCTGCTATGTCGTAGCAGCATAGGGGCACGACCTGCAAGCTTGGTGGAGAGAGCCATGGTAATAAGCTGCCCCTAGCAACTAGGAGCTGGAATCTTGGGAGGTTAGGAAGGAAGAAGGGCTCAAGAGCTCACGAGCCAAAGCTTGGGGCTCCCTGCTCCCAATTGAAGTCAATTGAGCTTCTAGGAAAAGATTCCTCAACTCTCCTGAGTCACAATGTATCTGGAATCACTAAACAATGTGTGAGTCTTAAAGGTCCGGTCTAGGTAAATAATAAATTTCAAGGCATGCCACCATATATGCATAGATAAGCCGATAAGGATAGAAAAAAAAAGTTATTGAGGGTCCCGCTAATCAGATTCGCTGCAAGGCGGGTTGCGATTTACGGAGGTAGGAGGGGAGCAAATCTCTTGGCATTCCCGATCTAACGGGGTACGGTACATGGAAAGTTTAATTCCAACCCTACGATTGGTATATGCGTGCTTCACTTCCGCTTTTAGTCAAGCCCAGGTACAAAAACCTCTCGTTAAAATTGTACCCAGTCTACCCTTGCTACCTTATCTCTAAATGACTGCTTACGTTACGGAATTGAGAAGTAATGACGTCGTCTGTTAGGTAGCTTAGTCAAGAGTCAAAATTGTATACCTACCTCCTATGCATTCCTATTACTTCACGCTTGACAATGTCCTACTACATTCTCGTTTTAATGGATGATCCAGGCTGAAACGATAACTTCAAAATGCCTTCAGAATTACTTGTCTCCTTCCTAGGCGCTATACAGGCCTCGTTGTCAGTATTGATAACTATAGGTTGCGGTGTTGCTGCAGCTCAATTTGGATTAATCACGACCAGTGCTGCTGAAGAAGTATCACACCTCTGCGTCACCGTGCTTTTGCCTTGCTTGATGATTGTGAAGTTGGGATCCGAACTACATCTGGATACAGTAGTACACTTCGTTCCCGTTGTCAGTACGTCATCTCCGAGCACCAGAAGCCCGTAGTTTCGCATGAGTTGCTAATGCTACGAACCTGTTTTATCTATCTCAGTCTGGGCTACAATTTATACAGTGACTTCCATCGGAATTGGCATGGCAGCAGTGGCGTTTTTTCGCCTACCAAAATGGGCAGTCCCTGCTATAGCGTTTAATAATACTCAGTCGCTCCCTTTGCTGCTGCTTCAATCGTTGGAAGCTACTGGGGTATTATCTTCCCTAGTCGGGTCAGGTCAAACAACTGACGCCATCGAGCGGGCTCGAACTTACTTCCTAGTTGGTTCTGTCGTCAGCAATACTATTACGTTTAGCCTGGGTCCAGAATGGATAGTTGACAAGCAAGAAGGCAACTCGATAGATCCCGAAAGTCAACAACCTTCACAAGGTGGACAGGGAGAGTCGTTTGGAGAACAGCAGCTAAGGGATGATAACATTGATCATTCACCCAGAGACTCTGAGAGTAACGATGAGCCAAGTGATCCTGACGAGAGAACATCGCTTCTTCCTACCAAGGTTGTGAATTTGGAGCACCAAATAGGAAACGATTTTAGTTCATTTTTTCGGAGCCGCTTCTATGCCTGTCCGAGGCCTGTCCAGAAGCTCCTTACGGCTATTGGAACGTTCTTCAACCCGCCTTCTGTTGGAGCGGCCATTGGTTTGGTGATAGGCCTCTCACCACCCCTACATCGACTATTTTTTAGTGGTATGACCGAAGGGGGTTATTTTAACGCGGTGCGTATTGAATTTTTCGTACATTGGGACAGCCGGTCTCTCAAGCATCGTGGGGGAATGGTTCTATATTGACATATGTGTTTAGTGGCTCACTGCCAGCCTGAAGAACATCGGCGAACTGTTCGTTTCACTCCAAGTTATTGTCGTCGGAGTAAAATTAAGCCTTAGCTTACGACTCATGAGGGAAGGTGAGGATACGGATAAACTGCCTTTGGGTACAATTCTTTGTATCATATTCATACGATTTGTCCTATGGCCAGCGATTAGCATTCCTCTCGTCTGGGCTTTGGCGACTTACACTGACATCCTCCCCAACGATCCCATACTGTGGTGGGCATTGTCCATGCTCCCTGCAGGTCCGACTGCTATGAAGGTTCTCGCATTGTCAGATGTCAGCGGGGCGAGTCAGAGTACACGAATGTCAATCGCTAAATTTCTCACAGTAAGCAGCAAAATACCCCAAGTCAACTTTCATGGTAAAGGGTTTTAACATAATAGCTTTCCTACGTTATAACTCCTATAATATCTTTTGCGGTTGTAGGGGCTCTCAAAGCGGCAGAGGCTGCGAAGGAGTGAATCCTCAACGATATATTCTGTACCTACCAAAGAGATGATGACGCATCAAGCGGAATATGAAATAATCTAAATATGAACAAAACCCCTAAATAACTATATAAATCAGGCAGTAATTATATAAAGTTATTTGTTTATTATCACGTGGAGTTGGGACTTCAGCAATAGGGGGTAGATACTTCCTTCTCATTAGTCAGCATATTAAATCGATATTGCGACGTACAGTATATTCTTACAGTAATACCCACGTAATAACACTGTACCAAGGTAGTCTCCAGGGCTACTAGTAAGCTAGGCCAACATCAGATTCTCGGCTGCCGTTTTACTCGCTATTAAATCCTTAGACAATCAACGCCGCAACGTAAGACGCGCTCCTTGCCTTGTCGCTCCCCACATTCTACGTCCGGCGACTACGCACTAGGCAGCCTCCTTCTACGCTATTTATGACGGCCTCACAGCATGTAAAAGACACATTATCCGGGTGGCTTCTCACGTCGACTGAGGTGGAGCTATGAACAATGTTTCCACCCCGACCACGCCGGCGGACCCTCATCGTATATCCCACGGTCTTCAAGAGGACGACGCCGACGGCCCAGCACACTCCGCCGTGTCCGAGCAAAATCATGATGGCAGTGCCACCACGCAAAACCCATCGCTCTCCCAGGCGGCGAAGGAAGGCCTCACAAAGAAGTTGCAGTTCATGATACATCTTAGTGTTAGCTTGGATACTCTGGTGTATGCTGAGCTATGTGCGCTGTACTATATGGAGTATGAACCACCCCTATTCTGCTATTCTGCCTATAGCGTCAAATGAGAAATGTCGTGGTGTATCGTAAAATTAGTCACTGACGTCACGCCTTTAGCTGTTCATTTTTCCGATTGATGATACGCTGGGTGCCCCAAGCCCTATTTATTAGTCCTAAGGCCGAGGACACTATTCTCATTATACCCAACTACCACGTTTCTGCGATCATCGGCCCGAATTTCCTTTGCACGCTGATGCATCTTATCGCCTCTCTACCTCAAGCAGGCGAAGCATCGCGAGGCTATCTCCATGGTGGCATACTATTCGATTTCATCGGCCAGAAAGCGCCATCCTCCAAGTTCTCGCTCCTACTACTGGATATTCTGATATTTGCGCTGCAGTGCATCATGCTGACCGTGAATATGGAGAAGGAGAGAGTACGCAAAGTGGTGAAGCCGACGACTTTACTCGATAATTCCGAAATTTCCACAATCTCAGAGAGCAGTACAGGCCAGGACTACGACGCAGAAGAGCGGGGGGTTCTTAGAGATGCGCCCATCGTGGATGAGACCCATGACATCGAAATGCAATCATTAGGACACGAAAGTGGTGGCCAACAGCGCGATGTAGAAGAGAGAACTGGGTTACTTAGGCGAACGACTACCCCTACGGATAACCTCGAAAGTCTAGCCGACACGTTGAGATCCGGGAATGCTGTTCTGGCTAACTTTAACGTTCGGCGGTCACTTCAGACTGCTTGGCATAATCGGGCAAATTCGCCTGAAAGCGCGGCCGCTTATGCTATACAGAATGTCGGATATAATGCGACGCTCGCGGCTTTGGCAGCGCAGAGGAGGGCGAGGCTGGCTGCGGCACAGCCGAGGCAGCCATAAAATAGTCATGAAAGATCGTTGTACAAATTTAAAAGGATATCATATTATTACGCAATCTTCCTTCCCACGTTGCCGACTCCAGTCCCCTTCACCGAGACTATGATATCGCCCGTGTCGTCGTCTTCAGCATCGCGCAGTCCCCAACTACTAGCTCCAAATTTCCTAAGATCTCGTGCAAGTCCTATTACTTGCTCTGTGCCCATGACGTCTCTCCCAAGGCGTAAGCGCCCAACATCTTCGGATCCCATAGCCATCAGCGTCAGAACGGTCCCTGCTGCTGCCCCACTAACACAACCTCCTAGGCTTATGGCTTCTAAGAGCTGATATGCGCATCTCTTTCCGATATCTTCTGGAACTATGCCTCCTTTGGGTGGTACTACCACGTCTGCCGAATATAATACACCCACAGCGCTTGACTCCGCAACTAAGCTCAAACCGAAACCGATTCCCATTCTTTTCTTGCTCCCAGACTTTTCGGCGGCGTCGGGAATTAAAGGTGCCTGGTCGTATTGTGCCGCAATGTGTATATCTGATACCAAAGGGTTGAGTACTTCTCTCGCGGAATGTATCATGCGAGCATTATTTGATGCTGACACGCCTGTCGCATATGCGACGCCTCGTATTCTTTTTATCCTGCCGGGGCTCCTGTTCAAATGTAACGTTTTGGGCAGCCGGACCTGGCTCGCAAATCTGAGCTCCACAATACCCGCGCCGCCGCTACCGTGAGGCCCGGCGCATGACCTTTGGAGGACTCGCAGCTCTATCCGTGCCGCCGGAATGCCGAAGAGATTATATAATGGTAAAATGGCTGTACGGAAGGAGTCGACAGAGAGGTCGCCTGTCTCGGTAGATGATGTAATGACGCCTGGTCCCGAGAAGCGAACGTTCATGTGCGATTTCGAGAACGGGGCAAGGAGACATAGAGGTAGGAGGAAGTAGGTGACGCCTCGTGTGCAGGTGGCGGGTAGCTGGTGTTCGAGGATATCGCCATCTGAGGCACCAAAGCCTGGTATAGCGCCCGTAATTAAGCCAGGCTGATATGTTATGGTCGTACCGGTGTAGGATATCTGCATGGAACTGCCATTGGTGACGGCTTCGAGTAGACGGAGGAAGGAAACTTCATGTGGGGCGAGGCCGGGATTGGTGGGGGAATTAGAACGGATTTTGGATATGTGTATAGGTCGGCCTGTTAACGTTGCTAATACTAGGCGCTGTGTAAATGATTTGTGGCCTGTGAACTTGAGAAATTCTGGTCGTGGGGTCGACATCGTTGATTCTGTTGGGTTGAATCCGCGAAAGGGTTGTCGAGTACCCGGTTTACCTTAATGATGGAGATGGAAGAAATTCTGCCGTATGGATCGCAGAAAAAAATTAGCTAGGTAAAGGCGGTGAATGGCTAGGTACCAAATTTAGCATCTGTGGCTTGTCGACTAGATCGTTTTAGCGTGCATATACTTAGGTACATGCATGTATTGAAGTGGTGTGGGTTTAAGCTACGTGAAAAGTGTCAAGATCCCGACTTCCCAAAAAGTGCACTACCTGCCATAATATGTAATATCGACCCGAAGTTTGACATTCCGTCAAACCTGTTCCTCCCACCTTTTCCAATTTCACAGTCTATCACAAGCCAACCGTCAAGATGTTCGAAATAGACTGGTTAAGTCTCGCGCTCCCATTTGCGTACATCACTGTACTCGTTGGTTCTTTGTACACCTTTTCTACTATTTACAGAAAGCGAAAGGCGTGTATGTGAACCCTACCTAACACGCGAGTCTGCGCCGAGATTGACAAGTTTGCAGCACAGAGTGCCAACCTCGAGCCATGGTTCCCGCCCCATCTGCAGCGAAATATCTACCTAACTCTTCTTCACATGGAACCTGAACCTGGCCAAGAGAAGGCACCAAAGGTCCCGGATAGCGTCATCCGAGCTGCACTTCTGCGAAGAGCCGTCGAGGACATCCGTCGCATCATCCAGATCCGAACCTCGAAACAGGCGCTTAACACATTGTTACAAAGAGGCAGTGTCGGCGAGGACCTGAACCAGAGATTCACAAGAGCCGAAAAGGAGATCGAGGAAGAGCTGCGTGATGTCGTCACGGAGGTAAGAGCTGCCCGAGACATACAGCTTCTGAGGCGGAACATGGAGTAAGGAACAAGAGGCACTGACTTGTTACTAGGCCAATGCTCTCGCACCCGGTTGGGGCCAGACCATTTTCCAGTCCGCGAACGAGATCGCTGCCAACACCATGCTGCGTCTTAAGCTTGAAGAAATTGAGAGCCGCGCGGAAGCTGATAAGGAATGGTGGGAGAAGCGACGTGAGACGATCAAGAAGGACTTCATGAGGGAGTTAGATGAGGAATCATCGACCAAGGGCTCTGTCAAAGGTAGTGACGATGACGCAGTCCTGGTCGACTCGGGTACCCCTGCATCTACACCTGGAGGTTCTAAGAAGAAGAGGGGTAAGAAATGAGCGTTCATCGTCCGCTGCTTACCCTATCTTATTGTGGAGGAAAAGACTTGGAGCTGCTTGTTAGACCACCTCACCGTTTCTACTAATCGGTAGCATATTGCATCTTCGCATCCGGCGTTCAGGTGTAAGGTTATAGGGGTACTGTGTATGAGTACACACCGTATATATGCAGGTAGACTACGTCGTCGGCGTACGTAGTATCTGGGTATTGATACCCGTATTGGGAATTGTACTATGATCTCATGCCTGACTTTGCTGCTGATTTCTTGATTACTTGGCGTGCCATTGTGACACGGGAAGCTAAGTAGAATTGAACAATACGAGTTTCTCATTAGCACCAACTTAAGATACAGAATAATCATTATTAAAGAACACCCAGTATACATTTATTTGATTTTGAATCTAATACTAGCTTGAAGTAACACCTTATTTGCAACGAGCAGCTCTCTAAGTGTCTATAGGACGTATTAGTATGCATAAAAATCAAAGGCTAATGCTGATTGGGTAATACAACTTTAGTGCCGGTAAATTTTACGCTGCACCTACCTACAGAACTTACTGGCAACTGACGTACGAAGGACCCCTGCAATCCTGCAATAGAAGCTAGGTACCTTCCTCTACAAACACTCACTTTTCTTCGACCGTCCTGTCATCGTCACCCAAACAAATACCGCTCTCACCTTCGTTCCACACAAAACCTCGCGCCTCGCTTCATTTTCAATTGGCACGCATTGAATACAATGGCGGACCCGCAACCCGCACCAGGTCTCTCCTTCCCGACGAATCCCCAAGAGTTCGAGCACGACGAACGCATCTCGTTTTCGAAGCTCGACAACAAATACATCGCGGTGCAGGACGACGGCAGCGAGTTCGAGTGGGACGCCCAGCTGAAGCGGTGGATCCCCGTGCTGGACGAGGAGCTGCTCGCGCAGCAGCAGTCGGCGTACGGCGGCGGTGCGGCGAGCCCAGATGACGATAGTAGCAACGTGCCGAACAAGAAGCGCAAGAAGGGCCACGCGAACGGCGGCGGCGACCGATCGGGCGCGGGAGAGGGCGACGGAAAGGAAAACCAGAAGCAGCAGCGCCCGCAGAAGCGGCAGAAGCAGCCGCCGCAGCCGCGCCAGAACACGGCTATCTACGTCACGGGCTTGCCGCTCGACGTCACGGTGGACGAGGTGCACGAGGCGTTCTCGCGCAAGTGCGGCGTCATCGCCGAGGAGATCGACAGCGGGCGGCCGCGCATCAAGCTATATACGGACGAGGCCGGCAACTTCAAGGGCGACGCGCTGATCGTGTTCTTCAAGCCGCAGAGCGTCGAGATGGCCATCATGCTGCTCGACGACACCGACTTCCGCTTCTCGCCCTCGGGCCTGCCGAGCGGCAAGATGCGCGTCCAGGCCGCGGACTCGAGCTACAAGAAGACGCACTACGAGCGCGAGGGAGAAGGGGGCGAGGGCAAGGATGGCAGCGGCAACGGTGGTAAGGCCGGCGGCGGCGCGGAGGCCGAGAGCGATCGCAGCAACCACATCACCGGCGCCGGCAAGCCGCGCGACCGCACCCGCGAGCAGGAGAAGCAGAAGATCATCAAGCGGACGCAGAAGCTGGACGCGAAGCTCGCGGACTGGGACGACGACGAGGGCCCGTACGGCGCACAGCTCGAAACCGCGGCGCGGCGCGACCGCGTCGTCGTCCTGCGCCACATGTTCACGCTCAAGGAGCTGGACGAGGACCCGGCCGCAATGCTGGAGATCAAGGAGGACATCCGCGAGGAGTGCTCCAAGCTCGGGCCCGTGACCAACGTCGTCCTGTACGATCTGGAGGAAGAGGGGATCGCGAGCGTCAAGTTCAAAACCCCCGAGGCCGCCGAGGCGTGCGTGAACCTGATGGACGGCCGCGCGTTCGACGGCCGCACGGTAAGGGCTACGATAGCGACGGGCCGCGAGAAGTATAGGAGGTCCGGCAAGAAGCAAGACGAGGACGTGGAGGGCGAAGATAGCGACGATTGAGAGCGTGGAAGAGCACGTATTAAGGACCTAAAAGGACTAGAGAGAATGATAGTCCCTACCTACGTAAACTATCTATGCTGTGTGTATTATGTATTATGACTTGAGAAAAAAGAAGTCACGATGTACGATTGCGATTGCGATTGCACTGCGAGGGGCAAGGGGTTCTTGACTCTGCACGATGACATAATTACAAATGACTAACTAGGGAATCTCTCAAAACGTGCGTCTCGTGAGACGGGATTCTGCGTGGGTGGTTGGGTGGTTGGGAATACCTTCATAGTTAATCAAGCATATTGTCCTAGATGGTTTTCAATTAAGAGCTGAGTAAATTTGATCGAATAGCTACATACGCCATTCTCAAAAGATGCGTATTAGGAATGGTATTAATTAATGAATTTATATTTTATTTCTAACTTTTAACTTTTGGGAATAATTCGAGGTCATCGACTACTAAACATCATTATCTCACGTAACCGTCCTTACGTTCCGAGCCACAAGATTCGCAGTTCGGTTATCCAGTACGTGGAGCTCTCTTTGAGAGGTTTTACATATCCTCCAGCAAGTCTAGCTTCATCTCCTTTGCGCTGACCCACCAACCAGCCGCCTCGATGATCTGGCATACAACTTTCAGCTCATCCACCGTCCGAGGGGCATACACCATCGTAAATTGTTTCGGGACGGGCATCTTCAGCAGACACTGGCTCGTCAACGGGTGGCGTTGTCCCCAGCCCTTCTCGATAACCTCCTTCACATCGTCTGGGTGGAGGTTGAGGTGCATTGAATAGTCCGAGTTATGGACGTGGCAGATCTCCCCCTGACACGTCTTGTTGAAAGGGTATCGGGCAAATAACCCTAAGCCATGCTTCTCGAAGCACGAGGTGCCAACGCCCACCTCATCCGAGTTCATGTGACCGTGGTTCTCCAGGATGCGCCGCAGGGCGAGGTAGCATTCCCGGGACCCGAACTGATCTACCTGTCGCTGGGGTGCGATCCCAACTACCTTCGGGCGTAGGCCGCATCGGTAAGGAAGGGGTCTGTTACGGAAGACCCCAACAGCCGGCTGAATGTCCGGGTCTGCTGGGAGAGGGTTGAAGGGATCTACTCTGCAGGCCCAGAGCTTGAACCAATTGATACGGAGATATCCGGGAAAAGTTGCTGGTGTTCCCCCAGGACCAAGTTTCAAGTAGTTTTGGTAGTCATTGTGGATGAACACAAGGCCAGTGGCCAGGCCGACGGACATAGCTAGAACAGATGGCTCGACTAAGTGTATGCCAAACATAAGAATGATAGAAATAGCAAAGATAGCAGGTCCATCTAATGTGACGGATAGCGGGTCTTGTCGGATAGTCACGTTGATAGCCACAGGGTCGACATCTTGGTTGGGACAGGAGTCGATGGAAGAGTGTGTGAAGGTGTTAGTCCGTGTAAGTATACCGGACATGATGTCAGAGAAGACGTTGTGGAAGATCAGCTAGACCATACGACCAGAGTGAAGATCGTCGTAGAGGGGTTGCTTGAGTAAAGAAAGTGGCTGGAGCGAATTGTTCGTAAGGGACAAACCTGAAGGCCTAAAAGCACGAGTGAAGTCTTACCCAGGTGTTTTGTAACTGATGGGAATTGGGATTGAGAGGGGCGATTTATACCTTTCAAGGGAAGAAGGAACAGAAATTTGAGAGACATTGGAGATCTCAGGTGACTGGCTGCTTCCTACCGAGGGTCAAGTGATAGATGTTCGAAGCCAGGCACAGGGGCGTAGGGTTACTAGACTAGCCAGTGTAGCCACAAACCGTCAGCGGAACCGGTATTGAAACCTTGACATAACATCTGGAGAATCCAATACGGACTATGGGATGGAAATAGCCACTTGGACTCCCGCACGTCGACGTACAGCTCCAGTGTCCCTACCATACAATTATAACAATTGATCCACAGTTGACAGCTGAGTGGGTTGAGGATGGAAATCTGACATAACCATGGCCCGGAGGTTACGAAGGAGTGATGTATATATTGGGTCCAAAGATGGCCGTAAACCAACCCGATTGAAGAGCCAATTCGGACAGAGCAACACAAGGCGAATTCTGTGCGATTTCAATGTTTTTGAATGGAAAAGTGCCGGAGCTGTTGGGATTGTGTGTGATCGGACCTGCAGATATGCAATATGCAATATAAATCATATCCAGAGTAGCATCCCCATATAATGCGGCTGCAGATGGGAGCCCGCAGTCGGAGGCGGCGTCGCAGCTTAACCCAAAGTTGCTAAGGTGAAGCGCCTACGGATGTTGTCCAGACGTATCATTGTCCAGTGATAGCGAGCATTTGCAACGGAACGATCCTATCGGCATCCCGACTCTGCGAGCCGCTGCAAGTCGGTGCACTTGTAGGTAATCTACAGAGTACCGGATGCGCACCTAGGTATGTAGGTGTGGTCTCGTTCATTCGATGGACTCTCTGTGGGACGTCAGCCCATAAGAACTCATCTTTTTCCATGACAGTTTGCTAGCTTTTGTGTCCTCGTGACCACGTGGTCGATTCGTTGTCAACAGTTGAAAATGCTTGGCCTCGATGGAGGTTCATCTTGATGGCTATGCTGTATGTGGGAGTTGCACAAAGAGAACGGTATATATAGAATATAATATAACAGATATCAAAGGTGACTTTCAAGTTATAAACCACATGCGTTTCTCGGGTTGCAAGATCAATTGATGTTACTGAGCTTTGCCGATGTTGACATCAACTGGTTGACATGTTGAACGTGGGAGCGGAATATTATGTATAACGTTAAACGAGCCTGGGCTGCCTGGGTCTTTACCCCACGTACTAGGTATCACCCGTGTATGTACATGTATTCATTAGATGCAACATTCGATTAGTTAAACACACTTTCCTGCTCTCTAATTGGTTTGCAAAAATAGAATGCTTTGATTGGTTCATTGTAGGCAATTACGTCAACAGACCGGGATTCTACCCGAAGTACGAAGTATTTTAAGTATCTGCCTAATGCTTTCGAGGGCCGTTGCCAGGTCGTCGAATGCATCAGGGGTAAATAACAAGGATAGCCCTAGGGGGCTTAGTGGACAATGTGAGACGGTACTCCCAAAACAACCAACTGTCGAATCACGTATCGATTGTCGATTGCGATCCAGCTTGATTTGACTCTCAATTTCCTTGTTTCCTAGTTATAAACCCCCTCCAAAAAAACAATTCGTAAAAAGTGTCAACATCTAGGTGCAAAATATTTACACAGATTTTCTGAATTTATCACTACGTATCTAAGTACATGTAATCTCCCAAGTTGGGCATAAAGAAATCAATCAACAATTAGGTCAAGTTGGTGTACAAGTTGGTAGCCCCTTTTAAAACACATGTCGACGCAAACATGGGATCATCGTACTGATTATCGTCGCTAGAATTATTCAACCCCATCCAAGATGGGAACTTCCTCCTGGAATCCATTGCGCTCTCGCGATGGCCGACAATCCAAATTGCCCCTTTACGAAAACCTAAACCTACAAACACCAAGCAAGGAGCGAGATTCAAACGACTCATACGACGACTCCGACTCCGATGGATATTCTATCACCTCATCATCCCCAGGCACCAACAACTCGCGATATACGAGTGCTTCTATAACCGCCGCCACGCCCATAATGTCCAAAAGACACTTTATGGTTTCTAGCAAACCACGCCAGCCCTTTGGCTACCGTCTACCCAACAAGGTCGTTCGGTACCTGTGCTTTGGCTTAACAACTTTCATAGTTATGATGATCCTTACCCTCATTAGGGCCAGCCATAACGAAAATAGAGCACTTGCCGAAGGCAGGATCGACAGACCTGCGTCAGCTCCTCCTCCATGGGAATCTTATCCGTTCCTTACGAGATACTACGGCGGCATTAGAAACTTAGTCTCTTTCTCCCAGAATCTTCCCGAATATCCACGTTTACCAGGCGAACCACCTATAGACAAGTTGTCATATGTCAACAATACCATTTATAAGCCTGATGTTCAGGAACGGAGTTTGCCTGCTAGCAAGGAATACATCCGCTACCCGCAGAGTGTCTTCCAGAACGCCCCTGAGCAATTCCAGGAGTGCTATCTCGACAAGGCCAACAAAGTGCGCGTACCCCCTGTTCGCTACTATGAGGGGCGTCCCAACGGTTTCCCCGAAGCTGTTCTTGGCTCACATGAGCTTTTGGGGCTCCCTGAAGATATATGTTTCGAAAGGTATGGCAGATATGGGCCGTATGGCTTTGGCTACTCTGTTAGGTCCGGTGGTCTAGGCACTGGAGAACATGGCGAGAAGGAAGGCTACGAGTCTACATGGGAGAAAGTGCCCCAAGTTGACTGGAGCGGGATGGACTGGGCCGATATCCAAAGACGTTGTTATCGAGCAAATGTTGCCCGGTACAAGACCCAGCCTGCTAAGCCTCCTTCCCCTCATGGCTTCTATATCGATGAAGGTGCCGCCGCTATTAACGTCCAGGCGCGTGATACCTTGCCTGCAGAATCTGCGAAGTCTCCGGTAGATGAGGTAAAAGGAAAGAGCTCGGCGGCAGTATCCGATGGTGAATCTATTGAGAAACGATTGCCAAGAACTGCTGTTGTTATTCGTTGCTGGGACGAATATTTCTGGAAGGAGGAAGATGTTATGAACATCCGTTCCCTGATCAGCGAATTGGCGTTAGCATCCGGTGGCCGTTACGACGTTCACTTGCTCGTACAAGTTAAGAATGACGCTGCACACCCTATCTGGGCGGATTCGGCCACATATAAAAAACGAATCGAGGAGACCGTACCAGAGGAATTCCGAGGTCTCGTCACATTCTGGACGGAGACTCAGATGCTGTCTCTCTACCAGGGTATCTTCGATCTTTTCGCTCGTGGTCCGGATTTGCCTGTACATGGTGTCTATCGTGGTTTGCAGATGGCCATGCAATATTTTGCTTATCAACACCCAGAGTATGACTACTACTGGCAATGGGAGATGGATATTCGTTACATCGGCCATTACTATGATCTATTTACCAAGATTGAAAAATGGGCTAAGGACCAACCAAGAAAGGGCCTCTGGGAACGAAATGGACGATTTTACGTGCCTTCCGTACACGGAACGTGGGAGGACTTCAAGCAGATGGTACGGGTACAAAGCGAAATGGGTGTCACCGGTGCTGATAATATCTGGGATGGTGTTTCTGGAGCAAACAAGCAGTCGCAGGCCAACCGTGGCGATAAGCCTATCTGGGGGCCTGAAAGGCCTAAAGATCCCAAAGATTGGTTTGAACCCGAAGAAGACCCTGTGCCGGAGACACCTTATGAAAAGGATAAGTACGTGTGGGGAGTGGGCGAGGAGGCCGAATACATCACATTCAACCCTATGTTTGATCCCGAAGGGACTACATGGGGTCTGGCCAATGACATTACCGGCTACAACACAACAGATGGGAACGGAATGCCGCCCCGTAGAGCCCAGATCATTACTGCATCTCGCATGTCTCGTCGCCTGCTCATGAAGATGCACCGAGAGACTGCCTTCTTCAAACACCACGCTTTCCCAGAGATGTGGCCAGGTACCGTCGCCTTGCAACATGGTTACAAGGCAGTATTCGTACCGCATCCTTTATACGTGGACCGTGAGTGGCCTACAGAGATCTTCGCCCGAACCCTCAACAACGGCAAGAACGGAGCCACTGGAGGTTCACGCACTTCCGTCTTCGGTCAGCGTGAGCATAACCTCATAGGTCTCACATGGTTCTACAACTCGGGATTCGCACCGAACTTGTATCGAAGGTGGCTCGGCCTAAAGGTGAACAACGATGGTGGCGAAGAGTTCGAGATGACAGTGGACGAGAGCAAAAATGGCACGAGTGTCAACGAAATGCGCGGCGGTGAGGGCAGGATGTGTCTACCACCCATGCTGCTCCACCCAGTCAAAGATATTGATTTGCCCGTCGAGGCCATTCCAGAAGAAGCACTCAACGGAATACCCGAGTCGGACCCAGCAGCGTGAACGGGATAAATCGCGAGACGAGGGGTTAAGGATACTCGGACGGATGCATTGGTCAGGGGTGTTGTAATGTATATGGACTCTTAACACTTACGGGGGCGTTGTTCGGAAATCTTGGAATTGGCGGTTTCTCCCGTACTTTTTTGTTTTCAGAGCGAGTTTGAATGACCGATGCAGAGCAAGTGTTGCGCGTCGAATTCCCGGTGTACCGTATGGTTGTACACAGATGGAAGAGTATGGCGGGATAGAACGGAAGGATAGGATGCCTACTTAGAAAGTAGGCTGTAATCTGACGAGTAAATATGACCTGACTTTTCCTGTAGTTTCTCGTGGATAGTGCCGTGGAACGTGTGATTTCTAACTCAAGATACCCCTTAACAGCATACTGTCTAAGGTCTGGCGTAGCAAAAGGCTGTAACAGATCACGCACGCATTGCTAAGTTTACTACTTATGTAGCTGATCTACGTCATTCTTCAATATACCTCGCAGGTATAGTATATGTGAGATTACCCGTGTCCAATTCAGAGCTCATCTTCGATCCTTCCTACCTTCAGTCTCAGCCCCAACTTGCCACTTTCACTTTCACTTCCACTCGCGCTTTCGCACTCAAATTCTACGTTTCCTACATCTCTAATCATCTCATCTCATATCAAACATCTCTCTTGTTCTAGCTAAATGGTCAATAATATCTTGGCACAGGCCCCTATAGATTCGATGGTTGGCATATGCCGCAGCTTGAAGATCTTGAAGAATGGAAGGCTATCCAACAAACACTTCCGCTCATCTTCTTAAGCGCACAACATGCAAAGGGCGAGCTGTCGAATTCGCATGAAGACAAGGCTTATCACAATGCCGTCGACGATTTCTGCCAGGAGATACAGATGGTCAAGCTTTCAAGCCCACAAGGCTCTGGTCTCTCTGAAGCCACTGTGCAAGAATGCCGGTCCAAGCTGATATAACTTCTTCAACTTTTCGAGTCTTTTGCGGATGAGAAACTAATTGAAGCTGCCTTATTGTTTTCTTCAAAAAGTCGGCCTTCTGGCACGGGCAAATCTATACCTTCATCTTCCTTTTCGGAGGATCTACGTATATGTTTCCCCAAGCTTGGCAGGCTCTCCGAATGTAGAACTGAATCTGTACTAAGAGAATACTTATTTCGGTTTGACCCATCATCAACTACGGCAGTCACTTTACAATGTGCCGTCGAAACTATTACGAACGTCAACAGGTTTCTCATATATATCGCTCCAGCCCCTCTACGCTCTTTTATAACCCCTTCGACTAAGAAGGAATCGGTCGATGTGGGCGACAAGATTCGAATTTTTACGGAAAATATCCTCGACAGACTACATTCCATCTTCTCAGAATGCAGATACGGAGTTACCCATGGGATGATGATCCAGTTACCTTAGTTACAAAATTTGGATAGGCATATATCTTTGGCAACATTGAATTTACTCCTTAGCTCATGCGTGGGCCATAGTAGCGATGCTACCCTCTGGCAAAGAACCTCCTGTTCATATCCTTCGCATACATAAGTCTTCGTACCTACTTCTTACAAAGGCTGTCATAAGGGTTAACATGTTGCTTATAAGTAATTACGAAACCCAAGATGGTATATTAAAAGCTGTGAGGGAGCTCTGCTCTATGATTCAGCGAGCCTTACATTTGAACGAACACCTTCAACTTTACCTATTAAACGAAGAGCTAGTTGCTACTGAGAACATCGACACCCTCACTGCACAAGATAATGCGACACTGGGCCAATCGTTGTATGATTTGATAAAAGCAGGTCACTTCCAACGGATAACATGGAACTCAGAAGATAGATTTACCATATGGGAGAAAAGGAGGCTTGCGTTGAATCTTGGGCATATTTTCATGCACCTATACGATTGTAAATGGACAAAGTATGGGTGGGAAGCAGCTAATTTGTATTTTCTGGCCTCATTGGCGATACACCAGCGCGAAAATCTGTTACAGCTTCCTCCTTACCTGGGCTGCGGATCACATCTGGTCAGTCCAACGGAAGGGATTGAACATCCATACTTCAAGGGGCCTTCCGACTTTTTATCATTTGGAAAGCTACTATTTGAACTAGAATTCGGAGAAGAAATCACGGCAACACAACGGGATAAACTTGGTACGCCAAGTTTATACATCACCTTATTAGTTGCTCTCGAACAAGGACGGATATCGGCGAATAAGTATTATGCTAAGGCTGTTCGTGGTTGCTTACAACTTTACAAGAACCCCGGGCAACTTGAATCAATGAGGATGCGGCTCTACAGTGAGGTCGTCTCGAACCTTGAGAAAGAGTTGGAATGCTTAGAGAAACCACCTCACCCACGAGCCTTAACGCCTCAGGTTTCTGAAAAACCTCATTCGTTCGCCAATGTCGAGTCATACGGCATTGAAAACCCACCTCCTTGCTCATTCGCCCGTAATGTGACTTCAACCGATAGTGGTAAAGGGCAACCCGAGCCCTCTGTCACCGATCCCACGGTTTTCTTGCGATCCGAATCCAAAGGATCTACTCTACCAATAACCACTGAGTCCAGGGACGTCAAAACTAATCAAGGGTCACTTAGACAATATCCACAAACTTGCCACTTATCTCAAAAACAGAACTTACGCCGAAGCGCCAGGCTAGGGAAGATACATGCCAAGAAAGAGAGCCTCAGGGATCTGGTTTCTCTGCCAATACTCTCATACACAACCGAAAACAGGATATCCAAAGTTCGTGAGGCGGAGACTCGGCCAAGAAGAATTCGAGCGACTGAAGAATGGCGACTATTTGATGAGACGCATATTTCGAATGATGAGCGAACGCGATAATCGCTACTATTTCGTCGCGCCCTGGCGCTTGTGGGACTCGAGGACACCGGAACTGGTTGATGGGCTTATTAGGAATGAGTTATATTACTAATATACATGCACGTTATAAATATATATTCAATGACATCTCATTAGTATAACTGCACGAATGTTTTTCAGGGAATTTTGAAAGGTATTTTGATGATCTAGGGGTAGGTACACAATTTTTTGATACCCTTGAATACGATACAGAGGTATTCTTCTGATACAATGACAACACCAATGGGACAAAAGACTTAAACTAAATTGAGTGATTAGAGATGTCGGGGTAGAAGACGATGCTGGTGAGGAGGTGGTACTGGTTGAGGAGCTCACGGGAGGCATCGAGCCTTCGAGATGGGTTATACCTGCTTAATCAGAGGAGACTGCATTTCTTTTCCCCTATTTCATGATGGGATGGATGTGTATCGGAAGGGCAGCCATGATAGATCTAAAGACAACGGAAATGGAATTTCTTACATGTTATATAGGAAACGGGATGGTAAACCTGGGAACATACTATGGATTGGGATTAGTTGCAATCAAGATGTTCAAATAAAGTTGACACTTTAGGAAGATGTGAAATACACTAGTATATAAACTATACTGCGAAGTGAAATAAATCCAACGCCCACTCCCTATTCTGGGAGTGGACTGGCAAATGAGAAAAGTATCAACCTTGGAAATTCAAGGACTCTTCGGAAGGCCAAGAATATCATAAGGACAGCAATAGGGGGTAAACACACGGAGCGCGAATCGAGACAAACAGAGTTATCCAATAATAGACACTAGTAGATTACAACATTATGAATCAGACCCTACGTTCGAACAGGTCGATGGTATTCGTGGCACCTCCTAAAGTCGTGCGACTCGAACATACATTCGCTTGCTTGCGCCGCCCGATCCGCCCTTGGCATCGCTCCTACATATCAAAGGGACCTCCCCGATCTTAATTCATCCATAAACTCCTCCGTAGCTAGAGCGTATATATTGCAACCGTTTGGAGAACTATGTGAGAATGTACAATACAGCGCTTATGCGTTAGCACTCCTTGTCTATTTACAGACTGATGCCGAGGACGGAAGCACAACCGAAGTAACGCTCGCACTTGCAGGCGGTGTTACCGTCCTTCCATTGGTCGGAGGTCAAGCTGAAGAGGACAGCCTTGTCACCGCACTCGCTGACAATGCTCTTGATGGCCTCAGCTTGCTGGGACACACCAGGAACGGCAAGACCCATAGCCTCACCCTGAGAGGGCCAACCCGTCTCAAGGATGATACCGGGGACGTTCTTGCAGATGTTGTCGATGATGTCAAGCTGGCCCTTGACGAACTGACCAGCCTGGGAAGCATCGGTCTGGGTGTTGAAGAAGGCGTGGGCGTTAGCACCAGCGACATCAACGACACCGCAGATAGCAGAAGAGAAGTCACTCTGTTGCCAGATGTTGACGGTCTCGGCAGTGGTGTACTTTCCGGTGTAGCCGCTGAACTCGCCCTTGCACTTGGTGATGAGGGAAGCAAGCTCGGAAGGCTGGCAGTAGCCGTGGAAGACGGCCTCGTTACCGACGGAGATAAGCTCAACGAGATCCCACTGGGCCCAGCTCTTGATGGCGCTGATCTGCTCAGTGACGCTAGGGTTGCTGGCGTCACAGCCAGGGGAGTCGATGAAGATACCAAGGATCATCTTGAGTCCGTGCTTAGCGCAAGCACCACCGACGTTGGTCAGAGTATCGCAGTCAGTGGAGTAAACACGGACGCTGGTGATACCGGCAGCGGCGATGGCAGCAATGTCCTTCTCAACCTCGCTCTGGCTCTTGCATCCACCGGCCTCGCTGGTCTCGTAGGGGGTGTAAGAGATACCCCATGGCTTTCCAGCGGCTCCACCGAGAGCGCCGGAAGGCGACGGCTTGGCGGAGGAAGAAGAGGGGACGACGGTGGCCGAGGGGACAACCGACGAGACGGCGATAGAAGAAACAGCGGGTGCAGGGATAGATACCGACACGGAGATAGCAGGAACAGCAGCGCTGGTTGGGACCGCAACGGGAGTGGTGGATGCGCTGGGAGTGGGGATGTCGAAGGGGCAGTACACAACGGTGCTGGTCTCAGTGACGGTAGTCACAACTTGGGGCTGAGTGTAGGTACCGGGAGTGTAGCTGGTAACGGAAGGAACAGTAACGGTGGTAGGCTGGCTAGCAGTTACGGTGTGAGGGGCGATGGTGTAGGTACCAGCGGACGGGCACACGTAGGTCGTAGTCTCGACGACGCTGGTAGTAACGCTTCCGCTGGTGGAAACGGTAGCGTACGGGCAAGTGACGGTAGTCGCGGTGCTGACGACAGTCGTAACACCACCAAGAGTGTGAGTACCAACGGGTACGGAAGTGGTGGAAGGAACGCAGACAGTCGTAGACTCGGTCAGGGTGACGGTCGTGGCGGGGAAAGTGTAAACACCAGTGGTAGAGCAGGTCTGGGGTACTGGCGTAGGCACAACAACCGCGGTCGAGGTAGGGGTAACCGGCGCAGGAGGAGCGGAAGTAGTCGCCGGCACCGGAGGGAAAGAGACTAATCAACACGGTTAGATCATGACTGTTTAATGCGATCATTCAATGATTTGTCACATACGAGTAGCTTCACCGTAGTAGGTGCTGTAGATCGTGGTGCATCCACAGGTGCTGTTGTCCCTCTTCGCGAAAGCACGAGCCTGATCGTGGGCGTGGGCGTGTCTGTGATGGACGCTACCGGCAGCGGCACTACCGGCCAGAGCCGCAACGGCGGCGGCAGCAAAAGTGGCCTTCATTATATCCGCCTCTTGAGAAAAACTCCTTGGAAATTTCTGACTTCAATTAACCGGAACCGGCTGCGCTTATTCAATAATGTAGAGCTGTTTGCTGATTTTCGTGAGATCGTAAAAACGAGTGCCCGCTGAAAGAGTGAAGCGGTGGGTTGGGTACGAAAGGACGAAAGCTGGAAGATGCGCTTTCACGTCACGGCATCGACATTAATATGATCGTTTCGTAAGGAGGGAAGGGAAAAAATAAGGAGGGTATCATGGCAACGGCAGACCATGTAGTTTTATTAGGGGCGCCATGGCTTCATGGGTCTGTCAAGTGCCAATTTTACTTGATGTTGTTTTTGGCAATGGAGCAAATGGGGAGCCAGCACTGACAGCGTCTGTCTCCGCTTATCCTGGGCACCCCTTGCTCTCCATTCTGCCACTTTCTCCATTTTCTTCTGCATCTTCTGCAAATGGTTCCTGGCGATGCATGGGTACTTGCTAGGGTGACCAGGGGTACCCGTTCGAGCGCGCCCAGCAATTGCCCAGTTCTTCTAGGCCGGATTTTTGCACAGATAGCATTAGACTTACCTAGTACTGAGCTGCTGGCTCAGTCCGCTCAGGTACCTACATATGCGGTCTCCATAAATTTGCAGCCCATGGCCGCCACGGTGTCTCGCCGCTTATCGACTGAGTCCATATTAAACTCCGAATATTGAACAGAAAAAGTAAATCTCTTTTTCGGGTGGAAGATGAGCGCTGTGCGATGACTTAGGCGTGACCGCACTGCCGGATTGGTAGGACATGTTCGAGAAAACGGTGAATAAGGGGCGTTGGAAAAAAGGGTGGAAAAGGTGCAAGCTTGGCCCGATTGAGAGACTGTTCATAAAGTGTTTGTCGGATTGACCAATCAGTCGCGGCCTCGGCGAGTGATTTCGACCTTTCTTGGAAGGCGATCCTCTTTTTCTTGTGGGGATATGCGGTCTTTCCTTTTGTCGCTCAGGGAAATTGCCCGACAGCCAAGCGAAATTACACATCGGCCCTGACTAAACCTATTCGCTCTAGAGATAGCAAGGACTAACTGTAATACGAAGTACCCTCGTACCTAACCACTCCTAACATTGAATCGCTACAACTATTATTATTAGACTTCCCAAGCGCGTCAACTATCAAGATAAACATGGGGGAAACGCTGGAAGGCACAACTCCTTTTCCTCTCGTTCGGAAGTTAACTGATCCTTGATTGGTTCATCTTCTCCTCTCCCCTATCTCCAATTACCATAGTACGGTACATACTACTACGCTTTCCATAACCCACGTCATTCCAACCCGGAGGAATCATTATCGTTGCCTTCAAGGTTGCTTAGCTTTGCTCAGCTACGGTCGTCGGTATTCCCCAGCACATGTACGCGACCTAACAACTTAGTGTATGAACGGGAAGATGAGCAGAATGATCCGAAGGCGGAGTGATCTCAGATGCAGAGATGCCAATAACTCTTCGTTCGCTGATCCTTTGATCAATCATCGATGATCGTCCATCTCGCTCGGCTCCATACTCTGCAACTGTGCCTTACAGCGCCCCTAAGCCGCACAGAATAGATTGATTATAAACTTGACGGGTCCTTTCCGTCTCGGTTGTCGACCAGCCTGCCGGCTTATCTGAAAGTTGTGTTGGTTGCGCTGGTCTGGGGAATAGCCTACTATCGGCACAGGCTTTAGCTTCAATATTCCTTTCCCACATTACATTCATTACACTGCATACCGGCAGCTGGGCAGTCAATGCTACGTAAGCTACCTATTTACCAGAACATTTGACTATGCTTAAGCCTGAAGCCCTGGAAGACCCCTTAATACGGCTCGGCACTAGAGTGTTGGCTGAGTTGTGGACCTGAACAAAATTAATAACAGGCTAATAGGATTTCATCGTTTTAAAACTTAGGGTCTAGCCTGCTGTTAGGGTACAGACGTTAAATCTTGGGCTTTCCAAGGCCAACCTCCACACGATGCTACATACATAGTACTATTGTATTATCTGCTAATTCTATCCAACAATCATGGATGGGGAAAAGGAAACTAATTGTACCTAGGATGATGCACATGGGTACCTATTGGTCGTTCCGATATAAATCACACATGCAGAGAATCCTATTAGCTAAACCGTTCTCAGCCTTGTCTCCCTAGAACTTACTGTTATATTACCTGGCAGCAGCAAATTGGGCAATAATCTTCACCGATCATTGATCGTCTGTCCACCGAGAGCCGAGATCATGCAAATCCTCCACAGCTCCATTATTCAAGCTTTTATTAACATGCTGTTTCAGGTATTTCGAATGTCAATCTCTCTTCGTTCCTTACCAGTCACGTACCACTAGATGACATTAGTGTGTTCTTTGAATACCTTTTTGCCTAGAGGCTCAAGGACTCAAGTTCATCTTGAATCCTTCATACTACCATTACGAGATGAATATCTAGTTATTCATGCAAGCTATTTTGTATTTCGATAAACGTGTAAGCGGTGTGTCCTCTGTTTCCTTTCCAATTTATCTAGAGAGCCGGATGATACAACCAACGATAAGCGTCAGCCGGCTTACATAGGTATTATCCGCATAATTGTATGCTTAACAGTAGGCGCATCCAAGTAACCACGCTACGTAGGGTCTTTCGTCCAAAGATGCAATGCTGCTCCGAGTAAATATTATAGATTGTAACCTTTCCCTGTAAAATAAACTGGTTGGCAGAAGCTAATTCCCTCCGCTATAACTTTGACTGTTCCAAATAAAAGAATCATGTAGGTAGCATAGACATAGGGAAAGGCCATCTAAGAGAGTGTAATTGGTTTCTCCGACCCTCCTCCTTTGATCCTATTATAAATATGTTGCTCATAGTTACTGATATCTCCAGTCGGTTTTATTATAGTTGTATCAAAGCAGTAAGTGCTACGGACACGATGAATAGTCCGACCTGCGTCTAAAGTTAGTTGTGGGGTAGAAAAATGTAAAGCAATGAGAGCCTACCGAAACACCGGTCATAACAGCGTCTCCTGCTACGGGCGTTGAGCCGGAGCCGGTACCATTCGACGCTACTCCGCCAGTACCGACGGGTGCTACGCCGGCCGTCGTTCCCGTTCCGGTCTCGGAGGCCATAGATGACATATCAGACCCCATGCTATCGCTAGACATACTAGACATAGACGACGCCGTCAACGTTGACGTCAACACGGTGACAGACGCACTGGAAGTCTCCGATGAAGATACAGACACCTCCGTTGATACGGATGTTGTGGCACTAATATCCGTTACCGTCGTTGTCATCATGGAGTCAGACATGTCGGTGGCGGTAGCATCGCTCGCGGGAGAGATGTCGGTCAAACTGGTGGCGGTGTCATCCATGGATGTCTGCGCGAAGGCGCCGCCGACCAACGCCAAGAGTGCGAGATGTTTGATAGCCATAGTTCGACGTTAATGATCACGACGCAGATGGATAGATGAATTATATGTGATGAATGTCGGGTGAGTTGAGTTAGAAGGGAGTCTGAGATTATGTAGCGGGACGGAAGGCCGGATAGAAAAAGCTAGCAACCGGACAAAGACAGAGGTGAGGGCCTTTGAGGCTATGACATAATCCATATCTACCTATGCCCGAAGGCGAGGTTCCACTGCTCCTTTCACGTTGCATTTGGCCACTGGGGAATGAAGTTGAAAGCAGGGAGGTGTATGTTGGACTTCCTCCTTGTAAGATGTTCGAAAGCAGAACTGAAGTGGCTAGCAGATTCGTAACCGATCACGATCTTGAACTCGGTAGCTGGAAAATTGATCGTGAATAGTTTTATATTCATAACACTGCGATTTATTTGTTCTTGATCAATTTGAAATGGAAAGGCTCTCATATACGCACATAGCTCTTCGTCTCGCATATAATTTGAAACGAGGTTATAGAATTCATAGATAGTACTGATAACCTTATATAATATGGATGCACTTGTTAAATTTAAAGATGGCGTTAATTGCGGGCCGTTGGCAGCTGATTAGATAGAAGGTGCAGCTGGCGGTAAAGTAAGGCCAAGCCCCACAAGCGTTGAAAAGTTGCAACATCAAATTTTTACCACGGACAACCAAGACAACCAAGTTTTATATGCTTGACCGTCTTATTCCCTTGAGTTGAATTTCGTAGCAAGAATGTTGCGAACGTCGACAAGGGCTTACGTATGCTGGAGATGCGCCTCTCAAAGGCTCACTTCAAATGTATTGAGGTCGGAAGCAAAGGTGCTGCCAAGAGCCAAACACCCGTTATGGATAAGAGTACGTTATACGCTATAACACGTTTTAAAAGCCATGCCTCTAATAAATATCTACAGAATTTAACCACTGTGCAAAACCCTGAAATCAGTGGTAAAGAGCCAGAGGCGCTAGATCTATTGGGGGACAAGAAAATCCCTACCCGAGAACGCCTACGGAGATGGGAGCAAGAGAACCAAAGTGAAGCACAAACCATCTTGTCCGATTATGCTGCAGATGGCGAATTGTCCAACACCATCACTCGGCCACAGAATGTATCCATGGCCAGTTTCGAAGTTGCTTCACCCTTATTCGATGGAGATGAACTGGGCGATTTGCGCGCCGAAGACGCCAATCTAGAGCCAGGTGACATGGTCGAGCTAAGGTATGATCACTCTTCTCATGCCTACTCTATATAGAAACTGACATATATCTCTTAGCTCCGAGAGCTCTAGGCGGCCAATGCTGGCGATTTACTTAGGTCGCTTCAGCGGGTATGAGCATTACTACACAAGTAGTGGTAAATGGTTTTCTGGCTTGGGCGTCAAGACGCTTTTCGTTGTGAACAATTTTATCGAGCCAGCCGAACTCCAGCCTGTCATCAATGAACTACCAAAGGGTGAAACCCCGTTGGAGGCTCTGAATGCTCTTCAGGATCTCAACCATAACCCTTCAATGGCGACAGGGGCCGAATTGCTGCGTAAGATGTTGACCTTTGCTCAGGACGCTGAGGGGGTGTACCAAGAGAATGCCGGTACTTTAGACGCATCTAGCGCCTTCATCGGCGACCCAGTGAAGCATCGCTACCTCACCCTACACGAAATCGCACAATTGCTTCTTCCCAAGTCTTATCTCAAGAATGGAAAATTCCAACCTGAAGCCTTATACGCTGTGCACAGAGCTTTGTTGCAAGACGAGGTTTTCTTCCGTCCGCTTAGACAGACTGGTCATAAGAGGTCATATCTCTTTGAAATTAGCCCACTTTCTGAAGTTCGCATCGTACAGAGGGCAGAAACGATGGTGCGAGAGTATCTAGAGAGAAGAGCCCAGTCGTTAAACGGCGAAACAGTCGCGGAATCCCCAGTGGTCGGCTTCGTTAACCGCGCCCGCAAGTTAATAGACCGAAGTCGGAAGAACCGTCAGTGGACAGGAACTGGTATCATCGGACCATCGACGGCAGCGAATCCTTCATCGGAACCATTCAAACATGAGTGGTCTGTTGAGACAGATGTAGAACTCCTACAGTTCATAGAGCTATGGGCAAGTTACCAAAAATTCCCAAGCTACTCACGGCTTCAGTGCTATGGCTCCGCTATTTTGAAAGCCCTCGATAGATATCAGGATGCCGAGAACCTGTCTGCATCTGCCGGCTGGACCTTTCTGCAAGAAGTCGGTTGGATACCGTCCTGGGAAATTCCTGCTCGATACAACATACGTTTCCCTGGCGTTGAGATCCAGCGTGGAGGAGGCTACGTCCGACCAACCTCTGAGAGTCTCGAACGTCACTTAAAGAGTGATCTCTTGGCTCCTATAAGAAAGACGTGGGAAGATCTCACTGCTTACTGCATTGACTCTGAGGCTACAGTGGATATTGATGATGCCGTATCTCTCGAGCGGACATCTGATCCCGACAAATATTGGATCCATACCCATGTAGCAGATCCGGCTTCTTCAATTAAAGCAAAGACTCCACTTGCTCAATTTGCCGAGTTGATTCCAGAAACGATATACTTGCCTGGGCATTTTGAGCGTATGCTTCCAACCAACGTTGGCTCGGATATATTTTCTTTAGCTCCGGGCAGGCGATGTCTAACATTCAGCGCGTTGGTGAGCAAGGATGGTATCATTAAGGATTATAAAATTACCCCTGGAATTCTCAAGGACGTTGTGTACATGACTGGCGAGGACGTTTCTTTAGCGATAGAAGACAAGACAGAGGACCCTCTCTTTAGAGAAACAGAGATGACGCTTGGCCCAATTCCGGAAGCCAAGGCACCGCCGCGACGGATGACTCGACCTCAAGATCTGAATAGCCAGCAAAAGGACGAACTAGCTTTGCTGTGTGAATTGGGGAGAGCGGTTCAAGCTCACCGACTTCGTCAGGGGGCAACGCCTTTCTTCCAACCAAGGCCCCAAGCCGAGGCTTACTTTGATCACATTCCGAACCGCGAGCTAGACAACTTTTTATCTTTGGTCGGAGATCCTTCTATCCGTATCGGGTACTCACGACGCACGGGGACCGACTTGGTCGAGAACACGATGAAACTAGCCGGTGAAGTCGCAGCTCGATGGTGTTACCAGCGCGGGATCCCGATCCCATACCGCACGCAACCCCACGCCGTCAAGAACGTCGAGCTCTTGCAGCAGTACACGCGTGACGTCTTCTACCCCCAGCTCAGGGAGGGTATCCGGCCGAAGGACCAACAATGGCAACACCTACGCGCCCTCATAGGCAGCGACGAGATTACCACGGTGCCTAGCCCGCACTTCACCCTCGGCGTAGACATGTACACCAAGGCGACGTCGCCGCTGCGCCGCTTCTCGGACCTCATCGTGCACTGGCAGATCGAGGCTGCGCTGAAGGAGGAGCACCGCCGCGGCGCGAGCCTGGTGGGGAACACGGCCCAGGACTTCCTGCCCTTCGACCGCGAGCAGCTCGACCGCATGCTGCCCATGATCCGCGTGCGCGAGCGGCAGGCGCGCGCGCTGACGAGCGGCATCGGCGGCGACCAGTGGATCCTGCAGGCGCTGGTCCGCGCGTGGCGCTTCGGCGAGGCGCCCATCCCGGACACCTTCCGCTTCAGCGTCGTCCACGTCGCCGGCCGCCGCGCCGTCATGGGCAAGCTGGACTGGTTCGAGCGGGCCGCTACGCTGCGCCCCGACGCCATGAACGACGTCGTCCGGATCGCCGACGTGCGCGTCGGCGACGTCTACGAGGTCAAGCTGCGCGACGTCAACGTCCACCAGAACCGCGTCCTGGTCGAGGCCCTCGGCGTCCTCGAGAAGGTCGAGTCTGAGTCTGCCGCCGAGGAGGAACCCAAGTCTGCTACTGCTGCCGCTGCAGGGTTCGAGCCTGCTGTTGCTGTTTAGCAAGCTTTTGACGCTTTTTCCGCGGAGTTTCGAACGCTTTTTTTCGCCTACTCCTGCCCTTCTTCTTTCTGAGACAAGAGGCGGAGGCAAGAGATGAGGAGCTGAAGCCAGAAACATAGGTATCGCGGCGATCTCGCAAAACATAACCCTCCCGCGCCGGCTTTGTTACACAGACTAGACTAAGACTCCGTGGGGTTAAACTAGGGGATGAAAAAACGGGGGTTAGGAAGGATGAAGGTCCAGGAAGAGATTACGTGGAGAGCTATGTACAGTAGGTAGGTAGGAATTACGGCTCTAATTCCGCATGTACCTATACAAACAACCTTACGTCGAGGCCTAAAAAATCTACCGGCCTTTGTTTCTCGGATCTATGACGAAATCCCTTATCTCCTCTACGAGTAGCCATTGTTACAATTATCACTCCTATCACTGCTATCATTGCTATCACTACTAGCACAATGGGATTAGGTAACTTGATTTGATGAGTTTGGCAAGAGCTTTGTTTTTTTTTGCATTGTGTCATGATCATAAGACTTTGGTAGACTGCCTATTTGCCTTGCTACGTGTGCTGCTTAGGGCAAAATCCACCCGGAGCCCTACCAGGCTCTATAACAAATTACGGCACGCTCCAAAGTCTAGAGACGTCGGGAGTGACGATACGTCATCTCGGTTGCGCGAACTCGGACAGGTAACACCACACCAAACACACTCGTAGTAACTACGTTGTGCCAAATAGAACTGCGCTTCCCTCAAGCATTATGATACCTAGGAGGTCGACGGATGGCCCTCGTAGGTGCCGTTTAAACGCGTTTCAATAGATGATATTGCTTTTCCCCTCTATACATCGACCTTCCTGTCCTTTAGCCTGTCCGTTGTTTGGTCGCCCGTTAGTAATCAGTCCATATAACGCCCCGTAAAATCGCCGGTAGAGGATATCACACCCGTATGTGCCGTGATACCGTTTAGTGTTATTATCTTCTATGCTCCAACTCCAAAGACCCTAGTTCTTTGATATGAAAGTGATTTGCTCGAAAAAGTGATATTAGTGCGGTTACGCGCAATTCTGATAGATGCCGGATGCTATGCAGTATAGGTGAAGTAAAGTTCGTATGATACGTCGGTCAGTTGAGATGCCAAATCGACCATCCCAAGTGACTTAAGGAGAATTTCCCATCGGCCTAATTACTATCCCAGATGTGTCGGAAATTGTTTCTTTTTCGGCGGCAAGATGATATCAACAGGGTTGTGCGGCTTCATCTTCTCCATCCCACGTTCCATATGACATGAGCGATGTCACGGGCGGTATTGACCGTATCTATCACTCTACCGATGATGCCATCATTAGGCTGGACATCACCGTCATCGAATGGCATGAACATGCCACTCGCTGTCCGACGCATGCCAGCCGGCTCAGATGTGAGACTACTAGTGGGAGTCGAACGTGAGGGATTAGGCTGTTTGAAGGGTGATGTCGCTTCAATAGGGCTAGACATTGGGGTTGAATTAGTTTCCTCGTCTAGTTCATTTCCATCATCGTCACCCACATAGAATGGGCCTGAGGCTCTGGAAGGCCTCAATGTCTCTTGCGAGGAAGATGGTGACAGGAGTGGACTCCTTAAGCCGCTAGTACTGTGCTTTATCGCGGTTTCTGGGTTGGGAGAATCTTCCCTATACTTCAATGTTGTCGAAGGTAACATGGCGATAGTCTTGCTCTCGTTGGGCGTGTGTACCGGGGATCTTCTGCGTGGAATAACAGGCTTCTTTGATGTTTTGGTTCTCTTCATCATTATTGCACCATCGTCGGAGTCGCTGTCGTCAAATCTCCAACGGCAATGGTCTACTTCATCTTCTTCGTCATCCCCCTTGACATCAACCGCGATGCATTGTTTTACCTGCTCGTCAAAGTGAATATGCTTTCGTTCCGAGGAAGGTGAAACAAGACCGGAGGTGGCCGTAGAAGTTAGAATACTCGTGTTATGCGGACTCCTTCGAGAGGAGAATGGGAAAGTAACATAATCTGTTGTGGCTCGGTGTAATATCGGTCGAGCGACATGAACAGCATTGTCATTCTGCTGAGCCTGGACCACAGCCGTGGCCTGTTTTAACAGAGACGAAGAGGAGAGAGATCGCTGGAGCATGATCTCAGACATACTTCGCTTCTTGAGAATGGGCTTCTTGCTGACAAAAGAGTTGCACCTCGAGAGTGCTGGATTTCCATTTTCAGCATCGTTGGAAAAAAGCTCCCCCTGTCGAGTCTGTAGAGGTCCATACAACCAAGTGACATCGCAATCCTTAAGCCTATAACACAAGTAAGATTTTTACCGGAGATAAAAGTCGGGGAGGGGGATATGAAACATACCAATTAAGGGTCTCCGGAGTAACGGTTTTTAATTTGTACTTGGCTTTCATCCAGGTTCTCCAGGAAGCATTCTCAAGTCGTGGTCCGTTGCTGTATTCTCGTCTCTTGGAGACTATATACCGCCAAGAAGACCAAATGTCCTCTTCCCGCCAATCGTGTGACAAGTAGTCAACATGTTGTGTAGGGTGATGCTCGACGGCGGTATCGTCTTCGGCACGGTCTAGTGCATCTGGCGATCCAGGACGTGAGGTTGTTACTGATGTGTCAGGATCGGTTGGTGATACGGTATACGAATCGCCGGTTCGGGGACTTGGGGGAGGCTCCAAATCTTCGATTGGCCCAAAATAGGGATTATGATCGAACTCTGGTACGAATATGTCTTCGGGGCGAATATGAATATCGTCTTCGCATTGTCCGTCTAGGGACAAGTTGGTAGCTGGTGTAGAGGAATATGACGGATCAACAGATTCGGGTTGGAGCGTACGAGGAGACGAAGGGGCGGAGGATGGGCTAGGATTGGGCACGATATGAGTAGGATGGCGATGGTACGCTTCGTGGTAGGATTCGTCGAACGGTTCGTTGATCTTGGGCGTGGATGCTGGTGTGTGAAAGCCCTGGGTCGGTTTGGACATGAATTTTGATTGAGAATGAGATCTCCTTAGAGCCGAGGAAGAGAACATATCGCTATCCTCGGAAGAAAGAACCACAGCCATCTCGGGAAAAGAAGAAAAAAAAGTCTTCCCTGACGCGAAAACCCCAAATCCTCCAACGATTACGATTCTGATACAGATCCGGCGTCGTCCTTCATGGGTACGGTGGTATCGTCTATGCTAAGACGACTGAATGCCTCCACGATAATCTATGCTTGAAAAAATATCAATATTCTTTTCGAATTGTTCCTGAACGTCCTCGTCTTAACTGGGGAATTTCCGGATGACGTGACGGGTCGAGGGAAGTGCGCAACTGGGGCACTTTTCTCGGCGATGCCGAGATGAAACTAGACTTTATACAGTATAAGAATTTAATTGTCCATCAAGGATTGCGCTAATGGGTCGACGGGGGCGTCGAAAGGAGTTCGTACACAGAAAATCGAATTTGTGAATTCGTATGTGTAGATGTTGCGTATATGTGGTGAGTGCGTATGTGTGTGGTGTGGAAGGAATTATGTGCTAGATAAGAGGCTTAGGAGTTGGGATTATAGATTGTGGTATTGGATCGAAAATCGAAAACAGTCCGCGGCAAAAATGTTAGTACAGTAAGTTGCCCTAGGCTAGTACAAGTACAAGAAGGTGGGAATTCCGGGAGATCGGAAGGTTGCAAGGATGTACAGGAGGATTGAGGGGTCGTTGGTTGACAGGGCTAGCCAGTCACGGAGCGAATTTCGCTGTGAGTGGCATGGATGACTCGACCAGGACGACCTAGAAGACCTAAAGGTGGATGGGACGGCAAGGAAGCTGCGAAGGTACGGGATCAGAGCGAATTTTCTACGTTTCTACGTTTCTACCCCATACGGAATACGCACATGCCATGAATAATATAAGGTGGAAGGACGAATGACTCTAAAATATTAAGGTAGGTACGACTTGAACGTTACTTACTATAAGTGGATTCCCATGGTTCTGAGTTTTACTACGTGCTAGCGGTACCTAGCGGGTATGATTATCTGCATCTGGCGTTTGGTTACATACCTCTAGTGCCACGGATTACTCCATAAATCACTTACATACAACTTACCTACATAGTAGGTAACCTTAAAGGCGAGCCTCAAATTGAGGACCTACATGACCAGGTAATTTATCATTACATATTTTCGCAAGATTGGAACTTTCTATTGTGTCTAACGCTGTTAAGTGTGTTTGAGCTTTGCCGGGACATACATACTATTAAACATTGGCGATTTGTGAATGCATACGCAAATGCAGGGCTAGCCGGGGCTTCCCTGAAGTCTGGCGCAGTCTGGCGCAGAATTTGCGTATTGGACTGCGAAGAGCTGATAACATTGATCAACCAATCTTCAGGGCCCATTAATACGTACCTAGGATACTCAAAATATCCGCCGGAACTAGAAAAAGAAGTGGGGAAGAAGGGAATGCGAACGATTAGAGACGAGGTTTTGCGTTAACAGCATCGACTTAGACGAGCAGGGACGGGAATCCATGGATGGGCAAATTTTGTGTGGCCCCACCTCGATAGGCCAAGTATTCCAAGCTAAGGCCGCTGCTCACCTGCACGCCCACGTCTACACATACATAATACATAATACATGCATACATGCATAGGGTGCGAGGTGGCTGCATACACATACGGTACGACACATGCAAGCCAATACGCGCGAGCTGCATCGTAGTTTTGATACCTCCTTAGCATTGCAGTTTGTGCGCTGCGACATGTATGAGGGTGGGCTAGCGGGCTGGATGTTTCTCTGTTTCTGTGGGCGGTCAGACCTTCGTTCGCCATTAAAGAACGATGCCGTACAAAATGGCCGAGTTCGAAAGATAAACATCAAATCAGAGTCGATCAGAGAAACGAAATAGTGGGTTTCTTTTTGGATGCATGGGCCGAATCTAGAGTGTCTCAGTTTATAGTTCGCCAGGTAGGTACATAACATCAACGATTGAGGATAATAAAAGGGACTCGTGGAACGTAGGCTAGACCACAAACTTCGTGTACATAGTTCCAAGGTTGTTTCCAGATTTTCACGTATACATACAAGGTAATCGCCATCCTCTCTTTTTTTCAGCTCATACTTGTCTCATTGTTTCGGCCAATTTGACGGAGCTAGATAACAGATAGGGAAAGAGGGTGAAAAAAAAGTTCTTTCGGAAACGATTAACCGGCTAGATAACTCGGGCATGAACGGACGCAATCGACAGTTCCATTCGCAGCAGAACTCGAGCATTCCAATCAAGAGGTCCCAATCGATTTTATCTATGTAATCACATAATACTAGGGACTTGTCTAGTGCGGAGTACAGTATGCATTCTTGATATCTCATACCAAATCGACTGGGGGCAGGTAGGAAGCATCAATAATGGATACACAATGCACAGTGCAGATAATGCGCAACCGTTAGGGCTAGAAAATTTCTAAGTTGCACGAGGTTGAAAGAAGATCAGCAATTCTTGATACCTTGATGGGTGTGTAGGTTGTTTTCCCCGGACGGGCCAGAAAAGCCTATTTATGAACGTTGCAGGGGGTAGATGCGAGAAGCGACCCTAAGTAAGTGAGAAGGGGCCAACGCAGACATAAAGCATGAAGCGCCGTATTATATAAGATAAGTTAGGTATCCATTAATATGCTTACTTGAAAAAGGGCTATCATACTTAAGAACCCGATTACGGTCGTCCTAATACACGACCTGATGATATTCCGTGTCTAGCTCGACCAATGGCTCAATATTCGACGTGATGCGTACGAATCTGAAGCTTACCGTAAGTAAGTGGTTAATAGGTTTAATCTGATTCGGAGACGTGGTATGTTTATGTCCACAGCCATAAAATCGATCATACCAGGCTCGATCAATTTAGACATTGGAGTAATTTCCATGGAATATAGATGTTTTATTAGTCTAGACTCACCATCAAGTTATCCCAACATGAGATATTCACTCACGGCAGACTCAAGAGGCGAGTACCGACCGTTCGTCACGCTATCTTGCCCCTTTTCCTTCTAGAACCCGGGTTCTATCCATTTCTGGGTGCACTATCTTTTGAGCTCACTTATGATGAAGATAATATAATAAATGAAAAGAAAACATGTCAATTCATCTTATTCTCATGCCAGTCAGTGTCATGGGACCTTGAAATAGAATGTCTAAGTAGCATTAATTTCATCGACATTAGAAGTTGTTGAAATAGAATGTCTAAGTAACATTAATTTCATCGACATTAGAAGTTCCCATGGATAACCAACTGTCGTTGTGCTACATAAAGTACCTACGTACCTTGCCAACTTACTCCATCCATGTCTTTGTCCTACACTAATCCCCACCCCCGCAGTGGTCCGTGTGGTGCCCACGCTCACTATCCCCCAAGTTGAGTAAGATTCGTAGTTTTGACAACTCAAAAAGCTTGGAACACTTTCATTTGCCAACCTTTTCTGACCTTTAACCTCTAACGTCGAGAGACTGGTCGGCTATTCTTGACGAACTTGCTTTTTACGTTTCCACAACATTCATCAACGTCATTCAAGGCCATCCGGTCAGGGTTCTATATCTACCATTATCTGCCATTGGACTAGCGGGATAGCCTCCGTTTCTGTTCATCTATCTATGGACTAGTTTGAGTCCCTGCAGTCTGCAACTAACCATTCAAGGTCCGAGATTGATGATCTCTTCCTGGCCTTGATAACTGCACGACTTCTGCAAATTTCTGCATTTTGTATTCTACGCTCTACGCTTCACGCCCTGCACGAGACGTGTCGAGTATTACGACCTGTAGGAGCTGCATACGGCTTCAAGTTGTACGACGAGACGGACATATTAGCGGACTATGGTTTGCTAACACCCCTGCAGATAATATCTCATCACAGAGCTGGATATTGATTAGAATGATAGTAATAACTCCTGGAGAAATCAAAGGGCAGCCAAACCGCTCCCGCGGGTCTCTTGGCACTGTTGCCCTACTTGGTATACGGAACCATGAAATCGGCAAGCCTTGCTTAGTCGTGGTGTCATTGAACTTGACCGACGTCTGATTCCTTGCACACCGACTTGACGCCGATGACGTCGGCATAACGCCTCCGTTCCCACGACAATATAGCAAACATACGGATAACAAATTAAATCTACGATCCTTTATCCCTCTGTGCTAGTGTAGCTTACACATCACATCAAGAAGACACCGGCTAATTGGAGCTTATTTCGAAAGCCTTAAGAATCCTAGCTTAATATCCATCGCTAGACGTATTAGATGGTCACGATTACAGCTGGAGCACTCCCTCTGCGATGCACACTCTAGCCAATTTCTACCGTGTCAATTGCACATAGGGTTATCATGTAAGGTGGTAAGTGTGTGTGTGTGTGTGCGTGCGTTGTTGACTATGATTGAATCTAGCTGCTCCATTCCAAGATCTGAGATCGTCTCCCAAGATTAAACCAGCAAGGGATCAAATCTTACTAGTTCACTCGTTTCCATCGCGGTTACAAGAGATTCGATACTTAAACATCGAATTGTAACCTAACCCATCGAATTGTTACTTATCGCACTAGGTTTGCTTCCATGCAAGTATCGCCAGCTATTTTAAGGAGGCTACATTGGCATGGTAGCTAGGAACGCTTCACTATTAGCACAACGACCAACAGCTATGATCCTTGGTCTGTTGCATCCGCGGTTACACTGGGGCTCGAGATCTATTAAAGCATAATGCTTGATCTTGTGGGCACACAACTTCGAGCCGTTCCGAGCTTACAATGGTCTCGAACGAGATAAATTGGGGCCAACTAAACTGATTCTCGAAGTCAATCTACGGATCCTGCGCCGCTTGTTACTTGCCGAAGCGTCGGTTCGCGGGTTCAGTTGTTTGCTGATATTACTAACTGGTGTGGGCGTCGTGGTGTGGTCGTATGCCATATTATCTGCGTTCTCAATGGACAACGGGAATTCTCTCGGTAGGAGCGGGTTTCGAACTCACTGGATAAGACGGGAATACTTGCCCAGATGTTCATAAATTTTCGATGTTGGGCTACCCAACCACGTTACCAACCTCTCGTATTGTCGTGACTCCGTCATGACATCGTCACTTGCATTTACGCTCTGGCATATAGAAGAATATGAATCGTACTTGATGCCTAAGAATTGTTCGGCAGCGAGCCCGTGCGTCCTCATTGCTGCATCTTATCTTCTCGGGAAATGAAAGGAAAGGCGGGACTCCAATCCTGAGTCGCAACCACGTAACAACGTAATCATTTTGTCTCGAGCTCTTTTATGTCGAACGGAATGTGACACAAGTCTAGGCGCAGCGTTACAGCAAGGACTCGCATATCTTCTCCACTTCTTGCATCTCTAAGCGACAATTCCTTTCTCCCGCTGTTGCTTAGGTCAAATTCTCTTTGAACGAACCAGTATCCTCGTGGGTGTAGTTCCCGGTAAACGACCTTTCACCGGTAGAACGGGGCACGAAAATCGGGATGCCGCGCACCTATAATGTGCACGGGCTAATTCGTGTGTATGAGGCTCCAGCCTCGCTATTATAGGTCCCGATCGCGAGTCTCGAATTAAGAAAATTTAGAAAGTAGCTGTCCTATGGCCGAAAGACTAGGATTTTGAAAGCCATGCAGTGCTAGCTTCATGTGGCCTTATCCAACGAAATCCATCACGTAAAAGGTTCTAAGTACGAAAACAGATCTGGAATATGTAATAACATGATACTAAGACGAGGCAGCAGGAAGCCAATAAGTTGGGGCGCTGCAGGTTGCGTTAGTTTCCTTGTTTATATGCCTAGTATTAAGCATCGAGGTGAGTTAGCGCCAACCACCTTAACAAAAGAACTTTGGATAATTATCCAATAGGGCTCCTCATTCCGACCACAGAGGCAAACTCGAAGTCGCAGCCATGCAAGCTTATCTGCATGAACGTTTTCGGCTATCGCACCGGGCCCCCCCTTTTCATCTACACTACTCTAGGTAGAAAGATAGCATTATGTCTCTCTTTCGACAAGGTGTAATCAGTTACTCTCCTGTTGGTTGGTGCGGTTCCGGAGGCGAGACGCACCATAACACATCAATTGAGTATATCGCAGATGATGCGGATCATAATATCTGGTGGCGGGCCCAGATGATCCGCGATGCACGGGAAACGTTCCACGGCGCCTTGCTTCTCCCTACCTGGCACCAAAAAATGCAATATCTCACCTCCCTATGCAAGGCCCTACCTACGCTGTCCTTTTATAAATATGTGGTGCTGTACCCTATGCAGCGATCCACCGCCGGCGGCCAGTCCCGCTATCAAACGAATCACACAGGTCTAGAAGTTCTCTGATCTGCAACGCTATTCTTGGGAATCTTCACATGTTGATGGCGCAATGGCCTGCAGCGCCCGCATGCTTCACACAGGCCTTCGAATGCCCAAAGTGGTAAGCCGCTTGAGCGGTTGTCTATTGTACTGCGCTGATTGATAGCCGGCGCGCTCTTGATTAGGGTCGGTCGGCGAACGCCACTTCAGGGGGGACTCTGAAGGAGGCGCAGAACATGCGTTTGTTGGGCGCAACATTTCTAACCTCCAGGATGGACACTTCATAGGCGTTTTCGGCTTCTCCAAATTTCATCTTGATGCCGATCTCTGTCGAAATGCGCTCACATATGTCTGTGAAGGGAGTATCATCATCTGCCTTGGGCGCGAAACAATGGACGTGGACCATGGGCAACCTTGTACCTGTATGAGGAGCGAAAAGCTGCTCTCGGCCAGCATACAGACCGCGGAAGTGCGATAAAAAGGTAATAGCAGATGCTGGGAGATTCATGATGAAATGAGAGATAGTTGAAGGGATGGGGATGCGTTTTGATCCCGGGATTGACGTTGACTTGCCGGTGGGTTTCGAATCTGGATGCCGACTACGCTGCTCTCTCCTATTCGGTCCCGAGACAGCATGTTCACCATTTGTGGATGCTGCATACACCAAATCGGCGGCTTCCCTAATGAAAGTTCGACCGTCTTGATTAAATGGACGCACATATTGCCGGACCTACGAAATACATGTTAACTGGGTAGAGGACATACACAGTGCCGCTTCTGTTGCTGATACATACCTTGTTTCGTTTGATATTTTCATCAAGGTAACGATAACTCTCTGGGTTATAGTCGTTCGCCCAGACAAAAACGCCTTTCTTACCAGCCGGTACCGCAAATGGGCCAATACCGGCCATCACATCGCAAACTACCTCTCCGGGTTGGAAGAGGTTGATTAACCGCCTGTGCTCGCCTTCTAGTTTACTGTTCCAATAGACTTTAGAGTAGTCGAACCGGAAGATGCAATCGTTCTCCCGCGCCTCAACGTTAAGGTCATCAGGCCCGGCAAGGACTTCGTATGCGAAGGTCCGAAATTCGGATTCAGTCCCCACGTTGGCGACCTTGTTAATTACCGTCTTGACCGACAGGTTCTTATCGACAATGACCTGGGCGATCAGTTTTTTATAGGGCAGATACCTTTCTCTCAGATTCATATGCGCGACATGTCCTGCTTGGTTGAAGCCCTGGGGAATACCATCGTGCTCGTCTCGTAAGTCAGAGGGAAGCAGAGACCTCATCACATCCTCTAGAACGAATTAACCAGCATATTCATCAAGGTTTAGGTTTAATATGTATTCATTACCGTAAGACCAATAATCATAGTCTAGCAATAAGTCGTACGGGACTACCCCTATTTCCTTACTAGCCACACCTTCTTGGAGGGTAGGAGTCCATGTTTCAGGTTCTATAGATAATTATCATTAAAAATCGTAACTATTATGAGAACTGTTGGTTATGGGATTTATAAATACCTTGAGCCTTGATATTTGGGTTTAAAAGTAGACACTTTGTTCCTTGAGATGCGAGAGTTTGATCCGGATGAGACACAACGCCTTGTATCCTCTCAAGGCCCAGAAGACTATTTTCTTTCAACAACTTCTGGCGCCAAGCCGCAATATTCCTCTTATCGGCAACCGCAGCGGCAGCCAGGTTGATGGTCTTGGAAAAAAGCGACTTGTCAAGTACGCCCAAAGCAGAGCGGATCACCGGCGGACGGAAGAGACTACTCATGGCGTCGTCCCCGGCCGGGATATCCTTCGCACAACACGTTAGCGACATATTCATATTAGTGTAGATGGGGATTGCATACTGCCATAGTATTAATTGGTAGAGCTCACTTGCGCGCGAAGTCTAGGCTTTGAATGCTTGATTTGTGTGAAGAAAGTGTGCGGCGAGTGAAGGCCCAAGGATCGGCGCAAATTTCGACAGGGATTAGGGCCCCACGCTAAATGCAAGGCTGCCACGGCTTGTGTGACGTGCATGCGTCATACTAAGCGGAAGGCTGCGCCGGGCTAAGGAAAGCCACTATCTCCACGTTACTTGCCTCGACTGGCTCAACCATTTTTTAACTTTCCTAGTAACATCAATTGACTTATCTGGTTACTATACATTGTACATCCGTGGTCTTGGATACTGATAGCGAGCATGTGAAAGGCAATTGACACCAATGAATCTACCTAATGCACGTGTCGATTATACCTTCACCCAGCGGAACATGTCAACGAGAACCTTGGAAAGGAGTAGTTACTTGGCAAACTTAATCATTCAACGGGAAAACCTTGGATTTTTAGGTTTTGAGGATCCCGTACCCAAATTTAGAATATCCTACTCCCATAGGTAATGACACATGCTTACACGTAATATTCATATACATTGAACTTCTAGTAATTAGACGTGCAGAGTACATATTCCTGCATTCATCCAAATCCTTGCTGCGTTGAGCAAGGTCTCTCCTAGCTACCTCAGACACGATTCGTACCGAAACGATATCTCGCAGTTGTGTTGACGTCACATTCTGATGGGCGTAAAACGGGGCGGAAGACTGACTGATATCATTGCAATGTAGTGTATTGATTAGGATGCTGTCGACAAGAAGGCACCACAAAACCCATAATTGAGCCTTCGTCCATCACGCAGCATTTTCATATCCACCTGGTTTACTTTCCTAGCTTGAAAGTAGCCTCCGTGTACTTCCGTAGGCCACGGAGGAAGATCTGATATCCGACGCCCTGGTTGTCAGGGGCACAGTAGATTTCGGTTAATCGGATCGGCCACGGCGGGTATCCCTGCAGGTCAACGTAAGGCTCGAACGAGATAAGGAGGTCCGGCTCCGTCATGACGGCTTCGGATAGTTCGTTATCAAGGACGTCCACCGTAATATCGGCGGCCTTGATCTTCTCCTTCTGAACCATCTGAACTAGGACCTTGGTGAGATCCACCATCGCCTCTCGGCCATCGTCTTCTGAGATGAGCACGACTTCGAGTGGCGACTGATCATGTGAAAAGTACTCTCGGTTGGCAGTGTAGATGGTTGAGGCTCCGCGAGTAGATATGGAGACGGGCGGGGCCTGACTCCTTCCAAACCAGCTCTTAAGCTTCTGGACCAGAGCACGATGGGTCTGAGGCATATAGCGCTTCAAAACACCTATTAGAAATAGTTAGTTTCTCTAACCTACATAATATATGCGGAATGGTGTCTTTGTTACCTGTCCGCTCGTAAATGGATAGTCGAGGAATGCCTGCCGAGGCGCACCACGCTGCCACCTCAGAAACTTCATTGACAAGCTTCTCCAAGGCATTCCCTGCCCTCCCCTCATCTTCTAGCGTCAAGATTACACTTACGTGCTTCGGTAGTCGCTTCAAGGTACTGACATCTCGTCGGACAAAGTCGGGGGTGCTATGGTGGTACTTGAAGATGGAAAGGGCGCTTAGTGATACGATGTGATAAGTCGATCGAGCACGGATGTATATCGAGAAGGCAAAATGTACGGAGAAGTACAGCAGTGAATAGAGTTGAGACTTGAAAAACTTCCTGATGCCGAAGCGGGACGTCTCATGCTTAGTTTGACGCCCGCGACTTCGTGATCTGGTAGGTGGACTGGGGAGATAATTCTATGTTCGTCGGATAATCCATGTTAGTTGAAGATGCAAATATAAAGTCTAATGAGTCTGGATGAAGTTTGAGCTCGTACCTGAACAAGTCGTTCTCGTTCTGCGACGCCGAGATTCTTATGCCCGACCCGCTCGTCCTCTCTGTATACTTCAATATCCTTGGAAGCGAACGACGACATGGTGATATATTATGAATTATCGCTGTTGACGTAATGTCCCTAAAGAGAGAAGGTGAGATGAAAAAGAAAGAAACTTCTTGTCTTTAAGGACCTAATCGCATAGCCTCAACTGCTTGAGTTGAGATTGGCGTTTTGACGCGCAATGAGTGGTAGGCTTGGACGGACAAGCCAGAATTCCTTCAATCAGATGTTAAAATGTAGCGTGTAACTAACGACAGGCCACGATATTTTAGTTGCTAGCTCCGGTTAGGTACCTAGTAGTGGCGGGTATGGACCTAGGTAGGCATGTACCTATGCCGCTATGCCGTGCACGTTTCAGTTAAGTGCTCTAGCCACGCCAGTTGGGTCAAAGCTCCTGTAGCTTCGCCACTTTAGCTGTGGCGGATTAACTACAATAGGCTGTAGGTACCAATATATCGAACTTAACCCCTGTAACTTGTGATGACTTCCCTCTAATCGACATCATCTATCCCACCAGCTGGCGCATCCAGGCATAACGACATTTTCTAATCGTAACCACCATTCATATTGTCGCCTCCCGTTTTCCCAACTCTCCATGTCGTAGGACGGGATCCCGATCACTGCTCGATGCAATGGAGCGGACGAGTTCCGGATCGAGAGCTCTGTTCCCGAAGGGACCCAGCTTCACTATCGAGGACTTCTCTAATAAGGACTTCATCGTGCGTGACTTTGTTGATGATCTTGCCGAGAGCGCTGTCTCTTTAAATCGTCGCTCTGGTCCTGCTCTACAAGCCTTCGACCCGAAACCCTTAATTCGGACATTTGAGAGTATGGCCTAGTTCTCCGTTACTATGTTACCAGTACGGCATGTTGACCTGTGTTTCTATAGATGCATTGCAAGGCCTCGGCAGCCTATCCGAAGAGTTACAGGCGAAGGAATCGGACTTGATGTCCCAAGCACGCCGTGCAGAGACTCAGCATGACCAAACCGTTGAAACCCTTGGCCGCAAACTGGACCAATCCATCGACCAGTTCGAGGCTTTAGACCTTACCCTCAACAATCCCAGCGAGACCGAACGAGGAAATCGTGGTGAGGCAGGTGGAAATATCGCGGTCCAAATAGGAGAGAAGCTGGAGGAGTTAGATAGGAAACGCAGACGAGCGCTGGACGCCAATTTCCTAATACAATGCTGGCTTCAAGTTAGTGAAACCGGCGAACTTACCTTATTACAAGATATCCAACGCCAGGGCGGTTCTGAGAACAAAGTAAGATGTGCCGTGATTGCACATCAACTAATGCGCATCAGCCAAAGACTGGACCCCATATCTTGGGGTCAGCAGCATGGACTACATCGCAATGGCATCACAAGTAACGGGAATACTAATGATCAGAGAAGATATAATACCCGTGAGATATTGGAGAAGTTCTGCGAAACTCTGGAGCAAGACCTCCTAAAACAATTCAACGGCAGCTACCGTAAACAGAACTTCGACGACATGAAAGAGTGCGCTAAGGTTCTATACGATTTCAACGGAGGTGCCAGCGTCATTGCTGTCTTCGTAAATCAGCACCAATTCTTCATTGACAGAGATCAACTCATCACAGACGAAGTAACCATGGATGGAGAGACCTGGGATCAATTAGCAGATCCTGACTCCGAACCCCCTGGTGTCGAACCAAGCCTTCAGTCGCTCGTTGATGAGGTCAGAATTGTTATGCAGGAAGAGTCATTTATCATCAAGAGGGCCTTCCCATACTACGAGACCGTATTAATCAAGTTTATACAGCGAGTATTCCAGCAGTCGATACAACAACGACTGGAATTAGTTTTGGAAAAGGCGAATACTATATCATCCTTAGCCTTTCTCCGATCCCTCCACTCTTCCAGAAGCTATATTGGAGCTCTGATAGATGACCTCAAAACCCATGGCCTTACGGAACACCCTGAACCTTGTTCTCCCCAGATATCTCAGACGTTAGACCTGCAGATGGAGGAGTTATTCGTCCCATACATAGTGGGCAATGGGTATATCGAGCGCGAGAAGAGGAGCTTAGAAGAATTGTTTAATTCACTACTCTTTAAGTACAATATCTATCACTCGAGGAGGAAAAAGGCACCGACCGGGTTCATGGCTTCGTTAGCCCTACAGACTAACCAGCTCATGGCATCCGCTAAGGACGCTTATCTGGAACGGCTTGAATCATCTGATCTCACCCCAACTCAGAAGGCGATGATGTTGAGGGTTGCCGGTGTACAGGAAACCGGGAATAAGAACGAGATCGAAGTCTCAGAGTCCGAGGGTGTCTTAAGCACAGCTACGGCTAAGCGTATGTTGACCTGGCTCGCCGAGAGTGTTCGACGAACATTGGAGCTTGGAAGCCAAAGCGAAACGCCCAAGGACGTCGCCATACTCCTCAATCTCTTATTAACCAACATGGGTCAAGTCTACGTAGAGACAGCCTTAGAAGCGGCCCTTGAGAAGGCCACATCTCAGGAGAACGTGAAGACGGAACCGGATCTCAGCTATCTACCTTCTGTCCGACCAGCAGTGACCATCGGCAGCATGATGAACCGTTTCATTACCACGGTGCTCATTCGCCTCGCCGAGTCCAACACTACCGTCCGAAGAAGCATGGAGGCGCAGGCCAAGATGGGCATCGAGAGCATCGAAAGGAAGGCCGGCAGCATCATGAAGAGCAGCGTCGATGTGATCGTGAACTGGGTCGCCAAGTCGCTCGCAACACAAAAGAAGCTTGACTTCCTGCCCAAGGACGAGCTCAGCATCATCGAGTCGCTGCAGACGCCGACGTGCACGTCGATATGCCTGTTCCTGTCGCGGTGCACGCGGCTCATCAGCCAGGCCGTCGACGGCGCCAACCTCGAGGTGTTCAGCAGCGAGCTCGCGCTCGAGATCCAGCGGCTGCTCTTCGAGCACTTCAAGAAGTTCAAGGTCAACGCGACGGGCGGGCTCATGGTCACCAAGGACGTCACCAAGTACGTCGCCACCCTGAAAGAGTGGCCGCTCTCGAAGGAGGTCGAGGCTGCCGTCGAGCTCCTCACCGAGATCGGCTACCTGTTTATTATCGGCCCCGAGGCCCTGCGCGAGCGCTCCCGGAACCTGGCCAGCAGCGCGAGCGGTGCTGGTGCTGCTGGCGCGCCCAAGAAGCTCGGCAAGGCCGACTTCAAGGCCTTCATTCAGAGCAGGGACGACGCGAGGAGCGTGGGTGTGCAGAGCGTGCTCTCGAGCTTGTGATGTTGATGTGGACGGGGGAGAAAGAGAGAAAATGTACCGGACTGAAAATGAACGAAGGAGCGCTGTTGTTTTCCTTCCCGTTACTGGGTGAAGGCGGGAAGGGAAGGGAAGGCAAAAAAATGGATATGTGTTTAGATCGCTTGTATCCAAACACGTCTTGTTGCGCAATTACGAGATAGATGAGATACCAACGCCGAGAATGCGGATGCCTTCTCACCCTACTTGCTTACTATGAACACCCTTCGTAAGATATGTGAACCAAGTTCATTCTCACTGCTTACGAATATCGTCAGACTACCTACTTAAGACGTCCGTAATGAAGAATCAAATTTAACAGGATCATTTTGTGTATTTGAATTGGTTTGGTTTGGTTTGGTTTCATATACTATTAGCCCCCTTACTCCTTTCCTTTCCCACCATACCCACCTCAACACCTATAAACGGGCTACCGAGCGAATCATAGTCTCGTTGGTTGCCTATACTATGGCTAGGTACCTGTCGTATCGCACTTCCCAACGTGACGCAAACAACACACATAGCCAAGCCGAGCCCACGAACTCCTATCATTCCTCGGTAAACGAGCACCACGGAAACCTCCCTCCATCCAATACCCTATACGTGGCTAACCTAGCCCATAGTACGCCCGCAGACGAAGGATAGAAACAAACGATGGACGTCGTAACAACCCACGGCAAATCGTAAGGCCGGGGAATATCTCAGCGACCTAACAACACTTTTCCGGTCCCGTTCAAACAAATCAGCCAGACCCGTTCCCCTTTTCTCCCTGAAACGCCAACGTTCAGTTCCGCGCGATAAGACAATATGCCTTTCGCGGGAGTCAGACTGGGAGAAGACAAGCTAGTTAACCACCTAACCACATGGCTCGTAGTAGCTCCGGTCTCCTTCGAGGATACAGCCCAGTTCAACTCTCCATAAGGACGATGGCTAGCATCGTTTCATCGCCAGTTTCCCTGACTGAGCGATAGAAGTCCAGCAACGCAGACCATATCGGGACGCTTGCTAGGGCTGAGCTCGCCCTGAACGAGCTTCTCAGCCTCTTCACCGTCCTGCTTTGGGCTATTCTCCTTATCCTCGAATATCGACATGGACAATGCGTCGCGTGGTTTCGATAACGGCGCCGTATTCGCCCGGCTTCCGAAGAGCAACGAACGCCTTGCCGTAGCGTCTTGTTCGCCTAGAATACGCCCGACACGGCGCGGATTCTTGCCAATTGGTGATCGCGCATGCGGCTTGGGAGAAGGTAGGGGTTGTCGACGGCTCGGGTGAGGATTGCCATCTTCGTCCGGGCTCCAGTTCTCCTTATCAGAGTCTCCGCCCGGACTCAGGATAACGGATAGGCTTCCCTTCGAGGGCTTCTTCTCCGGATCCAATGCTGCTGTCGCAGCTGCCGCGGTATCTATGAGCGACACAGCTGGTAAGGTTTGCATGCGAGCGACGCTGCTACTCGCACGGCTAAGTTTAGCCTTCTTGGTAGTACCTTCTCGATGGGAAGGCTTATTCTGCGGCGCGTTACGCTTGTTAGGGTTCGACTGAAGCACATTCGGGCTGTTCTGGCTGTGGATCAAGTTACTGAGGCTAGCAGAACTGCTGCTAGAGCGCAGGAGGCTGATAGCCGCCACAGCAGATCCAGCAGACTCGTTCTCAGCTAGTTTCGTCAGCTCATCCCGCGTATCAGCTTCGCAACAAGATTCCCAGGCGTGAACATCTCGCGATCGACCTCGGGTCAGTTGTGGGGGAAGGTGAGCAGTAAGAGTTGAGATGGGCGGGAGGGTAATGCCGGGTAAAGCACTCCGGCTTCTGTGAAGAGTCCTGCTCACACGAACCGGAGGCAACGTATCTACGTCACCCGGAAGTTGCATCTGAGCAGGACACGGCGGTGACGGTTGAGAAGAAACCACTTCGGCTTTTCCGTCCAGGGAGAGGGACAGGCGAACCTGCGAAGAAGACGACGAAGGTGGTGGAAGAACAGAGCCGGGTGAGCTGCTAATTGCCGAGTTGAAGGAGGATGAAAACGATTCGGGCCTGGCATGGACATTAGCATTTACGACCACCTAAAATAATGGCATCACTCACTTATTATAAGATTCTTCAGCTGCTCGTCCAAAGGAGGGAGGAGTAGAGAAAGAATTGTCGAAGCTTCGTCGGTTCGACAAATATACAGTCGACACCGACGAGGTCCGGAAGAATGAGTAGCCCTCCAGATCAGATTTCTGGGACGAGGGCGACGTGCCCTTCTCAGATCCCACAGATGACGGTCTTGCGATCATCTCTGCCGGAGGATCTATACCGCTAAACTTCGGAGAAGACTGGATAGAGTGCTGGGGTGTCGCGTCCTGGGAGCTGGGAGATAGCTTTTCTACGTCGGGAGCCTTCTCATCATCGATTGGCGCGTCCGCCGGCTGTACAGCTAAGCTAGACGCGGCAATTGGCATGGGGGCAGAATCGGAGGATAGAATTTGCACGCCCCCGCCATATCGAAGTGCTGCAATTTCCTGCGGGGAAAGTGGACGCGATTTTCGACGATCATTTTGGCGGCGGTTCTGAAACCAAATCTACGAACATGTTAGAATCAAATGACCCGTACACGACCTCCAATTAAGTCTATATTGTGTCATTCCTGTAGTATACGGGCTAGACTAACCTGAACTTCCTTCTCGTTAAGCGAGACGCGACTCACTATATCGAGACGCGCTGCCTTGTCGGGCTTCGGGTTGGCGTTGTATGCGGCTTCGAGAATGGCTTTATCTTGGGTTCTACACGCGAAGATATGTTAGGAAATATGACATAGGGAAACGAGGGGGACCAATCTCCAAGCACGCACGTGGTTCTCTTCCGCTTGCCCTTGGGGTGTTTCTCAGAGTTAGAGTCATGAGAAGGATAACCAGACTCTAATCTGAAAGAGGATTCGAAAGACATGGCGGAGGAGTCCGGGTTACTGCTCTGGGAGCTAAAGGACAATCGGGATTCGTGAGATTCGGGTGCGGGTGCCATGGCGAGAGGTGAAGACGCGGTCGAGGGTGACATATTGTTACGGGTACTCTAACCATGCATTATATACGTAGTAGGTGGGACAGGAAGTGAAACGAGAGACAAGTCCTCTTCTACAATACGTAGGATGCCGTATTTACGAAGTCGAGAATAAGTTTCGGAGGTTTTTGTAAGTGATTGCAGTTGTAATATAGAATAGAGGAAGGAAGAGAAAGAGCTGGGCTGGTGTTGGAGTAATAGATCATAGTGGGACCAGGGCCTTTGGCGTGTCAGTCTAGGTAGGTAATCACGACCGCGTCTGAATGCAGAAGCTCGGACCAGCCATGAATTGGCCAATCAAAACGCGGTAACTATTTACTTAAGGCGTGACGTCTCCAGTGCAACCGACTAAACATTGAATTCTTCTACCCGTCGTCAAAACACTGCACAGTACATAGATGTAAGTGCTTCCCAAAAGGAATGCGCTAATAAAAATAGATAGAAAAGAACATCCACCAACCTCCATTTTCCAGCCACCCGAGAACCAAACTTAAAGCTTTTCAATCAAGAATGTTCGCGAAGTAGATAATTGCATGTGGTAGAGCCTCATGAGGGGAAAGTAGAAGCACACGCCTCTATCTGACCTTCCAACAACCTCCAGAGTGGGTATGTCGCGATCTAAAAGTGATAGATAATATTACATATAGCCCAAATATAATTCATGGTATCATACTAGTGGGTTGTCTCTACGTAGTAAAGTGGTAAGACGCCAGATCTAAAATTAGTCGGGTATTTTAATGGCATTGCAATCACTTTAATTAGAATAAACAATCAAGTTCCGAAATTCGAATAAGAGACACTCCCATGTGCTTCTCATTCGTTTGACTCAAGCCGTGGAATGCGTCTTACAAACTCATCACCGATTTCTATAAGGAAAACATATTCCATGTCACAAGTTACCCGTTTATCTTCACCTTCGTCTTCTTCTTTCACCTACTCATGCAGAGCCCCAACTCATATAAATGTCTTGACCATGACATACTTCGCCCTCTCGGGAATTAACCACACATTCCCCTCGTCGGTCTAGAAGTCTGCTTCTTTGACATTCTCAATCTAGCATGCCCAATAATCACCTCTGTTTCTGGAGTAGCTACTGCCCTCAAGCTCTTGTCATCTTGTTGCTTACCTGGTTATATACATCAACATCGTGCCGCACCCATCCGCTACTTATAGATTTCTTAGGAGATCTTCCACGCAGCCACGGAGCCCATTTTCCCGAATGGGTCGCGCTCGGACGATCGCTCCAGCGCCGACTCCGGATGATGACGCGGAGAAGTCTCCAACAATTACGATATATGGCATTCTCCGGCCAAATGCAAATCAGCATCGAGTTTCGAATTCGCTCCCACAATTATGACACCGGACTTTCCTTCTTCTCGAGACATACACATGTAAGGACCTCGAGTTGATTTTCCAGGTTACCAAAAGCAGCTAGATTCTAGAATGATAGATTTTCCTTCTGGCGACGCAGCGGTTAGCAATTGCCTAATATACCTAAGCCCAGCTATGCTGGTCCGCATAAATTTCATAGTGAAAGTCCTAGTTTTACTTAGGCACAGATCCAGTACTGCGTAAGCATCGACTTCACACCGCCTCTACGGGACCGACCAAACTCACCAAGCTTTTAGATCTACATTGTGGATTTGCCGGCGTTTGACTGCAGGCAGTGAGTGAGTGATACAGCAGTTTGAACCGCCTTAAAAAATCGTATGTGTGTACCATAACAATTCACGCAAACCCTCATGTGCAGTAGCTTCAGTTCAGGTAGGCCTCATCTGAATCTCATTCGTGAAGGTCTATCTAATCGCCGTCGTAGTGATTGGCGGTGTAAGGACAGTGGTATTCGTGACGAGGAAGAATTGACATGATGGGTGAAGAATACCCAGACCAATACTAAATAGCCGCTCGCTGGGAGGCAACCGTAGGTTGTCCATCATTGAAACCCTCAATCAAGTCAGACGCCGAAAAACTCCTCGAGGTGTCATCGAGAGATTACCTCAACCCTCCCGCGATATGCGCAGGGAAATAATAGATATAATTATATCATACGCCGCCCATCTAAAACTCTAACCCGTGATTCTAAGTCTACGCCATCTACATGCCTAAAAGGCTCATTTGTCGTCGTAAAGGACTCGCGCTGTTGCTACCATCCTCACTTGCGTAGTAGGCAGAATCGGTGTCTATATCCCATTCCGGTTCATCTTCGCCATCGACGGAACCCGACTGTTTGCCATCAAAGCCTTTCTGGGTCGCAGCTCGCGTGTTCCACTGGAGGGTGCGTGATACACTGTCAAACCATTCGGTTCCTGTGCGCATGACCGTAGGGAACGGGTACTGAGAAGCCGTAATCGTCACACAATCTCCTTGCTTCAATTCAACCCGACCTTTCCCGTCAAACGCACAGTAAGCTGTAGCACGCGAGTTGCGCGGGATAGAAACACGAAGAAGCATCGTGTCGCTGAGCACCATTGGGCGGAAAGATAGTGTGTGAGGGCAGATCGGAGTAAGGAGAATGGCAGGCAGGTCGGGGCTGACCAGAGACCCGCCTGCGGAGAGAGAATATGCTGTCGATCCAGTTGGAGTAGAGAAGATGCACCCGTCCGCCTGGACGACAGTCAGGAGCTCGTTGTCGCCGTAAAGCTCGAGGTTAGAAACATAAGGAGATGGGCCGCGGTCGATAACGAGCTCGTTGAGAACTTCGAATTGCTCCCCTTCCTCCATATCCTGGCCCTTGGCACCATCGCGGAAGACGGTACACGTAAATCGCATGCGAAGATTAACTCGCATGCCTTCCTCGCCCATAATCCGGTTCAGGTGTTGCTTATACTTCTCGAACTCAAAGCTCGTCAAGAAACCGAGACTTCCCAAGCTGAATGATAAGACAGGAGGAACAACTCTTTGGAAAAGCCAAGACGTGAATAAGACAGTTCCATCTCCACCGAGGGTCAATACCAAATCGAACTTCTCCGGGCTACTCCAGCACAGGTCTGGGGTCCAGTAACGAAGCATGGTTTCGAACCGAGGGTCCTCATCGATAATGCTGGAAGCACCGAAGCGCTTAGAATTGCGTAGTTTCGCATCAACATAAACGTGAACTCCAATATCCGAGCCGTATCGAGGTGTTCTGAGCAACCACATGGTCAATTCCCTGGTTAGGTAAACCAGTTCATTGTCACGAGCTTTGGTAACGATCATGATATTGCGCACTGCGCGACGGATAGGTCGACGTTGCAATTGCTTCGAGACTTCACGGACGCCCGTAGCAGTCTGTACGAGTCTCGAATGCGACATCCATTCGTCGTTCTTAATCTCCTCCAAGACCTTCTCGATATCTACCGCATCGTCGAACCGATTGTGCCAGAAACAGGGCGACTGTAGAGAGGGAAAGGCGGTGGTCGGAGTCATGTTGCGAGCGGCGAGCTCCCGAGAAAGGGCCTCGGAGAGTTGCTGGGAGGAAGAGGCGGGTCGCTGATCCCCTGCTGCCTGGGCGGACAACATCCCGTTCAATGATAATGCTTCTGGCTTATTATTTCGTGCGACAGAGGCTAACGCCTTCATAATAGTCTGGCGAGGAACAGCCTCGACAGAGGGAGCGTGCTTGTGGTGGCCGCGCGATTGATTCTTATGAAGAGCGTCGGGGGATTTTAAGGCTAGAGCTGAAGGCTCTGATTTTTCGTCGTCGTAGTCAGCATCGCATTGATGGGATTGGGAATGGGAATGGGATTGAAGAGGAAGAGAAGAGTTGGCAGGAATTGGCGGCGCAGTGTCGGAGTTTGTAGTGGTAGGCGAGCTGGATTGTCGCAGGGGGTGTTCTGTAATGGCGACAGTAGTGGAAGAGGCCTTAGTAACCTGGCCGGCACCCACCCCGACCCCTCCGACATCCTCTATCGGCGTATTATTGTTACTGAGTGCAGGATGCACCCCCATCGTAGGCGATCCCATATTAGACATAGCGCTGAAGCTCCACAACACCACTGCACTAAAGTACGTGGACACTAAGCTAAGTCCGTGCTAGGTAGCAATGTACCTAAAAAGAAAGAATGTACTCGAAGTATTCGATGTACACTATTCGAAGCACAGTGACACTCGCGTATCGCGTATCGAGACGGTTTAACACAAAAAGACCGAATCCGACGATGTACAAAGGTCTTATGTTATTTCCGAATCTTGCAGATTTTATCGAACACCGCGGGATCCAGTGGCTTGGGAACCTTAAGTCCGTCTTCGATCTGATTCGACCTTGTATGACAAGAGTAGTGTCTCTATCGAATAGCCGATGATACAAGTACCTAAAAACGCAGTTGTCAGCTTGGATACTAGCTCGAAGTGACGTCTTACACAAGACACCACGTGTATCGAGCATGGGAAATTCCATGTGCCACATTTATAAGACACAGCACAAACTCTGTTGTCCATAGTAAAAATCCCATGCAGTGACGGCACAAATCGCACAAGCGCTGCCTCTCTTTGGCAAATCATCGTCAAGGGAACTTACACAAAAGTGCCCCTCAAGCTACACACTAGTCCTGTGACGACGTTCGATGGGACGTGATTATAAATTATATCACCACAACGGCGGTATTCCGGGAATTCGAACTGGAGACTCGGAAAGCTTTGACGCAATGTCTTAGACTTGTGTCCTGCAGGGAAATAATGTCCGGAAGACGTGAGAACCCGCTCGATTAGACGTTGTGAACAGACTATAAGGTGATTATGGTCTGGTTCTATTATCGAACTAATGCCGGGGAACGTCGACAGAGATCCGTCGGGTTTGATTTAATATTAATGGTGGTCGTCTCGAGGTTGACAGAATGAGATTCGAGATAAATTCGAGGTTCGTAAAACAAGCCTATTAAAATAATAAAGTATAACAACTCGAGCTCAACTCAATAAGTACGATGGAATATAAGGAATATGTGAAAACGAAGGTGGCAAAAAAGGGTAAAGAGCAGCCAGGCCGGATAATAGTCGAGAAGGGCAGAGAGACTCAGGGCCAGTTGCAAGAACTTCCAGAGCTCTGCTTTGCTGTATGCACAAACAGCGTTGAGAAGAGAAAGGCTTGGGTCTAAGTGACTGAAGATCCAGATAGACGAGACACCACGAGAACTGGTCTGCGTCCAACTCAACTTTATTAGGATGAGTTTGATCTCCTAGAGATAAGAGGCAGAGGACCGAATGTGGAGATGATGGATGTCTTGAGATGCTTAAGCGGGTGCTCCAACACAAGCTTCTACTCCGTGCTTGGACTGCGGAGTAGCATCTAGGATGGAACAGGTAAGGGTATCGGGAAATATGTGGGGGTACTGGAGTACGTACCTCGCCAAAAGGAAGGTACATATCTACCTAGGCATATGGAAGGAAAGAGGCTTGTTAGAAAAATAAGGAAAAGTAGGGGGGTAAAAAGTGTACTAAACCTTTAGGTGCTTCCAGTTAATACCGTGTACGGTAATGAGACCCGGGTAGGTGTACCATCACCCCGTCAGCCCGTATAGAATCGCAGCAATTTGCATCTTAAAAGGTCATGATAACGAAGAATGTAGGGTACGCGGCGGCGGTTTGACCCACCGTTACTAGCACTGCTCCTGTTTTCCCTAACAGATTCTGTGAAGCGTTCTCGCGCCAGGTCTCACATTGCAACCCTGGGCCAGGGGCATGCAAGCGAGTAACGCATAAACGGATTAGACTCGTCTCATCTTTCCAGCTCCTACCACAGGGCTTGCAGGCGCTCGCAGGCTATCTGCAACAGCTTCCGATCAATCAATTCGCCAGCCAACCGGCGATTGACATGGGCTCTTGAGCCTCCTTGAGCCTCCGTGATCTCCTGCGAGCATAGTTGCATAATCCCGAATTGTTTTGACCTCTCACTTGAGGACGAATCCTGCGTCTGGAACATCTTTGACCATAATCACCTCCCCTGCGAAGATCACACATCCAGAAACATCTATTAGCCGCCAATCTACCGATACGGTGTCCATTGGTTCACAGAATATTTCGAACTTCGAGAAGGTTGTCAACCACTCTTTTCGGTACTTCGTAGGATTTCTAACTGACAAAACGTAGCTAGAAACTAATTGTGTGATGGCTAGCCATAGACACCACCAACAGTGTTATGCTGTCGTCATCACATTTGATTAGCCGTCAGCGCGCGGGATGAAACAGAGTTGTCGTTTTTCGTCATGTCCCAAACGTGACCCTGTGGCAGTTAACGAGTCCAACAGACCAGCCAAAGTCTTGGCAAAGCATGGGCAAGGCATACCTGATGATTAGCTTACTGCGAGAGTTGCCGCATTTCCCGCTCGTCCACCAAAGGCTCATCCGATCAACATATTGCCATGCAGTGTAAACAGAGCGGCCCTATCAACCTGACCCGATGATCCACCATTCCTGGTAGAAGATCCTCAATGTTCTCTTAGGAGCAACATATCCGTTCGGGAGCATCAAACATGTCAACACGGATCTAACACCCAACGTGGCATGCTCCGAACCGGCGGTCTGGTGCATCCACTGCGCTGACTCCAGCCAGTCACATTCCTAGAATACGTTCCGTGAGACGTGTTGGCCCACGATGCACTGTTTAAGACCAGAAGAAGCGTCGTTCACTTCCAATGCAGGTCCGAAGCTATTTTCTCCTCGAGCGTAGATCGTGTGAACTGCTTCAAGTCTACGCCAGCACGGTTGCCATCATCCATGAGAATGTCACCATCGCCCGCGGCAGCTGGTTGGCAACATTGTCGCTGCGCAGCGACAAAAGCATCATCCCATTCTTTTATCGTAAAGTTCCCTTCGCTCTCCACCAGGATTAGTTCATCGTGCGAGGTAAACGAGAAAACGTGGAACGACTCCGCTGTTTGGATCTCTCGCGGCGAAGGGTTTATGACGACTTTCTTCGACGGGCCGTCCGCAATGATAGCCAAGGATGTCGATGTCAACGTCGCTGTCAGCGGAAGAGCAGCGGAAAGTAGAGCTAGTACCGCCGTCTGCAACAGAACAGGTAGAATAGGCAGGTTCTAAAAATTGGATAAACTAATCAGTATACACTACTATGTATGCCGTATTGTAATATATAGAGTATACAAAAGTACAACCTACCGAGCTAGCCTGCACGACTTTGGTGTTTACATATTCGTTCTCCGGGACGGTGGTGACCTGTAGGATAACTTGGATGAGGGTCCTGGGGAAGTTGTTGACGAGGATGATCTGGCGCAAAGTCGACTGGATTAATGACTCCAGGTGTCTTTCTCTTGTTCCTAGAATAAAACGGAGTTAGATGGTATTTAAATAAGATTCGGTGATAGGTTTCGAAGTCGAACCTCCAACCCCTGCAGCTGGTCGTACGATCACGTCGACGGCTGCTTCCTCTGGGAGTTCATCACGTCTCTGCACTTCGATCGGCCCATTTACAGCCCCAACCACAGTATACCCGGCATAGGAGAAGGTAGCGGAACCGTCGGCGTTTTGAAGATGAGACAACAAAGCTTCTGGCTCAGTATTGACCGTCATTTTTCTAGGAATTGTGGTGGTTTTGCTGGTGATAATGGTGCATGCGTTCGATATTCAGAAGTCACGGAAATCAAAAGGTTAGATGACGATTTTTCTCAATCGGGTATCAACCTGGGTAAGGTGGGCCGATGTGTCGTACAAGTCGGGGTATCTCAGCTCCACCTTTCTGTATCGGTGCCTTGCTGCTTCCGCCGCATGGTAGTACCTAAGAATTTCCAATGACATTGTTTGTACTTATGTAATCCTCCTATGAATTCGCTAAATGAATTATACATTAATACATCATAGAGGGGCAATCGGCTATACGATACACCTCCGTGTGGCGTACTTGCATCTATGTAGTATGTAGGTTATATATCTTTATAATCAACTCATCTCAATCATCTTGTGACAACTTCCCATCTCAACTCTCTATTAAGAAAATGGCTACCCAACAGTCTACAGCAGCGATTCCGAATCTAAGAGACAAGCTTCCTAAATTGGAACCCCGCCGTCGCCGAGCTACACCTTCAAACCCCCTTCCATTACCAGAAACACCAGCTCTACCGCCTCCGCCGGATCTTTCATCTCATTCATTCCAGGTCCCCAGTCGACGTATTCTATCTACCCAGGACCACCAACTATTCCTCTCGTCACCATCCCATAACCTTATCGTCGCATTCGTCTTTGGCCTTTCAGATGCTGTGATAGACACTCCTGTATCTGCCGTCAAGGACGACGACTGTAGTTCTGCGGTAAAGTCGATTCTTAACATTCTTGACAAAGCAGAAGCTCTAGTTCTGGCAACGCCTCCAGAGGACGCAGAAGGATCGAGATTTGGAAACAAGGTTTTCCGCACCTTTCTTGACAAGGCCAAAGCCGCCAGCCCTTCTTGGCATGAGGAGCTTGGCTTGACGTCTAAAGATGCCATCTCGGAGGTCGAAACTTATCTCAATAACTCATTCGGCAACCGGACCCGAATAGACTATGGCTCAGGCCACGAGCTAAATTTCATAATATGGCTCTTATGCTTATACCAGCTTCAGATTGTGAAGAAATCCGACTTCAAGGCGCTGGTTCTGAAGGTCTTCATCCGCTATCTGCAGCTCATGCAAACGATCCAGTCGACGTATTACCTTGAACCAGCAGGTTCTCACGGTGTCTGGGGCTTGGATGACTACCAGTTCTTACCATTTCTCTTCGGAGCCAGCCAGCTTCTCCACCACCCCTTTATCACTCCATTAGCAATCCACCAAGAATTGACTCTCGAAGAGTTTGGCCACGACTACATGTATCTAGGGCAGGTCAACTTTGTCAACAGTACCAAGACAGTCAAAGGTCTGCGCTGGCATAGTCCAATGCTAGACGACATATCTTCGGCGAAGAGCTGGACCAAGATAGAAGGCGGCATGAAAAGGATGTTTGTGGCAGAGGTCCTACGAAAGTTGCCGGTGATGCAGCATTTCCTCTTCGGCTCACTGGTACCGGCCGTAAAAGGTATGAGCACTGAGTCTGAAGCAGGTGTAACGGGTGAAGAGGATGAAACTGAAGGAGGAGGTGTCGTTGTTGAGCATGATGGAGTGAAGCATGTCCATAACGCCAACAGCTGGGGCGATTGTTGTGGTATCAAAGTGCCGAGCGCAATTGCAGCGGCCCAAGCGATGAGAAAGAATGGCGCTGGAGAACTGCGTCGGATTCCGTTTGACTAAGTGTATTCAGCTTTGAGGCTATCATGTTTAGAGGAAAAAATTGATACAGCACAAGACGCAATGTCCCAATGTGAGATATCTTTAATAGATGCCCATAGCTTCAGGATGCATCACGAAAACAACAAGCGGATGGGACAAGTTCTCAAATAGAGCTCATATCAACACATTCTTATTGTAGGTCTAAATAAGACGGGTACTAGACCTGGACTGTACCAACGCCTTATAATTAAGCCTAGCTACGTATCCACAGTCCCGCCGGACGTCCAGACTCCTGAAACCAAAACCAAAAGGGTATCCTCAACCTTCGAGAGCTCGCTAAGTACCATTTTCACGTAACCGATTTTAAGCCTCGTAAACCAAACCGTCCTAGTTAGGCGGTAGTCGCAACCAACTACCCCAAGACGGCCACATATGTACGCCTCATATGTACATACCCTCCCCTATCCTAGCCTAACCTCGCTGGTCCCCTGCTTCCCATCCTATCCGTAAAACCCCTAACTCTCTCGATACAGCTTCATAAGATCCGTCCGCATCTTCTGCCGCGCGCCAGCATCCAACCTCTTCTGATTCTCCAGGTGCGCGACCCTGGCCTGCAGCTCCGCGATCTGCGCCTTGGCCGTCTTCATCGCCTCGCGCGCGGCGTCGCGCCCCTTCTCGAGGCCCCGGGCCCGCGCCGCGTGCCTGTCCAGCGCGGCGCGCACGGCGCGCTCCGCGTCCCCGTCGAGCCGCGCGCCGTCCAGGAGTCCCATGACCTCGTCCGTGATCGTCGTCGTCGGGTTGCTCTTGCCCTGCGACGAAGACGGGGTCGAGGACGGTGATGCGGACGTGTGCTTGGGCGTGGAAGCGGAGGCGAACGAAGTAGACGCGGCGGGCGTCGAGAAAGACCCGTTGTCGTCGGTGCGCACCCGCTTCCCCATGCCGCCTTGGTCGGCGAACAGGACCCGACGAACGGGTTTCTCGGTGAGGGGAGTCGGTAGCCCGTCTTCCGCGACGAGCGTCCGGTTCGCGGAAGGCGTCTCGCACGCGTCGCGATGTCTTGTCTGGGCCTTAGCGGAGTTGTCGGCGATGGTCGCGAGCACCTCCTCGTCGCCAGAGGAGAAATCGCTGTAGTCGTCGACTTCCGGTCGCTTTCTCTTGGATCCTGCTGACGGTGTGCCGTGGGTTGCGCTGGGTACTGGTTTCTCACTTAATTCCTTGAATATTTCGTCCATTTCGTCCGAATCCTCGTCCGAAGAAAAAAGGCCGCCCGTGTTATTGACCGGCGTCTTACTAATGCTCGGGCTTCCTCTCACCGTCTCGCTCTGCAGAGTCGCAGAAGAGACAGCGCTCTCGCCATTTTGGTTGCGGCCGAGCATACGATTTAGCTCAGAAATACTAGTAACTGGCGTCTTCTCTCCTTCCGGCCTCTTCTCCTTGGCTGGGGTAATGCTCTCGTGCAGCGTCCTCTGCCTTTTCGGCTTATGGCTCGGAGTTCCCTCAGCCTCGCTGCGCGAATTAGTTAGAACAGCGCCAATTTCGCGCTCATGGGCGTCCTCGGTCCATAAAAAGAAGTCGCATTTGTTCTTCTTGTCTTTGTCTTTCTGGCAAGTGTAGAACGAGCGACCTTTGTTGGCTGTGTCCCTCCTGACCGTGAACTGGACCGCCGGAAGCCGAGGAATACAATTGCCTACAAATAGCGAAAAGTAAAAAGTCGATTAGTCTTCTATCCGGTTGCGGCACGTGCAATATAGTAACTTCGGGATGATTTAAACTTCGAGCCGTAACTTACAATGCCAGACGCCGTTTCTAAAGAAGCCGTTGAGTGGAGATTTGCTCGACGGCGTGCTAGGAGTAGCTTGCGACCGTTGCATGGTGGCGATTCTTGATTCTTTGTCTACGTATCAAGACGTTTGGATAAATGTTATAAGTGTCGTTGTAGAAACTCGAAATCATAAGTATCCCGTAAATCTACAACTCGGAATGTTGATGTTTGATACTTGCTATCGTAGCAATGACGACAAGTTGGAGTTAATGGTAACAGCGGGGCAGGGCCAGAACTATCAACATTATGTACCTGCTTACATAGGTACATAGGTGGTGGCTGGGACGGCTGAGATGAAACCAAGGCACGTGGGGCGCGGGAAGTTCCGCGCTAGTGTTACCAGATCCCCAAAGCTTGGCAGGTTACCTGCATAACTTGCATAACCTCACAGGGCGCTCCAATCTTCATCAGCTTCAAATATTGAAGCAAATTACTTGATTGAGTAGGTAACACGACAACAGTTGTTCTTGGCAGATTCGGTGTACCTTAGAAGAATGAATTTAAGCCCGTCAATCTTGTTATAGAGGTCACAATGTGAATGATTAACATGCGAAAGGGGCTAGACGTAGGATCATATCACAGCCTAAGAGCTAATTGTTCGTTACAATAGTGATTTCAATTCAGTCATGGGTATATCATCTATGCGTAGCAAAACAAAATGTGGTATCCTCAGACAATGCGAACCTCCCAAGCTTCCCTTGCGGGCGTCTCTGAATGTCGATTAGTTCGGAAACCAGTGCAATAGTACACCCCTTCTGTGTCCTAGATCGCAAGTTCGTATGAACAGCATGCGATCTGTACCCCGTCGACACGATAATATCAAACCATGTCACCCAAGAGACTTCGTACACCTTCGTATATAAAACCAAGACCGCCTCATATTTCATACCAATAGTCGTCGTTAAGGCCCTCCCTACTCGGCACTACGCCGGCACCTTCCGGAGGTCCTGCATATGTAGCTTCCATCCGAACGTTGAGCAGTCTGATCTTCATACCGTAGTCTTGGACTAGCTTGATGAGCTTATTGGTCTCCGCTGTTATCGGAGCCTGTCCCAGCAGCATCAATAACCCGTCGAGCCATTCCGATGCCACACTGTGATTCAAGGGATGCAGAGTGAGCAACGGCGTTTCCTTGACTTCGCTTAAGTCCTTGGCCTCAGCAACTTCGTCAGGGTTTACGTAACCAAAGATCGTAATCTTTGTACTATTGCTCGTCCCATTTACGGCCTCGGTGGACGGAGCAGATACATTAGAGGCAACGGAACTAACTTGCCGTAAGTCTACCTTCTCAGCCAGAGAATCCAAGTTTGGGTCCGGGCCAGTCCGTAGCCCGAAATCAGCGTAGTGAAGATAGCGGCGATTATGCGACAATTTGGCGTACCGCCAAAGGGTACCGTCGGTTCCGCGGCGATTCTGAAAACCGGTCCCTTGGCTATCCTTTCGTACTACTGGTTTCGAAAACCAGGCGCCTCCCAAGAGACACCTAATACGTTGTTCCTTGACAAATGTAAGAGCTTCTTGGTTCAGGCTCTCCCGTACTTTGTAGAGATGCTGGCCCCATTGGTCATCGAATGAGAGCTCCAGAAGCTCCATCTGTAGCTCGCGCAATCGCCCGAAGTCGTACTCGACTAGGTCTTCTTCGACCTCCAAGATGTCCTTTGATCGGCCAGCTTGTCCAATAACTTGATCTATAAGTATGCGAACTAATTCTGACACTTTCTCGAAATCATCCTGGTCTGCTCCAGTAGATCTCCATAGCTTGAAGAATGCGTTGAGTCCACCTGTATGCAATCTGGACCATTGCAGGAGTAGCGGGCGGAAGAGCTTGTCTTGATGCTTCCCATCTGATAGCTGGTATCCCCTGAGGTCTTCCATTTCCGATCTATCGCAATCGAAATGTTCGTACAAGATGAGCGTGACCGCTAAGCTTGACCTCGCAATAGGGCAGCGCTCGTGGAGTGGTTTGGTTGACTGCTCTAGGAGCAACTTCTGGAAACCATCTTCGTTCTTTCGCACAAAATCGGCAAGATCCATTAGGCCGAGGAATCCGGTATTGTCAAACTCCGCAGCTGGACTCTCCGTCTCGAAGCCAAGCCTTCTCCATTTCTCAGGGTTGTGTCTCCTGCTTCCCTTTTTCCCAGACTCTTGAAGCTCCTCGACTCTCCCGATTCCGTTCGCATGATCTCGATTTGGTGCGCTCGCAAGGTGAAGCCCTTTCAATGCCCTCCTGTGTTCCGGCCTTTCGACGTCAACCTGAACCTGTCGCCATTTCTGAAGCAGTACCTTAGTAAGAGACTGAAACTCCAAGAGAGGGTGCGCGAGGTCCTGCAGTGCTGAGCTCTGCATCAGGTTGTATACCGCCTTAATTAGGCCCAAATCCTGTAATCGCCTTATAAACTTAGGCCATTCTTCTCCGCTGCCTCCTATCCTACTGCTATCGTTACTAGATTCGCCGGAAACAGCATCCCTTACGAGAGCGTTGATTAACATAAGCGCATTTGCGCAGAGGGCGTGATCGGCGGACTGCAATTGCTGGATGACGAGTTCAAAGAACTGCGGGTAGACAGCTACGGCTGGTTTCAATGCGCGAAACCCAAACGTTATGGGCGCACGGCCGCTTGACGATGTAGACTGCGAATGGCTAACAAGTGCAACGAGAATGGACATAGCACCTCGAAGAATGTTGACCAGTGGATTCGTGACGATGAGTTCGACAACGCGCTCGACTAGATCGCCTGCTGAAGGGCCCTCGAAGATATCCCATCCCATATCAACTTCGAGCAATCGACTTAGACTTTGTAGCGAGTATGCGAGTGTGTTTCCGCCCGTGCTCATGATCAAGCGTCGTAATATGATCAGACCGCCAGAAGATATGAAGACGTCTGCAAAGGAAGGGTCGTTTATGGAGGATTGCAGTTTGAAGACCGCCATTTTTCGTGCAGCATCTTCATCGCTAGCAAGTCGCGACAGCAACGCGGGTATGTCTGCTTGGTCCATGGTGGTGGTGTTGGATTGCAATCGTGATGATCTGCGACTGAGAGGGCGGGGAGCGAAGTAGCCGGGGATGAATCGGCATGAACCGACGCGAAGTGGCTGCTAAAGGGCTAGAGAACCAGAAAAGACACTATAAATGCATAATCGTCAGATGTGATGTACAATGGCATGCGCAAGAGTTGCGCCGTATTGCTAAGAGTTATGATAAGCCAGGGAAAAAAACTAGCGACGCGGTTCGAGCGTGAAAGTGATAAAAGATGGGTGGATAAGGAGAAGTCGTGCCTACCGTGTATAGCGCAATGCGGTCTTGAATAAAGTCGGTGCAATGGTATTGGGCAGGGAGAACCTTCTAAAGGCTCCGACAGGGTGTGGGGGCAGTTCCTATTTGGTTCTTAGCTCAGGTACCCCTAGTAGCACATGCAAGGAATATGGGTTCCCCAAGAAACGGTAAGTTGCTGTAGTGTAAAGTTAAATTGCATCAGTGCGTAAAAGACAGCAAACTACATAGTCCTCATCGAGAGACTATATATCATATTGGACTTTATTCTAATCTCATACACAAAGAGCAGAAGTTTGAAAAATCCACAAATTGATAGTTTAAAACTATATTTTATTTTATTTGCCTTGATTGGTACATTAATCTAGTATATTACCCCCAATTTGATCATGGCGCAAACTGAGAAGCCTTCAGTTATCCACTACACATTCCCTTGATGCTTACTTACGTAAGCTAGGATGATAATTATTACTGCTAAGTAGGTAGGTACCTTTATCTTACGCTGTCTGTGTAGGCACTTCCTTTGCAGACGCAGTCTTCTCTAGTTCTTCGTGAACAACCGCGTGCACGTCTTCACCATGCTCCTTGCGGTTCAATACGGCCTGGATTTCAGCTTCAAGACGAGAACCGCCCTTCTTAGTCCTCCATGCGGGCATCGCGCCCTTAGCAAACAGCACCTCGATTTCCTCGATAGTCTTACCGCAAGTTTCGGGGTAGGTAAACCAGGCCTGGATGGCAGCCCCAACACAAAGTACTCCAAAGATGATGAATACCTTGTATTTGATGTTCAGGAAGCCTGGAGGCGTGAAGAGGCCAAGGGCGAAGTTGAATAGCCAGTTAGCCACAGCAGCCAGCGACATACCGGTCGCACGCGTCCCGAGCGACCAAACCTCGGCGGCGTAGACCCAGGCGACAGGGGCTAGGGTCAACGCATAGACGATGATCAGAAGGTAGCTGAATGCGATGACGCCGTGTGCGGGGGCACCAGTAACTCTGATGACAACGTTGTGGTTACCACCGACGCCCTCGGGGACGGGAACGCTGTAAGTGCCAAGCAAGCCACCAACAACGAAGTGGCAGACGGCCATCCCGAGAGCACCATAGACAAGGAGCGGTCGACGACCAGTTTTATCGATGAAAAAGAACATGATCGTAGTGAAGCTAAAGATGTCTGGTTAGTGTCGACCATCAAACGGTGTACAGACTGGCTAGTCAACTTACATGATGAAGAGTGCATATTGAATACCAGAAGAAATCAGGTTAACATCGCCTTGAAGATCAGCCATCAGGAAGACATATCCAATGTAGTATACGATAACATTGGCACCGCTCATTTGCTAGGAAAGCGTCAGTTTGAAATTCTATGCAGGCATCATGCCGGTGGAAACTTACCTGCCACGCCTGGACACTCATTCCGGCAAGAGTTCGTTTCCACATGCCGTTGACGAAGAACTTTCTCCATCCCCTAATCGTCTCACGCTCTGCATTGAGCACGGTGTAGATTTCTTCCCACTCGGCAATAACAACGGGATCGTCCTTGTTACCACCTGCTTGGATATCGGCGAGAACTTGAATTGCTTCCTCCTCGCGACCGACCTTGGCAAGCCATCTCGGAGATCTAGGGAGGAACGGAAGGCCCAACATGAGCAAAACACAGGGAATGAATTGTGTTCCCCAAGCAGTTCGGAAAGACGCCGTGCCATCAATTTTAGAGCACTACAGCATCGATAGTTAGTGCTAATAGTCAATCTCGACTCAAAACCATGTACGCAAGGATGTGGCGTTCTCATTTGTGCTTGAATGAGACAAAATATTCCCCCCCAAAAAGAGTAGGAAAACATGGTAAGAGGAATTACTTACTCCGTAGCCAATGAAGTACATGATCAAAATACCCCATTCGATAGCAAGTTGTTGGATGACGATAATACGACCCCGAGTATCCTGCAAATCGTTAGAGGATCCTACGTACGGTGCAAAATAAATGCCCTATAGAGTGCGACTTACTCGTGGAGCGATCTCGGCGAGATAAACTGGGACTTGAGACGAAGAGATACCGACGCAGACACCGTTCAGAACACGACCGGCGATCAGCGAGCCAATTCCCTTAGTAGAGACTTGGACGGCAGTTCCGGCCAACCACCAGAGGCAGCCAAACATGATACTAAACACATATAAGATGCAAGACTCAAGTTGGTATGATGGATGTTCTGAACATACCTGTCACGGCGGCCCCATTTGTCGGAAATGGGACCGGCCATCAAACTACCAATAACAGACCCAGCAGCGAGAGCAGAACCAATGGCGCCTTGAACAACACCAGACGGATTGTTGAAGTAATTGATGTACTGGTCGGTAATGACGATGGCTGACATAGACGAGATATCGAAACCAAAGAGCATACCTCCAACAGTGGCTATAATAGCCATGAAGTAGGTATTGGCTGATGGAACATGTTAGCATGGCGCATACGGACAAGGTTCGACATCGACATACTGATCTTTGGAAACCGCGACATCTTGATCGCTTTCCTCGAAGGCTCGTCGTAGGAGTGGAAAGCAAGCTGACACGTGAAGGCAAAGCCAAATAGTAGTAAAGGTAGCTTGGGGAAGTTTTTATCTGGGTGGAGAGGTGGAGTGAACCCTTCATATAGCAAAGCTTTCTTGCATGCATCTGATGACACCCAACGACACTAACACTCAGAATTTCCTCATGCTTACTGCGTAGCATGGGCAATCTTGGACCCATTCGGGATTTTCCCGACATACAGGGAAGTACGCGTCGGACGATACATCCATATGAGGAGCTTCACGAAGCACCGGTCCAGGCTTGCCATGCGGAAGAGAGAGAAAGACGGGCTGCTATAGGTGCAATAACTCGCCCACTCACCCTAGGTGAGCTCACGGTTGGGGCCGGACGTCACATTCTACCCGTATCCTAGATCCTTCACGCGCAAGGCGAGCCTATGGCTGTCTTCTCAGACGACCAGGACGTACGTTTCTCCACATATTTACTTTTAATGTTACGGTCGATGTCAAACGACCAATCGCCACCTTGTTGTGATTCTGCGGCCCTCCACATCACGCCTTTAGACACGGGGTAAGCAACTAAAATGCGGAGGCGAAAGGACTTAAATTCGCAAGCTAACTGTTTTTCGGACCGACGACTAGCTTAGTGATTGGTGCGCATCAACGCTCGAGGTCGTTCAGGGTTATTAGTGTGGAGATTTCTCGTTAGGCGCAACAAATCCCGGAGATAGTCGCTTGTGGGGAACTGGCGCAATTTCCACCTGAACTTGGAGAAACCCTTGAAAGACCTCGATTGATACCATGTAACCTATGTATCTAGGTTGGGGAAGCACCAAGCCTATGAGGCTATCGTGTACAGTGACAGGTTACAGTACAGTATGAGAAATTAGAAGCCAAATACCAGATTCCCGGGATCGGTTACAACTACACACGTATATCATATGAGAAATGTAACAAATAATAGAAGTCACTATTATATTTGGAGCTCTTTACTAAACATCATACATACGTACATAGGTGGATGTACGATATGGCAACGAGTCCAATATAATAGGACAGGATCAAGATGTCAAATACCCATATAAGTTCATTTACGATAGGTATTAAAATACAGCTCGTCTATTTAGAGCAGTTGAGTCGAAAGTGCTTAGCTATAACGTTGCACGAGAACGGATGGCGGATCGTTGTGTCAACTTGGCTCGATAATGATATTTATTGGATCTCTTAAAGCTTCCCTTAACCCTGCTGACTAGAACTTCTAGAAGCATACAAGTCTCACAAGCTAACCTCTACTAAAATACAAGAATCGAGACTGCAGTTGTACAACCATAGGAAAAAGGTCCCTGGCAAAAGATCTGCAAGCCCGTATGCTGAAACTTCTCCAATGCATCGACTCAAGTAGAGCGCGATCCCGGCGGAGGAAGTGCTTCGGGTCCAAAAGACAAGGGTAACAACTAGCCGCACGAATATTAGCCCATGTTTATACTACGCATCCAACGAAGACCTTAGTCATCATACCTGTTCAAGACGTAATACCGTATAGTCGTCATTCTTATCGAACATAATGATTGGAACGGAAAGATCACAGAATTCACGGATACTTTAGAAATTAGTATGCTAATGAGCTCTCACAGGTAGATCAATGGATGAAAGCCGGACTAAACTTACAACTGGCGACACATGCCGCAAGGACTGGCCGGAGGAGCTATATCTGTTGACACGGCTACAGCCTTCATCTTTCGGTGTCCTTCGGTAACAGCCTTGCCGAAAGCTACGCGTTCAGCACACGTTCCGACCGGGTACGAGGCATTCTCAACATTGGCTCCGCTGAAATAGGCGCCGTCAACTGAGATGATTGCTGATCCAACTCGGAATTGGCTGTATGGACAGTAAGCTGTTGATTTGGCGGCAACGGCTCGCTGATGTAATTCACCAAACTCCTCCTTCGTCAACCCATAAGTCGAACAGGTCTTCTTAACCGCGTCTGCATCATTAGCAGAGTGTCTCTCGTACTGCGAAGACATTATGGCTTTCTCAAAAAGTAGGTGAAGCGGTGTTGAAGCCGGATGGAGACTGAGTTCGTCTCCAACGGTCTGGATACTCGAGGAATGTTCATTAGTCAGATGTTACATCAATACTTTTATACAATGCCGGAATGGGGCGGATTTAGCACAATTCGTTTATCTTTCGTAGGTACCTGCCTATCACAGCAGGTTATCAATTTTAGGGGTGTCTCATGATAAGAACTTCGACTCCGCTTCTTCATCCATCCTACTATCTTTCTACTGGGAAATTGAGAATAAACAACTTAATAGATAGTGAGAATTCATATTTCTCTTCGACTTCGATCTGTTCGGCTGGGCTCTCGCAAAGCTATCAAAACCCCAGTTAGCTCTTCTAGTTTTCTTAATACCAGTGCGTATGACATAATAGAGCATGATACTATGTAAACATCCGCCATAAATCGTTACGGCACTGCTATGCGATTCGTCAATGACGGCTTGATCGACAACAATATCCTCAATGGAAACTCAAGCTACAGACCAGTTTCAGTCTGAGTGCAAGGCAGCAAGCCCTTGATTAGAATGAACATTGGAAGCTGTCGCAGTTAACATTATTTGCGAAACGGCGCTTTTCCAAGTGTTCCCCAGGAAGTTCGCTCTATTAAATAACAACATTTTAAGGGATCCATTAGATGAAGGCCGACAATATGTAATCGACATATAAAAAACCTGGCTAACATGGATTTGGATTATCTATAGCCTCAAATTTCACAAAGCGAGTGCCATTCATTTAATATTTAATCTTAGCTGAAGTGGTAGGCTTTAAAGCTGTGAGCCGGAACGCCAATATCTCCTGTCACCCATTACGTCATGTATGACCTCGGGAAACGGGTACAACGTGAGAAGTTGAAACTTTAGGTTTAAGCAACCATTAGATGACGGGATCAATTACCAAACTCACGGGTCTTGGGAAACTCTGAAATCTTGATCTAAAAGGCCAATTGACCAAATTGAGTTCTTCTCTGTCCCAAAATTCTGTATACTGCGCCTCGCATCCTTACGACAATATAAAGATGCCAGGGAGACAGCAGCCACACGGATCGAGATCACCAGACCTATCACACAAAGACAATAGGGTTCGTACATGTCTTGGTGACGCCAGCGGACGCCACATCCTACTCTTAAAACCTGGACTTGGTGAGTTGCTGATGTTCAAAATCAAGGTAATAGGATCAGCAGTGATGTCATACAGCGCAACCTCCGTCTACTCCAAACACAGTACTACGGATGCCAGGTTTATAAACACGACGGCGCCGGTACTTCATGTTAGCTAGATCTCGCGCGGGAAGACTAAGGTAATGTAACATTAATTGCCGTTGCCTCTCAAGCTATTATTTTCGCTAGTACCAAACGTCGTATCTCAGGCAGTCGTCGTCGGCAGGCATAATTCACAATTCACCGAACGAAATAGAGCTGGTGGAAAGGAAAGACGAGAATATATACCCCCCTTTTTTTAAGAAATAAATCTACCTAAGCAACCCCTCCAGAAACCATGGGCCACCCGTTCCACCCCGACGACTTCCCCCTCAACACAGACGTCGTGCTGCAGCCGACGCGCGCCTTCTACCTCAAGGGGTGCATCCACTTCAAGGCGACGGCGCAGATCATCGACCTGTCGGGGCGCCTGCAGTCGCCCTTCGTCGGGGACTTCAGCCACGCCTTCCTAGACGAGGCCGAGCAGGTCGCGCGCAAGTTGTCGTCCTCGTCCTCGCCGACCTACGAGATCAAGTCGAGCGGGAACATGATGCGAACCCTCAAGACGATCGCGGACGGGTCGTCGGGCGAGCGCGTGTGCGACCTCAACATCACCTTCGTCTCCTTCGGCTCGAGCACCGTCCGCTTCCCCAAGGACAGCCCGCACTCGCGCCACGAGGTCGAGCTGTGCCCCGTCGGCGGCCGCGCCGCCGGCGGCGACGAGAGCAAGCACGAGGCTTTCGTCAAGAACAGCATCCCGTACTTCTGGGACATGACCCGCGGCCGCGTCGGCATCCTGTATAAATGCCTGAACCAGAAGCGCGTCGAGATCGGCCGCGTCGCCGGGTATGGGTTTGACAAGGACGCCGTGCTCGTGCTTAACGGGAATGAGCTGGATGATGTGGTGGCTATTGCGACGTGTATCATTTTACTTAATGGGAGGGATGCCATGGACGCTTAGAGGGGATGCGGTATGAGATGATGAGATAGGAAAAGATGAAATGACTAACGAAAAGTGACGAGGCATGTGCACTTGCGAAGAGGAATCGAGAATTGGCCGGTTTACTTAATCGCATACTAATTCATAAGTTTCTAATCGAATTTATACTAATGATACAATTCTCTACGCGCGCGTTAGTCTATGGCCCTCCCCGGAGTAATCGTGACCGTGATGCTAGCAAGGAACTTCTAAAATCTAGTAATCTACCCAGCCGCACCCCAAACGCCTTCTCCCAAGACCCTTGCTTAATTCCATCCCCAGAACTCGTAGATACGCTCTAGTGTCTGGGGTCCGTGTGTGAAAGGAAAGTTATGCGAACCGGGTACGACGCGCCAATACACATTCTCCTTACCACCGAGAAGAGGAAGGGCGTCCTCAGTATAATCGTCTCTTTGAATCATGTTATCATTCTTTCCAAGCAAGACGGCGGTGGTTCCCGGCTTTCGCTTCGCTAGCTGTCGCCAATAATCATGCTGCCCCATCAACGGCGCGTGGCGGATCGTCGACATGAAAGCCTGCACGAACCCCTCGTGGAAATCGAGCGTCCAGTGCACGCAGTCCATGACCTGGCGCTCGAATGGGGTCTGGGGCGGCTCATCCACGGGATCTATGGCCTCTTGCACCGCGAGGTCGACGAAGTCGTCGCTACGCTCGCTCTTAAGGGGAGCGTTGGTTGACGCGTCGGAGATCGACTTCCTAACCTTCTTGGATATGGACGAGGCGATGGGCTGCCGCAGGCGGCGTTTGGTGATCCACGAGAGTATGCGCTCGGGTACGATGCCCGACGTGAATATGAGCCGACTCGCGCCGCCGACGTTTTCCGGGCGGATGAGTCCGGCGGGCGCGAAGAGGATTAGAGTCTCAACCATGTTGGGAAAAGTAGCCGCGAAGTTGGCGGCGATACCACCGCCGAGCGAATAGCCGACAAGGTGGAGGCCATTATCGCCTGTCCATGATAGCTTCGAGGATGCTAGCACAAGCAATATTTGAGTTACGAATAATCTTGTGTCGTAGGGCACATCGCCGGGCGCATCGCTGAAGCCTCGGCCGAATAGGTCCTAGGAGTTGTTAGTGAAGCTCAATGGATTAGAGTCTCATCCCGTGAATTCTGTGCGGAATAACTTACAAAAAGCATAACTCGGCAACCCTTCTCGGCAAGCGGGATCGCGATATCCTTGAGAGTCATGCATGAAGTACTGATACCGTGGATGAATAAGACTTTGCGGCCATCTTCAGGTCCAAACTCATACACGCGGATATTTCCGTACTAGGTACTTAATGTTAGATCACTCTTTCGCTCGTTCACTTATCAAGGACGAGCTTACTGGCGTAACTACATCTCGGGCACCCGGAAATGTGTCTGGACTATACGGAATTTGAGCAAGTTCAGCTTTGGATAGCTTATGAAGCCCAGTCGAGAGAGGACCGGGAATGACGGCTCGCTTCTCAGACCACAACGCAAATTGAGCGAGCGAAGTAAGGGCAACAGTTACCGCTACGGTTGTTGCGATAATCGCAGTCGACCGGATCTCCTCCATTCCAACTGAACCTGATATCCAAGCCTTCCGTCCGACGTTAGAGGTCTATGATATTAACGTGCCCGTGAGATTTTAGGTATGGGGGGTTTCAACAAATATATTTCCGTAGCTACCGAGGTAGTTGAGAAGAAAGCGCCGAAACCGTCTGAACAAAGTAAAAACCGGCAGACTATAAGAACTACTAGAATTTCGAAGGCTACCTCGATTTGTGTTACGAGGCGCAATATTTTGTATTATGTGTTGTTAACTTGTTGTTCGTCAGTCACAAGAGAGTCAAGAGACACACCGAGCTCAGCTGACTGGAACGCTAGTTATGTATAATTGCATAGTGGTAACTTAAAATGCCCCCACAGCCACCCATTATTCCCACGTGGCAGCCTGGGAACTGTAACACAAGAGATAGGTTTTAGCGTCATCCCACTTTATACACTTCCGCCTAGACTTTTCGTCTTATTTGTCTCTTCAAAGTCTCCCGTGATATCGTTTTATGACTTACCTATAACTTTCATCCTATAAGCCGCATGATTTCTGTTGTGAAGCCATATGATCTCTTCAAGGCTTTCTATCCTATTAACACTTCTTTACCTACCTAGGCAGCAGCTAGACAAGTACGACTCGCGATTCGCTCACTTATAGCCTCTAGGCTCACACCGAAGCCTATAAATACTAGGTATATCGACCTTAGCAGAAGCGCGTATTACACTTGAGTTAGGACTATACCACCTATTCCTGGTGAAGTGTCTATAAGCTGATCAAATAGCCACCATGCTCCATTATCTCTTCTCAAACTAACATACACACTTGTATACACAGAGAATAATATATAGAAGTGGCCAAGGCCAGTCTTGTGACGAGGCGAGGTCACAAAGTGAAACCAGCATCGACCACGACGTTAACCCCCGTGATACTCCTGCTCTTTGCGAAAAGAAGAACCTGCTCCGCGACATCCTCGACAGTGGCGACGCGCTTAAGTTTAGTCTTCTGTATATGGCTTTGTTTACCCTCTTCTGAGAAATTTTCTGCCCAGTCCTGTTTCTCGCCGTTAGACCATATTGCTCACAGATTTCAAAATTAGTGACGGATCTTTACCGTGAGTAGTAAGCCGGGGGACACAGAATTAACCCTGATCTTGGGAGCAGCCATAATCGCTAGCGCTTTTACCAGATGGATTTGCGCGGCTTTAGTAACGGAATAAGGCTGTTTTATGTTATTACGAGCTCTACTCTAATACTATAGTCCGAAGCGACTTACCAAAGAGCTTCCGCTAGGTATTACACCAGCAATGGAGGCGGTGGTGATGAAAGCCCCCTCGGTTTCATCAAGGTGTTTCTTAGCAGCTTGCATAAGCCACATATGAGATTTCACGTTAAGGTTGAAAGTACGATCCCAGTCCTCTTCGTATGCATTATCATCGATGCTGATCATGCCACGACTACGATCGAGGGTGTTAGCGGCTATCCAAGAGGATGAACGTCCTTTTCGAAGGGGTTACATCGATCCATAGTGAACTTACAAGCGCGTCCATCCACCATTTGAAAAGATGACATCCAGCCTGCCGAACCTATCAACGGTCTCCTTGACAAGGCGGTTTATATCGTCTCGACTACCCAGATCAGCTTTGATAACGGCGAAGTTTTCGCTTGTACTGTCATGGGGTAGAGTAGACAGAGCCGGCAATTCAGCAAGGAGCTTGTTTGCTCGTTCCTCGTTGTTCGCATAGTTCACGATGACCCGGAAACCGTTCTTGGCAAAGAGCCGACTCGCAGCCGCTCCGAGTCCGGCGCTTCCCGCCGTGATCAATGCGACTGACATGATATATCAGAGCTTCTTTCAGAAACTTGCTCTTGGTTTCTTGGTATATGCAGAGAGATTTTTCGAAACAAGACTTGAAATTATAAAATAAACAAAATGGTAAAAGCGAAGAAAATAATTCTATCTCATATCATGGTGGCCTTGTAGGCAACTTCAGTATCCATATTATAATGAGGGGTTCCCTCGGGTGATACCTAGTAGAGTGCTATGCTAACAAGGTATCTAGCGTCGCACTTTACCGGCAGCTTGGCACTTGTATCGGAAGTAGCCTTGGGGTAAAACAGTGATACTAGAGACGCTGATTAACATCTTATTCTATTTAAGGTTTACTATTGAATTACCCCTAGATATTGCCAATATTTGACGTCTCATATCTGGTTGCCCGACAATCGCACACACAACGTAGATCTAGGGTCTACTAAATCGCTGCCTGCTCACCCGCGGTGCATGCTCCACTATGCAAGACTGTGTGCTTCGGAGCAACATTGTCTTCGACAGGAGACGTAACCACAATCACCTCATCACCGCCCGGATACACCGTCTCGTGGCCCCAGTTCGAAATGTCCTTCGTATCGTCGGCGAAGATTAGCCCATACTTGCCGCCGTAAATGGTCGCCGTATCCGTGCCGTTCGGCAAGCTGACTATCTCGGGATTAATACCTAATCTGCTATACGTCACCGGATGAAAGACTTACGTTCTATGAGACCGCTAACGAACCAGACCCATCTGGATGGCGGCAAGTTTCTCGTCAGCCCTGATTTACGCGGAAATACATGCATAGTCCTCAACTCACTGCTTAAACGGAGCATTGTGCAGCCCGCCGTCGAATCTGGCCGGGATTATGGTATATGTTGCGTTCGAAAGGGTGCCCATATCCATCACCTGCAAGCCAGCGACGCCGGGCGTGTCGCTCGTCACGAACGGCGAGCTCAGCTGCCAGCATTCTAGCACCGAGACGTTGTTCTTCCCCGTCAGAGCTGTTATGTTGAGATTCTGCGAAGCGCGCGCGACGCCGAGGAATAAGACGGCAAGTTGGACGAAGAGGCGTGCCATGTTTCCTGAATCTGTCGGCTATTATGCGAGCTAAAAAGAGATTTATACGAAAGAAAGAGACAGGAAAAGTAGCTTCAACGTCGACGTTCCATACCACTCTTAAACCCGACAAAGCGGTAAGGTTATATATATCGACCATGACTCAAGACGCCAGAACGTCAGCTTTCCAGGGGGGTTGTTTACCATTTCGGTACAGACCCGGAAAAAACCTAGCTCTTACATATGTAGCTTTCGTAAACCGATATTCGGCACTTTCTCCGTTTACGAGAGGAAGATCCTACCTTAAGGATTTGCGGCCAAATCTCGATTCGTACGAGTGGGCCAATGGAAAGACATCAATCCTGCTCCAGTGGTGCCAAGTTAAGATAGTTAAGATGAAGTCTTAGATATATCGTCGTCGGGGCCGTATCCATCTACTCACCTGCTCATCTGCGCCGTAAAGTGTAAACCCCAGTTTTCTGATCCGCGGGATGGACCCGTATAGGGCGCATCACGAATCTGTTATGCAATGCCACTAGAGACTGATGTCTACAACATTCTCGTAATTCTATTGGCGATGTAGAAAATCAAGATCAGCCTCACAACGCCAGAGACATCAGTGGCGCAATATTTCCAGCGTTGATCTGCGTAGTAATGAAACCCGCATAACCAAGCTTTCCCCTTATCTACATCACAGGAATCATCGTTAACTACTGCACGCCTAAACTTCAATAGCTTAAAAAAACAGGTATTTTATACAATGTCCTTGAGCCCATACGTAAGGTACATTATTCGCATCCCCGGATCAAATGGGTTACGAGTCGTCGTCTCATCCCACACGTGCCCTCACTTATCAGCGGGACTCATGATGCGCCTCCCCAGTCATACCATATGGCTGGAAGTTCTGCATTCGTGGTTGTTTACTAATACTGCTGTTACCCACTCCTCCCGACTAGTAAGTTCTCTTGAACGGTGGGACAGCCTTGCATTCGTTCTCATCCAACGTCGTGCCGATGACTCTTCGGTATCCAAGCTCGACCTTGCCATGAGGCTGCTTCTGGAAGGAAAGGGTATGCTTCATCCAGTTCTCGTCGTCTCGGTCTGGGTAATCTTCACGTGCATGAGCACCACGTGACTCCTTTCGGTTGGCAGCAGAGGTAGCGGTTTGAACACTGTAGAGGTTGTTAGCTATTCTTTCTTCGGTGGTTGAGATACCGAGAAATACTTACGCGCAAGTAAGCAAGTTTCGTAACTCGAGTGTCTCAACGAGATCCGAGTTCCAGATCATGCTACGGTCCTTGATTCCGACTTGAGAGTATGTGCCGTCGATCTCCGTGACTCTCCTTACACCTTCATCCAAGCTTTCCTGGGTTCGGAAGACGCTTACGTCTGTTTGCATGGCCTTTTGCATGGCAAGTCGGATTTCAGCTGTGCTCTTGGGGCCGTCAGAGTTGCGGACCTTGTCTAGAACCTCTATCGATCCTGCACCAGCATCGGCGCTGATAGGCTTAGCCTTAGTGCCAGGAGTAAACCTGTCTCGGATGGTGTGGGAAACGGCTCGTCCGAATACGACAAGATCTAGTAGGGAGTTGGCACCAAGTCGGTTGGCACCGTGAACCGAGACGCAAGCAGCTTCGCCACAAGCAAATAGACCCGGGACAACCTTGTCATTACCAGCTTCATCAATCGTAAGAACCTCTCCGGTGTATTTCGTCGGGATACCACCCATGTTGTAATGGACGGTAGGCAAGACGGGAATGGGTTGCTTGCGGACATCAACACCCGCAAAGATGGCAGCAGTCTCCGAGATACCGGGTAGACGCTCAGCAAGGACCTCGGCAGGCAAGTGGCTCAGCTGAAGGAAGATGTGGTCCTTCTCAGCACCAACACCACGCCCCTCGCGAATTTCCAATGTCATGGATCGTGAAACGACGTCACGACTGGCCAAATCCTTCGCGGTAGGCGCATATCGTTCCATGAATCGCTCACCCTCAGAGTTGAGGAGATAACCACCCTCACCACGAGAGCCCTCCGTAATCAGACAGCCAGCTCCATAGATACCGGTAGGGTGGAATTGGACGAATTCGAGATCCTGGTTGGGAAGTCCAGCACGGGCAACCATGGCCATACCGTCACCCGTACAAGTATGTGCCGAGGTACAACTGAAGTAGGCTCGGCCATATCCACCAGTAGCCAAGACAGTGTTCTGCGCAAGGAATCTGTGGAGCGTGCCATCTTCCTGGTTGTAAGCTAGGACACCACGACATTCTCCATCTTCCATGATCAGGTCCAGGGCAAAGAACTCGATGAAGTAGTTAGTACTGTGACGAAGAGATTGGCCGTAAAGAGTGTGCAGAAGAGCGTGTCCCGTTCGGTCAGCGGCCGCACAGCAACGGTATGCCTGACCACCCTTTCCATACTTCTGCGACTGGCCACCAAAAGCACGCTGGTAGCTAGCGAGCAGCCATTAGCAACCATTGGTATTGGACAGAGGGCCGGCTCAAACTTACATCCTTCCATCTTCAGTTCTGGAGAATGGGCAACCATAGTTCTCGAGCTCGATAATAGACGCGGGAGCCTCCCTCGTCATGTAATGGATGGCATCTTGGTCACCGAGCCAATCCGAACCCTTCACAGTATCGTACATGTGCCACCGCCAGTCGTCCTCGTGCATGTTTCCTAGAGCCGCATTGATACCACCTTGCGCGGCGACTGTGTGACTTCGTGTGGGAAAGAGCTTCGATATACAGGCTGTGTTAAAACCAGCCTCCGCAAGGCCGAATGCTGCGCGCAATCCGGAGCCGCCCGCGCCAACAACAATTGCATCATACTCATGGTCCTACGGTCGAGTTAATCGTTGTCGATTCCATGTGAAATTCCATCTCTAGACAAAGAAAAGCGATGTGCGACGTACGATAACGGGGTACTTGCTGCTAACATGTACCGGCGCTTCCTTGGCTCGTAGTGGGCTGCTCGCGATAATTCGAGCTGCACGTGGGAGAAGACGATTAGATGCCAATTCAATTATACAATTAGTAAAAGTAGCGCTCGCACTTACAAACAGGTCGCGTGGAAGAGAAGGTTCTGGTTTGGCACCTTGCCGCCCGAGAGAACTGTCAAAGCGAGTATGAAGTCAGTGTCCATTTCAGAATAATATCTCGGTAGACGCCGCATGCAATTGTCCTTAATAAGTAAGGGAGGGGAAAACTCACGGCAGAGCCAGTGGCTAACCTCCTCAATGCCATTGAAGATGCCATCGTGAAGTTGGAAACGTATTAGAAGGAGGGGGTAATGCCAACGACGAGGAGGCTCTTGTCTTGTCCTGCAAGTCTCGGGGATGGCAAATGGCTTGAATCCAGAAACCCAGGAAAAAGTGATGATGCCGGCGAAGTTCAACCGCAGCTTCCAGACAATTGACCAGCGGTCCAATAGCATCGATTCTGATTACCGAGGGATAATAAAACCGGCCATTTCCACATGTATTTTGTACCTACCGCCTTCCATCCCACCTTACACTAAGCACTTTAGCCACCGGCATCATAATCACGTGTCAATAATATTGAGTGCGTTTAAGATTCACTTATGCATAATGGCATTTTTTCAACAAACCGATCATTTAATATCAGGTACCGAATACTTTTGGTGGCCTAATGTCATAAAGAGAAGAATACTCTGCGAACAGCCACATAGCAAGATAAAATGACAAGCAATGTAAATCAAAGACATTTAGAAACTAACGCCTGGTATGATATTATAGTCGGGTATACCAGAAGGCCAAAAGGCCATATCGAATCGTCTAGCTAGCTATCCATGTCTTGTTTGACATGCCCTATTCCATGACCATTCCATGACCATTCCACGACGGATGCAATTGAATGCGAATGATCTCTCCTTTTGACGGTAGAATTTCATCGTATCCTATCCACAAATGCAGCAAAGTCAATTCCCTCGTCCTAAACACCGACTCTAATATGCTTTGTTCGTGACCCTGTATGGTTTTCCTAAGGGGCTAATACCTGTCGTAGCATCTCGATGAAGTTTTCCTTCAGTTTATGGACCTCGCTAACTACTGGTTTCTGAGGTTCACCCGCGCGAGCCTTGAGGCGGTCTTGTCTCTTCGCCCTCCTCCGTCTTTCGGCGTCAATGGGGTCCAGTTCGTCCTCTATCTCGGCCTCGGCCTCGTCATCAGATCCATCGTCGTAATTCATGTCTTCTAAATCCATATTGTTAAGTCCAAAATCACTGGCTTGGAAACTGGTCATTCCCGGCATACCGGCATCGCTAACAGAACCCTCGGCGGCCATTTTCTGTCTAGTTTTGTCGTGGTGCCATTTCTTGCGGGCTTCTTGCCAGGAAATGAGCTGGTTGATCTCCTCAATTGCTTTTTCCTTATCGAGGTTATTGCTCGTAACACCTCCTTCGAAAAGGGCGTTGATGTCTAATGCTCCTCCTGCGGGTCCCTTTCTTAGGAACTCTAGGATGCCTTCGATCCAACCCATAAGTTGTGTGAAGAGACCATTATCATGCGTGTGGACCTCGTGAACGAATTTGTAGAAGTTATGCTCGTGGCGCTGGCATAGATCAATAAACGCTTGCACCGTCTGGTTTGGATCGGCCGAAGCATCCTGATCTCTACATTGATCGACAACCTGTCGCAATGTTAGTAACTCGAATCATCACTCGGAATTTTACGTACCTGAATCATATCATCGATGAAAACAGAAAAATCGGTGATACTGTTATACACGTTGGCCGACTTATACACTCTCACTAGAGGTTCGTAGAAGATTGTGAAGAGATCTCGAAGTAGCTGTAGAGTGACAGGTTCCTCAATGAGACTAAGCATCATTTGCTTATCACGCTGTCTCGTTTGCATCTTCATCAACTGCTTTAGGTATGAGAAAAGTTGTGCTCCCTGTTTGAATTCCTCATCGACATTTTCCACTGCGTTGTTGAAGGCGACATATGCATTGTATAGCTTCCCAATTTGATCGGCAGTAAGCGCCGGCTCAAAAAGATCAGATCGCAATATAGCCACGAGAACATCGACGCTCTCAGCTTCGGCTTCCTCTCGAATTGTAACCTTGACGTGCTCCTCGGCGTCAATGAATTGTTTCAGTTTTTGTACAAACACATCGTCTCCTATCTTAGCAGCCAGGGCGTCGATAGATTTCTGCTGGGTCCGTATTCCGTCGTTCAAAGTTAACGAGAAAATACGTTGCATTAGAGAGCGAGACCCAAATGGTTGCGCCAGGAAAATGTCGAGTGCCGCTGACATTACGACAGCTGGATTCGCAAGACGAATTACATTTTTCATGATTGAGTACGGTATTAAGGAGTGGATTCGCTTGAGCTGCGCAAACAGTTCCGGCGAGTTGTCTTCAGCAAGGAATAAATGGTAAATGGTAGCGGCCACTTCAATGCGAAGCCATTCAGCAAACTTCTGATATTGTAGGCTTAGATCTTGAATGGTATCCTTCTCTTTGATCTCTTGAAGAAGCATTGTTAACCCATTGCGCTCAACGATGTCTTGTCGGAACTGCTCCATATACACATCTAGCTCGGCAGCTCTCTTCCTCGCGATTTCGTAGAATTGCTTCTGTTCTTCTACACGCTTCTCGTCAACAGCTTTTCGTCGGACGATGTCCTCAACGTCTGCGTCGGTTGGCGTGATCGGGTCATGTGTTAGGAACTGATGCAAGGCCTTCGTCTGTGCAATTTGCGGGTTATGCAGAAGATATCGCAAGTAAGCTCTTAGCGATATACGCTGATCTTCACGCCAAAGGATTGCATTTTCAAATTTAGGACTTCTAGGACTTTGAATCGGGCTCGCACTACCGTCCATAGATGGGCGTGGCGATGTTCGACCAGACGCTATCGACCGATTTCGACGATGATCTCGGACTGTCAAGTTCATCGAATCCCTGAACCCATTGCTTCGAGGTCCAGGAGCATTGGTAGAAACGGATGAGATGGACGAAATGTCAGAGTCATAACCCCCATCCGTCATGCGCGACATCAGACCTGATGCGGACGTATCTGATTTATTCTTCTTTGGTAACGGAGGGAGAACTTTGCCAGGGAGTTCCGTCCTCAGTTGTTTATGTAGCCGGGCAAAATCGCCATACCGTCTACCTATGTAATGTTCAATCTCGCCTTTTCGCTTCACGCGCAATATGAACTCCTGTAACAAGTTAGCATGAGTTTTTTATCCAACGTATTTTAAGGGTAGGTCCTACCGCATGCTTATGGCGCCTGATATTTCTTTTGACGAGAGTAATGCGCACTCCAGCAACATTGACGTCCCATCCATTGACATAATTTCCTTCGGGCATGGAATTCAACAAGCCTGTCTCAATCGCATCGCGATCGACAATTTCCATCTCAGCGAATCTTATTCGCTCCTCGAACCCGGAGGCCGTAGGGACCCCCGACACCATCATCAGTTCGACCAACTTGCGACATTTTAAAGCGAGCTTGCGACGCTTGGTCTCTTCTAAGCGGTCCTCCGAGGATGAGATGCTCTTGCTAGCGAACGACTCGAGGAACTAAAAATCCGGCGGTGACAGAGTCAATATAACGCAGTACGTTCTTAGCTAGCGAGACTACCTACCACTTGTAACTTGTCCTGCCAGAACTCCTTCTCCTTCGCCTTATCCAGGAATGGAAACTCCCGTATATGGTTTACGAATATATAGCGTAAGATAGGGAGCTCAGAATCATAAGGTGATATTTCACCTAAATCTGACTTGAATGGCGCACCGAATCTACGAAGCGCGGTTGGGGAATTCAGTTCGGAAACCTCCCAGTTAACCTGTTCGGATATGAGCTCCCGTTTGAGATCTGTAAGGCATATTGATTAGCTTCGACGACCCCCGAATCATACGCCGGGAAAACCACGAACAATGCTCTTGTTTCCCGGTCAATGTCTGGCCCGGAGGGGTAGAAGTATTATCGGTAATAGGATCGCGGGGTGCGTCCCCCTGGGCGGAATCCGCACCAGACATTATCTGATGCTAGAATTGTGCTCGTTTTACTTTTTGATACCCGATAATTTGGACCGATGTGAATGGACTCTACGAGCTCTCGTGTTCGCTCTCGTTCGGTTTCGTATGTAAGTAAGTAAATCTGTGGCTTGGCGTAATTAGGTAGTCGCAGTACTATGTATTAGGCGCGTATGGTGTACAGCTATTCCGTCGGGTAGATTAGTTATGGCGGGGAATGATTTGATGTCGTCAGCCAATGGCCCTGTTTTTCTCTCGAAACCCTCGACCTCGGAATCCCGAAAAGCGACTAGGCAAATTAAACAGACGTAGCCTCTCACGATCAAGGGTCAAGGTATGTGGGATGAGAAAAGAAGAATTTTAGAAGATGCGGATATGAAGAATAAAAAGAAAATCAAACAAGGAACAAGGCTTGGATTTGTGAGGCAGTGAAAGAGTGGAAGTTGGATATACCTGGTACCTTGTATGGATTCCAATGTTGTTAAGGGTATGGATGTACGAGATTCAACGTCAAGTACAACTTGGAAGATATGTGTATACTGTGCCTTCTTTATGACGTACTGTCCCTTCCTACTGCTGGGTCCCAGTGATCAAATTGCGTTGGAAACTTAGAGCTTATTTTTAATTAAGAACAGCCAAGCTAGCAGACCCGAGTAGCTTAGATCTGATTTGACACGCGCCGTTGGACAGTAGCGTCTTTTCGCAACCCAATTGGTAATATGAATGGAACCGCTTTCAGTCGTGACTACTAGTGACTACCTTGCCTATTAACTTGTATACCGAAGTGGCTTGGAGATGACGTCGACAAGCAAGAACCTTTCAATCATGTGCCCCACCATCACTGTATATTCTGTACATTCAAGAAACTGTTTATTTCACCGCATATAAAATTTGATCCTTGTATGGATTGAACATACTGCTAAGTGGCCGACTCTCGAGAATCGAAGCTTACCGAACGACATAATATGGCGATTGAGAAGAAACAGTCACTCGGCATCTAGATATGCAGGACTTACGCATCACATCATGTTTAAGCTCCGCAGCTTCAGCTGTACAGGGCTGATGCCAAGACCTGATTCGCGCAAAACTCCACGCGGTTAAGACGGCATATTAAGCCGACTACACAGGTAGTTAAATTTAGCGTAACCCTCTCCTTCCGTGTTCCGTCTCAATACTAACATCTGCATACTATTATATGTATGTAGTTATAAACTGTGATACGTGCGTATAAGCTCTCTAAACATGAAATAGGAATCCAAGCATCTAGGTGTCTCAGTGTGAAATCTGATGTGGTTATGGCATCCTAGTTGACGAGCCAACTATAGGTGGTTTTCAACAGTCATTAACGTAAGGGAGGAGTAACGATGATGAGACAGTCGGGATTGCCATCACAGTATCACTAAATAGGTAGGTATGACGAGAACCCGAATCGCGGCCCGCCAATGGCAAACATAGCTACTCGGTAAACCGGCATTGTCTTCATGTTGTGTCTAATCTTGTAAGGGGTATCATTGTTTCTACAGTTCTACTATAATGCATTCTAATTCTCCGGATATGAAAGCCGAACCAAAAAAAAACCACCAAAGCCTTTCCCGGAGTTACGGCTCAGAGCTCGTCGAAGGCTCGGAGCACATTGTCTTCGACGGGTTCCCCATCTCTCCTGGTGCCGAGTACCTGTCTCACCTCATCCACCATAGTAGCAACATTTTTACTATGGTTACTACCCATTTCGCTCATATCTGGCTGTCCTTCATTGCTCGATGCTGAGATGGCAAGTCCGGACGTATCTTCAGAAGGTGCATACTGAGCCCCGACAAAGAGAAGTATTAGTGAGAAGATCACAATAGACGTGATGATCCATATAATTGTAAGGCGTCTTCTTGTTCTTTCCTGCCATTCCATATCCGCCCTCTCCCAGCTCTCGATTCGGTCCCGTACCACGTCCACTCGTTTGCTGAGAGCCTCAACCTTGCCGCGACCTTCGTGTATGCGACCCTGTAGTTCTTCGATTCTTTTTTGTTGGTCATCGAATTGACCAAACGAATTGGCCTGCTGCTCCAGCTCGTTTACTAAAACTTGCGATTCCGTTTTGAAATTCTCGTCTAGTTCTTGTGACATGCCAGCAAGTTCCTTAAGAGCTATGATTGCGCCCTGGAGTGTACCGAGCTTTTCAAGAACGGCGTAATACGTATCGTCGAGGCGTCTTGTCGTCGTAGTCGAAGATGCGCTTAACTCCACGAGCGATTTCCTCAAACCCCTGTTACAACGTTAGCCATAGCAGTTCGTAGCCCATTCATTATCGGGCTGCCTGGAAAGTTGAGCGACGGACGATATTCTTGAAACCTCCTTCTCTTTTTGCTCGTGCGATAATTCCTCTTGACTTGTCGAGGGCAGCTGAGGCGCCGCGGGCCCAACGCTGCGAATGGCATCCTCGGTGGCAGAATTAAGCATGCTTATCCTGAGGCCCGATTCTGAATTTGCCGACGGAGTTGCTCCTTCGGATCGGGGTAGGTCAAACGAGCCTCGCGGGATATGAAGCATGATGCTTGCGGATAATGGGGGTTGGTCATCGTTGTCGCGATCCTTCCGTTGAAGATGATGTAAGTGGTGATATCGGGGCAGCTTGATTGGCGATGATAACTCAGTTATGGACCGTTTAACTTGATGACGAGGTCGTTGTGGCGAGGTAGCTGCAGGCTTTAGGTGGTCGAAATCTTGATTCTTGGACATTTTCTTGCCGGGACTAGCTGGGTAGATAAGTAGGCTCCCTAAAGCAACCCCTAAGGTAGGGTAGCTTTTATTTTAGACCGGAGATGATCTTAATGGATGAAATGAGCAATACTCCCCTATAATGTATTGCACCGTGCATTGAAAGCGTATGCATACATGTGCGTAGTGTATTGTGGTGTATGCCAACATGGTGCAAAGGGGAATAAAGCAAGCTTCCATTGGATCGGTAGTGGAAGAACTGGTTAAAGTTCGACGCCGGCACCCCACCACGGCAACATCCGCCCTTTCACATGTCACAGATTACTAGGTAAGTACTGCGAACATACCTATATATCCAATCGTAGAAAGGTTACACTAATCCGATCACAATTATTCAAAGAGCATATCTAGGTAGGTAGGTCGGGTTGTATACATGATCATAGATGACGAGAATTCGTGATGGTATTTAAATGGCAGTTTTCATCCACTGCATGGATATTGCTAACATCAGATGGCGCTTATCGCTTTGACCGTTGCGAACTATTTAAGCCCGTCATCATTCCTCTTTCACCTACCAGCTTATCTTTTTGCACTTCAAGATCCGTGATACTTTGTGGCGTCCGATCTGGTGGTGACACAGCAGGCATCTCATAAACTGAAATGCTGCTCTCCCTTACATGAACACCAGTGGAATAGAATTCGACGACTCCGGACCGACTTCATCCCCACAATCTTCTTGAATTGATCAATTGAAGATGAATCCCGCTTTCTGGTCCAATTACGCCGTCCTTATCAATAGTTGACTGGTCCGTGTTGATGCCCTTCCCCTGCTTCGTAAAGAGAGGTAGCCGTGGATGTAGGTGGTTCTGTATGTAGGTATGTAAAAGGACACCCAGATGCGGATCACGAATTGAGGAGCTTGTTCCGCTTTTCTTTTCTCTTCAGGCGCTCAACTCGTTTCTTATGCATCTTTTCTGCCATCTTCTCATACCGCTCTTTCTCTTCCTTTGCCGCCCGCTTTTCCTTGATTGCTTGTACTCGTTGCTAGTCCACATGTCAGTTATACATTACTAGCGCATCTCCGCACCGACAACATAGGCTATACCTGTCTTTGGGCCTCTTTCTCTTCCTTCATCTCCTTTTCTCTTGCTTTCATCGCGGCTGTTTCCATGCGCAGTTTCGTTCGTTTCTCATATGAAGTTAAGCCAGATCCCGGTCGAAACGCTTTCCGCTGGGGGTGCCATTGCTTTCCTATGCAATTGTATAAGTCTTGGATGAGACATAAAATCGTGACCGAACAGCTCTTACCATTTTTGCGCATTCCCTGAGACTCTTGCTTCTTTCCAGCCGTCGCGGTGGTGGCCGACATGATGGGCATAAGATGATTGATGAATATAAATCTTTTTACCGCAAGTTAGTACGTATAAGCCGATCCCACCAGGAAAACCGTGTGTGATCGTTGGCAGCTTATTATGAGCTGGGCACAATGTACGAATCTATTGCGATTAGAAAAAAACAGATACTCAAGACCCCACGAACTTTAGATGGTAAAAGTGGATAATAGATCAGCCCCGCATTAACTATTTTCCGCCTAACAATAATGAATTCTAGGCCTGCTTATGTACCTATGTACTATTTTACGGTTTCATTGGCCCCTATTGGCCCCTAATCGTCGCACTAGTTGTCGTACCTACATTGAAACAAGGTGTTTGACCTTCAATGTTCTAGGCTGCTCGACTCGGGTATTTTTTTTTTCTTTAGTTCTATCCATGTTGTGCCCTATGAAACTACAGCGAGATGAAGCTGGCATTGTTGTTTACCTCGGTATGCTGAATATGTCCTTCATTTGTACAACTTCATGAATCTCGCCAAGGACTCGTTAGGGAGACCCATCGTGTATTAGATATACCAGGGAAACATGAGATGGATGTCTTCTATTTAAAGGTGGCCGGCAAAGATCCATGTACATCTGAAATTCATGACAGACAATCTACAGGGCAAACGGTTGTCGAGGATAACATCGTTTTTTCTCGGCGTATAAATACGATTATGGTACGCAGGGTACGCTAGCCCCAGCTGACCCTTGGGGGTTTGATATCACGAGGCAAGGATCTCTCCGCAAAGGATTCTGTATTAAGTCTTGTCATCAGTTATCACTTGACCCCCATCCAGAAGCGACATGGCAAGGGCTCATCCCGGTTATTCATCGATGTCCAGTGCTCCGCGTCCGTATTCAGAATTACATACAACCGACATACAACATGGGGAGATTGAGGCTTGGACATAGCCGCCAGCAACATGCGTAAAGTCCTGAGTTCTGTTACTCTGTTCTTAGGATCGCTAGGTCAACTGTAGGCGAAATTAATAGCTCGTTTGTAACGATATTCTTAGCTACGGGATATATGTGATCGGAGATGAGATATAATTGGTAGTCAATTATTGATTTTAGCTCATTTCTACACTTTAGCCCTTCTAGCAAGCGTCGAACAATGAAATTTGCGTTCCTTCACTTGAATAATATTCTAAGCCCATTGCAAACATCTCAATGGAGTATAATGACCGGTAACAAATAGCAGGATCGACTACACAGCACTGTTTATCCGGCGAAATACCCACAGACGAATGCAAAGTTATCTGAGTACCTCGAATTGATTAGCATCCATTGGCTGTAAACCATGAAAGGCTAATGCGACGGCTGCTTACAGGCCTGCAGCAGTGTGTACTATGTATGCAGTAAGGTAACGAATCGTAGCTACGGCAAACCCGGTTGCATGTTTTGCGCCGACTCGACGTGGGATGAGACTTTTTGTTACCCTCCTTTGCTTAGGTATCTTGTACATATGTATTTCTGCTCTGCGTTCGGTGGTGGTCGACTTCCAAATTTGTTCTGCATTCGACAACTCGAAGGTTGAATTATCAAAAATAGGATAACGGCACTGCCCGCGTAAGCTATCAACGTAGAGACGGGTGGCTGCATGTATTACCATGGACAGCACAGAACTAGAACCTTTTACAAGCAACAATAGGTACCTGCTTAGGATGAGCGTATTAATACATATCTGTATGTGTAGGATTGATTAAACCAACATTAAATCTTGCCGATTTTTCGATGCCCCCCTACAGCCGCAAATGTAACAAAGCCGCTAAGAGGAAGGAGGCCTAGGAGGCGTGGGTGAACGATATCCAAGAAGGGATAGGGCGCTGCAGGGGAGCCCCGAGGACTAGAGAGCCTACGTCCGAAAGAGGAAAGCGGTCTTCCACTAGGCTTGTTCTTGGTGCTGTACACGTCGATGCATAATTTCCAGGGTTTTCCAGTAGTGTAATAGTGTTAAGATGCCGGTTTGTCTGTGCCTGTGTCTGTGCCTGGCTAAGCCTGTTGAAGATACCTTCTCATGATATGTAATTATTCAGGGGTTAGAAGTTTTCAATGAACCATCTGAATCGAAGTTGTGAATCCTATTCTAGGGATGATTTTGCTTCTCCTGATTTAATTGAGTGAAGGTGACGGAGAATATTATGTAGGTACTTGAACCATTTTTGCGATTCGCCGCTCGCTTCTGTACCGTTAGGGAGATCAGTGTTCCGTTCTATGAATCGCGCATCGCAATAATTTGGTATGCACCTTATGTCGTTCATAATGATAGGCCACCCGTAAGGTACTGTAGGTAGGTAGATACCTATTGATAGCGGTAACGAAACTGACGGTGCATAAACAGGGCCCTGAGGACTCGCGTTCCAGGTTGCCATAGTGCCCTTATCTAATGTAGAGACAGCCAGGCAGCCAGGAGAGCCGGCATCGTTTCCCTATAAACCACCACAAACCACGGTTTGTTTCTTCGTCATACCTCGCACGAGCCTCAATCAGGTCGTAAACGGCACGACTTGTTGTGATCACTGATCATGAGGTCATGGGCCACTTAGTTAGCATGGCTTTCGAGACCCGCCTGTTGCGAATTTCCACTTGGGCCATGAACGGAGCCATTTTCCCTGACAAGATTATCTTGGAAGCGGTAGCAGTACTGGGTAACGAGATGTGCACTAGTCACTAGTCCACGTAGACGCAATCTTCTACAGGGTCTCCTTACGGGGAAGTGTACCCTCGGTGTGACTGCAGATCGTGTACATAGACTCCGTGCGTTGAGAGCGCAAGGTACGCTGTTGCTGGCAGACTGGGTAGTAGGTGGTCGAGGCAGCAGGACAGTCAAGGTAGTGTTAGGTGTGTACTCCTAATAAGTGGTACCTTGGCGATTATCCTTCATACTTCGATACACGTACTGTAAGCGACACATTTTTGATTCAGCTGTCTTGAATGGGGAACTAGTTTCTTTGTTTAGTCGAAGGGGTTGTCAAGTTATCAATGGTGGGAATCCGAAATTCAAATCATTTAATGTTACTTTAGCTTGTTATTCTTTTTTTCAGCACCTATATGTAAAATATTAAGGTACACCAAAAGCACAACAACATCTGGAAGGAGAAACGGTCGTCATTCCTGCAACTGCGCAAATTGATTAAATGTTATTTGGGGGTGGTACGTGCTGTTTAGCGTCCGCTTCATACAGGCATACAGCGCAGAAGAGCAGATATGTACATCTAGGAAGGTACTTTTCTCACCCCCTGTCCCCTGCAAGCCCGAGATCCTTATTACCTGGCTACTTATTACGTACAGTATAGCGTTAAGGCAAGCCTGTCTCCCGCACGGTTCAACCTGCCACCAACCCGATGCCTAACAGTGGAGAGTGGCTTTTTTTCCGTGCACACTTTCTATCCTCTCAGCAACGTCTGCGCACCTACACGATAATTCCTCAATCCTTCTTCACACTCCCTCCAAGCCCTCAATCCTCAACCGCCACCACAACGCTTGGTCAATTCCATGGGTAAATCTTCGTTTTTCTTTTAACGATTTACTCTGGTCTTGGCCGTCCGCTCCTTTGAATTAATTCTTTCAATTCCATATTCTACATCTATCCTTATTTTGGTCCTTTCGTCAGCGATTTTAGTCGGAGAGAGGGAACCAGAACCACCGTCGCCTACACCGTTGTTTTGACTCCGACTGCTAACGAAACATCCCGCCTCACGCCAACGACGAGGTACGATATTTGTCTCATCTGAGTCACGACCTCACCAGATCAATATTCTCTTACTCGTCACCAACGTAATATCACAGCAAAACTAATTTTGATTTGCCTCTCAGGCGTCTCAACTACTCGAGTTTCGCGCATCGCCAACTTGACATGCTCAAGTAACTTCCTCGGTCCTGACGCCTTTCGTCCGGTATAATACTCGAAAGATACTCTATGATATTCCTCCGCATCTAGCTTCTCGGTTGTTTGCCGCGGTGCGGCTTGAAGGAAGATGGCCACCGCATTAATTACCAGCCGTCCAACCGAAACGGCTACGATGAGCGAACCTAACGATATTTCGTCCCGTCCAATTCGTATTCCGGCGCTTCAGGATAACAAGATGACCCAACAAGCTATATCTAGTCCCCAGCCTTCGCCGCGCAATAGCTTGCCTCCGCCCAACCCGCACTTTGTGTTCCCGGCTCGCCCAGCGTCTTGTTCGGCGCCACCATCGTTCTCTAGGGCGACAGGTCGACGACCTCAGTCTGCTATAGATATTCCCGGGCGAATTTCTGACTTCTCGCAAGAAATAACTAGTCTCCCGTCTCAATCGCCTGCTCTGCCGAACTTCAGTTTCAACCCAAGCGCCAACTCTGGCCCAGATAACGCAGGCCGTCCTACCAGATCCCCAGCATTGCCGAACTTTTCGTTCAATCCAGGCGCAACACTTGGACCCGACGAATCATTACTCAGTCCTCCGCTCTCCCCGCCATCACCTATGTCTCCGAGTCGCACCGGGCATCGACGAGGCGGAAGTGAGTTTGTAGGTGGCAAGCTTAGATCCGGAGGATCAATTACTGTGATGAGCACGAGCCCAACAAGATCAGAAAGTGGCTTTGCATCGCCCAAACTGTCGCCTGCAGACGCGCACCCAAGAAGGGGCCACGCTCATCGCCGTTCTGGTGCGATCTCTAGTCACGATCTAACCATGATACTCAAGCCGAATAATTCGCCTACGATGAGGGGCAATAGTGCGCCTGCTAGTCCGGCCGATTTTGATGACAAGTATCGCAATTTCCCGGAACCAAGCATCGAGCCTCCTAAAACCGAACCAGTTCCACAGCAGACAAACGAAAGGGTAGCCCAAGAGGTGCACAGCCAACCCGCGTTGCAGTCACAGTCGGATCCGTCACCGATAGCACCCGCTCGTACACGTGTTGGGTTCTCTGATACTGTTGAGGTTATTCCTCGACCACTGTCAATGGTTTCAACCGACACGTCTAGTACGATGACAGTCCGACCTGGCCACAGGGTTTCAGGAAGTATTTCGTCTATTGTCTCAGGGACGAACCTACCACCTGCAGATCGAGATTCGTCCAATTTGGTTGGATCGAATGTTTCTCGCACAAAGAGTGACTCGCGTCCTAGTACTGCAGGTGCTGTGCTAGAACGATCCCCAAGTCTTCTGGTGCTTACCGGAGATTCCCCGTCGCCTAGAAGACGAAATTCGATTCCGTTATTGATGGATCTTCCTAAGAGGGATTCCGGTTCGCCCACAAATCCAAGTCCCACCAAAACGCCTAAAAGGTGGTCTTTCTTCCGTCTCGAACCCTTCACGGGTGCTAGCTCGCCTACAAAGGCGAGATCAGCTAGTTCAAGTTCATCTGGCACAGTGGAAAAAAAGATTGAGACGGCAGATCCAATCGGTGAATTTGAACCGAGCCCAAGTGTCGATGGCATCGCATCTCGCTCAGATAGTAAGAAGAGTGGAGGGAGAAAGAAGAAGCAGAAAAAGGTTAAGTCGTGGGCTGGCTCCATTCTGACTAGGAAGTCCAAGTCGCGTCAAAAGTCGAAGTCGTTACGCCGTCGTTCGCAAACGCCGCCAACCCGAGACTTCGAATATCTGGATGATGGTGATTTGGGAGTGCTTGAGGCGCCAACGGCACCTTCGGTTCCCGTGGCGCCTGTGGTTATGGTGACCGAGCCCGCTCAATCAGAAGCCGAACCAGTCGCCGTTAAACCTAGTCGAATGGCTGACGATGATGTAGCTTATCCTATGATTGATCTCGATGCTGCCCTTGGTCCGTTCAACACCCCTTCTAGCCGTGATCCTCAATGGGAAGAGGCCCAGAAACTTGGTGCCCCACCAAAGCGTCAACTTCATAGTGCTGCTGGCTTGCGAGGATTCAGTGGCCCTGGAATGCATTACCATCGTCGCGCTGAGAGTGCTCCTGAAATGCCTCCTTTTGAAGCTGCTCGAAGCGGTATACATCGATTCGCTAGCTCCTCAACTATGGCCGACGTATTTGAGGAGGACGAGGAAGAAGATGAGGACATGAGCGCAAAAACTCCATCGGAGGCATCTGCCACTGAAACTCAGGATGGCTCTGATGATTCTGAGTCGACATCCAATAGCGAGGATGATGCCAGCTCAACACCTACGCAAGAACATGAGCCTAGTAAAGCCAGTCCAAAGGATACCCAACAAACTCTCACCTCGACCAAACGCAAGGGTAGCGCGTCAAGTTTAGACATACAGAGACCAGGATCTAGAATGAGGACCGAAAATCCTGGTAGTGGTCTTTGCGAAGAAGTTATTGCAGAGGAACCCAGCTATGTCACATTTAGGCGCGATAGCAGCATTCTAGGTACTCCGGAAACCCCTAGCTCAGGGGCACCTTCACCTCGCACCATTCTCAGTTACGAAGTTGACCCGCTTGATACATCGTACCCAATTCCTCCAGCGATTCCGGCTACACCATACTCGACGACTTATTCATCCTCATTTCCTTCGCCTCGGTCGCCGATGTCCTATGATGCACGCAGAATCTCAACTGCGCAATCATCCATCAATGATGAAAACAACTACCATTCGCTTTTGTTGGGCGAGCCCGGTCCTGAATTGGTACGAATATCAGTTGATGTCCCATCTTTGACGAGCAGCAACTCGACTACGACGCGAGAAAGCAGCTTCAACCCTGGTGTTCAGCCTAGAAACATGCCGTTTCATGATCAACGGCCCGCTTCATTTTCCGCTTCAGCGTTTGGTCGTCGAAGATCGAGTCTGGTTAGTCTTAGCCGGCTGATTAGCAGCGCTCATGGAGAGCGAAGTAAGCTGAGCATGGAAGTTCCTCTCGACACCGAGCCGGAAAAGAAGCCCAAGACTAGCAAAACCAGGCGCTTTAGTCGGTTGATGCAATTCTGGAAGCCGAAAGGATCAGCCGAATCTTGAGTCAGGATGCTTCGAAGTTTCCATTCAACTAGACTCTTGCTAGACGGTCCCATCGCTAGTAACAATGGGTTGAGGCCGGCCGACACTTCTGTTTCTGCTTCAATCCACACCATTAACGGATACGATGAAGTTCATGTATTCTCACGGATTTCTCCTTACCACGAAGTCGAGCTCCACATAGATGGTCAGCTCCTAGGTGGTATTCGAAACACTCGCTTACGACTTTATTTGCGGAACAGACATTCTGTGCGCATACGAGAACCCGAAATATCAGGGTCTTATTTTTCTCACAATCATTTATTAACGAAATCATGACGGCACCTTGAGCCATTTCATGACCACGGTTCCGTTTTCTTTTTTTAGGGCTTAATCAAGTCCATATCCGTTGCTTAAGATGAAGAAACTGAATGGCCATATAGGCTGGCAAAAAAATCACATACCGTCATCTAAGGATGATGTGTCTGCTTTCTCTGGACATAGCACGCGAAGGGGAGAGATGATATGGGTGGAGAGAGATCTGAGGAAGATGAAGATGATCCATAGAACTTCGGGTTCGTTGCTACACGTGCTGCAGAATAGGTAGTCGTTCAAACCGACTGTTTTAATATGCAGGTTTGTACACAAATAATAGTGAACATACATTATTATGCATATGGCATTTCAAAAGTTTTAACCGTAAGGTGACTTGACCTACATAGGTACTTAGCCCATGTGAGGTATTCCGCTCCCTCTTCCATAAGGAATTATTATTGGTCACTTGTCCTGTATTAAATATCCAGCTTGTACAATATTAGGTACTTAGGTAGCTACTACAGATGAGAATTAGGAGTTTATTAGTGTTTAACATATGTACTCTAAGGAATTGTATATGAATGTGAACGCTATCCATCATACTTGGGTTACCATTATGTTTACATAACATTACCTCGTGGCGAATTTAATAGTTCACGAATACCAAATTAGCTGTCTTTAAGGAAGCTAATCACGATACTCCACGACAGGAGCCAAGAGGAGTAGTAGATGAATGGTTGGACGATATCTAGCAAACGCGATATGTTCGAGTAGGTAATTTCTCGGTTAAATGCACATATTCTACAAGACGATGCCTCGGCCTGTAATGGACCAGGCCGCGACCCAATGAAAACGCGGATCCCTGTCTAGTCCAATTGGAGACCTACCGAGTCGTCGGCGCCGGATCCATATCATGTCATAGCTTGGCCAGCTTGGTTTCTTGTTTAAATCTTGGAAATCTTGGGTATCTCGACCAACCTTGGAAATCTCACAAAGATCTCCCCGAACCAGATCCCATCCTCGGATTTTCTCTTCTCTAATAACCCCTTTTCCGCCATTTCTAATCTCACTGGGTTTACAGAATATCCATACGCAGGTGAAGAAAGGGAAAGGAAAGGAAAGGAAAGGAAAGGGAAGGAAATAAACTTGGGCTTGCTTTACTCGTGTAATAACAAACCCCCATGTCGTCTAATAATGTGTCCGTATCGGCGGCCTCCCCGCGCAATGCGACGAAACGTCTGCTGAAGGAGCTCGCCGTCTGGGAGAAGGAGGCGCCGAACGAGACGGGGATCGAGCGCCTGGGCCCGGTGAGCGAGGACGAGCTATTGCGTTGGGAAGCCGTGATCAACGGACGGGGTATAGGATCCGGCTACGATGGTACGTCCCAACTTGCAATCCTTTCACATCCCTATACAGCACCACAAATACGTCTATACATCCGTACACACAAGTCTCCTACGCATCATAATACCCTACGTCAACACAACAACAGCTCGCTCACACCCTCTTAAACAGAAGGCCGTTGGCTCCTCAGCATATCGATCCCGCCGTCGTACCCGCTGCAACCGCCCAAGATCTCCTTCGAGACGCCGATCGTGCACGCCAACATCGCCTTCCGCAGCGGCGAGATCTGCCTCGACCTGCTGAAAGAGGCGTGGACGCCGGCGTATAGCGTGCTGGAGTGCGTGCGCGCCGTGCGGATGCTGCTCAGCTGCCCCGAGACTGACAGCCCGCTCAACGTCGACGTCGCGGCCCTCATACGCGGCGGCGACGTCCTGGGCGCCCGGCGTCTGGTCGAGTTCTGGGTCCGTGACGAGGCGGGACGATACGAGGGCAGGTAGTAAGGGACGGAATCTACCTAGGGTTTTTAAGTACCTAGGGAAGCGAAAGGAGAAGAGGAAGGATGATGATGATGAGTTGATTGGCGGCTACTATTATGAAAGGAGACTGGTTTATAATCATTTACGAACGGCAAACGGGAGAAAGGTGCAGGGTGACAAACAAGCTCGAACATAGGACTCGATGATGAGGTAAAGGCGCTACATATTTGCACTTGCGGCTTGCACTTGGAAAGGGATACGGTCGTCAGGGCCGTAGATAATTGGGATGAGACACGGTGGCGTTTGTTGGATTGCGAGATCTTGGACTGCTGTCTCCAATATGTGACCTTGGTATCGAACTGCTCTCTTAAATTGATGATGACACGCCATTCATCTTATCGTTTGTTTTCACGAGGTACAGGGACGAATATCGTCTAAATAAATGACCGCCAACACGCCCAGAGCGGTTTTTACCCTGACTCCTTGTATTGTTATAACACCCGTTGGGCCCCTGACCTGATGTGACAGAGTTATAAAAAAAAAATCAATGAACCCCGTCCTGCGATGCAGCAATAAATATCTACAGGAAGCCCCCTTTTTCCATTACGACTGTAACGGCTGTGGATGTGTTTCAGTAACGCATGCTCCGTCGTCGTAAACAATACGGCCACGTATAAACTCCTCATCTCCCTGATGCACCATTCCGAGACTCATAAACAGATTACAAGGTTCATAATAACCAAAAGTGATTTGAGCCGCATTTTTGTTTCACCCCTCTTCGTTTACTCATTGTAATGATAAACCTAGAGTATCAAGTTAATCAGTAGGCCTTTTCAGATAATATTGGTGTAAACTGTTAATACCTTGTAATTAGGCAGCCCTGTAGAATGCCAGCCTAATCTCTTTGCCATCTTGGCGAATCCTTCCGTCTCGATCAGATGATAGAATGGAAATGGAGGGAACATGGCGCCGTCGCGATGGACATCCGCCTTGACTAGCAAGGCAGTGCCACCCACGCCATCCAAAGGCACTTCTAAATTCCGCTCGTCGTCCTTTTCTGCCATATACGCCATCAAGGCTCGATAAGTCGCCATCTCAGAATATCCTTCAAGGATGATATCATCTGGTCCCATCTTGGAACCGATCTCCTGTGCGGTTGGACTATCTTGCCAGCTGTTAAAGTCATACGGTCTCTCTGCCGGCTTGCCAGTTTCGGTATCGATATATCTCTGATAACAGTTCGGTACGATAATAGGCTTGTCGTGTTTCGCGAGGTCCTGGATCAAGGTGGGCGGTGTCTCAACAATGTCAGAATCCAGCCATAGCACCCATGAGGTATCGGCTCCCAAGGTGGTGAAGAGCAGTGAATTACGTGCTCTAGACATCGAAGCGCGTCTCGCCTTCTGGTTTGCCATCTTATGCCGTTCGCTTTCATCTTGTGATGTCAGGGGAGGGTCGAAGTCTTGTCGCTCGATGATTACGCCCCTGAACCGATCCTTCGCCCGGCCTTTCTGGATCTTTGTGATCTCAGCCTGTAGCGCGGTCGTCGCTGCATTGCCCTCCTTGTTCTTGGGTAGGATGAAGCCGAGGGTGATGAGATCGCGCGGGTATTGCAATTTCAGAAGATTATCCCAATATTCCTGGTAGAAACGCGCCATTGGTGTTAAGATTAGGACGGCCTCTCGGTTCCCAATGGGATCGGGCGTGATTGTAACATTGTTTAAGTTGAAACGGCGGACAGGCGGTCTTTCGCCGATGAGACTAGCCTTTGCGGCGGGTTTGCGGGTGGGAGGTCTGTTCGCGCTGGCAGACTGCGTGCTGGAGCCGTTGTGGGAGAGAAAGTAAATTATGAATAGGCAAAGTATCGCGCCGATAAATAAGGTAACATAGTTCGTCCTACGCAGGCGGACCGGCCCCATAGGGCGCGCCATCGTGAATTGTTTATTGACTTCCAGATCAGGAAGAGGACGGTAGAGAATAGTCGAAACGGCGTAAAAGGAGAGTGATGAACGTGATGAATTAAAATGAAATCACCAATCGGCACGGGCCATCGAGGGCATGTATATCGAAATATCGAAATGGTATCGAAGTGAAAATTCGCGATGGATAAAAATCAACTACGCGGTTAATCGTCGAGGTAAGAGGTAATATCACGCCGACAGAGGGCGACGATGAGTTCGTCGTCGGGTTTGGTGATATGAGGCTGTTGTAGTAGTAGTATAGAAAATTGTGGTTAAATTTACCATGTCGAATTGCCAGATAACACTAAGCCACTAAGCTGGTACATAGTATGTACCGTGGTAACCATAGGTCGGCAGGTGCATCCTAGACCATTCTGTACCTGATGCACCTAATTGATTGGGCGAGGTACAACACCAAGGTTCGTTTAACCCTTCAATTCGCACCCGTCAAACGAGTCGAATACACTAACTTTTAGCGCACCTTATAGGCCCACTCAGCTCATTTATGTATTGTTGTATTGTTGTATTGTGTCACATTAGAAGGCATGGCTGATACATCCATATCATTCATAGGCGTACCTGGCGTACCATGACGCGAGTTAGCATGAGCAGCACGAGGCAACTACGTACCTGGGTAATGCGAGACTGCGAGATAACCTTATCCTATTCAGCCAAAGTTTGAAAAGAACATTGAAGGATTAAGATACCACTTTGATCTGATGCTGTCATGCTTAGGTATCTACATCAATATATTTATGTAAGACATGAACGAATGTGTACACAGTCTGGATCCATCAGGCTATTACACACATAAATGAAAATTACGAATATTACAGGCCTATGGATCGTCTCAGGCAACACCATTATAGGCTTAAGTAATCTTCTAGCCGGAGTTGTTTATCAATCGTCCGCTTATTTGTTCCTTACCGAAGAAACCACCCTATGACTTAGTCAGATATTCACATAAATCTTGATGCCTTGGAAATATATGAGTAAACTGACGTAATGAGTCAACCGGTCAGCCATAAGTGAATTTACTAACCGCGCATAAAAGTCTAGTAACCTTCGAATCTCGCGTTGCTTGTGTTACATTCACATGAAAGGTTCGCCAGAATTGGCATTGGTTTTCGAAACGATAGGGTATTACGGCTTTGCCAAGTAGAAATCCGCCAATAATACGAACTTTTCGTTGACCAGTGACATATGCACCTACAAGAACATATGCGCCAAGACGTCAGATAGAAACCCGGTACGGACGTAGAATGGCAGTCTAGAATTGGGGGATGGTGCCTGTGGGGCTCAATCAGGGCCAATCAAGAGCCAATCAAACACTAATCGGTGGTGGAACATTGAGACGTTTTAGTTACTCAGGCAGGCTAGACCGACCTATGCGCAGCACCCACTAAGGAGATTTAACAGTGGTTAGGTACCTGTTGGACCCCAAAGTTCAAGCCCCAAACTATCCACCTTTCCAAATGCAGGTGATCTTCTCCATATGTGACTTCGCACATCAATTGCCTTAACCAACCCTTAACCTACCCTTAACTTACCTAGCACCTACAATCCCAGACATCTTCAAATCCAAATCCACTCTTTCACGCTTTACCACCCATCCGTGCCATCTGCTCCGTGCCCGTCCCCCTCTTCGATACCGAGAAAGGCAAGATTCGTGGTCATTAGCCAGTCAAAGATCGCAGAAGGCATTCCTACTTTCTTTTAGTACATTTCGTTGCATTTCGTTCTCCCGAACCCGGCTGTCCGGGGAACATCTTGTTTTATTATAATTCGACTCGCCTCCCACCCCCATACCATCTCCATCTGCAATCCTGCACGTCCCTGGCATCGGACTTGTCCGTCTCGGCTCCAAATGCCAGGTCCACTGTCGCCCGTATCAATACTAATGGGCTCACCCACCGCCTGTGACATTCCGGCCAACTAAAGGACCATAGACACCATTAACACCATTAACATCGTGACCGGTCCAGTCTTCTTCTCCATCCATTTCTTTCCGTCCATCTTCACACCTTGAGCTCACCTCAACACAAATCGCATCTCCTCGCCCGTGCACTTCTCGAGCACGACCAACCAGGTCACAAGGGAGCTCGGACTCCTCGAAACTGACTCGGTACGACATACGGGCCGCATAAGATTCAATTTCTCTATCCGTCAACCTTACCCTGCTTGTGTCCCACAGTACTCCTAACTTGCGGTCACATATCAACTCCAACTCGCCTTGTCTCTCCCTTTGCAGCTTCGCAAGGAATTCTCGTTTGCTTAGTTCCGGCTTGACTTTGAAACTTGCATTCCAGAGTTTGCACCTCAATCGAAGCAACATTTTACTTTCTTATCCACACTCAACGGTTGTATTCCGCCAACCTAGCAAGCTGTTTCTACACGCCATCCTGGGTCATACATCAACTCTATGAAAACAAGGTGTAGTTAAGGTAGACCGCCTAGGCCAGCCTCGAGGGAAATGGAGCCCGTTCCTGAGACCGAGCGAATGGAGGAGTTCCGCCCATCTCCTTTGCCTATTGTACGTCTACATCAGCCGGCTGCGATCAATACTACCGATTTGGATCCCAGTCGCAAACCTCCCACCCTCCGTCGATCGACCGAGCCTCCGTCGCCGAGCTCGCCATCTTGGACAAGTGTCAATGCTCTCCCGTATCGACCCCGAACCACATCGCCTTTGTCTGGCGGCCATGGACGATCTAAGTCGGTTGCTAGTCTCGCACCTCCGATCTCAGGCCGCACACGCTCTATGCCAGGTGTTGATGGTTCGGGTCGAATACTCTATCCACCATTTCGTCCGGACAGTCCTTCGAGCTCCCCTAACAGAAACCGAACATCGAGGAAGCCAGTCGATGAAGCCTATCCCCCGATTTCACCTATTCGCTCGACTGTTTTGGAGGGCGAGAAGCGGCACGTTGAGCTGAGCAACTCGACGAACCCTGGTGTTACAACTTGGAGCAACCCTACCCACAGACGGACGACTTCGCCCTTACGATTCTCGGCATACTCTACGCCGAGCGCTACCTCGTCTCTTCCCGGAACGCCAGCCACCGCGGGCTCACCTTTATTCAGACCTGAAAGTCTGTCGAATAGTTACACCTTCCCTTCCTATTATCCATCGTCGTCTATCCCATCAACACCGAGTTCCATGAGATCCCGCAGTCCTAGCATTTCAAGCCTAGAGACTATCCCCGATTCTCCGGACGCTGAAGAAGCTGCGTTGGAAGCCGACAGAATTGCCCAGTTGAAAGCTGCTGCGGAGGCCGCAGAGGATGGAGATTCTGGAGAGTCGAAGGGTCGGGGTAGTCTGGATGTGCCTATCCGTGGAAGAACGCTAGGCATCGGAACTAGGGACAAGCGCAAACGCTGGAGTGTCTGCGGAGCCGAACGACGCGGCGATCTAGATTTGGAGACGATATGGGAGGATTAAGAACACTACGCCCCTTAGTGGATTTTAGTGGAGGACTGCCGTTGCACGGCGCGAGACAAGGCATAAAAGGCGGGTCCTGGTCCGGTTTGCAAGCATATCTGATTTTTCACCTCTTTTGCGGTCAGGAAGGGCAGTTAGGCGTTTCTGCAAAGGCTGCTTGATACCCTGTTGCGTTGCATTTCATAAGGGGGCATTTCATGATGAAGGTTAGCAAGCATGTGTTGCTCATTACATAGCCTCAATGTCAGGTCTTGAGGCGGAGAGGCAAGAGTCAGTCTTGCCTCATCCGCTTTATCATTGCAATACACTCTTATCGTTTTAGCTTGTGACTGCTGCTTTGCGATGTTACGTGATTTCCAGCTATACACAGGCAAGCTTATGATGCTTAAGTGAAATATCTGAGTGTGAGATATAAGTAATGATAGTATGTCTAGCTAACATAAGTAGAAGATGATTTAACATTAGAAATGAGTCTCATTTAGTAGGAGCACACTAGAGCTTCTGTGATGACCAAGTTTCGTCAAGGAAGATTGCCCGTGGTATGTAGAAGGGCTGGGCATTTTCCTGATGAAATTAAAGGCGAACCAGGCGATTAGGGAAAAGGTGGTATCATAAAAGCTCGGGGGGTGAAGTATTGTATATTAGCAATAACCACGCCCCTGGAAAGCCAATGCAGGTGTCTCTTAAGGGGCATGACCTGCCGTAGTCATATACAGCGTTTGCTCCAGCAATATCTACTCATCCGTTAGAGGAAAGAAGACTACGGAATAAGTTTTATATAACGAAGGGTTATTATTAGGCAACCCCCTTTTAATATTGGAAGTCGTCCGCATTCTATCGATACTTGGCAGTTCGTCTCTTACGTATATATAAATACATTAACAATTACTTCTGCTCGTCTTAGGGTTATGAGTATATCTTGTTTCTCTTCAGTTCATGGCCTGGCATATCGTTTTGACGTCCTACCAAGATGTCTTTGGTTATCGTACCTACCTACGCTACGACCTAAACCGAGCAAGCGGTTATCAACAGCAAGGATTTCGCCATAGACCAACAAAAGCAACTCTCCTTGCAGCTATCACATAAGACATAATGGCAGAGACAGCCAAATCATAGCAAGTTTTAAACATGACAAAGTTAAGCGAGACATCAGGAGAAGTAGCTGAGGCGGACGTCCCTGGGTCTATTTGAATTGCTGGTTCAGCTACAGAAGATGTAAGAGTGGAACTACTGGGAATGAACGACGATACTGTTGTTGTCCAGTCTGTTGAAAGATTTGTTGACTAGGAGACTTGCATAACAATTAACTCAAACACTTTAGTAAGGTAAATTATCAAGGCTACAAGGCAGTGTAGCAATGTGGCGGAAACCCAGGGAGTGCAAGGGTATAGGACAGATGACACTGCGAGAATGAGAGGATTTTCGAATCTGTATAGTGTGTTTGCCTTTACCATATGTATCAAAGTTCTTGCTAGGTGTGAATATATCTATACGTACATCTGCCAACTTCTCATAGCACCAGGAATATAACCCAATGTGCGTTTCCCCTCGCCCCTGTTGGCAATGAGAAAGGTATGTACAGAAATATACCCAAGCAACGCGGCTATCGGGGCTCAACAAGGTTCTTATACCAGTCGCCGTGGTTATATTCCACTCGTCCCTGGGCAAGAGGTAGAAGAAGTTGATAGCTTTTTAACCTCACTCACAGAGAAAGGATTTAGCAATTTGGAATCTAACGGCGAGTTAAACATCCTTAAACGTGACCGGAGAGCTGTACAGCAACAAGCCGCGTACAGGATCTTGAGTTAAGCGACGGTTCCACTGGATGTCAAAGATATCGGATAAATCATGGTTGCTGGGTAGTCGGAGGTTGTGGTGATCGAAGTCTGGGGACCATTCTACGAATAAGGGGAGGGGGGGTGGCCTAATTGACTTATATGAAAGATTTACATAGTCTCGACTCTAAGTTAAAATGATATCGAATATGTATTATCATATACCGGTCCTATTTTCATAGAGGTTCCACATATTCAGGGGCTTTAGAACTAGATACCAACCGCCGTAGGACTAGAAAATATTACACTCAACGAATCTACACGGTTCTTGAATCGAGATGAAATTTTGTAGGTTTTTCAAAAAGGATCATATCAAAAAACATCCGTATCGTAACATCAAGCACCCCCAGATCAAATTCTCCCTACTCCCCCCTAACCCACCCCCCCAAACCCCTTTCACGCCTCCGCCTCCCCCTCCGCCAGCTTCCCCTCAACAACCACATCAGCAATCGGACACGTCGTCGACTCGCCGACCTGCGACGGCTCAACCAGACACGCGCCAGGCGACGTATCCCTCTCCAGCGTCGTCTCCCCAGTCGCCATATACACTTCCCCTCCTTCCCCCCCTTCTTCCTCATCATCACAAGTCCAAGTACTCGTCAACCGCAACAACAGCGTATCCATATCGAGCGTGACGTTCGTGGCAAGCGAGCTAGCGCCGAAGTTCATGCACGCGACGGCGATCGTAGGGTCGTAGTCGACGATGTTGCCGTCGGCGTCGAGCCGGTACTCGACGTCGCAGTCGGCGAGCACGCCCGTCGGCGCGTGCCGCGCGAACAGCTCCACGCGCCCGCTCGCCCCGCCCGGCCAGTCTGACGACGCCGCGTTGCTGATCTGCCAGTTGGGCGAGGAGGCCGAGAGCTCGGCGCAGGAAGGAGAGTCCTGGCGGGCGGTGTGTTTGGGCAGGCCTAGGACGGTTTGGCCCGTCAGGGAGAGGGCGAGCGCGGTGGTGAGGGTTCTCATTTTTTTAACTCTGGGTATCGCGTTTTATATTCTATAAAATACGAAATATTTATGATGAGTCTTGGCCGAGAGAAAGGTGTAAGTACGCCGAAGATTGTGCCTTCTCTGGGGTCTCTACCAAGGTATATATAACATCTGCCTCAGGGTGCGAGTTCGTATTTAGCCGTTATTCGCGGTGGTCATACAAACCTTCACTTAACCGTAGGCTGTATACGAACCACTTTAATTTGCAAGTCTCGATCCTAATTATGTCCTGCTTCTGCGTCTGTATATTGCTGATAGGTCTAATAATACTGATAGGTTTAATAATTTCCGTGCCCTCCCAGGGAAAACGAACCCAGAAACCGGCGCTTTACCGAGACCGCGGCATTCGTCGCGTGGCCTTTACATGGTAGTATCCAAGGGGTTCTAGAACTCGACGATTAATTGAGGATTCGGGACCCCCATAGCCTGCTGTTGTGGTAAATTCCTCGAGTAGAAGCTGATATATGTGTTAGTATATTCGAGCAGCTACCAAGATGGTTTTTTATATATGAGATACGCCTTATAAAACTATCCGTTATATGAGTATGGAATAGAATATTTCCCTACGTTGTGTATAAGCCGTGAGTACCGGTTTAAGGGGTATAGGGAGGTTGAAAGCGATGACAACGAACATTCCCAGTAGCAACATGTCGACTTGATTTAAGCACACAATCGTATGTAATGGCTTAATTTGTTTTTCCGGAAACCTAGGAGACATGAAAGCGTGGTGCTTAAGGCGGATATTCGAACATGCTATCTCTGAATAGGAGTGAGAATCTACTCTACGTAACGTCAGCCTTCATGAATGCTTATTGATATTAAGTAAAATATGGAAGTTTTCCTGATAATTAAGTGAGTTATCAATAAGTCTATACATCATACGTTACCTCTTTTAATCCTTAAGGCATCTCTCATCCAGCACAGGCAAAGTTGGGCTATTGGTATGAAATCAGGTCTATCACCGGTTTACGAAGAGTATGCTATAAGACAACACGATATCATAAGGTTCAATACCGAAATAGACGCGTGTACCATGCTATATTTTTTATTGTTGTCTTTTTTTGGCTGGATTCATGTGTATGCAGAAGGCTTTGGAGGGAGATGGGAGTGCAAAATGTACAGCTCTGACGCAGACAACCCTTATAACTCCGGGATATTTGTGGCTTTATGACTTTAGACAATGTTCCATCCAACTCCACATGATTGGAGCCTGTCATCTCCTAGTGCCGTAACGAGTGATGAGAATCAGATCATCTTAACTCCTACTTGAGATCCTTTCTTTGGGATATTTCTCTCCAACTCAGACGGTAAAGACAACTGGCGGGAGGCCGTCTCCCCAGATCCCAGTAACAGCCATAAGGAAGCCGATACCTGAGACAGCCGTCTGTATCAACTTATTCCGAACGAAGAACTCGACCTCGCTGCGGACCTCCTCGCCGTTGTAATCCTCCTCGAACTCTTCGCCGTTGGCACTGGTATCCTCGTCGCTGTGCGCTTCGCCCAGGAGCTCGTAGCTAGCTTCCATGCGCTTCGCGGCCTGCTTCTCCTTGCGGGCCCTGTTCAGCTCAGCACGTCTGTGCGCGGCGGCAGACGTGCTCGAGACGGGCTTGCCGAAGATGGATGGGGTTACATAATCAGTTAGGCGAGTAGCGAAGCAGAACACCGACACGTAGAGCAGATACGGGTGCTTGAAGCCTCGGTGAGATAGTTTGTAAGCAAGTAGGAACGCGGTGCCCGAAACGGCGGACAGAGTATCGATGTGGAACGATGCGGTCGATGAGAGAGATCGGAAAGCCTTGGCCGCGGCTGAAGCGGAAGGCAGCTCAAGAAGGGACGGGATCGTAAGGGTCGACAAGGTATAAGAAGTACCCTATGATTTCATGAGCTAGAAACGACTCGCAGACAAAAAAGACGGCGAAATGGACGGGCATATGGGGGGATGTAAAACGTTGTGTCGATGATGTATGGCTTAAGTGGCTCATCGTCGATTTCTCGCGCGGGGATCTGGAGGGGCAAATTCGGAAAATGGATCGGAGTACTCACTGTCAAGAGACCCAGGGAAATGGTCCCTACGAACTTGAGGACGGACACCTTTCCTGATGCCATGACCTCTGTATGGAACTAGAAGCTATTCGGCCAGATAGTGGTGGATGAGGTTGAATCCGGGTTATGGGAAAGTCAAGGTTAGGTCAAAGTCGCATGAAGAGGTTAAGATCTTGGACGGAGTCTCTGCTATCTGCTATCGATGTTAGGTAACGTGGGTACGTATGTAGGTATCATGTACTTTTATACATGACGGTTGGTTGGGTTCGGGCGTCAAATGGTTATACGCCTAATGTGGGCAAATAACAATGAATGATTCAGGCGTTGACTTTGATGAGTTAACCGGACAAAAGTCGACTGATTGGAGGGGCTCAAAGAATGACTCTTGGGCAAAGTTCAAATGACGGCTGTTGTAAATGGCTGATTCCATCGATATCCGGAATACGTAATTGGTCCAAGCTTCTACATACTTCCGTGCCGCCTCCACCTAACTAACTCAACTAATTCAACTAACTCCGAACTAACGGTTTGCGGTGTTAGCGGTTGTAGCTGCGGGTTCTACGGCGAGAAGGGACTAGTCTATCCCTTAACCGCTTATAAACGAATATAATTCGTCGGGAGCTTTGAGTGGATCATTAGTACTAGGAGCCGAGGTTTGTCTCACGTCGCCTTTCCACGGCAAGCGTTCAGCCATTCCATTCACTCATACATTCATACATATTTCAGCAACCACCTGGGTAGACTTATTGTCATTGTCATCTTAGAATTGCGAGTCTATATTCTATTTATATATACTTTTTATTCTGTTATTTACTTAGCGATTTTTATCTATTTTTAATATATCATATCCAGCTCCGAGTGTAATAACTTGCTTTTGAAATTACTCCAAGTTTATCCTTTCATAAACACCTACCAAGTTTCAACATGCCAATCCCACCGTCTGAGTACATAAGCAATGTATGGAAGCAAGGAATATTCGGTTAGATTCTTGATAACAAAGAGATATTGGCTTTCCGACTAATTCGCATACATGTAGATGGTCGCGTAGTGTTCGTCACCGGCGGTGCTGGAACAATATGCAGCGCGCAGACAAGGGCTCTAGTTCACCTCGGAGCCAACGCCTGCATCATCGGCCGCAACCAAGAGAAGACAGAAGCGGCTGCTAGAGATATCGCAACATCAAGAAAGGGCGCGAAGGTCATCGGAATTGGTAGCTGTGACGTAAGAAATGTGCGTGTGACCATAAGTCTGAGTAATCTATTTCTGTACTAACAGTAATAACAGCCTGACGACTTAGTCAAGGCCGCCGAGAGATGTGTGAAGGAGCTTGGCGCCATTGACTTCGTTATGTAAGGACCTCGAGGTCTTATGGCGAAATTCCTTGACTAACATAAACTGTCCTCAGAGCCGGTGCTGCTGGTAATTTCGTAGCCCCTATTTCAGGTCTCACCTCCAACGGGTTCAAGGCAGTCATGGAAATTGACGTGCTTGGAACTTATAACACTGTTAAGGCTACAATACCCTACCTTATCGAATCGGCCGCGAGGAATAAAGGAAATCCAGGCGGATTGACGGGAGGGAGAATTATCTACATATCCGCCACGTTTCACTATACCGCGATGCCTATGCAAGCACATGTCATGGCTGCAAAAGCATCTGTAGACTCGATCATGGCATCCGTAGCATTGGAGTACGGGCCATATGGCATTACATCTAACGTCATCGCACCTGGTGGTATTGGGGGGACGGAAGGCATGGAGAGACTCACAAGCAGCCGGGTAGACCTAAATGCTGCCGCCTCTGACATTCCTCTAGGTCGATTTGGCGTGGTTAAGGACATCGCAGATGCAACAGTCTACCTCTTCAGCGACGCGGGCAATTACGTATCCGGAGAGGTCCTTGTCGTAGACGGCGCTGATTGGAGGAATAAAGGATTGACCGTCGGCGTTGACGCTGATATGAAATATCCCGACTTTCTACTCAAGGGCGAGTTCTCCAAATATGTCAAGGGCGGCAAAAAGGAGAAGCCGAAGCTTTGAGTAGTTTCTGCCGAAACGGCGGTTACTGCTGGTGTGTGGTTTGCGACATGGCGAGTATCCTTGAAATGCATGGATTCTGCGCAAAATGGGACTGTATTATTCCAATCAGGTTCAACAAGGAACATCGAGGCGAACACATACATATCACTTATAAACAAACCATTGTATTTTATTTGTGGCTTCAATGGTCGATAAATCGATATATTAGTAGTTAGGAGTCATGGAATAAGAAATAAGGTCAGTGCCTTTGTGCAAGCTACCTATACAACAAGCTGGTGTCGTGAAGATTCTGATGCCACAAATATATGCTAAAACTCATGGGTGGGTGGACATAAATAAATCAGGATGCAGACAGTCGAGGCGTACCGAAAGCACTAAGCAAGACAATATAATGTTGTAAAATATAGAAACGAACAAGTTGACCAAGGCGGGGAGACATAATGAAAGTATGATAAACGAATACATACCTACCTATAACAGGAGAAAGGGGACTGGGGTGTTAAAAGAGGCTATGAGAAGGAAAGGGAAAAAAGGGCAAAAAGCTCAGCGGAATACGGAAGCTGTGGTCCTCGAATCACCGAAGTCCGCCAAACTTCCCCACATCGGCCCGATGTGGAGTATTGACCGCCTACGAAAAACCCATCATAGTATATAGAGGCAAGGTTTTTACTGACCTACACTTCCAACCGTTGCGCCACGGGGCCCATCGTTCGCGCAACTATCGGAAGGCTCTTGTGGCCGATGGTTCATACAGTTATTATCATACTATTTATGTCTTGTCTGGTACATATTGCGCTGTGAGTCACTGTTGCTAGGAGACAAGACGCGTCACGTGTGTCTGAAGTATCACAATGTGGTGACTGTCAAGGGCATCACGTGACGTTTCCTTTAGACATCGGGATATTATATAACCTGCTTCTACTGCTGTAATAAGCTCCAGGCTATTTCTTCAATCGATAGAAAAAAGGTATTAGCTCATATCAATATTACTTGATTACGCACAATATATGGGGGTACTTTATTGAGAACATTAGTGCATATGCTTAGCCAGTCTATGTATTTCAATATCTACAATGTTTATGGAATTTCCAGGAGTTCGATAGCTTGCACCTAGTACTACCACAGTACTCAAATAACCTATTTTTCAATGAATGTGTTACTGGATGGCTTCTATCACCGTTCACTCGTCCCCCTATGAAAATCCTGTCGAGTAATACGATAGGGCTCATATGTCAATAGCATACGATGAGCCAACTCTTTAAATCATTATACCTCGCTAGACGGCAACTGAAGACAGTGATGGGATAACAATTGTATTAAATCTGGGCTAATGTACGATACTATCAAATGAAGAAGTAAAGGGCAGATAATAATGGAATCCAATGTGCTGCTAGTGCCCTGTGGAATGTACTGGCACCGCTCCCAAGGCCATCGCCAGGGCTTGCTCCCGGCTTCTCAGGCCCAATCCCGTCTTGATCATCATCAGAGTCAGGTTGCTGAACAACTGTCGAATCTCCTGGTGCGAATAGAATACCGACGGTGTTAGCAGCATCTGCGTCGATTTCTTCGGGCGTTAGAAGAGGGTTATTGAGCGGGTCACAAGGTGGGTTGTTGCCAGTGAAATCTATCTTGTTCGTAACAGAGATGGGAACATCAAATATGGTGTAATGGTCCCCGCCGTTTAGACGGAAGTTTTGTCGAATGGATATCTAGCTAGAATATAAGTAATCTGGCACAAGTGAGCAAGACTCTAGGGATCTAGTGGACTGACATTGTAAGCCCCACGATCACTGTCCGCACTAGTTGGTTTCCCATCCCCTATTAGACAATCCGGCCAGTTCCACTTGACATGTTTGACTGTGCTTCCAGGCTCAGACTGCATGATATCTCCCAGGCTGACATTATTGGTCGAGGCCGTCCCATTCGTTATCGTGAAGTTTCTTCCCGTGACATAGCTGTAGAGAAAGATGGTAATATTATTGATCCTACTAGGACTATCGCTGGCATAGGGAGGTAGGTGCAATTTCCCATTAGCAGTTACGTCGAGAGCTACCTCGATGGTGTCTGAATAGTTTATTAGGTCCTGATCCCTATATCGTAATTATGGCATGGAGACTTACCTCCACCTAAAGGGGTACCTGGCTGTGGTGCATCGAGGACGGCGAAACCTGGCGTAAATATTTGACCACCCGCGATTGTAAAGTTGAGAGCTATAGCTCTTTGGAGGAGTAAAGGGAAGAAGATGGGATAAATTAAATGTTTCATCTAGGCCGGCTGCATCTCACTGAGATGTATTTACATGCTATGAAAAGTGGAAGAAAGATCGAAAAATGCATGGGGGACATCAGATCACTAGGTGGGGAGCGCCAGATATATAGCTATAAGCTATAGGGCTGATGCTATTGGATATACGGATAGTAGAGAAGTAGGGAAATGGAAAGGCGGCAGCAACATCCGGGTGGCATTATGTTATAATCGAGATTTATAGGTGGCATGCCCCTGTCCCGGCAGGCGAAAGAAGTTGGGACATTCCACGGAACGGGATGTCATAAGACCATCGAGAACCCTACCTACAAAGGCATATGGCATGAATGAGGATGGTAGATGTCCTGATTGCCTGAGTGTTCCGTGCAGATGTCTCCCATTTGAAAGGCTGAAAATGACTTCTCGCAAAGTCGAACCTTGTCAATGGACATGTCGGGTTTCCATCAGAGAAATCAGCGATAAATATAAGAAGCAGACCATTATACCTACATATTGAACGTCCTGGCAGTACTGCGATCCCCAGGACTGCGAAGACGGGAGTTTTAAGATGACGATGAAGCTTAAGATGGTTTCAGATTAAAATGCGATCGCAGTAAGGTACTTCGATACAAAGTACGTCCTGGAGAGACTTATGTAATCAATTTAAGCTTGTGGGGATTTCCGTTTGGGGCACCCTCGTATATTATCAAGGTGGAGTCTCGTATCTTCTTATTTTACCACATGCATGTACCTAGATGCTGAAGGGCGCAACATCGTCTATAAACCATCCGATTCGGCGACTTTAGCTCATTTCACTCATGGGCATATAGAACCAAGTGGTATAACCACTCCTGGCTCTCCTGGTACCTCGAAATATCTAATCAGGTCGGGATTGATGCACGCGTTTTTATGCATATTCAGGTACTTTGATCCTGAGAGTATCCATTTTGTCGTTTAGATTCCTAAAGGAAGCAAACTACGTTTACCTGCTATGAGGTTTCTGAGTAAACCGTGGCTCGTGGCCAGGAGTCGTTATAGCCATGTCGCCTACCAGAGGCTATTTTCAAGCTCAAGGAAGCTAAGCCAAGTATCAAACCGGGCACATTTAGCAGCTTTGAAAGGAACCCTCAAAGTATCCGAAGAGGTGACTGATGCATTAGCTACAAACAAGCCCGTGGTCGCGCTTGAATCAACCATTTATACTCATGGAGCTTTAGGTAATGACCTAGACTTGGAGGGCGTCGTTCGACGCAACGGTGGTGTGCCTGCTGTCGTTGGTATCCTAGGAGGGGTGCCTACGGTTGGCCTCCTACCTGACGAAGTCGCTCGCATGGTCGAAGGTTCACCAAAGAAAGTATCTCGACGAGATATTGCCTACCTAGTTGGCATGGTATGTGTCGATCCCCGCTGATCTACCATCTTCAGACATCATGCCATCCCTTGCGCTTAATTCTGAACATATCCTTTCATATAGGGTCTGGCCGGTAATAAGACCCATGGAGGGACAACCATCGCCGGCACTATGATTCTCGCAAGGCTTGCCGGAATCCGAGTTTTCGGGACGGGTGGTCTTGGTGGTGTACACCGTGGTGGACACGAATCATTCGATATTTCTGCCGATCTTACCGAACTTGGTAGGACGCGGATGGCAGTAATCAGCAGCGGTTGCAAGGGATTTCTGGATATTCCTAGGACTTTGGAGTATTTGGAGACTCAAGGCGTGCTTGTGTCGACCTTCGCCGACGGCCGGACAGGTGCCGTAGATTTCCCAGCATTCTGGGCGCGAGACAGTGGCGTCAAGAGCCCATCTATTGTTCACGATGAGGAACAGGCGGCTTCTATTATCCTGGCACAAGAGAGGTTGGGCATTGAGTCAGGTCTGTTACTCGCTAATCCGATACCTGAGGAGTTTTCTATTCCTCGGAGCGAGATGGATGTTGTTATTGAACAAGCTGTCAACGAATCAACGCAACAAGGGGCTCTTGGCAACGAAAACACCCCTTTCATCTTAAAGAGGATCAGGGAACTCACCCAGGGCAGGAGTGTGCCAGCAAATAAAGCCTTAGTGCGGGCGAATGTAGAACGAGCTACCAAAATAGCTACTGCGCTTTCACGGCTCATCGCGGAAGAATCCTTACCACCTAAGACATCGTGAGCCTCGAGCTCCCCTTTACTGTAATCTCTAGTTCTAACGCGTGTGGATTAGGGTGCAGAAACCCAGCTTTCAAATCGGGAAGGGGAATACACCGATAGACGAACCAACAAAAGATACTGATGTAAGATTGCCTATGTTGCATCCACAATCCGCTACATGTTAGCATCAAGGGCTAAATATGAATTTGAATGTTACTGCTTGGCGGAAATTATACAACTTTTTGGACTAGACTGACAGTTGTAGGTCATTTCTCAGGCAGATATTTTGGTCGCCGGTTCCGTGGCTGTTGACTTAAGCTGTGACTATGTCGGCGAAGACTCGTTAGAACACCCCCCTCCTCATCTACATACATCCAATCCAGCCCATATCGGCCAATCTATAGGTGGCGTTGGTCGCAACGTGGCGCTTGCGGCCCAAAGAGTCATGCAAAGTCCCAAAGTGAGACTCTGTAGCTTGATTGGTGATGACATGTGAGTTGCGATGGACAGTCATCAATAACACAACTGCTAATTAACCCAGCGCTGGCTCAACTATACTCTCTTCCTTACACACAAGCGGCATGGACACATCATGCATTAGGCAACTGAGCAGCGAGCATTACCCATCTAGTCGGACTGCTCAGTACGTGGCGGTCAATGATGCTTACAAAAATCTAGTCATGGGAATGGCGGATATGGGGATTTTTGCAGCTCACTCATTCCCAGAGCACTGGAATTCTACAATAAGAGCATCAAAGCCTAAGTGGCTGGTGGTTGATGGCAACTGGACAGACCATGACATACGAACTTGGATACGGGCTGGCAAAGATAACGATGCCCACGTAGCTTTCGAGCCGGTTTCGAGGGAGAAGTCTACCCGTCTTTTTTGCAACGAAAAAGACCTGGAAAATCTGGGCATCTTCCCAAAACATAGTGTCGACCTAGCGACGCCTAATCAGTATGAGCTGGCAGCTATGCATGCAGCTGCACAGCGATACGAATATCTAGACAACCCACGGTGGTGGGAGATTATCGACGCTTTCGGCATGAGAGGGGCGAGGGATCGCTTTATTAAGCTTACCTCTGCTGACATGACAGATGACGGTATTCCACAGCAGGTCGTCCAGCTTCTTCCATACATCCCTACCATCATCACCAAGATGGGAAGTGGTGGCGCTTTGATGGCAACGGTCTTGAGGAGGGACGATCCTCGCCTATTGGACCCGGCGTACGAGAGGTTCATCCTCTCAAGATGCCTTAATGACCATCCAGATGTTGGAGGCGTCTATATGAGACTGTTCCCGGCCATAGAAGAGGTGGATGACATCGTCTCAGTAAATGGAGTTGGCGATACGTTCCTTGGTGTACTGATTGCAGGTTTAGCACAGGGCGGGAGAGCTGAGAACATCCTGAACATTGCTCAGAAAGGTGCCGTCTTAACGCTTCGAAGTCCTGAGTCTGTAAGCGAAGACTTAGGTACTTTAAGGGGTGAGCTAAGCGCTGCTGTGATTTAACTACGATAGCTTGGCTTCGGTGCATCTTGGTATCGAGGGCTATATTATTTCAATTGTAATAGGTGTAATGTATGGAAAAGTATAAGTATGATCTCATGTCTGATGGGAAATATTACGATGATAGGTACATATAAAACAGTACGTACCTTAAGCTGCAAGATGGGACAGGGGTAGTGGCGCTAGATAGTGGGGCACATGCAATGCTTCTGAAAGGTAAAAAAAAAGTTCAATCGGTGCTACGATAGCAATTCTGATCTTTGCCATGCTAAATTCAACCAAGTAAAACGCAACCACTGAATCCCAATGCCTCCAAACCGCCCAATAGATGCAATGGAAGATGATGATCATACATCGTCATCATCGTCCGGCCACGACTCCTCTGACTTAGCTAGCGACGATGAACCTACACAGCAGACGCGACGAGCGCAAGTGATCGATAAGGACTCCGATGAAGAGGAACTTGAACGATTTGTGCTTGGAGACACAGCAAATTTCCGTGAAAACCTGTTCCTGGACGAGTCGAGAGACAATGGTGCGGACACTCCCTTTCGAGGCTTTGGCGATAAAGAGGAAAACGAGCCCGAATCCGGTTTGGAAGATGTGGAGGATGCAGACCTTTTTACGTTTGACGTGGGGGGAGCTGCTCCAAGTGGTGATAAAGAGCTTATGGCAACACCCGCTTTGAAGAGCCAGGAATCTGCTGGCAAGGAGAAACCCGCATGGGAAGATAGCGACGACGAGCGCTTGGCTATATCACTAGCCGATGCAACCCAATTGCGAAAGCTACGGATTAGTGAGGCAGAGGATGTCATAAGTGGCACTGAGTATACTATAAGACTCCGACAACAATACTTGCGTCTCAATCCTCTCCCTGCATGGGCACGAGAGACTGAAGAGCGTCCAACCAAGCGTCGGCGGCGATCATCCGCCGTTGCAAACGACTCGGACATATCAGAGGATGAGGCGGATGATGAAGGAGATGCAGAAGAATCTGCGCTGCCACTAGACAAGTTCCTCCGGGATGCCAGCTCATTGAAAGAGACTAAAACCCAGAAGTCGAAGAAACTCCGTCCAGAGGTCATTGACATTCAAAGATCTCGTGATATACCCGACACACATAAAGATGAGGTCACGTCCCTTGCCTTCCATCCGGAGCATCCAGTTCTGCTGTCTTCTAGCACCTCTTCCGTGTTGCACTTACATCATATCGCACCAACTGCCCACCCAACGCCAAACCCGCTCTTGACATCGGTGCAAGTCAAACAAGTTCCGGTTCGGAGGGCGGAATTTCTGTATCCTGCCGGAGATAAAATTTTCTTCGCTGGACGGCGCCGGTATATTCATTCATGGGACTTGGCGACCGGAACGATACAGAAGACCAACAAAATACAAGGTCACCGACTAGAACAAAGAACTTGGGAGCGCTTCAAGTTGAGCCCTTGCGGTCAATATTTAGGGTTGATCGCTTCGACAAGAAAAGGTGGTGGTATCATCAATATCCTAAATGTCGCTACGATGCAATGGATTGCTGCTGCTAGGCTCGATAGTCGAGGCGGCATTGCAGATTTCTCATGGTGGAGTAACGGCCATGGCCTCACAATCTTGGGTAAGGGAGGCCAAGTTGGCGAGTGGAGTATGGCTGCAAGGCGCTTTCTAGCAATTTGGCATGACGAAGGTTCCAATGGCGGGACTGTTATGGCGCTAGGAGGCCGCAACGGGCCTGTGGTCCTCGGTGAGGATCGATGGATAGCAATCGGTTCGAATAGTGGTGTGACGAACATATATGATCGACAAGCCTTGATATTACCTTCTTCGGACGATGAACTAGAGATCCAGGGACGGCCCGAACCGGCTAGAAGGTTCATGCAACTTACAACGCCGGTTACAATCCTCACGTTTAGTCCAGATGGGCAGCTGTTAGCGTTTGGCAGCAAACACAAGAAAGATGCGCTACGACTAGCACACTTACCTAGTTGCACAGTCTACAGGAACTGGCCAACGGAACAGACACCGCTTGGCAGAATATCAAGTGTAGCATTTGGGAGAAAGAGTGACCTGCTTGCGGTTGGTAATGATGGAGGAAAGATTAGGTTATGGGAGATTCGAGGCTAGACAAGATCACGAGATATCACCGTCCACCCCAATCAATTCTTATTCATACCCCCGCGTATTCTATCACTAAATTCGTCCCAAGTCCATAACTTGCCCAACTTCGCCAACTTAATTACCATATGTACCAATCTTATCTAACAATTCTAGCCAACAGACTCGCAAGTGGACTGCCCTTGGGAATGGATTTCCTAGGATAGATCATATCATTTTCTAATGTATAGCGGCGGAGGGCATTCTCGGATTCGAAGCGTCTTGTCTGGCGACCTTGTTGAACATCCTCGAGGAAATCTATGATGTTCACCCAAACGGATCGCAAAACCTGTCGCAAGAGGTTAGTCACATGGGCGAAGAGACGCAGTCTGGTTATTCCATACTTTTCGGCACTGGGTCTTGCTACTGAAGGTTCCAGGGATGCCTAGGTCAGCCATAAGTCGTTGCCAGGCTAGGAGATCTCCCGGACCGAAGTATTCGTTCCAATCTAACACAACTTTTGGTGGTGGATCTTGGGGTTTTTGTTTCGGTCGTGGTTTTCCCTTTCGCTTTGCCATGGCCGGCAAGCTTCTATAGGTTCAATTTGCACCGTACTTGTCGTCGCCCGCGCACTTATCCTCAGACGTACTCAACATATCGAATATCAGCAGTTGAGCAGAGGCTAGCAGATATCTTATAGACGTGAAATTATTTCGACCAGAGGTTTAATGATGTCTTAGTCGATGTCTTGCGTATTCCTTTCATCACATCTGTCTGTCTGTTTCTATACAGGGACACCTATAAGATATCTAACTAAGGCATACGTATCTATATTGATAGTCTCAAGTCTATCAAAGGCAATGCGTTTGTAAAGCGTGTCTGGTAGAAAATACTACATCATAGTTCTTGGTTGTGTAAATTGGGTTAGTTAGGTACTTGGTAGTATATGATATATGATATATGACCATGCTCTGGATGTCATAGAATGACACGAGCCAAGTAACTATTTTCTTAATAAGAGACCCGGGCCCTCGAGAGGATTGTTCCCTAAGGTCACTTCTCTCTTCTATAGGATATCTACACGTGGTGATTTGATTTATGATTTTTCCTCCCTGACTTGTCAGATTCGGACTAATAGGTCAGAATCAGCCTCAAACCAACCAATAAACGACGAGATGTCAACTCAAAAGCATTGTTCCAAGTATGATTACAAGTACGTATAATTTCCTAGAATGTATTCGGACATAAACATGAGATGTGAGGTTGAATTGATGCAACGACGATTTCGACCCCTATTGCGGACCTGTGAAGGGTTTAGAGAGGATTGTAATTATTTAAGTTGAGGTCCGTCCCGCGGTTCTGGTAACCGGGACGAGACCCACTAACCCCATCGGATCGAGACCCACAGCCCCGTACGTACCGAACATTTTGAATTTTCCTAGTCTCTTAGTCTTTTTCCAAAAGCAGAATTGGAATGTAATTCGTTCAAACCGCACGCAACTCGAATCCACGATGGATCCTCTCCACCATATCTCAGCGTGGATCGAGGGGAACATATGTGCTAATGTGGCTAATGTGTGCTGCAAATAATGGCAGACCAGCAAAGCGTCAAATCGGACGAATGGGGGTCACGCCACTGACTTGTTCGACCGCGTTCTACTGCACCGGCAACCTGGACTGCCTGGACAGACCTGGGCTGTGCATGCGCCGTTTCAGCCCACCGTCGTACGGATACCCAGCTTGGCCAACCGGGAACCGCCGTCTTATTTACTTGTTGCGTTGTCTCGGAGCAATCGTGCTGATTGGGTTGATCAATTTTATTCCATGCTCCTGTCTATCCTCTTCCATCTCACCCGCATTTCCCGACTCTGCCCGGCTAGTCCAAGCATAATCGTCATAATGGTTTACTTTCCATTTGATAGCAAAGCGTCAATTACTGAAAACAACCGGAAGTCCCACATGGCAATCCTCCCAATCAGACCATCTACATTCCTACGAATGGCTATTCATGGCAAGCCGGGATAGTGGGCCTCGTAATATATGGTAATATGTGGCATGTTATGAGTGCTATGTTAGAATTACAGCCGCGAGTACCGATAACTTTGGGCAGCGTTGACGTCCTATTTCTTGACCATACACCATGTTTGTCTCGTCCTCTTCTTTTATCAATACGTTCTGCTAGACATGGTGAATTGTTCATTCGTTCGTTGTCTTCCCTAAGAGGATCTCTATAATGGCCTCCGATGCGTCAAATCGCAGACCCAAGTCGGGGGTTCTCCCTGCCAAACTCAGAACCCTAGTTAACGACATGAAAAGGTTTAGGATCCACCGCCGTGAGAAGAAGGGGGCCAAAGGCGCTATGGCCGAACCCACTTCTGCCTCCGAAATCCTCCTGACCCCTGAGTCGACAAAGCCAATACCATCGACACATAGTTCTCTGCCCGCCGCGGCAAACCTCGCCGTTCAGGTCACCATCACTTTTGATGAGCCCCTGAATTACTCATACACTCGCAATTATGAGACGTCGCCGTCGTTGCAGGCCACCGAGGCATTGTGCCAAGGTCTGTTGCGGCGAGTGGATCATTGTTGCCATGAGTTGATCACCCGAAAAGATTCAACTGCTATGGAATATGCTGCTGCAAGTGGCCCAGACAAGCCGCTAAGATTTGAGATACAAGTCGATATAATCCGTGGCTGGTCTGAGATCTGGGCTTCCAGAACCTTCAAATCATACCAGAAGCAACTTTTATCAGTTGATGCTGCGAGAGAAATCATCATATCAACCCATCATATAATAGGGCTTTTCCTGCGACAGCACGACGAGGGTTTTGTTTGGAAAGACGGCCCAGTACGAGATGATCCGTTAGATGAACAAGGGAAATTCCCGCATCGCGCCGGTCGTGTGCAACCTATGTCATGCGTGCCTCGCTCCTATTTTCTTGAAAAATCGCAATCTTTCGAGCTTGTTCCTGGTTATACCATTGCCTTCTCCTTCACAAGCCGGTGTCAACGCCGAAAACCATCTGAATGGCATACGACAGTCGAAGTGAATAGTGGTCAGACCACCCCCTTAAATTCTATTGGGATAGAAACTTTATTCTTCGAGACATCATACGCCCTGGAAGGCGTCTTGAGATCAGAAAGACAAGCCTTCGAGAAAGTTCATAGTCTCTGTGTTAGCCTAGACGGGTGCAAAGACTGTCGCCATCATGACAATGACGGCTTGGAGTTACAATTTTCAATCACGAACAACCTAGGGCCCCAGTTCGCTCATCTGGAGCGAACTATACACTGCAACAGCAATCTTTCCTTTCACTCCGATGTCCAAGAGTGTCTCAGATTTGTTGGCAAAGTTGAAACTGCTCTCGCCCAAGTTCGAGACACTGCTGACGACACCATCAACCGAATGAACGATTTGGAATTTAGGATAATAGAGCTTCGTGGACATGGCTGGTCTTTGGACGAGCCACTAATTTTCGTCCTAGATTCGTCCAAATCCTTCCCCCAAAGAGATGCCGTGGCGATATTAGATCGGATACAAGCCGGCATCGCAGACATACTACGAGGCAACGCCATTTCGGTTCGAATGACAGCTCACAAACGGGGACATTTCATTTTGGATAAGACGTTCGTCGCTCGAGAACCTTTTGAGTCGACAGAAAAGAAAAAAGCAAAGCAGTCTCGAAAGTCGAAGGCTTACGTCTTAGACCGGTTACAACAGCGCGTTGAGAAGGATATTGCAATGATTTGCAAAGATACTATAACGCTTGACGAAGAGGACAAGGAGACCGGAACAGTTCAAACAGAAGTTGGCGCCTTGGAACAGAGCCCTACTCATGATGCAGATGTTTCTACCTCCGTAAGTGGGCTTGAAACCACCGAGTCAATTTCGAGGGTCCCTACGGAGAAGCACGAGGACTCTCCACGTGAAAACCCGAACCAGGAGACTAGCCCTGCCACTTCAATTTCAGAGGGCATGGCAGAGGACTACAACTTGGCATGCAAAGCTGCAAACCCTGATGCTCCCGACGAACGCGAACTTTCCGTACCTCCATCTCCTACCAGATGCCGACCGTTCATTCCCGCCCGGAAATCATCCAGTGCCTCTGCTGCCATATTCATCCCAGAGACGGGGGCTCGAGCTTTTCCATTAGTACCACCAGGTCTAGACTCTTATGGGGAATCTGAAGGCGCCGCCGGCTTAGATATGGATCGCGAGGAGAGAAATTTGCAGACTATATCCGACGAGCCCGTTGGTGATAACGAACCGCACCAGCCCGTCAATGAGACAAAGGCGTCCCAAGAAAATGGAACAGCCGTGACAAACTCAGGGGAAGAACCAGCTTACGAGCCTTCGATTGCTTCTTCAACTCCCAGCCTGGTCTTCGGCGGTGGTTCTTCCCCTGAAAGCAGTTTCCGTAGGTTCATCCCAATATTCTTCCTCATCCTCTTGGAGTTCCACCAGAACAATGACTGCGTATCCATGGCCGTTGCCGAGTGACACCTCCAAGGAACCGGCCACAACCTTTGCAAATTTCTCGGATTTGCCGGTCAATGAAAATTACTAACCATGTACAATAGTGATCACGCCTAAGAAGCATCGCCTTAGCCCCGATGTGAGCCACCCAAAGAATTCCACCGTAGACAGCGACGATGAAGAGGCCAGAGACTCGGGTATCGATGTTCATCAGGATTTCGGAAAGAGTCAACCTTTCCCCTCACCTACGCTGCGACACGCGAGACCGGCAATTTCGTCGCCGCTCCGCGTGAGCCAAACCGTTCAGGAGCAAAGCCCCCTCACCATTCCCGCGATTAGTACCTCGCCGTCGAAGAGTACCATCGAACTTGCCGACCGGACCTTCGGTCAAGAAACATCGTCCGCCCCATCTATGACGCAAGTTCATCTTGCCTCTCCGACAGAAACCGATGCGGCCGACATATTCGTATCCGCAGTTACAAGTCCGAGCAAAACCCACGTCGGAGCCCAAGATTCGAAAGAAACAAGCTCCGTATCTTCTCCCAGCAGCGAACCCGAACTCCCCATCCTCGCCCCGCAGCCCATCACAGACGAAAGCGAGAACGAGAATGAAAACGAGAACGGAAACGAGTTCCAAGAATGCACCACGAACTCCTTCGCCCAATCCAAGCCAGACTTCACCTTCTCATCCCCGCCCGCGATCTCCTCGCCATCTTACAGCGATTCAGGCGACAACCCCAGCCCCAACCCCAACAACCCTAACACCATCTTCACCCCCAGCACCGGTTCCAGCTCCAACAACATCAGCCCGAACCCAAACCCAAATTCTAATCCTATCCCGAACCCCGAGCCCCCGCGCCTGCACATAGACATGAGCCCCGACCCGTCGGAGGCCGACTTCGACTCGGACGCGGAGCTGTCGTCGCCGCCCAGCCGCCCCCTGACGCAGCGCGGCTCGTTCGGCAGCGCCGGCGTGCTCGGCTTCCACGAGCAGATGTTCGGGTCGCTGAGCCTGAGGACGGCGCTCATGCGCTCGCGGCCCGGGTCCAGCGGCGAGTTTAGCGGGGGCGGGAGCGAGGGAGGGAGGAGTAGGAGTAGGCCTGGGACTGCGGTGTCGCAGCGTTTGTGAAGGGACGCGGGCGGCGGGTTGGTTTGCTTAGGTAGGTGGTAGGTGAGGTTGATGTATAATGGTTTACTTTGTTTAGGGGATGGGGAAGGGGTGTTAGTGTGTGTGAGGTTCATGGTGTAGATGCATAAGCATAAAGGGGGTGAGGGGGCTGGCTTCGGAGTTGAGTTGAGTTGACGGTCAGCATAACTTTCTTTTGTATGTAGGATTGGATAGGACAGGAACTGGGTCCCATGCATTGGATATGCAGAGCTTGAAATACAGCTACGGAAAGGTCAGGTTGGTTATATCAGGATATATACATGGGAGACTCAGCGTCGGAATCGGAAAAATGGGATATCATTTGTATTATGGGTATATATACACACGTATCATAGCGTCCTATCCTATTTTCAGAAACCAGAAAACATGAAAAAACTAATATAAAAAAAATTGTTAACGGGATCTTCACCTTTACTTTAAATTAAAGCAGCACTTCCTAAAATCATATGATTACGGCTTCTTAGTTCCCGAGCGGCATTTCCAAGTTATAGTTCGAGTGGAATATCAACATTAAATACTAGGCACCTACGAGGCAAGTAGCAATATATGCAGTATATACAATCTGAGACGAGAGGCCCTGTTTAGTACCTACTAAGGTATATATATTTTCATCATCATACAATCGTTTACCCGTGCGTCATCGCACATATTTTACACCCCCTGAATCCTTTTTATTTTCAAAGCCCTATTCCCATTTTTGTTTCCTCGCCAAACCAAATAAACGCCCTCCTATGCTGAACAAGCGCATTGCAAATCACGAAGATCCGGATTCATTCTGTCCCGCCTCCGTCTCCGCCGGGACGGGGAATACTTCCAAGCCCGAATTATCCTCCTTGACGCGCGCCACGGCCCTATCTCCCCTCTTCAGCTCGCCGCGGATGATCTTGTCGGCGAGGCCGTTGCTGATCTCGGTGGTGATGAGGCGGTTCAGCGGCCTCGCGCCGAACTTGGGGTCGTACCCGCGCTCGGCGAGCCAGTTGCGCACCTCGTCGCCGACCTGGAGCGTGATGCGGCGGTCGTCGAGCCGCTCCTGGAGCTCGCGCAGCCGGATGTCGACGATGTCCCGCAGCGCGTCGAGCGTGAGCCGCTTGAAGACGATGAACGAGTCGATCCTGTTGAGGAACTCGGGCGGGTAGCTGGCGGCGACTACGTCCAACACGGCCTTGCGCACGTCGGGGCTGATCTCGCCGTCGGCCGTTTCGCTGTACGGATGGTGCGCGTCAGCGCCGACGAGGATATCGGCGCCGAGGTTCGATGTCAGGACGATGATCGTGTTCCGGAAGTCTACCTTGTGGCCTTGGGCGTCGGTCAGGTAGCCTTCGTCAAGGACTTGAAGGAGCAGGGCTGAGATGTCGCGATGCGCCTTCTCGAATTCGTCGAATAGTAGGACGGCATACGGCTTTCTCCTCACGGCTTCTGTAAGCTGGCCAGCATCATCGTAACCCACATACCCGGACGGGGCACCGATGAGCCTTGATATCGTGTGCTTCTCCTGGAACTCGCTCATGTCGAATCTCACAACTGCCGACTCGGTCGAGAACAAGAATCCGGCAAGCTTTTTACATAGCTCGGTTTTACCAACGCCGGTGGGGCCGAGGAAGAAGAACGAAGCGAGCGGGCGGTTGTCTCCGCTCAGACCAGCTCGTTGCATACGCACGGCGTCCGCGACGGCTTTGAGGGCTTCATCTTGTCCACGGACTGATTCTCGGAGCGTCTCTTCCATGTGTATCAGCTTCTCGACGTGTCCGGACGTCAGCTTAGCCACGGGTATTCCGGTGATTCTCGAGACAACATTAGCTATGTCATCAGCCGTTACCGAGTCATGGATCAGGGTGTCTGGGCCTTGCGCCGAAGAAGCCTGTTCGCCGTCCTTGGGGAGTTTCTTCTCTAGATTAGGGATGACGCCGAAGCGCAGTTCAGATGCCCTGGCAAAATTTCCGGATCTCTGCGCTTGGTCAAGTTCGATGCGTGCCTTGTCTAGTTCTCCTTGAACCTTCTTTAGAGCATCAATCTCCCCTCGTTCCTTTTCCCACCTTTTCGTTAAGGCCGCTTCTTCTTCCTGGTACTTCTTCAGATCTTCTTCAAGCTTTTCTCTACGTTCGCGACTCGCGATGTCCTTCTCTTTCCGCAAACTTTCTAGCTCGATTTGAATGGTCATTATCTTCTGATCGAGTCGCATGATGTCTTCGGGCTTGCTCTCTTGTTGCAGACGCAAGGAACTTGCAGCCTCGTCCATTAGATCAATAGCTTTGTCGGGCAGGAAACGATCTGTGATGTAACGATTTGAATACGTTGCGGCCGCCACAAGGGCTCCATCCGTGATTCTGACACCGTGATGCACTTCATACTTTTCCTTGATACCTCGCAATATACTGATTGTGTCTTCCACTGAGGGCTCGTTGACTAGAATTGGCTGAAATCGTCTAGCCAATGCCACGTCCTTCTCGATTAATCGGTATTCGGCAAGAGTAGTAGCACCACAGCATTGCAATTCTCCTCTTGACAGAGCTGGTTTCAGGAGATTCGAAGCGTCGATGGAGCCCTCAGCTTTTCCAAGGCCAAGAAGAGTATGCAGTTCATCAATGAACAAGATGACTTCTCCATGAGCTTCTTGAACCTCGGTTAATACCTTCTTTAATCGCTCTTCAAAGTCACCTCGAAACTTGGCGCCAGCAATGAGCGATCCCAAGTCCAGTGATATAACCCTTTTATTCTTTATGCTCTCCGGGACATCACCCCTTACTATCCGCAACGCCAAACCCTCTAGAATAGCGGTTTTTCCTGTTCCTGCGCTTCCGATTAAAACCGGATTGTTTTTCGTTCGTCGCGACAGGACTTGGATGGTACGTTGAATTTCGGCGTCCCTACCAATAACAGGGTCTAATTGGCCATCCTTGGCTTTCGCGGTGAGATCGATACCGAATTGTTCTAAGGCCGGTTTCTCGGGCTCGCCGCCCATATTCATCCGGTGCGTACCACCCGGCGGTTGAGGTCTGCCATTTGCGTAGCTTCGGTATGTGGGAGCAGGTATGGTGACATTAGATAAGCTTTTTGCTGTGCTAATAAGCGCAGCTCTTGAGAGTAGCGAAGGTGCTGTGTTTAATCGTGTAAGTCCCCTCGACGTCGCATCAGCGACCCGTCGCGAAGACTTTAAAAGTTGACTTCTCGCTAACATGGTGAGAAATTTTGGTGGTTGGAAATTTGACAATAGGAAAAAAGAAGTTTAAGAAAGTCAAGAGACTTCTCTTGTATAAAAACCCGTTTACATAATAGAGAGGGTTCTGGGATATCACGAGAGCTTCAAATTAGCGCGGTCGTTGCCGCTGGAGCTTTCTCGAACTATCGAACCACTTGAAGATGCTTCTAATGTCGAAGCTCCAATTATTACTACCGCCTTTATCGATAAGAAATCTCGATAAGATAGTGGACTCTGCACAAGGTTCAAGATTTATGTAAGTACCTGGGTACATACATAGTGGCAAGTTGTGGCGTTAATTGGTCCGTTCGCGATCTAGCCCGTTGCTCAAACGCTCGTGTACCTTTCAGGCAGGCAGATTGGGTGGTGGGATGGGGGGTAATTGTGGCTGGTTACCGGGTGATTTGGGGCCACTCTTCTCGAAAAATTTCAAAATAATGAGTCCCGCCATATTCAACCCCACCTTACAACACTCTCTTCCTACTTCTCACCAGCTTTCACTTCTTCCAAGATACCCCGGCATTTCTTCTAGGACTCTCTACCTTCATTTCGCACTCGCCATTAACTCTCAACTTTCAAGTTAGACAAAATGGGTTTCATCGATCTTCTCACCGACGCTGGTCTAGCCGGTATGTGCCTATCTCCAAAACCCATGTTGTGCCGCGGGGTCTTGATATATCAGGATCTATTGATTAGGCGTCATCTGAATTTTGACTGTGGCTAACGACGATCTAGTGCTTAACGGCTGGTTGACGACTCGATCATACGTCACTGGGTAAGTCATCTATTTTTATTCATTCCTCGGACACGAGTGCCGTTGCCAAGTGCGACGCCTTAACGTGAATGTCACTCGCGCATTCGTATACTAAAAAGCCCTATGAGCCCAATACCCCCTTACCATGATGAGAAACATTGGTCCGTGTTTCTGAGCAGACTCAAGACCTGTTAATGAGGACATATACAATAGCACTCTGTGCATCTCTGATCTTACCGACTACCCACTTGTTTCCTAATTCCTACCACATAATGACTTGATATATGTAAAGGATTCTTAACTGACTCATCAAAGCTACGCTCCTTCCCAGGCTGATGTTGCCGTCTTCAAGGCCATCAAGTCTGCCCCCGAGTCCGCGAAGTACCCCAACGCCGCAAGGTGGTACAAGCACATCGCCTCTTTCGAGGATGAGTTCGCGACCCTGCCCGGTGACGCCTCCAAGCCATACACCGTTTACGGCCCCGATGAGACCGCCGCCACCCTAAACCCCGCCAAGGCACCTGCCGCCGAGGAAGACGATGATGTCGACCTATTCGGGAGTGACGATGAGGAGGAGGATGCCGAGGCCGTCCGTGTTCGTGAGGAGCGCCTGGCTGCCTACAAGGCGAAGAAAGACGCCAAGCCCAAGACCATTGCCAAGTCTGTTGTCACATTGGACGTTAAGCCCTGGGGTATGATCGCGCAAACTACGTCACTGCCTGAATTTTAGAACTAACAGATATATTTTAGACGATGAGACCGATATGGCTGCCCTAGAGGCCGCTGTCCGCGGAATTGAGAAGGATGGTCTAGTATGGGGTGCCTCCAAGCTGTTGCCCGTTGGCTTCGGTATTAAGAAGCTACAAATTAACCTTGTCATTGAAGACGAGAAGATCTCCCTTAGTGACCTAGAGGAGGAAATCCAAGGATTTGAGGACTACGTCCAGTCCACCGATGTCGTAAGTTTCCATCCCGTCGATATTTCCTAGTTCGATACGCTAATTTAGTAAATAGGCCGCCATGCAAAAGTTGTAAACTGCTCCTACTAGGAATCGGAGTCGCCGTGCCAACGCTCAGTACATGATAACGACTTGAAAGCCATGATAAAAGGCTAACGATTGTGATGAGGTTGGGCGGACAACATGATATCGGGAAAATACTCTCGCAAGACAAAATTCCATAGAAGCCATAAGGCATAGGATTGAGATGCTAATAATAGAGGCTTCCCCGAATCAATATTTTGACTTATTTATCTCTACCTATATAGTGGCGATTCAGTATGACCATGAAATTCAATACTGTCGATCTGAAAACGAGGTACGGGCTGGTTATAAGAAGGGTCAGTCTTGCGATGTTGCTACGAGGGCAATATCCACACGCATTTATCACATCAGCCATATTTAGATTCTGCAGTTTGCTGAAACCATGTATCGATTTACCATTAGCAAACTCGGAAATATCGATTGTACAAGAAAAGTCATGCCCCTAGATCAAGAGTCCTTCCTACCCACTTGCCCCTTTTATATCCCCGCGGGTATCTATGCTGCTGTGTTAGCTGGATATTTAGTATCTGTTTTCCCTTCATCTTTTCAGTTTTCTCTATCCCGGCCGCGACTTTCCGTCCGTTATGTTAAGTAATGCACACCCTTTTTGATCCACGATATCCACTTTCTAGTGGTGGAAGAGTCGAATGTTCTGCTCCACGAAGACAATGCCGAGCTTCTCGGACGTCTCGTAGACAGCGCCGTCGTTTTGACTGCCACCAGGGGCCGCGATATACTTGGCGCCAGATCGGTGCGCGCGGTAGATGTTATCGATGAAGGGGAACTATTCAATACGGTTAGTGGGTTATTTAACAACGTGTGATGCTAATGAGAAGAGGGCTTACGAAAGCATCGCTAGAGACGGCGACTTCTCCCAGCTTGCTAAGCCAGTCGTTGCGCTCTTCCTCCGTGAAGGCGGCGGGCACCTCGTCGAATACCGCCTCGAATTGCTCTCGCTCCGGTCCGCTCTTTGGTAATTCACCACTGACGAGTAGGTCAATGGCATTGCTCTTGTCGGGTCGCTTGGTGCCCTTCTTCCACTTGATACCCAGAACACGGGGGTGGAAGCGCAGCCACCAGTTGTCGGCCTTGTCACCCGCTAGACGGGTGCAGTGGATACGAGACTGTTGACCTGCTCCAAGACCAATAATTTGCCCATCCTTGGCATAGCACACCGAGTTGCTCTGTGTGTATTTCAGGGCGATCGTAGCGACGGTTAAGTCTCTGGCAGCAGACTCCGGAAGGGCAAAATCCTTCGGGGTAATGGTACGAGTAAAAGAAGCCGGGGAGATCACCACATCGTTGCGGTGCTGCGTGAGGGTTACACCGTACACAGTTCTGAATTCGGTTGGGTCGGGCTCATACTCGGGGTCCATCTGAAGGACGAGGTATTTGCCTCCCTTCTTTTTCTTGAGGATCTCGAAAGCCGCATCCTCATATCCAGGAGCAATAACACCATCGGAGACCTCCTTAGAGATGATGCTAGCGGTAGGGACATCTACTACGTCGCTGAGAGCAATGATATCTCCGAAGCTGCTCATTCGGTCGGCTCCTCGAGCTCGAGCATATGCCTGAGCAAGCCCTGAAGTCTCAATGCCCTGGATATCGTCAACGAAGTAGACCTTGCGCTCCTCCGCACTCAATGGAACACCAATAGCAGCACCTGCCGGCGAGACGTGCTTGAAACTAGCAGCCGCAGGCTTTCCAAGGGTGGCCTTCAATTCCTTCACGAGGGGCCAGCTGTTCAAAGCATCAAGCAAGTTGATGTAGCCGGGGGCTCCGTTAATAACCTTGAATGGCAAGTTACTAGATGACGCATATGCAGCAGCCGGCTTCTGGTGGGGATTGGCGCCATATCGAAGAGGTAGGTATTGTTGACCCTCACCAGCATATCGCGAACGGAAGAAACCAGAGATGTGAGCATCGTAATCGGCCGTGTGCTCGAAGGCCTTGAGGGCATATCTGTTGCGGCTTGCCTCCTTAATCTCTCCACTTTCGAGTTCCTTTAAGAACTCAGGGTAATCGTTCGGGTCGCTGAGGATGGTCACGCGAGCGTGGTTCTTGGCAGCTGCACGGATCAGTGTAACACCTCCTATGTCGATCTCTTCCACAGCCTCTGGGACAGTGACATTGGGCTTGGAGATTGTGTCCTTGAATGGGTACAGGTTGCAAATGACATAGTCGACCTTGCTGATACTTTGCTCGGCAAGATCTTTCTCGTCAGAAGCTAGGTTACGCGCGAGGATACCGGCATGGACAGCTGGATGAAGGGTCTTGACTCTGCCAGCGAGCATTTCAGGTGCTTTTGTGATAGCTGAGATGTCCCTTCTCTAGGTCAGCCTCGAGAATACATAGTACTGTAGGTCGTAGGCCATCTTACTCGACTGGGAATCCAGACTCGCGAATCATCTTAGCTGTGCCTCCGGACGCTAAGATTCGCACATTCTGCTGCACGAGACCCTTAGCTAGGTCCAACAATCCAGTCTTGTCAAAGACGGAGAGGATCGCAATTCTTTGGGTTTCCGACATGGCGACGTGTTTAATTATTCTTTAGTGCGCTTCAATGAGACTATTTCGAATGAGAGAAATGGAGCAATTCACGAATTGGCGAGTGGGAACACGGCAAATCGACGATATAACTTCGATTAGTTCGCTGAGATGGTCAGACTAAAGATGTTATCGATGACCTCTGACAACGACTAGCCTCGAGCATTTATTATTCGTCTCAACGAAGTATAATTGACGTCGTTACGTGATACCCGCGTAGGTAGAGCTTGAGAAAAATAAAATTTCGAAGCTCATAGCGGGGTTATCGATTTCGAAATCGACCCCACTAACCCCTCGGTCTGGAGTGCTGCTTCTATGAGCACGGTACCTAGGTACGAGGTATTTTGCGTTGCACAAGACCCCACCATCTGGAATGAACCTTCTTCCCAATACTTAGCGCCTAACCTAGCCCCTCCTCTTTTAAAGCAACAGCGATAGAACCGCGTCTGAACTCTTTGCACGCGTCTTTCAATGCGTCAACACTTCCAAACCCAATTCTTTCCTTATTCCTGATTCTGTCATATCCAATTCCAACCATCTGTTCGAATTCCCAGGTACGACCTGGCAACAGTCACTTCTAGTTCGAAATGTATGGTGATTTGGGCAATAAGCTTGTAAGTATATAAATGTATACCAGATATTGTTCAACACAATAAACTAGAACTCAATTGAATCAGGTCCAACACGCAAAAAGAACTCAGAACTTGACACACTTGCCGCCGTACCAAACCGAACTAGTCCGCGCCGTTACACGAGAAGTTCGCGATTTAGATAAAGATGTGGCGGACATGCTAGAGCCGTTCCAAGGGTCATTCAACCCAGCCGAGGAACCAGCCACGGCCTGTACCCTGCTTGTGAACCACTTGTCCATGCGGAGGAATAAACGTTGTCTGCTCGCCTATCATCGAACCCGAACAGATAGGCTGGAAGAACTCGTCTGGAAAGGCTACGACGTGGTTGATCTTGCCGGACAACAAGTTAAGGACGGCCCGGGCGGAATGGGGGCAGGCACTGGGGGCACAAGCAGTTTGAGCCCGCAAGAGGAAGATTACGTGCGCCAATATAGCGATCTGCTAGCCGCATACAAAGGCCAATGGACAGACATTGATCTCACCGGCAGCCTCGACCCTCCTCGTGACCTATTCATTGATGTGCGGGTGCTGAAAGACGCCGGGGAAATTCAGACCGAATATGGGTAAGATTACTCCCCCGAAAATCAAAAGGTAACGATAGGAACGTCTGCTCATGCGTCATTGCAGCGCCATTACACTCACCAAAAACAGTCAGTTTTATGTCAGGCAGGGTGATGTGGAACGACTAATCGCTCAGGGTTACCTCCAAAAGCTCAGTTGAGGGAACCTGCCAGTAGCCGTGTCCTCCTATATTTAAACGCGTTCCTACCTAGGTGGAGACCGGTCATATCCAGCCATCTAATGAACCGGAGGAGGACGGATTTGTGTTGTATTACTGGTCTTCCGATCCGGTCCCTCCTGTATGTGGTTAGATCGAAGCACAGAGCCATCGCGGCGGCATAGGGTGGTTCCCCGGAAGCTTATTTGCATGTTGGTCGCCTAGCAACATATATGCAAAAATGGCCGTGTCCCGGTTATGTTGTGACAAACGCGATTTACAAATTCTGACAAAATCCAATCACAAAAAGAGAGGCGCATATGACGATCGAATGCGGGCAACACGACGGAGTGCGTGACCTTCCGTCAGAGACCCAATCATTGAGGAGATTGCGCCAAACTCCCAGGCTTTCTACCACATAGCTTTACTCGGGCTGTCGGGCTGCCAGGATGCAAAAAATGTGGTTATATGCCCGGGGAAACTCAATGCACATCAAAGAGGGGGTTTTACGTGTCCTAGAGTGGAATGAAATAGCTTGGCCTTCATCCGAAGCGAATAAACAACCTGATACAAACAAAATACCTACTCACTCGTATTGTAGTCGCACAGCAAGGGACTCAATGGGGCATAAATGGTGATGGGTTACATATGCAAACGTGCATCCTAATTGGCGAATTCCAGCCACCCAGCCAGCTAGCAACACAGGGCGCCAGAGCAACTGAACCAAACGGAACACAGCACTGGGCGCGCTGGCCGTCGGGGCCATCGGTTGGAGTTCGATATTGCGGGGGCGAATAGGAGCATTTAATGTGGAGAATAGTTGGAGGCTCCTGGGCATATTCGACTTCACACCTGACGACAAAAAGTTTTATGGGTATGCTTCTCATGGGAGAGCTGGCGAGCTGGCAAGCTGGCAGGTTGTGTACATCCGTCATGGATGTATCAACCGCGCTGCGTGGGCGAGGCCCGTCCCGTTCGAATAGGTTCCGCGACGAGAATTGACGAATACTAGAGCTTTATTGTACGTAATCGACCACACAGCGAGAATCCGACGTACAACCATCCTACTGTGACCGTGGAAGCGCCGGGAGGCGCAGAGGTATCAAGTACGGAGAAAGATGCCAATATGCATGTCTATCACGTAAGGGTGCCTCCTCAAAACACGATCGAAATATATCTTTGCATACCATATTTTCGTACATTGAGTCCCCATACTATCTATGTTCGACATGAACAGTCCCAGCTGTTGATATTCAGGGGCTGTGATGTTCTTTTTCTCATCGTAGCTCAGTAGAGCTCAAGCTGAGAGTAAAGGATAAAAAAAGTATTTACTGACTCCACATTGTCTCAGATTCAATGCTACGAATGTCGCTGGTGCCATGTTTACTAGCGATGAATGGATCGCATCCGTACTTGGAATGCGTGGCTTGAGCTTGATGCATCGTGCAGCCCAGCAATTTCAGGATCCCTCAATGGTTATGAGGGGCCATATGCAATCATACCTGTAGGTATTCAATCATATTCGAAACCAAATCTCCTCTTATTAACCGCACTACGGTAGATGGTAACGACATCCAGTCTGCCAGTCTAGAATGTCGTGTGAAAATAACGGTTCGTGACACCAGGATATTATGCAACGATCCCAGCCTTATCCAATTAGATGATTAATAAGAATCGAGGAGGTATTTCGTACCTACCACTTTTTTCCAATTTTCAAGTTCGCCACCAATCACCTTTCTAGAATCGGAGATGCCCCTCCAGATCCTTGTCAGTTTGGCGCAGACCACATGCTAAAAGTTTTATGCACGAACTAGTACGTAAGTTAAGTGGTTGCTAAATACTGTATAGAGTTAGCGTCGCAGACCGGACGACGTTAAATTCCTTGGAAGCTATATCTGGTGAGGTCTAGATTTTAGTCTAGATTTACCTAGGTAGATCCTCTCGTTATCATCGAGCAATCTTTGCTGATTCGAAGAGTTCAATTTTTCACTCTCCAATTCAGTCCTTCGGTACTTCCTATGCAGACCATATAGTGCTTCGGCTTCCTTGTCGCAGTCTCTATTGGCTGTTGTATGACCGTCGCAGTCCGACTCAGGTACTCAGCCAGTCCATCCCATAAGACATACGACTGGCACCTTGCTGGCTACTCTTATTCACGCGCATCGTCACCGGTCTCGATGTATATATCCAGCGTAGACAGCTAACAGACGCTCGGCCATAGACATGGCAGCTTCATCTTTTGGCTTTTCCTCTTGGAGGGGAAGATCAACTTCCGTTACTTCTCAGTCGGATATGACAGATGTACCTGGGCAAACACTCAGTCCGAACCAAGCTTCGCATTTGACGATAACCGACTCTCGACCGCTCTCATCTTCTTTAAACTCTTATAATTATAGAGAGCCCACCAGGTCTTTTGTGCCGGGCTCGGTTAGAGACCATCTATGTAAGGTCTACCCTGCATTATCATATTGTTTGATGTTGTTTGTGACTAACCTGCTCTATAGCGCCCGTGGACAGCGCCAGTTTCGCGAGAAGTGTTCGCGAGGATACTGCCGAACTCGCTTCATACGTTCTAGCAGACAAGAAAGATAGGCTGAGCACGTCATTCCTCCGTCGGATATCGTCTACTTCGTCCCACCAAAGCCTCGACCAGCATGAATCCCCAGACTCTCAGATGCCGGACGCGGGCACTATAGATGAAGTTTCCGAACCACCTTCACCGGAATTTAGGACAGAGGACGAACCCGATTCGGGACCTTCGGCGCTCACAACTATGCTTAGACGCTCTCCTCCACAATCTCCACGCGATCCAAACGGCGGAAACGGTGTGACTCCATTCAATGGGCAACAGCTATCGTCAACAAGTCTGTCCCAATCTAGTCCCAGTAATGTGGTATCAGAGAGTACTCCCCTACTTGGGGGACTACCACGTAGGCCTGATTCTCCGGGGAGTGCTACTGAGGTTGACGACATCGAAAGTCAAAAACCGAAGATAGGGCCCTGGAGTTCGTCGTCAGGCATATTTGGAGGTGGTATTCAAGGCACGATCCGTTCCATCCGGAGCGTCGCCAACCCAAAGACGTGGGATAAGAAAGTCGTCTTCCAAAGTGTTGTGATGGATCCGATACATTGCTTGCCAGCGGTGGTTGTCGGGCTTCTATTAAACATACTGGATGCCCTGTCTTATGGTGTGTAATTTCAAGAGCTTACCTAGTGTTACACCAAATCTAACCATCTCTCTAGGAATGATTCTATTCCCATTGGGCAACCCAATCTTCTCGAGTCTCGGGCCGGCAGGAATCTCCATATTCTACGTTAGCACAATTGTCTCACAGCTGACCTTCTCAACCGGCAGCTTGTTCCGTGGTGGCATTGGGTCAGAATTGGTAAGGTCTATGCTTGATTATTCAGAGGTCCCTACTAACCAATTCAGATCGAAGTTGTCCCGTTCTTTCATAATATGGCAACCACTATTACAGCGACAGTAGGCGAGGATAAACCTGACGCGGTTATCGCTACCACAATAACTTCGTTTGCGATTAGCTCCATGCTAACTGGCGTTGTTTTTTATCTCATGGGAAGATTTAGATTAGGCTATGTTGTTGGTTTCATCCCTCGCCACATTCTAATCGGATGTATTGGTGGCGTCGGTTGGTTCCTCGTCGCAACGGGTCTCGAAGTGTCAGCACGCCTGGAAGAATTCAATTACGATCTCGACACTGGCCGAAGGTTGGTCCAATCGGATACTCTCCCTCTTTGGCTTATTCCTCTTGCTCTGGCTGTCATTCTCTTCGGCCTCCAGAGGAAGATCACCTCGAAATATTTCCTGCCTATCTACATTCTATGCGTGCCGATATTCTTCTACTTCTTCGTATTTTCAATAGACAGTTTGGATCCAGAGAACCTAAGACGAGCCGGATGGATCTTCCAAGCACCCGAAGCCGGAGAGCCGTGGTGGTACTTTTGGACACTCTATAGTGAGTTCCCATGATCCTTCTTAAACTGAGCCTATTACTAACTGACTGCTATAGAGTTCAATTTAGTCCATTGGGGGGCGGTTCTTGAGACTTCGGGAGCTATGTTTGCTTTAACTTTCTTCAGTGTGCTACACGTTCCCATCAATGTGCCTGCTTTAGCACAAATCTCCGGGGAAGATCATCTTGATTTAGACCATGAGTTGAAATTGCACGGCTACTCGAATTTCCTGTCTGGATGTGTGGGTAGTATCCAAAACTATTTGGTATTTGCGAATACGTTGTTCTTTATGAGGTCAGGCGGCGATAGCCGTCTGGCAGGTTTCATGTTGGCAGCACTTACGTTCGGCGTCATGACGATGGGTCCCGTCATTATTGGTTATATCCCCGTTATGGTTGTTGGCACTTTGATTTTTGTCCTCGGATTTGAACTATTGATGGATGCTCTTATATCACCAAGGCGGAAACTGAAGCTATTGGAGTACTTGACGGTAAGCTCCTACTTATTCTTACATCTGCTTGATTAACGCTGACATGGGTCAATTCCAGATCGTGGTCATAGTTCTTACTATGGGTATCTATGACTTTGTTGTCGGTATCTTCGTTGGCATAATCCTCGCATTTGTTTCTGCCATTCTTCACGCATCTCAAGTCTCGGCTATTCGAGCAACCTATACCGGAGACCAGGTCGGTTCAATGGTAAGACGGAACCCATCGCAGCATCATTACCTCCACGAAGTTGGCAGTCAGACATACGTCATCAAATTATCAGGCTTCCTCTTCTTTGGCACCATTGTCGGTGTCGAAAAGAAGATTCGAAGTCTGATATCCGATGATGTGTTCACGGAACATCCCATCAAGTTTGTGATCGTCGATTTATGGCATGTAACGGGCATCGACTATTCAGCAGCCGAAGGATTCAAGACCATCAACCGGCTCCTTTATGGAAAAGGAGTTCACCTTCTTATTAGCGGAAAAGACGCGGAAAGTAGACTTGGCCGGGATCTAAGGGCTGTTGGACTGGGAGCTGATGGGCCCGAAGTTATGTTTATGCCCGATCTCAATTCGGCCTTGGAAAGTTGTGAGAATGAGCAGCTGAAGATATTCTATGCTCGTCAGGAAGCTTTGAGAATCTCTCGACCAGCGCCGTCGAATAACCTGGATGTGCCCAACAAGGGTCAATTCAACCAGTCCTTAGACATCCTATCTCAGTCTCCAAGAAGGGATCACCTCGATCGAGCGGCAAGGAATGTCCTGAACCAACAGGAAATGAGACGATCAACGAGATGGCAGAACATTAGCGAACCCCTACGGCTTATGCTTCAGATATTTTATGACTTGAGCGATAAGAACGAGGATTTCTGGTTCCGCGCAAAACCATACTTCATCCGCAAGGAGTTTCCCGCCGGTACTGTCATATACCAGTGCGGTGAGACCGCCAAGGGCTTCTATCTCCTAGAAAGGGGAGAGCTCAGGGCTGATTACGAGACGCCTCAAGGCCGTCTATCTGAGCCAATTGTCCAAGGCACGACGTGTGGCGAGCTGCCGTTCTTCTCCGAGACAAATCGGACTGCGACGGTGGTTGCCGTCAAAGACTGCGTTGTTTGGGTCATGGACACAGAAAAGTGGGAGAAGCTACAGAATGAAGAGAAGGAGGTTGCGCAGGAACTATTGAGAATCTCACTCAAGCTCACTAGCGAGAGAATGGATGCTATGACGAAGTATATTTCCGCGGTCGGTAATTAGAAGGGTAATGGAGTAATTAGAATAGAGAAATGTGTTTATACGTAGAATTACATGAAGATTACCAACAAGCAAGGCCATCACTAGCACATGGACTGCTGTTCTTTCTAGGGGTTAACAGCGACTTTAGAATACTAGTGCTTTGGCTAGGTGTGACACCCCTTTTCCAATTCTAATCAATCTATCAACACGTATAGCTGAATATTATTATAACAATAGCGAATAATGAAATGAGACACAAAATAATCGCTCAACCAATCATTTATCACATCAGATGTTGCTATTTATCTTTGAGATTACATGCGTGCCTGAGTGAAGCTGTTCTAACAAAGTGGGCAATGGAATTCCTCGGCGTTTTAGTATCACATGAATCAAAGCATCGTATAATACAATGAACGTCACAGCAGTTGATTACCGTCACGTTTATAATGTAGAAGGTAATATATATCTCAGGTTTACTCGTGAAGTGATAGTTTCACAGTGCCCCTTCTAACCAAACAGTCATCTCAATAGCCGGACTTGGAACAAGGAATTGTAGATAACGTGCCAATGCCTTCTCATTATTGTACAAATGTACAAGACGTTCTACTTCGTGAATGTCTGCCCATACTTTTAGAGTCCGCCGTCTCAATACCAATCCATGATACGCCAGACTACCCAGAATCAAGAAGGTAATTGAACTATTCCGCCCCCTAGCCCAACTTATACTACCCGCTTGACCTCGAAGAATCTTCGTAGCCACCATACCTGGAACAGGGACTCGCCTACCACGACGCCAATAACAAACAGGTTCCACCACTTGACTCTGCTATTCGTGCTCTCGGCGGTGTTGCGGTGGGTGCGTTCTCGAACGACGATGTAGGATTGTTCGTCTCGGACCTGGTCAACCAGTTCGGAGAGTTGCTTGACTGGGGATTCGTTAGCGACTTATTCATTTTTGCTTCACCTTAAAACGATAGCGCAACACGTACTCTCTTTTTCCAACGGGTCCTGGGGAGCTTCGTCCTCGGATACGTAAACTATGCCATGAACGTTGAAAGAGACCTCCTTGCTGTTGGAACCCCAGTGCTCGTTGCCGAAGCAATAGAGGAATTTGCCATCATGCTTAGCGGTAAAAGAGTGATCACCGTTCGAAACGTCCTTTTGGAAGGTCTCGTATTGGCCCATCGGATTTGTGATCTGTAGTCGCAACGCACGTGAGTTACTAGATTCGCATTTCACTTTACAGAGCTATATTGCCATACCCAGAAGTCAATGTCGAGGTTCCCAGCTCCACCGAACTCCCTATCGCCAGTCTGGAACGTGACGGTCATGACATCGTCCTTGTGCAGCTCCTCGTGGAAGCATTCGCGACCGTGTGCGGGAAGCTGGATGTTGTGGCCCAGCACGGCTTGTAAGAAGCCGGCGGCCAACAATAGAGTCGTAGTCGAGAATAACATGATTCCTCGACGACGAGAAGCTCAATGCGTTTTGATTGAGTTTAATTCCGTAGGTGGTGCCGAGTATTGATTTTGTTACGCAAGACTTTCATCAAGTCTTCAAGCTTCTGAAGGCTTTCGAGTTGGACACTTTGGCGATTGCCAAGGGGTGTGAATCTGGTGGATCTAAGTGGTTAGCTCCGGATGGTTTAGCGCGTTATCCCTGAGTTACAAAAGTGATGACGAAGAGTACTTGGAAGGTACTTCCTCGTGTTGCAACAGGCTGGAAACTCGTGACCATCACCTTTTCGGACTACGCCGCCTATACAATGAAAAAAGCTCGGGCAGTCACAAGGGAAGTCTGGAAGTATATCGCTTGTACCTAGATACTTACAAACTCAGTTCATCGTCAGCACTTTTCCTTATTGAGTGGGCCACATACAGCACATCCTGGACATCCTAGGCAAGAAAATACTGCGTACAAGCAACCAAGCACCTGGCAGAACAAGGTCCAGGCTAGCGATTGGCACCTGCAGGCAAGTAATTACGTTCATCGTTTCCAATGGGCCTCCGCCTCCGTCTCTTGTCTCCGTTCTCCAGTCCCAGCGGTCTCCAGCCACATTGCATTTTTAGCATTTAGCATTTTTACCTAACCAAAAGACCTTTCTGAAAAACACATTTACTTACTCCCTCTTCACCGATCTCCAACCACAATCCACCGCATCACCCCTTTTTGATAACCCATCACCACGAGATCTCTCCTTCGCCGAGCAGGTCTCATTGTTGCAAAATAGTAAGTGAGACCACCTCAAAATACCCCGTGCATTTAAATCCCGACAAAGAGATCCTTTTTATTATAGCTTTGGCCTGCTACTGCTTTTTGTTGCGTGCCTTGCTATACATCCGTATACATATCTCTACACCTTACCTATCTCTATCTCTACCTAACCTAGTACGCATCGTAATACTTTTCGGTCCACCTGTTCATTTCTTGTCTCCTATTGCGGCAGCCTAGAATCATTACCAATTAGCATCGATTCATCCCGAGTCATTGCGCTGTTTTGAAATCCAATCGATCTGTCCTCACGGGCAACTACTAAAAGCCCCATAAATCCCGACTGGCTGAACAATTGTCGCCAGAAACAATCACATCATCCTTCCTCAAAGCCATCATAACTGACTTTTCCCCCTTCTCGGTTCAGATATCGCGACATCGCCTTTAGCTCACCAACCGTAATAGATACTTAGACGCATCTCTTTTCCACGTCGCAATCATGGGTCTCACGTTCTCTAAGTTGTTCGACAAGCTCTGGGGGAAGAAGGAGATGAGAATTCTCATGGTCGGTCTAGACGCTGCCGGAAAGACCACTATTCTCTACAAGCTCAAGCTCGGTGAAATCGTCACAACCATCCCTACTATCGGTATGCCTTGACTCAACCACCCCGGTCCCCAATGTTTTGATTATTGACACGCGTCGCGCTTGCCAGGATTCAACGTCGAGACGGTCGAGTACAAGAACATCCAATTCACCGTATGGGATGTTGGTGGGCAAGACAAGATTCGTCCATTGTGGCGACATTACTTCCAGAACACCCAAGGTATCATCTTCGTTGTTGACAGCAACGATCGTGACCGTATCGTCGAGGCTCGGGAGGAGTTGCAGCGCATGCTGAACGAGGACGAACTCCGTGATGCCATTCTCCTAGTCTTTGCCAACAAGCAGGATTTGCCTGTACGTATCCTATTATATGACGAACTATGCCTGGAATTTTGCTGACATTCACCATAGAACGCCATGAACGCTGCTGAGATCACCGACAAACTTGGTCTTCACAGCTTGAGACAGCGCGCTTGGGTACGTATTTGTTCTATCTTTACTATCGCCTTATAATCTTGCTAACTTGGGATGTAGTATATCCAATCTACTTGCGCTACTTCCGGAGATGGTCTGTATGAGGGTCTTGAGTGGCTCGCCACCACTCTGCGAAAGGCGGGACACCAGTAAACTGGAGGAGGCGCAGTGTCATTTTCCCCCTTCCGACTCTCACCCATGTTTCCTCTCCCTCGATCTTATGGGGTCGGTTGTAACTCGCAAAGTCATCTTCCCGGAACAATCGATAGTCCATAAATCACGCTCATCTCGGTACCTTCTCTCGCTTTCTTCGGTTGCGGTGGTTCCTGCAAAGTGAAGAACGCAAGTTTGATTTTGGAAGCATAAGGAGGGAAGTGGAGCGGCGTACGGGATGGAATCTGTACGAATTGATATTACGAACGTAAAAGAGAACTCGATGCGTATGGTAACGCTACCAAAGGGCCAGCGAAGCCCTCGCACCTAGTCTGTCTTTGTTTTCGTTCAAGGCATTTTCCGTCTACTTGTCCCCCTTAATAAGAATGATGATCAACACTGCGTCCAAGAATAATGACGGTTTCCTACGGAGAGCCCGGCTGGAGTATGTCCTCAGTATATCGTCCCCTTTTTTCCATTTTGTGCTGGCATTACGAGATAGAACGAGATTGGAAGGTTTCGTAGTATACAGTAGTTGCGGCAATATGAGACTTGATTTAGTTAATTTTTGGATATTAGACATTATACGTAATAGTCTAGGTATTTATTTACAGACATGACGGCACGTGCCATACTATAGGTCCTACTTATCACGGCTTGCTGAATGGAGTTTCGCTGGAAATACTCGGGGCGGACTATCATAACGGTCGCAAGTGCGACCCCTTAAAAGCACGGTGGCGGTGAGTAAAAATACAGACCGTCATATCAATTATAGACGTATCTATAATGGTAGCCTGATTGTTATTTTATTATCTCTACTTAACTATCAACATCTAATCCTATTTAGGTGTTCACCTCAAACTCTTATATGTAATGCCGATGATACTTTCGATTTGGACGTACTTGACCAAGTTTTTGAAAAGTGTTGAGGTTACAATAAGAGAAAAAGTTGCGAGGCTCTATAGTCGTCGTTCTTTTCGATGTTTGGCGTTAGAAACAACCGCTCAGACACTGTAGCGGTCACAACCCTGGGTGCCTTCCAAAATTAACCTACCGACCCCTGATGGTATCTTATCAGCCGCGACCGTATTTTTAAACAAGCTCGGAGGTAAGAGCAATTATAATCGCCCCACCACAAGCCGCGATCGGCCGCGATAAGCCAAATATCGACCGATTGCTTCCAATTTATTTCATTACCGAGCTCCCCTCTCCGACGACACTCGACTCCCCTCCAGTCCGGATGTTCAATATCTTTCAATCGACCCTTGATTGACCCAATTGACAAAGATGAAGACATCACGAGTTATCGCTCGAGCCGGGAAGGGCGTCCCGGCTCTCCGTGCTCCGAGAGAGCAGCAGGCCCGTCTCCTCTCCAGCGCTACCCTTTCCTCCGCATCGACCTCGCGAACGCTACGTCGACAATCCAAGCTCTCTTCCCACCCAATCCCAACCTCCACCAGTGCCGTTCTCCCCCTCCAAGCCCATCGAAGCTACGCCGACGCCCCTAAGACCGACGAGCCCTTGCGGAAGACCCAGCTCTACGACCTGCACATCGAGCACGGCGCCAAGATGGTGCCCTTCGGCGGGTACCAGATGCCGGTGATATACTCGGACCAGAGCGTGAGCGAGTCGCACCTGTGGACGCGGAAGAGCTGCTCGCTCTTCGACGTCGGGCACATGGTGCAGCACCGGTTCCGGGGCGCCGGCGCGACGGCCTTCCTGCAGCGCGTCACGCCTGCCGGCGTCGAGGGCCTGAGCCCGCAGAGCAGCACGTTGAGCGCGCTCCTGCACCCGGGCACCGGCGGCATCGTCGACGACACCATCATCACGAAGCTGGCCGACGGCTCTTCGTACTATGTGGTGACGAACGCCGGGTGCCGCGACAAGGACCTCGCGTACCTGGAGCGCGAGCTGGAGAAGTGGCGCGACGAGGGCAACCCGCCCGTCGAGCATGAGGTGCTAGAGGACCAGGGCCTCGTCGCCTTGCAGGGCCCCACCGCGCACCTGGCGCTCGCGGACCTGCTCGAGGACGCCGCCGCGGTGGATCTTCCGAGCCTGCTTTTTGGTACGGTGCGCTCTGTGTCGCTGAAAATTCCGTCCGACACGAACTCGGGATCGGAGAAGTACCACGTCGTCAAGGACGTGCTCGTCAGCCGCGGCGGGTACACGGGCGAGGACGGGTTCGAGATCAGCATACCGCCGGAGCACACGGCGGCCGTGGTGGCGCACATGCTAAGGCAGGACAGCGTCAAGCTGGCGGGCCTCGGCGCGCGCGACAGCTTGAGGTTGGAGGCCGGCATGTGTCTGTACGGGCACGACATCGACGACTCGACGACTCCCGTCGAGGCGGCGCTCGGCTGGATCGTGGGCAAGGAGCGGCGCGCGGAGACGGATTTGGGTAAAGGCGCGTTCTACGGCGCAGACGTGATCCTCGCGCAGCTTACGCCCAAGAGCAAGGGCGGGAAGGGCGTCGAGCGGCGCCGCGTCGGGCTTGTTGTGGATGGGGCGCCGGCGAGGGAGGGCGCGGTTATACTGGAGGGCCCCGGAGGCGACGAGGTAGGGAAGGTGACGAGCGGGTGTCCGAGCCCGAGTTTGGGAAAGAATATCGCGATGGGGTATGTGAGGGACGGTTTGCATAAGGCGGGTACGGAGCTTAGGGTTGTGGTTCGTGGGAAGGAGAGGGGCGCGGTGGTTACGAGGATGCCGTTTGTGCCGACTAAGTATTGGAAGGGCGGTGTTTGAGGAGTTGGAGTTTGAGCTGGGGAACTAACTGAAGGGGCGGTGTGGATATTATGGTAGGTAAGTATGTCTTGCTGGGATGGTGGATTATATGAGGTATATGTTGTGTGCATGGCATGGGATTAGCCTAGAGAATTAGAGTATGTGGACAGGGGGTGGGTGGACTAAGCATTTATGTGTTACCGGGTACGCTGGACGAGATATATATGACATGTATGGATAACGAGCTACATACATTACTTCAACACCAACGCAAACGGGGGCGTCGGGTTGGCGGATACCCACATAGGTAGATGATACCCTCAACGAAAAATCTACGTTTCATGAATTTTATTTTGCTACTGGCTTGTGTTATGGAATGTGGGTGATATAGGGAATATGGCCTTTTAACGTAATTTGGGTGACTGCTAACTAACCTTCTCTGTGGAATAAGGAGATGGTTAGTTGGATTATTGACTTAGATATACAGGAAACCTATTCGGCAGTCTTGGAGGTGTACTGGTCGCTCAAAGTTCTGTTTATCCCTATGGCGAATCGTGCTATGTTGAGTCGCCAACAAGCACATAGGTGAGTATCTAGGTTGACATAGACGTTATCTTCAGATCTAGGAAGTGTTTCGATGTATAGAGGCTGTTCATTTCGTAGCTTCGTTTCAGGGGGGCTCGAGGTTATGAGCTTTGACCTTTAGTATTCTCACAAAACTCTTCGAAAACCCTTTCCACGTAATAGAAGATCTATAATTTCCTAATCCAAATCAACTCTTACGATATATCTTGTCCTAATGTAGAAGGGTTATTGGTGAGATGAACCATTGGTCATGACCAGAGCATCCAGTGAATAGCGGAAAGCAAAACCTCCCTCGTCAACTTATAGGCACAAAGCATTTCTAGTTTCTTGCAATCGCGAACCCGAAACTGAAACGCCTACTCTTATAGTTTCTACTCTAATAGTTCGATCTATAGTTTATAGCTATAAGAGTTCGTGTGAAAGGTATGGGAACATGGACGAAGATGGAAACTGGAACTATCTCGTACACCAGCCAGGAAAAGGGGAATTGCCGATGTGGCCATAGCCCCTCGGTGTAAGATACAAGCAGGCTATTATAAACTTGATTGCTATCGTTATCTTGTTGTCTTGCGCGAGTTCCTCTGCTCCCTTTTAATACGTGCCCTTCTAGAGATATAAATATTCTTTGGATGGACAAGCCCCGCGCAGAACACGCCAGATATGGTTTCAATAATGTATGTATGCTTAAGTACGCACATAAAGTGCGGTAGACTTGAACGCCGGAGCGTACATAGGTATATGTGTAATATCCTTCTTCGATTTGCCCATCAAAAGCCAAGGTAAATATATAAGCTTGTCATCGAATATATTAACTATTCCAGCACGTTCGTTCAAGATATGTCATAAAGTTAACCGGTACAAGACACTCCCGCCCCTGTTCGGCCAATGTAGCAAGTCTGTTCGTTGCGTTCGAGCCCGCTCCGCCGTACCAGATCGGATGAGTTGAGAAGTATCCGACATAGGTGAAAGCTCACCACGGAGGATAAGCGATGAATTCCCTGATATATACTTATAATCCGACTATATCCATCCCCTTTCGCCAATCCCAATCAAATGTCTGTCCTGTCTTCCAGAGGCTAGGCTCATCAACTGACCCTTCCCCGTAATGTTATAATGTATGTGACCTCCCCGAGGCGACCTAGTAGGATACGAAAATCGTCAGAGGGGAATAATAAATAAAAAATGAACGAGGAAGAGGAAGCAATGAACCAATGCCGTCGCTTGTTGCCCATTTAAATGCTCGAATATCCTAAACGCCTTCCTTTCAATCCCTTCTCATTCTCATACCTATATACGCCGCATCAGAAGTTCCAGTTCTCTGACATAGCGGCCCGTCTTCGTTTCTGCGTAAGAGTCTCCTGCGACCTTGGTGTTGCCACGGCCTGCTCTGGACTCTGCATCCAATCATACCCAGGAGTCCACCACCATGGTACGTCCTCCAAGTGACCCCTATCTGCATAACTAAAGGTATCTTCTGCTCCAGCATCGCAACGTTCTAAATGCATCACGCCTCCTCGAGAGAGATCACATGATAGAGCGATGAGATCGTGACCTCCGTTGGCAAAAGCGACGCCGCCAAGCTCACCAAATATGTCGAAAGTCTGCCTAGTACTAAATGTCTGAGCATCAACTAAAGTGACGAAATCAGCTTCTTCGGCAGCGACCAGGATCCTCTTCCCTGATCCGAGGGGAGAGAAACGTAAACTACGCGCACCGGCCATCTCGGACCTGACCACGGCAATAGATTGGGCCTCGCCGTTGCTGTTTTTCCATTTGCGAGCATCCCATATCCTAATAGTTTTATCCTGATTTCCGGTGGCAACCGTCCAGCCATCTGGCGCCCAATCGCAAGCGAAGCCGAAGTCCTTATGGCCCTCGAGATTCTGGAGGATCTCACCGGACTCTGCATCAGTTATGAGCACATTCTCATGATCCCCAACTATAACGCGAAGTCTCATATCGGGGCTCAGTGCAGAACAGTTCATAGCAAAATCATACATTATCTCTGATGTGATCTTATTCATAGATAGATCTACCATCCGGAAACCGAAGTCGTTAGAAGCGAAAGCTGCTAAGGGCGTTGACGAATGCCGGGACGAGTGAAGTTGCACGTGATTGGTGATACCACTGTTATGGTTTGTCAGTTGACCTTCGTGAGAGTCAACGCCCAATTTGGAGTTCAGGTTACGGTATTGGTAGGTTCCGTAGAAGCCACCAGCGATCAAGATATCTTCATTGGCGGTCAAGGTGGATACACAAGCCCCGGTCTGGTTCTCGAAGCGCATCGCTGTTTTGTCCTTCCCTGTTGTAGGGTCATGTTCCTTGACCGTGGTGAAACTAGGATAGAATATCCTGGTGCGTGATGCGACGCCCAAGATGTTGCGAAGCTGAAAGTGTAGCAAACGCACATCACGCCTAATATCCATACTCTTATATCGGAAGTAGTTCTCGACGGGCGGCAGAAGCCTGTCAGACGACCCTTTGTGCCACACATCGGATGCTGATCTATTAACATAATTATGGAACGTTGCCATACGACGGCGCCGCGCGATATTCCTCGTCACACCAAGCTTTCTCCAACTAATCCCTTGAAAATCGTAATCGTCACCTCTTAACTCCTTATATTCGACTCGGGGTGGACATTCGCGCGCCAGGCGTCGAATTTCTCGGAACAACGGGACAGGACTGTTTGCGCGAAGCGTGATGTCTGCTTGATTTGACCATTCCCAGAGCTCAAGGAATTGCATCACGTGGGGATTCTCAGGCCCGAGCGACATGGGATTAGCATTGCTCAGTGCCATGGGATGTAGACCGGCGTTTGCAGGATCGACGTCATCTTCGAGGTCTTGAACTTCGGGCAACGGCGGGATCGCTGCTATGGGTGGAGGAGGCGCTATCACGTCGCTAGCATCTATGGGTGGTGAATGCGGAATCGAGGAGTGCGGGATATCATGGTGTAGAAGGACGGAACTCGCAATTGTCGACACGACTTGCTCTTCGTCACTAAGGTCCTCCATATCGACATTATTATTCAGGGGCACGCCGCCTTCTTCGAGGTCAACATCCAACATGTCGTGCATATTATCGGCGCTACTACCACCGTCGTCATCCCCGGATTGAACTCCGTAAGCGCCGTTGGGGTCGGCATGCGCGACGAATGTTGGAGCGAATATCGGCGAGGGCTGGTCATTCATAGGGCTGTCGATGGTAGATGGTTCGAGTCCAACAGTTTGCGGCTGAGGGAACTCGAACTCGAGTGAGGCATCTTGGTCGATCTGGGGCCTGTCTGGGGTGAGGAATGGAGAGGAGGGTGGGGAATTAGGAGGGCGCATCGTTTTTTTTTGGAGTTGTTTAAGTCATTTGTTAAAATCCAAGCCTAACCTCCTTGGGTAGGTATCTTAGATGGGTTAGATGGGCTAGATGTGCGTGTGGCTGGCGGATCTTCAACCGGGCGCTAAGGTGATTCAAAGCCGCGATACCCAGCTTGCGTCGTTATATTGCGATGTTGTTAGTCTGTTAGTGAGCCTAGGTAGTAAAATGGTAGGTGGAGAGAATGGAAGAGGAGTCTTTGTGTCGTATTGAGATTTATGTAAAGAGTTGCTCAAAGAGTTAAAGTTCATAAAATTAGTTCGTGTCAAAGGAAGGGAGAAGTCCCGCATTAGTACCTACGTATGTACAGTATTCCTTTCCAGGCATCGATCGGTATAAGATAAGAAATGGGTCGGGTGTGCTTTCCAGGTGGTGATGATGCCAGTGTGCCAGGTGACGGGGGGAAGGAGGCAACTGATAGAGAGAAAGATAGGTAGATGCTCCTTTCCGCGGTTGCGCGGGTGGGGAATAAACTATCTGGCTAAGCAGTGAGGAGGACGAATATGACGACCATGTCACACTAAGTTCTGTATTCTGTCACTTACATGCAGGTGTAGCTATACACGACAATCCTACCGTCTATTCATACACATCAAAAGTATATGCCGTAGTATCTATCCTTACCCACCGATTCTAGTTACATCCACGGATGTCAAGTTAGGCAGTGGCAGTGGGGGTTTTCGAGATTCGATTAGGTAGAGCAAGAGCCATTTTTGTACGAAGTACTTCACCAGCCTGCCAGCTAACCTAACATTTGGATCCCCGGGCATCACATGTCCAAGTTGAACTTTCTGCATATGCCCAACAAGGTAACGATTGATGTCTAAAATGGATGTGGGCGTTGAAATGTTCAGATTATCAACGCCAACCGTCTTTTATGCTTATGGCATAAAGCGACAATGAGGACATTCTGTTATTTCATAATGATGACGGGATATCTGACATTCGATATCTCTCCCTCGATTAGAAGTTCTCAAGTTCTCACCAATGCCGGGCGTCTTAGTCGCGCCTTTTTTCTATTCCCAATTCATCTCAAATTTCGAAATATCATATATCACTTTTAATCCCAGCATCCGTTCTACGAACCATTTGCCGAGGCCGTATACTAAGGAAGAAAGCTATTGTTTCGGTAAACTCTCACCTGTCGAAACCGGTGAGGCAGTGGCTTCTTATGACAAGTCAAGATTCGATGTTATAAAAATCAGATGTCTTGCCAAGTGAGACAAAGAAATAGGACTCGAGTCCTCGAGACAGGGACAATGCATGGTGTGTAGATGGTCCCGCCCTAGCATCCCCTTAATAAGTTTTTAACTGCTTCGGGACTCGCGGCATTCACCGCTGGCTGCGCTGCGCTGTTCTGGGCGATGGGCGCATTAGGGAAGTTCTCATATTAACACATAACTGGAACCGAACGTTGGAAACAAGGCGGTAGGCCCGAACATAAACGGCCAAAGGGACGACTCCAACTGACAGATGTCGCTACCAAGAATACGGCCCCCCCGGAGGCAACAGGAGAAAGCAGCCCTGAAATGAGGGACTTGCAGACCCCGCACTAACACTTATCCCATGGGATCTCTGGTTTCGAACCGGTCCGCATCCAGAGATGCAAGTCGACGGGCAGAGACCGCTGATCCGTGAAGATCACGCAGCCCTTCAGAATAATCGCGAGGCACCACGCCGCAGGCATCTTCCCGGCCACTACTACCCCTTGGACCGTCGTACAGCATGATCGGTTTCGCGCCTCTGGAATAAAAATTTTGATAGCACAGAAAGCCGGATTTATTTGACCAGTTTCTTTTCCCCATGAGTCACTCCTGTCTTGTCACACTTGAGGCAGAGACGGGTAGCTGCAGCGTCGTATTAGACTATTTCTGATCTCACAGTTGATCCCACGATTGTTTCCCCTTTTGGCCGCGCGCATCTTTAGGCGTTCCTTAGGCCTGACGCTTGTCTACGTATATGTCCCTGGACAAATAAATATCGTCAGGGAGTAAATAATACTAAGCTGACAGCTTTTCTCAACTAAAGGCTGCTTAAACCAATCATCAATCCAACCATCCCGGATACAGATCCGTATAGTGCTTGGTGAGATCAGCGTACATCTTTGTTTTCTGTCCTAAGGGCCATTCACCATTCCCAGCCTGGAGGAACGGCATCAAATGACGTACGCGCACTCTTTACGCAAGTTTCGACTCGTCTGACAAATCAATTCATTCGTGCTCGGAGCAAGGATGCGGAACGCAGTCCAATATGGCTTTAGAATTACCATAAGCAAATCTTCGACCTCAATGTCTCAACATCCCCATAGCAACTTCGTGACTGGAAAGGGAGGTTCCTTGGAAAACTACCAATCATAATCCGTGGCTTCTGACTAGAACACAATACCCCTTTATGGATAACTTTACAGCTCAAAGCTCATGGTAGGTGACCACGGGACCGAATATGGTATTGTGCAACCAACATTCACGAACACTCTGAAATCTACTATATAACTCAACGAACGAACTATTCCTTTAGACCTCCTATGCTTTAGAACTTTCCATATAGTGATACAAGTGTACAAGATCTCGTCACACTCTACCGAACTTGGTAGCGGTAAAGATTCCGTCGCTGCCCAACCGTAGCACAAGTCCAGTTTCCCGATCCTAGGAATGTCTCGCCTCCCTCACATGAGGCGCCGACATAGTGCCATACAGAACACGCCGTAGGATATCTAGTATGTAGCAGAGGTTACACACCGGTGCAATTCGGGAAATGAAAGCAGGAATAGGCGAATGCTGATTATTATAGCTATATCTATTAAAATCTAGTGGGGGATAATACGTATATTTCGTCCAATTAAGTCTGCGGCATCATGAACCTGGCGAGCTAAATATGTACAATGTAAATCGCTAAACGATGCCGAATGCCCTGGTTCTTTATACGTTTAATTCACCCCATCCATGCTCTTGAATCCCATAATAAAGGATTCGAAAAACTCGGAAACGACAATGACGACCGCCGTTCTCTTACCCTTCCCATAATAGAACCGACTCCTATATATATATATATATGGTAAATAAGTATGTCCCCTAATACCTACTCAACTCAATCTGCCGACTCATGCATCGGAATAATATTGGTCGTCGTAAGAGTGGTGGTAAGGAGCGGAATTCGGACCAGAGCCCCAATTGCCGCCTACGACATTATCCCTGGATCCCCAGTAGTTATCCCTTATTCGTCTTTCTCGTTCGAACTCCGCCCACCGTTTCATAGTAATCTTGCTACTATCGAACTCGCCTTCATATTCAATACCAGCCTTCTTCGTCTTCTCACCCGCAGTCTTCCGAGTATCACCCCACGAAAAGTCATCGAATTTCCAGAACGCGTAGCTGGGGAGGATGAAGTTCCATACTGGGAGTGACACAAGGTAGATCAACATCCATACTACGTATGACCATGAATGAGCCGTGATGACGATGAGGACAGCTGGCAAACCAAGAATCAAAGCAAGCAGCACTAGCGGGATCGTCTGTACGGGTCCTATGATAGAGGAAATGACTGTAATCATGTTAACAATAGCAATTAAAGTTTCTGGAGCCTTGGGTTAACTTACCAACATAGAAAGTGAACGCGATAGCTGCGGGTAGTACCAAAGTACCAACCAGCTCGATGAAAACAACGAATTGCATACTGAAGCAGAAGGTACCGCAAAGATCCTTAACGAGAACTAGCTCCATCAAGTTGTGGATAGTGGAGTTAATCCATCTTCGCCTCTGCGAGAGTAGGACGCTGAACTCATCGGGAACCGTTGTTTTGCAAACTGCCTGAGGAACGAAGACCTGCTTACGCTTAGGGAAAGTTCGGAGCATGAGAGTAGTCAAGTACCGATCTTCTCCAAGGAGCAAAAGATTCTTCTTATGCAGAGTGTCGACGACGTTTTCGGAATAGTGCTCGACGACATCAGGATTCGCTAGGATAGGGACCCAATAGTTTTGCGCACCCTTGGGCGCTTTGATGCGGTACATGCAGAAACAACCTGGCAGGCAAGTAACACCTCCAAAGACGGACTCAAAAGACTTGGCCAAGTGATGGGAGATGAAGTATTCAAACACTTGGATGGCCGATACCCAACTATCTCTCTTGTTTGCGATCTTCGTCTCACCGCAAAGCCCCATGATATCAGGGTCGCGAACCATCGCGCAAAGCATATGGGTTAAACTGTCGGGGAACACTTTCGTGTCGGCGTCGACCATGAGCACTGCTTCGTAGTAATCTGGCGATATGCCAGTCACCTTCCAGAGACCGTTGAACATTTCGAATTCCAATTCTGTCATGCGCTCGTCGAACATAACCTTCTGCAGGAACGACATCAATATGATTTGACTGTCACGTTTGCCTCGGTTTCCAGGCTTAGCTTTGGTAGATTCGTCGGGTGTACCGCATTTTACCACCAGCATCATCGGAACCCTTTGCTGCTTTTCCACCGGAATGACAGACTTAGCACCATAGTCGTAGAAACCAGCATATACCTTGGCCATATTGTGTCGCTTCGAACCACTGGCCACGGCCACGTATGAGAAGCCTTGAACCTCCTCAGGGGGTACAGTATGATCCTTCATCATGCCAAGAACAAATTCGGGTGTAGTCATTGCCTCGCCCTTGCCCTTGATCATACCGTCGCAAATAACGAGGATCACCTTGTGGCTGTTTGGATAATCAGTCATAGCAATAGAATCTAACGTGGTCCGGATACCCATCTCTCCCTCGGAGTAGGCTGTTACAAGGCAGATAGAGTGGATCAACGGGAATCCGAAGGGTTGGTAGTCAGACGGTGGTTGAGGTACGACAGCCTCGTGGATAAATCCAGCAGGACCATAACCATCTATCGGGCTAACCGTGTTTCCGTAGGGATCGGAGCGAAGCATGCTCGATCTGCTATCGTTGCCTTGCTTGTACATCGAGTTGGGGTGAAGCAGTGGACCAGTTGAAGCCTGGCTCGCCATGGTCGTCGGTTGCGGTCTTCTGGGAGCCCTGTCGGCACCATAGACCGCAGAAAAGCGAGATGTTGTAGGTAAGAAAGTGCTGGCGCGCTTGCTAGTCCTATCAGAGCCCATGTAACTGCTCCCAATATCACCGGGCATCCGCGGAGGAGCTCGGTAGATATCTTCAGTCCAGTCCTCGATCTGCCGGTTTCGTTTCTTCTTGTCTGACGTCTGCGAGGTCTTCATGGCAGCGTATTTTCGACTGATGAACCATTGGAACATTATTGCCAGTCCGAATCTCGCTACGACAATGGAAAGAATCAGGATTAGAGATATGTAGAGAACCACTTGCGCCGCGATACATCCAACCGTATCTGTGTCTATGGATCCGACTTTTATGATTTCTTCGAAACATTGGGCCACCTGTTTATCCGCGGGTTTCTGGAACGACCGAGTAATATCGCGACCACGAATCGCCTGGTTGGCGCTTGTGGTTGTGTCCCTCAACTCCTTAAACCGGTCCGGAATATTGACTTCGTCTTCGTTGAACCAATTGAGTAGATTGAGGTCGAGAACATTACCAGAATACACAACCAAGTTGCGCGAACTATTCTTGATATCATCCCAGGTGTAAAAGACATCGCCAGTGCCATGAAGTTGAAGATAAAACGTGTCTCTGGCTTTCTGAGTAGTATGACACGCGTAACCAACCGAATCATAAGGCCAGGTGAAGTTCGGCTTAGATGAACCGTCCTGATTGAACGTCGTACACGGAAAATACCAGGCAAGCTCCTCGGAGTCGGTAGAACCATGGGGGACATCTGAGCCGTCCGCAAGTGTTATAAGACCTTTACATTTGCCATTGACGTTCTGGAAAAGAAAGCTGCCATCCGTACCACCATATTTAGTAGGAAGATCGTATAGAATATTGGCATACGTTCCGTCCGAGCGGAGTGGGATACCTTCAGCTGGGGGGTGGCCGGATTTCGTTAGATCGTAGGCAACGCCGTGGAATATCATATAGCCAGTACCGACATCATTGACATGCAGACGGACACCGGGTGAGGCGCAAACGGTTTGGTTGAAACCGAAAGTCAGGAAACCGACAAAAGACATGATGTACAAGATGATGCTAATAAGACCCATCTTTTCTCTCCAAGCTCTCCTTTGCGCCTTCGAAGTAAAACCGAAGCAGCTCAGGATAAAGTCGGGACACCAGAACGTAACGACGGCACAGTACACGTTCCAAATATTCGGTGGCGCGATCGTCTCCTGAGGTTTCCGCCGTTTAGCATCCCTAGAAGATTTGGATATCTTGTGACCACTCGAATGCCGCCTTCTCTTTTTGGACCCTTTAGTTTTAGGTTTCTCGCTGTCCCCACTATGCTTCCTTCGAGGGGGTGAGCTGTCCGATGTAGCAGCATCGAGAGTTCGGTCCGCAGATAAATCTGTCCTCCCTTCCAAATCTTCGAAGAGAGGGTCGTTGCCGGTGGAAGACGGAAGCGTGTCCATGTTAGCAGCATGCTGTCGGTAATGATAATTCGGGTGGTCCTTGTCGATTCGGTTTCTTTCGGGTCTTATAAGACTCCTCTTACGCGACGGCACACCGGCAGGGACTTCATCCGGAGGCGCGGAGGGAGAAAGGGGTGATCTATCTGTGGTACCATTAGGATTGCGAATTGTCTCGGCAAACGAAGTTCCTGATGGCGCACGCTGATGTGAGGACATCCTCCGTCCAGGCACGGGGTAATATCCGGTTTCGATGTCGGCAGGACGAGCACGCCTCGAGGACGACTGGCGATATGAACTCCGATGCTCATACGCGGGACTCGCCGCCCCTGGCCGCTCAGGGAGCGACATGGTTGGAGGTAAGTATTTGGATTACAAAGAATATTGGCGCAGATATAAATCGGTTAGATATGGCGAATGTTGGTAAGTTTTAAACAGTGACCGATCGGACACAGTTGTTGAAAAAGTACGGATAAGTGGACGTGTTGAAGGCTAGGCCTTCGCCTTGACACGGGACGCAGGTTGGTCCAGTGATAGCGAAGGATGGGGCGGTTGCGGGATGACTAATGATTGAACATGTTAAAAAGAGAAGTTTGCAGGAATATTGTGATAAATGAAGCGGAGACGATGAGATGAAATCGCGAAGGTTGTTTTCCTCCTAACTCACTTGGTTTGTTATGATGAGCAACCGGACGAATTTGAGTCGTCCAAGGTTTTCGCTACTACCAAGAAAGGAGGTGGATCCTTGCTTTTTAAATCTCGACTAACCCAGGTACCTAAAGTAGGTACTAGTGACGATCTGAAAGCTTAAAGCCAATTGTGCCAATTGTGCCAATTAAAGTAAAAGAGGAGAAAAGTATAATGAGCACCTGCGATGCGCCTTCTTTACAATATCCTCTTTGGCTTCCGGCGAATCGAGAACTCAGCAAACCATCAACCGGACAACAAGGCAATAAACACCACTGTGAGAAATGTCGTCGAGGGCGCCGTAAGCATTCGAGGTATTACTTGACTCGCTAGCGGGTCTGGACAGACAGGATGGGTAACACCGAGCGCCACTATTAATAGGGCTAAGCCAATCGAGTTCCTTACTCGGAGAAGATGGCCGACCGCATCAATTGAAAAGGGAGAATTATTATCGTTGATAAGGCCTTGAGCGAATGTATTATAACAGGTAGTCAAAGCGAACGAAGTGCAAACGAGAGTAGGCTTAGAACACGGCTTCTAGCGAAGGTAAGACCCTCCAAACCGACGCGGAGGTTCAAAAGATGAATGGAGTCGATCGAGCGGAGTGGGCGGGTAAGAAAAGATGGTGAGGAAGGAATAAAACCCGGCCTTGTTAGCCACGGCAAGGAATCGAGAAATCGGGAAAGGGGCTGACTGCGCTGCAGACTACTAGGTAGGTACAGTGTGGTCTCTACAGTACATTCCATGAGTTACTGTAGTAACCTTACGTCATCTCCACACATTACCTTGAGTAGCGTACCTCGTTCACCCATTCTCTATGTGGGATGTACGCCAATGCGAGGTACCCAAGGTGGTTGGCCGCCTCGTGTTTACCTGGACCAGCCGACCTATGGTTACAAAGACTTAAAGATAACCCCGGACCCCAAGCCTTTAAATGGAATCGAATACGAACATGGATAAAATATCGACCTTGACAATTACAGCTACTCCCGCGCCTAAGCAGGAAAAAAATATGTTCGAAAACTTGATGATAGTTTCCTTGGCATGATGAAGCAACAACATACACATCTTATAGACATATATAATGCATTATTATAGCTAAAAAGACCGCTCTAGTGAATACTATCAAAGTTATTGGTTAGACTTCACAGATGGGTTTCGAATCACAAAATGCTTTATCAAGCTTCGGGTAGTCGGGGTTAGCATAAACTTACCACCCGACCGGGTTGAGTACTACGTAGTAGCAGTAGGTAATTGTTGGCCCGCTTTCAGAGCTTCCAAGGCAGTGGCCCGCCAAATCTTTAATGCAAGTTCAATAAAGTGCACAGTCGCAACCACATGTACGGGTGTACCTCTTCCGTACTCGAAAGTACAAGAAGGATATTATGTTCGCATGGAAATGTCAAGTCGTGGCTACCTATTCAAGACACCCCGCGTTTGAGCAAATCTTTAGATATCAATAAACGTGAGACATGAAGATCTAGATCGATATGTCGACATCCATTTGGATCAAACCTGTTGATAACCCCTCCAAATCTGCCTTGCGCCGCCGCTTGGACTAAAGTAATAAGAGCCTCAAACATGAAAGGGAAGATGGAAATTACCTTACATGTACGTAGAAATCTGTACACAGTAACAAGCCAAAGAACACGTGATGAATTATGCCGGCCGTACCGTTATGTACTCGAGTGGGCTCATGCAATATCCATGATATGCCACACGTGGACTCCCTCAAATGCTAGTGTCCAAGAAGGTCGTTTCGTGAAACGAGGAACCAAAGGAACGGGAAGATCCTGTTGGTTGCCGAAGAGCCCGACTATAGTGGGAGGTTGGCAGTTTTCTCCTTGCGCAAAGCTTGGGCAAGTATTTTCCTAGTAGCTGAAAAAAAGGAAATGAACCAAAAGGGTTGAAAAGCGCCTTGGGCTCGGTGCCAAGGCTCGAAATATAATGACACCATACGATTTGAGGTTGGCGAAAGAGACGGTTGTTGTTCTGGTTCCGGGCTGAGGCAACTATCGACTGCGGCTAACAGGTCGCGTACAAACGGCGAGGCATCAAAGCCCAAAGCTGAAAATAAAAAATTTGCTGGATATACCTACCTAACCGAAGAAAATAATGAGAATTGCTGAGAAAGCGTTGCGATTAGACCGCCTAGTGAGTGTCTTGGTGACAGTTGCGTGTAATCATAGCCTTAGCCGTGCACCGTGCTGTCCGAGATTGGAAACACGAAGGAGCTTTTTAAGCTTCTTAGCCGATCTCGTACATCGTACTACGTTGGGAAGGTCCCCAGGACAAGAAACGGTAACGCCTATTACAGAATCCCCATATGTATGTGATGTGCGTACACGGTGGATTAATATGTAGGTAGCCCTACATACATATAACGGAATAGGAAGTAAAGAATGAAACCAATAAAACCGATGAATGGTGCAGAGTTGACACGCTTAAGTAAGTTACTCACTTGCATCAATTGGATATATGGGCATATCTCGCGGGACTAGACGCTTTCGCTCTTCCGAGTTCGTATTCCTGTTACGTGTTGGTGTTGTCAGCTCTAGTCTTTACGAGAGGGATTTTTCATTTTTGTGGTGCTGGTTCTGACTCCGTCGAGTTGAAGATCTCTGTATTCGTCATCGTCTATCATAAGCGATTGAGTAGAGGGTCCATGCCGACAAGACCGGACTGCTTCATACGGGAAGCTTAGTTGTACAATTCAGACGTCTGACATCTAACCGTGCTATGGTGCATGCTATAGTGCATCCATGGATAGTAGTGGAGAGAGAGAATGGCCCGCAGTTCTCTCTGATCAGGCTACTGGAGACTCGCTGTATTCGCAGCTGAGGTTGACAGGAACAAGCCACCTGGGCTCGCTCCAACTATAATTGGCCGGTGGTAGCGACATCATTGGCGCAATTGATATGGTTACATCGCCTGTCAGTGATACATTCGGTACTTCGTAAATATAAATAGACCGACTCGATACATGCTTAAAGGGAAATGCGTCATTCTTTATATTCGAAAGTGCAGATGCTTATACTCTTTTCATTCTTGAAAAAGGCTGATTATATTTTGCTTAGAGACTTTATGATAGCATCGAAGTTTCCGTAGGAAAATACAGAATGCAGACCCGTTTTTAGAGTGGAACCCCTTGAGAACCCTTAAGCTGATGTACCTCGAAGTATACGAAGTACTCCAAGTACCACCCGACTAGCCCCCCCTAAACTCTCTGCTACCTCCGACCATCAAATTTAGGTTGTTCGCTTTGTTTCGTCGACTTGCAACGTCCAGGTCTCTCATTCCGGTTATTGTCCATTTTCCAACATCACACAACAACAACCTACCTATCCCGGGCCATTGGTAGCCTCAACTTCTTACTACAGCACTCTCTCCAGAGCTTCTTCTTGTCGTTTTTTATTGCTTTCTTGTCTAGATTTTAAATCAGATCAACCATTAGACTTATTGTCTGAGATACCCCGCGCAATAAAATAAAACAAACAGCTTTGCTTTGCTAGTTTTTTTTTTTTCTTCCTGTTGGCCGACCTTCGAATTTCCATTCTCCGAGCCCTGTTCCCCGTCCACCCGTCGTCCCACAGCCAGCATCCCCCCCGGCGTCCGACCATTGTGAACGATTGAGTTGCTATTAGAGTTATATCTGTGGAACGACACTCAAAACCAATCCAATTAGCAATTAAGGGTCCATGTATGTCATGGTAGAATCCCAATAGGAACGAGGTTACTACGAACTTACTGCGAATCGATGCTCGGGGTTGCACGGTTCTAACGACTGCCTGTGCGAATTCCTCCCTCTAAGGGGTAGATTTTGTGGCGTTGGCCATCGCGCCGGCGATTCGAGTGAGCAATGGCTACGGTGACGAGCCCCCCAACGCCGCCTCCTCCGGCTGCTGCGTCTCCTCCGAGGTCTATTCAACGGAAACCCGTTCCGGTACCAAGGCTACCCCTTTCGCAACATGAGCGCGGTGAATCTCAAGACAGCTTCGCCGGGAACACTTTGCCTGTCGCCGAGGCGGCGACCATCAGAGATGCTCCTGTCTCTCCCGTGAGGGTGAATTTCCAACCCGACAACTGGGCGCTGCCGTCGAATGTAAGCATTGAGGGGAACTATCAAGTCCCACCGCAGCCTCCGCCACATATGACTCGCATCGCCCCAAGATCCTCGGATGCGCTCCCGCCTCCTTATAGTCCCACGTCTGATCAGTCTAGGACCTTAACACCTAAACAGACCTTTACTGGCGACCTTGCGCACAGATCGGGTCATGAGGCATTCTTAAACCCTGCGGAGGGAGGTTACATGGAAGCTCCAGCAACGTCAGACCTAGAACGCAATAGCTTCAGCGACAGTTCTCGAAGCGATGACCCGAATCGGCACAGTCGCGAGTCGGACGCAACTGCGAGTACGCAGCAACAGATGTCGACCGACTCCTCTGCCGAGACAAGCGCAAGTTCGATATCGGGGGGTCTAAACGAAGCATGCGAAAATCGACTCTTGCCGGATGAGACATCTCCAGAAGAGTCCATCATCGAGGGTTCGATACAAGAGGGCCAGCAGGTACCCCAACTACAATACCATCACCAGCCCTATCTTCCGCGAGTCTCAAGCGTGCCCCTCGAGTCAAATTCGAGGCATTCCTCGAGGTCTGACCTTGCAGAACCGCCGGGTGTGGCCATAAATCGTCACTTGACCCCAAACTCATTCAATAGGAGAAGTTCTATGCCACGGCCGCAGTCATCGTATTCACTATATTCCGAATTGGGACCGCGCGGACGGTCCCCAAGTTATGGGGGCGCCAATCCGCGCACTTCCTCCATTCATTCTCGCAGGTCGCCTGAGACCAGGCCGATTTCCTACGCGGAATTGCTAAATGTTCCTTATCCTCAACCAGCTCCGGCTCCCATTACCATCGATAACTCTTATCTGCGCAACAATGTTGGAAGTAACGCTTCCTTACTAAGTGCGCAGAAGACCCTTGAGATGTATAGGCAAAATGTGAAGAAGACAAATGACTTTTCCATCCAATACTCCTTCGCCGTTTTCTTAATCTCAACTGCGCAGGAACAGGGTTTAAATTTGGAGGAACCTTCGCGGAAAAAAGCCAGTCCAAAGGGAAGTCCGCTTAACGAAAACCAGGAATCCTCGCCGACCGAGTTGGTTCGCGAAGCTAAAAGTATATTGACAAGGTTGGCCAATGGCGGCTATCCCTTTGCTCAATATTACCTAGCTGATGGTTTTGCTTCTGGCTTGTTCAACAAGGGCAAGGAAGACTATAATTCCGCCTTTCCCCTCTTTGTTTTGGCCGCGAAACATGGTCACGCCGAGTCTGGTTATCGTGCTGGTTTATGTTACGAATTTGGATGGGGTTGTAGGAAAGATCCAGCTAAAGCAGTTCAATTTTTACGAACGGCGGCATCTAAAAACCATCCCGGCGCCATGACGAGACTTGGCAAGGCTTGTCTCTCGGGAGACCTGGGCGAGAATCGGTACAGGGAGGGTGTGAAATGGCTGAAGCGTGCTACTGAGTCAGCAGATGCCATGTACAACGCCGCCCCGTACCATCTTGGTACACTCTACGAAACTGGCTATGGCGACGATATTTTCAAGGACGAGAGTTACGCGGCCGAATTGTTCACTCAGGCAGCTGAGCTCGGGCATGCTGAAGCGAGCTATCGTATGGGAGATGCGTACGAACATGGCAGGCTAAACTGCCCTCGAGATCCGGCCCTCAGCGTTCATTTCTACACTGGTGCCGCAGAACGTGGTCATGCTGCGGCTATGATGGGATTATGTGCATGGTACATGGTCGGAGCTGATCCCATCTTGGAGAAAGATGAGGAAGAAGCTTATGAGTGGGCTCGTCGGTCAGCAGATCTTGGTAAGTCGGCAATTCACCTCTACAGTCTTCCCATCTTGCTGACGCAATCATTGTATCCAGGCTTTGTTAAAGCCCAATATGCGGTCGGTTACTTCACGGAGATGGGAATAGGCTGCCGCCGGGACATCTTGGAAGCCAACGTGTGGTACGTCAAAGCAGCCGATTCCGGTGACGAACGCGCAAAGCAAAGACTCGCGGCAATTCGGGCTGCCGTGAGTGGTGGCGGGACGCCTATGGAAGTCGCCCCACCACGCAACGGCAAGATGAAGAAAAACCAACCAAACGACAAGGATTGTGTTGTAATGTAATATATTCCATGCGGCTGGAACTCACTAGTATGCGGATGTTTCGGGGGGACCTTCGAGGATCCATCCAGTCTTGCCCTCAACGATGAGGTGCGTCTATTTTGGAAAACTACGTATTCAGAGTACACATCAAGGGGTCGGCTTTTTTTTTTTTTTTTTTTTTAGAATATTCCACGCCCTTACTTTATTTAGGGTCCTTGAATCAGGGAAGGGAAGTCGGGTTCATAATCTCCCATGGAGAGCAGTTCATACGCGGTGAAGATCACAGCTGAGACAGGAAATCAGGAAATTCCTATTTTTGTCCTAGATTTAAAGGATTCCCGTCTTTTTTTATCAAAAGGGTCATGGGCGGTTGGACTCTCGCATTCTGTCTGGCACAACCCAAAATCATTGCATTTGCATATGTAATGCGAAGAAAGGGCGACAATGAGAAGCAATGCTAGGTCGATTGGCATAACCTTCCATCCCTCCTCTCGTATTACAACAAGGCGTTTGTCCCTTCAATTTTCTTCTTCCGCTACTTTCCTCGCTATCAATTGGACCATTTAATAGGATGAGACGGCTTTGAAATGGTGGGAGGCGGCTTCGGGCACTATTCCATAGAAGATGGGGGTTGGGGATGGCTGGAGTTGCTTCAAGTCTGACACTCTTGTTCGACTTAGCATTCGGACCCTCTCGTGCCTCGCATACATACCCTCCTTTTCCGATGCCCTGGCGCTACTGCTGTTTGTATATATCAAGGGGGGCCGATGATTAATAATATTAGCCATGCCGTGTTGGCAGCATGGATTGGGAACATCCGAGTCGCATAATCTGTTTACGCTTGTAAAACTGCTTTCGTCCGGACCGCCTACTTCAGTAAACATTAAGGCGCATTATCAGGTACTTACAAGTACTTACAAAAGCAGATAGGTACCTAATCTAATCCAGAAGAGTCTATAAAATACCTTAAGAGACCCTCTATTCTCCTATTTCCACAATTCATCTATACTGAACCACAGGGCAATCCAAGACTTCAAAAACCGTGACAAGGTTAACCGCGAGGTCGTACGACACTATAGAACATACAGCTTATATTCATGTTATTAGATTCCAACTAAGATATAGATGATATATCCAAAACTTCCGCACCCATTATACCGTACGATATTAACCAGAAAGCAGGATTAGACCCTGTTTCCGGCATTAAGGCATATGGATACCAACCATAGAATCACAACAAACTTACTCAGCCTTACTACATATTCCTCGTTCCGCAACACCGTAAAGGGCGGTGGACGCACGGGAACTACGTCGTATCGCATTACAAAATAAAATGTTTCAGATGTTCAATGGAGATCTGCCATTCGTATTAAACACCCCAGATAGATTGTGGATGAATATATGTCTCCGGCATATTACCACAAACCCCCCTGTAATCTAGATTCTAGAATCATACGTCGATCGTCGCTGGATAGACTTAAACAATACGAATAGTGCTAGACTAAATCATCATGGTTTCCACCTCTTAAGACATTGGGCATCATTACTTTGAGAATATTCATGAAAGGTCGTAATCATAATAATAGACTCCACAAGGTTCTGGTCAGAGTAGGGAAACACGACTCTACACTAAGAATATTACTCACCTCCCCCGAAGACAGAACGCTTCTAACTCATCAAGAAGTAATTATTTACCGATACAACACGTCTACGACAAGTCTAGGTCAAGATGGTATAAAAGTATATATATTAACACGTACACTCACTACCTAATACGCCATGCAATGAACCCTAAACCCTTATAACGAAGTTTGATGAATGCAAACGCCTTGTCATCACTCATGGCACGGACAAACATTAAAGCCGCTGGTCCCACGTTCTCATCGTCAGGCATTAAACGCGGTTGAGCTGCTGTTACGAGCTCGTTTTAGCCTCCACTTCGCTGCCCAGCTCTCCGGGCTTCTTCGGATCGACGAGAGCCGAGTATCTCGAGTCGCCCCAGCGGGCACCGATGGTAACCCAGACGTGTTTGGTCGGTTGGCTGTGGACAGTCTCACGAGCGCCCGTCCACTGTTGTCGGTGCTCGCGAGCCATCCTGCTATTACCTAAACCGCCGTTCGTAACCCACTCCTTGATGATGTTCTTGATAAACTCGATTTTTCGGCGGAAATCGTTAGCCGCGGGAATACCTTGTAACATAGGGTTAATATCCGGCCGCTTGCGCGTAGCGTTACGCGTTGGTCGGATGGCCGGCTTGGCAGCAAAGTTGAGAAGTGTCTGTAAAGGATAGGATAGGACAGCACGTTCGTCAAGCGCAGCCTCGTCTAATTCTCCCGTGCTAGCTAGCTTTTCCGCTGCTTCTTGCGGTAAGTGCCAGAAATGGCACCAGGTTCCAGTCGCGTCAAGTACGATTTTTGTATGGTCAGGGAAGTTGAACTGAAGATGGCCATCAGCGAAGACCCAGCAGCCAACGTCACCAATCCTTTGGTAAAAGGTGACTACGTCGCAAGGAGGCATCGTCTGTTTGTCCGATGTGGGGACTTGTATAAGCCCAGTATCATCTGTCGTGGCATCCTGATCCCGGCCGTATGCCATCATGTAATTGGCAAACTTCTTCCATAAAATAAGATGTTCTCGTTTGCGGTAATCGAATATATCTTTACCGACTGGAATCTTCCCCGGGGTACCATCCGGGCCAACACTAATCTTGAACTGTGAAGGGTGGACAAAGACAGTGGACAGACCGGCCTCGCCGTTGTTTTCATAAAATTGTACCGCTTGAGTCATGGGAACAATTTGATTTCGGTCTGGGTAACCCGGGTCGTGCCGTCGCGAACAATGTTGTTCAGCTTCCCTCACCAAGATGCAACTTGGCGGCAATGCAACGGCCTTGCCACCTTTCGCGCTGCCAGGTATGCTCTTGAGCACGCAGCCGACACTGCCGTCATTCAAGATATAACCTAAGCCGAACTTGTTGGAATAATCTACCCATTTGACGACAATATGTGGGGGTGATGGTGTCGGCGACTTGCTCATATACGCCATTGATCTCGCATTAAGAGCGCGCTCTAACTCGCTCTGCAAGCAACGAAGCCTCTCTAGTACAAAATCAGGTTTTGACTCTGGCACCGCCATCCTGCGTTCTTCGGGTCCGAACAAAGTTCCCGCAGGCGTCTCAGTCGTACTAGAGGGTGCCTCAGTACGTTCTATCGGTTTCTTTTGGGGCAATGGTTTCTCTTCAGGTATTGAAATGGGTGCCGATGCCGGCGCCTTCACTGATACAGTCCGATGTGATGCCTGTGACGCGGCTCTGGAAGGTAGTGTAGTCTTCAATGCAAGATTTTTGTCTGTGGAGGATTGGGGAAGCTCCCTCCTAGGACGTGACCGCATAGTGCCACTAGCACTAGGCTCAAGCATCTCGTCAACTGTTCGCGACCGTGGTATACTAGCAATCTGCTTTGCGGGCCGATTTTGTGCTCGCTGTTGTGCTGCAAAGCTTTGAGGCGGAGCTCGTAATAAGCCATTAGCACCTGCTTGTGATCCAGAGCCTTCTTCCTCGCCCTTCGTCCCTGGCTGCGGTACTGGTCGGGATGGCACCTTAACAAGATTCTGCTCCTGGCTAACCTCTTCGTAAGGCCTATAAACGATGCCTTCGACGAGTGGAATAATGGGTGTCAGCCCAGCCTTTTCTTCAAGTGCGACTTCTCTCCATGTACTCTTGTATTCTGATTGTATACTGTTCCACGGTCCAACTTCACATGCTCTGCACATCTCCCTCAAAGCACGCTGGTTTTGGGCAACCATCCTCGGTGTTAGATCTATAGTGTAAAATTGATCACCATCGGGTGGATAATCGCGCAGTTTTGTCGTAATTTCAGCTGATGTTGGGAGGTAGCCGGAAAGAAAGAAGTCATGTTGAACGATAGTGTCAGGGTCCGGTCGTAACTCTGCCTCTTCCAACATAGTAGCGACAACGTCTTTTGCTTCTTGTGAGATATATTTGTTGGTGGTCTCTGGTTTGGGCCAGTCATAATCCCGATTTTTAGCACGACGATAGATCTCATCCGTCGTCGAAGATTGGAAAGGAGGTTTAGAAGTAAGCATCGCAAACCTAAGATCTATTAGTGTTCCGGTCTGCAAATGGTATGAACCGTCAGTCAGTCTTACACGATGATGCCCAAACTCCATATATCGACCATATGATCATGGCCTTTCTTCCCCTTTTCCAAAATCTCCGGTGCAATATAATTCGGCGTTCCACATAAGGTCGTTCGACGAATAGTTTGCATATCTTTCCCTGTGACCAGCAATGCTGCGAGACCGAAGTCTCCAACCTTAGCATTCATGTCCTTGTCAAGAAAGATGTTGCCCATTTTTAAGTCTCGGTGGATGATGCCTTTAGCGTGCATATATTTGATAGCACCAGCAATTTGCACCGAGTAGAATCGCACCTCAGGCTCTGTCAACCCTTTTCTTCGCTTAACCATGTCCATCAACGAGCCATTGGGGCATAGCTCAAGGATAAGGTAGGTGCAATTCTCGAAGGAAAACGCTCTCAGAAACTGGACGATATTCTGATGCTTCATCTTGGAATGGATTTGAAGTTCTGTTTGGAACTGTCCATAAGTTAGCATCGAGCTTATTTAGACCGCAATCCTCTTAACTAACCTTCTGTTCCATCTTGGACGGCATTTTACTCTTGACAATCTTCAGCGCGTACTTTCTCCTACTCTTACTTCCTATAATGTGCCCTTCGTAGCACACGGCGAACCCACCTTTTCCAAGCAATTTTCCGACCTGGTAGGCAGCTCCATCTTTGCGGTCGAAGCTCGGAGGTTCGTATACCACAGGGGGAGGTTGGGGAGGAAGCTCTTTTTCTTTCTGGACGGGCTTGGTAGCAGGTGCTGGCCTGCCTTTTGCTGCATCCATTGCTCGGTTCGGTCGTTGAGCATTCACATCCCTCGGAGTCAGGGCGTCTGCATCGGCGGCCTGCTTTGATGCCAGAAGTCGGTCCGCCATGGGGACTTTACTCTAGTAAAATACTACAGCAAGCTAGAAGGAGCACAGCGATAGCTCAGCAGACCGTCTTGTGCTACGATTATAATGATTGAATTGCTAGACACAATCATTAGCTCGATTCTAAGCGAGACTTGTGAATCCTTCTCGCTCAATGCTCGGTGGTTGTCGGGCAGTGGAAGCGTGAAGTTAAATAAATAATAAATCGACCAGACGCAATACCCTAAACATCTAGCGAACCATCAAGGCTTATATAAAACTTAAGTAAGGACAAAACTTAAGCTTCACTAGGGTTTCCATGCTAAGGATAGTGGTGATCGCGGCTATTGTAGAAGGTGCTGGCTGTCGGCGAGAGACGAATGAAATAGTCGGTATGACTTACCCGTCTTAGAGAACATCAGAATTGGATAGTGTCAGGGAGATATGTACGCGTAGATGAAGCTAGAATTGATGCAGCTCAATCCTTCGTAGCAAAGATGTTGTGATGGAAGCAAAAGAGGGTGTAGCAAGTTATAATGTCGTTACCGACCGGTGTTGAACGAAACAACGTGCAGAAGAAACGTGCACTCCGAAAAGTGGCCCGTTCATTTACATGTAAACGCTAGTTGCCGTTGGGGAGGCAACGACCCGGAGCTCTAAAGTCCCACAATATTTGTTGGCTGCTACCTAAAACGGTAATCGTAGGCAACTCGGGGTTCTTACAGACCGTTATCGATAAGTTAAAGTTAGTTTTTCGATTTTGGAAATCGGGAATCAGAATTAGGTTCGTAGCTCAAGTCCGAATGCCGGTTACGTAAGATTCAAAATAGCTCCTGGTACCGAGGTGGGTACGAAATACCTACAGGCATCCCGCTTCCGTACAGTATTCAATTTCAGCTTCATCGCCAGCGCCGTGGAAACTAGATTGTGCTCCGGGTATTCTGAAATATACACGGCCCAGTAAATATGTTTATTATATCTTGAATGTACAAATCTCTTAGCAAGCAACGATACCCACCAGCTCGTCCATTCTCAGATCTTATCGTCAATATCGTCGATCCAAAGCCTAGCTAGGTATCTGCCTAGGTAGAGGAGAGAAGTCGAAATGGTAGCATTGCCGTTGTTCAAGCTAGCCTCCCTATTCCTAAGACATGTCTCAAAATATGGCGCCGTATGATTGCTACTTTTCCGGAGAATCCGATATCTTCAATAAAACGCTGACGACGATGATCAGAATCGAATCAAAGTACAAGCTCATGATCATCCACGCTTCCGCGTCTTTGCTGCCAAGTATGGTCAATCGATACATCAATTGAACATGCGCTTATCGGTGGCGCTCCTCCGAGACGTCGAGGCGGAAATAAGAGCCAAGGAGAAGGCAGAAGCACCTACGGTGAAAACAAAAGAGCAAGTAGAGAAGGAGGAGGGAATCCGTGCCAAGCACGGTACAACCAACCAGGAATCTCGTGCCAAAAAGACATTGCCTATGCTAAGTGTCTGGAGAAGGAAGTTCAGGCCTCTTCCAGAAGCTAAGGCGGTTGATCTATTTGCAGATGTGGTCGGCGATGCCTTCATTCTCCTGGTGGGTACCGTATTGATATTGTACGAGTACCACAGGTCATCTCAAAAACCGGATACCAATCTTGAGAAAATCAAAGAGCTCAACGCACTCTTTGAAGAGCTTGATAGAAGAGAAAAGGCACTCGAAGAAGCCGAGAAGCGCCAGCAGAGTAGAGTGTTAATGCTCGAAGAAGCTTTGAGGGGATTCAAAGACCCCAAAACTCAAAAACCATTACTTCCCCCAGCGCCAACGTCGTCACCTTCAGCCTAAAGATAATGGTCAACATTTACGAAGTATAGATTGATGTTATGATGATCACGGCCTGTGTGGTTTTGTCGTACAGCCTCACGAGTGTATATAGCAACTGTATATAGGTATGAAGTCGGCGTTGATAGACATGACTCAGGGGAAGTTGTGCATCACAGGCAAGAGTCTCGCAGAGCAACATTTGTTGAATAATAGGAACCGCGCCTCTAGTATCTGCCAAATATAGAAAGACCTATCGCGTCTCTACTCAATTGCTTGCTACGACCCTATGCTCTTTTAAGATGACCACCCTCCGACCAATCAATATCTCCCCAATGGTGTGGACCTATTCTCCTTCGTGCATTCACCTTCTAATACAGGATCATATCTCGGGAGGTCTATTTCAGTTGGTTATACGTACCTACCTAAGGTACCTTAGCAGTCATAAGATATCAGGCGGTCAAATTGAATGGAAAGGGCCAACTGAGGTTCTTATCCATGCCTTCGTGAACCTAAATCCTTAAGCAGGTACGATGAGTTTCAACTAGCACTAACTACAACCTGTCATAAGGCATTATTAACCTTACTCAACTTCGTTATCTTGAGTAGAACCTCGTCGTTATGTTCTTGTCCGATACACATGAAACCCGGCCAACAAAATCGAATCGTCCGTCATTGAGCTCAACTAAATCCGACAAGGCTCAAATCTATTTTCTCGGCAGATTATTATAGAACGCGCTTAATCTTACAACAAGCGAGACGGAGAAAATGTCGAACAATCCTTTGATTTGCTATTCCCTCCGTAAGCGCCCGGATTGGGCCACCTTCGCCTCGGCGGTTCTACAGGGCAGCAACATCAGATGGAAAGGTAAAATTATCATAACATTGAGGTCCATTACTCCGTAATCCAATGGCGTAATGCTAAGCTACGTACTAGAAGCGCAGCTCGATACACATGACGCGGCACTGCCCATACCGACTTCTCACGGCCAACCTCCCAGGGTTCTACGTGCCATTTTCCTGTCCCCATCAGACGTCGAAACCGATAACTGCCAGAACCGCATTCAACGCTTATCTCACTTGAATGGGGGGCAGGATATTGTTATCGTATTTTTACTCAAGCAAGAAGAGGATAAGGTGAATCCAATGTCGGCGTTCATGACCCTTCAGTTAAGGTGAGTTGCCGCTCATTTCTTGTCACCATCCTTTACTCAATTCCTGTGCCGCCTTAGTACATCTTAGGTAATAACAAGCATCAGTCTTGGTGATTTTGAAATGCCTGTCATCCCCGTCAACACCGTCGAAGCTGTACCAAATAGCTTGGTGGCGTTCCACCGTCAGATTAGTACCAGCAGCGGTTCACGGAGGATGGCAAACCCAGCTCAGACGCTTCTTCCATATTGCTCCTATGGGCCACGTCTATCCGAGCATGCAGTTAACGTCTTAACCGACATCACCTCTGGCATTAGAGACTTGCTTGACATAATGACAACGCCGGTCGGGCGGACGAAGGTACTGGACCTGCTGGAGAATGATTCGGAAGGCGCCATCTCGTTCTGGGAGCAGGAATATGTGGTCGAATGACTGGACACTGCATGCCATTGACTTCTTCAGTCAACGCCACGCATATATGTTTAGATTAGGTGCCGCGTGGCACACTCTCCGTGTTTTCATTGGATTTCCTTAGAAGTCTAAGCAGGACGGGTGGCTGCGCGCTTCACGAAACTCGCCGTGCCACATTGAAATCGTCCGCAAAGGAGCTTGTTAGGCCGCCATTGAGCGGAATGGCGCTACAGAAAATTGCAGTAAGTCGCTAATATACCATGAGAGGCTTGATTGTTAAGTTCCTAGGTACTTAAGTAAAAGACACCTTCGGCCAGGGTAGGTGATTACCAGACACGAGTATTACTGAAAGTGCTACTGTAGTTGGAGAAGGATGTGAAAAGCTTCCCATCTTTCTATTGCTACCCAAAACTCCCCAGATACCTAAGCAAGCTCACCATGCTACGATGTCGACGGGTGGTTGGGAGCTTCATTGGACAATAGTCAAATCCGGTGATATTGTGATCAAATGCTCATCGAATAATCGGTGAAGTTGGAGAGATAAGAGCATACTGCTTCGGGAAACAATTACGAGGTTGACCCACGGAATAAGTTGATATCGTTAGCAGAAAAAGGCCCGAAGGGGATATGGGGATAAGCAGCGGGTAGCTAAAGAAGTGACTGCAACTGTGACAATAAGAGCTACCGACATTTGTAAGCCAAGTGATAAAGCTGCAATCATGCATTCTCACCCATTAGACGAGGAGCGTCGAATGAGAGACGTGCTCATTATTAGGCGGATAGTATACCAATGGATATATTATACGTATGCATCGCATAGCCATAACCTGTTTATATTGGCAATCAACTTTTCTTCAGCGGGCCAGCGGACCTTCGAGAACAAGTCGAAAGAATGTGTGGACCATTTAATAAGGACTCGCTTACAATGTGTTGGTAGAAGCGATGCTACCCTTTAATTCTTCAACGGATGCGGACCCGCGCCGATGGGATCACGCAGCTACATATGTACGTAGTAGGAAAGCTCGAAGCCATAAACCAACTTCTTCGTGTTGGTGCGAGTAATCGATATGAACCTGGGGGTCAACGTGGGGAGAAATTGACCAGTCAGCTTGTAGATATCGTGGATGCTAGGTAGTTGACGCCAGGACCCGAAGAACAGGACAGGGCCACAGTTCTTCTCAACGCTTTATGTGGCTTGCCGAGCAGAAGAGTCCAATTGGAGCACGGCAGCAACCGCCGACAAGAAGCCAATGATGTTGGCGGCCTTGGTAGCACACCGCATCAATACTTGCATTCCGAATGCTACGCAACGTAACGCTCAGCACCTCACCCAGATCGAACTAACCCATTTTCCCCCGGTTCAGATTCATCACCTGACGAGGGAGCAACAATCAAGCAACATATCACCAAGACACTAATGTACGGTGATGGTGATATTCCGCTCCTTATTTTACGAACGCATCAGTAGATCACGGTTTCCGAGCCCGAGGAATGTATAGCCTTCGATTTTCCTCGTCTAGATCCTCCACGGCTCTTGGCTCATCGGACTCGCTTCTGGGTACCTACTCATTTGGGTCATCCATTCGGCTGAGCTGAAAGAACTTACACACACTCAATTGGATATGATGAACGGCCTCGAGGATGAGCGACCTCTGGATCCTACGACCCGGGCTTAGACGTCATGCGAGATTTGCTGACATCGAAAGATGGAAGACGGGAATTTCATAACTTGACTTTCCATCGTGTGATGCTTTATCTTAAAGAAAATGCAAATGCGGTCGGACCTCTCCCCTCAGATTCTCAACCCCCAGCTCCTCAGCCCCCCTGACTGGCTCGAGCCTGCCTTGCCTTGCGCATATCAAGCACAATCCCCCAGTACGATGCTACTTTAGGTCTAGCGTCGTCCGGGTGATGAGCGATAACCCTTGCAGATGACGGTTGGCCGATCTTATCTACCCACGTCTAAACTCGATCTGCTTCAGCGATTTCCCCTTGCGAAACTCTCCAGCGTTTAGAACCATTTCGGAATGCCTGAACGCCGGAAGGGGCATGTCTCAAATGCTCAGCCGTCCTTGAATGACCGCCTCAATTCTCATAATCCTTTAGGAGTGATAATCAACCGATCAGTTGACCTGGTACGAATTGAGAACGATACCTAATGATGGATTGTTACGCCGTGCAAAATTCGGACCAGGAGTCGCTTCTTCGAGTCTTCTCGGAGTAGTTCCTTGCCGCGTGTCGATGGTATTATTTTCCGAGACACTACCTAAATCGGGTAGGTCATTCGGGATTTAGCAAACACGATATGCACTATCGAGGTTGGGAATAATATGTGATTGCCATCTTGCCTGCTGCTGTCTGGTAAATTTGGTAAATTTAGCAATTGAGCAGTGTGGCTTGTCGTTGAGACTACATGCATATCATGTAGGTATTGTACATACCCGTCGGGGCAGGCTACGAACCAGGTGAAACTGGTATCCCCTCAATTCGTGGTTCTATGCTGAAGCATGTATTGCAAAGCCTCGAAAACGGCGCAGTCGATGGGGGGTTTGAGAAGAAGAAAAGCGGTTGGGATAACTCGATCCTGCTTGACTTAGACCACGAGGTACCCAAGTACCATAAACCCATAAACCCTCTTTAACCCCTGAACCCCTGTAAGCGGGGACAAGGGCCGGGGATATTGGAGTTGTCATGCAGCAAGAGCACCCATATCGAAACTCTCATTGGTTGCGCAAAGACTTGTAGCCGCCAGGGAAAAGCCCAATCACCTCGATCTCCCACCATCTTCGCAACCGCAATATCGAACTCGCCCAATACCCATAGCCACAGTACATAGGCACGTAGCGGTTACCGCCAGCCCATGTACCCGCATTGCTTAGACTGGTAGGGCCAAGCTACATTGATCCTCTATTTACCCAATCGACGGTTACTTCACATACCGTATCCACACACGCGCAGACTGTGATGGGACCTCTATCTCCTCTATCTAAGCTACTTTGGGCTATATGCCCAGTTCTGCACATCATGGAAGCAGGACGCAACCGCTGCGCTGGCTGCGCAACCCCCATGTTACGACCTAAGTACATGGCAATCTATGTACCTTTCGCGGCCGTCTGGGAAGGGCCGCAACGCAAATATCCTCTCTTGTATGCTTGGCCCTGTAAGTATTGGTTCGCAGAGACGGGCGGTCTCGGCGTGGGCTGGTGAGACTCGATGCGTTTCCCTGAAGACCCACTGTCCCTGTCGCTTTCTTAAACTCTTGCATGCCGCCTCATGTCTGAAGATTCCCCGGAGCTACCCTTTCATACATGAAGAAACTCGGGACGCCTCCTTGGAAGTATCATCGCCCTTGGTTCCGTATGATCTTCAGACGCTTCTCTCATGCGATCGAGCTAGAGCCTCACTCACCCCTGGAATAGACGACTTAGACGAGTTATGACATTGATATCCCTGTGGAGTACCGACGACCGTTTAGAGACACGACTTCATACTATTACATCGGCTTGCCGTCTTATGATATTATAGCCTCGATAAGGCTTAAACGACCCACCTTCGAATAAAGTTGTGGAATATTTTGTTGTACATAGAAACGATCCCCCCTCTTCGGGCTAGGGGTTGCCGTACAAAACTCGTGGATGATACAGATGTCGCTCGGATGCCTGCTGTCGTTATAGACAAGATCTCAAGAACGTGGATCTCAGACGAAGCTTAGCATCCGTCGGCTCAGGAACGTCAGATAACCCATCCCGGCTCGCATCAGCCGTCCTGACACGAGCCCTCCCTCAACGGGAGCATTAGCTCCCCTACAGGGGATCGCAAGATCGAAAGCGAGAGTGGAAAGCCCAGACCACAACAGGGTCCCTATCCAATATAGCCTCGCAGAGCCCCGTTTCGCTGCCGCCCGTATATTCCCAATTGGACCCTCGTCTCTTCTCTTCTTCTCTTCTTCTTCCCTCTTGGTTGTCGGCTGCTGTGCATTCGCCCTTCATCCGATTACCGTTCTTTAATATCGGTTCTTTTAATTTACTATTCTATTCTACCGCTACGCAGGTCCGGCTACCTCGCAACATTCTTTCAAACACCGCCGCCGATTTACTTTCGCTTCGCTTCTTCTCGCAACCCGGTCGTTGGACATTTTTGAGGATTGTTGGATTGAGAGAAGGTCGAGCGCTTGGATCGTTTGGGACTTCAGGAAGAAGAAGAAGAAACTAAGAGAGATTCGGTCGAGAAAACAGCAATTGGGAATTTCCAAAAGGCAGAAAAAAGTTATCGATTTGGTCAAGAGAAAATTTAAGAGGAAACCGTCGAAATGGGAAGACTTATCAAGAACCACTGGGCTAGACTCATCGCCATCACTGCTGCAGCTTGTATGTGGTTTTCTCTTTACGACATCGAGGAGATTCGTAACTTTTGCTAACATTGTTTCAGACCAAATTGCTGCCGCGCTCGAGGCGTTCTTCTGGCCCAAGATATTCTTCGACTTCCTAACGAAAACGCTAGATGGGGCCGTAAAACCGGTTCCGGCGCTCCAGATTATAAACCTAATCTTGGGAATAGGGATATTGGCGTGGGAGTGGCCGCTGGGCCTCATCGCTGGGAGCGCGATTCACCGAAGTATCGAGGCCCGTCTCGCTACGTTCCCTCTGGCATCGCTCGCCGCGGTCCTCATATACCAGGGCACCAATCCTGCTATCTACTACTTGGTAGCGATGATCGTCTACTTCGTGGCGTACAGTGAAGGCGAGGTACGTTATTACATCTCACTCAATATAAGACACGATCGACGCTAACATCAGATCCAGATTGTCTGCGCTAAGCCATGGACTCTGCCGCAACGAGGCCGCTCGGGTGGCTCCAAAGCGTAAAGGTAGAACGGCGACTGCCTTTTCGCTTCGATCGAGCAAATACACCCGGGTCTTGTACAAATTTCAAATTTGGCCTCACCACCTCCTCGTTTCCGCTCACGATCATGCGTCGGCTCAAGGAGGCGAGGAAGAGATGGAGCTGCCGTACATACGAACGTACATATCTCTCATTTCTACCTTCTGAGGAATGAATATAAACCCGATGTATCCTGCACATATAACTCACATCGTCAAACCATCATAAATCTATATACTATATTATAGAGAACAAAAGAGTATTATTTATGGAGAATATCAGTTTTCCTCTCTTGAACTCTCATCCGAAACCTCCTATTTACATGCACGACACCGGCGTTGATGAGACCCCCACTTTGCTTTTATTTGACATTTTTCTTGGGCAGTCGCAGGATGTGGAGGAAGAAAGAGGTGAATGGAAATCACCTTTTATTTGGTATTGCTATTTAGGACGAGGCTATGGCTATGAGAACGGGCATGATTGCGATTTTACAAATTATATTTGGAAGGTGGTTGTGGTTGCAGTTTGCAGTGGCAGTGAGTTGGTGGCCATGTTACAATACAAAACATCTCACGATGTCCGTGTAGCGCACCCTACCTAATAATACCGATGTGGTGAAACCTCGCAATTTTGTACACCGCGTGAACCTTTACGAGAAACCCCAACGAAAAAACTCTGCAACTATCCTATCGAAGGTTCGGCTAGGCTGAGAACTTGATTATCGTACTTGATGTTATAGACTAGGCTGGCGGTTTCAGATGCTAGCAAGCTGGACATGATACTGAAGTTGTGGGTAAGTTGACCGGGGTTGCGAAACACTCTGGTATGAGGCTCGGCTCGAAACAGCCGAGCGCTGGCTACCCAGAGCAACGTCTAGAATGTTAAATGAGCAAGGATTCAAATACAACATCATTCACAGGACAACGCAAATCATTTAGACCCTTTACGGATTGGAACCATTTGGGATTTATATGCCGCTAGCTACGCCTATTCTACAAATCCATCGCGAAAATGTTCCTCGCTAGTTGTGAGGTAGCTAAACCCTAATCATCGCCTGCAAAACTTATGTTGGTTGATGATTCATAGGAACATTAAGCAATGACGGCCCTAACACACTTTGGTGCTGCCATCTCAATCATCGGCGCGATGTAGTACCAAAGTACGACGCAGCAGCTTTCCCCAGGTTCTGCCGGTGAGGATATTTGCGACCCTATCTAGTAACCTGGCCGGTGACAATGGAGCCTTGCTGAGCGTCGTTCTTGGGTCCTTGGCGTTCAGGGAACTATGAGGTATCACCGTTAGCATGTGTTCGGTACTCTATTTCAATGGTCGGTTGGAAAAGGTTGCAACATACCTCGGACTCCTGAAGGCTACCGCTGTCTAGTATCTTCTTAATGACTTCATCCTCGTTGGATACACCGAACTCGTTATCGAGAGTCGCCTTGGAGGCGCCATCCATCTGACCTTGCGTTCCCTGCCTATTGGACATGTCATGTTAGTCGCAGTCTATATAAAATAGCCCGGAATTGGGAGGTACATGAAATGGTAGGACTCGTATTGGCTCCCGGCGCTTAGGATGAAGCCATTGGCTAGTGGTTTTCGCTGTGCCGCGGCCCAGATCATACTTGGGGGCTAACCATTGCAGAATTGAAGAACGGGTAACACCACCTCAGCCCGCAAGCGCTTACGCGGCTACGTCATGATAGAAGTGGCTGACTGACCGCGTTGCCATACTATCTGGGATCATGTGCTTAGGCGACTTGGCGAGCCTTCGTAGGACGCCATTGTGTTCGGGGCAGTGGAAGCTGAAGAGAGGAGGTGCACGTGAGCGAAGACTTACTTGTGTGTCACGAAGACCTGGAAGGTGGAGATGAAGTGAGCCATAGGAATAGACTTGTCGCTCTTCCACTTCTTATAGGTCTCGAGGTCGTCGATGAAGATGATGAAGTCCTCATCCTTGCCCTTGTAGTGGACCTTGATCTGAGAGGCTTCTCCTTTAGTCATGTTGGGCAATTGATTCTGAAGTCGTGTAGAGAGAGTGGGCTAGGTAGTTATCTCAATAAAAGCTACTGGAGAAAGGCTTTGGGAATTGATAATATTGGTTGATGAGTGATGAGAGTTGGATGAAGTTGAACGAGACGGATGTGTTGTTAGAGTCGAGAGTTTGACGTGGGATTGTTGGTTGATGATGAAGTTGAAGAGAGGAAGTTAAGAGTAATGGCACATAAGAAGAGACAGGTCTAGGCATACAGAGCTTCAAATATGCTTTTCAACAAGCTGCTGTTTCCTCCATTCGATCATCATGTGGCATACTTTGCCAAACGGCAGAAATCTACGTCATCATTTCTGTTTGTACCTGCCTCAGCTCCCCGCATTATGTCACTGATCCAGCTTTATGACAAGGATCAGCTAGGGAGCTTAACACCATTTTGGTCTTTTTTTGCCTTTGGCCCCTCTATTGTTACGAGGTACATTAACCTTCGCTTTGTCTATTAATCTAATAGCAATTACGTATGTATGCACCTACCTGTGGAAAGCCATGGAATAAGATGGGAAGAGCATCTGGTATTGTAGGTAGGTACGTAACAGGTACATATGTAAGACAGACGACGGACACTAGCTTAGGTACCAAGCGGGAGGATCCGATCATCATCGAAACTTCTATTAGTGGTGTGAGGTGGTTGGGTAAGGCTGCATTCGTGCTAACCACAGGTGCAATATGTACCTAGGCAGTTTCGATTCAATGCTGTACGTATGCTAGTACGTTCTAGCCTTACAAATCAAACATGAGATACCTAGACTGAACATCATCGCATTCACATTCAAGACTCGGGAATGCCATCAAATATTAGTTGGGGTATCGAAACACGTGCCCCTGGTCTCGTTACACCGAACGACTTGGGGTAACGGAGTAACATAAGAATTCCATTGCTCCGCCTAAGTACATTGCTGTAGGGGTATAATCGTAGTAGTCCAAGTCCGAGAGCCTAATGGAGCAAAAGACAAAAAGCAAAACCGTCGTAAGGAATTTGGTGCCGTTCCGGTGTCATCGCGAAATAAGAAATAATGAAAGAATGGTATAATCCTAAGCCAGAACCAGTCCAAACCGTATGTATCTATACCCAACTCGTGCCATGTAATGTAATGTTGAAGTTGCCTTCCTTCATCTAAAGAAATCACGAATGCTGGACGCCATCAAACCTCTGTTGATGCCTCCTACTCTTGCCCACTTGCTTGAAGGCCTGGCGTTAGTTAATGTTTCGTGTAAGCGATGCTTCATTCCAAGTCCATGGTATATAATTTCTTCGTCTTCGGTAGACGATGGCGACGATCTAGCTGATAGGGATGTCTGTCTTTTGCGACGGACACTATTCAACGGCGACAGTCGTGAAGTAGGAGTTGAAGTGCTTGTATCCCTTGCCCCCATCCATTCTAAATCGAGTTTTGGGAGGTCATGCTTCTTCACCGTTCCCGACTGTCCTCGAACACCAGTTGTAGAGGTAATACTTGGGCTAATGCTGCTAGCATGCTCGGTCTCATCCTGAATCATTGGGAGTCTTGATTTAACATCGATGTCGGATGTGTCAGTCCTAATAGACCCAACCGTTTTATTGTTGTCGTAGTTGAGATGAACAGTGCCGTTGGCGTGTGGAAGTCCATCCTCATTTAATTTTGCTACGCTGGTACTGCTCATAGACCGCTTTGCAAACGAGCTAGTGATACTTGCAACACTCAGCTTTCTCATAACAGTTGATGCTGAGCTACGGACGAGGTGCTCGCTTCTCGAACGGCTTGCTATGCCAGGGAAGGGTAACACTTTGCGACTCCAAACATCTGCCAATAGAGCTTCAACCCGAGCCCGATCTGCCCTGGGAGGAGCAAGAACCGGGATACGTGTATTTGTTGTTAAAAGTGATTGCGAGCGGTTGATGCACGTAGTAGAAGTTACCGACGTAGTATCTCTCGCCGTACAAGTATTCTTGAGTATAACTTGATATAATGGTGATTTGGGGCCAACCGTGGTGGCCCTATGAATAGAAAGACGACGGGCAATGGTGCCTGCAACGGTTCAGTCAATCTGTCAAGGTGTCTATATTTGGAAAAAAAAAAGCTTACCTGGCTTTCCAAAGATTGTTCCAAGACTCTTTATGTTGAGAAAGATTGAGCTATAGAACACAGGTTCTGATATGTCACATGGTTCAGTTGGGGAGTAATGCAAAATGCGAGCGCGCCATTCCTCTTCCTCCTTTGCGTTGCAAGCTGTCATGATGATTTCGTAGAGTTGATGATCGCATTCGAAAACGAGCTTCCATGAGAAGGGCGCAGTATGGCATTGGAGGCCTTGATGTTATTAGTATGAAATAGAAGAAAAGGCGCAATTGTTGGAATAAGCTTACCTCGGCCATTATCGACGGATTCAATTTTGATGTCTGCGAGACTTATACAAGCCTGGATCGTATAGACTGGCTCCGCTCCGCTGGCGCTGGCAAGGCATAGGCAGTCTTTGTAGAGAAGCGCAACCATGTATGTACCATCTACGCCGTCTTTGTTCTGCCAGCAAACGTGCAGAGCACCACAAAGACGAACTTGTCCGAACGAACGAATTGCCGTTCTTGAAGCAGCATCCAATTTCTGCTAGATGATTAGAAAAATAATATCATAGAGAGCAACAATTCTTACTTGGTTGGGGAATACAAGTCGATCTTGAATTAACCAGGTTTGCTCCATTGTACCCTTCAGTCGTGGGTCATCCGTGGCGCGGTTGATCTCAGCAGTGGCCTCACGAAGTCGAATGAGAACCTTCTCGATCTCCATATGAGAACTTGGACAGTCACATACAGGGGTATACTTGAGAAGCTCAGCGAAGAGGAGTGGGTATCTGCAGATTCTTTGGATCGGCTTCAAGTCATTAGCAGAAGCTCTGGGTTGTAACGAAGTTGGGGAACTCACTTTGACTAAGAGGTCACCAATAGTTAATGACTTCCTGGAATTGTCAAGGTGATAATTTACGGCGCCTAGAGAAGCAGCTAATGCTTCAAGTCCCTTTTGGTACGTCTCCCACTGGGGCAGTTCTCGATGAGCAGAAGCAACATCCTTGATCATTAGCTCGTACTTTGCGCCATATTCCTCATAAACAAAGAATCGATTCATCTGTTGTAGTGTTAATATAGTTGAACATTGTAGTTTTAGTAAAAGATAACGCTTTTATGGTACGATCGAATAATCACACTCACTCTTTTCCCGAATATATGAGCTACCTTGGCAGCAATACTCGGCTCAGCAATCACACTAGGAATATGCTGCAACCAGGAGGTCTCTCCTCTGTCCTCGGGAACAGAATCTAGACTGCGCCAGCGATGATGCTTCTTGGCTGCCGATGGATTGGGAGCGACTGGGATACGCTCGGGCTGCGTATACTCGGAGTTGGGCACGACTCGGTGAAGCTCACCAAGAATTTCCTCATGCAATTCAACTATATCTGTCAAATTACGATTTATGGAGGCACGAAGGCCCCATTGCGGTGATGGTAGAGAAGCTAAGATGGTAACATAGACCTAATATCTAAATCAGTGCTGGTGGCTTAGTGGGAGTTGGCAGGACCGAAAACATACGTTCATGAGGAACTTGACATCTCCAATATAGCTTTCTTCGGTGTTGATGAACTCCTCTAGAATACGTCGTCTTTGAAGCAACCTTTCTGTCACTCCTGGATCATTTGACACTGTTCGCTCGAAGCCGGTGCTATCCTCGGAATACCGCTGGCCGGTTGATCCTCTGCTACTAAGATCTGACCTGCCTTGGAGCGATGATCGTCCAGTATGTCTCCGTGGCCGCGTTATCACGCTGGTGCTAGCAAGACTCACGCTTGCGCTTCTGACAGCGGCGACGAATCCAAAAGAGGACCCAGAGGATGATTTCCTGTGGTTATTTAACGACGTAACGTCGTGCCCTATATGACTTTCCGAATATTCGGGGAATGACTCGAACCCGCTACGGTCATGTTGGATCCTCGAACGGTGGGCTCGTCTATGTAGGTTCTTCATCCACTTGTGAAATGGCCCGACTATCGGCGAAGAAGTTCCTAACTGCCCAGACTCAACCCCGTCACCCCCAACATCTTCGAGAGAGAACCTAGGTAAGCCAGTTGAATGCGTTACCTCATCCTCGTCACTTTCCAAAGTCAAGCCAAGTGCTGCTATATTATCCAACGTATTCCAAGCGTCTTCTCCATCACTACGAACGAAATCGGTCTCTTCGAAGCTAAGGCCCAGGCCCGGATCGGTTCGATTTAGCTTGAGGGCCGCTGCCCAATCGGTCTTGCCAGCAATACGTACAGAGCCGCTCTGTGAACAAGGTCGAAGAGGATCGGCCGTCAAGACGGCGAGAGACATGATGGTGATGAATGGTGACCAAGAAATGCGGACCAAGAAACTGAAGATGCAAATATGTCACCCAAGACACCAAAAGCAACCGGCTCGAGGCTCAATTCAAAACATGATGATCAAAAACCAAGGGAACGATGTAGTTGGCTAGGAGGAGGACTGGAAAACGAAGAGTCTCCTCTTGAGAGCATTATTGAAATGCAGGTGATACTGCAAGTTAGACCATGCAGTAACCCTAGCACGGTAAAGGGAAGGATGGAAAGAAAGACAGCGAGACTAAAGCTACTAGTTAGGTAGACAACGAACGACGAAAGGCTGCAGGCTGGCTTCGAGCCTGGCGAAAAAGAGGAAATGGAAGCTTCAGAAAAGAGATATGGAAGTTTCAAGATTAAAGAGAAACAGCTCCTACCTCTGTCTCCGGGACGAGGTTTCGTAAATATTTGGTCGGGTTCTTTCAATGTTTATGAGGTGACACCAATCTTAACCTTACTGGTAGCTATCTGGGTAAGTATCCAGGTATCTAGGTACGCATGTACAGAAGAAGGCGCATTCCAATGAAATCTGCATGCAAGCCATGCTCATTGTAGTGACACCAACGTCATAAACGACGATCCACATTTCGCGTTTTCGTCCATACGGAATAGGTGTCAATCTAAAATCATATAGTTTGGATAATTCTTTATTACATGATATCGTGCTAGCAGAAAAGGAACAAGTTTTGAGGATGGGTATGAGAAAGATATAATCTATATAATATAACGTACATATATGACCGGTCTAATGCATGCAGTATCTTACATGCTCTCGCCATCACAGTGAATACGAAAGTGGACACGACACACCGTCGGTGAGTCGGTGGTAACCATCAGCCCAATTGCCAATTCGTCACATGCATTGCATATCTAGGCCGTACCCGCTGATAGGCAAATGATTTGATTGGATGATTTCATCGTAGCTTATCGGACAAGGCTAGCCAATCAATCGAGCCGGGTAGAAGTTCGCTTAATTCTTTATTCTGCCCCACACCACAAACCCGCTTACCCAATTATCAAAATCTCCAAACTTTAACGGGTAAAATTTCACAATCTCCTCTTTCTTCCCTCAACCGCGAAATTTTACTAACCCACAGCCATCACCAACGTCAATCGACAACAACCGATTAACGATGGCAAAGGAAGCGCCTGCCCGTACCGGGCTCACCATCGGTCTCAACCGCGGCCATGTAAGATGATACCCCGATATATCTACCTACCCGTCTACCTACCCGTCTACCAAACCTCGGAGTAAAAAAAAGATATACCAAGAGTCGTTTCCGCCCGTCTCACCTCGTGGAGGATCTCTGCTCTTGCAATATTTTTTCTCTCTCTGAAAAATAAATACGTTGCAAATATAAGCAGACGATGGACAATGGGCTGACTTTTGGTCCTTTTGGGAAATTATAGAAAACCACAGCTCGCGTCGTTAAGCCCCGTGTCTCCCGAACCAAGGGCCACCTGAGCAAGCGCACCGCTTTCGTCCGTGATATCGTCAAGGAGGTTGCTGGGTAAGTCAAAGTCATTTTAAAACTATCCCTCTACTAGTCGTTGGTTACACTACGTTGGAGTCATTTTCACGTGGTGTGTAATGAGGTGTCTAGGGCAAAGGCTACGCCCGTACAAGGTCATAAGATTGCTAACATCCGACTTCTACCTTAGTCTTGCCCCCTACGAGCGCCGAGTCATCGAATTGTTGCGCAACAGCAAGGACAAGCGAGCACGTAAGCTAGCCAAGAAGCGGGTACGTATTTGCACACCATTATTCGCCTTCTAGAAAAATCCACAGACTAATTAACTCCTCAGCTCGGTACCTTTGGCCGTGCCAAGAAGAAGGTCGACGAGCTCCAGCGAGTCATCGCCGAGTCCCGCAGAGCCGGTCACTAAACGACATCACCTCGAGAGGGCATGGCAGTTTATGGGCGTCGAGGGAACGAAAAGTAACTTTGGCATGAGGTCTGGCGTCCGTCTTTCGGCATGGATGATTTACGCAGGATCGGGCTGGACAGATAGCTCAATGATAGCTACCAAATGACACAAATGGGAATTAAGGAATTTCTTCTACGTGCACCCTCATCTTCGTTGATAATCAGTACGGCATTTGATTTGCTCGACAACTCCATAATGCAGCCAGAACTCCATACAATGCGATCGTCACCGTTCTAGCAGACTAGTAAATGCTTAAGTTCCTCGTTCAATAATGCCCTTTTTATTTTTTACCACCAAGCCCTTTCAACCACTTCGGTTTCTTAAAACCAGAACTATCTCCTCCAGAGCTCGGTTTGGGCGCCGGTGTTGGTACATAAGAACTAGGGCCTGCCTCACCCACAACATCAGGTGGTTCTTCCGGCACAACTACTTGTTGAGCTTGGCCAGCAGCACTGCCCTTCAGGAAAGGCTGCCCCCGGACTTCGATGGGTACCCTTTCATCCCACATAAAGTTGACTAACGTATTAGAACTCAACCGATATCCGCCGATGAGCTTGCTCGCCGGGCTGCTGTCGTCCTTGATCACTACCTTTCCGGGAGGAAGCGCTAGTTTGAAGGGCGCCGTATCGTTGGCCATTATCTTTCTAACCTCCGCGTACAGCGCCGCACCGGTGTCGTCGGGGCCGAAGGGCCACTCCGCGGAAAAGTTGTCCGGGAAGCGGACTTTGATCCGGATGGACTTGACGGCTGATACTCTAGCAGCCTCGGCCGCGGCTTTCGCTTCGAGCTCTTGGTCTGAGAGAAGACGCTTGTTTTCTCCTGCGGTCTTGAGAAGTCGTTGGTGGGCCTGTGCGTGTTCGATACGCGGAGCGAAAGCATCGTCTGAATCAGTTCGCAATGCCGCAACTGGAGTGCCTGATGTTGGTGCGGAAAAGATGGTAACGGGACGGTGGTCGGCGGATGGAACGTCGACGTCCATGGCATCGGCGTCTGTTGTGGGCTCTTGTGCGGTAGAAGGGCCTGTGTTATTCTCGTGAACAGAGGGAGGTGTTTCTGTTTCTGGGTTATCCACCGAGGGGATGCTTGGTGCGTCATTAGGAGGTATAGCATCAAGCGAACTAATCGTCTCGTTGTTTGTCGTAGACCCGACATTGGATTCTTCTGCTTTCCGATCCTCTTCCTCTGCCTTGAAGTGACGGCTCATCTCCGCCATAGCATCAACCAAGGTGACATCAGTTCTGCGGAAAGACAGGCGTATCAGGACACTCCCCGAATTATATCCTAATTGCGACAGAGTCTTCTGGAAGTCGGCGAAGGTGGACAACGTTCTGTTCTCGATCGTCAAGACTGGCGTCTCATAGTATAACTGCCCACTACCCGCAGCCGTGCCATTACTCGTCTGCGCCACCCCTCTGCCCGTGATGTTCAAGTTCTTCCCTTGGCCAGACTTGCCACTCTCGAACTGGCGCAGCAACTTCCATAGCGTAAAGTCGCTTGGCAGCTTCTCCGTAACTCGGCCTGACGGTGGGAATAGGTTCGACTCGGGGGGCGGAAATTGCAATGCGACGTTGATCGCGGTGGGTGTATTAGAACGGACGACAAGTTCGAGCTTCGCGCCGGGTACGAGACCAGAGGTTCGCCATGTGTTTGAGAGGTCTAGTTGTTTTTGCTTATGCTTTAATAAATACTTGCTTGAAGGGACCTTGAGCTTCTCGCAGGCCTGCTCCAAGACATCTGTCAAGTAGGTGCCTGGGTTGACCTTGATAGTCACCTGCTTGAGGTCTGTCCCCACAACCTTGACGTTGGTAGCCATAGGAAGGAAATCGGATACCTGTAAGGTATCAAGGAGAACAAAGATCTGGAAGTTCGAATAGTGTTTCTTGATTTCTTGATTCCTTGGAGGTTATATAGACTCGGACGGTGCTTTCGCAACAATAGATGTGTTTATCTCGTTGACCAGATAGCAAGGAGTCATGAAATTAACGATAGAATGTAAAAGAATATTTACAAGGTCGCTGTTGAAAGATACCTAGAGTATGTCGTAAGTACGATTACATCAGCCCTCTGATTTGTACCTAGCTACAGGCAGCTTCCTGCTGATGAATTGATTGAATGGAGGGGCTGTTTCCCACACTTAGGTACGTTCAAATGCACAGGGATGACAGTACAAATGATAGGTACCCATAACCCGCTATTTTCCCGACCAGACCTGATCGGGAGCTGAAGCTGCCGCGCCAGACGTGTTTGCCTTGCCGACTGGGAAGCACTTGCATTTACAACCACCAACCTTCAGCCCGGTCTAGCCATTGAGCTGTCCTCACCCAAAACGAGCCTCTTTACTATTACAATAACGATATAGCACGGACGGCCCCAGTTCACATCTAAACCTCAACACATCCACAATAATTGGAGCCATATCGTCAGCTTCTTTCAATCCAAAGCCAGACATTTTGACGCCATGGTAAGCTCCCTCAAGCTCTAAACCGCCTGGTAGACCGGCCTAGCTAACATATCCTCATAGTCGTCACCTTTCTCCATAAGTGCGCTTTTCCTCATCCCGCCCTGCTACCCCGTTCCCCAAACAAACTCGAAACAGAGCCAAATAGCTAACCACCGAATCTTTTTTCGCCATGTACAGACGGCGGCGCCTGCGTAGCCATGGTGGGCAAGGACTGCGTCGCCATCGCCTGCGACCTGCGCCTCGGCCTGCAGTCGCTCACGGTGTCGAACAATTTTCCCAAGATCTTCCGCTACGGCGACGTCTTCCTGGGCCTGACCGGCCTGGCCACCGACGTGTCCACCGTGTCGGACCTGTTCCGGTACAAGGTGAACATGTACCGCTTGCGCGAGGAGCGCAATATCGCGCCCACTACCTTCGCCAACCTGGTGTCCTCGTCCTTGTACGAGCGTCGCTTTGGCCCCTTCTTCGTCAGCCCCGTCGTCGCCGGCCTCGAGCCCAAGTCCGGGAAGCCCTTCATCTGCGGGTTCGACTCTATCGGCTGCATTGATTTCGCCAAGGACTTCATCGTCTCCGGCACCGCCTCCGAGCAGCTGTTCGGCATGTGTGAGAGCTTGTGGGAGCCCGATCTGGTGAGTAATAACTAATGAGGCTTTGACAAGTCTGAAAGAACATCGAGAGGAATGTTGCTGATACGTGTGCTTAGGGACCCGACGACCTCTTCGAGACAATCTCCCAGGCTCTGTTGAGCGCCGTGGACCGAGATGCTCTATCAGGATGGGGTGCACACGTGTACATTATTGAGAAGGACAAGGTCACCAAGAGATTATTGAAGGGCAGACAAGACTAAGGGAGCCAAATTACCTACTCTGATACCAATATACCAGGTTACGTTAGCTACTATACTAAGTAGCTAGTGATCTGAAATGGTACATTGGTCCTGTTAAACCAAACCCAAGAGTGGGCATGGCCCGATGATAGTCCTTGGGGCAGTGTCAACGAAGCCTGACAAGCAAGAGCAGACATGCGATGGCGAAGAGAATCCATCGTTGTGCTACCATTTTAGATAGTACCTCGTTCAGGGCCACTAATGACAAGACATTATTTCAGATCAACAATTTTTCATGAATTCATGGTGTTTCTCGTAATTGTGCACAGCCGAAGAGGCGTATACACCTATATATAGTACATCTAGTCTAGTCTAGCGTCTAGAAACAAGGTCTATGGCCAATTATGCTTCCTTCTTGGACTCTGTCTCTTCGCTTGTCGTCTTCTGGAGTAAGAGTTGCCTCTCAATAGCCTTGAGGACTTCATCTATAAGACTAGGAAGAGTTAGCGTACCGCATATCTCATATTCACGAGGTTAACTTACATGACTGGGGCGCTGATGATGAGCACCGCTTTCCACTCCATCCAGTTCAGAGGCAAGATCGAGAACAAGCCCTGAAGGAAAGGAGTGTAGAGAAGTGCAAAGTGGAGTGCCATCGATAGCCCAACAGCGTAGACAAGCATCATGTTTTCCCAAAGTGGCAAGGTTAATAGAGACTCGCTGGATGATAGAGCGTTCATGGCGTTTAGCATTTCGATGACGACAAGGATGGAGAGTGATATCGTCGATGCCGCTTTAGACATATCGTTGCTGAACATTTCACACCCAATACTCGAAAACTCCGAAGAGCATCGGTGGAAGTGCGAAAGTTGGTAAAAGGTGATCTGAGGTCCCTCGGGGTTATACATGAACCACCAAGCGTATCCAGCAACAGTGGCAATACCGACGTAAGTACCAATTACCAGGTAGCGGAAGAATAGCCAGCCACCAATCAGTGCCTCATCACGCTTCCGTGGCTGTCTCTTCATAATATCGTGGTCAGGAGGGTTGAAAGACAACGCTGTGGCAGGTAAACCATCGGTAACAAGATTGACCCATAGGAGTTGGACAGGAATGAGAGCCTCTGGCATGCCAAGGGCGGCAGTGAGAAAAATCGAGACGACCTCTCCGATGTTGGAGGAGATAAGATACCGGATGAACTGTTGTGTATTGTTGTAGATGGACCGGCCTTCCTCAATAGCAACTTCGATGGTCGCGAAATTGTCATCAGCGAGCACCATATCAGCAGCCAATTTAGAAACGTCGGTACCGGAGCCCATTGCGACACCAATATCCGCCTTCTTGAGAGCCGGAGCATCGTTAACGCCATCACCTGTCATAGCTACAACCTCGCCGAGAGACTGGAGGAGATCGACGAGTTTCGACTTGTGGCTAGGCTCAACGCGAGAGAAAAGAGAGGCGTTCTTCGCTGCGTCCAGCTGTTCGCTGGGGCTCAGATTATCGAATTCTCGGCCAGTATAACTCTTGCCCTTAAGGTCCTCATATTCTCCAAAGACACCGATTGAGCGGCAGATGCTCTCTGCTGTGTTGCGATTATCACCGGTGATCACGATAACTCTGATTCCTGCAGCCTTGCATTTCTTGATGGCACTGGCGACTTCTGGTCGAGGGGGGTCTAACATGCCGACGAGACCTAGTAAGGTAAGGTTCTGTTCAAGTTGAGCATACTGGGCTGTCGACTTGGCATTCTGGAGTAAGGGGTTGGATCCAACATCGTCAACGCTAGCGAGGGCAATAACTCGCAATCCACGGTTACCGTATTCGACCACTTCCTTCATGAGTAGAGAGTAGAGCTTGTCATCGATACGAACTCGTTTGCCATCAGCGCCAACCAGAGTGTGTGTACAGCGCTCGATAATCGATTCAGGAGCACCCTTAACAAGAAGCTTCTTCTGCTCGCCGGCTTGAATAAGGACAGACATACTTTTCCGGTCACGAGAAAACTCATACGTAGCCAACCGAGGAAAGTTAGACTCATACCAGGTGCTAGCATGGTGAATGCAGTCATCAGGGTTCGAGTTCGCCGGCGCACAAGGTCCAATCTTCTCAGCAAGGACTCTCAGAGCTCCTTCGGTAGGCTCTCCCACATTGGAGAAAGTACCAGATCGGGCATCGTACACGAGCCGAGCATCGTTACATAGAGCTGCTACCTCGTTCATCTGTCGGATTGTGCTTGAGCTTTGAAAGAGGTCCTTCACAACCTTGCCGTTGTGCGTGATATTTCCCTTCGGCGCGAACGTTGTACCTTCAACATCCAGTTCCTCCAGGTCGGAGCCGTTCTTGTTTATGTAGACAACCTTGCTCACGCTCATCTGGTTCGTAGTGAGAGTACCGGTCTTGTCCGAGCAGATAACACTGCAGCTACCTAAAGTCTCCACGGACGGCAGACTTCGGACAACAGCATTCTTCGCAGCCATTTTGCGCGTTCCCAAAGCTAGACATGTTGTAATCACAACGGCGAGACCCTCGGGGATTGCCGCAACGCCAAGAGAGACAGCAATCTTCAAGTAGTAGATAGCGCCTTTAGTCCAGTTTCCATGGCTCGGGTCCGCAAAGTTCGGGATGTTAATGAGCCATACGAGGACACAAATAACCGTAATAACCTTTGCCAGCGAGTCGCCAAAATCATTGAGCTTTTGCTTCAGGGGGGTCGGCTCGGAAATCTGAGCGGTGATACTCTCATGAATGTCGCCAATCGCAGTGTTAGACCCAGTCAAAACAACGACCGCCTTAGCACGACCTGTTACAACAGTTGTTCCCGAGAAAAGCATGTTGACCTGATCCTGCAGCACCGCCTTATCGTCTTTGACGACAGCAGTATGATCTTTTCCCACGCTCTCGCTTTCGCCGGTCAAGATAGCCTGGTCCATAGCAAAGCTGTTGCTCTCGATCGCAATAACGCGGCAGTCGGCGGGGACCCTATCACCAACCGACACTGAAATGATATCGCCGGGAACCAGCTCTTCAGCTTTGACGCGCGAGACATGTCCATTGTTCCTGATCACGCTGGCAACATTCGCAGAGTATTCCTGGAGCGCGGCAATTGCCTTCTCGGCACTGCTTTCTTGGGACACGCCGACAACAGCATTGAGTACGAGAATGGTTAGAATCTATAGAAATGGGTGTGTAAGCTTCTGAATCGCAAAGGCAAGACTTAGGTAGGTAGATAGTTCAAGGAAGACTTACGACTAAAGGATCTACGAATGCGCTCCAACCAGTTTCGTCTTCAAAAAGAGCCAAAACGAAAGATACAACTGCTGATCCTAATAGTATTATAACTAGCTGGTCTTTGAATTGTTCGAGAATGAGCTCCCATAGAGGCGTGGGCGGCTCTTCTGGAATAGCTACACCAATGGTTAGCACATATTTTGACTTACATAAATGTTAGCTCTGGGCGGCGCAAACTTACAATTCTTGCCATATTTATTCCGTAGCTCGACGACCTGCTCATCTGACAGACCAGATTTTGCGTCTACTTTGAAACTGGCCAGGACCTCATGGATAGGTTTCGCGAATGCGCTCTCCATGACAGTCGACGTAGGTGGGGGATCTTATGGCCGTAGCTTATTTTTCTGATAGAACCAAACAAAATATAGTGGGATGTCAGGGGGAGGCGTGTTAGTGAGTACCTTCGACGAGCACGCAATCAAACGGAGCTGGCTCAACCGAGGATTGGAATTGATGGAGGGGTGGGTGTTATGAATGTGAAGTGAAAAGACGTTCATGCGACGCTTCAAAGATGCCACATGTCTTTTTACTTAGCACATCCACTACCTGAAAATTGCCACAGAATAAAAAAGGTAGACCTCCAGGGCTCGTAAATGTAAACGAGGAATGTGTCAAAGTCAAACTATTAAAGATTGTCGTGGAAAAGAATCGTTACCTACTGATAAAGTCGAAAGTGGATCCCTTTACAAATACTACGGTATTGTACACAGCAACGTGTTCTCTCAAATTCCGCCTAGCCAGCTACCTAGCTTTTAGCTCTTAGTAACAGGGAAGGCGGCAAGGCGGGTTTTCTATGGCTGCTCAAATGTTCCGGCCAAACTGCTCCAAACTGGGCCAAATTGGTCACCAGGTTGCCAGTGCACCGCGAGCCCCATCAAACTTAACACCAATATCCTTGCTGTTAAAGTATCTTGGGGTCCAAAAATCCATTTCGATTGGACAAACTCTATGACTTGCATTGTTAGCTGTGTACCTCAGGGTACCTACCTACCTAAACCTTCATGAACTGTCGGATAGGCGCAGCGGGTCTGGTTTTCTTTGTAATCAACACTATCAATCATACGTACACGGTACATAAGAATATAAGGATATCTCGGCAGAATCAGAACCTTGAAGATATTTGGCGATAGCTTACCTGCGTAAACGCTTTTACTACGCTTGTTTGCATGGGATACTAAAGAATGCAGAAATCGCGGAAATACCGATATACATAGGTACCTAGGCGTTATTAGACCTATGAATTAGACCTGCAATTCCTTTCTCGTAACTCTCTATTGGGTGTTGTTGCTATCTAGTAGCTGCTGAACGCAGCCATGCATGCGAAATCAACGGTTATGAAAGGTCCTCGGTCCCAATCCAGCTTGTGCAGCTTAATTGTTCCGCACTAGCTCACACAAGCCCCTTATCCTTCATGAAGTCGAAGTATTACCGTGACCCATCCTACTCATGTGGCATATCCTCTCGTTGTTGCTCATTTACAAGTCGTCATCGTCATCCTCGCCAGGCAGCGGCATGGTGGCAGCCTCGTCCATCTCCTTCTTGTATTGCTCAAGAAGCTTCTCATCGACTTGAGCAGTGGGAGGGGCGAGGGCGGGTGCGGCGACGAATTCCTAATTAGGTTAGCTTAATTGGTACTGTTTATTACATCAAGCCGACTTACCAGAGCAGGGTTGCCAACGAGCTTGCGAGCAAGCCACAGGAAGGGCTTCTCGAAGTTGTAGTTGGACTTAGCCGAGATGTCGTAGTATTGCAAGTTCTTCTTGCGGTGGAATGTGATAGTCTTGGCCTTGACTTTACGCTCCTTCACGTCGACCTTGTTACCGCACAGAACAATGGGGATGTTCTCGCAGACACGGACCAGATCACCTATAGTACAAGCGTTAGTTAAGTAGTAAGATGGCCCAAGAGTTGAATTCCTACTTACGATGCCAGTTGGGGACGTTCTTGTAAGTGATTCGGGAGGTGACATCGAACATGATGATGCCACATTGGCCGTTAATGTAGTAACCATCGCGGAGACCACCGAACTTCTCCTGTCCAGCGGTATCCCAGACGTCGAAGGTGATGTTGCCGAAGTTCTAATTATGGTTAGATGGTTTGCGCCAAACAGAGGGAATGCGAAATCGCGAGGCGAGGAATGGTTTGACTTACGGTCGTAAAGCCAAGGGGGTGAACCTCGACACCGAGAGTTGCCATGTACTTCTTCTCGAATTCACCAGTCAAATGACGTTTGACGAAGGTGGTCTAATCATCATGATCACTGGTCAGTGGCAGGATCTTTCAAAAGGCGGGGCAATTTATGCGCAGGCGATCTTGATAAACAGAGTCTAGCATGGCGACAGGGACTCAACGGATAAAAAGATAGCCTGAGATGAGCATATTAGACGGGAATAATTACTTACCTTGCCGGTACCACCGTCGCCGACGAGGACGAGCTTGAAGGTAGGCGTTTCAGCTGCCATCTTCGGTTGTTATGAGATAAACAGAAAATGGAGAGGACTAGGCTTGATGTTAGTGGGGGTTCGCTAGAAGTTGTAGAAGAAAAATGTAGAATTCTTCTTCGCAATCTCGACGGAATTGTAGCTACGATATGTATCGAGATGCAGGCGGACGTACTTGATATGATCGAAAAGGCGACGAAGAAGCGGTCTTGGTAGTATCGCAAATTTCGGTGTTGGCAAAAGTTGATGGGCGGACTAATTGTTTTTTAAGAGTTGGAGGCGGGACCTGGCGTGAATAAGGTTGGGTTTCCCTCAAAAAAAAATCGGGCGCACGGTTGCGGGGCAGCACGTGATCCCTGGGCATTAATGGAATGGAATGAGCAATAAGTGAAGGACGACATGGAAGGAATGACGCACATTTGAAGTGGGCAAGTTCGTTCTGCCTGCAAGGACAATATTGACGGCAGGTATACCTGCACATACATATCCATATACAACGTATTACACCGTGGACCTACCTGGTATGTACCCAACCTGAGCCCAGGCGTCCAATTAAGATAGGTAGATGCATTCAATGTTCTCTGAGGCAGGCACTTATTCATAGTACGTATTTTTATGCCGGAAGGAACTGAAAAATAAATTAATATCGACCTTTTAGTCTTTATTTCGAAAGACTACCTTTCTTTCCATCACCAACCTCCCCCTCTCTACTACAGATTTCAGGGCAGTGCATTCCATGGAAATCTGTCCTATCCATAACAGCTTCTCCGATATACCAACATACATCTAGCTAGAAATATTTGCTCGTTAGGCTTTGCTACGGTCTTAATGATGGGATCAAGATCTGAATCCATCGTACCCAATTCTATGCGTAATGTTTATTTCCTGCCTAAGCAGCTTAGTAGGTATCTAACTAAGGATACATATTTCTTGGCTGAGAGCTCTTGATCGATCCTCACCAACTTAATCCATATACCCTAGCCACTTTATGTCTCACTTTACATATGTCTTCAGAGGACAAGGGATTGAATTGCAATGACCTTACCTGCCAGATCATTTGGTGACCTCATTCACCTTGTAGCACCACGAGCCCAACTCTTATCGCGTTAGGAGTCTTGTAGTGTGGAAACAGGCTGGGCATCGATCAGGCTATGGAAGAATAATGCCTTATGTATCTGTTGGCATTGTTGATTCCCGGACCGGCCTTTTTTTGAAGCTGTTTGATCGCGTTAAATGGGTACATAGCTCTACCTGACTCCCCGCAAAACATAAATCAAGGAGCTCATGTGCCGTTCACGAGCATTAAATCGCCTATCTTATCAATCAGGCAACGCCGTAGCCTTATCTATACAGCCAGAGGAAATGTGCCGGATGTTGAGGTAAAGGGGGGGACATTGTATCGGGAATGAACATTCGGTGCTGCGTAGAATCTTCTACAACGGCAAGATGTGGCATCCCAATAGACCTCTGCCTCCCCAATTCCGTCGAGGGGTTAAATTCAGCTGTAGTTCTTGTCTTCCACCTGACTCATTCCGACGGGAGATTTTTACGAGGATTCTTTGCTGTATAATACTTTTAGTCTTACGGGCCTAACTTGACGAATCAGGTTCTGGTGGGGTTCGACTTACGCCTTCATTGCCCTGGACACACTCTGCTACTTTCTTAAGACCGTCATGATTTTCCTTATTTACGTACCCGAAATTTCGGATCTCATCTCCAGGTTTTAAGCCAGCGGACTCCGCTGGGCTGTTTGCAACGACGCTGTTGACTTTCGCAAAGGGTTCTTCTAGAGTGGCTGGGATCGAGTCGCCTAATATCCCGGTACGGCTTGTCGACGTGGGTACAACATCTTCGGTGTCTTGGATGCTAGCAAAATGTTCGTGGAGATGTTTCTCTATAGCGCTCATGAGATCTTTGTAATCGTTCTTCAAATGAATGATTCGTGCTCGAGTGGTGCGTACTATAGAGAAGAATTAGTTTTAATCAGATAAGACGTTGATCAAGTAGGACCCTACTTTGTGCCACGTCAATATCTGCTCGGGGAAACCCGTCGGCGGTAGTCAAAGGCGTTTCCATGTTGACTCCATGCTATAAATGGGATCAGGATCATGATTTCAAGAAAAAGAGACTGCGCCACTTACAGAGTCAAGGACACTGCTCAAAGCCTTCAGTTCGGCTTCCAAATTCTCCTTCTTAGCCTGAAGCTCGGCAAAGGATAGGTGCTTCGCATTTCCGTTCGCCAGTGGCCGGGACGAAGGTCCCGCAGGAACCGTAGGTGCGTGAATAGTATCCATTCTTAATGGAAGTCCCATTATATTCTTGAACGGGTCAGGTCAACTGTCATCATATGATAGTCGTTACCATATATCAGATAATCAGTTTTTTAAGAAGCTTTGGAATTGGCTGGAGTTGAGGAGTGAGGTTTAGGCCGGCATAGAGAGGACGCGTTGGGAGGTGGGATGGCGGGGTCAGCCAATGAGGTAACCGATCCACATAGCCAGGAGGTAGTAATTAGGTCGTATGTACCTACGTATAAAGATATCCGCACTTTCACCCCGCTATAACGGGGTTCTTATTATGTGGACACTTGCATATCACCTCATCCTGCCTATTGTTGTTTGAAAAGAGATGTTGGTATTTTCAACTTGTCTAAACTACGTGTCTTCCCTTTGTTTGTTTGGTATACAGGCCATATTGCTCGGGTACACATTAATATGTAACACACCGACGTAGTCGGGCTTTGATGAGAGTATCTACGCAATACATGTGGTATGGCGTGAGGAATATGAAAATATGAAACTTGGAAAAAAGTCGATTTTCTTTTTTTATCATTTGAAGCCTCAATTTTATAAGCATTGGTGTACCTCTGTACCCGAGCCACTTATGAGGCCACCAATTTATTGGTATCGATGTCAGATAGCGTTAAGAAGCTTGAGAAGTTTGTTTCTCTCCTGGCCCCTGCAGGTCCATACCGTCGGTTACGCGCAGGAAGCTACCCAGGGGGATGGGGTACGTAATGTTATGTGGAAAGATGTGGAAAGGGGGTACAACTTTAGCGAATCATCCATCTGATTGCATCGGGATCTGCAACGCAGCTTCAACGGCTTACAAAGATAGGCGAGGAAGCCGCACAGATTCGTACTCGGGTAATTCATATAAGAAATATACCGATCTTAGTACAGTAATGAATAGATGAATGCTGATGTCTTGGCAGGGGAAAATTGTTCCCAGGGCCTTACAGAATCCGATTTAAAACGAGTTCTTATTAGAGTACCTAGGTAGGTCCACCTTCGTACGTTTGTTGTTGGTCATTGTTCTGATGAAAGATCAAGTTTGACTAATAGTACCTGGCTCACTAGGAAATTCGGGAACCTTTAATAGCTCTTGAAGTTCTCTCTTCGATATTTCCATATCTGCATTCTCTTACCACGCTCTTTACATCACTCTTTACATCACTCTTTACATTACTCTATCTGGGCCGACAACATTCGCTTGGAACATATTAGAAAATGCGTACTGCTATTCTGTTCGGCCTATTGGCCGCATCGGCAACTTCTTATGCCTTGAAATACACCGTCCCTGCAAGCCTTAAGGCTACAGCTGTGGACTGTGTTTATCCGGCCAACTATACAGTCACCAACTTCACCGTCTTCACAAACGCAGCCGACAGCGCAAAAAACGTCACCTCGTTCTATTTTGCTGATGCAGGCACTGGAATCAACACTACGTGTAGTCACAATTTGACTTCGAAACCGAGTTCTGTAGGCACGAACCGATGGCCTTGCGACAACTCAAATGTCTCGTTCATTTACCAGACGACTGGAGTTGCTGGCTTGACCATGGTTGAGGTGGCGTGTCCCGGCAGGTGTGTACATGATTTTGAAGCTAGCAATTACTATATCATGATGGCTAATCGCGAATATAGCACTCCCCAGTTCGAAGCCTCTGGACTTATCACACCCAACCTCACCTGCACAAACTCAAGTTCGGCCTCAACGTGCGTGGCTAAGCAATCTATCTTGGGAGAGTTCGACAGTTTTGAACCTGCACCTCCGTCTTAGGCCGAGAGCCCGCAGCTTGGCCGAACGGGATAGGGGTTAACTGATGGATTATGTAGTAGTATGGGTATGAAATATGATATTGACTCTATGGATGGGAATATACTTAATGATAGATGGCTATGATCTGCACTAGACGTTATTAGATCTACCAAGGAAAAGAGCGATCGATGGATGGACTACCTTAACATCTAATACATACACACGCATTAATCAATCAATGTTCAATCTAGAGATTCTCACTATTTTGCTATTTCACAGGTTCCCCTATATCTGACTACCGCATAACTACTGCTTATTTGGGTGTCTCCAAGCATGGATGCAAGTACGGGAATGATGGCGCTACTTAAGAGTACCGAAGTCTAACCTTGGAGCAAGATCTAATTCAGCAGGTACCAGCAAGACCCCGGTCTGTACCCCGCGTTACCAAAGTTCCATGTAAGAACGGCTTCCCATTGGCTCAACAATCATTCACCTCGTCATTCCTTAGATTCAATTGCCCAGAAAGTGCTCCGAAGCCTTAGCCGGATCATGGCCAAAGTTGCTTTCCGACTGTCAACTTTATTTGGTACACCCTTTCCTTTTATTTAAACATCACATGAGCTAAGACCCAATGGGAACATTGGCGCAATGTTTAACGCACAAGTGTTCAACATCGACGGGGCGCTTTCAGTCTTCGTCATTATTTATCCTACATAATACCTAATAAACACCCATTCTCATCTGATTCTACTCTCCTTTCATAACTCCTCGGCTACGGGCCTACCTTTTGTAGGACATGGCTATTCTCAATAGCTTCTTGATAAGATGTTATTAAATCTACGGATCTAGAGAAAGACACAACCAAGTTTATCCTGTGTTACACCGTATACGATGATGATGCTAATGCTTTCTCTGCTGCTGTTGTATGCGGTCGCTGCGTCTGCATTCGGGCCTCTTCTCAAAGGGAGCCAGTATCCCGTCCAGCAGCATACTGATGCTTCAGCTCCTGACCACATCTCACCCAACCTCTTCGCATCTCTCGAGCGCTTCTCCCGCCTAGTCGACATCACCTACTGCGTTGGGACTACCGGCATCGCTCCGCCCTTTTCATGTGTATCTCGATGCGATGACTTCCCGACACTTGACCTAGTCACAACATGGAACACGGGTGCTTTGATGAGCGACAGCTGTGGATATATTGCTGTTGACCATGGGACAGCCTCGAAATCAGATATACATAACGGAAGTGTTAATAGCAGAGGCCACACGATGGAGAGCAAGAGCCAAGAAGCAATTATTGTCGCATTTCGTGGTACATATAGCATCACCAATACCGTCATCGACCTAAGCACTATACCACAAGAGTATGTCCCGTATCCTTCACCCGATCAAGATGAATCCGAAGCGCCCAAGGAGCCGAAATATACCTGCCACAATTGCACGGTTCATATGGGCTTCTTGACGTCATGGAAAATAGCTAGAACTGTTGTTCTGCCGGCACTCGAGCCACTACGCGAACGGTACCCCGACTATCCGATTTTCCTCGTCGGCCATAGTTTAGGTGGTGCTGTTGCTGCTCTCGCGGCCTTGGAACTGAAAGTCATTTCTGGTTGGGATAAGATGGCCGTGACGACTTTCGGTGAGCCTCGAGTTGGGAATGATGGGTTTGTTGAGTATCTCAATTCGGCTTTCGAACTTGGCGGTGTAGAGAAGCCAATTGAGGCGCAAACGTATCGGCGCGTGACGCACGTGGATGACCCCGTGCCATTGCTTCCACTTTCGGAGTGGGGATACAGATCTCACGCCGGCGAATTCTTCATCTCCAAATCCGGCCTACCCCCCGAGCCGTCGGATATTCGGCCGTGTATTGGGAATTCCGATGCGCGGTGCATCGCTGGCTCAGCTGGAGAATCCCTTCGAAGGACCGGCCGGATCCTTGCTGAGAAACAGGCGCAAAATACACCCGTATGGACTGGAGGGTTATGGGATATTCCATCCCGGTTCAAATTGTGGCAGTTATTCTTCGCGCATCGAGACTACTTCTGGAGACTAGGGTTATGCGTACCAGGGGGGGATCCCATTGACTGGGGCCGGGACAAGTATCCCAACTATACTAATGGTGATGAGCTATGAGTCCATACGATGCCTAGTGTGAACATAGGGTGTCCTTAAGGCATTATGATTTCCTATTCCTCTAAGCTGGTTGAAGAGGAGAGATATAATTTGACAATGTGAACAGAGTACCTTCACAGAACCTTGGAGATAATGCCTAATTATATGTTTGTATACTACTTAAAAGTTGTAGATGATCTAGGTTGATATAAGATATCATTCAGTATGATAAGTAGCAATTTTTGCAACAAAATATTCAATCTTTAGTATTACGTGCACCGTTTCATAGAAATAAGCACTTGTGCTATTGTAAGAATATCAAAGACATTTAAAGTTTTGTATGAAGTTACCGATTTGATTCGTAGTGTAGATTGAGGTACAACCATAGGTATTTATCAGCCCAATGCGCTCGCAGGTAGGATCATGAGGCTATAGATTTAAGTGAATGAACCAATCGATCGGATTTGATCATAGTGATAGTAGGACGGCGGAATCCGTAGGGCGAGCTTGTGACAAGGTCCTAATCGGTCTCGATTACTTTTGTCGTAGTAGAGGAGGGACCCGTGACTGGAAGAAAAGGATGCCAGCTCAGCCAGGACGGCTAAGCCTAGGAGAGTGATGACAACGCATGGACCGATAGACCACACGATGATAAGACCCTGCATGTAGAGTACCTAGTAGTGGGGTTTTAGAATCTCATGGCAACTTTGTAGGTGGTATGTTCATTGGAGGATACTATAGAATATTTTCCGTGCTATCGGTACAAAATGGTGTATGGTACAATATTTAAAGGCTACGATACGAGGCATTATCATGTTGTTGATCTGGGTCACGCGTCGAGAGTATAGAGAGAAGGCGAATGATGGTATATAATAGGTTGGGGGCCATTTCGCTGACTGATGTTGATATTAGGCTTCTCGTCTCATTCCACAGCCGACTCGCGCAACAAACGCTGCAGCGGGCATGCGAGTCAGCGTCTAGATCAGTGGTAGGTTCCATGCAGTGTTGGCTAGTTCTACTGGATAATGAAGCAATCATGTCGTCTTTTTGCTTATGAGGGGATAAATATACTAACATTATTGAGTGCTCAGTCCTCACGGTCCCTCAAACGAATATCCAACTACTACCTAGGTAGTATGTAGGTATGTACATATCCATGATGTAGGTATGTAGGTACGTAGGTACGACATAGAGCATGGATTAGCGAGTTCAAAGTTGAGGCGGACGATGGTGGGGAAACAAATTATCGTGTAATATAACTCTTATGCAGAATGTGAAGAACAAAAACAAGGACTGAATTAATTATGAAATATCATTCTAGATAGAGACAAACAGGGATAAAAAGTAAGTTTAAATGCTTTTATTGAGAGTATGAGTCTATGATGTTGGTGTTTCTTGATTTCAATGTTGATACGATTGTTATTGTTGTTTGTACTGATACTTGATAAGGTATAGGAGATTGGGAGAAGATTCCAGGCCGAAGACGGCAATGAGGGGCAAGCAAGCTTTTGACTGGAAGGTTAAGAGGTTGAGGTACCGAGATACAAACCAGGCAATTGCGCAGATTGTAATCGTAACCCGCCTGCCTGCTACTGCCTGCGTAACCCGAACCATGAGTGCTAGGCATTCACAGGCATTCAATGATCGTGCACGCTAGAATGAGGCGTATTGTAGGAAGTACCTGGGTACTTAAGTACTATGGATAGCAATGGATTTCTTTTCCGCACAAGCCAAGTGCTAAAGTTGGAGAACTCAGGCGCAATTTTGGGACAATTTTGGGACCTGACAGCCAGCACCCAGCACCTGGCCGCATTTACTGATTTCTCCTCCCGCACCTTAAACCTCGTCGATTTTCAACACCCTTTAACTTCGACGTACACTTGTAAACAATCCCACCTTTTTCCCATTCAACTCACAAACAAACAATCCATTACCCGACTCTCTATTTCTACGTCCACTTCCACTTTGATCGTCATCCATCTTGTTCACCACCATTACCCTTCGCACACCAGAGACCAAGATGACTACTGAGGTAAGTTTTCAATACCCTTTACCATTGCCCATTGCCCATTACCCCGAATCCCTTTTCCACATGCACTTCGAGGACTGCCTTGTCTCGGCCATGCTGCCATTCGCCTCCACCGCGCCCGCACACCACTGCATAACCTCATAACCTTAGTTGTACCTTCAATCTGGCATTCTTAGTACAAGGACTCTGCTAACATTAATTCTTACCTGTAGCGTGAAAGGTTCGTTAAATGCTGCGCATCCCCGCCTTTAGGTGACCGCTTTTCGACGTATAAGTACAAGGGGGAAATGGACTAATCAGCATTCTTCCACAGCAAGACCTTCCTGGCTCGCCTTTGCGAGCAGGCTGAGCGTTACGATGAGATGGTTACTTACATGAAGGAGGTCGCTAAGCTTGGCGGAGAGCTCTCTGTTGACGAGCGCAACCTCCTCTCTGTTGCCTACAAGAACGTCGTCGGAACCCGACGTGCCTCGTGGCGAATCATCTCTTCGATCGAGCAGAAGGAGGAGTCCAAGGGCTCTGATAAGCACGTCTCCACCATCCGTGAGTACCGAAACAAGATCGAGACCGAACTTGAGAAGGTCTGCCAAGATGTTCTGGATGTCCTGGATGAGAGCTTGATCCCCAACGCCGCCACGGGCGAGTCTAAGGTCTTTTACCACAAGATGTAAGTTGTCCTACCACAATCATGACAGCGTGCCCTCATATTACTACATACTAATGTTGTACCCCCCTTTTTCAGGAAGGGCGACTACCACCGTTACCTGGCTGAGTTCGCGTCTGGTGAGAAGCGCAAGGTCGCTGCTACCGCCGCCCACGAGGCTTACAAGGTAAGTTCAATAAGTCACGAGCATGCGTTGTACAAACATTGACGTAGATAATTTCATTAGAGCGCTACCGACGTGGCCCAGACTGAGCTCACCCCCACGCATCCCATCCGCCTAGGACTTGCGCTCAACTTCTCGGTCTTCTACTACGAGATTCTCAACTCACCCGACCGCGCTTGCCACCTGGCCAAGCAGGCCTTCGATGACGCCATTGCAGAGCTCGACTCATTGTCTGAGGAGTCCTACCGTGACAGCACACTCATCATGCAGCTGCTCCGTGACAACCTGACTCTGTGGACTTCTAGTGAGAGCGCCGAGGGCGAGGGTGCTGCCGCTCAGGAGGGCGCTAAGGAGGACAAGCCAGCCGAGGAAGCCGAGAAGCCTAAAGAGGAGGCTCCCGCCCCCACCGAGTCTTAAACACCTCACCGTTGATACCTTCTTGCCACGGCTACATATGCGTACTCCGTAAGATTTTCCGAAGGGCCGGGGTTTCGTTAATGCCTAACGGGCGAAGGATTTATGGCATCGGTTGGGAAGGGTGACTCAGGCGATTGTTTTGAACGTGGGAGTGGAAAATATGGACAGGCCTTTCCCTTGTCATTTTTTTCACTCGAGGATATGTCAGTAACGGCTACACTATAGTATGCCCTGACTGGACAATACGATATGCATTTCCACAACTACGGCTGTATTTCAACTACCTCTGCGCATACAGGGGCTGGCGAGGTCTTGTTGATGGTCATATGGACAGTTTCATACACGTTTCCCCCCTGTTTGTTTTATGGTTTTCGAGAGATATCTCATGTTTTCCTTTGATCAGTCAAATACATTGCACGTCCCCTATAGTTCGCCTTGTACGCCGGACCTTGCGCACCACGTGAGATTTAGGTAGTATACAGGTCTGCTTCAGGTGGAATTGCAAATGATCTACGCCTTGTTTCACCGATCGGTGAGGAGATAGTTTCCCTATGGTTGGCCCTGGACAGACTGCGTCGATTAAGGCTGGACTTCTGCTACTTTGATGCGTGTTCACTACATTCGTCAATTGCCGATCCGCATCTCCGCAATGCGTATTCCCTATACCAGAATAAAAAACAAAACTTAGTACCGACTTCTTGGCCTCTGAAGATGAGAATGCACGTTAGTTATATCTATGTCCGTAGGTGGATATTCTCGTGAACCATTTTACCCCTATAGGTCCTTGTCTGTTACGACAGGGGGTATGCATGCCATCTGAGTAGGTCTTTAGTAAGGAATGTCTCGTTGACTACTAATAGATTTCCGAAGAAACCTGGTTATCCTTCGGTCTTCTCGGTGTATCCGTATACAGAACACTCCTTCAAATCTCTGGTACAGCCAACCGGGCTAGCATCGCTATGAATTCACCGCCATTGCACAATGCAATACTAATTATGGTTATGCTGTCCACTTTTAGATATTAAGTGTAGTCAATGTAGCATCTACCACCTGAGTGACAGAAGTGGTCAGATACTAGTTCGACTCGCGGCAGCTTAATATCCTTTGCAACACTCAAATGCTATCGAGAAGTTATACTGAGGTAACAATACCCTGTACTAGGATGGACGAGTTACTCAGCTTCAGCCTCATAGGCTGCCCGTAGTAAGTCGGTGCTCGGCGCCCCACAAAAGAAATTCGGGACCCATTTTTAACAGGTAGTGCCCTTCCCCCACAGTGAAAATATAAACCAATTTGAACCGCCAATTCGCAGGGCTGATACGAAAGGGAAGGAGCAACGTCACAAGTCCCGAAGTAAGGCCAAGTTCCAAGAAGCATGTGCACCCACCACTAAAAACTGTACCTCAACATTTGTAGATTCCACCTTTGTGGATTGGATTTGATTTTCCCTCCCTTCGACTCTTCGACTCCTTGTCTCTATATCGCTTCTATGTAGCATGTGCTACTTTTCGGAACAGCTCCTATTGTTTCCCACTGTCCTGCTAATTCAGCATGGATCAGTACCCTCACCCATCGCGAACTTTCACTTCAGCACCGTCGGCTGAGAAGTCCAGCCAGTTGCTCCTCCGCGAATATCCTCATCGAGCAATCGCAATCGCCACGCCGACCCATGCCTTGATATTCCGGTATAGCCCTACAACGAGCGAAGCGATTGCGAATGGCTCGCTTTTATCCGTCTCGTCAGCACGATCCCGTAGTGCCGGAGACGGTCCCGTATCCAAATGCATGGTCGAATTTTCCCCCATATCTAAGCAACTTCTTAGCGACTTTAGACCTCTCACACCGCGCCCCATTTATGGGACACTCGGCCTTATATCCATAAATCAAGATGTATTCCTATGTGTAATAACGCAGGCATCGCGGGTAGCAACACTGCGACCCGGGGAAACTGTCGAAAAAATTGCGAGTGTCGACTTTTTCTGCCTCAACAGCTCAGAGTACGATAATGTTATATCCCTAAATACGTACGACAGTGACCTCTCCGACTCTGCCCCTCTGTATGGCCAAAGTCTTGGCAGAAGAGAAGGCGAAATAGAATCTCCATATCACGAACTGCGGGGGCTGTTGAGCAATGGCAGCTTTTATTACAGTACAGATTTTGACCTGACAAATAGGTTACAAGATAGGTTTGTTGGCTCCTCCGTAATAGTTGTAGTTCTATACAAATTTCCTTCCCTATACTCGGATGGGATATAGGCCAGATTCAGCATCAGAAGCTGACGCCGTCCATATAGGCCAATAGATTCGGACACGTTCGATATTGACAATTTCGACGACTCTTTCTTGTGGAATTACTTCATGATCAGTCCCTTGGTCCAGTTTAGATCTAGGTTGTTGGCTCATGAACGTGAGGCTCTTGATGCCTCAAGGATTTTGACCTCTGCTATACGAGGATTCTGCTTAACTATGACGATCCCTCAAAGTGCGGCGCCTTTGCGAGATGGCAAGTCTGGTCTTCCATCCTACCTCACCGTTATTTCACGTTTGTCGTGTAAGCGAGCTGGAACTCGCTTTAACAGCCGAGGAATTGATGATGATGGACACGTGGCCAATTTCGTCGAAACAGAAACGATATATTGGAGTCCCTCTGGTGTCCTTTTCTCGTATGCGCAAGTTCGCGGCTCTGTGCCAGTGTTCTGGGAACAGACTCCAGGTCTTATCCCGGGCCAGCAGAAGATTTCAATCACACGCTCAGCTGATGGGACGCAACCAGCATTCGATAAACATTTCGAGGAATTGGAACAGTCTTATGGTGCGGTACACATTGTCAATCTTCTCAGTGCAACAAAGCCAGGGGAGGCAGAGCTTACAAATCTGTTCCATTATGGCCTACAGCATTGCTCGCTTAGCCGTGTTGTTGACAAGCAATCGTCTGATCACGCCCTATTGCGGGAGACGGACTATGATTTCCATGCGGAAACGAAAGCGGCCGGATACGAGGCTGCTCGAGAAATTCGGCGCTATATCGAGCATTCTGCCGATGGTTTCGCATATTATCTAGCTGAGCTAACAGATGATATGATCGACATTAACGATTCGCCTGGCCACCAAAGGATGGTTGTCGTGCTTCAGCAGGAGGGAGTCTTTCGGACAAATTGCCTAGACTGTTTAGACAGAACCAATCTTATTCAGACTATCATTTCGCAGATGGCTGTTGAGGCATTCTTGACTCATCGCGGTGAATACGCCGCGTCAGACTTCTGGATGCGACATTCCACTCTCTGGGCCGATAACGGTGACGCTCTCTCTAGGATTTACGCCGGTACAGGCGCACTCAAATCCTCATTCACAAGGACCGGCAAAATGTCTATAGCTGGCGCCTTCGCGGACGCTCGAAAAAGTGCGACGAGACTTTACATCAATAACTTTACCGACAAGGCAAGGCAAAACACAATTGATATGCTCCTAGGACGATTAGTCGGCCAGGCTCCTGTCCATCTCTTCGACCCAATCAGCGATTACATATCTGTCGAACTCAGTAAACGTAGTTCCGAGTATTCGTCAACAGAAAACATCACGATGTGAGTCTTGATACAACCCAAATCCGTATATGTCGTCCATAATAACTAATTCGATATAGGTGGGTTGGGACGTTTAACTTAAATGGACGTACAAATGGCATCGAGGAAGATTTATCTCCTTGGCTTTGCCCTCAGGAGCTTGGTTCAACACAGCCGGAGATAGTAGCAGTAGGGTTCCAAGAGATTGTTGAATTGAGTGCTCAACAAATCATGAATAGCGACCCTACCAGAAAGCAGTTATGGGAGAGAGCTATCAAGAAAACACTCAATACCCGCGCAAAACTATCAGGAGGAGAGAAATACGTTCTACTTCGTAGCGGGCAACTTGTGGGCGCTGCACTTTGCATCTTCGTAAAAGCATCAGTGCTTCCGAAGATAAAGAATGTCGAGGGAAGCGTCAAGAAAACGGGGATGTCCGGCATAGCAGGGAATAAAGGCGCAGTCGCTATCAGAATGGAGTATGCGAGTACTCAGATATGCTTTGTGACAGCCCATCTCGCCGCCGGGTTCTCCAACTATGATGAAAGAAATAAGGATTACGCTACGATTCATCATGGACTGCGGTTCCAGAGGAATAGGGGTATCGACGACCACGGTATGAGAATCATCAAATACTTTATAGAACATACAATTACTTACAAATATGCAGACACGGTTATCTGGCTTGGAGATTTCAACTACCGTATTGGTCTATCACACGAAAGGGTCATGGATTTAATCCAAAAGAAAGACCTAGAGAAGCTGTATGAGAATGACCAGGTACGTCTGCGGAATCTCGTCCAGTAAAACCGGCAGTTATTAACACATTCTAGTTGAATTTACAAATGGTCGCCGGTCTCTCTTTTCCATACTACTCCGAAGCCAGGATTACATTCATGCCAACGTACAAATTCGATGTTGGTACTGATAGATATGACAGCTCGTAAGTTGTTATGCCACAGAAAAATTTCAAGACCTTAGCTGAGACTTTTGGCAGTGAAAAATTACGTATTCCGGCATGGACGGACCGCATCTTACGCAAAGGTACAAATATACGGCAATTGTCATACAACTGTGCCCCTTTGCGATTTTCAGATCACCGCCCCGTATTCGCAACGTTCCAATGCACAGTAAACATTATAAATGAAGCACTTAGGGAGAAGATCAGTCGGGAGCTGTACGAACGCCGTAAAGCAGAAGTAGGTCACACAGCTGCAAGTTTACTTAGCGAGGACTCCGACGATGATGAAGACCTCATTGGGTACGATCCTATCGAGCCGGGATTACCTCCGGCGAGCTCAGACCGGCAGAGATGGTGGCTTGATAACGGCAAGATGGCGAAGTCCACAGTCGGGCCACCGAAACCCATCAACGGGAATTCCACTATGGTGCTAAACCCTAACCGTCCTTCAAATCCGTTTACTCCGTCGGAAGAACCGGACTGGGTTGCGATACCCAGATCCAATTCAAGACTCTCCTCGTTCTCCAGCATCTCTAGCTCTCCCTACGAGCACATTAACCACTCTTCCATCCTCTCGACATCGGCTGCATCCAACTCCTCGCCCAGGAAACTTCCTCCACCTTTTGATCCGGCCACCTTACCCACTAAGGTTGGCCAGATCAATTTGCATGATGAACAAATGCCTACACATAGGAACGAAGCTCCGCCGCCACCTCCGCCCAGAAGACAGACATCTACAGGTTTCCCGCCTTCTCAACCGTCCAGTTCTGCGGGGGCGCATCCCGCGTTACGAGCAACAAAACCTGGTGTACCAGAACCACCAATGAGGACTATGTCGACGTCATCCCTAACGTCGAATAAGTCTAAGGCGCCTCCGCCTATAGCCAGAAAGCCAGTCCATCTTACATCACCCTCACCCTCCACCAATCCTTCTCTCCCCGAAACCAGCAGTTTTAGTTCACTCATAGATCAACAAACACCAAAACCGCCCATCCCACGCAAGACCGTGACTGCTATCTCGAATGTCTCCAACCTGACTTCTAAACTTGAAGCTAACAAATCTGGCGCGTTAACTGGCGGAATGCTCAAAGCAACATCACCTCATATCGACACTGTCACGCACAATGGTTTTACAACCGGGCCATCTAGCTCAGCTGCGGCTATAAGTCGAGTTCCATTGCCTGGGCTCGGGAACACGGAGCGAAAGCCACCTTTGCCAGTACGCCCACAGCAACAGCAACAGCAGCAGCATCACACACAATTATCTCAACCAGTGACGAGGACTAGCGTAGATCTCCTTGGTGGCGATGACAATACCGAGATGAATGGATGGGAAACTTTAAAACCAAGTTAGATATCTCCCTTGTCTAGATGATATTATATTCAAAAGGGGTTGGCGTTGACACAGCGTGGCGTTTTACAGCGTTGTAGTTTAATTCAGTATATATACGACGTCCGTGCAGGGTGAAAACGAATTTCTTAACAGGACGGACTTAAGATGAATTATTACGCACGGTAGACATAAGACGTTCTACAAATAAATGATGTGGTAATACTAATAAGTTAATTACCTAAATATGCCACTACCTTATTAAGATGTATACTAAACGTGATGATTTATAAGGAATAGCAAAGAAATCACGCCTTCCTGTTCACGAGGTTGATGGAGGCGCGAGACGGTTGCTACTCACCGAACTACTCCCGTCGGGTTGACGTCACACCTTGATAAGATAAAAGCTTTAGTTTGTCCAAACTTCGTCTTGAGAAGGATGTCGCGTCTGACTTAGACGTGCATCGACGAACTCAATAGTTACCGAACTAATAGATCGGAAATTGGAAATTTGAATCAATTGATTCTTGTACCATAAGTTCTTTTTATCATACTGTTTTAATTGAGGGTATAATTCATTTCTACTCAGCTTACGACTCCGACGGCAGACATCATCACGACTTAATTATACTATGTCAAGTAGTCGTAGCTGACGAATTGTCATTAATATCTTCCGTCCTTTGCGATTATACGTCGAATTCCAGGACAGCAACTTTTTCCACGTTCCCGAGATTCCTCAACTTTCTCTAATATACCTTGAGGTTTCTACTCCTTTTCCGATAAGTCGCCAGAGCGGTATTTAAAGCAAGATGGCGCAAACCTCGGGAGCATCGTATCGCAAAGACAAAAAAGAGTTTAAGGAATTAACAGATGAGAAGGTACGGCAAATATACGTCTGGAGAACCGAAGTCGAGTATTCGAAGACCCAATGCCTCTGTTCCGGGCCTTCCATGGTTGATCCCTCATTCACACGGAGAGCCAAAAGTGAGGGCAAAGGGAAAGGCAAAGCCGTGGCCCGCAGAGGGGTGCAGCGAACTGAAGCGTCGAGTAGCACTGCCATGGACTCGGATATACAACCAGAACCTCACGGGACGCCGCCAAGAGATTCTCCTCCTCAGATAGGGTTGTTCATACCTGAGGAAGACCCGTGTCCAACGTGCGATTCGCCCGTGAACGCAGGCGTGATGTTCCTGAAGGTCGGGGTAAAAGGAGAAAGGGGCATAGTTTGCACAAACCCGAGTCCCCGATCCACCACCAGCGTCAATCGTCTATCGGATGTCCTTTCATATCAGCAATACAAGACGCCCCCCAAGGCATGGCTCAAACAGAAGGCAAGAAAGCCCCTAGAACAAATCAAGAGAGCTGTTACCCCCGAGAACGAGAACTCCAAGAGGAAGCAAGTCCTGAAGCCGCTATTGGGGTTGCTGAGGAAGTCGTCGACGGACTCCTTGAGCTCGGGCCCGCCGACGGTACGGCCGAGGGCGACGGAGATGTACCACACGGTCCCGAGCAGGGATGATCTTTTAAGAGCCGGGTCAGTTAAGACCCTGCTTTCGGGCTTGAGTGACGATGATGACGATGGACGTGGAAGGCCCAAGCTAACCATTGATGAATCTGCAGCGCGGCTACGCAGAGCTCAAAGGTTGCTGGAAAAGCAAAACAAGAACGAAAGTAAAGCTTGAGTTTTGTCACATCGATCCGGTGTACGGGCACCTCGGACACGGATACTTGGTTCGGTTCGATTGTGTATTATAAGAGGAAATGCATTTTATTCTATGGAGGTAAGTCGTTTTTTCCGGGACGACGGTTTTATAGGTATACTTCGAATGGCTTAAGTTCATCCGGATAAAGGGTGGTTTGAATTGTTACCAGCATAGCTTTAACAGGGCAATGGATACAGCGGCATATGGGTTTGGGGATACCCGTAGGTGTTAGCGAGTAGACTTTGGTTTCTTGAGGCGCTGTAGATTAGAACGATCAAAAGACTACGTTGGTGGCCGGTACCTATTCCGGAGCACCCTCTATTCAATTCAATGTACAGCGTAAGAAGTGGAAAATGCTAGGCTCAATTGATTGTCTTTAGAACTGTTGGATATAGCTACTTTCAACATCCTGAATTAGAACACTATCTAACTTAAATTTCTTGCATATATTTCAATGAGCAAGCGAACATAAAGTAAGCATTCGAGGACATATGGTTGACAAATGAAACATCGACATCGGCACAGGCCTCAGATTTCATGATTTGAGATCATTTCCGTTTTGGATATCCCTCTTCCTATCATTGATTGATTTTGGGGTATCATCACCGGCCTGTTTGATATTGATGGAAGTTGGAGAGGTAAGGGTGTATATATATATATATATATATATATATATATATACATGGAGAATCGAAACTTATGACATTGCTTTCCTTTACCTTTGGGTATTCTCTGCCAACAATATTCCGCACTTGCGACCGGCAAAGACCGAGTTCATAGAAACTCGTGAAGCTATGTGTGGACGATGTCGGTTGAACGTAGGTGGTCTAAAGAGAAAATCGGGTGTTATGCAAAATTTTTCGATTTTCCTTTGAAAAAATACGTACAAGGTACTTTTAGCGCTTTGGACGGCGGACGATAATACCGAATCCGCCAACCCGCTAATTCATTTTATATATTGTAATATATATTGTATAAATGCATAATAAACTTTAATTATTAATATTATATTTTATTATTTATAAGGATTATAATATTAAAAAACGTTATAAATTATAAAAAGTTATAACGTTTTTTAATTTATATTATTTATAACGCGTTAAATTTAAAATTATTTTATTTAAATTTAAATATTTCGTATTTAAATTATTTTAAAATAACTTTTAAAATTAATTAATAATTATTTTAATATTATTATTATAAAACTACGTTTTAATAAAAAATTTTAAATATAAAAATTAATTATTTTATTTATTTAATAAATTATTTATATTTTATAAATTAAAATTACGAGAAAAATATTAATATATATTAAATATTATTATTTATAAAATTATAATTAACTTTTAACGTTTAAAATTTTTAATTTTATTTATTATAATAAATAAT